GGGCCTCATCTCGCCTCTAGGGGGAAGTCTCATGGTTTTTCTCGAGTTGCGGCGGGGACCTGGGGTATGTTCTCGACTTACGGCGGGGAAGGCCCTTCAAAACACGACTTTCTTCAGTGACGTCAGGACTCCTGTCTAGTAACGAGGGACACCTCAGGAAAGTTTTCGAGGCTTGGCAGGCCAAAAGGGACGCTTCTCGAGGTGAGCCAGGGCACCCAAGGACACTTTCCCGTAGCCACAGGGATTTTGGAATTCCTATCAGTATTCAAGAGGAGTCAGGCAGCGTCACCTTTTGAAGCAATGAACTCCGCGTGCCTCTCGAGGTGTCAGCGGGATGTGAGGCATTCCGTCAAAATGAGGCAGGGACCTAGGGCTTTCTCTAAGTTCTCCATAGGGGACTCAGACATCCCTTCATGTTGTGAGATGAAAGACGAGCCTGTATTCAAGCCACTGCAAGGAAATCCGGCCTCCTTTCAAGTTAGGGCTTCTCGCTGTATATTCCCCTTGAGGCAGCAAACTCGGGGTCCCTCCCACATACCTATTGCTGAGAGAAGCCTCCTCCTGAGGTGCTTCTGGGAAGTTGGCATACGTCTTGAGGTTAAGCCAGGAATCAGCTCTCATCTCGAGACGATTTGGGGTACACGGAGCATTCCTCGAGTTGCTGTGCTGAAGTTGGTGTTCCTCTAGAATCGGGACAGTGTTCTCGGGGCATCTCTGGAGTTGCCTGAAGGAAGTCGAGCCACCGGTCGTGTTGAATGGGGAACGGGGAATGGCTCTGGAGTCAATGCAGGGGAATCGGGCCTCATCTCGAGTTGATTTGGGGCACATGGAGCTGCTTTGCATTTCTGGGGTGACCTCAGGTCCGTCTAGACTGGTGACAGTGTTCTTGGGGACTGTCTCGAGATCCATTAAGCAAGTCGAAGCTCCTGACTTGTTTGAATGGGATCACGGAATAGCTCTGCATACACTGCAGGGGAATGGTGCCTCATCTCGCCTCTAGGGGGAAGTCTCATGGTTTTTCTCGAGTTGCGGCGGGGACCTGGGGTATGTTCTCGACTTACGGCGGGGAAGGCCCTTCAAAACACGAGTTTCTTCAGTGACGTCAGGACTCCTGTCTAGTAACGAGGGACACCTCAGGAAAGTTTTCGAGGCTTGGCAGGCCAAAAGCGACGCTTCTCGAGGTGAGCCAGGGGACCCAAGGACACTTTCCAGTAGCCACAGGGATTTTGGATTTCCTATCAGTATTCAAGAGGAGTCAGGCAGCGTCACCTTTTGAAGCAATGAACTCCGCGTGCCTCTCGAGGTGTCAGCGTGATGTGAGGCATTCCGTCAAAATGAGGCAGGGACCTAGGGCTTTCTCTAAGTTCTCCATAGGGGATTCAGACATCCCTTCATGTTGTGAGATGAAAGACGAGCCTGTATTCAAGCCACTGCAAGGAAATCCGGCCTCCTTTCAAGTTAGGGGTTCTCGCTGTATATTCCCCTTGAGGCAGCACACTCGGGGTCCCTCCCACATACCTATTGCTGAGAGAAGCCTCCTCCTGAGGTGCTTCTGGGAAGTTGGCATACGTCTTGAGGTTAAGCCAGGAATCAGCTCTCATCTCGAGACGATTTGGGGTACACGGAGCATTCCTCGAGTTGCTGTGCTGAAGTTGGTGTTCCTCTAGAATTGGGACAGTGTTCTCGGGGCATCTCTGGAGTTGCCTGAAGGAAGTCGAGCCACCGGTCGTGTTGAATGGGGAACGGGGAATGGCTCTGGAGTCAATGCAGGGGAATCGGGCCTCATCTCGAGTTGATTTGGGGCACATGGAGCTGCTTTGCATTTCTGGGGTGACCTCAGGGTCCGTCTAGACTGGTGACAGTGTTCTTGGGCACTGTCTCGAGATCCATTAAGCAAGTCGAAGCTCCTGACTTGTTTGAATGGGATCACGGAATAGCTCTGCATGCACTGCAGGGGAATGGGGCCTCATCTCGCCTCTAGGGGGAAGTCTCATGGTTTTTCTCGAGTTACGGCGGGGACCTGGGGTATGTTCTCGACTTACGCCGGGGATGGCCCTTCAAAACACGAGTTTCTTCAGTGACGTCAGGACTCCTGTCTAGTAACGAGGGAAAACTCAGGAATCGCTTTGAGGCTTGGCAGGGCAAAAGGGACGCTTCTCGAGGTGAGGCAGGGCACCCAAGGACCCTTTCCAGTAGCCACAGGGATTTTGGGATTCCTATCAGTATTCAAGAGGAGTCAGGCATCGTCACCTTTTGAAGCAATGAACTCCGCGTGCCTCTCGTGGTGTCAGCTGGATGTGAGGCATTCCGTCAAAATGAGGCAGGGACCTAGGTCTTTCTCTAAGGTCTCCACAAGGGAATCAGACATCCCTTCATGTTGTGAGATGAAAGACGAGCCTGTATTCAAGCCACTGCAAGGAAATCCGGCCTCCTTTCAAGTTAGGGCTTCTCGCTGTATATTCCCCTTGAGGCAGCAAACTCGGGGTCCCTCCCACATACCTATTGCTGAGAGAAGCCTCCTCCTGAGGTGCTTCTGGAAAGTTGGCATACGTCTTGAGCCTAAGCCAGGGAATCAGCTCTCATCTCGAGACGATTTGGGGTACACGGAGCATTCCTCGAGTTGCTGTGCTGAAGTTGGTGTTCCTCTAGACTTGGGACAGTGTTCTCGGGGCATCTCTGGAGTTGCCTGAAGGAAGTCGAGCCACCGGTCGTGTTGAATGGGGAACGGGGAATGATTCTGGCGTCAATACAGGGGAATCGGGCCTCATCTCGAGTTGATTTGGGGCACATGGAGCTGATTTGCGTTGCTGGGGTGACCTCAGGGTCCGTCTAGACTGGTGACAGTGTTCCTGGGGAATGTCTCGAGATCCATTAAACAAGTCGAAGCTCCTGACTTGTTTGAATGGGATCACAGAATAGCTCTGCATGCACTGCAGGGGAATGGGGCCTCATCTCGCCTCTAGGGGGAAGTCTCATGGTTTTTCTCGAGTTGCCCGGGGACCTGGGGTATGTTCTCGACTTACGGCGGGGATGGCCCTTCAAAACACGAGTTTCTTCAGTGACGTCAGGACTCTTGTCTAGTAACGAGGGACACGTCAGGAATCTCTTCCAGGCTTGGCAGGGCAAAAGGGACCCTTCTCGAGGTGAGGCAGGGCACCCAAGGACCCTTTCCAGTAGCCACAGGGATTTTGGCATTCCTATCAGAATTCAAAAGGAGTCAGGCATCGTCATCTTTTGAAGCAATGAACTCCGCGTGCCTCTCGAGGTGTCAACGGGATGTGAGGCATTCCGTCAAAATGAGGCAGGGACCTAGGGCTTTCTCTAAAGTCTCCACAGGGGATTCAGACATCCATTCATGTTGTGAGATGAAAGACGAGCCTGTATTCAAGCCACTGCAAGGAAATCCGGCCTCCTTTCAAGGTAGGGGTTCTCGCTGTATATTCCCCTTGAGGCAGCAAACTCGGGGTCCCTCCCACATAACTATTGCTGAGAGAAGCCTCCTCCTGAGGTGCTTCTGGGAAGTTGGCATAGGTCTTGAGCCTATGCCAGGGAATCAGCTCTCATCTCGAGACGATTTGGAGTACACGGAGCATTCCTCGAAATGCTGTGCTGAATTTCGTGTTCCTCTAGACTTGGGACAGTGTTCTCGGGGCATCTCTGGACTTGCCTGAAGGAAGTCGAGCCACCGGTCGTGTTGAATGGGGAACGGGGAATGGTTCTGGAGTCAATTCAGGGGAATCGGGCCTCATCTCGAGTTGATTTGGGGCACATGGAGCTGATTTGCGTTGCTGGGGTGACCTCAGGGTCCGTCTAGACTGGTGACAGTGTTCCTGGGGACTGTCTCGAGATCCATTAAGCAAGTCGAAGCTCCTGACTTGTTTGAATGGGATCACGGAATAGCTCTGCATGCACTGCAGGGGAATGGGGCCTCATCTCGCCTCTAGGGGGAAGTCTCATGGTTTTTCTCGAGTTGCGGCGGGGACCTGGGCTATGTTCTCGACTTACGGCGGGGATGGCCCTTCAAAACACGAGTTTCTTCAGTACGTCAGGACTCCTGTCTAGTAACGAGGGACACTTCAGGAATCTCTTCGAGGCTTGGCAGGGCAAAAGGGACGCTTCTCGAGGTGAGGCAGGGCACCCAAGGACCCTTTCCAGTAGCCACAGCGATTTTGGGATTCCTATCAGTATTCAAGAGGAGTCAGGCATCGTCACCTTTTGAAGCAATGAACTCCGCGTGCCTCTCGCGGTCTCAGCGGGATGTGAGGCGTTCCGTCAAAATGAGGCAGGGATCTAGGGCTTTCTCTAAGGTCTCCACAGGGGATTGAGACATCCCTTCATGTTGTGAGATGAAAGACGAGCCTGTATTCAAGCCACTGCAAGGATATCCGGCCTCCTTTCATGTTAGGGCTTCTCGCTGTATATTCCCCTTGAGGCAGCAAACACGGGGTCCCTCCCACATACCTATTGCTGAGAGAAGCCTCCTCCTGAGGTGCTTCTGGAAAGTTGGCATACGTCTTGAGCCTAAGCTAGGCAATCAGCTCTCATCTCGAGACGATTTGGGGTACACGGAGCATTCCTCGAGTTGCTGTGCTGAAGTTGGTGTTCCTCTAGACTTGGGACAGTGTTCTCGGGGCATCTCTGGAGTTGCCTGAAGGAAGTCGAGCCACCGTTTGTGTTGAATGGGGAACGGGGAATGGCTCTGGAGTCAATGCAGGGGAATCGGGCCTCATCTCGAGTTGATTTGGGGCACATGGAGCTGCTTTGCGTTGCTGGGGTGATCTCAGGGTCCGTCTAGACTGGTGACAGTGTTCCTGGGGACTGTCTCGAGATCCATTAAGCAAGTCGAAGCTCCTGACTTGTTTGAATGGGATCACGCAATAGCTCTGCATGCACTGCAGGGGGATGGGGCCTCATCTCGCCTCTAGGGGGAAGTCTCATGGTTTTTCTCGAGTTGCGGCGGGGACCTGGGGTATGTTTCCGACTTACTGCGGGGATGGCCCTTCAAAACACGAGTTTCTTCAGTGACGTCAGGACTCCTGTCTGGTAACGAGGGACACCTCAGGAATCTCTTCGAGGCTTGGCAGGGCAAAAGGGACGCTTCTCGAGGTGAGGCAGGGCACCCAAGGACCCTTTCCAGTAGCCACCGGGATTTTGGGATTCCTATCAGTATTCAAGAGGAGTCAGGAATCGTCACCTTTTGAAGCAATGAACTCCGCGTGCCTCTCGAGGTGTCAGCGGGATGTGAGGCATTCCGTCAAAATGAGGCAGGGACCTAAGGCTTTCTCTAAGGTCCTCACAGGGTATTCAGACATTCCTTCATGTTGTGAGATGAAAGACGAGCCTGTATTCAAGCCACTGCAAGGAAATCCAGCCTCCTTTCAAGTTAGGGCTTCTCGCTGTATATTCCCCTTGAGGCAGCAAACTCGGGGTCCGTCCCACATACCTATTGCTGAGAGAAGCCTCCTCCTGAGGTGCTTCTGGAAAGTTGGCATACGTCTTGAGCCTAAGCCAGGGAATCAGCTCTCATCTTGAGACGATTTGGGGTACACGGAGCATTCCTCGAGTTGCTGTGCTGAAGTTGGTGTTCCTCTAGACTTGGGAGAGTGTGCTCGAGGCATCTCTGGAGTTGCTTGAAGGAAGTCGAGCCATCGGTCGTGTTGAATGGGGAACGGGGAATGGCTCTGGAGTCAATGCAGGGGAATCGGGCCTCATCTCAAGTTGATTTGGGGCACATGGAGCTGCTTTGCGTTGGTGGGGTGACCTCAGGTCCGTCTAGACTGGTGACAGTGTTCTTGGGGACTGTCTCGAGATCCATTAAGCAAGTCGAAGCTCCTGACTTGTTTGAATGGGATCACGGAATAGCTCTGCATACACTGCAGGGGAATGGGGCCTCATCTCGCCTCTAGGGGGAAGTCTCATGGTTTTTCTCGAGTTGCGGCGGGGACCTGGGGTATGTTCTCGACTTACGCCGGGGAAGGCCCTTCAAAACACGACTTTCTTCAGTGACGTCAGGACTCCTGTCTAGTAACGAGGAACACCTCAGGAAAGTTTTTGAGGCTTGGCAGGCCAAAAGGGACGCTTCTCGAGGTGAGCCAGGGCACCCAAGGACACTTTCCCGTAGCCACAGGGATTTTGGAATTCCTATCAGTATTCAAGAGGAGTCAGGCAGCGTCACCTTTTGAAGCAATGAACTCCGCGTGCCTCTCGAGGTGTCAGCGGGATGTGAGGCATTCCGTCAAAATGAGGCAGGGACCTAGGGCTTTCTCTATGTTCTCCATAGGGGACTCAGACATCCCTTCATGTTGTGAGATGAAAGACGAGCCTGTATTCAAGCCACTGCAAGGAAATTCGGCCTCCTTTCAAGTTAGGGCTTCTCGCTGTATATTCCCCTTGAGGCAGCAAACTCGGGGTCCCTCCCACATACCTATTGCTGAGAGAAGCCTCCTCCTGAGGTGCTTCTGGGAAGTTGGCATACGTCTTGAGGTTAAGCCAGGAATCAGCTCTCATCTCGAGACGATTTGGGGTACACGGAGCATTCCTCGAGTTGCTGTGCTGAAGTTGGTGTTCCTCTAGAATCGGGACAGTGTTCTCGGGGCATCTCTGGAGTTGCCTGAAGGAAGTCGAGCCACCGGTCGTGTTGAATGGGGAACGGGGAATGGCTCTGGAGTCAATGCAGGGGAATCGGGCCTCATCTCGAGTTGATTTGGGGCACATGGAGCTGCTTTGCATTTCTGGGGTGACCTCAGGGTCCGTCTAGACTGGTGACAGTGTTCTTGGGCACTGTCTCGAGATCCATTAAGCAAGTCGAAGCTCCTGACTTGTTTGAATGGGATCACGGAATAGCTCTGCATGCACTGCAGGGGAATGGGGCCTCATCTCGCCTCTAGGGGTAAGTCTCATGGTTTTTCTCGAGTTACGGCGGGGACCTGGGGTATGTTCTCGACTTACGCCGGGGATGGCCCTTCAAAACACGAGTTTCTTCAGTGACGTCAGGACTCCTGTCTAGTAACGAGGGAAAACTCAGGAATCGCTTTGAGGCTTGGCAGGGCAAAAGGGACGCTTCTCGAGGTGAGGCAGGGCACCCAAGGACCCTTTCCAGTAGCCACAGGGATTTTGGGATTCCTATCAGAATTCAAGAGGAGTCAGGCATCGTCATCTTTTGAAGCAATGAACTCCGCGTGCCTCTCGAGGTGTCAGCGGGATGTGAGGCATTCCGTCAAAATGAGGCAGGGACCTAGGGCTTTCTCTAAAGTCTCCACAGGGGATTCAGACATCCATTCATGTTGTGAGATGAAAGACGAGCCTGTATTCAAGCCACTGCAAGGAAATCCGGCCTCCTTTCAAGGTAGGGGTTCTCGCTGTATATTCCCCTTGAGGCAGCAAACTCGGGGTCCCTCCCACATACCTATTGCTGAGAGAAGCCTCCTCCTGAGGTGCTTCTGGGAAGTTGGCATAGGTCTTGAGCCTATGCCAGGGAATCAGCTCTCATCTCGAGACGATTTGGAGTACACGGAGCATTCCTCGAATTGCTGTGCTGAATTTCGTGTTCCTCTAGACTTGGGACAGTGTTCTCGGGGCATCTCTGGACTTGCCTGAAGGAAGTCGAGCCACCGGTCGTGTTGAATGGGGAACGGGGAATGGTTCTGGAGTCAATTCAGGGGAATCGGGCCTCATCTCGAGTTGATTTGGGGCACATGGAGCTGATTTGCGTTGCTGGGGTGACCTCAGGGTCCGTCTAGACTGGTGACAGTGTTCCTGGGGACTGTCTCGAGATCCATTAAGCAAGTCGAAGCTCCTGACTTGTTTGAATGGGATCACGGAATAGCTCTGCATGCACTGCAGGGGAATGGGGCCTCATCTCGCCTCTAGGGGGAAGTCTCATGGTTTTTCTTGAGTTGCGGCGGGGACCTGGGGTATGTTCTCGACTTACGGCGGGGATGGCCCTTCAAAACACGAGTTTCTTCAGTACGTCAGGACTCCTGTCTAGTAACGAGGGACACTTCAGGAATCTCTTCGAGGCTTGGCAGGGCAAAAGGGACGCTTCTCGAGGTGAGGCAGGGCACCCAAGGACCCTTTCCAGTAGCCACAGCGATTTTGGGATTCCTATCAGTATTCAAGAGGAGTCAGGCATCGTCACCTTTTCAAGCAATGAACTCCGCGTGCCTCTCGCGGTCTCAGCGGGATGTGAGGCGTTCCGTCAAAATGAGGCAGGGATCTAGGGCTTTCTCTAAGGTCTCCACAGGGGATTGAGACATCCCTTCATGTTGTGAGATGAAAGACGAGCCTGTATTCAAGCCACTGCAAGGATATCCGGCCTCCTTTCATGTTAGGGCTTCTCGCTGTATATTCCCCTTGAGGCAGCAAACACGGGGTCCCTCCCACATACCTATTGCTGAGAGAAGCCTCCTCCTGAGGTGCTTCTGGAAAGTTGGCATACGTCTTGAGCCTAAGCTAGGCAATCAGCTCTCATCTCGAGACGATTTGGGGTACACGGAGCATTCCTCGAGTTGCTGTGCTGAAGTTGGTGTTCCTCTAGACTTGGGACAGTGTTCTCGGGGCATCTCTGGAGTTGCCTGAAGGAAGTCGAGCCACCGTTCGTGTTGAATGGGGAACGGGGAATGGCTCTGGAGTCAATGCAGGGGAATCGGGCCTCATCTCGAGTTGATTTGGGGCACATGGAGCTGCTTTGCGTTGCTGGGGTGACCTCAGGGTCCGTCTAGACTGGTGACAGTGTTCCTGGGGACTGTCTCGAGATCCATTAAGCAAGTCGAAGCTCCTGACTTGTTTGAATGGGATCACAGAATAGCTCTGCATGCACTGCAGGGGAATGGGGCCTCATCTCGCCTCTAGGGGGAAGTCTCATGGTTTTTCTCGAGTTGCGGCGGGGACCTGGGGTATGTTTCCGACTTACTGCGGGGATGGCCCTTCAAAACACGAGTTTCTTCAGTGACGTCAGGACTCCTGTCTGGTAACGAGGGACACCTCAGGAATCTCTTCGAGGCTTGGCAGGGCAAAAGGGACGCTTCTCGAGGTGAGGCAGGGCACCCAAGGACCCTTTCCAGTAGCCACCGGGATTTTGGGATTCCTATCAGTATTCAAGAGGAGTCAGGAATCGTCACCTTTTGAAGCAATGAACTTGCGTGCCTCTCGAGGTGTCAGCGGGATGTGAGGCATTCCGTCAAAATGAGGCAGGGACCTAGGGCTTTCTCTAAGGTCCTCACAGGGTATTCAGACATTCCTTCATGTTGTGAGATGAAAGACGAGCCTGTATTCAAGCCACTGCAAGGAAATCCGGCCTCCATTCAAGTTAGGGCTTCTCGCTGTATATTCCCCTTGAGGAAGCAAACTCGGGGTCCCTCCCACATACCTATTGCTGAGAGAAGCCTCCTCCTGAGGTGCTTCTGGAAAGTTGGCATACGTCTTGAGCCTAAGCCAGGGAATCAGCTCTCATCTTGAGACGATTTGGGGTACACGGAGCATTCCTCGAGTTGCTGTGCTGAAGTTGGTGTTCCTCTAGACTTGGGAGAGTGTGCTCGAGGCATCTCTGGAGTTGCTTGAAGGAAGTCGAGCCATCGGTCGTGTTGAATGGGGAACGGGGAATGGCTCTGGAGTCAATGCAGGGGAATCGGGCCTCATCTCAAGTTGATTTGGGGCACATGGAGCTGCTTTGCGTTGGTGGGGTGACCTCAGGTCCGTCTAGACTGGTGACAGTGTTCTTGGGGACTGTCTCGAGATCCATTAAGCAAGTCGAAGCTCCTGACTTGTTTGAATGGGATCACGGAATAGCTCTGCATACACTGCAGGGGAATGGGGCCTCATCTCGCCTCTAGGGGGAAGTCTCATGGTTTTTCTCGAGTTGCGGCGGGGACCTGGGGTATGTTTCCTACTTACTGCGGGGATGGCCCTTCAAAACACGAGTTTCTTCAGTGACGTCAGGACTCCTGTCTAGTAACGAGAGACACCTCAGGAAAGTTTTCGAGGCTTGGCAGGCCAAAAGGGACGCTTCTCGATGTGAGCCAGGGCACCCAAGGACACTTTCCCGTAGCCACAGGGATTTTGGAATTCCTATCAGTATTCAAGAGGAGTCAGGCAGCGTCACCTTTTGAAGCAATGAACTTGCGTGCCTCTCGAGGTGTCAGCGGGATGTGAGGCATTCCGTCAAAATGAGGCAGGGACCTAGGGCTTTCTCTAAGGTCCTCACAGGGTATTCAGACATTCCTTCATGTTGTGAGATGAAAGACGAGCCTGTATTCAAGCCACTGCAAGGAAATCCGGCCTCCTTTCAAGTTAGGGCTTCTCGCTGTATATTCCCCTTGAGGCAGCAAACTCGGGGTCCCTCCCACATACCTATTGCTGAGAGAAGCCTCCTCCTGAGGTGCTTCTGGGAAGTTGGCATACGTCTTGAGGTTAAGCCAGGAATCAGCTCTCATCTCGAGACGATTTGGGGTACACGGAGCATTCCTCGAGTTGCTGTGCTGAAGTTGGTGTTCCTCTAGAATCGGGACAGTGTTCTCGGGGCATCTCTGGAGTTGCCTGAAGGAAGTCGAGCCACCAGTCGTGTTGAATGGGGAACGGGGAATGGCTCTGGAGTCAATGCAGGGGAATCGGGCCTCATCTCGAGTTGATTTGGGGCACATGGAGCTGCTTTGCATTTCTGGGGTGACCTCAGGGTCCGTCTAGACTGGTGACAGTGTTCTTGGGCACTGTCTCGAGATCCATTAAGCAAGTCGAAGCTCCTGACTTGTTTGAATGGGATCACGGAATAGCTCTGCATGCACTGCAGGGGAATGGGGCCTCATCTCGCCTCTAGGGGGAAGTCTCATGGTTTTTCTCGAGTTACGGCGGGGACCTGGGGTATGTTCTCGACTTACGCCGGGGATGGCCCTTCAAAACACGAGTTTCTTCAGTGACGTCAGGACTCCTGTCTAGTAACGAGGGAAAACTCAGGAATCGCTTTGAGGCTTGGCAGGGCAAAAGGGACGCTTCTCGAGGTGAGGCAGGGCACCCAAGGACCCTTTCCAGTAGCCACAGGGATTTTGGGATTCCTATCAGTATTCAAGAGGAGTCAGGCATCGTCACCGTTTGAAGCAATGAACTCCGCGTGCCTCTCGTGGTGTCAGCGGAATGTGAGGCATTCCGTCAAAATGAGGCAGGGACCTAGGGCTTTCTCTAAGGTCTCCACAAGGGAATCAGACATTCCTTCATGTTGTGAGATGAAAGACGAGCCTGTATTCAAGCCACTGCAAGGAAATCCGGCCTCCTTTCAAGTTAGGGCTTCTCGCTGTATATTCCCCTTGAGGCAGCAAACTCGGGGTCCCTCCCACATACCTATTGCTGAGAGAATCCTCCTCCTGAGGGGCTTCTGGAAAGTTGGCATACGTCTTGAGCCTAAGCCAGGGAATCAGCTCTCATCTAGAGACGATTTGGGGTACACGGAGCATTCCTCGAGTTGCTGTGCTGAAGTTGGTGTTCCTCTAGACTTGGGACAGTGTTCTCGGGGCATCTCTGGAGTTGCCTGAAGGAAGTCGAGCCGCCGGTCGTGTTGAATGGGGAACTGGGAATGGCTCTGGAGTCAATGCAGGGGAATCGGGCCTCATCTCGAGTTGATTTGGGGCACATGGAGCTGCTTTGCGTTGCTGGGGTGACCTCAGGGTCCGTCTAGACTGGTGACAGTGTTCCTGGGGACTGTCTCGAGATCCATTAAGCAAGTCGAAGCTCCTGACTTGTTTGAATGGGATCACGCAATAGCTCTGCATGCACTGCAGGGGAATGGGGCCTCATCTCGCCTCTAGGGGGAAGTCTCATGGTTTTTCTCGAGTTGCGGCGGGGACCTGGGGTATGTTTCCGACTTACTGCGGGGATGGCCCTTCAAAACACGAGTTTCTTCAGTGACGTCAGGACTCCTGTCTGGTAACGAGGGACACCTCAGGAATCTCTTCGAGGCTTGGCAGGGCAAAAGGGACGCTTCTCGAGGTGAGGCAGGGCACCCAAGGACCATTTCCAGTAGCCACAGGGATTTTGGGATTCCTATCAGTATTCAAGAGGAGTCAGGCATCGTCACCTTTTGAAGCAATGAACTCCGCGTGCCTCTCGAGGTGTCAGAGGGATGTGAGGCATTCCGTCAAAATGAGGCAGGGACCTAGGGCTTTCTCTAAAGTCTCCAAAGGGGATTCAGACATCCATTCATGTTGTGGGATGAAAGACGAGCCTGTATTCAAGCCACTGCAAGGAAATCCGGCCTCCTTTCAAGTTAGGGGTTCTCGCTGTATATTCCCCTTGAGGCAGCAAACTCGGGGTCCCTTCCACATACCTATTGCTGAGAGAAGCCTCCTCCTGAGGTGCTTCTGGGAAGTTGGCATAAGTCTTGAGCCTAAGCCAGGGAATCAGCTCTCATCTCGAGACGATTTGGAGTACACGGAGCATTCCTCGAGTTGCTGTGCTGAATTTCGTGTTCCTCTAGACTTGGGACAGTGTTCTCGGGGCATCTCTGGACTTGCCTGAAGGAAGTCGAGCCACCGGTCGTGTTGAATGGGGAACGGGGAATGGTTCTGGAGTCAATTCAGGGGAATCGGGCCTCATCTCGAGTTGATTTGGGGCTCATGGAGCTGATTTGCGTTGCTGGGGTGACCTCAGGGTCCGTCTAGACTGGTGACAGTGTTCCTGGGGACTGTCTCGAGATCCATTAAGCAAGTCGAAGCTCCTGACTTGTTTGAATGGGATCACGGAATAGCTCTGCATGCACTGCAGGGGAATGGGGCCTCATCTCGCCTCTAGGGGGAAGTCTCATGGTTTTTCTCGAGTTGCGGCGGGGACCTGGGGTATGTTCTCGACTTACGGCGGGGATGGCCCTTCAAAACACGAGTTTCTTCAGTACGTCAGGACTCCTGTCTAGTAACGAGGGACACCTCAGGAATCTCTTCGAGGCTTGGCAGGGCAAAAGGGACGCTTCTCGAGGTGAGGCAGGGCACCCAAGGACCCTTTCCAGTAGCCACAGCGATTTTGGGATTCCTATCAGTATTCAAGAGGAGTCAGGCATCGTCACCTTTTGAAGCAATGAACTCCGCGTGCCTCTCGCGGTCTCAGCGGGATGTGAGGCGTTCCGTCAAAATGAGGCAGGGATCTAGGGCTTTCTCTAAGGTCTCCACAGGGGATTGAGACATCCCTTCATGTTGTGAGATGAAAGACGAGCCTGTATTCAAGCCACTGCAAGGATATCCGGCCTCCTTTCATGTTAGGGCTTCTCGCTGTATATTCCCCTTGAGGCAGCAAACACGGGGTCCCTCCCACATACCTATTGCTGAGAGAAGCCTCCTCCTGAGGTGCTTCTGGAAAGTTGGCATACGTCTTGAGCCTAAGCCAGGGAATCAGCTCTCATCTTGAGACGATTTGGGGTACACGGAGCATTCCTCGAGTTGCTGTGCTGAAGTTGGTGTTCCTCTAGACTTGGGACAGTGTTCTCGGGGCATCTCTGGAGTTGCCTGAAGGAAGTCGAGTCACCGTTCGTGTTGAATGGGGAACGGGGAATGGCTCTGGAGTCAATGCAGGGGAATCGGGCCTCATCTCGAGTTGATTTGGGGCACATGGAGCTGCTTTGCGTTGCTGGGGTGACCTCAGGGTCCGTCTAGACTGATGACAGTGTTCCTGGGGACTGTCTCGAGATCCATTAAGCAAGTCGAAGCTCCTGACTTGTTTGAATGGGATCACGGAATAGCTCTGCATGCACTGCAGGGGAATGGGGCCTCATCTCGCCTCTAGGGGGAAGTCTCATGGTTTTTCTCGAGTTTCGGCGGGGACCTGGGGTATGTTTCCGACTTACGCCGGGGATGGCCCTTCAAAACACGAGTTTCTTCAGTGACGTCAGGACTCCTGTCTGGTAACGAGGGACACCTCAGGAATCTCTTCGAGGCTTGGCAGGGCAAAAGGGACGCTTCTCGAGGTGAGGCAGGGCACCCAAGGACCCTTTCCAGTAGCCACCGGGATTTTGGGATTCCTATCAGTATTCAAGAGGAGTCAGGAATCGTCACCTTTTGAAGCAATGAACTCCGCGTGCCTCTCGAGGTGTCAGCGGGATGTGAGGCATTCCGTCAAAATGAGGCAGGGACCTAGGGCTTTCTCTAAGGTCCTCACAGGGTATTCAGACATTCCTTCATGTTGTGAGATGAAAGACGAGCCTGTATTCAAGCCACTGCAAGGAAATCCGGCCTCCTTTCAAGTTAGGGCTTCTCGCTGTATATTCCCCTTGAGGCAGCAAACTCGGGGTCCCTCCCACATACCTATTGCTGAGAGAAGCCTCCTCCTGAGGTGCTTCTGGAAAGTTGGCATAAGTCTTGAGCCTAAGCCAGGGAATCAGCTCTCATCTTGAGACGATTTGGGGTACACGGAGCATTCCTCGAGTTGCTGTGCTGAAGTTGGTGTTCCTCTAGACTTGGGAGAGTGTGCTCGAGGCATCTCTGGAGTTGCTTGAAGGAAGTCGAGCCATCGGTCGTGTTGAATGGGGAAAGGGGAATGGCTCTGGAGTCAATGCAGGGGAATCGGGCCTCATCTCGAGTTGATTTGGGGCACATGGAGCTGCTTTGCGTTGGTGGGGTGACCTCAGGTCCGTCTAGACTGGTGACAGTGTTCTTGGGGACTGTCTCGAGATCCATTAAGCAAGTCGAAGCTCCTGACTTGTTTGAATGGGATCACGGAATAGCTCTGCATACACTGCAGGGCAATGGGGCCTCATCTCGCCTCTAGGGGGAAGTCTCATGGTTTTTCTCGAGTTGCGGCGGGGACCTGGGGTATGTTCTCGACTTACGGCGGGGAAGGCCCTTCAAAACACGAGTTTCTTCAGTGACGTCAGGACTCCTGTCTAGTAACGAGGGACACCTCAGGAAAGTTTTCGAGGCTTGGCAGGCCAAAAGGGACGCTTCTCGAGGTGAGCCAGGGCACCCAAGGACACTTTCCAGTAGCCACAGGGATTTTGGAATTCCTATCAGTATTCAAGAGGAGTCAGGCAGCGTCACCTTTTGAAGCAATGAACTCCGCGTGCCTCTCGAGGTGTCAGCGGGATGTGAGGCATTCCGTCAAAATGAGGCAGAGACTTGGGCTTTCTCTAAGTTCTCCACAGGGGATTCAGACATCCCTTCATGTTGTGAGATGAAAGACGAGCCTGTATTCAAGCCACTGCAAGGAAATCCGGCCTCCTTTCAAGTTAGGGCTTCTCGCTGTATATTCCCCTTGAGGCAGCACACTCGGGGTCCCTCCCACATACCTATTGCTGAGAGAAGCCTCCTCCTGAGGTGCTTCTGGGAAGTTGGCATACGTCTTGAGGTTAAGCCAGGAATCAGCTCTCATCTCGAGACGATTTGGGGTACACGGAGCATTCCTCGAGTTGCTGTGCTGAAGTTGGTGTTCCTCTAGAATTGGGACAGTGTTCTCGGGGCATCTCTGGAGTGGCCTGAAGGAAGTCGAGCCACCGGTCGTGTTGAATGGGGAACAAGGAATGGCTCTGGAGTCAATACAGGGGAATCCGGCCTCATCTCGAGTTGATTTGGGGCACATGGAGCTGATTTGCGTTGCTGGGGTGACCTCAGGGTCCGTCTAGACTGGTGACAGTGTTCCTGGGGACTGTCTCGAGATCCATTAAGCAAGTCGAAGCTCCTGACTTGTTTGAATGGGATCACGGAATAGCTCTGCATGCACTGCAGGGGAATGGGGCCTCATCTCGCCTCTAGGGGGAAGTCTCATGGTTTTTCTCAAGTTGCGGCGGGGACCTGGGGTATGTTCTCGACTTACGGCGGGGATGGCCCTTCAAAACACGAGTTTCTTCAGTGACGTCAGGACTCTTGTCTAGTAACGAGGGACACGTCAGGAATCTCTTCCAGGCTTGGCAGGGCAAAAGGGACCCTTCTAGAGGTGAGGCAGGGCACCCAAGGACCCTTTCCAGTAGCCACAGGGATTTTGGGATTCCTATCAGAATTCAAGAGGAGTCAGGCATCGTCACCTTTTGAAGCAATGAACTCCGCGTGCCTCTCGTGGTCTCAGCGGGATGTGAGGCGTTCCGTCAAAATGAGGCAGGGATCTAGGGCTTTCTCTAAGGTCTCCACAGGGGATTGAGACATCCCTTCATGTTGTGAGATGAAAGACGAGCCTGTATTCAAGCCACTGCAAGGATATCCGGCCTCCTTTCATGTTAGGGCTTCTCGCTGTATATTCCCCTTGAGGCAGCAAACACGGGGTCCCTCCCACATACCTATTGCTGAGAGAAGCCTCCTCCTGAGGTGCTTCTGGAAAGTTGGCATACGTCTTGAGCCTAAGCTAGGCAATCAGCTCTCATCTCGAGACGATTTGGGGTACACGGAGCATTCCTCGAGTTGCTGTGCTGAAGTTGGTGTTCCTCTAGACTTGGGACAGTGTTCTCGGGGCATCTCTGGAGTTGCCTGAAGGAAGTTGAGTCACCGTTCATGTTGAATGGGGAACGGGGAATGGCTCTGGGGTCAATGCAGGGGAATCGGGCCTCATCTCGAGTTGATTTGGGGCACATGGAGCTGCTTTGCGTTGCTGGGGCGACCTCAGGGTCCGTCTAGACTGGTGACAGTGTTCCTGGGGACTGTCTCGAGATCCATTAAGCAAGTCGAAGCTCCTGACTTGTTTGAATGGGATCACGGAATAGCTCTGCATGCACTGCAGGGGAATGGGGCCTCATCTCGCCTCTAGGGGGAAGTCTCATGGTTTTTCTCGAGTTGCGGCGGGGACCTGGGGTATGTTTCCGACTTACTGCGGGGATGGCCCTTCAAAACACGAGTTTCTTCAGTGACGTCAAGACTCCTGTCTGGTAACGAGGGACACCTCAGGAATCTCTTCGAGGCTTGGCAGGGCAAAAGGGACGCTCCTCGAGGTGAGGCAGGGCACCCAAGGACCATTTCCAGTAGGTACCGGGATTTTGGGATTCCTATCAGTATTCATGAGGAGTCAGGAATCGTCACCTTTTGAAGCAATGAACTCCGCGTGCCTCTCGAGGTGTCAGCGGGATGTGAGGCGTTCCGTCAAAATGAGGCAGGGATCTAGGGCTTTCTCTAAGGTCTCCACAGGGGATTGAGACATTCCTTCATGTTGTGAGATGAAAGACGAGCCTGTATTCAAGCCACTGCAAGGAAATCCGGCCTCCTTTCAAGTTAGGGCTTCTCGCTGTATATTCCCCTTGAGGCAGCAAACTCGGGGTCCCTCCCACATACCTATTGCTGAGAGAAGCCTCCTCCTGAGGTGCTTCTGGAAAGTTGGCATACGTCTTGAGCCTAAGCCAGGGAATCAGCTCTCATCTTGTGACGATTTGGGGTACACGGAGCATTCCTCGAGTTGCTGTGCTGAAGTTGGTGTTCCTCTAGACTTGGGAGAGTGTGCTCGAGGCATCTCTGGAGTTGCTTGAAGGAAGTCGAGCCATCGGTCGTGTTGAATGGGGAACGGGGAATGGCTCTGGAGTCAATGCAGGGGAATCGGGCCTCATCTCGAGTTGATTTGGGGCACATGGAGCTGCTTTGCGTTGCCGGGGTGACCTCAGGTCCGTCTAGACTGGTGACAGTGTTCTTGGGGACTGTCTCGAGATCCATTAAGCAAGTCGAAGCTCCTGACTTGTTTGAATGGGATCACGGAATAGCTCTGCATACACTGCAGGGGAATGGGGCCTCATCTCGCCTCTAGGGGGAAGTCTCATGGTTTTTCTCGAGTTGCGGCGGGGACCTGGGGTATGTTCTCGACTTACGGCGGGGAAGGCCCTTCAAAACACGAGTTTCTTCCGTGACGTCAGGACTCCTGTCTAGTAACGAGGGACACCTCAGGAAAGTTTTCGAGGCTTGGCAGGCCAAAAGGGACGCTTCTCGAGGTGAGCCAGGGCACCCAAGGACACTTTCCAGTAGCCACAGGGATTTTGGAATTCCTATCAGTATTCAAGAGGAGTCAGGCAGCGTCACATTTTGAAGCAATGAACTCCGCGTGCCTCTCGAGGTGTCAGCGGGATGTGAGGCATTCCGTCAAAATGAGGCAGGGACCTAGGGCTTTCTCTAAGTTCTCCATAGGGGATTCAGACATCCCTTCATGTTGTGAGATGAAAGACGAGCCTGTATTCAAGCCACTGCAAGGAAATCCGGCCTCCTTTCAAGTTAGGGCTTCTCGCTGTATATTCCCCTTGAGGCAGCACACTCGGGGTCCCTCCCACATACCTATTGCTGAGAGAAGCCTCCTCCTGAGGTGCTTCTGGGAAGTTGGCATACGTCTTGAGGTTAAGCCAGGAATCAGCTCTCATCTCGAGACGATTTGGGGTACACGGAGCATTCCTCGAGTTGCTGTGCTGAAGTTGGTGTTCCTCTAGAATTGGGACAGTGTTCTCGGGGCATCTCTGGAGTTGCCTGAAGGAAGTCGAGCCACCGGTCGTATTGAATGGGGAACGGGGAATGGCTCTGGAGTCAATGCAGGGGAATCGGGCCTCATCTCGAGTTGATTTGGGGCACATGGAGCTGCTTTGCATTTCTGGGGTGACCTCAGGGTCCGTCTAGACTGGTGACAGTGTTCTTGGGCACTGTCTCGAGATCCATTAAGCAAGTCGAAGCTCCTGACTTGTTTGAATGGGATCACGGAATAGCTCTGCATGCACTGCAGGGGAATGGGGCCTCATCTCGCCTCTAGGGGGAAGTCTCATGGTTTTTCTCGAGTTGCGGCGGGGACCTGGGGTATGTTCTCGACTTACGGCGGGGATGGCCCTTCGAAACACGAGTTTCTTCAGTGACGTCAGGACTCCTGTCTAGTAACGAGGGAAAACTCAGGAATCGCTTTGAGGCTTGGCAGGGCAAAAGGGACGCTTCTCGAGGTGAGGCAGGGCACCCAAGGACACTTTCCAGTAGCCACAGCGATTTTGGGATTCCTATCAGTATTCAAGAGGAGTCAGGCATCGTCATCTTTTGAAGCAATGAACTCCGCGTGCCTCTCGAGGTGTCAGCGGGATGTGAGGCATTCCGTCAAAATGAGGCAGGGAACTAGGTCTTTCTCTAAGGTCTCCACAAGGGAATCAGACATCCCTTCATGTTGGGACATGAAAGACGAGCCTGTATTCAAGCCACTGCAAGGAAATCCGGCCTCCTTTCAAGTTAGGGCTTCTCGCTGTATGTTCCCCTTGAGGCAGCAAACTCGGGGTCCCTCCCACATACCTATTGCTGAGAGAAGCCTCCTCCTGAGGTGCTTCTGGAACGTTGGCATACGTCTTGAGCCTAAGCCTGGGAATCAGCTCTCATCTCGAGACGATTTGGGGTACACGGAGCATTCCTCGAGTTGCTGTGCTGAAGTTGGTGTTCCTCTAGACTTGGGACAGTGTTCTCGGGGCATCTCTGGAGTTGCCTGAAGGAAGTCGAGCCACCGGTCGTGTTGAATGGGGAACGGGGAATGGTTCTGGAGTCAATTCAGGGGAATCGGGCCTCATCTCGAGTTGATTTGGGGCACATGGAGCTGATTTGCGTTGCTGGGGTGACCTCAGGGTCCGTCTAGACTGGTGACAGTGTTCCTGGGGACTGTCTCGAGATCCATTAAACAAGTCGAAGCTCCTGACTTGTTTGAATGGGATCACAGAATAGCTCTGCATGCACTGCAGGTTAATGGCGCCTCATCTCGCCTCTAGGGGGAAGTCTCATGGTTTTTCTCGAGTTGCGGCGGGGACCTGGGGTATGTTCTTGACTTACGGCGGGGATGGCCCTTCAAAACACGAGTTTCTTCAGTGACGTCAGGACTCTTGTCTAGTAACGAGGGACACGTCAGGAATCTCTTCCAGGCTTGGCAGGGCAAAAGGGACCCTTCTCGAGGTGAGGCAGGGCACCCAAGGACCATTTCCAGTAGCCACAGGGATTTTGGGATTCCTATCAGAATTCAAGAGGAGTCAGGCATCGTCACCTTTTGAAGCAATGAACTCCGCGTGCCTGTCGAGGTGTCAGCGGGATGTGAGGCATTCCGTCAAAATGAGGCAGGGACCTAGGGCTTTCTCTAAAGTCTCCACAGGGGATTCAGACATCCATTCATGTTGTGAGATGAAAGACGAGCCTGTATTCAAGCCACTGCAAGGAAATCCGGCCTCCTTTCAAGTTAGAGGTTCTCGCTGTATATTCCCCTTGAGGCAGCAAACTCGGGGTCCCTCCCACATACCTATTGCTGAGAGAAGCCTCCTCCTGAGGTGCTTCTGGGAAGTTGGCATAGGTCTTGAGCCTAAGCCAGGGAATCAGCTCTCATCTCGAGACGATTTGGAGTACACGGAGCATTCCTCGAGTTGCTGTGCTGAAGTTGGTGTTCCTCTAGACTTGGGACAGTGTTCTCGGGGCATCTCTGGACATGCCTGAAGGAAGTCGAGCCACCGGTCGTGTTGAATGGGGAACGGGGAATGGTTCTGGAGAAAATGCAGGGGAATCGGGCCTCATCTCGAGTTGATTTGGGGCACATGGGCCTGGTTTGCGTTGCTGGGGTGACATCAGGGTGCGTCTAGACTGGTGACAGTGTTCTTGGGGACTGTCTCGAGATCCATTAAGCAAGTCGAAGCTCCTGACTTGTTTGAATGGGATCACGGAATAGCTCTGCATGCACTGCAGGGGAATGGGGCCTCATCTCGCCTCTAGGGGGAAGTCTCATGGTTTTTCTCGAGTTGCGGCGGGGACCTGGGGTATGTTCTCGACTTACGGCGGGGATGGCCCTTCAAAACACGAGTTTCTTCAGTACGTCAGGACTCCTGTCTAGTAACGAGGGACACTTCAGGAATCTCTTCGAGGCTTGGCAGGGCAAAAGGGACGCTTTTCGAGGTGATGCAGGGCACCCAAGGACCCTTTCCAGTAGCCACAGCGATTTTGGGATTCCTATCAGTATTCAAGAGGAGTCAGGCATCGTCACCTTTTGAAGCAATGAACTCCGCGTGCCTCTCGCGGTCTCAGCGGGATGTGAGGCGTTCCGTCAAAATGAGGCAGGGATCTAGGGCTTTCTCTAAGGTCTCCACAGGGGATTGAGACATCCCTTCATGTTGTGAGATGAAAGACGAGCCTGTATTCAAGCCACTGCAAGGATATCCGGCCTCCTTTCATGTTAGGGCTTCTCGCTGTATATTCCCCTTGAGGCAGCAAACACGGGGTCCCTCCCACATACCTATTGCTGAGAGAAGCCTCCTCCTGAGGTGCTTCTGGAAAGTTGGCATACGTCTTGAGCCTAAGCTAGGCAATCAGCTCTCATCTCGAGACGATTTGGGGTACACGGAGCATTCCTCGAGTTGCTGTGCTGAAGTTGGTGTTCCTCTAGACTTGGGAGAGTGTTCTCGGGGCATCTCTGGAGTTGCCTGAAGGAAGTCGAGCCACCGTTCGTGTTGAATGGGGAACGGGGAATGGCTCTGGAGTCAATGCAGGGGAATCGGGCCTCATCTCGAGTTGATTTGGGGCACATGGAGCTGCTTTGCGTTGCTGGGGTGACCTCAGGGTCCGTCTAGACTGGTGACAGTGTTCCTGGGGACTGTCTCGAGATCCATTAAGCAAGTCGAAGCTCCTGACTTGTTTGAATGGGATCACGCAATAGCTCTGCATGCACTGCAGGGGAATGGGGCCTCATCTCGCCTCTAGGGGGAAGTCTCATGGTTTTTCTCGAGTTGCGGCGGGGACCTGGGGTATGTTTCCGACTTACTGCGGGTATGGCCCTTCAAAACACGAGTTTCTTCAGTGACGTCAGGACTCCTGTCTGGTAACGAGGGACACCTCAGGAATCTCTTCGAGGCTTGGCAGGGCAAAAGGGACGCTTCTCGAGGTGAGGCAGGGCACCCAAGGACCCTTTCCAGTAGCCACCGGGATTTTGGGATTCCTATCAGTATTCAAGAGGAGTCAGGCATCGTCACCTTTTGAAGCAGTGAACTCCGAGTGCCTCTCGCGGTCTCAGCGGGATGTGAGGCGTTCCGTGAAAATGAGGCAGGGATCTAGGGCTTTCTCTAAGGTCTCCACAGGGGATTGAGACATCCCTTCATGTTGTGAGATGAAAGACGAGCCTGTATTCAAGCCACTGCAAGGAAATCCGGCCTCCTTTCAAGTTAGGGCTTCTCGCTGTATATTCCCCTTGAGGCAGCAAACTCGGGGTCCCTCCCACATACCTATTGCTGAGAGAAGCCTCCTCCTGAGGTGCTTCTGGGAAGTTGGCATACGTCTTGAGATTAAGCCAGGAATCAGCTCTCATCTCGAGACGATTTGGGGTACACGGAGCATTCCTCGAGTTGCTGTGCTGAAGTTGGTGTTCCTCTAGAATTGGGACAGTGTTCTCGGGGCATCTCTGGAGTTGCCTGAAGGAAGTCGAGCGACCGGTCATGTTGAATGGGGAACGGGGAATGGCTCTGGAGTCAATGCAGGGGAATTGGGCCTCATCTCGAGTTGATTTGGGGCACATGGAGCTGCTTTGCATTTCTGGGGTGACCTCAGGGTCCGTCTAGACTGGTGACAGTGTTCTTGGGCACTGTCTCGAGATCCATTAAGCAAGTCGAAGCTCCTGACTTGTTTGAATGGGATCACGGAATAGCTCTGCATGCACTGCAGGGGAATGGGGCCTCATCTCGCCTCTAGGGGGAAGTCTCATGGTTTTTCTCGAGTTACGGCGGGGACCTGGGGTATGTTCTCGACTTACGCCGGGGATGGCCCTTCAAAACACGAGTTTCTTCAGTGACGTCAGGACTCCTGTCTAGTAACGAGGGAAAACTCAGGAATCTCTTTGAGGCTTGGCAGGGCAAAAGGGACGCTTCTCGAGGTGAGGCAGGGCACCCAAGGACCCTTTCCAGTAGCCACAGGGATTTTGGGATTCCTATCAGTATTCAAGAGGAGTCAGGCATCGTCAGCTTTTGAAGCAATGAACTCCGCGTGCCTCTCGTGGTGTCAGCGGGATGTGAGGCATTCCGTCAAAATGAGGCAGGGACCTAGGGCTTTCTCTAAGGTCTCCACAAGGGAATCAGACATCCCTTCATGTTGTGAGGTGAAAGACGAGCCTGTATTCAAGCCACTGCAAGGAAATCCGGCCTCCTTTCAAGGTAGGGGTTCTCGCTGTATATTCCCCTTGAGGCAGCAAACTCGGGGTCCCTCCCACATACCTATTGCTGAGAGAAGCCTCCTCCTGAGGTGCTTCTGGGAAGTTGGCATAGGTCTTGAGCCTATGCCAGGGAATCAGCTCACATCTCGAGACGATTTGGAGTACACGGAGCATTCCTCGAGTTGCTGTGCTGAATTTCGTGTTCCTCTAGACTTGGGACAGTGTTCTCGGGGCATCTCTGGACTTGCCTGAAGGAAGTCGAGCCACCGGTCGTGTTGAATGGGGAACGGGGAATGGTTCTGGAGTCAATGCAGGGGAATCGGGCCTCATCTCGAGTTGATTTGGGGCACATGGAGCTGCTTTGCGTTGCTGGGGTGACCTCAGGGTCCGTCTAGACTGGTGACAGTGTTCCTGGGGACTGTCTCGAGATCCATTAAGCAAGTCGAAGCTCCTGACTTGTTTGAATGGGATCACGGAATAGCTCTGCATGCACTGCAGGGGAATGGGGCCTCATCTCGCCTCTAGGGGGAAGTCTCATGGTTTTTCTCGAGTTGCGATGGGGACCTGGGGTATGTTCTCGACTTACGGCGGGGATGGCCCTTCAAAACACGAGTTTCTTCAGTACGTCAGGACTCCTGTCTAGTAACGAGGGACACTTCAGGAATCTCTTCGAGGCTTGGCAGGGCAAAAGGGACGCTTTTCGAGGTGAGGCAGGGCACCCAAGGACCCTTTCCAGTAGCCACAGCGATTTTGGGATTCCTATCAGTATTCAAGAGGAGTCAGGCATCGTCACCTTTTGAAGCAATGAACTCCGCGTGCCTCTCGCGGTCTCAGCGGGATGTGAGGCGTTCCGTCAAAATGAGGCAGGGATCTAGGGCTTTCACTAAGGTCTCCACAGGGGATTGAGACATCCCTTCATGTTGTGAGACGAAAGACGAGCCTGTATTCAAGCCACTGTAAGGATATCCGGCCTCCTTTCATGTTAGGGTTTCTCGCTGTATATTCCCCTTGAGGCAGCAAACACGGGGTCCCTCCCACATACCTATTGCTGAGAGAAGCCTCCTCCTGAGGTGCTTCTGGAAAGTTGGCATATGTCTTGAGCCTAAGCTAGGCAATCAGCTCTCATCTCGAGACGATTTGGGGTACACGGAGCATTCCTCGAGTTGCTGTGCTGAAGTTGGTGTTCCTCTAGACTTGGGAGAGTGTGCTCGAGGCATCTCTGGAGTTGCTTGAAGGAAGTCGAGCCATCGGTCGTGTTGAATGGGGAAATTGGAATGGCTCTGGAGTCAATGCAGGGGAATCGGGCCTCATCTCGAGTTGATTTGGGGCACATGGAGCTGCTTTGCGTTGCTGGGGTGACCTCAGGTCCGTCTAGACTCGTGACAGTGTTCTTGGGGACTGTCTCGAGATCCATTAAGCAAGTCGAAGCTCCTGACTTGTTTGAATGGGATCACGGAATAGCTCTGCATGCACTGCAGGGGAATGGGGCCACATCTCGCCTCTAGGGGGAAGTCTCATGGTTTTTCTCGAGTTGCGGCGGGGACCTGGGTTATGTTCTCGACTTACGGCGGGGAAGGCCCTTCAAAACACAAGTTTCTTCAGTGACGTCAGGACTCCTGTCTAGTAACGAGGGACACCTCAGGAAAGTTTTCGAGCCTTGGCCGGGCAAAAGGGACGCTTCTCGAGGTGAGCCAGGGCACCCAAGGACACTTTCCAGTAGCCACAGGGATTTTGGAATTCCTATCAGTATTCAAGATGAGTCAGGCAGCGTCACCTTTTGAAGCATTGAACTCCGCGTGCCTCTCGACGTGTCAGCGGGATGTGAGGCATTCCGTCAAAATGAGGCAGGGACCTAGGGCTTTCTCTAAGTTCTCCATAGGGGATTCAGACATCCCTTCATGTTGTGAGATGAAAGACGAGCCTGTATTCAAGCCACTGCAAGGAAATCCGGCCTCCTTTCAAGTTAGGGCTTCTCGCTGTATATTCCCCTTGAGGCAGCACACTCGGGGTCCCTCCCACATACCTATTGCTGAGAGAAGCCTCCTCCTGAGGTGCTTCTGGGAAGTTGGCATACGTCTTGAGGTTAAGCCAGGAATCAGCTCTCATCTCGAGACGATTTGGGGTACACGGAGCATTCCTCGAGTTGCTGTGCTGAAGTTGGTGTTCCTCTAGAATTGGGACAGTGTTCTCGGGGCATCTCTGGAGTTGCCTGAAGGAAGTCGAGCCACCGGTCGTGTTGAATGGGGAACGGGGAATGGCTCTGGAGTCAATGCAGGGGAATCGGGCCTCATCTCGAGTTGATTTGGGGCACATGGAGCTGCTTTGCATTTCTGGGGTGACCTCAGGGTCCGTCTAGACTGGTGACAGTGTTCTTGGGCACTGTCTCGAGATCCATTAAGCAAGTCGAAGCTCCTGACTTGTTTGAATGGGATCACGGAATAGCTCTGCATGCACTGCAGGGGAATGGGGCCTCATCTCGCCTCTAGGGGGAAGTCTCATGGTTTTTCTCGAGTTGCGGCGGGGATGGCCCTTCAAAACACGAGTTTCTTCAGTGACGTCAGGACTCCTGTCTAGTAACGAGGGACACCTCAGGAATCGCTTTGAGGCTTGGCAGGGCAAAAGGGACGCTTCTCGAGGTGAGGCAGGGCACCCAAGGACCCTTTCCAGTAGCCACAGGGATTTTGGGATTCCTATCAGTATTCAAGAAGAGTCAGGCATCGTCACCTTTTGAAGCAATGAACTCCGCGTGCCTCTCGTGGTGTCAGCTGGATGTGAGGCATTCCGTCAAAATGAGGCAGGGACTTAGGGCTTTCTCTAAGGTCTGAACAGGGGATTCAGACATCCCTTCATGTTGTGAGATGAAAGACGAGCCTGTATTCAAGCCACTGCAAGGAAATCCGGCCTCCTTTCAAGTTAGGGCTTCTCGCTGTATATTCCCCTTGAGGCAGCAAACTCGGGGTCCCTCCCACATACCTATTGCTGAGAGAAGCCTCATCCTGAGGTGCTTCTGGAAAGTTGGCATACGTCTTGAGCCTAAGCCAGGGAATCAGCTCTCATCTCGAGACGATTTGGGGTACACGGAGCATTCCTCGAGTTGCTGTGCTGAAGTTGGTGTTCCTCTAGACTTGGGACAGTGTTCTCGGGGCATCTCTGGAGTTGCCTGAAGGAAGTCGAGCCACCGGTCGTGTTGAATGGGGAACGGGGAATGGCTCTGGAGTCAATGCAGGGGAATCGGGCCTCATCTCGAGTTGATTTGGGGCACATGGAGCTGCTTTGCGTTGCTGGGGTGACCTCAGGGTCCGTCTAGACTGGTGACAGTGTTCCTGGGGACTGTCTCGAGATCCATTAAGCAAGTCGAAGCTCCTGACTTGTTTGAATGGGATCACAGAATAGCTCTGCATGCACTGCAGGGGAATGGGGCCTCATCTCGCCTCTAGGGGGAAGTCTCATGGTTTTTCTCGAGTTGCGGCGGGGACCTGGGGTATGTTCTCGACTTACGGCGGGGATGGCCCTTCAAAACTCGAGTTTCTTCAGTGACGTCAGGACTCCTGTCTAGTAACGAGGGACACCTCAGGAATCTCTTCGAGGCTTGGCAGGGCAAAAGGGACGCTTCTCGATGTGAGGCAGGGCACCCAAGGAACCTTTCCAGTAGCCACAGGGATTTTGGGATTCCTATCAGTATACAAGAGGAGTCAGGCATCGTCCCCTTTTTAAGCAATGAACTCCGCGTGCCTCTCGACGTGTCAGCTGGATGTGAGGCATTCCGTCAAAATGAGGCAGGGACCTAGGGCTTTCTCTAAGGTCTCCACAGGGGATTCAGACATCCCTTCATGTTGTGAGATGAAAGACGAGCCTGTATTCAAGCCACTGCTAGGAAATCCGGCCTCCTTTCAAGTTAGGGCTTCTCGCTGTATATTCCCCTTGAGGCAGCAAGCTCGGGGTCCCTCCCACATACCTATGGCTGAGAGAAGCCTCCTCCTGAGGTGCTTCTGGAAAGATGGCATACGTCTTGAGCCTAAGCCATGGAATCTGCTTTCATCTCGATACGATTTCGGGTACACGGAGCATTCCTCGAGTTGCTGTGCTGAAGTTGGTGTTCCTCTAGACTTGGGACAGTGTTCTCGGGGCATCTCTGGAGTTGCCTGAAGGAAGTCGAGCCACCGGTCGTGTTGAATGGGGAACGGGGAATGGCTCTGGAGTCAATGCAGAGGAATCGGGCCTCATCTCGAGTTGATTTGGGGCACATGGGGCTGCTTTGCGTTGCTGGGGTGACCTCAGGGTCCCTCTAGACTGGTGACAGTGTCCCTGGGGACTCTCTCGAGATCCATTAAGCAAGTCGAAGCTCCTGACTTGTTTCAATGGGATCACGGAATATCTCTGCATGCACTGCAGGGGAATGGGGCCTCATCTCGCCTCTAGGCGGAAGTCTCATTGTTTTTCTCGAGTTAGGGCGGGGACCTGGGGTATGTTCTCGACTTACGGCGGGGATGGCCCTTCAAAACACGAGTTTCTTCAGTGACGTCAGGACTCTTGTCTAGTAACGAGGGACACGTCAGGAATCTCTTCGAGGCTTGGCAGGGCAAAAGGGACGCTTCTCGAGGTGAGGCAGGGCACCCAAGGACCCTTTCCAGTAGCCACAGCGATTTGGGGATTCCTATCAGTATTCAAGAGGAGTCAGGCATTGTCACCTTTTGAAGCAATGAACTCCGCGTGCCTCTCGCGGTCTCTGCGGGATGTGAGGCGTTCCGTCAAAATGAGGCAGGGATCTAGGGCTTTCTCTAAGGTCTCCACAGGGGATTGAGACATCCCTTCATGTTGTGAGATGAAAGACGAGCCTGTATTCAAGCCACTGCAAGGATATCCGGCCTCCTTTCATGTTAGGGCTTCTCGCTGTATATTCCCCCTGAGGCAACAAACACGGGGTCCCTCCCACATACCTATTGCTGAGAGAAGCCTCCTCCTGAGGTGCTTCTGGAAAGTAGGCATACGTCTTGAGCCTAAGCTAGGCAATCAGCTCTCATCTCGAGACGATTTGGGGTACACGGAGCATTCCTCGGGTTGCTGTGCTGAAGTTGGTGTTCCTCTAGACTTGGGACAGTGTTCTCGGGGCATCTCTGGAGTTGCCTGAAGGAAGTCGAGCCACCGTTCGTGTTGAATGGGGAACGGGGAATGGCTCTGGAGTCAATGCAGGGGAATCGGCCCTCATCTCGAGTTGATTTGGGGCACATTGGAGCTGCTTTGCATTGCTGGGGTGACCTCAGGGTCCATCTGGACTGGTGACAGTGTTCTTGGGGACTGTCTCGAGATCCATTAAGCAAGTCGAAGCTCCTGACTTGTTTGAATGGGATCACGGAATAGCTCTGCATGCACTGCAGGGGAATGGGGCGTCATCTCGCCTCTAGGGGGAAGTCTCATGGTTTTTCTCGAGTTGCGGCGGGGACCTGGGGTATGTTCTCGACTTACGGCAGGGATGGCCCTTCAAAACACGAGTTTCGTCAATGACGTCAGGACTCCTGTCTAGTAACGTGGGACACCTCAGAAATCTCTTCCAGGCTTGGCCGGGCAAAAGGGACGCTTCTCGATGTGAGGCATGGCACCCAAGGACCCTTTCCAGTAGCCACAGGGATTTTGGGATTCCTATCAGTATACAAGAGGAGTCAGGCATCTTCCGCTTTTGAAGCAATGAACTCCGCGTGCCTCTCGAGGTGTCAGCGGGATGTGAGGCATTCCGTCAAAATGAGGCAGGGACCTAGGGCTTTCTCTAAGGTCTCCACAGGGGATTCAGACATCCCTTCATTCTGTGAGATGAAAGACGAGCCTGTATTCAAGCCACTGCAAGGAAATCCGGCCTCATTTCAAGTTAGGGCTTCTCGCTGTATATTCCCCTTGAGGCAGCAAACTCGGGGTCCCTCCCACATACCTATTGCTGAGAGAAGCCTCCTCCTGAGGTGCTTCTGGAAAGTTGGCATACGTCTTGAGCCTAAGCTAGGCAATCAGCTCTCATCTCGAGACGATTTGGGGTACACGGAGCATTCCTCGAGTTGCTGTGCTGAAGTTGGTGTTCCTCTAGACTTGGGACAGTGTTCTCGGGGCATCTCTGGAGTTGCCTGAAGGAAGTCGAGCCACCGTTCGTGTTGAATGGGGAACGGGGAATGGCTCTGGAGTCAATGCAGGGGAATCGGGCCTCATCTCGAGTTGATTTGGGGCACATGGAGCTGCTTTGCGTTGCTGGGGTGACCTCAGGGTCCGTCTAGACTGGTGACAGTGTTCCTGGGGACTGTCTCGAGATCCATTAAGCAAGTCGAAGCTCCTGACTTGTTTGAATGGGATCACGCAATAGCTCTGCATGCACTGCAGGGGAATTGGGCCTCATCTCGCCTCTAGGGGGAAGTCTCATGGTTTTTCTCGAGTTGCGGCGGGGACCTGGGGTATGTTTCCGACTTACTGCGGGGATGGCCCTTCAAAACACGAGTTTCTTCAGTGACGTCAGGACTCCTGTCTGGTAACGAGGGACACCTCAGGAATCTCTTCGAGGCTTGGCAGGGCAAAAGGGACGCTTCTCGAGGTGAGGCAGGGCACCCAAGGACCCTTTCCAGTAGCCACCGGGATTTTGGGATTCCTATCAGTATTCAAGAGGAGTCAGGCATCGTCACCTTTTGAAGCAATGAACTCCGCGTGCCTCTCGAGGTGTCAGCGGGATGTGAGGCATTCCGTCAAAATGAGGCAGGGACCTAGGGCTTTCTCTAAGGTCTCCATAGGGGATTCAGACATCCCTTCATGTTGTGAGATGAAAGACGAGCCTGTATTCAAGCCACTGCAAGGAAATCCGGCCTCCTTTCAAGTTAGGGCTTCTCGCTGTATATTCCCCTTGAGGCAGCACACTCGGGGTCCCTCCCACATACCTATTGCTGAGAGAAGCCTCCTCCTGAGGTGCTTCTGGGAAGTTGGCATACGTCTTGAGGTTAAGCCAGGAATCAGCTCTCATCTCGAGACGATTTGGGGTACACGGAGCATTCCTCGAGTTGCTGTGCTGAAGTTGGTGTTCCTCTAGAATTGGGACAGTGTTCTCGGGGCATCTCTGGAGTTGCCTGAAGGAAGTCGAGCCACCGGTCGTGTTGAATGGGGAACGGGGAATGGCTCTGGAGTCAATGCAGGGGAATCGGGCCTCATCTCGAGTTGATTTGGGGCACATGGAGCTGCTTTGCATTTCTGGGGTGACCTCAGGGTCCGTCTAGACTGGTGACAGTGTTCTTGGGCACTGTCTCGAGATCCATTAAGCAAGTCGAAGCTCCTGACTTGTTTGAATGGGATCACGGAATAGCTCTGCATGCACTGCAGGGGAATGGGGCCTCATCTCGCCTCTAGGGGGAAGTCTCATGGTTTTTCTCGAGTTACGGCGGGGACCTGGGGTATGTTCTCGACTTACGCCGGGGATGGCCCTTCAAAACACGAGTTTCTTCAGTGACGTCAGGACTCCTGTCTAGTAACGAGGGAAAACTCAGGAATCGCTTTGAGGCTTGGCAGGGCAAAAGGGACGCTTCTCGAGGTGAGGCAGGGCACCCAAGGACCCTTTCCAGTAGCCACAGGGATTTTGGGATTCCTATCAGTATTCAAGAGGAGTCAGGCATCGTCACCTTTTGAAGCAATGAACTCCGCGTGCCTCTCGTGGTGTCAGCGGGATGTGAGGCATTCCGTCAAAATGAGGCAGGGACCTAGGGCTTTCTCTAAAGTCTCCACAGGGGATTCAGACATCCATTCATGTTGTGAGATGAAAGACGAGCCTGTATTCAAGCCACTGCAAGGAAATCCGGCCTCCTTTCAAGTTAGGGCTTCTCGCTGTATATTCCCCTTGAGGCAGCACACTCGGGGTCCCTCCCACATACCTATTGCTGAGAGAAGCCTCCTCCTGAGGTGCTTCTGGGAAGTTGGCATAGGTCTTGAGCCTAAGCCAGGGAATCAGCTCTCATCTCGAGACGATTTGGAGTACATGGAGCATTCCTCGAGTTGCTATGCTGAATTTCGTGTTCCTCTAGACTTGGGACAGTGTTCTCGGGGCATCTCTGGAGTTGCCTGAAGGAAGTCGAGCCACCGGTCGTGTTGAATGGGGAACGGGGAATGGTTCTGGAGTCAATTCAGGGGAATCGGGCCTCATCTCGAGTTGATTTGGGGCACATGGAGCTGATTTGCGTTGCTGGGGTGACCTCAGGGTCCGTCTAGACTGGTGACAGTGTTCCTGGGGACTGTCTCGAGATCCATTAAGCAAGTCAAAGCTCCTTACTTGTTTGAATGGGATCACGGAATACCTCTGCATGCACTGCAGGGGAATGGGGCCTCATCTCGCCTCTAGGGGGAAGTCTCATGGTTTTTCTCGAGTTGCGGCGGGGACCTGGGGTATGTTTCCGACTGACTGCGGGGATGGCCCTTCAAAACACGAGTTTCTTCAGTGACGTCAGGACTCCTGTCTGGTATCGAGGGACACCTCAGGAATCTCTTCGAGGCTTGGCAGGGCAAAAGGGACACCTCTCGAGGTGAGGCAGTGCACCCAAGGACCATTTCCAGTAGCCACCGGGATTTTGGGATTCCTATCAGTATTCAAGAGGAGTCAGGAATCGTCACCTTTTGAAGCAATGAACTCCGCGTGCCTCTCGAGGTGTCAGCGGGATGTGAGGCATTCCGTCAAAATGAGGCAGGGACCTAGGGCTTTCTCTAAGGTCCTCACAGGGGATTCAGACATTCCTTCATGTTGTGAGATGAAAGACGAGCCTGTATTCAAGCCACTGCAAGGAAATCCGGCCTCCTTTCAAGTTAGGGCTTCTCGCTGTATATTCCCCTTGAGGCAGCAAACTCGGGGTCCCTCCCACATACCTATTGCTGAGAGAAGCCTCCTCCTGAGGTGCTTCTGGAAAGTTGGCATACGTCTTGAGCCTAAGCCAGGGAATCAGCTCTCATCTTGAGACGATTTGGGGTACACGGAGCATTCCTCGAGTTGCTGTGCTGAAGTTGGTGTTCCTCTAGACTTGGGAGAGTGTGCTCGAGGCATCTCTGGAGTTGCTTGAAGGAAGTCGAGCCATCGGTCGTGTTGAATGGGGAAATTGGAATGGCTCTGGAGTCAATGCAGGGGAATCGGGCCTCATCTCGAGTTGATTTGGGGCACATGGAGCTGCTTTGCGTTGCTGGGGTGACCTCAGGTCCGTCTAGACTCGTGACAGTGTTCTTGGGGACTGTCTCGAGATCCATTAAGCAAGTCGAAGCTCCTGACTTGTTTGAATGGGATCACGGAATAGCTCTGCATGCACTGCAGGGGAATGGGGCCACATCTCGCCTCTAGGGGGAAGTCTCATGGTTTTTCTCGAGTTGCGGCGGGGACCTGGGTTATGTTCTCGACTTACGGCGGGGAAGGCCCTTCAAAACACAAGTTTCTTCAGTGACGTCAGGACTCCTGTCTGGTAACGAGGGACACCTCAGGAAAGTTTTCGAGCCTTGGCCGGGCAAAAGGGACGCTTCTCGACGTGAGCCAGGGCACCCAAGGACACTTTCCAGTAGCCACAGGGATTTTGGAATTCCTATCAGTATTCAAGATGAGTCAGGCAGCGTCACCTTTTGAAGCATTGAACTCCGCGTGCCTCTCGACGTGTCAGCGGGATGTGAGGCATTCCGTCAAAATGAGGCAGGGACCTAGGGCTTTCTCTAAGTTCTCCATAGGGGATTCAGACATCCCTTCATGTTGTGAGATGAAAGACGAGCCTGTATTCAAGCCACTGCAAGGAAATCCGGCCTCCTTTCAAGTTAGGGCTTCTCGCTGTATATTCCCCTTGAGGCAGCACACTCGGGGTCCCTCCCACATACCTATTGCTGAGAGAAGCCTCCTCCTGAGGTGCTTCTGGGAAGTTGGCATACGTCTTGAGGTTAAGCCAGGAATCAGCTCTCATCTCGAGACGATTTGGGGTACACGGAGCATTCCTCGAGTTGCTGTGCTGAAGTTGGTGTTCCTCTAGAATTGGGACAGTGTTCTCGGGGCATCTCTGGAGTTGCCTGAAGGAAGTCGAGCCACCGGTCGTGTTGAATGGGGAACGGGGAATGGCTCTGGAGTCAATGCAGGGGAATCGGGCCTCATCTCGAGTTGATTTGGGGCACATGGAGCTGCTTTGCATTTCTGGGGTGACCTCAGGGTCCGTCTAGACTGGTGACAGTGTTCTTGGGCACTGTCTCGAGATCCATTAAGCAAGTCGAAGCTCCTGACTTGTTTGAATGGGATCATGGAATAGCTCTGCAAGCACTGCAGGGGAATGGGGCCTCATCTCGCCTCTAGGGGGAAGTCTCATGGTTTTTCTCGAGTTGCGGCGGGGATGGCCCTTCAAAACACGAGTTTCTTCAGTGACGTCAGGACTCCTGTCTAGTAACGAGGGACACCTCAGGAATCGCTTTGAGGCTTGGCAGGGCAAAAGGGACGCTTCTCGAGGTGAGGCAGGGCACCCAAGGACCCTTTCCAGTAGCCACAGGGATTTTGGGATTCCTATCAGTATTCAAGAAGAGTCAGGCATCGTCACCTTTTGAAGCAATGAACTCCGCGTGCCTCTCGTGGTGTCAGCGGGATGTGAGGCATTCCGTCAAAATGAGGCAGGGACTTAGGGCTTTCTCTAAGGTCTGAACAGGGGATTCAGACATCCCTTCATGTTGTGAGATGAAAGACGAGCCTGTATTCAAGCCACTGCAAGGAAATCCGGCCTCCTTTCAAGTTAGGGCTTCTCGCTGTATATTCCCCTTGAGGCAGCAAACTCGGGGTCCCTCCCACATACCTATTGCTGAGAGAAGCCTCATCCTGAGGTGCTTCTGGAAAGTTGGCATACGTCTTGAGCCTAAGCCAGGGAATCAGCTCTCATCTCGAGACGATTTGGGGTACACGGAGCATTCCTCGAGTTGCTGTGCTGAAGTTGGTGTTCCTCTAGACTTGGGACAGTGTTCTCGGGGCATCTCTGGAGTTGCCTGAAGGAAGTCGAGCCACCGGTCGTGTTGAATGGGGAACGGGGAATGGCTCTGGAGTCAATGCAGGGGAATCGGGCCTCATCTCGAGTTGATTTGGGGCACATGGAGCTGCTTTGCGTTGCTGGGGTGACCTCAGGGTCCGTCTAGACTGGTGACAGTGTTCCTGGGGACTGTCTCGAGATCCATTAAGCAAGTCGAAGCTCCTGACTTGTTTGAATGGGATCACAGAATAGCTCTGCATGCACTGCAGGGGAATGGGGCCTCATCTCGCCTCTAGGGGGAAGTCTCATGGTTCTTCTCGAGTTGCGGCGGGGACCTGGGGTATGTTCTCGACTTACGGCGGGGATGGCCCTTCAAAACACGAGTTTCTTCAGTGACGTCAGGACTCCTGTCTAGTAACGAGGGACACCTCAGGAATCTCTTCGAGGCTTGGCAGGGCAAAAGGGACGCTTCTCGATGTGAGGCAGGGCACCCAAGGAACCTTTCCAGTAGCCACAGGGATTTTGGGATTCCTATCAGTATACAAGAGGAGTCAGGCATCGTCCCCTTTTTAAGCAATGAACTCCGCGTGCCTCTCGACGTGTCAGCTGGATGTGAGGCATTCCGTCAAAATGAGGCAGGGACCTAGGGCTTTCTCTAAGGTCTCCACAGGGGATTCAGACATCCCTTCATGTTGTGAGATGAAAGACGAGCCTGTATTCAAGCCACTGCTAGGAAATCCGGCCTCCTTTCAAGTTAGGGCTTCTCGCTGTATATTCCCCTTGAGGCAGCAAGCTCGGGGTCCCTCCCACATACCTATGGCTGAGAGAAGCCTCCTCCTGAGGTGCTTCTGGAAAGATGGCATACGTCTTGAGCCTAAGCCATGGAATCTGCTTTCATCTCGATACGATTTCGGGTACACGGAGCATTCCTCGAGTTGCTGTGCTGAAGTTGGTGTTCCTCTAGACTTGGGACAGTGTTCTCGGGGCATCTCTGGAGTTGCCTGAAGGAAGTCGAGCCACCGGTCGTGTTGAATGGGGAACGGGGAATGGCTCTGGAGTCAATGCAGAGGAATCGGGCCTCATCTCGAGTTGATTTGGGGCACATGGGGCTGCTTTGCGTTGCTGGGGTGACCTCAGGGTCCCTCTAGACTGGTGACAGTGTCCCTGGGGACTCTCTCGAGATCCATTAAGCAAGTCGAAGCTCCTGACTTGTTTCAATGGGATCACGGAATATCTCTGCATGCACTGCAGGGGAATGGGGCCTCATCTCGCCTCTAGGCGGAAGTCTCACTGTTTTTCTCGAGTTAGGGCGGGGACCTGGGGTATGTTCTCGACTTACGGCGGGGATGGCCCTTCAAAACACGAGTTTCTTCAGTGACGTCAGGACTCTTGTCTAGTAACGAGGGACACGTCAGGAATCTCTTCGAGGCTTGGCAGGGCAAAAGGGACGCTTCTCGAGGTGAGGCAGGGCACCCAAGGACCCTTTCCAGTAGCCACAGCGATTTGGGGATTCCTATCAGTATTCAAGAGGAGTCAGGCATTGTCACCTTTTGAAGCAATGAACTCCGCGTGCCTCTCGCGGTCTCAGCGGGATGTGAGGCGTTCCGTCAAAATGAGGCAGGGATCTAGGGCTTTCTCTAAGGTCTCCACAGGGGATTGAGACATCCCTTCATGTTGTGAGATGAAAGACGAGCCTGTATTCAAGCCACTGCAAGGATATCCGGCCTCCTTTCATGTTAGGGCTTCTCGCTGTATATTCCCCCTGAGGCAACAAACACGGGGTCCCTCCCACATACCTATTGCTGAGAGAAGCCTCCTCCTGAGGTGCTTCTGGAAAGTAGGCATACGTCTTGAGCCTAAGCTAGGCAATCAGCTCTCATCTCGAGACGATTTGGGGTACACGGAGCATTCCTCGGGTTGCTGTGCTGAAGTTGGTGTTCCTCTAGACTTGGGACAGTGTTCTCGGGGCATCTCTGGAGTTGCCTGAAGGAAGTCGAGCCACCGTTCGTGTTGAATGGGGAACGGGGAATGGCTCTGGAGTCAATGCAGGGGAATCGGCCCTCATCTCGAGTTGATTTGGGGCACATTGGAGCTGCTTTGCATTGCTGGGGTGACCTCAGGGTCCATCTGGACTGGTGACAGTGTTCTTGGGGACTGTCTCGAGATCCATTAAGCAAGTCGAAGCTCCTGACTTGTTTGAATGGGATCACGGAATAGCTCTGCATGCACTGCAGGGGAATGGGGCGTCATCTCGCCTCTAGGGGGAAGTCTCATGGTTTTTCTCGAGTTGCGGCGGGGACCTGGGGTATGTTCTCGACTTACGGCAGGGATGGCCCTTCAAAACACGAGTTTCGTCAATGACGTCAGGACTCCTGTCTAGTAACGTGGGACACCTCAGAAATCTCTTCCAGGCTTGGCCGGGCAAAAGGGACGCTTCTCGATGTGAGGCAGGGCACCCAAGGACCCTTTCCAGTAGCCACAGGGATTTTGGGATTCCTATCAGTATACAAGAGGAGTCAGGCATCTTCCGCTTTTGAAGCAATGAACTCCGCGTGCCTCTCGAGGTGTCAGCGGGATGTGAGGCATTCCGTCAAAATGAGGCAGGGACCTAGGGCTTTCTCTAAGGTCTCCACAGGGGATTCAGACATCCCTTCATTCTGTGAGATGAAAGACGAGCCTGTATTCAAGCCACTGCAAGGAAATCCGGCCTCATTTCAAGTTAGGGCTTCTCGCTGTATATTCCCCTTGAGGCAGCAAACTCGGGGTCCCTCCCACATACCTATGTCGGAGAGAAGCCTCATCCTGAGGTGCTTCTGGAAAGTTGGCATACGTCTTGAGCCTAAGCCAGGGAATCAGCTCTCATCTCGAGACGATTTGGGGTGCACGGAGCATTTCTCGAGTTGCTGTGCTGAATTTGGTGTTCCTCTAGACTTGGGACAGTGTTCCCGGGGCATCTCTGGAGTTGCCTGAAGGAAGTCGATTCACCGGTCGTGTTGAATGGGGAACGGGGAATGGCTCTGGAGTCAATGCAGGGGAATCGGGCTTCATCTCGAGTTGATTTGGGGCACATGGAGCTGCTTTGCGTTGCTGAGGTGACCTCAGGTTCCGTCTAGACTGGTGACAGTGTTCTTGGGGACTGTCTCGAGATCCATTAAGCAAGTCGAAGCTCCTGACTTGTTTGAATGGGATCACGGAATAGCTCTGCATGCACTGCAGGGGAATGGGGCCTCATCTCGCCTCTAGGGGGAAGTCTCATGGTTTTTCTCGAGTTGCGTCGGGGACCTGGGGTATGTTCTCGACTTACGGCGGGGATGGCCCTTCAAAACACGAGTTTCTTCAGTACGTCAGGACTCCTGTCTAGTAACGAGGGACACCTCAGGAATGTCTTCGAGGCTTGGCAGGGCAAAAGGGACGCTTCTCGAGGTGAGGCAGGGCACCCAAGTACCCTTTCCAGTAGCCACAGGGATTTTGGGATTCCTATCAGTATTCAAGAAGAGTCAGGCATCGTCACCTTTTGAAGCAATGAACTCCGCGTGCCTCTCGAGGTGTCAGCGGGATGTGAGGCGTTCCTTCAAAATGAGGCAGGGACCTAGGGCTTTCTCTAAGGTGTCCACAGGGGATTCAGACATCCCTTCATGTTGTGAGATGAAAGACGAGCCTGTATTCAAGCCACTGCAATTAAATCCGGCCTCCTTTCAAGTTAGGGCTTCTCGCTGTATATTCCTCTTGAGGCAGCAAACTCGGGGTCCCTCCCACATACCTATTGCTGAGAGAAGCCTCCTCCTGAGGTGCTTCTGGAAAGTTGGCATACGTCTTGAGCCTAAGCCAGGGAATCAGCTCTCATCTCGAGACGATTTGGGGTACACGGAGCATTCCTCGAGTTGCTGTGCTGAAGTTGGTGTTCCTCTAGACTTGGGACAGTATTCTCGGGGCATCTCTGGAGTTGCCTGAAGGAAGTCGAGCCACCGGTCGTGTTGAATGGGGAACGGGGAATGGCTCTGGAGTCAATGCAGGGGAATCGGGCCTCATCTCGAGTGGATTTTAGGCACATGGAGCTGCTTTGCGTTGCTGGGGTGACCTCAGGGTCCGTCTAGACTGGTGACAGTGTTCTTGGGGACTGTCTCGAGATCCATTAAGCAAGTCGAAGCTCCTGACTTGTTTGAATGGGATCACGGAATAGATCTGCATGCACTGCAGGGGAATGGGGCCTCATCTCGCCTCTAGGGGGAAGTCTCATGGTTTTTCTCGAGTTGCGTCGGGGACCTGGGGTATGTTCTCGACTTACGGCGGGGATGGCCCTTCAAAACACGAGTTTCTTCAGTACGTCAGGACTCCTGTCTAGTAACGAGGGACACCTCAGGAATATCTTCGAGGCTTGGCAGGGCAAAAGGGACGCTTCTCGAGGTGAGGCAGGGCACCCAAGGACCCTTTCCAGTAGCCACAGGGATTTTGGGATTCCTATCAGTATTCAAGAAGAGTCAGGCATCGTCACCTTTTGAAGCAATGAACTCCGCGTGCCTCTCGAGGTGTCAGCGGGATGTGAGGCGTTCCTTCAAAATGAGGCAGGGACCTAGGGCTTTCTCTAAGGTGTCCACAGGGGATTCAGACATCCCTTCATGTTGTGAGATGAAAGACGAGCCTGTATTCAAGCCACTGCAATTAAATCCGGCCTCCTTTCAAGTTAGGGCTTCTCGCTGTATATTCCTCTTGAGGCAGCAAACTCGGGGTCCCTCCCACATACCTATTGCTGAGAGAATCCTCCTCCTGAGGTGCTTCTGGAAAGTTGGCATACGTCTTGAGCCTAAGCCAGGGAATCAGCTCTCATCTCGAGACGATTTGGGGTACACGGAGCATTCCTCGAGTTGCTGTGCTGAAGTTGGTGTTCCTCTAGACTTGGGACAGTATTCTCGGGGCATCTCTGGAGTTGCCTGAAGGAAGTCGAGCCACCGGTCGTGTTGAATGGGGAACGGGGAATGGCTCTGGAGTCAATGCAGGGGAATCGGGCCTCATCTCGAGTGGATTTTAGGCACATGGAGCTGCTTTGCGTTGCTGGGGTGACCTCAGGGTCCGTCTAGACTGGTGACAGTGTTCTTGGGGACTGTCTCGAGATCCATTAAGCAAGTCGAAGCTCCTGACTTGTTTGAATGGGATCACGGAATAGATCTGCATGCACTGCAGGGGAATGGGGCCTCATCTCGCCTCTAGGGGGAAGTCTCATGGTTTTTCTCGAGTTGCGGCGGGGACCTGGGGTATGTTCTCGACTTACGGCGGGGATGGCCCTTCAAAACACGAGTTTCTTCAGTGACGTCAGGACTCCTGTCTAGTAACGAGGGACACCTCAGGAATGTCTTCGAGGCTTGGCAGGGCAAAAGGGACGCTTCTCGAGATGAGGCAGGGCACCCAAGGACCCTTTCCAGTAGCCTCAGGGATTTTGGGATTCCTATCAGTATTCAAGAGGAGTCAGGCATCGTCACCTTTTGAAGCAATGAACTCCGCGTGCCTCTCGAGGTGTCAGCGGGATGTGAGGCGTTCCGTCAAAATGAGGCAGGGAACTAGGGCTTTCTCTAAGGTGTCCACAGGGGATTCAGACATCCCTTCATGTTGTGAGATGAAAGACGAGCCTGTATTCAAGCCACTGCAAGGAAATCCGGCCTCCTTTCAAGTTAGGGCTTCTCGCTGTATATTCCCCTTGAGGCAGCAAATTCGGGGTCCCTCCCACATACCTATTGCTGAGAGAAGCCTCCTCCTGAGGTGCTTCTGGAAAGTTGGCATACGTCTTGAGCCTAAGCCAGGGTATCAGCTCTCATCTAGAGACGATTTGGGGTACACGGAGCATTCCTCGATTTGCTGTGCTGAAGTTGGTGTTCCTCTAGACTTGGGACAGTGTTCTCGGGGCATCTCTAGAGTTGCCTGAAGGAAGTCGAGCCACCTGTCGTGTTGAATGGGGAACGGGGAATGGCTCTGGAGTCAATGCAGGGGAATCGGGCCTCATCTCGAGTTGATTTGGGGCACATGGAGCTGCTTTGCGTTGCTGGGGTGACCTCAGGGTCCGTCTAGACTGGTGACAGTGTTCTTGGGGACTGTCTCGAGATCCATTAAGCAAGTCGAAGCTCCTGACTTGTTTGAATGGGATCACGGAATAGCTCTGCATGCACTGCAGGGGAATGGGGCCTCATCTCGCCTCTAGGGGGAAGTCTCATGGTTTTTCTCGAGTTGCGGCGGGGACCTGGGGTATGTTCTCGACTTACGGCGGGGATGGCCCTTCAAAACACGAGTTTCTTCAGTGACGTCAGGACTCCTGTCTAGTAACGAGGGACACCTGAGGAATGTCTTCGAGGCTTGGCAGGGCAAAAGGGACGCTTCTCGAGGTGAGGCAGGGCACCCAAGGACCCTTTCCAGTAGCCACAGCGATTTTGGGATTCCTATCAGTATTTACGAGGAGTCAGGCTTCGTCACATTTTGAAGCATTGAACTCCGCGTGCCTCTCGAGGTGTCAGAGGGATATGAGGCATTCCGTCGAAATGAGGCAGGCACCTAGGGCTTTCTCTAAAGTCTCCACAGGGGATTCAGACATCCCTTCATGTTGTGAGATTAAAGATGAGCCTGTATTCAAGCCACTGCAAGGAAAGCCGGCCTCCTTTCAAGTTAGGGCTTCTCGCTGTATATTCCCATTGAGGCAGCAAACTCGGGGTCCCTCCCACATACCTATTGCTGAGAGAAGCCTCCTCCTGAGGTGCTTCTGGGAAGTTGGCATAGGTCTTGATCCTAAGCCAGGGAATCAGCTCTCATCTCGAGACGATTTGGAGTACACGGAGCATTCCTCGAGTTGCTGTGCTGAATTTCGTGTTCCTCTAGACTTGGGACAGTATTCTCGGGGCATCTCTGGAGTTGCCTGAAGGAAGTCGAGCCACCGGTCGTGTTGAATGGGGAACGGGGAATGGCTCTGGAGTCAATGCAGGGGAATCGGGCCTCATCTCGAGTGGATTTTAGGCACATGGAGCTGCTTTGCGTTGCTGGGGTGACCTCAGGGTCCGTCTAGACTGGTGACAGTGTTCTTGGGGACTGTCTCGAGATCCATTAAGCAAGTCGAAGCTCCTGACTTGTTTGAATGGGATCACGGAATAGATCTGCATGCACTGCAGGGGAATGGGGCCTCATCTCGCCTCTAGGGGGAAGTCTCATGGTTTTTCTCGAGTTGCGGCGGGGACCTGGGGTATGTTCTCGACTTACGGCGGGGATGGCCCTTCAAAACACGAGTTTCTTCAGTGACGTCAGGACTCCTGTCTAGTAACGAGGGACACCTGAGGAATGTCTTCGAGGCTTGGCAGGGCAAAAGGGACGCTTCTCGAGGTGAGGCAGGGCACCCAAGGACCCTTTCCAGTAGCCACAGCGATTTTGGGATTCCTATCAGTATTTACGAGGAGTCAGGCTTCGTCACATTTTGAAGCATTGAACTCCGCGTGCCTCTCGAGGTGTCAGAGGGATATGAGGCATTCCGTCGAAATGAGGCAGGCACCTAGGGCTTTCTCTAAAGTCTCCACAGGGGATTCAGACATCCCTTCATGTTGTGAGATTAAAGATGAGCCTGTATTCAAGCCACTGCAAGGAAAGCCGGCCTCCTTTCAAGTTAGGGCTTCTCGCTGTATATTCCCATTGAGGCAGCAAACTCGGGGTCCCTCCCACATACCTATTGCTGAGAGAAGCCTCCTCCTGAGGTGCTTCTGGGAAGTTGGCATAGGTCTTGATCCTAAGCCAGGGAATCAGCTCTCATCTCGAGACGATTTGGAGTACACGGAGCATTCCTCGAGTTGCTGTGCTGAATTTCGTGTTCCTCTAGACTTGGGACAGTGTTCTCGGGGCATCTCTGGAGTTGCCTGAAGGAAGTCGAGCCACCGGTCGTGTTGAATGGGGAACGGGGAATGGTTCTGGAGTCAATTCAGGGGAATCGGGCCTCATCTCGAGTTGATTTGGGGCACATGGAGCTGATTTGCGTTGCTGGGGTGACCTCAGGGTCCGTCTAGACTGGTGACAGTGTTCCTGGGGACTGTCTCGAGATCCATTAAGCAAGTCGAAGCTCCTGACTTGTTTGAATGGGATCACGGAATAGCTCTGCATGCACTGCAGGGGAATGGGGCCTCATCTCGCCTCTAGGGGGAAGTCTCATGGTTTTTCTCGAGTTGCGGCGGGGACCTGGGGTATGTTCTCGACTTACGGCGGGGATGGCCCTTCAAAACACGAGTTTCTTCAATGACGTCAGGACTCCTGTCTAGTAACGTGGGACACCTCAGGAATCTCTTCCAGGCTTGGCAGGGCAAAAGGGCCGCTTCTCAATGTGAGGCAGGGCACCCAAGGACCCTTTCCAGTAGCCACAGGGATTTTGGGATTCCTATCAGTATACAAGAGGAGTCAGGCATCGTCCCCTTTTGAAGCAATGAACTCCGCGTGCCTCTCACGGTCTCAGCGGGATGTGAGGCGTTCCGTCAAAATGAGGCAGGGATCTAGGGCTTTCTCTATGGTCTCCACAGGGGATTGAGACATCCCTTCATGCTGTGAGATGAAAGATGAGCCTGTATTCAATCCACTGCAAGGAAATCCGGCCTCCTTTCAAGTTAGGGCTTCTCGCTGTATATTCCCCTTGAGGCAGCAAACTCAGGGTCGCTCCCACATACCTATGGCTGAGAGAAGCCTCATCCTGAGGTGGTTCTGGAAAGTTGGCATACGTCTTGAGCCTAAGCCAGGGAATCAGTTCTCATCTCGAGACGATTTGGGGTACACGGAGCATTCCTCGAGTTGCTGTGCTGAAGTTGGTGTTCCTCTAGACTTGGGACAGTGTTCTCGGGGCATCTCTGGAGTTGCCTGAAGGAAGTCGAGCCACCGGTCGTGTTGAATGGGGAACGGGGAATGGCTCTGGAGTCAATGCAGGGGAATCGGGCTTCATCTCGAGTTGATTTGGGGCACATAGAGCAGCTTTGCGTTGCTGAGGTGACCTCAGGTTCCGTCTAGACTGGTGACAGTGTTCTTGGGGACTGTCTCGAGATCCATTAAGCAAGTCGAAGCTCCTGACTTGTTTGAATGGGATAACAGAATAGCTCTGCATGAACTGCAGGGGAATGGGGCCTCATCTCGCCTCTAGGGGGAAGTCTCATGGTTTTTCTCGAGTTCCGGCCGGGACCTGGGGTATGTTCTCGACTTACGGCGGGGATGGCCCTTCAAAACACGAGTTTCTTCACTGACGTCAGGACTCCTATCTAGTAACGAGGGACACCTCAGGAATGTCTTCGAGGCTTGGCAGGGCAAAATGGACCCTTCTCGAGGTGAGGCAGTGCACCCAAGGACCCTTTCCAGTAGCCACAGGGATTTTGGGATTCCTATCAGAATTCAAGAGGAGTCAGGCATCGTCACCTTTTGAAGCAATGAACTCCGCGTGCTTCTCTAGGTGTCAGCGGGATGTGAGGCGTTCCGTCAAAATGAGGCAGGGAGCTAGGGCTTTCTCTAAGGTCTCCACAGGGGATTCAGTCATTCCTTCATGTTGTGAGATGAAAGACGAGCCTGTATTCAAGCCACTGCAAGGAAATCCGGCCTCCTTTCAAGTTAGGGCTTCTCGCTGTATATTCCCCTTGAGGCAGCAAACTCGGGGTCCCTCCCACATACCTATTGCTGAGAGAAGCCTCCTCCTGAGGTGCTTCTGGAAAGTTGGCATACATCTTGAGCCTAAGCTAGGGAATCAGCTCTCATCTCGAGACGAGTTGGGGTACACGGAGCATTCCTCGAGTTGTTGTGCTGAAGTTGGTGTTCCTCTAGACTTGGGACAGTGTTCTCGGGGCATCTGTGGAGTTGCCTGAAGGAAGTCGAGCCACCGGTCGTGTTGAATGGGGAACGGGGACTGGCTCTGGAGTCAATGCAGGGGAATTGGGCCTCATCTCGAGTTGATTTGGGGCTCATGGAGCTGCTTTGCGTTGCTGGGGTGACCTCAGGGTCCGTCTAGACTGGTGACAGTGTTCTTGGGGACTGTCTCGAGATCCATTAAGCAAGTCGAAGCTCCTGACTTGTTTCAATGGGATCACGGAATAGCTCTGCATGCACTGCAGGGGAATGGGGCCTCTTCTCGCCTCTAGGGGGAAGTCTCATGGTTTTTCTCCAGTTGCGGCGGGGACCTGGTATATGTTCTCGACTTACGGCGGGGATGGCACTTCAAAACACGAGTTTCTTCAGTACGTCAGGACTCCTGTCTAGTAACGAGGGACACCTCAGGAATGTCTTCGAGGCTTGGCAGGGCAAAAGGGACGCTTCTCTACGTGAGGCAGGGCACCCAAGGACCCTTTCCAGTAGCCACAGGGATTTTGGGATTCCTATCAGTATACAAGAGGAGTCAGGCATCGTCCCCTTTTGAAGCAATGAACTCCGCGGGCCTCTCGAGGTGTCAGCGGGATGTGAGGCATTCCATCAAAATGAGGCAGGGACTTAGGGCTTTCTCTAAGGTCTCCACAGGGGATTGAGACATCCCTTCATGCTGTGAGATGAAAGACGAGCCTGTATTCAAGCCACTGCAAGGAAATCCGGCCTCCTTTCAAGTTAGGGCTTCTCGCTGTATATTCCCCTTGAGGCAGCAAACTCAGGGTCCCTCCCACATACCTATGGCTGAGAGAAGCCTCATCCTGAGGTGGTTCTGGAAAGTTGGCATACGTCTTGAGCCTAAGCCAGGGAATCAGCTCTCATCTCGAGACGATTTGGTTTACACGGAGCATTCCTCGAGTTACTGTGCTGAAGTTGGTGTTCCTCTAAACTTGGGACAGTGTTCTCGGGGCATCTCTGGAGTTGCCTGAAGGAAGTCGAGCCACCGGTCGTGTTGAATGGGGAACGGGGAATGGCTCTGGAGTCAATGCAGGGGAATCGGGCTTCATCTCGAGTTGATTTGGGGCACATGGAGCTGCTTTGCGTTGCTGAGGTGACCTCAGGTTCCGTCTAGACTGGTGACAGTGGTCTTGGGGACTGTCTCGAGATCCATTAAGCAAGTCGAATCTCCTGACTTGTTTGAATGGGATCACAGAATAGCTCTGCATGAACTGCAGGGGAATGGGACCTCATCTCGCCTCTAGGGGGAAGTCTCATGGTTTTTCTCGAGTTGCGTCGGGGACCTGGGGTATGTTCTCGACTTACGGCGGGGATGGCCCTTCAAAACACGAGTTTCTTCAGTGAGGTCAGGACTCCTGTCTAGTAACGAGGGACACATTAGGAATGTCTTCGAGGCTTGGAAGGGCAAAAGGGACGCTTCTCGAGGTGAGGCAGGGCACCCAAGGACCCTTTCCAGTAGCCACAGGGATTTTGGGATTCCTATCAGTATTCAAGAGGAGTCAGGCATCGTCACCTTTTGAAGCAATGAACTCCGCGTGCCTCTCGAGGTGTCAGCGGGATGTGAGGCGTTCCGTCAAAATGAGGCAGGCACCTAGGTCTTTCTCTAAGGTCTCCACAGGAGATTCAGACATCCCTTAATGTTGTGAGATGAAAGACGAGCCTGTATTCAAGCCACTGCAAGGAAATCCGGCCTCCTTTCAAGTTAGGGTTTCTCGCTGTATATTCCCCTTGAGGCAGCAAACTCGGGGTCCCTCCCACATATCTATTGCTGAGAGAATCCTCCTCCTGAAGTGCTTCTGGAAAGTTGGCATACGTCTTGAGCCTAAGCCAGGGAATCAGCTCTCATCTCGAGACGATTTGGGGTACACGGAGCATTCCTCGAGTTGCTGTGCTGAAGTTGGTGTTCCTCTAGACTTGGGACAGTGTTCTTGGGGCATCTCTGGAGTTGCCTGAAGGAAGTCGAGCCACCGGTCGTGTTGAATGGGGAACGGGGAATGGCTCTGGAGTCAATGCAGGGGAATCGGGCCTCATCTCGAGTTGATTTGGGGCACATGGAGCTGCTTTGCGTTGCTGGGGTGACCTCAGGGTCCGTCTAGACTGGTGACAGTGTTCTTGGGGACTGTCTCGAGACCCATTAAGCAAGTCGAAGCTCCTGACTTGTTTGAATGGGATCACGGAATAGCTCTGCATGCACTGCAGGGGAATGGGGCCTCATCTCGCCTCTAGGGGGAAGTCTCATGGTTTTTCTCGAGTTGCGGCGGGGACCTGGGGTATGTTCTCGACTTACGGCGGGGATGGCCCTTCAAAACTCGAGTCTCTTCAGTGACGTCAGGACTCCTGTCTAGTAACGAGGGACACCTCAGGAATGTCTTCGAGGCTTGGCAGGGCAAAAGGGACGCTTCTCGAGGTGAGGCAGGGCACCCAAGGACCCTTTCCAGTAGCCACAGCGATTTTGGGATTCCTATCAGTATTTACGAGGAGTCAGGCTTCGTCACATTTTGAAACAATGAACTCCGCGTGCCTCTCGAGGTGTCAGAGGGATATGAGGCATTCCGTCGAAATGAGGCAGGCACCTAGGGCTTTCTCTAAAGTCTCCACAGGGGATTCAGACATCCCTTCATGTTGTGAGATTAAAGATGAGCCTGTATTCAAGCCACTGCAAGGAAAGCCGGCCTCCTTTCAAGTTAGGGCTTCTCGCTGTATATTCCCATTGAGGCAGCAAACTCGGGGTCCCTCCCACATACCTATTGCTGAGAGAAGCCTCCTCCTGAGGTGCTTCTGGGAAGTTGGCATAGGTCTTGATCCTAAGCCAGGGAATCAGCTCTCATCTCGAGACGATTTGGAGTACACGGAGCATTCCTCGAGTTGCTGTGCTGAATTTCGTGTTCCTCTAGACTTGGGACAGTCTTCTCGGGGCATCTCTGGAGTTGCCTGAAGGAAGTCGAGCCACCGGTCGTGTTGAATGGGGAACGGGGAATGGTTCTGGAGTCAATTCAGGGGAATCGGGCCTCATCTCGAGTTGATTTGGGGCACATGGAGCTGATTTGCGTTGCTGGGGTGACCTCAGGGTCCGTCTAGACTGGTGACAGTGTTCCTGGGGACTGTCTCGAGATCCATTAAGCAAGTCGAAGCTCCTGACTTGTTTGAATGGGATCACGGAATAGCTCTGCATGCACTGCAGGGGAATGGGGCCTCATCTCGCCTCTAGGGGGAAGTCTCATGGTTTTTCTCGAGTTGCGGCGGGGACCTGGGGTATGTTCTCGACTTACGGCGGGGATGGCCCTTCAAAACACGAGTTTCTTCAATGACGTCAGGACTCCTGTCTAGTAACGTGGGACACCTCAGGAATCTCTTCCAGGCTTGGCAGGGCAAAAGGGCCGCTTCTCAATGTGAGGCAGGGCACCCAAGGACCCTTTCCAGTAGCCACAGGGATTTTGGGATTCCTATCAGTATACAAGAGGAGTCAGGCATCGTCCCCTTTTGAAGCAATGAACTCCGCGTGCCTCTCGAGGTGTCAGCGGGATGTGAGGCATTCCGTCAAAATGAGGCAGGCACCTAGGGCTTTCTCTAAGGTCTCCACAGGGGATTGAGACATCCCTTCATGCTGTGAGATGAAAGACGAGCCTGTATTCAAGCCACTGCAAGGAAATCCGGCCTCCTTTCAAGTTAGGGCTTCTCGCTGTATATTCCCCTTGAGGCAGCAAACTCAGGGTCCCTCCCACATACCTATGGCTGAGAGAAGCCTCATCCTGAGGTGGTTCTGGAAAGTTGGCATACGTCTTGAGCCTAAGCCAGGGAATCAGCTCTCATCTCGAGACGATTTGGGGTACACGGAGCATTCCTCGAGTTTCTGTGCTGAAGTTGGTGTTCTTCTAGACTTGGGACAGTGTTCTCGGGGCATCTCTGGAGTTGCCTGAAGGAAGTCGAGCCACCGGTCGTGTTGAATGGGGAACGGGGAATGGCTCTGGCGTCAATGCAGGGGAATCGGGCTTCATCTCGAGTTGATTTGGGGCACATGGAGCTGCTTTTCGTTGCTGAGGTGACCTCAGGTTCCGTCTAGACTGGTGACAGTATTCTTGGGGACTGTCTCGAGATCCATTAAGCAAGTCGAAGCTCCTGACTTGTTTGAATGGGATCACAGAATAGCTCTGCATGAACTGCAGGGGAATGGGACCTCATCTCGCCTCTAGGGGGAAGTCTCATGGTTTTTCTCGAGTTGCGGCGGGGACCTGGGGTATGTTCTCGACTTACGGCGGGGATGGCCCTTCAAAACACGAGTTTCTTCAGTGAGGTCAGGACTCCTGTCTAGTAACGAGGGACACCTCAGGAATGTCTTCGAGGCTTGGAAGGGCAAAAGGGACGCTTCTCGAGGTGAGGCAGGGCACCCAAGGACCCTTTCCAGTAGCCACAGGGATTTTGGGATTCCTATCAGTATTCAAGAGGAGTCAGGCATCGTCACCTTTTGAAGCAATGAACTCCGCGTGCCTCACGAGGTGTCAGCGGGATGTGAGGCGTTCCGTCAAAATGAGGCAGGGACCTAGGGCTTTCTCTAAGGTGTCCACAGGGGATTCAGACATCCCTTCATGTTGTGAGATGAAAGACGAGCCTGTATTCAAGCCACTGCAAGGAAATCCGGCCTCCTTTCAAGTTAGGGCTTCTCGCTGTATATTCCCCTTGAGGCAGCAAACTCGGGGTCCCTCCCACATACCTATTGCTGAGAGAAGCCTCCTCCTGAGGTGCTTCTGGAAAGTTGGCATACGTCTTGAGCCTAAGCCAGGGAATCAGCTCTCATCTAGAGACGATTTGGTGTACACGGAGCATTCCTCGAGTTGCTGTGCTGAAGTTGGTGTTCCTCTAGACTTGGGACAGTGTTCTCGGGGCATATCTGGAGTTGCCTGAAGGAAGTCGAGCCACCGGTCGTGTTGAATGGGGAACGGGGAATGGCTCTGGAGTCAATGCAGGGGAATCGGGCCTCATCTCGAGTTGATTTGGGGCACATGGAGCTGCTTTGCGTTGCTGGGGTGACCTCAGGGTCCGTCTAGACAGGTGACAGTGTTCTTGGGGACTGTCTCGAGATCCATTAAGCAAGTCGAAGCTCCTGACTTGTTTGAATGGGATCACGGAATAGCTCTGCATGCACTGCAGGGGAATGGGGCCTCATCTCGCCTCTAGGGGGAAGTTTCATGGTTTTTCTCGAGTTGCGGCGGGGACCTGGGGTATGTTCTCGACTTACGGCGGGGATGGCCCTTCAAAACACGAGTTTCTTCAGTGACGTCAGGACTCCTGTCTAGTAACGAGGGACACCTCAGGAATGTCTTCGAGGCTTGGCAGGGCAAAAGGGACGCTTCTCGAGGTGAGGCAGGGCACCCAAGGACCCTTTCCAGTAGCCACAGCGATTTTGGGATTCCTATCAGTATACAAGAGGAGTCAGGCATCGTCCCCTTTTGAAGCAATGAACTCCGCGTGCCTCTCGAGGTGTCAGCGGGATGTGAGGCATTCCGTCAAAATGCGGCAGGGGCCTAGGGCATTCTCTAAGGTCTCCACAGGGGATTCAGACATTCCTTCATGCTGTGAGATGAAAGACGAGCCTGTATTCAAGCCACTGCAAGGAAATCCGGCCTCCTTTCAAGTTAGGGCTTCTCGCTGTATATTCCCCTTGAGGCAGCAAACTCGGGGTCCATCCCACATACCTATGGCTGAGAGAAGCCTCCTCCTGAGGTGCTTCTGGAAAGTTGGCATAAGTCTTGAGCCTAAGCCAGGGAATCAGCTCTCATCTCGAGACGATTTGGGGTACACGGAGCATTCCTCGAGTTGCTGTGCTGAAGTTGGTGTTCCTCTAGACTTGGGACAGTGTTCTCGGGGCATCTCTGGAGTTGCCTGAAGGAAGTCGAGCCACCGGTCGTGTTGAATGGGGAACGGGGAATGGCTCTGGAGTCAATGCAGGGGAATCGGGCCTCATCTCGAGTTGATTTGGGGCACATGGAGCTGCTTTGCGTTGCTGGGGTGACCTCAGGGTCCGTCTAGACTGGTGACAGTGTTCTTGGGGACTGTCTCGAGATCCATTAAGCAAGTCGAAGCTCCTGACTTGTTTGAATGGGATCACGGAATAGCTCTGCATGCACTGCAGGGGAATGGGGCCTCATCTCGCCTCTAGGGGGAAGTCTCATGGTTTTTCTCGAGTTGTGGCGGGGACCTGGGGTATGTTCTCGACTTACGGCGGGGATGGCCCTTCAAAACACGAGTTTCTTCAGTGACGTCAGGACTCCTGTCTAGTAACGAGGGACACCTCAGGAATGTCTTCGAGGCTTGGCAGTGCAAAAGGGACGCTTCTCGAGGTGAGGCAGGGCACCCAAGGACCCTTTCCAGTAGCCACAGCGATTTTGGGATTCCTATCATTATTTACGAGGAGTCAGGCTTCGTCACATTTTGAAGCAATGAACTCCGCGTGCCTCTCGAGGTGTCAGAGGGATATGAGGCATTCCGTCGAAATGAGGCAGGCAACTAGGGCTTTCTCTAAAGTCTCCACAGGGGATTCAGACATCCCTTCATGTTGTGAGATTAAAGATGAGCCTGTATTCAAGCCACTGCAAGGAAATCCGGCCTCCTTTCAAGTTAGGGCTTCTTGCTGTATATTCCCGTTGAGGCAGCAAACTCGGGGTCCCTCCCACATACCTATTGCTGAGAGAAGCCTCCTCCTGAGGTGCTTCTGGAAAGTTGGCATACGTCTTGAGCCTAAGCCAGGGAATCAGCTCTCATCTAGAGACGATTTGGGGTACACGGAGCATTCCTCGAGTTGCTGTGCTGAAGTTGGTGTTCCTCTAGACTTGGGACAGTGTTCTCGGGGCATCTCTGGAGTTGCCTGAAGGAAGTCGAGCCACCGGTCGTGTTGAATGGGGAACGGGGAATGGCTCTGGAGTCAATGCAGGGGAATCGGGCCTCATCTCGAGTTGATTTGGGGCTCATGGAGCTGCTTTGCGTTGCTGGGGTGACCTTAGGGTCCGTCTAGACTGGTGACAGTGTTCTTGGGGACTGTCTCGAGATCCATTAAGCAAGTCGAAGCTCCTGACTTGTTTGAATGGGATCACGGAATAGCTCTGCATGCACTGCAGGGGAATGGGTCCTCATCTCGCCTCTAGGGGGAAGTCTCATGGTTTTTCTCGAGTTGTGGCGGGGACCTGGGATATGTTCTCGACTTACGGCGGGGATGGCCCTTCAAAACACGAGTTTCTTCAGTACGTCAGGACTCCGCTCTAGTAACGAGGGACACCTCAGGAATGTCTTCGAGGCTTGGCAGGGCAACAGGGACGCTTCTCGAGGTGAGGCAGGGCACCCAAGGACCCTTTCCAGTAGCCACAGGGATTTTGGGATTCCTATCAGTGTACAAGAGGAGTCAGGCATCGTCCCCTTTTGAAGCAATGAACTCCGCGTGCCTCTCGAGGTGTCAGCGTGATGTGAGGCATTCCGTCAAAATGAGGCAGGGACCTAGGGCTTTCTCTAAGGTCCCCACAGGGGATTGAGACAACCCTTCATGCTGTGAGATGAAAGACGAGCCTGTATTCAAGCCACTGCCAGGAAATCCGGCCTCCTTTCAAGTTAGGGCTTCTCGCTGTATATTCCCCTTGAGGCAGCAAACTCAGGGTCCCTCCCACATATCTATGGCTGAGAGAAGCCTCATCCTGAGGTGGTTCTGGAAATTTGGCATACGTCTTGAGCCTAAGCCAGGGAATCAGCTCTCATCTCGAGACGATTTGGTGTACAGGGAGCATTCCTCGAGTTGCTGTGCTGAAGTTGGTGTTCCTCTAGACTTGGGACAGTGTTCTCGGGGCATCTCTGGAGTTGCCTGAAGGAAGTCGAGCCACCGTTCGTGTTGAATGGGGAACGGGGAATGGCTCTGGAGTCAATGCAGGGGAATCGGGCTTCATCTCGAGTTGATTTGGGGCACATGGAGCTGCTTTGCGTTGCTGAGGTGACCTCAGGTTCCGTCTAGACTGGTGACAGTGTTCTTGGGGACTGTCTCGAGATCCATTAAGCAAGTCGAAGCTCCTGACTTGTTTGAATGGGATCACAGAATAGCTCTGCATGAACTGCAGGGGAATGGGACCTCATCTCGCCTCTAGGGGGAAGTCTCATGGTTTTTCTCGAGTTGCGGCGGGGACCTGGGGTATGTTCTCGACTTACGGCGGGGATGGCCCTTCAAAACACGAGTTTCTTCAGTACGTCAGGACTCCGCTCTAGTAACGAGGGACACCTCAGGAATGTCTTCGAGGCTTGGCAGGGCAACAGGGACGCTTCTCGAGGTGAGGCAGGGCACCCAAGGACCCTTTCCAGTAGCCACAGGGATTTTGGGATTCCTATCAGTGTACAAGAGGAGTCAGGCATCGTCCCCTTTTGAAGCAATGAACTCCGCGTGCCTCTCGAGGTGTCAGCGTGATGTGAGGCATTCCGTCAAAATGAGGCAGGGACCTAGGGCTTTCGCTAAGGTCTCCACAAGGAATTGAGACAACCCTTCATGCTGTGAGATGAAAGACGAGCCTGTATTCAAGCCACTGCCAGGAAATCCGGCCTCCTTTCAAGTTAGGGCTTCTCGCTGTATATTCCCCTTGAGGCAGCAAACTCAGGGTCCCTCCCACATATCTATGGCTGAGAGAAGCCTCATCCTGAGGTGGTTCTGGAAATTTGGCATACGTCTTGAGCCTAAGCCAGGGAATCAGCTCTCATCTCGAGACGATTTGGTGTACAGGGAGCATTCCTCGAGTTGCTGTGCTGAAGTTGGTGTTCCTCTAGACTTGGGACAGTGTTCTCGGGGCATCTCTGGAGTTGCCTGAAGGAAGTCGAGCCACCGTTCGTGTTGAATGGGGAACGGGGAATGGCTCTGGAGTCAATGCAGGGGAATCGGGCTTCATCTCGAGTTGATTTGGGGCACATGGAGCTGCTTTGCGTTGCTGAGGTGACCTCAGGTTCCGTCTAGACTGGTGACAGTGTTCTTGGGGACTGTCTCGAGATCCATTAAGCAAGTCGAAGCTCCTGACTTGTTTGAATGGGATCACAGAATAGCTCTGCATGAACTGCAGGGGAATGGGACCTCATCTCGCCTCTAGGGGGAAGTCTCATGGTTTTTCTCGAGTTGCGGCGGGGACCTGGGTTATGTTCTCGACTTACGGCGGGGATGGCCCTTCAAAACACGAGTTTCTTCAGTGAGGTCAGGACTCCTGTCTAGTAACAAGGGACACCTCAGGAATCTCTTCGAGGCTTGGCAGGGCAAAAGGGACGCTTCTCGAGATGAGGCAGGGCACCCAAGGACCCTTTCCAGTAGCCACAGGGATTTTGGGATTCCTATCAGTATTCAAGAGGAGTCAGGCATCGTCACCTTTTGAAGCAATGAACTCCGCGTGCCTCTCTAGGTGTCAGCGGGATGTGAGGCATTCCGTCAAAATGAGGCAGGGACCTAGGGCTTTCTCTAAGGTCTCCACAGGGGATTCAGACATCCCTTCATGTTGTGAGATGAAAGACGAGCCTGTATTCAAGGCACTGCAAGGAAATCCGGGCTCCTTTCAAGTTAGGGCTTCTCGCTGTATATTCCCCTTGAGGCAGCAAACTCGGGGTCCCTCCCACATACCTATTGCTGAGAGAAGCCTCCTCCTGAGTGCTTCTGGAAAGTTGGCATACGTCTTGAGCCTAAGCCAGGGAATCAGCTCTCATCTAGAGACGATTTGGGGTACACGGAGCATTCCTCGAGTTGCTGTGCTGAAGTTGGTGTTCCTCTAGACTTGGGACAGTGTTCTCGGGGCATCTCTGGAGTTGCCTGAAGGAAGTCGAGCCACCGGTCCTGTTGAATGGGGAACGGGGAATGGCTCTGGAGTCAATGCAGGGGAATCGGGCCTCATCTCGAGTTGATTTTAGGCACATGGAGCTGCTTTGCGTTGCTGGGGTGACCTCAGGGTCCGTCTAGACTGGTGACAGTGTTCTTGGGAACTGTCTCGAGATCCATTAAGCAAGTCGAAGCTCCTGACTTGTTTGAATGGGATCACGGAATAGCTCTGCATGCACTGCAGGGGAATGGGGCCTCATCTCGCCTCTTGGGGGAAGTCTCATGGTTTTTCTCGAGTTGCGGCGGGGACCTGGGATATGTTCTCGACTTACGGCGGGGATGGCCCTTCAAAACACGAGTTTCTTCAGTGACGTCAGGACTCCTGTCTAGTAACAAGGGACACCTCAGGAATCTCTTCGAGGCTTGGCAGGGCAAAAGGGACGCTTCTCGAGATGAGGCAGGGCACCCAAGGACCCTTTCCAGTAGCCACAGGGATTTTGGGATTCCTATCAGTATTCAAGAGGAGTCAGGCATCGTCACCTTTTGAAGCAATGAACTCCGCGTGCCTCTCTAGGTGTCAGCGGGATGTGAGGCATTCCGTCAAAATGAGGCAGGGACCTAGGGCTTTCTCTAAGGTCTCCACAGGGGATTCAGACATCCCTTCATGTTGTGAGATGAAAGACGAGCCTGTATTCAAGCCACTGCCAGGAAATCCGGCCTCCTTTCAAGTTAGGGCTTCTCGCTGTATATTCCCCTTGAGGCAGCAAACTCGGGGTCCCTCCCACATACCTATTGCTGAGAGAAGCCTCCTCCTGAGGTGCTTCTGGAAAGTTGGCATACGTCTTGAGCCTAAGCCAGGGAATCAGCTCTCATCTCGAGACGATTTGGAGTACACGGAGCATTCCTCGAGTTGCTGTGCTGAACTTGGTGTTCCTCTAGACTTGGGACAGTGTTCTCGGGGCATCTCTGGAGTTGCATGAAGGAAGTCGAGCCACCGGTCGTGTTGAATGGGGAACGGGGAATGGCTCTGGAGTCAATGCAGGGGAATCGGGCTTCATCTCGAGTTGATTTGGGGCACATGGAGCTGCTTTGCGTTGCTGAGGTGACCTCAGGTTCCGTCTAGACTGGTGACAGTGTTCTTGGGGACTGTCTCGAGATCCATTAAGCAAGTCGAAACTCCTGACTTGTTTGATTGGGATCACGGAATAGCTCTGCATGCACTGCAGGGGAATGGGGCCTCATCTCGCCTCTAGGGGGAAGTCTCATGGTTTTTCTCGAGTTGTGGCGGGGACCTGGGATATGTTCTCGACTTACGGCGGGGATGGCCCTTCAAAACACGAGTTTCTTCAGTACGTCAGGACTCCTGTCTAGTAAAGAGGGACACCTCAGGAATGTCTTCGAGGCTTGGCAGGGCAAAAGGGACGCTTCTCGAGGTGAGGCAGGGCACCCAAGGACCCTTTCCAGTAGCCACAGGGATTTTGGGATTCCTATCAGTATACAAGAGGAGTCAGGCATCGTCCCCTTTTGAAGCAATGAACTCCGCGTGCCTCTCGAGGTGTCAGCGGGATGTGAGGCATTCCGTCAAAATGAGGCAGGGACCTAGGGCTTTCTCTAAGGTCTCCACAGGGGATTGAGACATCCCTTCATGCTGTGAGATGAAAGACGAGCCTGTATTCAAGCCACTGCAAGGAAATCCGGCCTCCTTTCAAGTTAGGGCTTCTCGCTGTACATTCCCCTTGAGGCAGCAAACTCAGGGTCCCTCCCACATACCTATTGCTGAGAGAAGCCTCGTCCTGAGGTGGTTCTGGAAAGTTGGCATACGTCTTGAGCCTAAGCCAGGGAATCAGCTCTCATCTCGAGACGATTTGGGGTACACGGAGCATTCCTCGAGTTGCTGTGATGAAGTTGGTGTTCCTCTAGACTTGGGAGAGTGTGCTCGGGGCATCTCTTGAGTTGCCTGAAGGAAGTCGAGCCACCGGTCGTGTTGAATGGGGAACGGGGAATGGCTCTGGCGTCAATGCAGGGGAATCGGGCTTCATCTCGAGTTGATTTGGGGCACATGGAGCTGCTTTGCGTTGCTGAGGTGACCTCAGGTTCCGTCTAGACTGGTGACAGTGTTCTTGGGGACTGTCTCGAGATCCATTAAGCAAGTCGAAGCTCCTGACTTGTTTGAATGGGATCACAGAATAGCTCTGCATGAACTGCAGGGGAATGGGACCTCATCTCGCCTCTAGGGGGAAGTCTCATGGTTTTTCTCGAGTTGCGGCGGGAACCTGGGGTATGTTCTCGACTTACGGCGGGGATGGCCCTTCAAAACACGAGTTTCTTCAGTGAGGTCAGGACTCCTGTCTAGTAACGAGGGACACCTCAGGAATGTCTTCGAGGCTTGGAAGGGCAAAAGGGACGCTTCTCGAGGTGAGGCAGGGCACCCAAGGACTCTTTCCAGTAGCCACAGGGATTTTGGGATTCCTATCAGTATTCAAGAGGAGTCAGGCATCGTCACCTTTTGAAGCAATGAACTCCGCGTGCCTCTCGAGGTGTCAGCGGGATGTGAGGCGTTCCGTCAAAATGAGGCAGGGACCTAGGGCTTTCTCTAAGGTGTCCACAGGGGATTCAGACATCCCTTCATGTTGTGAGATGAAAGACGAGCCTGTATTCAAGCCACTGCTAGGAAATCCGGCCTCCTTTCAAGTTAGGGCTTCTCGCTGTATATTCCCCTTGAGGCAGCAAACTCGGGGTCCCTCCCACATACCTATTGCTGAGAGAAGCCTCCTCCTGAGGTGCTTCTGGAAAGTTGGCATACGTCTTGAGCCTAAGCCAGGGAATCAGCTCTCATCTCGAGACGATTTGGGGTACACGGAGCATTCCTCGAGTTGCTGTGCTGAAGTTGGTGTTCCTCTAGACTTGGGACAGTGTTCTCGGGGCATCTCTGGAGTTGCCTGAAGGAAGTCGAGCCACCGGTCGTGTTGAATGGGGAACGGGGAATGGCTCTGGAGTCAATGCAGGGGAATCGGGCCTCATCTCGAGTTGATTTGGGGCACATGGAGCTGCTTTGCGTTGCTGGGGTGACCTCAGATTCCGTCTAGACTGGTGACAGTGTTCTTGGGGACTGTCTCGAGATCCATTAAGCAAGTCGAAGCTCCTGACTTGTTTGAATGGGATCACGGAATAGCTCTGCATGCACTGCAGGGGAATGGGGCCTCATCTCTCCTCTAGGGGGAAGTCTCATGGTTTTTCTCGAGTTGCGGCGGGGACCTGGGGTATGTTCTCGACTTACGGCGGGGATGGCCCTTCAAAACACGAGTTTCTTCAGTGACGTCAGGACTCCTGTCTAGTAACGAGGGACACCTCAGGAATGTCTTCGAGGCTTGGCAGGGCAAAAGGGACGCTTCTCGAGGTGAGGCAGGGCACCCAAGGACCCTTTCCAGTAGCCACAGCGATTTTGGGATTCCTATCAGTATTTACGAGGAGTCAGGTTTCGTCACATTTTGAAGCAATGAACTCCGCGTGCCTCTCGAGGTGTCAGAGGGATATGAGGCATTCCGTCGAAATGAGGCAGGCAACTAGGGCTTTCTCTAAAGTCTCCACAGGGTATTCAGCCATCCCTTCATGTTGTGAGATTAAAGATGAGCCTGTATTCAAGCCACTGCAAGGAAATCCGGCCTCCTTTCAAGTTAGGGCTTCTTGCTGTATATTCCCGTTGAGGCAGCAAACTCGGGGTCCCTCCCACATACCTATTGCTGAGAGAAGCCTCCTCCTGAGGTGCTTCTGGGAAGTTGGCATAGGTCTTGATCCTAAGCCAGGGAATCAGCTCTCATCTCGAGACGATTTGCAGTACACGGAGCATTCCTCGAGTTGCTGTGCTGAATTTCGTGTTCCTCTAGACTTGGGACAGTGTTCTCGGGGCATCTCTGGAGTTGCCTGAAGGAAGTCGAGCCACCGTTCGTGTTGAATGGGGAACGGGGAATGGTTCTGGAGTCAATTCAGGGGAATCGGGCCTCATCTCGAGTTGATTTGGTGCACATGGAGCTGCTTTGCGTTGCTGTGGTGACCTCAGGGTCCGTCTAGACTGGTGACAGTGTTCCTGGGGACTGTCTCGAGATCCATTAAGCAAGTCGAAGCTCCTGACTTGTTTGAATGCGATCAAGGAATAGCTCTGCATGCACTGCAGGGGAATGGGGCCTCATCTCGCCTCTAGGGGGAAGTCTAATGGTTTTTCTCGAGTTGCGGCGGGGACCTGGGGTATGTTCTCGACTTACGGCGGGGATGGCCCTTCAAAACACGAGTTTCTTCAGTGACGTCAGGACTCCTGTCTAGTAACGTGGGACACCTCAGGAATCTCTTCGAGGCTTGGCAGGGCAAAAGGGACGCTTCTCGAGATGAGGCAGGGCACCCAAGGACCCTTTCCAGTAGCCACAGGGATTTTGGGATTCCTATCAGTATACAAGAGGAGTCAGGCATCGTCACCTTTTGAAGCAATGAACTCCGCGTGCATCTCGCGGTCTCAGCGGGATGTGAGGCGTTCCTTCAAAATGAGGCAGGGATCTAGGGCTTTCTCTAAGGTCTCCACAGGGGATTGAGACATCCCTTCATGCTGTGAGATGAAAGACGAGCCTGTATTCAAGCCACTGCAAGGATATCCGGCCTCCTTTCATCTTAGGGCTTCTCGCTGTATATTCCCCTTGAGGCAGCAAACACGGGGTCCCTCCCACATACCTATTGCTGAGAGAAGCCTCCTCCTGAGGTGCTTCTGGAAAGTTGGCATACGTCTTGAGCCTACGCTAGGCAATCAGCTCTCATCTCGAGACGATTTGGGGTACACGGAGCATTCTTCGAGTTGCTGTGCTGAAGTTGGTGTTCCTCTAGACTTGGGACAGTGTTCTCGGGGCATCTCTGGAGTTGCCTGAAGGAAGTCGAGCCACCGGTCGTGTTTAATGGGGAACGGGGAATGGCTCTGGAGTCAATGCAGGGGAATCGGCCCTCATCTCGAGTTGATTTGGGGCACATTGGAGCTGCTTTGCATTGCTGGGGAGACCTCAGGGTCCGTCTAGACTGGTGAGAGTGTTCTTGGGGACTGTCTCGAGATCCATTAAACAAGTCGAAGCTCCTGACTTGTGTGAATGGGATCACGGAATAGCTCTGCATGCACTGCAGGTGAATGGGGCCTCATCTCGCCTCTAGGGGGAAGTCTCATGGTTTTTCTCGAGTTGCGGCGGGGACCTGGGGTATGTTCTCGACTTACGGCAGGGATGGCCCTTCAAAACACGAGTTTCTTCAATGACGTCAGGACTCCTGTCTAGTAACGTGGGACACCTCAGGAATCTCTTCCAGGCTTGGCAGGGAAAAAGGGACGCTTCTCGATGTGAGGCAGGGCACCCAAGGACCCTTTCCAGTAGCCACAGGGATTTTGGGATTCCTATCAGTATACAAGAGGAGTCAGGCATCGTCCCCTTTTAAAGCAATGAACTCCGCGTGCCTCTCGAGGTGTCAGCGGGATGTGAGGCATTCCGTCAAAATGAGGCAGGGGCCTAGGGCATTCTCTAAGGTCTCCACAGGGGATTCAGACATCCCTTCATGCTGTGAGATGAAAGACGAGCCTGTATTCAAGCCACTGCAAGGAAATCCGGCCTCCTTTCAAGTTAGGGCTTCTCGCTGTATATTCCCCTTGAGGCAGCAAACTCGGGGTCCCTCCCACATACCTATGGCTGAGAGAAGCCTCCTCCTGAGGTGCTTCTGGAAAGTTGGCATACGTCTTGAGCCTAAGCCAGGGAATCAGCTCTCATCTCGAAACGATTTGGGGTACACGGAGCATTCCTCGAGTTGCTGTGCTGAAGTTGGTGTTCCTCTAGACTTGGGACAGTGTTCTCGGGGCATCTCTGGAGTTGCCTGAAGGAAGTCGAGCCACCGGTCGTGTTGAATGGGGAACGGGGAATGGCTCTGGAGTCAATGCAGGGGAATCGGGCTTCATCTCGAGTTGATTTGGGGCACATAGAGCTGCTTTGCGTTGCTGGTTTGACGTCAGGGTCCGTCTAGACTGGTGACAGTGTTCTTGGGGACTGTCTCGAGATCCATTAAGCAAGTCGAAGCTCCTGACTTGTTTGAATGGGATCATGGAATAGCTCTGCATGCACTGCAGGGGAATGGGGCCTCTTCTAGCCTCTAGGGGGAAGTCTCATGGTTTCTCTCGAGTTGCGGCGGGGACCTGGGGTATGTACTCGACTTACGGCGGGGATGGCCCTTCAAAACACGAGTTTCTTCAGGGAGGTCAGGACTCCTGTCTAGTAACGAGGGACACCGCAGGAATCTCTTCGAGGCTTGGCAGGGCAAAAGGGACGCTTCTCGAGGTGACGCAGGGCACCCAAGGACCCTTTCCAGTAGCCACAGCGATTTTGGGATTCCTATCAGTATTCAAGAGGAGTCAGGCATCGTCACCTTTTGAAGCAATGAACTCCGTGTGCCTCTCAAGGTGTCAGCGGGATGTGAGGCGTTCCGTCAAAATGAGTCAGGGACCTAGGGCTTTCTCTAACGTCTCCACAGGGGATTCAGACATCCCTTCATGTTGTGAGATGAAAGACGAGCCTGTATTCAAGCCACTGCAAGGAAATCCGGCCTCCTTTCAAGTTAGGGCTTCTCGCTGTATATTCCCCTTGAGGCAGCAAACTCGGGGTCCCTCCCACATACCTATTGCTGAGAGTAGCCTCCTCCTGAGGTGCTTCTGGAAAGATGGCATACGTCTTGAGCCTAAGCCATGGAACCTGCTCTCATCTCGAGACGATTTGGGGTACACGGAGCATTCCTCGAGTTGCTGTGCTGAAGTTCGTGTTCCTCTAGACTTGGAACAGTGTTCTCGGGGCATCTCTGGAGTTGCCTGAAGAAAGTCGAGCCACCGGTCGTGTTGAATGGGGAACGGGGAATGGCTCTGGAGTCAATGCAGGGGAATCGGGCCTCATCTCGAGTTGATTTTGGGCACATGGAGCTGCTTTGCGTTCCTGGTTTGACCTCAGGGTCCGTCTAGACTGGTGACAGTGTTCCTGGGGAGTGTCTCGAGATCCATTAAGCAAGTCGAAGCTCCTGACTTGTTTGAATGGGATCACGGAATAGCTCTGCATGCACTGCAGGGGAATGGGGCCTCATCTCGCCTCTAGGGGGAAGGCTCATGGTTTTTCTCGAGTTGCGGCGGGGACCTGGGGTATGTTCTCGACTTACGGCGGGGATGGCCCTTCAAAACACGAGTTTCTTCAGTGACGTCAGGACTCCTGTCTAGTAACGAGGGACACCTCAGGAATGTCTTCGAGGCTTGGCAGGGCAAAAGGGACGCTTCTCGAGGTGAGGCAGGGCACCCAAGGATCCTTTCCAGTAGCCACAGGGATTTTGGGATTCCTATCAGTATTCAAGAGGAGTCAGGCATCGTCACCTTTTGAAGCAATGAACTCCGCGTGCCTATCGAAGTGTCAGCGGGATGTGACGCGTTCCCTCAAAATGAGGCAGGGACATAGGGCTTTCTCTAAGGTCTCCACAGGGGATTCAGCCATCCCTTCATGTTGTGAGATGAAAGACGAGCCTGTATTCAAGCCACTGCAAGGAAATCCGGCCTCCTTTCAAGTTAGGGCTTCTCGCTGTATATTCGCCTTGAGGCAGCAAAATCGGGTTGCCTCCCACATACCTATTGCTGAGAGAAGCCTCCTCCTGAGGTGCTTCTGGAAATTTGGCATACGTCTTGAGCCTAAGAAAGGGAATCAGCTCTCATCTCGAGACGATTTGGGGTACACGGAGCATTCCTCGAGTTGCTGTGCTGAAGTTGGTGTTCCTCTAGACTTGGAACAGTATTCTCGGGGCATCTCTGGAGTTGCCTGAAGGAAGTCGAGCCACCGGTCGTGTTGAATGGGGAACTGGGAATGGCTCTGGTGTCAATGCAGGGGAATCGGGCCTCATCTCGAGTTGATTTGGGGCACATGGAGCTGCTTTGCGTTGCTGGGGTGACCTCAGGGTCCGTCTAGACTGGTGACAGTGTTCTTGGGGACTGTCTCGAGATCCATTAAGCAAGTCGAAGCTCCTTACTTGTTTGAATGGGATCACGGAATAGCTCTGCATGCACTGCAGGGGAATGGGGCCTCTTCTCGCCTCTAGGGGGAAGTCTCATGGTTTTTCTCGAGTTGCGGCGGGGACCTGGGGTATGTTCTCTACTTACGGCGGGGATGGCCCTTCAAAACACGAGTTTCTTCAGTGACGTCAGGACTCCTGTCTAGTAACGAGGGACACCTCAGGAATCTCTTCGAGGCTTGGCAGGGCAAAAGGGAAGCTTCTCGAGGTTATGCAGGGCACCCAAGGACCCTTTCCAGTAGCCACAGGGATTTTGGGATTCCTATCAGTATTCAAGAGGAGTCAGGCATCGTCACCTTTTGAAGCAATGAACTCCGTGTGCCTCTCAAGGTGTCAGCGGGATGTGAGGCGTTCCGTCAAAATGAGGCAGGGACCTAGGGCTTTCTCTAACGTCTCCACAGGGGATTCAGACATCCCTTCATGTTGTGAGATGAAAGACGAGCCTGTATTCAAGCCACTGCCAGGAAATCCGTCCTCCTTTCAAGTTAGGGCTTCTCGCTGTATATTCCCCTTGAGGCAGCAAACTCGGGGTCCCTCCCACATACCTATTGCTGAGAGTAGCCTCCTCCTGAGGTGCTTCTGGAAAGATGGCATACGTCTTGAGCTAAGCCATGGAATCTGCTCTCATCTCGAGACAATTTGGGGTACACGGAGCATTCCTCGAGTTGCTGTGCTGAATTGGTGTTCCTCTAGACTTAGGACAGTGTTCTCGGGGCATCTCTGGAGTTGCCTGAAGGAAGTCGAGCCACCGGTCGTGTTGAATGGGGAACGGGGAATGGCTCTGGAGTCAATGCAGAGGAATCGGGCCTTATCTCGAGTTGATTTGGGGCACATGGTGCTGCTTTGCGTTGCTGGGGTGACCTCAGGGTCCCTCTAGACTGGTGACAGTGTTCCTGGGGACTCTCTCGAGATCCATTAAGCAAGTCGAAGCTCCTGACTTGTTTCAATGGGATCACGGAATATCTCTGCATGAACTGCAGGGGAATGGGGCCTCATCTCGCCTCTAGCCGGAAATCACATGGTTTTTCTCGAGTTAGGGCGGGGACCTGGGGTATGTTCTCTACTTACGGCGGGGATGGCCCGTCAAAACACGAGTTTCTTCAGTGACGTCAGGACTCTTGTCTAGTAACGAGGGACACGTCTGGAATCTCTTCCAGGCTTGGCAGGGCAAAAGGGACACTTCTAGAGGTGAGGCAGGGCACCCAAGGACCCTTTCCAGTAGCCACAGGGATTTTGGGATTCCTATGAGTATTCAAGAGGAGTCAGGCATCGTCACCTTTTGAAGCAATGAACTCCGCGTGTTTCTCTAGGTGTCAGCGGGATGTGAGGCATTCCGTCAAAATGAGGCAGGAACCTAGGGCTTTCTCTAAAGTCTCCACAGGGGATTCAGACAACCATTCATGTTGTGAGATGAAAGACGAGCCTGTATTCAAGCCACTGCAAGGAAATCCGGCCTCCTTTCAAGTTAGGGCTTCTCCCTGTATATTCCCCTTGAGGCAGCAAACTCGGGGTCCCTCCCACATACCTATTGCTGAGAGAAGCCTCCTCCTGAGGTGCTTCTGGGAAGTTGGCATACGTCTTGAGCCTAAGCCAGGGAATCAGCTCTCATCTCGAGACGATTTGGGGTACACGGAGCATTCCTCGAGTTGCTGTGCTGAATTTCGTGTTCCTCTAGACTTGGGACAGTGTTCTCGGGGCATCTCTGGAGTTGCCTGAAGGAAGTCGAGCCACCGGTTGTGTTGAATGGGGAACGGGGAATGGCTCTGGAGTCAATGCAGGGGAATCGGGCCTCATCTCTAGTTGATTTGGGGCACATGGAGCTGATTTGCGTTGCTGGGGTGACCTCAGGGTCCGTCTAGACTGGTGACAGTGTTCCTGGGGACTGTCTCGAGATCCATTAAGCAAGTCGAAGCTCCTGACTTGTTTGAATGGGATCACAGAATAGCTCTGCATGCACTGCCGGGGAATGGGGCCTCATCTCGCCTCTAGGCGGAAGTCTCATGGTTTTTCTCGAGTTGCGGCGGGGACCTGGGATATGTTCTCGACTTACGGCGGGGATGGCCCTTCAAAACACGAGTTTCTTCAGTGACGTCAGGACTCCTGTCTAGTAACGAGGGACACTTCAGGAATCTCTTCGAGGCTTGGCAGGGCAAAAGGGACGCTTCTCGAGGTGAGGCAGGGCACCCAAGGACCCTTTCCAGTAGCCACAGCGATTTTGGGATTCCTATCAGTATTCAAGAGGAGTCAGGCATCGTCACCTTTTGAAGCAATGAACTCCGCGTGCCTCTCGAGGTGTCAGCGGGATGTGAGGCGTTCCGTCAAAATGAGGCAGGGATCTAGGGCTTTCTCTAAGGTCTCCACAGGGGATTGAGACATCCCTTCATGTTGTGAGATGAAAGACGAGCCTGTATTCAAGCCACCTCAAGGATATCCGGCCTCCTTTCATGTTAGGGCTTCTCGCTGTATATTCCCCTTGAGGCAGCAAACTCGGGGTCCCTCCCACATACCTATTGCTGAGAGAAGCCTCCTCCTGAGGTGCTTCTGGAAAGTTGGCATACGTCTTGAGCCTAAGCCAGGGAATCAGCTCTCATCTCGAGACGATTTGGGGTACACGGAGCATTCCTCGAGTTGCTGTGCTGAAGTTGGTGTTCCTCTAGACTTGGGAGAGTATTCTCGGGGCATCTCTGGAGTTGCCTGAAGGAAGTCGAGCCACCGGTCGTGTTGAATGGGGAACGGGGAATGGCTCTGGTGTCAATGCAGGGGAATCGGGCCTCATCTCGAGTTGATTTTGGGCACATGGAGCTGCTGTGCGTTGCTGGTTTGACCTCAGGGTCCGTCTAGAGTGGTGACAGTGTTCTTGGGGACTGTCTCGAGATCCATTAAGCAAGTCGAAGCTCCTGACTTTTTTGAATGGGATCACGGAATAGCTCTGCATGCACTGCAGGGGAATGGGACCTCATCTCGTCTCTAGGGGGAAGGCTCATGGTTTTTCTCGAGTTGCGGCGGGGACCTGGGGTATGTTCTCGACTTACGGCGGGGATGGCCCTTCAAAACACGAGTTTCTTCAGTGACGTCAGGACTCCTGTCTAGTAGCGAGGGACACCTCAGGAATGTCTTCGAGGCTTGGCAGGGCAAAAGGGACGCTTCTCGAGGTGAGGCAGGGCACCCAAGGACCCTTTCCAGTAGCCACAGGGATTTTGGGATTCGTATCAGTATTCAAGAGGAGTCAGGCATCGTCACCTTTTGAAGCAGTGAACTCCGTGTGCCTCTCGAGGTGTCAGCGGGATGTGAGGCGTTCCGTCAAAATGAGGCAGGCACCTAGGGTTTTCTCTAAGGTCTCCACAGGGGATTCAGACATCCCTTCATGTTGTGAGATGAAAGACGAGCCTGTATTCAAGCCACTGCAAGGAAATCCGGCCTCCTTTCAAGTTAGGGCTTCTCGCTGTATATTCCCCTTGAGGCAGCACCCTCGGGGTCCCTCCCACATACCTATTGCTGAGAGAAGCCTCCTCCTGAGGTGCTTCTGGAAAGTTGGCATACGTCTTGAGCCTAAGCCAGGGAATCAGCTCTCATCTCGAGACGATTTGGGGTACACAGAGCATTCCTCGAGTTGCTGTGCTGAAGTTGGTGTTCCTCTAGACTTGGGACAGTGTTCTTGGGGCATCTCTGGAGTTGCCTGAAGGAAGTCGAGCCACCGGTCGTGTTGAATGGGGAACGGGGAATGGCTCTGGAGTCAATGCAAGGGAATCGGCCTCATCTGGAGTTGATTTGGGGCACATGGAGCTGCTTTGCGTTGCTGGGGTGACCTCAGGGTCCGTCTAGACTGGTGACAGTGTTCTTGGGGACTGTTTCGAGATCCATTAAGCAAGTCGAAGCTCCTGACTTCTTTGAATGGGATCACGGAATAGCTCTGCATGCACTGCAGGGGAATGGGGCCTCATCTCGCCTCTAGGGGGAAGTCTCATCGTTTTTCTCGAGTTGCTGCGGGGACCTGGGGTATGTTCTCGACTTACGGCTGGGATGGCCCTTCAAAACACGAGTTTCTTCAGTGACGTCAGGACTCCTCTCTAGTAACGAGGGACACCTCAGGAATATCTTCGAGTCTTGGCAGGGCAAAAGGGAAGCTTCTCGAGGTGAGGCAGGGCACCCAAGGATCCTTTCCAGTAGCCACAGGGATTTTGGGATTCCTATCAGTATTCAAGAGGAGTCAGGGATCGTCACCTTTTGAAGCAATGAACTCCGCGTGCCTCTCGAGGTGTCAGCGGGATGTGAGGCATTTCGTCAAAATGAGGCAGGGACATAGGGCTTTCTCTAAGGTCTCCACAGGGGATTGAGACATCCCTTCATGTTGTGAGATGAAAGACAAGCCTGTATTCAAGCCACTGCAAGGAAATCCGGCCTCCTTTCAAGTTAGGGCTTCTCGCTGTATATTCGCCTTGAGGCAGCAAACTCGGGGTGCCTCCCACATACCTATTGCTGAGAGAAGCCTCCTCCTGAGGTGCTTCTGGAAATTTGGCATACGTCTTGAGCCTAAGAAAGGGAATCAGCTCTCATCTCGAGACGATTTGGGGTACACGGAGCATTCCTCGAGTTGCTGTGCTGAAGTTGGTGTTCCTCTAGACTTGGGACAGTGTTCTCGGGGCATCTCTGGAGTTGCCTGAAGGAAGTCGAGCCACCGGTCGTGTTGAATGGGGAACGGGGAATGGCTCTGTAGTCAATGCAGGGGAATCGGGCCTCATCTCGAGTTGATTTGGGGCACATGGAGCTGCTTTGCGTTGCAGGGGTGACCTCAGGGTCCGTCTAGACTGGTGACAGTGTTCTTGGGTACTGTCTCGAGATCCATTAAGCAAGTCGAAGCTCCTGACTTGTTTGAATGGGATCACGGAATAGCTCTGAATGCACTGCAGGGGAATGGGGCCTCTCCTCGCCTCTAGGGGGAAGTCTCATGGTTTTTCTCGAGTTGCGGCGGGGACCTGGGGTATGTTCTCGACTTACGGCGGGGATGGCCCTTCAAAACACGAGTTTCTTCAGTGACGTCAGGACTCCTGTCTAGTAACGAGGGACATCTCAGGAATCTCTTCGAGGATTGGCAGGGTCATATTGAGGCTTCTCGAGGTGTGGCAGGGCACCCAAGGACCCTTTCCCATAGCCACAGGGATTTTGGGTTTCCTATCAGTATTCAAGAGGAGTCAGGCATCGTCACCTTTTGAAGCAATGAACTCCGCGTGCCTCTCGAGGTGTCAGCGTGATGTGAGGCATTCCGTCAAAATGAGACAGTGACCTAGGGCTTTCTCTAAGGTCTCCACAGGGGATTCAGATATCCCTTCATGTTGTGAGATGAAAGACGAGCCTGTATTCAAGCCACTGCAAGGAAATCCGGCCTCCTTTCAAGTTAGGGCTTCTCGCTGTATATTCCCCTTGAGGCAGCAAACTCGGGGTCCCTCCCACATACCTATTGCTGAGAGAAGCCTCCTCCTGAGGTGCTTCTGAAAAGTTGGTATACGTCTTGAGCCTAAGCCAGGGAATCAGCTCTCATCTCGAGACGATTTGGGGTACACGGATTATTCCTCGAGTTAATGTGCTGAAGTTGGTGTTCCTCTAGACTTGGGACAGTGTTCTCGGGGCATCTCTGGAGTTGCCTGAAGGAAGTCGAACCACCAGTCATGTTGAATGGGGAACGGGGAACGGCTCTGGAGTCAATGCAGGGGAATCAGGCCTCATCTCGAGTTGATTTGGGGCACATGGATCTGCTTTGCGTTGCTGGGGTGACCTCAGGGTCCGTCTAGACTGGTGACAGTGTTCTTGGGGACTGTCTCGAGATCCATTAAGCAAGTCGAAGCTCCTGACTTGTTTGAATGGGATCACGGAATAGCTCTGCATGCACTGCAGGGGAATGGGGCCTCATGTCACCTCTAGGGGGAAGTCTCATGGTTTTTCTCGAGTTGCGGCGGGGACCTGGGGTATGTTCTCGACTTACGGCGGGGATGGCCCTTCAAAACACGAGTTTCTTCAGTGACGTCAGGACTCCTGTCTAGTAAAGAGGGACAACTCAGGAATCTCTTCGAGGCTTGGCAGGGCCAAATTGAGGCTTCTGGAGGTGAGGCAGGGCACCCAAGGACACTTTCCAGTAGCCACAGGGATTTTGGGATTCCTATCAGTATTCAAGAGGAGTCAGGCATCGTCACCTTTTGAAGCAATGAACTCCGCGTGCCTCTCGAAGTGTCAGCGGGATGTGAGGCATTCCGTCAAAATGAGGCAGGGACCTAGGGCTTTCTCTAAGGTCTCCACAGGGGATTCAGACATCCCTTCATGTTGTGAGATGAAAGACGAGCCTGTATTCAAGCCACTGCAAGGAAATTCGGCCTCCTTTCAAGTTAGGGCTTCTCGCTGTATATTCCCCTTGAGGCAGCAAACTCGGGGTCCCTCCTACATACTTATTGCTGAGAGAAGCCTCCTCCTGAGGTGCTTCTGGAAAGTTGGCATACGTCTTGAGCCTAAGCCAGGGAATCAGCTTTCATCTCGAGACGATTTGGGTTACACGGAGCATTCCTCGAGTTGTTGTGCTGAAGTTGGTGTTCCTCTAGACTTGGGACAGTGTTCTCGGGGCATCTCTGGAGTCGCCTGAAGGACGTCAAGCCACCTGTCCTGTTGAATGGGGAACGGGGAATGGCTCTGGAGTCAATGCACGGGAATCGGGCCTCATCTCGAATTGATTTGGGGCACATGGAGCTGCTTTGCGTTGCTGGGGTGACCTCAGGGTCCATCTAGACTGGTGACAGTGTTCTTGGGGACTGTCTCGAGATCCATTAAGCAAGTCGAAGCTCCTGACTTGTTTGAATGGGATCACGGAATAGCTCTGCATGCACTGCAGGGGAATGGGGCCTCTTCTCGCCTCTAGGGGGAAGTCTCATGGTTTTTTTTCGAGTTGCGGCGGGGACCTGGGATATGTTCTCGACTTACGGCGGGGATGGCCCTTCAAAACACGAGTTTCTTCAGTGACGTCAGGACTCCTGTCTAGTAACGAGGGACACCTCAGGAATCTCTTCGAGGCTTGGCAGGGCAAAAGGGACGCTTCTCGAGGTGAGGCAGGGCACCCAAGGACCCTTTCCAGTAGCCACAGGGATTTTGGGATTCCTATCAGTATTCAAGAGGAGTCAGGCATCGTCACCTTTTGAAGCAATGAACTCCGCGTGCCTCTCGAGGTGTCAGCGGGTTGTGAGGAGTTCCGTCAAAATGACGCAGGCACCTAGGGCTTTCTCTAAGGTCTCCACAGGGGATTCAGACATCCCTTCATGTCGTGAGATGAAAGACGAGCCTGTATTCAAGCCACTGCAAGGAAATCCGGCCTCCTTTCAAGTTAGGGCTTCTCGCTGTATATTCCCCTTGAGGCAGCAAACTCGGGGTCCCTCCCACATACCTATTGCTGAGAGAAGCCTCCTCCTGAGGTGCTTCTGAAAAGTTGGTATACGTCTTGAGCCTAAGCCAGGGAATCAGCTCTCATCTCGAGACGATTTGGGGTACACGGATCATTCCTCGAGTTAATGTGCTGATGTTGGTGTTCCTCTAGACTTGGGACAGTGTTCTCGGGGCATCTCTGGAGTTGCCTGAAGGAAGTCGAACCACCGGTCATGTTGAATGGGGAACGGGGAATGGCTCTGGAGTCAATGCAGGGGAATCAGGCCTCATCTCGAGTTGATTTGGGGCACATGGATCTGCTTTGCGTTGCTGGGGTGACCTCAGGGTCCGTCTACACTGGTGACAGTGTTCTTGGGGACTGTCTCGAGATCCATTAAGCAAGTCGAAGCTCCTGACTTGTTTGAATGGGACCACGGAATAGCTCTGCCTGCACTGCAGGGGAATGGGGCCTCATGTCGCCTCTAGGGGGAAGTCTCATGGTTTTTCTCGAGTTGCGGCGGGGACCTGGGGTATGTTCTCGACTTACGGCGGGGATGGCCCTTCAAAACACGAGTTTCTTCAGTGACGTCAGGACTCCTGTCTAGTAAAGAGGGACAACTCAGGAATCTCTTCGAGGCTTTGCAGGGCCAAATTGAGGCTTCTCGAGGTGAGGCAGGGCACCCAAGGACACTTTCCAGTAGCCACAGGGATTTTGGGATTCCTATCAGTATTCAAGAGGAGTCAGGCATCGTCACCTTTTGAAGCAATGAACTCCGCGTGCCTCTCGAAGTGTCAGCGGGATGTGAGGCATTCCGTCAAAATGAGGCAGGGACCTAGGGCTTTCTCTAAGGTCTCCACAGGGGATTCAGACATCCCTTCATGTTGTGAGATGAAAGACGAGCCTGTATTCAAGCCACTGCAAGGAAATTCGGCCTCCTTTCAAGTTAGGGCTTCTCGCTGTATATTCCCCTTGAGGCAGCAAACTCGGGGTCCCTCCTACATACCTATTGCTGAGAGAAGCCTCCTCCTGAGGTGCTTCTGGAAAGTTGGCATACGTCTTGAGCCTAAGCCAGGGAATCAGCTTTCATCTCGAGACGATTTGGGTTACACGGAGCATTCCTCGAGTTGTTGTGCTGAAGTTGGTGTTCCTCTAGACTTGGGACAGTGTTCTCGGGGCATCTCTGGAGTCGCCTGAAGGACGTCAAGCCACCTGTCCTGTTGAATGGGGAACGGGGAATGGCTCTGGAGTCAATGCAGGGGAATCGGGCCTCATCTCGAGTTGATTTGGGGCACATGGAGCTGCTTTGCGTTGCTGGGGTGACCCCAGGGTCCGTCTAGACTGGTGACAGTGATCTTGGGGACTGTCTCGAGATCCATTAAGCAAGTCGAAGCTCCTGACTTGTTTGAATGGGATCACGGAATAGCTCTGCATGCACTGCAGGGGAATGGGGCCTCATCTCGCCTCTAGGGGGAAGTCTCATGGTTTTTCTCGAGTTGCGGCGGGGACCTGGGGTATGTTCTCGACTTACGGCGGGGATGGCCCTTCAAAACACGAGTTTCTTCAGTGACGTCAGGACTCCTGTCTAGTAATGAGGGACATCTCAGGAATCTCTTCGAGGCTTGGCAGGGTCAAATTGAGGCTTCTCAAGGTGTGGCAGGGCACCCAAGGACCCTTTCCCGTAGCCACAGGAATTTTGGGATTCCTATCAGTATTCAAGAGGAGTCAGGCATCGTCACCTTTTGAAGCAATGAACTCCGCGTGCCTCTCGAGGTGTCAGCGTGATGTGAGGCATTCCGTCAAAATGAGGCAGTGACCTAGGGCTTTCTCTAAGGTCTCCACAGGGGATTCAGACATCCCTTCATGTTGTGAGATGAAAGACGAGCCTGTATTCAAGCCACTGCAAGGAAATCCGGCCTCCTTTCAAGTTAGGGCTTCTCGCTGTATATTCCCCTTGAGGCAGCAAACTCGGGGTCCCTCCCACATACCTATTGCTGAGAGAAGCCTCCGCCTGAGGTGCTTCTGGAAAGTTGGCATACGTCTTGAGCCTAAGCCAGGGAATCAGCTCTCATCTCGAGACTATTTGTTGTACACGGAGCATTCCTCGAATTAATGTGCTGAAGTTGGTGTTCCTCTAGACTTGGGACAGTGTTCTCGGGGCATCTCTGGAGTTGCCTGAAGGAAGTCGAGCCACCAGTCGGGTTGAATGGGGAACAGGGAATGGCTCTGGAGTCAATGCAGGGGAATCAGGCCTCATTTCGAGTTGATTTGGTGCACATGGAGCTGCTTTGCGTTGCTGAGGTGACCTCAGGGTCTGTCTAGACTGGTGACAGTGTTCTTGGGGACTGTCTGGAGATCCATCAAGCAAGTCGAAGCTCCTGACTTGTTTGAATGGGATCATGGAATAGCTCTGCATGCACTGCAGGGTAATGGGGCCTCATCTCGCCTCTAGGGGGAAGTTTCATGGTTTTTCTCGAGTTGCGGCGAGGACCTGGGTTATGTTCTCGACTTACGGCGGGGATGGCCCTTCAAAACACGAGTTTCTTCAGTGACGTCAGGACTACTCTCTAGTAAAGAGGGACACCTCAGGAATCTCTTCGAGGCTTGGCAGGGCAAAAGGGACGCTTCTCGATGTGAGGCAGGGCACCCAAGCAGCCTTTCCCGTAGCCACACGGATTTTGGGATTCCTATCAGTATTCAAGAGGAGTCAGGCATCGTCACCTTTTGAAGCAATGAACTCCGCGTGCCTCTCGAGGTGTCAGCGGGATGTGAGGCATTCCGTCAAAATGAGGCAGGGACCTAGGGCTTTCTCTAAGGTCTCCACAGGGGATTCAGACATCCCTTCATGTTGTGAGATGAAAGACGAGCCTGTATTCAAGCCACTGCAAGGAAATCTGGCCTCCTTTCAAGTTAGGGCTTCTCGCTGTATATTCCCTTGAGGCAGCAAACTCGGGGTCCCTCCCACATACCTATTGCTGAGAGTAGCCCCCTCCTGAGGTGCTTCTGGAAAGATGGCATACGTCTTGAGCCTAAGCCATGGAATCTGCTCTCATTTCGAGACGATTTGGGGTACACGGAGCATTCCTCGAGTTGCTGTGCTGAAGTTGGTGTTCCTCTAGACTTGGGACAGCATTCTCGGGGCATCTCTGGAGTTGCCTGAAGGAAGTCGAGCCACCGGTCGTGTTGAATGGGGAACGGGGAATGGTTCTGGAGTCAATGCAGGGTAATCGGCCCCATCTCGAGTTGATTTTGGGCACATGGAGCTGCTTTGCGTTGCTGGGGTGACCTCAGGGTCCGTCTAGACTGGTGACAGTGTTCTTGGGGACTGTCTCGAGATCCATTAAGCAAGTCGAAGCTCCTGACTTGTTTGAATGGGATCACGGAATAGCTCTGCATGCACTGCAGGGGAATGGGGCCTCATCTCGCCTCTAGGGGGAAGTCTCATGGTTTTTCTCGAGTTGCTGCGGGGACCTGGGCTATGTTCTCGACTTACGGCGGGGATGGCCCTTCAAAACACGAGTTTCTTCACTGACGTCAGGTCTCCTGTCTAGTAACGAGCGACACCTCAGGAATCTCTTCGAGGCTTGGCAGGGCATAAGGGACGCTTCTCGAGGTGAGGCAGGGCACCCAAGGACCCTTTCCAGTAGCCACAGGGATTTTGGGATTGCTATCAGTATTCAAGAGGAATCAGGCATCATCACCTTTTGAAGCAATGAACTCCGTTTGCCTCTCAAGGTGTCAGCGGGATGTGAGGCATTCCGTCAAAATGAGGCAGGGACCTAGGGCTTTCTCTAAGGTCTCCACAGGGGATTCAGACATCCCTTCATGTTGTGCGATGAAAGACGAGCCTGTATTCAAGCCACTGCAAGGAAATCCGGCCTCCTTTCAAGTTAGGGCTTCTCGCTGTATATTCCCCTTGAGGCAGCAAACTCGGGGTCCCTCCCACATACCTATTGCTGAGAGAAGCCTCCTCCTGAGGTGCTTCTGGAAATTTGGCATACGTCTTGAGCCTAAGCCAGGGAATCAGCTCTCATCTCGAGACGGTTTGGGGTAAACGGAGCATTCCTCGAGTTGCTGTGCTGAAGTTGGTGTTCCTCTAGACTTGGGACAGTGTTCTCGGTGCATCTCTGCAGTTGCCTGAAGGAAGTCGAGCCACCGGTCGCGTTGAATGGGGAACGGGGAATGGCTCTGGTGTCAATGCAGGGGAATCGGGCCTCATCTCGAGTTGATTTGGGGCACATGGAGCTGCTTTGCGTTGCTGGGGTGACCTCAGGGTCCGTCTAGACTGGTGACAGTGATCTTGGGGACTGTCTCGAGATCCATTAAGCAAGTCGAAGCTCCTGACTTGTTTGAATGGGATCACGGAATAGCTCTGCATGCACTGCAGGGGAATGGGGCCTCATCTCGCCTCTAGGGGGAAGTCTCATGGTTTTTCTCGAGTTGCGGCGGGGACCTGGGGTATGTTCTCGACTTACGGCGGGGATGGCCCATCAAAACACGAGTTTCTTCAGTGACGTCAGGACTCCTGTCTAGTAATGAGGGACATCTCAGGAATCTCTTCGAGGCTTGGCAGGGCAAAAGGGACGCTTCTCGATGTGAGGCAGGGCACCCAAGCAGCCTTTCCCGTAGCCACACGGATTTTGGGATTCCTATCAGTATTCAAGAGGAGTCAGGCATCGTCACCTTTTGAAGCAATGAACTCCGCGTGCCTCTCGAGGTGTCAGCGGGATGTGAGGCATTCCGTCAAAATGAGGCAGGGACCTAGGGCTTTCTCTAAGGTCTCCACAGGGGATTCAGACATCCCTTCATGTTGTGAGATGAAAGACGAGCCTGTATTCAAGCCACTGCAAGGAAATCTGGCCTCCTTTCAAGTTAGGGCTTCTCGCTGTATATTCCCTTGAGGCAGCAAACTCGGGGTCCCTCCCACATACCTATTGCTGAGAGTAGCCCCCTCCTGAGGTGCTTCTGGAAAGATGGCATACGTCTTGAGCCTAAGCCATGGAATCTGCTCTCATTTCGAGACGATTTGGGGTACACGGAGCATTCCTCGAGTTGCTGTGCTGAAGTTGGTGTTCCTCTAGACTTGGGACAGCATTCTCAGGGCATCTCTGGAGTTGCCTGAAGGAAGTCGAGCCACCAGTCGTGTTGAATGGGGAACGGGGAATGGTTCTGGAGTCAATGCAGTGTAATCGGCCCCATCTCGAGTTGATTTTGGGCACATGGAGCTGCTTTGCGTTGCTGGGGTGACCTCAGTGTCCGTCTAGACTGGTGACAGTGTTCTTGGGGACTGTCTCGAGATCCATTAAGCAAGTCGAAGCTCCTGACTTGTTTGAATGGGATCACGGAATAGCTCTGCATGCACTGCAGGGGAATGGGGCCTCATCTCGCCTCTAGGGGGAAGTCTCATGGTTTTTCTCGAGTTGCTGCGGGGACCTGGGCTATGTTCTCGACTTAGGGCGGGGATGGCCCTTCAAAACACGAGTTTCTTCACTGACGTCAGGTCTCCTGTCTAGTAACGAGCGACACCTCAGGAATCTCTTCGAGGCTTGGCAGGGCATAAGGGACGCTTCTCGAGGTGAGGCAGGGCACCCAAGGACCCTTTCCAGTAGCCACAGGGATTTTGGGATTGCTATCAGTATTCAAGAGGAATCAGGCATCATCACCTTTTGAAGCAATGAACTCCGTTTCCTCTCAAGGTGTCAGCGGGATGTGAGGCATTCCGTCAAAATGAGGCAGGGACCTAGGGCTTTCTCTAAGGTCTCCACAGGGGATTCAGACATCCCTTCATGTTGTGAGATGAAAGACGAGCCTGTATTCAAGCCACTGCAAGGAAATCCGGCCTCCTTTCAAGTTAGGGCTTCTCGCTGTATATTCCCCTTGAGGCAGCAAACTCGGGGTCCCTCCCACATACCTATTGCTGAGAGAAGCCTCCTCCTGAGGTGCTTCTGGAAATTTGGCATACGTCTTGAGCCTAAGCCAGGGAATCAGCTCTCATCTCGAGACGATTTGGGGTACACGGAGCATTCCTCGAGTTGCTGTGCTGAAGTTGGTGTTCCTCTAGACTTGGGACAGTGTTCTCGGTGCATCTCTGCAGTTGCCTGAAGGAAGTCGAGCCACCGGTCGTGTTGAATGGGGAACGGGGAATGGCTCTGGTGTCAATGCAGGGGAATCGGGCCTTATCTCGAGTTGATTTGGGGCACATGGAGCTGCTTTGCGTTGCTGGGGTGACCTCAGGGTCCGTCTAGACTGGTGACAGTGTTCTTGGGGACTGTCTCGAGATCCATTAAGCAAGTCAAAGCTCCTGACTTGTTTGAATGGGATCACGGAATAGCTCTGCATGCACTGCAGGGGAATGGGGCCTCATCTCGCCTCTAGGGGGAAGTCTCATGGTTTTTCTCGAGTTGCGGCGGGGACCTGGGTTATGTTCTCGACTTACGGCGGGGATGGCCCTTCAAAACACGAGTTTCTTCAGTGACGTCAGGACTCCTGTCTAGTAACGAGGGACACCTCAGGAATCTCTTCGAGGCTTGGCAGGGTCAAATTGAGGCTTCTCGAGGTGTGGCAGGGCACCCAAGGACCCTTTCCCGTAGCCACAGGGATTTTGGGATTCCTATCAGTATTCAAGAGGAGTCAGGCATCGTCACCTTTTGAAGCAATGAACTCCGCGTGCCTCTCGAGGTGTCAGCGTGATGTGAGGCATTCCGTCAAAATGAGGCAGTGACCTAGGGCTTTCTCTAAGGTCTCCACAGGGGATTCAGACATCCCTTCATGTTGTGAGATGAAAGACGAGCCTGTGTTCAAGCCACTGCAAGGAAATCCGGCCTCCTTTCAAGTTAGGGCTTCTCGCTGTATATTCCCCTTGAGGCAACAAACTCGGGGTCCCTCCCACTTACCTATTGCTGAGAGAAGCCTCCGCCTGAGGTGCTTCTGGAAAGTTGGCATACGTCTTGAGCCTAAGCCAGGGAATCAGCTCTCATCTCGAGACTATTTGGTGTACACCGAGCATTCCTCGAATTAATGTGCTGAAGTTGGTGTTCCTCTAGACTTGGGACAGTGTTCTCGGGGCATCACTGGAGTTGCCTGAAGGAAGTCGAGCCACCAGTCGGGTTGAATGGGGAACGGGGAATGGCTCTGGAGTCAATGCAGGTGAATCAGGCCTCATTTCGAGTTGATTTGTTGCACATGGAGCTGCTTTGCGTTGCTGGGGTGACCTCAGGGTCTGTCTAGACTGGTGACAGTGTTCTTGGGGACTGTCTCGAGATCCATGAAGCAAGTCGAAGCTCCTGACTTGTTTGAATGGGATCATGGAATAGCTCTGCATGCACTGCAGGGGAATGGGGCCTCATCTCGCCTCTAGGGGGAAGTCTCATGGTTTTTCTCGAGTTGCGGCGAGGACCTGGGGTATGTTCTCGACTTACGGCGGGGATGGCCCTTCAAAACACGAGTTTCTTCAGTGACGTCTGGACTCCTGTCTAGTAAAGAGGGACACCTCAGGAATCTCTTCGAGGCTTGGCAGGGCAAAAGGGACGCTTCTCGATGTGAGGCAGGGCACCCAAGCAGCCTTTCCCGTAGCCACACGGATTTTGGGATTCCTATCAGTATTCAAGAGGAGTCAGGCATCGTCACCTTTTGAAGCAATGAACTCCGCGTGCCTCTCGAGGTGTCAGCGGGATGTGAGGCATTCCGTCAAAATGAGGCAGGGATCTAGGGCTTTCTCTAAGGTCTCCACAGGGGATTCAGACATCCCTTCATGTTGTGAGATGAAAGACGAGCCTGTATTCAAGCCACTGCAAGGAAATCCGGCCTCCTTTCAAGTTAGGGCTTCTCGCTGTATATTCCCTTGAGGCAGCAAACTCGGGGTCCCTCCCACATACCTATTGCTGAGAGTAGCCTCCTCCTGAGGTGCTTCTGGAAAGATGGCATACGTCTTGAGCCTAAGCCATGGAATCTGCTCTCATGTGGAGACGATTTGGGGTACACGGAGCATTCCTCGAGGTGCTGTGCTGAAGTTGTTGTTCCTCTAGACTTGGGACAGCATTCTCGGGACATCTCTGGAGTTGCCTGAAGGAAGTCGAGCCACCGGTCGTGTTGAATGGGGAATGGGGAATGACTCTGGAGTCAATGCAGGGTAATCGGGCCTCATCTCGAGTTGATTTTGGGCACATGGAGCTGCTTTGCGTTGCTGGGGTGACCTCAGGGTCCGTCTAGACTGGTGACAGTGTTCTTGGGGACTGTCTCGAGATCCATTAAGCAAATCGAAGCTCCTGACTTGTTTGAATGGGATCACGGAATAGCTCTGCATGCACTGCAGGGGAATGGGGCCTCATCTCGCCTCTAGGGGGAAGTCTCATGGTTTTTCTCGAGTTGCGGCGGGGACCTGGGATATGTTCTCGACTTACGGCGGGGATGGCCCTTCAAAACACGAGTTTCTTCACTGACGTCAGGACTCCTGTCTAGTAACGAGCGACACCTCAGGAATCTCTTCGAGGCTTGGCAGGGCAAAAGGGACGCTTCTCGAGGTGAGGCAGGGCACAAAAGGACCCTTTCCCGTAGCCACAGGGATTTTGGGATTCCTGTCAGTATTCAAGAGGAATCAGGCATCGTCACCTTTTGAAGCAATGAAGTCCGCGTGCCTCTCGTGGTGTCAGCGGCATGTGAGGCATTCCGTCAAAATGAGGCAGGGACCTAGGGCTTTCTCTAAGGTCTCCACAGGGGATTCAGACATCCCTTCATGTTGTGAGATGAAAGACGAGCCTGTATTCAAGCCACTGCAAGGAAATCCGGCCTCCTTTCAAGTTAGGGCTTGTCGCTGTATATTCCCCTTGAGGCAGCAAACTCGGGGTCCCTCCCACATACCTATTGCTGAGAGAAGCCTCCTCCTGAGGTGCTTCTGGAAAGTTGGCATACGTCTTGAACCTAAGCCAGAGAATCAGCTCTCATCTCGAGACGATTTGGGGTACACGGAGCATTCCTCGAGTTGCTGTGCTGAAGTTGGTGTTCCTCTAGACTTGGGAAAGTGTTCTCAGGGCATCTCTGGAGTTGCCTAAAGGAAGTCGAGCCACCAGTCGGGTTGAATGGGGAACGGGGAATGACTCTGGATTCAATGCAAGGGAATCGGGCCTCATCTCGAGTTGATTTGGGGCACATGGAGCTGCTTTGCGTTGCTGGGGTGACCTCAGGGTCCGTCTAGACTGGTGACAGTGTTCTTGGGGACTGTCTCGAGACCCATTAAGCAAGTCGAAGCTCCTGACTTGTTTGAATGGGATCACGGAATAGCTCTGCATGCACTGCAGGGGAATGGGGCCTCTTCTCGCCTCTAGGGGGAAGTCTCATGTTTTTTCTCGAGTTGCGGCGGGGACCTGGGGTATGTTCTCGACTTACGGCGGGGAAGGCCCTTCAAAACACGAGTTTCTTCAGTGACGTCAGGACTCCTCTCTAGTAACGAGGGACACTTCAGGAATCTCTTCGAGGCTTGGCAGGGCCAAAGGGACGCTTCTCGAGGTGAGGCAGGGCACCCAAGGACCCTTTCCAGTAGCCACAGGGATTTTGGGATTCCTGTCAGTATTCAAGAGGAATCAGGCATCGTCACCTTTTGAAGCAATGAAATCCGCGTGCCTCTCGTGGTGTCAGCGGGATGTGAGGCATTCCGTCAAAATGAGGCAGGGACCTAGGGCTTTCTCTAAGGTCTCCACAGGGGATTCAGACATCCCTTCATGTTGTGAGATGAAAGACAAGCCTGTATTCAAGCCACTGCAAGGAAATCCGGCCTCCTTTCAATTTAGGGCTTCTCGCTGTATATTCCCCTTGAGGCAGTAAACTCGGGGTCCCTCCCACATTCCTATTGCTGAGAGAAGCCTCCCCCTGAGGTGTTTCTGGAAAGTTGGCATATGTCTTGAGCCTAAGCCAGGGAATCAGCTCTCATCTCGAGAAGATTTGGGGTACAAGGAGCATTCCTCTAGTTGCTGTGCTGAAGTTGGTGTTCCTCTAGACTTGGCACAGTGTTCTCAGGGCATCTCTGGAGTTGCCTGAAGGAAGTCGAGCCACCGGTCCTGTTGAAAGGGGAACGGGGAATGGCTCTGGAGTCAATGCAGGGGAATCGGGCCTCATCTCGAGTTGATTTGAGGCACATGGAGCTGCTTTGCGTTGCTGTGGTGACCTCAGGGTCCGTCTAGACTGGTGACAGTGTTCTTGGGGACTGTCTCGAGATCCATTAAGCAAGTCGAAGCTCCTGACTTGTTTGAATGGGATCACGGAATAGCTCTGCATGCACTGCAGGGGAATGGGGCCTCATCTCGCCTCTAGGGGGAAGTCTCATGGTTTTTCTCGAGTTGCGGCGGGGACCTGGGGTATGATCTCGACTTACGGCGGGGATGGCCCTTCAAAACACGAGTTTCTTCAGTGACGTCAGGACTCCTGTCTAGTAATGAGGGACATCTCAGGAATCTCTTCGAGGCTTGGCAGGGTCAAATTGAGGCTTCTCGAGGTGTGGCAGGGCACCCAAGGACCCTTTCCCGTAGCCACAGGGATTTTGGGATTCCTATCAGTATTCAAGAAGAGTCAGGCATCGTCACCTTTTGAAGCAATGAACTCCGCGTGCCTCTCGAGGTGTCAGCGTGATGTGAGGCATTCCGTCAAAATGAGGCAGTGACCTAGGGCTTTCTCTAAGGTCTCCACAGGGGATTCAGACATCCCTTCATGTTGTGAGATGAAAGACGAGCCTGTATTCAAGCCACTGCAAGGAAATCCGGCCTCCTTTCAAGTTAGGGCTTCTCGCTGTATATTCCCCTTGAGGCAGCAAACTCGGGGTCCCTCCCACATACCTATTGCTGAGAGAAGCCTCGGCCTGAGGTGCTTCTGGAAAGTTGGCATACGTCTTGAGCCTAAGCCAGGGAATCAGCTCTCATCTCGAGACTATTTGGTGTACACGGAGCATTCCTCGAATTAATGTGCTGAAGTTGGTGTTCCTCTAGACTTGGGACAGTGTTCTCGGGGCATCACTGGAGTTGCCTGAAGGAAGTCGAGCCACCAGTCGGGTTGAATGGGGAATGGGGAATGGCTCTGGAGTCAATGCAGGTGAATCAGGCCTCATTTCGAGTTGATTTGTTGCACATGGAGCTGCTTTGCGTTGCTGGGGTGACCTCAGGGTCTGTCTAGACTGGTGACAGTGTTCTTGGGGACTGTCTCGAGATCCATTAAGCAAGTCGAAGCTCCTGACTTGTTTGAATGGCATCACGGAATAGCTCTGCATGCACTGCAGGGGAATGGGGCCTCATCTCGCCTCTAGGGGGAAGTCTCATGGTTTTTCTCGAGTTGCGGCGAGGACCTGGGGTATGTTCTCGACTTACGGCGGGGATGGCCCTTCAAAACACGAGTTTCTTCAGTGACGTCAGGACTACTCTCTAGTAAATAGGGACACCTCAGGAATCTCTTCGAGGCTTGGCAGGGCAAAAGGGACGCTTCTCGATGTGAGGCAGGGCACCCAAGCAGCCTTTCCCGTAGCCACACTAATTTTGGGATTCCTATCAGTATTCAAGAGGAGTCAGGCATCGTCACCTTTTGAAGCAATGAACTCCGTGTGCCTCTCGAGGTGTCATCGGGATGTGAGGCATTCCGTCAAAATGAGGCAGGGACCTAGGGCTTTCTCTAAGGTCTCCACAGGGGATTCAGACATCCCTTCATGTTGTGAGATGAAAGACGAGCCTGTATTCAAGCCACTGCAAGGAAATCCGGCCTCCTTTCAAGTTAGGGCTTCTCGCTGTATATTCCCTTGAGACAGCAAACTCGGGGTCCCTCCCACATACCTATTGCTGAGAGTAGCCTCCTCCTGAGGTGCTTCTGGAAAGATGGCATACGTCTTGAGCCTAAGCCATGGAATCTGCTCTCATCTCGAGACGATTTGGGGTACACGGAGCATTCCTCGAGGTGCTGTGCTGAAGTTGTTGTTCCTCTAGACTTGGGACAGCATTCTCGGGGCATCTCTGGTGTTGCCTGAAGGAAGTCGAGCCACCGGTCGTGTTGAATGGGGAACGGGGAATGGCTCTGGAGTCAATGCAGGGTAATCGGGCCTCATCTCGAGTTGATTTTGGGCACATGGAGCTGCTTTGCGTTGCTGGGGTGACCTAAGGGTCCGTCTAGACTGGTGACAGTGTTCTTGGGGACTGTCTCGAGATCCATTAAGCAAGTCGAAGCTCCTGACTTGTTTGAATGGGATCACGGAATAGCTCTGCATGCACTGCAGGGGAATGGGGCCTCATCTCGCCTCTAGGGGGAAGTCTCATGGTTTTTCTCGAGTTGCGGCGGGGACCTGGGATATGTTCTCGACTTACGGCGGGGATGGCCCTTCAAAACACGAGTTTCTTCACTGACGTCAGGACTCCTGTCTAGTAACGAGCGACACCTCAGGAATCTCTTCGAGGCTTGGCAGGGCATAAGGGACGCTTCTCGAGGTGAGGCAGGGCACCCAAGGACCCTTTCCCGTAGCCACACTCATTTTGGGATTCCTATCAGTATTCAAGAGGAATCAGGCATCGTCACCTTTTGAAGCAATGAACTCCGTTTGCCTCTCAAGGTGTCAGCGGGATGTGAGGCATTCCGTCAAAATGTGGCAGGGACCTAGGGCTTTCTCTAAGGTCTCCACATGGGATTCAGACATCCCTTCACGTTGTGAGATGAAAGACGAGCCTGTATTCAAGCCACTGCAAGGAAATCCGGCCTCCTTTCAAGTTAGGGCTTCTCGCTGTATATTCCCCTTGAGGCAGCAAACTCGGGGTCCCTCCCACATTCCTATTGCTGAGAGAAGCCTCCTCCTGAGGTGCTTCTGGAAATTTGGCATACGTCTTGAGCCTAAGCCAGGGAATCAGCTCTCATCTCGAGACGATTTGGGGTACACGGAGCATTCCTCGAGTTGCTGTGCTGAAGTTGGTGTTCCTCTAGACTTGGGACAGTGTTCTCGGTGCATCTCTGCAGTTGCCTGAAGGAAGTCGAGCCACCGGTCGTGTTGAATGGGGAACGGGCAATGGCTCTGGTGTCAATGCAGGGGAATCGGGCCTCATCTCGAGTTGATTTGGGGCACATGGAGCTGCTTTGCGTTGCTGGGGTGACCTCAGGGTCCGTCTAGACTGGTGACAGTGATCTTGGGGACTGTCTCGAGATCCATTAAGCAAGTCGAAGCTCCTGACTTGTTTGAATGGGATCACGGAATAGCTCTGCATGCACTGCAGGGGAATGGGGCCTCATCTCGCCTCTAGGGGGAAGTCTCATGGTTTTTCTCGAGTTGCGGCGGGGACCTGGGGTATGTTCTCGACTTACGGCGGGGATGGCCCATCAAAACACGAGTTTCTTCAGTGACGTCAGGACTCCTGTCTAGTAATGAGGGACATCTCAGGAATCTCTTCGAGGCTTGGCAGGGCAAAAGGGACGCTTCTCGATGTGAGGCAGGGCACCCAAGCAGCCTTTCCCGTAGCCACACGGATTTTGGGATTCCTATCAGTATTCAAGAGGAGTCAGGCATCGTCACCTTTTGAAGCAATGAACTCCGCGTGCCTCTCGAGGTGTCAGCGGGATGTGAGGCATTCCGTCAAAATGAGGCAGGGACCTAGGGCTTTCTCTAAGGTCTCCACAGGGGATTCAGACATCCCTTCATGTTGTGAGATGAAAGACGAGCCTGTATTCAAGCCACTGCAAGGAAATCTGGCCTCCTTTCAAGTTAGGGCTTCTCGCTGTATATTCCCTTGAGGCAGCAAACTCGGGGTCCCTCCCACATACCTATTGCTGAGAGTAGCCCCCTCCTGAGGTGCTTCTGGAAAGATGGCATACGTCTTGAGCCTAAGCCATGGAATCTGCTCTCATTTCGAGACGATTTGGGGTACACGGAGCATTCCTCGAGTTGCTGTGCTGAAGTTGGTGTTCCTCTAGACTTGGGACAGCATTCTCAGGGCATCTCTGGAGTTGCCTGAAGGAAGTCGAGCCACCAGTCGTGTTGAATGGGGAACGGGGAATGGTTCTGGAGTCAATGCAGGGTAATCGGCCCCATCTCGAGTTGATTTTGGGCACATGGAGCTGCTTTGCGTTGCTGGGGTGACCTCAGTGTCCGTCTAGACTGGTGACAGTGTTCTTGGGGACTGTCTCGAGATCCATTAAGCAAGTCGAAGCTCCTGACTTGTTTGAATGGGATCACGGAATAGCTCTGCATGCACTGCAGGGGAATGGGGCCTCATCTCGCCTCTAGGGGGAAGTCTCATGGTTTTTCTCGAGTTGCTGCGGGGACCTGGGCTATGTTCTCGACTTACGGCGGGGATGGCCCTTCAAAACACGAGTTTCTTCACTGACGTCAGGTCTCCTGTCTAGTAACGAGCGACACCTCAGGAATCTCTTCGAGGCTTGGCAGGGCATAAGGGACGCTTCTCGAGGTGAGGCAGGGCACGCAAGGACCCTTTCCAGTAGCCACAGGGATTTTGGGATTGCTATCAGTATTCAAGAGGAATCAGGCATCATCACCTTTTGAAGCAATGAACTCCGTTTCCTCTCAAGGTGTCAGCGGGATGTGAGGCATTCCGTCAAAATGAGGCAGGGACCTAGGGCTTTCTCTAAGGTCTCCACAGGGGATTCAGACATCCCTTCATGTTGTGAGATGAAAGACGAGCCTGTATTCAAGCCACTGCAAGGAAATCCGGCCTCCTTTCAAGTTAGGGCTTCTCGCTGTATATTCCCCTTGAGGCAGCAAACTCGGGGTCCCTCCCACATACCTATTGCTGAGAGAAGCCTCCTCCTGAGGTGCTTCTGGAAATTTGGCATACGTCTTGAGCCTAAGCCAGGGAATCAGCTCTCATCTCGAGACGATTTGGGGTACACGGAGCATTCCTCGAGTTGCTGTGCTGAAGTTGGTGTTCCTCTAGACTTGGGACAGTGTTCTCGGTGCATCTCTGCAGTTGCCTGAAGGAAGTCGAGCCACCGGTCGTGTTGAATGGGGAACGGGGAATGGCTCTGGTGTCAATGCAGGGGAATCGGGCCTTATCTCGAGTTGATTTGGGGCACATGGAGCTGCTTTGCGTTGCTGGGGTGACCTCAGGGTCCGTCTAGACTGGTGACAGTGTTCTTGGGGACTGTCTCGAGATCCATTAAGCAAGTCAAAGCTCCTGACTTGTTTGAATGGGATCACGGAATAGCTCTGCATGCACTGCAGGGGAATGGGGCCTCATCTCGCCTCTAGGGGGAAGTCTCATGGTTTTTCTCGAGTTGCGGCGGGGACCTGGGTTATGTTCTCGACTTACGGCGGGGATGGCCCTTCAAAACACGAGTTTCTTCAGTGACGTCAGGACTCCTGTCTAGTAACGAGGGACACCTCAGGAATCTCTTCGAGGCTTGGCAGGGTCAAATTGAGGCTTCTCGAGGTGTGGCAGGGCACCCAAGGACCCTTTCCCGTAGCCACAGCGATTTTGGGATTCCTATCAGTATTCAAGAGGAGTCAGGCATCGTCACCTTTTGAAGCAATGAACTCCGCGTGCCTCTCGAGGTGTCAGCGTGATGTGAGGCATTCCGTCAAAATGAGGCAGTGACCTAGGGCTTTCTCTAAGGTCTCCACAGGGGATTCAGACATCCCTTCATGTTGTGAGATGAAAGACGAGCCTGTATTCAAGCCACTGCAAGGAAATCCGGCCTCCTTTCAAGTTAGGGCTTCTCGCTGTATATTCCCCTTGAGGCAACAAACTCGGGGTCCCTCCCACTTACCTATTGCTGAGAGAAGCCTCCGCCTGAGGTGCTTCTGGAAAGTTGGCATACGTCTTGAGCCTAAGCCAGGGAATCAGCTCTCATCTCGAGACTATTTGGTGTACACCGAGCATTCCTCGAATTAATGTGCTGAAGTTGGTGTTCCTCTAGACTTGGGACAGTGTTCTCGGGGCATCACTGGAGTTGCCTGAAGGAAGTCGAGCCACCAGTCGGGTTGAATGGGGAACGGGGAATGGCTCTGGAGTCAATGCAGGTGAATCAGGCCTCATTTCGAGTTGATTTGTTGCACATGGAGCTGCTTTGCGTTGCTGGGGTGACCTCAGGGTCTGTCTAGACTGGTGACAGTGTTCTTGGGGACTGTCTCGAGATCCATGAAGCAAGTCGAAGCTCCTGACTTGTTTGAATGGGATCATGGAATAGCTCTGCATGCACTGCAGGGGAATGGGGCCTCATCTCGCCTCTATGGGGAAGTCTCATGGTTTTTCTCGAGTTGCGGCGAGGACCTGGGGTATGTTCTCGACTTACGGCGGGGATGGCCCTTCAAAACACGAGTTTCTTCAGTGACGTCAGGACTACTCTCTAGTAAAGAGGGACACCTCAGGAATCTCTTCGAGGCTTGGCAGGGCAAAAGGGACGCTTCTCGATGTGAGGCAGGGCACCCAAGCAGCCTTTCCCGTAGCCACACGGATTTTGGGATTCCTATCAGTATTCAAGAGGAGTCAGGCATCGTCACCTTTTGAAGCAATGAACTCCGCGTGCCTCTCGAGGTGTCAGCGGGATGTGAGGCATTCCGTCAAAATGAGGCAGGGACCTAGGGCTTTCTCTAAGGTCTCCACAGGGGATTCAGACATCCCTTCATGTTGTGAGATGAAAGACGAGCCTGTATTCAAGCCACTGCAAGGAAATCCGGCCTCCTTTCAAGTTAGGGCTTCTCGCTGTATATTCCCTTGAGGCAGCAAACTCGGGGTCCCTCCCACATACCTATTGCTGAGAGTAGCCTCCTCCTGAGGTGCTTCTGGAAAGATGGCATACGTCTTGAGCCTAAGCCATGGAATCTGCTCTCATCTCGAGACGATTTGGGGTACACGGAGCATTCCTCGAGTTGCTGTGCTGAAGTTGGTGTTCCTCTAGACTTGGGACAGCATTCTCGGGGCATCTCTGGAGTTGCCTGAAGGAAGTCGAGCCACCGGTCGTGTTGAATGGGGAATGGGGAATGACTCTGGGGTCAATGCAGGGTAATCGGGCCTCATCTCGAGTTGATTTTGGGCACATGGAGCTGCTTTGCGTTGCTGGGGTGACCTCAGGGTCCGTCTAGACTGGTGACAGTGTTCTTGGGGACTGTCTCGAGATCCATTAAGCAAATCGAAGCTCCTGACTTGTTTGAATGGGATCACGGAATAGCTCTGCATGCACTGCAGGGGAATGGGGCCTCATCTCGCCTCTAGGGGGAAGTCTCATGGTTTTTCTCGAGTTGCGGCGGGGACCTGGGATACGTTCTCGACTTACGGCGGGGATGGCCCTTCAAAACACGAGTTTCTTCACTGACGTCAGGACTCCTGTCTAGTAACGAGCGACACCTCAGGAATCTCTTCGAGGCTTGGAGGGCAAAAGGGACGCTTCTCGAGGTGAGGCAGGGCACAAAAGGACCCTTTCCCGTAGCCACAGGGATTTTGGGATTCCTGTCAGTATTCAAGAGGAATCAGGCATCGTCACCTTTTGAAGCAATGAAGTCCGCGTGCCTCTCGTGGTGTCAGCGGGATGTGAGGCATTCCGTCAAAATGAGGCAGGGACCTAGGGCTTTCTCTAAGGTCTCCACAGGGGATTCAGACATCCCTTCATGTTGTGAGATGAAAGACGAGCCTGTATTCAAGCCACTGCAAGGAAATCCGGCCTCCTTTCAAGTTAGGGCTTGTCGCTGTATATTCCCCTTGAGGCAGCAAACTCGGGGTCCCTCCCACATACCTATTGCTGAGAGAAGCCTCCTCCTGAGGTGCTTCTGGAAAGTTGGCATACGTCTTGAACCTAAGCCAGAGAATCAGCTCTCATCTCGAGACGATTTGGGGTACACGGAGCATTCCTCGAGTTGCTGTGCTGAAGTTGGTGTTCCTCTAGACTTGGGACAGTGTTCTCAGGGCATCTCTGGAGTTGCCTAAAGGAAGTCGAGCCACCAGTCGGGTTGAATGGGGAACGGGGAATGACTCTGGATTCAATGCAAGGGAATCGGGCCTCATCTCGAGTTGATTTGGGGCACATGGAGCTGCTTTGCGTTGCTGGGGTGACCTCAGGGTCCGTCTAGACTGGTGACAGTGTTCTTGGGGACTGTCTCGAGACCCATTAAGCAAGTCGAAGCTCCTGACTTGTTTGAATGGGATCACGGAATAGCTCTGCATGCACTGCAGGGGAATGGGGCCTCTTCTCGCCTCTAGGGGGAAGTCTCATGTTTTTTCTCGAGTTGCGGCGGGGACCTGGGGTATGTTCTCGACTTACGGCGGGGAAGGCCCTTCAAAACACGAGTTTCTTCAGTTACGTCAGGACTCCTCTCTAGTAACGAGGGACACTTCAGGAATCTCTTCGAGGCTTGGCAGGGCCAAAGGGACGCTTCTCGAGGTGAGGCAGGGCACCCAAGGACCCTTTCCAGTAGCCACAGGGATTTTGGGATTCCTGTCAGTATTCAAGAGGAATCAGGCATCGTCACCTTTTGAAGCAATGAAATCCGCGTGCCTCTCGTGGTGTCAGCGGGATGTGAGGCATTCCGTCAAAATGAGGCAGGGACCTAGGGCTTTCTCTAAGGTCTCCACAGGGGATTCAGACATCCCTTCATGTTGTGAGATGAAAGACAAGCCTGTATTCAAGCCACTGCAAGGAAATCCGGCCTCCTTTCAAGTTAGGGCTTCTCGCTGTATATTCCCCTTGAGGCAGCAAACTCGGGGTCCCTCCCACATTCCTATTGCTGAGAGAAGCCTCCCCCTGAGGTGTTTCTGGAAAGTTGGCATATGTCTTGAGCCTAAGCCAGGGAATCAGCTCTCATCTCGAGAAGATTTGGGGTACAAGGAGCATTCCTCTAGTTGCTGTGCTGAAGTTGGTGTTCCTCTAGACTTGGCACAGTGTTCTCAGGGCATCTCTGGAGTTGCCTGAAGGAAGTCGAGCCACCGGTCCTGTTGAAAGGGGAACGGGGAATGGCTCTGGAGTCAATGCAGGGGAATCGGGCCTCATCTCGAGTTGATTTGAGGCACATGGAGCTGCTTTGCGTTGCTGTGGTGACCTCAGGGTCCGTCTAGACTGGTGACAGTGTTCTTGGGGACTGTCTCGAGATCCATTAAGCAAGTCGAAGCTCCTGACTTGTTTGAATGGGATCACGGAATAGCTCTGCATGCACTGCAGGGGAATGGGGCCTCATCTCGCCTCTAGGGGGAAGTCTCATGGTTTTTCTCGAGTTGCGGCGGGGACCTGGGGTATGATCTCGACTTACGGCGGGGATGGCCCTTCAAAACACGAGTTTCTTCAGTGACGTCAGGACTCCTGTCTAGTAATGAGGGACATCTCAGGAATCTCTTCGAGGCTTGGCAGGGTCAAATTGAGGCTTCTCGAGGTGTGGCAGGGCACCCAAGGACCCTTTCCCGTAGCCACAGGGATTTTGGGATTCCTATCAGTATTCAAGAAGAGTCAGGCATCGTCACCTTTTGAAGCAATGAATTCCGCGTGCCTCTCGAGGTGTCAGCGTGATGTGAGGCATTCCGTCAAAATGAGGCAGTGACCTAGGGCTTTCTCTAAGGTCTCCACAGGGGATTCAGACATCCCTTCATGTTGTGAGATGAAAGACGAGCCTGTATTCAAGCCACTGCAAGGAAATCCGGCCTCCTTTCAAGTTAGGGCTTCTCGCTGTATATTCCCCTTGAGGCAGCAAACTCGGGGTCCCTCCCACATACCTATTGCTGAGAGAAGCCTCGGCCTGAGGTGCTTCTGGAAAGTTGGCATACGTCTTGAGCCTAAGCAAGGGAATCAGCTCTCATCTCGAGACTATTTGGTGTACACGGAGCATTCCTCGAATTAATGTGCTGAAGTTGGTGTTCCTCTAGACTTGGGACAGTGTTCTCGGGGCATCACTGGAGTTGCCTGAAGGAAGTCGAGCCACCAGTCGGGTTGAATGGGGAACGGGGAATGGCTCTGGAGTCAATGCAGGTGAATCAGGCTTCATTTCGAGTTGATTTGTTGCACATGGAGCTGCTTTGCGTTGCTGGGGTGACCTCAGGGTCCGTCTAGACTGGTGACAGTGTTCTTGGGGACTGTCTCGAGATCCATTAAGCAAGTCGAAGCTCCTGACTTGTTTGAATGGGATCACGGAATAGCTCTGCATGCACTGCAGGGGAATGGGGCCTCATCTCGCCTCTAGGGGGAAGTCTCATGGTTTTTCTCGAGTTGCGGCGAGGACCTGGGGTATGTTCTCGACTTACGGCGGGGATGGCCCTTCAAAACACGAGTTTCTTCAGTGACGTCAGGACTACTCTCTAGTAAATAGGGACACCTCAGGAATCTCTTCGAGGCTTGGCAGGGCAAAAGGGACGCTTCTCGATGTGAGGCAGGGCACCCAAGCAGCCTTTCCCGTAGCCACACGGATTTTGGGATTCCTATCAGTATTCAAGAGGAGTCAGGCATCGTCACCTTTTGAAGCAATGAACTCCGTGTGCCTCTCGAGGTGTCATTGGGATGTGAGGCATTCCGTCAAAATGAGGCAGGGACCTAGGGCTTTCTCTAAGGTCTCCACAGGGGATTCAGACATCCCTTCATGTTGTGAGATGAAAGACGAGCCTGTATTCAAGCCACTGCAAGGAAATCCGGCCTCCTTTCAAGTTAGGGCTTCTCGCTGTATATTCCCTTGAGGCAGCAAACTCGGGGTCCCTCCCACATACCTATTGCTGAGAGTAGCCTCCTCCTGAGGTGCTTCTGGAAAGATGGCATACGTCTTGAGCCTAAGCCATGGAATCTGCTCTCATCTCGAGACGATTTGGGGTACACGGAGCATTCCTCGAGGTGCTGTGCTGAAGTTGTTGTTCCTCTAGACTTGGGACAGCATTCTCGGGGCATCTCTGGAGTTGCCTGAAGGAAGTCGAGCCACCGGTCGTGTTGAATGGGGAACGGGGAATGGCTCTGGAGTCAATGCAGGGTAATCGGGCCTCATCTCGAGTTGATTTTGGGCACATGGAGCTGCTTTGCGTTGCTGGGGTGACCTCAGGGTCCGTCTAGACTGGTGACAGTGTTCTTGGGGACTGTCTCGAGATCCATTAAGCAAGTCGAAGCTCCTGACTTGTTTGAATGGGATCACGGAATAGCTCTGCATGCACTGCAGGGGAATGGGGCCTCATCTCGCCTCTAGGGGGAAGTCTCATGGTTTTTCTCGAGTTGCGGCGGGGACCTGGGATATGTTCTCGACTTACGGCGGGGATGGCCCTTCAAAACACGAGTTTCTTCACTGACGTCAGGACTCCTGTCTACTAACGAGCGACACCTCAGGAATCTCTTCGAGGCTTGGCAGGGCATAAGGGACGCTTCTCGAGGTGAGGCAGGGCACCCAAGGACCCTTTCCCGTAGCCACACGGATTTTGGGATTCCTATCAGTATTCAAGAGGAATCAGGCATCGTCACCTTTTGAAGCAATGAACTCCGTTTGCCTCTCAAGGTGTCAGCGGGATGTGAGGCATTCCGTCAAAATGTGGCAGGGACCTAGGGCTTTCTCTAAGGTCTCCACAGGGGATTCAGACATCCCTTCATGTTGTGAGATGAAAGACGAGCCTGTATTCAAGCCACTGCAAGGAAATCCGGCCTCCTTTCAAGTTAGGGCTTCTCGCTGTATATTCCCCTTTAGGCAGCAAACTCGGGGTCCCTCCCACATACCTATTGCTGAGAGAAGCCTCCTCCTGAGGTGCTTCTGGAAATTTGGCATACGTCTTGAGCCTAAGCCAGGGAATCAGCTCTCATCTCGAGACGATTTTGGGTACACGGAGCATTCCTCGAGTTGCTGTGCTGAAGTTGGTGTTCCTCTAGACTTGGGACAGTGTTCTCGGGGCATCTCTGGAGTTGCCTGAAGGAAGTCGAGCCACCGGTCGTGTTGAATGGGGAACGGGGAATGGCTCTGGTGTCAATGCAGGGGAATCGGGCCTCATCTCGAGTTGATTTGGGGCACATGGAGCTGCTTTGCGTTGCTGGGGTGACCTCAGGTTCCGTCTAGACTGGTGACAGTGTTCTTGGGGACTGTCTCGAGATCCATTAAGCAAGTCAAAGCTCCTGACTTGTTTGAATGGGATCACGGAATAGCTCTGCATGCTCTGCAGGGGAATGGGGCCTCATCTCGCCTCTAGGGGGAAGTCTCATGGTTTTTCTCGAGTTGCGGCGGGGACCTGGGTTATGTTCTAGACGTACGGCGGGGATGGCCCTTCAAAACACGAGTTTCTTCAGTGACGTCAGGACTCCTGTCTAGTAACGAGGGACACCTCAGGAATCTCTTCGAGGCTTGGCAGGGCAAAAGGGACGCTTCTCGAGGTGAGGCAGGGCACCCAAGGACCCTTTCCAGTAGCCACAGGGATTTTGGGATTCCTGTCAGTATTCAAGAGGAATCAGGCATCGTCACCTTTTGAAGCAATGAAGTCCGCGTGCCTCTCGTGGTGTCAGCGGGATGTGAGGCATTCCGTCAAAATGAGGCAGGGACCTAGGGCTTTCTCTAAGGTCTCCACAGGGGATTCAGACATCCCTTCATGTTGTGAGATGAAAGACGAGCCTGTATTCAAGCCACTGCAAGGAAATCCGGCCTCCTTTCAAGTTAGGGCTTCTCGCTGTATATTCCCCTTGAGGCAGCAAACTCGGGGTCCCTCCCACATACCTATTGCTGAGAGAAGCCTCCTCCTGAGGTGCTTCTGGAAATTTGGCATACGTCTTGAGCCTAAGCCAGAGAATCAGCTCTCATCTCGAGACGATTTGGGGTACACTGAGCATTCCTCGAGTTGTTGTGCTGAAGTTGCTGTTCCTCTAGACTTGGGACAGTGTTCTCGGGGCATCTCTGGAGTTGCCTGAAGTAAGTCGAGCCACCGGTCGTGTTGAATGGGGAACGGGGAATGTCTCTGGAGTCAATGCAGGGGAATCGGGCCTCATCTCGAGTTGAATTGGGGCACATGGAGCTGCTTTGCGTTGCTGGGGTGACCTCAGGGTCCGTCTAGACTGGTGAAAGTGATCTTGGGGACTGTCTCGAGATCCATCAAGCAAGTCGAAGCTCCTGACTTGTTTGAATGGGATCACGGAATAGCTCTGCATGCACTGCAGGGGAATGGGGCCTCATCTCGCCTCTAGGTGGAAGTCTCATGGTTTTTCTCGAGTTGCGGCGAGGACCTGGGTTATGTTCTCGACGTACGGTGGGGATGGCCCTTCAAAACACGAGTTTCTTCCTTGACGTCAGGACTCCTCTCTAGTAAAGAGGGACACCTCAGGAATCTCTTCGAGGCTTGGCAGGGCAAAAGGGACGCTTCTCGATGTGAGGCAGGGCACCCAAGCAGCCTTTCCCGTAGCCACACGGATTTTGGGATTCCTATCAGTATTCAAGAGGAGTCAGGCATCGTCACCTTTTGAAGCAATGAACTCCGCGTGCCTCTCGAGGTGTCAGCGGGATGTGAGGCATTCCGTCAAAATGAGGCAGGGACCTAGGGCTTTCTCTAAGGTCTCCACAGGGGATTCAGACATCCCTTCATGTTGTGAGATGAAAGACGAGCCTGTAGTCAAGCCACTGCAAGGAAATCCGGCCTCCTTTCAAGTTAGGGCTTCTCGCTGTATATTCCCCTTGAGGCAGCAAACTCGGGGTCCCTCCCACATACCTATTGCTGAGAGAAGCCTCCTCCTGAGGTGCTTCTGGAAAGTTGGCATACATCTTGAGCCTAACCCAGGGAATCAGCTCTCATCTCGAGACGATTTGGGTTGCACGGAGCATTCCTCGAGTTGCTGTGTTGAAGTTGGTGTTCCTCTAGACTTGGGAAAGTGTTCTCGGGGCATCTCTGGAGTTGCCTGAAGGAAGTCGAGCCACTAGTCATGTTGAATGCGGAACGGGGAATGGCTTTGGAGTCAATGCAGGGGAATCGGGCCTCATCTCGAGTTGATTTGGGGCACATGGAGCTGCTTTGCGTTGCTGGGGTGACCTCAGGGTCCGTCTAGACTGGTGACAGTGATCTTGGGGACTGTCTCGAGATCCATTAAGCAAGTCGAAGCTCCTGACTTGTTTGAATGGGATCACGGAATAGCTCTGCATGCACTGCAGGGGAATGTTTCCTCATATCGGCTCTAGGGGGAAGTCTCATGGTTTTTCTCGAGTTGCGGCGGGGACCTGGGGTATGTTCTCGACTTACGGCGGGGATGGCCCTTCAAAACACGAGTTTCTTCAGTGACGTCAGGACTCCTGTCTAGTAATGAGGGACACCTCAGGAATCTCTTCGAGGCTTGGCAGGGCCAAATTGAGGCTTCTCGAGGTGAGGCAGGGCACCCAAGCAGCCTTTCCCGTAGCCACACGGATTTTGGGATTCCTATCAGTATTCAAGAGGAGTCAGGCATTGTCACCTTTTGAAGCAATGAACTCCGCGTGCCTCTCGAGGTGTCAGCGGAATGTGAGGCATTCCGTCAAAATGAGGCAGGGACCTAGGGCTTTCTCTAAGGTCTCCACAGGGGATTCAGGCATCCCTTCATGTTGTGAGATGAAAGACGAGCCTGTATTCAAGCCACTGCAAGGAAATCCAGCCTCCTTTCAAGTTAGGGCTTCTCGCTGTATATTCCCCTTGAGGCAGCAAACTCGGGGTCCCTCCTACATACCTATTGCTGAGAGAAGCCTCCTCCTGAGGTGATTCTGGAAATTTGGCATATGTCTTGAGCCTACGCCAGAGAATCAGCTCCCATCTCGAGACGATTTGGGGTACACGGATCATTCCTCGAGTTAATGTGCTGAAGTTGGTGTTCCTCTAGACTTGGGACAGTGTTCTCGGGGCATCTCTGGAGTTGCCTAAAGGAAGTCGAGCCACCGGTCGTGATGAATGGGGAACGGGGAATGGCTCTGGAGTCAATGCAAGGGAATCGGGCCTCATCTCGAGTTGATTTGGGGCACATGGAGCTGCTTTGTGTTGCTGGGGTGACCTCAGGGATCGTCTAGACTGGTGACAGTGTTCTTGGGGACTGTCTCGAGACCCATTAAGCAAGTCGAAGCTCCTGACTTGTTTGAATGGGATCACGGAATAGCTCTGCATGCACTGCAGGGGAATGGGGCCTCTTCTCGCCTCTAGGGGGAAGTCTCATGGTTTTTCTCGAGTTGCGGCGGGGACCTGGGGTATGTTCTTGACTTACGGCGGGGATGGCCCTTCAAAACACGAGTTTCTTCAGTGACGTCAGGACTCCTGTCTAGTAACGAGGGACACCTCAGGAATCTCTTCGAGGCTTGGCAGGGCAAAAGGGACGCTTCTCGAGGTGAGGCAGGGCACCCAAGGACCCTTTCCAGTAGCCACAGGTATTTTGGGATTCCTGTCAGTATTCAAGATGAATCAGGCATCGTCACCTTTTGAAGCAATGAACTCCGCGTGCCTCTCGTGGTGTCAGCGGGATGTGAGGCATTCCGTCAAAATGAGGCAGGGACCTAGGGCTTTCTCTAAGGTCTCCACAGGGGATTCAGACATCCCTTCATGTTGTGAGATGAAAGACGAGCCTGTATTCAAGCCACTGCAAGGAAATCCGGCCTCGTTTCAAGGTAGGGCTTCTCGCTGTATATTCCCCTTGAGGCAGCAAACTCGGGGTCCCTCCCACATACCTATTGCTGAGAGAAGCCTCCTCCTGAGGTGCTTCTGGAAAGTTGGCATACGTCTTGAGCCTAAGCCAGGGAATCAGCTCTCATCTCGAGACGATTTGGGGTACACTGAGCATTCCTCGAGTTGCTGTGCTGAAGTTGGTGTTCCTCTAGACTTGGGACAGTGTTCTTGGGGCATCTCTGGAGTTGCCTGAAGTAAGTCGAGCCACCGGTCGTGTTGAATGGGGAACGGGGAATGTCTCTGGAGTCAATGCAGGGGAATCGGGCCTCATCTCGAGTTGATTTGGGGCACATGGAGCTGCTTTGCGTTGCTGGGGTGACCTCAGGGTCCGTCTAGACTGGTGACAGTGATCTTGGGGACTGTCTCGAGATCCATTAAGCAAGTCGAAGCTCCTGACTTGTTTGAATGGGATCACGGAATAGCTCTGCATGCACTGCAGGGGAATGGGGCCTCATCTCGCCTCTAGGGGGAAGTCTCATGGTTTTTCTCGAGTTGTGGCGGGGACCTGGGGTATGTTCTCGACTTACGGCTGGGATGGCCCTTCAAAACACGAGTTTCTTCAGTGACGTCAGGACTCCTGTCTAGTAACGAGGGACACCTCAGGAATCTCTTCGAGGCTTGGCAGGGCCAAATTGAGCCTTCTCGAGGTGTGGCAGGGCACCCAAGGACCCTTTTCCATAGCCACAGGGATTTTGGGATTCCTATCTGTATTCAAGAGGAGTCAGGCATCGTCACCTTTTGAAGCAATGAACTCCGCGTGCCTCTCGAGGTGTCAGCGGGATGTGAGGCATTACCTCAAAATGAGGCAGTGACCTAGGGCTTTCTCTAAGGTCTACACAGGGGATTAAGACATCCCTTCATGTTGTGAGATGAAAGACGAGCCTGTATTCAAGCCACTGCAAGGAAATCCGGCCTCCTTTCAAGTTAGGGCTTCTCGCTGTATATTCCCCTTGAGGCAGCAAACTCGGGGTCCCTCCCACATAACTATTGCTGAGAGAAGCCTCCTCCTGAGGTGCTTCTGGAAAGTTGGCATACATCTTGAGCCTAACCCAGGGAATCAGCTCTCATCTCGAGACGATTTGGGTTACACGGAGCATTCCTCGAGTTGCTGTGTTGAAGTTGGTGTTCCTCTAGACTTGGGAAAGTGTTCTCGGGGCATCTCTGGAGTTGCCTGAAGGAAGTCGAGCCACTAGTCATGTTGAATGCGGAACGGGGAATGGCTTTGAAGTCAATGCAGGGGAATCGGGCCTCATCTCGAGTTGATTTGGGGCACATGGAGCTGCTTTGCGTTGCTGGGGTGACCTCAGGGTCCGTCTAGACTGGTGACAGTGATCGTGGGGACTGTCTCGAGATCCATTAAGCAAGTCGAAGCTCCTGACTTGTTTGAATGGGATCACGGAATAGCTCTGCATGCACTGCAGGGGAATGTTTCCTCATATCGGCTCTAGGGGGAAGTCTCATGGTTTTTCTCGAGTTGCGGCGGGGACCTGGGGTATGTTCTCGACTTACGGCGGGGATGGCCCTTCAAAACACGAGTTTCTTCAGTGACGTCAGGACTCCTGTCTAGTAATGAGGGACACCTCAGGATTCTCTTCGAGGCTTGGCAGGGCCAAATTGAGGCTTCTCGAGGTGAGGCAGGGCACCCAAGCAGCCTTTCCCGTAGCCACACGGATTTTGGGATTCCTATCAGTATTCAAGAGGAGTCAGGCATTGTCACCTTTTGAAGCAATGAACTCCGCGTGCCTCTCGAGGTGTCAGCGGAATGTGAGGCATTCCGTCAAAATGAGGCAGGGACCTAGGGCTTTCTCTAAGGTCTCCACAGGGGATTCAGGCATCCCTTCATGTTGTGAGATGAAAGACGAGCCTGTATTCAAGCCACTGCAAGGAAATCCGGCCTCCTTTCAAGTTAGGGCTTCTCGCTGTATATTCCCCTTGAGGCAGCAAACTCGGGGTCCCTCCCACATACCTATTGCTGAGAGAAGCCTCCTCCTGAGGTGCTTCTGGAAAGTTGGCATACGTCTTGAGCCTAAGCCAGGGAATCAGCTCTCATCTCGAGACGATTTGGGGTACACTGAGCATTCCTCGAGTTGCTGTGCTGAAGTTGGTGTTCCTCTAGACTTGGGACAGTGTTCTCGGGGCATCTCTGGAGTTGCCTGAAGTAAGTCGAGCCACCGGTCGTGTTGAATGGGGAACGGGGAATGTCTCTATAGTCAATGCAGGGGAATCGGGCCTCATCTCGAGTTGATTTGGGGCACATGGAGCTGCTTTGCGTTGCTGGGGTGACCTCAGGGTCCGTCTAGACTGGTGACAGTGATCTTGGGGACTGTCTCGAGATCCATTAAGCAAGTCGAAGCTCCTGACTTGTTTGAATGGGATCACGGAATAGCTCTGCATGCACTGCAGGGGAATGTTTCCTCATATCGGCTCTAGGGGGAAGTCTCATGGTTTTTCTCGAGTTGCGGCGGGGACCTGGGGTATGTTCTCGACTTACGGCGGGGATGGCCCTTCAAAACACGAGTTTCTTCAGTGACGTCAGGACTCCTGTCTAGTAATGAGGGACACCTCAGGAATCTCTTCGAGGCTTGGCAGGGCCAAATTGAGGCTTCTCGAGGTTAGGCAGGGCACCCAAGCAGCCTTTCCCGTAGCCACACGGATTTTGGGATTCCTATCAGTATTCAAGAGGAGTCAGGCATTGTCACCTTTTGAAGCAATGAACTCCGCGTGCCTCTCGAGGTGTCAGCGGAATGTGAGGCATTCCGTCAAAATGAGGCAGGGACCTAGGGCTTTCTCTAAGGTCTCCACAGGGGATTCAGGCATCCCTTCATGTTGTGAGATGAAAGACGAGCCTGTATTCAAGCCACTGCAAGGAAATCCGGCCTCCTTTCAAGTTAGGGCTTCTCGCTGTATATTCCCCTTGAGGCAGCAAACTCGGGGTCCCTCCTACATACCTATTGCTGAGAGAAGCCTCCTCCTGAGGTGATTCTGGAAAGTTGGCATATGTCTTGAGCCTACGCCAGGGAATCAGCTCCCATCTCGAGACGATTTGGGGTACACGGATCATTCCTCGAGTTAATGTGCTGAAGTTGGTGTTCCTCTAGACTTGGGACAGTGTTCTCGGGGCATCTCTGGAGTTGCCTAAAGGAAGTCGAGCCACCGGTCGTGATGAATGGGGAACGGGGAATGGCTCTGGAGTCAATGCAAGGGAATCGGGCCTCATCTCGAGTTGATTTGGGGCACATGGAGCTGCTTTGTGTTGCTGGGGTGACCTCAGGGTTCGTCTAGACTGGTGACAGTGTTCTTGGGGACTGTCTCGAGACCCATTAAGCAAGTCGAAGCTCCTGACTTGTTTGAATGGGATCACGGAATAGCTCTGCATGCACTGCAGGGGAATGGGGCCTCTTCTCGCCTCTAGGGGGAAGTCTCATGGTTTTTCTAGAGTTGCGGCGGGGACCTGGGGTATGTTCTTGACTTACGGCGGGGATGGCCCTTCAAAACACGAGTTTCTTCAGTGACGTCAGGACTCCTGTCTAGTAACGAGGGACACCTCAGGAATCTCTTCGAGGCTTGGCAGGGCAAAAGGGACGCTTCTCGAGGTGAGGCAGGGCACCCAAGGACCCTTTCCAGTAGCCACAGGTATTTTGGGATTCCTGTCAGTATTCAAGAGGAATCAGGCATCGTCACCTTTTGAAGCAATGAACTCCGCGTGCCTCTCGTGGTGTCAGCGGGATGTGAGGCATTCCGTCAAAATGAGGCAGGGAACTAGGGCTTTCTCTAAGGTCTCCACAGGGGATTCAGACATCCCTTCATGTTGTGAGATGAAAGACGAGCCTGTATTCAAGCCACTGCAAGGAAATCCGGCCTCGTTTCAAGGTAGGGCTTCTCGCTGTATATTCCCCTTGAGGCAGCAAACTCGGGGTCCCTCCCACATACCTATTGCTGAGAGAAGCCTCCTCCTGAGGTGCTTCTGGAAATTTGGCATACGTCTTGAGCCTAAGCCAGGGAATCAGCTCTCATCTCGAGACGATTTGGGGTACACTGAGCATTCCTCGAGTTGCTGTGCTGAAGTTGGTGTTCCTCTAGACTTGGGACAGTGTTCTTGGGGCATCTCTGGAGTTGCCTGAAGTAAGTCGAGCCACCGGTCGTGTTGAATGGGGAACGGGGAATGTCTCTGGAGTCAATGCAGGGGAATCGGGCCTCATCTCGAGTTGATTTGGGGCACATGGAGCTGCTTTGCGTTGCTGGGGTGACCTCAGGGTCCGTCTAGACTGGTGACAGTGATTTTGGGGACTGTCTCGAGATCCATTAAGCAAGTCGAAGCTCCTGACTTGTTTGAATGGGATCACGGAATAGCTCTGCATGCACTGCAGGGGAATGGGGCCTCATCTCGCCTCTAGGGGGAAGTCTCATGGTTTTTCTCGAGTTGTGGCGGGGACCTGGGGTATGTTCTCGACTTACGGCTGGGATGGCCCTTCAAAACACGAGTTTCTTCAGTGACGTCAGGACTCCTGTCTAGTAACGAGGGACACCTCAGGAATCTCTTCGAGGCTTGGCAGGGCCAAATTGAGGCTTCTCGAGGTGTGGCAGGGCACCCAAGGACCCTTTTCCATAGCCACAGGGATTTTGGGATTCCTATCTGTATTCAAGAGGAGTCAGGCATCGTCACCTTTTGAAGCAATGAACTCCGCGTGCCTCTCGAGGTGTCAGCGGGATGTGAGGCATTACCTCAAAATGAGGCAGTGACCTAGGGCTTTCTCTAAGGTCTACACAGGGGATTAAGACATCCCTTCATGTTGTGAGATGAAAGACGAGCCTGTATTCAAGCCACTGCAAGGAAATCCGGCCTCCTTTCAAGTTAGGGCTTCTCGCTGTATATTCCCCTTGAGGCAGCAAACTCGGGGTCCCTCCCACATACCTATTGCTGAGAGAAGCCTCCTCCTGAGGTGCTTCTGGAAAGTTGGCATACGTCTTGAACCTAAGCCAGAGAATCAGCTCTCATCTCGAGACGATTTGGGGTACACGGAGCATTCCTCGAATTAATGTACTGAAGTTGGTGTTCCTCTAGACTTGGGACAGTGTTCTCGGGGCATCTCTGGAATTGCCTGAAGGAAGTCGAGCCACCAGTCGGGTTGAATGGGGAACGGGGAATGACTCTGGTGTCAATACAGGGGAATCAGGCCTCATCTCGAGTTGATTTGGGGCACATGGAGCTGCTTTGCGTTGCTGGGGTGACCTCAGGGTCCGTCTAGACTGGTGACAGTGTTCTTGGGTACTCTCTCGAGAACCATTAAGCAAGTCGAAGCTCCTGACTTGTTTGAATGGGATCATGGAATAGCTCTGCATGCACTGCAGGGGAATGGGGCCTCATCTCGCCTCTAGGGGGAAGTCTCATGGTTTTTCTCGAGTTGCGGCGAGGACCTGGGTTATGTTCTCGACTTACGGCGGGGATGGCCCTTCAAAACACGAGTTTCTTCAGTGACGTCAGGACTCCTCTCTAGTAAAGAGGGACACCTCAGGAATCTCTTCGAGGCTTCGCAGGGCAAAAGGGACGCTTCTCGATGTGAGGCAGGGCACCCAAGCAGCCTTTCCCGTAGCCACACTGATTTTGGGATTCCTATCAGTATTCAAGAGGAGTCAGGCATCGTCACCTTTTGAAGCAATGAACTCCGCGTGCCTCTCGAGGTGTCAGCGAGATGTGAGGCATTCCGTCAAAATGAGGCAGGGACCTAGGGCTTTCTCTAAGGTCTCCACAGGGGATTCAGACATCCCTTCATGTTGTGAGATGAAAGACGAGCCTGTATTCAAGCCACTGCAAGGAAATCCGGCCTCCTTTTAAGGTAGGGCTTCTCGCTGTATATTCCCCTTGAGGCAGCAAACTCGGGGTCCCTCCCACATACCTATTGCTGAGAGAAGCCTCCTCCTGAGGTGCTTCTGGAAATTTGGCATACGTCTTGAGCCTAAGCCAGGGAATCAGCTCTCATCTCGAGACGATTTGGGGTACACTGAGCATTCCTCGAGTTGCTGTGCTGAAGTTGGTGTTCCTCTAGACTTGGGACAGTGTTCTTGGGGCATCTCTGGAGTTGCCTGAAGGAAGTCGAGCCACCGGTCGTGTTGAATGGGGAACGGGGAATGTCTCTGGAGTCAATGCAGGGGAATCGGGCCTCATCTCGAGTTGATTTGGGGCACATGGAGCTGCTTTGCGTTGCTGGGGTGACCTCAGGGACCGTCTAGACTGGTGACAGTGATCTTGGGGACTGTCTCGAGATCCATTAAGCAAGTCGAAGCTCCTGACTTGTTTGAATTGGATCACGGAATAGCTCTGCATGCACTGCAGGGGAATGGGGCCTCATCTCGCCTCTAGGGGGAAGTCTCATGGTTTTTCTCGAGTTGTGGCGGGGACCTGGGGTATGTTCTCGACTTACGGTGGGGATGGCCCTTCAAAACACGAGTTTCTTCAGTGACGTCCGGACTCCTGTCTAGTAATGAGGGACACCTCAGGAATCTCTTCGAGGCTTTGCAGGGCCAAATTGAGCCTTCTCGAGGTGTGGCAAGGGACCCAAGGACCCTTTCCCATAGCCACAGGAATTTTGGGATTCCTATCTGTATTCAAGAGGAGTCAGGCATCGTCACCTTTTGAAGCAATGAACTCCGCGTGCCTCTCGAGGTGTCAGCAGGATGTGAGGCATTACCTCAAAATGAGGCAGTGACCTAGGGCTTTCTCTAAGATCTTCACAGGGGATTCAGACATCCCTTCATGTTGTGAGATGAAAGACGAGCCTGTATTCAAGCCACTGCCAGGAAATCCGGCCTCCTTTCAAGTTAGGGCTTCTCGCTGTATATTCCCCTTGAGGCACCAAACTCGGGGTCCCTCCCACATACCTATTGCTGAGAGAAGCCTCCTCCAGAGGTGCTTCTGGAAAGTTGGCATACGTCTTGAACTTAAGCCAGAGAATCAGCTCTCATGTCGAGACGATTTGGGGTACACGGAGCATTCCTCGAATTAATGTGCTGAAGTTGGTGTTCCTCTTGACTTGGGACAGTGTTCTCGGGGCATCTCTGGAATTGCCTGAAGGAAGTCGAGCCACCAGTCGGGTTGAATGGGGAACGGGGAATGACTCTGGTGTCAATACAGGGGAATCAGGCCTCATCTCGAGTTGATTTGGGGCACATGGAGCTGCTTTGCGTTGCTGGGGTGACCTCAGGGTCCGTCTAGACTGGTGACAGTGTTCTTGGGTACTCTCTCGAGAACCATTAAGCAAGTCGAAGCTCCTGACTTGTTTGAATGGGATCATGGAATAGCTCTGCATGCACTGCAGGGGAATGGGGCCTCATCTCGCCTCTAGGGGGAAGTCTCATGGTTTTTCTCGAGTTGCGGCGAGGACCTGGGTTATGTTCTCGACTTACGGCGGGGATGGCCCTTCAAAACACGAGTTTCTTCAGTGACGTCAGGACTCCTCTCTAGTAAAGAGGGACACCTCAGGAATCTCTTCGAGGCTTCGCAGGGCAAAAGGGACGCTTCTCGATGTGAGGCAGGGCACCCAAGCAGCCTTTCCCGTAGCCACACTGATTTTGGGATTCCTATCAGTATTCAAGAGGAGTCAGGCATCGTCACCTTTTGAAGCAATGAACTCCGCGTGCCTCTCGAGGTGTCAGCGAGATGTGAGGCATTCCGTCAAAATGAGGCAGGGACCTAGGGCTTTCTCTAAGGTCTCCACAGGGGATTCAGACATCCCTTCATGTTGTGAGATGAAAGACGAGCCTGTATTCAAGCCACTGCAAGGAAATCCGGCCTCCTTTTAAGGTAGGGCTTCTCGCTGTATATTCCCCTTGAGGCAGCAAACTCGGGGTCCCTCCCACATACCTATTGCTGAGAGAAGCCTCCTCCTGAGGTGCTTCTGGAAATTTGGCATACGTCTTGAGCCTAAGCCAGGGAATCAGCTCTCATCTCGAGACGATTTGGGGTACACTGAGCATTCCTCGAGTTGCTGTGCTGAAGTTGGTGTTCCTCTAGACTTGGGACAGTGTTCTTGGGGCATCTCTGGAGTTGCCTGAAGGAAGTCGAGCCACCGGTCGTGTTGAATGGGGAACGGGGAATGTCTCTGGAGTCAATGCAGGGGAATCGGGCCTCATCTCGAGTTGATTTGGGGCACATGGAGCTGCTTTGCGTTGCTGGGGTGACCTCAGGGACCGTCTAGACTGGTGACAGTGATCTTGGGGACTGTCTCGAGATCCATTAAGCAAGTCGAAGCTCCTGACTTGTTTGAATTGGATCACGGAATAGCTCTGCATGCACTGCAGGGGAATGGGGCCTCATCTCGCCTCTAGGGGGAAGTCTCATGGTTTTTCTCGAGTTGTGGCGGGGACCTGGGGTATGTTCTCGACTTACGGTGGGGATGGCCCTTCAAAACACGAGTTTCTTCAGTGACGTCCGGACTCCTGTCTAGTAATGAGGGACACCTCAGGAATCTCTTCGAGGCTTTGCAGGGCCAAATTGAGCCTTCTCGAGGTGTGGCAAGGGACCCAAGGACCCTTTCCCATAGCCACAGGAATTTTGGGATTCCTATCTGTATTCAAGAGGAGTCAGGCATCGTCACCTTTTGAAGCAATGAACTCCGCGTGCCTCTCGAGGTGTCAGCAGGATGTGAGGCATTACCTCAAAATGAGGCAGTGACCTAGGGCTTTCTCTAAGATCTCCACAGGGGATTCAGACATCCCTTCATGTTGTGAGATGAAAGACGAGCCTGTATTCAAGCCACTGCCAGGAAATCCGGCCTCCTTTCAAGTTAGGGCTTCTCGCTGTATATTCCCCTTGAGGCACCAAACTCGGGGTCCCTCCCACATACCTATTGCTGAGAGAAGCCTCCTCCAGAGGTGCTTCTGGAAAGTTGGCATACGTCTTGAACTTAAGCCAGAGAATCAGCTCTCATGTCGAGACGATTTGGGGTACACGGAGCATTCCTCGAATTAATGTGCTGAAGTTGGTGTTCCTCTTGACTTGGGACAGTGTTCTCGGGGCATCTCTGGAATTGCCTGAAGGAAGTCGAGCCACCAGTCGGGTTGAATGGGGAACGGGGAATGACTCTGGAGTTAATACAGGGGAATCAGGCCTCATCTCGAGTTGATTTGGTGCACATGGAGCTGCTTTGCGTTGCTGGGGTGACCTCAGGGTCCGTCTAGACTGGTGACAGTGTTCTTGGGGACTGTCTCGAGAACCATTAAGCAAGTCGAAGCTCCTGACTTGTTTGAATGGGATCATGGAATAGCTCTGCATGCACTGCAGGGGAATGGGGCCTCATCTCGCCTCTAGGGGGAAGTCTCATGGTTTTTCTCGATTTGCGGCGAGGACCTGGGTTATGTTCTCGACTTACGGCGGGGATGGCCCTTCAAAACACGAGTTTCTTCAGTGACGTCAGGACTCCTCTCTAGTAAAGAGGGACACCTCAGGAATCTCTTCGAGGCTTGGCAGGGCAAAAGGGATGCTTCTCGATGTGAGGCAGGGCACCCAAGCAGCCTTTGCCGTAGCCACACGGATTTTGGGATTCCTATCAGTATTCAAGAGGAGTCAGGCATCGTCACCTTTTGAAGCAATGAACTCCGCGTGCCTCTCGAGGTGTCAGCGGGATGTGAGGCATTTCGTCAAAATGAGGCAGGGACCTAGGGCTTTCTCTAAGGTCTCCACAGGGGATTCAGACATCCCTTCATGTTGTGAGATGAAAGACGAGCCTGTATTCAAGCCACTGCAAGGAAATCCGGCCTCCTTTCAAGTTAGGGCTTCTCGCTGTATATTCCCCTTGAGGCAGCAAACTCGGGGTCCCTCCCACATACCTATTGCTGAGAGAAGCCTCCTCCTGAGGTGCTTCTGGAAAGTTGGCATACATCTTGAGCCTAAGCCAGGGAATCAGCTCTCATCTCGAGACGATTTGGGGTACACTGAGCATTCCTCGAGTTGCTGTGCTGAAGTTGGTGTTCCACTAGACGTGGGACAGTGTTCTCGGTGAATCTCAGGAGTTGCCTGAAGTAAGTCGAGCCACCGGTCGTGTTGAATGGGGAACGGGGATTGGCTCTGGAGTCAATGCAGGGGAATCGGGCCTCATCTCGAGTTGATTTGGGGCTCATGGAGCTGCTTTGCGTTGCAGGGGTGACCTCAGGGTCCGTCTAGACTGGTGACAGTGTTCTTGGGGACTGTCTCGACATCCATTAAGCAAGTCGAAGCTCCTGACTTGTTTGAATGGGATCACGGAATAGCTCTGAATGCACTGCAGGGGAATGGGGCCTCTTCTCGCCTCTAGGGGGAAGTCTCATGGTTTTTCTCGAGTTGCGGCGGGGACCTGGGGTATGTTCTCGACTTACGGCGGGGATGGCCCTTCAAAACACGAGTTTCTTCAGTGAAGTCAGGACTCCTGTCTAGTAACGAGGGACACCTCAGGAATCTCTTCGAGGCTTGGCAGGGCAAAAGGGACGCTTCTCGAGGTGATGCAGGGCACCCAAAGACCCTTTCCAGTAGCCACAGGGATTTTGGGATACCTATCAGTATTCAAGAGGAGTCAGGCATCGTCACCTTTTGAAGCAATGAACTCCGTGTGCCTCTCAAGGTGTCAGCGGGATGTGAGGCGTTCCGTCAAAATGAGGCAGGGACCTAGGGCTTTCTCTAAGGTCAGCACAGGGGATTCAGACATCCCTTCATGTTGTGAGATGAAAGACGAGCCTGTATTCAAGCCACTGCAAGGAAATCCGGCCTCCTTTCAAGTTAGGGCTTCTCGCTGTATATTCCCCTTGAGGCAGCAAACTCGGGGTCCCTCCCACATACCTATTGCTGAGAGAAGCCTCCTCCTGAGGTGCTTCTGGAAAGTTGGGATACGTCTTGAGCCTAAGCCAGGGAATCAGCTCTCATCTCGAGACGATTTGGGGTACACGGAGCATTCCTCGAGTTGCTGTGCTGAAGTTGGTGTTCCTCTAGACTTGGGACAGTATTCTCGGGGCATCTCTGGAGTTGCCTGAAGGAAGTCGAGCCACCGGTCGTGTTGAATGGGGAACGGGGAATGGCTCTGGAGTGAATGCAGGGGAATCGGGCCTCATCTCGAGTTGATTTTGGGCACATGGAGCTGCTGTGCGTTGCTGGTTTGACCTCAGGGTCCGTCTAGAGTGGTGACAGTGTTCTTGGGGACTGTCGCGAGACCCATTAAGCAAGTCGAAGCTCCTGACTTGTTTGAATGGGATCATGGAATAGCTCTGCATGCACTGCAGGGGAATGGGGCCTCATCTCGCCTCTAGGGGGAAGGCTCATGTTTTTTCCCGAGTTGCGGCGGGGACCTGGGGTATGTTCTCGACTTATGGCGGGGATGGACCTTCAAAACACGAGTTTCTTCAGTGAGGTCAGGACTCCTGTCTAGTAACGAGGGACACCTCAGGAATGTCTTCGAGGCTTGGCAGGGCAAAAGGGACGCTTCTCGAGGTGAGGCAGGGCACCCAAGGACCCTTTCCAGTAGCCACAGGCATTTTGGGATTCCTATCAGTATTCAAGAGGAGTCAGGCATCGTCACCTTTTGAAGCAATGAACTCCGCGTGCCTCTCGAGGTGTCAGCGGGATGTGAGGCGTTCCGTCAAAATGAGGCAGGCACCTAGGGTTTTCTCTAAGGTCTCCACAGGGGATTCAGACATTCCTTCATGTTGTGAGATGAAAGACGAGCCTGTATTCAAGCCACTGCAAGGAAATCCGGCCTCCTTTCAAGTTAGGGCTTCTCGCTGTATATTCCCCTTGAGGCAGCAAACTCGGGGTCCCTCCCACATACCTATTGCTGAGAGAAGCCTCCCCCTGAGGTGCTTCTGGAAAGTTGGCATATGTCTTGAGCCTAAGCCAGGGAATCAGCTCTCATCTCGAGACGATTTGGGGTACACGGAGCATTCCTCGAGTTGCTGTGCTGAAGTTGGTGTTCCTCTAGACTTGGGACAGTGTTCTCGGGGCATCTCTGGTGTTGCCTGAAGGAAGTCGAGCCACCGGTCGTGTTGAATGGGGAACGGGGAATGTCTCTGGAGTCAATGCAGGGGAATCGTGCCTCATCGCGAGTTGATTTGGGGCACATGGAGCTGCTTTGCGTTGCTGGGGTGACCTCAGGGTCCGTCTAGACTGGTGACAGTGTTCTTGGGGACTGTCTCGAGATCCATTAAGCAAGTCGAAGCTCCTGACTTGTTTGAATGGGATCACGGAATAGCTCTGAATGCACTGCAGGGGAATGGGGCCTCTTCTCGCCTCTAGGGGGAAGTCTCATGGTTTTTCTCGAGTTTCGGCGGGGACCTGGGATATGTTCTCGACTTACGGCGGTGATGGCCCTTCAAAACACGAGTTTCTTCAGTGACGTCAGGACTCCTGTCTAGTAACGAGGGACACCTCAGGAATCTCTTCGAGGCTTGGCAGGGCAAAAGGGACGCTTCTCGAGGTGAGGCAGGGCACCCAAGGATCCTTTCCAGTAGCCACAGGGATTTTGGGATTCCTATCAGTATTCAAGATGAGTCAGGCATCGTCACCTTTTGAAGCAATGAACTCCGCGTGCCTCTCGAGGTGTCAGCGGGATGTGAGGCGTTCCGTCAAAATGAGGAAGGCACCTAGGGTTTTCTCTAAGGTCTCCACAGGGGATTCAGACATTCCTTCATGTTGTGAGATGAAAGACGAGCCTGTATTCAAGCCACTGCAAGGAAATCCGGCCTCCTTTCAAGTTAGGGCTTCTCGCTGTATATTCCCCTTGAGGCAGCAAACTCGGGGTCCCTCCCACATACCTATTGCTGAGAGCAGCCTCCTCCTGAGGTGCTTCTGGAAAGTTGGCATGCGTCTTGAGCCTAAGAAAGGGAATCAGCCTTCATCTTGAGACGATTTGGGGTACACGGAGCATTCCTCGAGTTGCTGTGCTGAAGTTGGTGTTCCTCTAGACTTGGGACAGTGTTCTCGGGGCATCTCTGGAGTTGCCTGAAGGAAGTCGAGCCACTGGTCGTGTTGAATGGGGAACAGGGAATGGCTCTGGAGTCAATGCAAGGGAATCGGGCCTTATCTCGAGTTGATTTGGGGCACATGGAGCTGCTTTGCGTTGCTGGGGTGACCTCAGGGTCCGTCTAGACTGGTGACAGTGTTCTTGGGGACTGTCTCGAGATCCATTAAGCAAGTCGAAGCTCCTGACTTGTTTGAATGGGATCACGGAATAGCTCTGCATGCACTGCAGGGGAATGGGGCCTCATCTCGCCTCTAGGGGGAACTCTCATGGTTTTTCTTCGAGTTGCTGCAGGGACTTGGGGTATGTTCTCGACTTACGGCGGGGATGGCCCTTTAAAGCACGAGTTTCTTCAGTGACGTCAGGACTCCTGTCTAGTAACCTGGGACACCTCAGGAATGTCTTCGAGGCTTGGCAGGGCAAAAGGGAAGCTTCTCGAGGTGAGGCAGGGCACCCAAGGATCCTTTCCAGTAGCCACAGGGATTTTGGGATTCTCTAAGGTCTCCACAGGGGATTCAGACATCCCTTCATGTTGTGAGATGAAAGACGAGCCTGTATTCAAGCCACTGCAAGGAAATCCGGCCTCCTATCAAGTTAGGGCTTCTCGCTGTATATTCCCCTTGAGGCAGCAAACTCGGGGTCCCTCCCACATACCTATTGCTGAGAGAAGCCTCCCCCTGAGGTGCTTCTGGAAAGTTGGCATATGTCTTGAGCCTAAGCCAGGGAATCAGCTCTCATCTCGAGAAGATTTGGGGTACACGGAGCATTCCTCGAGTTGCTGTGCTGAAGTTGGTGTTCCTCTAGACTTGGCACAGTGTTCTCGGGGCATCTCTGGAGTTGCCTGAAAGAAGTCGAGCCACCGGTCGTGTTGAAAGGGGAACGGGGAATGGCTCTGGAGTCAATGCAGGGGAATCGGGCCTCATCTCGAGTTGATTTGGGGCACATGGAGCTGCTTTGCGTTGCTGGGGTGACCTCAGGGTCCGTCTAGACTGGTGACAGTGTTCTTGGGGACTGTCTCGAGATCCATTAAGCAAGTCGAAGCTCCTGACTTGTTTGAATGGGATCACGGAATAGCTCTGCATGCACTGCAGAGGAATGGGGCCTCATCTCGCCTCTAGGGGGAAGTCTCATGGTTTTTCTCGAGTTGCGGCGGGGACCTGGGGTATGTTCTCGACCTACGGCGGTGATGGCCCTTCAAAACACGAGTTTCTTCAGTGACGTCAGGACTCCTGTCTAGTAACGAGGGACACCTCAGGAATCTCTTCGGTGCTTGGCAGGGCAAAATTGAGGCTTCTCGAGGTGAGGCAGGGCACCCAAGGACCCTTTCCCGTAGCCACAGGGATTTTGGGTTTCCTATCAGTATTCAAGAGGAGTCAGGCATCGTCACCTTTTGAAGCAATGAACTCCGCGTGCCTCTCGAGGTGTCAGCGGGATGTGAGGCATTCCGTCAAAAGGAGGCAGGGACCTAGGGCTTTCTCTAAGGTCTCCACAGGGCATTCAGACATCCCTTCATGTTGTGAGATGAAAGACGAGCCTGTATTCAAGCCACTGCAAGGACATCCGGCCTCCTTTCAAGTTAGGGCTTCTCGCTGTATATTCGCCTTGAGGCAGCAAACTCGGGGTGCCTCCCACATACCTATTGCTGAGAGAAGCCTCCTCCTGAGGTGCTTCTGGAAATTTGGCATACGTCTTGAGCCTAAGAAAGGGAATCAGCTCTCATCTCGAGACGATTTGGGGTACACGGTGCATTCCTCGAGTTGCTGTGCTGAAGTTGGTGTTCCTCTAGACTTGGGACAGTATTCTCGGGGCATCTCTGGAGTTGCCTGAAGGAAGTCGAGCCACCGGTCGTGTTGAATGGGGAACGGGGAATGGCTCTGGAGTCAATGCAGGGGAATCGGGCCTCATCTAGAGTTGATTTGGGGCACATGGAGCTGCTTTGCGTTGCAGGGGTGACCTAAGGGTCCGTCTAGACTGGTGACAGTGTTCTTGGGGACAGTCTCGAGATCCATTAAGCAAGTCGAAGTTCCTGACTTGTTTGAATGGGATCACGGAATAGCTCTGAATGCACTGCAGGGGAATGGGGCCTCTTCTCGCCTCTAGGGGGAAGTCTCATGGTTTTTCTCGAGTTGCGGCGGGGACCTGGGGTATGTTCTCGACTTACGGCGGGGATGGCCCTTCAAAACACGAGTTTCTTCAGTGACGTCAGGACTCCTGTCTAGTAACGAGGGACACCTCAGGAATCTCTTCGAGGCTTGGCAGGGCAAAAGGGACGCTTCTCGAGGTGATGCAGGGCACCCAAGGACCCTTTCCAGTATCCACAGGGATTTTGGGATTCCTATCAGTATTCAAGAGGAGTCAGGCATCGTCACCTTTTGAAGCAATGAACTCCGTGTGCCTCTCAAGGTGTCAGCGGGATGTGAGGCGTTCCGTCAAAATGAGGCAGGGACCTAGGGCTTTCTCTAAGGTCTCCACAGGGGATTCAGACATCCCTTCATGTTGTGAGATGAAAGACGAGCCTGTATTCAAGCCACTGCAAGGAAATCCGGCCTCCTTTCAAGTTAGGGCTTCTCGCTGTATATTCCCCTTGAGGCAGCAAACTCGGGGTCCCTCCCACATACCTATTGCTGAGAGAAGCCTCCTCCTGAGGTGCTTCTGGAAAGTTGGCATACGTCTTGAGCCTAAGCCAGGGAATCAGCTCTCATCTCGAGACGATTTGGGGTACACGGAGCATTCCTCGAGTTGCTGTGCTGAAGTTGGTGTTCCTCTAGACTTGGGACAGTGTTCTCGGGGCATCTCTGGAGTTGCCTGAAGGAAGTCGAGCCACCGGTCGTGTTGAATGGGGAACGGGGAATGGCTCTGGAGTCAATGCAGGGGAATCGGGCCTCATCTCGAGTTGATTTGGGGCATATGGAGCTGCTTTGCGTTGCTGGGGTGACCTCAGGGTCCGTCTAGACTGGTGACAGTGTTCTTGGGGACTGTCTCGAGATCCATTAAGCAAGTCGAAGCTCCTGACTTGTTTGAATGGGATCACGGAATAGCTCTGCATGCACTGCAGGGGAATGGGGCCTCGTCTCGCCTCTAGGGGGAAGTCTCATGGTTTTTCTCGAGTTGCGGCGGGGACCTGGGGTATGTTCTCGACTTACGGCGGGGATGGCCCTTCAAAACACGAGTTTCTTCAGTGACGTCAGGACTCCTGTCTAGTAATGAGGGACACCTCAGGAATCTCTTCGAGGCTTGGCAGGGCAAAAGGGACGCTTCTCGAGGTGAGGCAGGGCACCCAAGGACCCTTTCCAGTAGCCACAGGGATTTTGGGATTCCTATCAGTATTCAAGAGGAGTCAGGCATCGTCACCTTTTGAAGCAATGAAATCCGCGTGCCTCTCGAGGTGTCAGCGGGATGTGAGGCGTTCCGTCAAAATGAGGCAGGCACCTAGGGCTTTCTCTAAGGTCTCCACAGGGGATTCAGACATCCCTTCATGTTGTGAGATGAAAGACGAGCCTATATTCAAGCCACTGCAAGGAAATCCGGCCTCCTTTCAAGTTAGGGCTTCTCGCTGTATATTCCCCTTGAGGCAGCAAACTCGGGGTCCCTCCCACATACCTATTGCTGAGAGAAGCCTCCCCCTGAGGTGCTTCTGGAAAGTTGGCATATGTCTTGAGCCTAAGCCAGGGAATCAGCTCTCATCTCGAGACGATTTGGGGTACACGGAGCATTCCTCGTGTTGCTGTGCTGAAGTTGGTGTTCCTCTAGACTTGGGACAGTGTTCTCGGGGCATCTCTGGTGTGGCCTGAAGGAAGTCGAGCCACCGGTCGTGTTGAATGGGGAACGGGGAATGGCTCTGGAGTCAATGCAGGGGAATCGTGCCTCATCGCGAGTTGATTTGGGGCACATGGAGCTGCTTTGCGTTGCTGGGGTGACCTCAGGGTCCGTCTAGACTGGTGACAGTGTTCTTGGGGACTGTCTCGAGATCCATTAAGCAAGTCGAAGCTCCTGACTTGTTTGAATGGGATCACGGAATAGCTCTGAATGCACTGCAGGGGAATGGGGCCTCTTCTCGCCTCTAGGGGGAAGTCTCATGGTTTTTCTCGAGTTTCGGCGGGGACCTGGGATATGTTCTCGACTTACGGCGGTGATGGCCCTTCAAAACACGAGTTTCTTCAGTGACGTCAGGACTCCTGTCTAGTAACGAGGGACACCTCAGGAATCTCTTCGAGGCTTGGCAGGGCAAAAGGGACGCTTCTCGAGGTGAGGCAGGGCACCCAAGGACCCTTTCCAGTAGCCACAGGGATTTTGGGATTCCTATCAGTATTCAAGATGAGTCAGGCATCGTCACCTTTTGAAGCAATGAACTCCGCGTGCCTCTCGAGGTGTCAGCGGGATGTGAGGCGTTCCGTCAAAATGAGGAAGGCACCTAGGGTTTTCTCTAAGGTCTCCACAGGGGATTCAGACATTCCTTCATGTTGTAAGATGAAAGACGAGCCTGTATTCAAGCCACTGCAAGGAAATCCGGCCTCCTTTCAAGTTAGGGCTTCTCGCTGTATATTCCCCTTGAGGCAGCAAACTCGGGGTCCCTCCCACATACCTATTGCTGAGAGCAGCCTCCTCCTGAGGTGCTTCTGGAAAGTTGGCATGCGTCTTGAGCCTAAGAAAGGGAATCAGCCTTCATCTTGAGACGATTTGGGGTACACGGAGCATTCCTCGAGTTGCTGTGCTGAAGTTGGTGTTCCTCTAGACTTGGGACAGTGTTCTCGGGGCATCTCTGGAGTTGCCTGAAGGAAGTCGAGCCACTGGTCGTGTTGAATGGGGAACAGGGAATGGCTCTGGAGTCAATGCAAGGGACTCGGGCCTTATCTCGAGTTGATTTGGGGCACATGGAGCTGCTTTGCGTTGCTGGGGTGACCTCAGGGTCCGTCTAGACTGGTGACAGTGTTCTTGGGGACTGTCTCGAGATCCATTAAGCAAGTCGAAGCTCCTGACTTGTTTGAATGGGATCACGGAATAGCTCTGCATGCACTGCAGGGGAATGGGGCCTCATCTCGCCTCTAGGGGGAACTCTCATGGTTTTTCTTCGAGTTGCTGCAGGGACTTGGGGTATGTTCTCGACTTACGGCTGGGATGGCCCTTTAAAGCACGAGTTTCTTCAGTGACGTCAGGACTCCTGTCTAGTAACCTGGGACACCTCAGGAATGTCTTCGAGGCTTGGCAGGGCAAAAGGGAAGCTTCTCGAGGTGAGGCAGGGCACCCAAGGATCCTTTCCAGTAGCCACAGGGATTTTGGGATTCTCTAAGGTCTCCACAGGGGATTCAGACATCCCTTCATGTTGTGAGATGAAAGACGAGCCTGTATTCAAGCCACTGCAAGGAAATCCGGCCTCCTATCAAGTTAGGGCTTCTCGCTGTATATTCCCCTTGAGGCAGCAAACTCGGGGTCCCTCCCACATACCTATTGCTGAGAGAAGCCTCCCCCTGAGGTGCTTCTGGAAAGTTGGCATATGTCTTGAGCCTAAGCCAGGGAATCAGCTCTCATCTCGAGAAGATTTGGGGTACACGGAGCATTCCTCGAGTTGCTGTGCTGAAGTTGGTGTTCCTCTAGACTTGGCACAGTGTTCTCGGGGCATCTCTGGAGTTGCCTGAAAGAAGTCGAGCCACCGGTCGTGTTGAAAGGGGAACGGGGAATGGCTCTGGAGTCAATGCAGGGGAATCGGGCCTCATCTCGAGTTGATTTGGGGCACATGGAGCTGCTTTGCGTTGCTGGGGTGACCTCAGGGTCCGTCTAGACTGGTGACAGTGTTCTTGGGGACTGTCTCGAGATCCATTAAGCAAGTCGAAGCTCCTGACTTGTTTGAATGGGATCACGGAATAGCTCTGCATGCACTGCAGAGGAATGGGGCCTCATCTCGCCTCTAGGGGGAAGTCTCATGGTTTTTCTCGAGTTGCGGCGGGGACCTGGGGTATGTTCTCGACCTACGGCGGTGATGGCCCTTCAAAACACGAGTTTCTTCAGTGACGTCAGGACTCCTGTCTAGTAACGAGGGACACCTCAGGAATCTCTTCGGTGCTTGGCAGGGCAAAATTGAGGCTTCTCGAGGTGAGGCAGGGCACCCAAGGACCCTTTCCCGTAGCCACAGGGATTTTGGGTTTCCTATCAGTATTCAAGAGGAGTCAGGCATCGTCACCTTTTGAAGCAATGAACTCCGCGTGCCTCTCGAGGTGTCAGCGGGATGTGAGGCATTCCGTCAAAAGGAGGCAGGGACCTAGGGCTTTCTCTAAGGTCTCCACAGGGCATTCAGACATCCCTTCATGTTGTGAGATGAAAGACGAGCCTGTATTCAAGCCACTGCAAGGACATCCGGCCTCCTTTCAAGTTAGGGCTTCTCGCTGTATATTCGCCTTGAGGCAGCAAACTCGGGGTGCCTCCCACATACCTATTGCTGAGAGAAGCCTCCTCCTGAGGTGCTTCTGGAAATTTGGCATACGTCTTGAGCCTAAGAAAGGGAATCAGCTCTCATCTCGAGACGATTTGGGGTACACGGAGCATTCCTCGAGTTGCTGTGCTGAAGTTGGTGTTCCTCTAGACTTGGGACAGTATTCTCGGGGCATCTCTGGAGTTGCCTGAAGGAAGTCGAGCCACCGGTCGTGTTGAATGGGGAACGGGGAATGGCTCTGGAGTCAATGCAGGGGAATCGGGCCTCATCTCGAGTTGATTTGGGGCACATGGAGCTGCTTTGCGTTGCAGGGGTGACCTAAGGGTCCGTCTAGACTGGTGACAGTGTTCTTGGGGACTGTCTCGAGATCCATTAAGCAAGTCGAAGTTCCTGACTTGTTTGAATGGGATCACGGAATAGCTCTGAATGCACTGCAGGGGAATGGGGCCTCTTCTCGCCTCTAGGGGGAAGTCTCATGGTTTTTCTCGAGTTGCGGCGGGGACCTGGGGTATGTTCTCGACTTACGGCGGGGATGGCCCTTCAAAAAACGAGTTTCTTCAGTGACGTCAGGACTCCTGTCTAGTAACGAGGGTCACCTCAGGAATCTCTTCGAGGCTTGGCAGGGTAAAAGGGACGCTTCTCGAGGTGATGCAGGGCACCCAAGGACCCTTTCCAGTATCCACAGGGATTTTGGGATTCCTATCAGTATTCAAGAGGAGTCAGGCATCGTCACCTTTTGAAGCAATGAACTCCGTGTGCCTCTCAACGTGTCAGCGGGATGTGAGGCGTTCCGTCAAAATGAGGCAGGGACCTAGGGCTTTCTCTAAGGTCTCCACAGGGGATTCAGACATCCCTTCATGTTGTGAGATGAAAGACGAGCCTGTATTCAAGCCACTGCAAGGAAATCCGGCCTCCTTTCAAGTTAGGGCTTCTCGCTGTATATTCCCCTTGAGGCAGCAAACTCGGGGTCCCTCCCACATACCTATTGCTGAGAGAAGCCTCCTCCTGAGGTGCTTCTGGAAAGTTGGCATACGTCTTGAGCCTAAGCCAGGGAATCAGCTCTCATCTCGAGACGATTTGGGGTACACGGAGCATTCCTCGAGTTGCTGTGCTGAAGTTGGTGGTCCTCTAGACTTGGGACAGTGTTCTCGGGGCATCTCTGGAGTTGCCTGAAGGAAGTCGAGCCACCGGTCGTGTTGAATGGGGAACGGGGAATGGCTCTGGAGTCAATGCAGGGGAATCGGGCCTCATCTCGAGTTGATTTGGGGCATATGGAGCTGCTTTGCGTTGCTGGGGTGACCTCAGGGTCCGTCTAGACTGGTGACAGTGTTCTTGGGGACTGTCTCGAGATCCATTAAGCAAGTCGAAGCTCCTGACTTGTTTGAATGGGATCACGGAATAGCTCTGCATGCACTGCAGGGGAATGGGGCCTCGTCTCGCCTCTAGGGGGAAGTCTCATGGTTTTTCTCGAGTTGCGGCGGGGACCTGGGTTATGTTCTCGACTTACGGCGGGGATGGCCCTTCAAAACACGAGTTTCTTCAGTGACGTCAGGACTCCTGTCTAGTAATGAGGGACACCTCAGGAATCTCTTCGAGGCTTGGCAGGGCAAAAGGGACGCTTCTCGAGGTGAGGCAGGGCACCCAAGGACCATTTCCCGTAGCCACAGGGATTTTGGGATTCCTATCAGTATTCAAGAGGAGTCAGGCATCATCACCTTTTGAAGCAATGAACTCCGCGTGCCTCTCGAGGTGTCAGCGGGATGTGAGGCATTCCGTCCAAATGAGGCAGGTACCTAGGGCTTTCTCTAAGTTTTCCACAGGTGATTCAGACATCCCTTCATGTTGTGAGATGAAAGACGAGCCTGTATTCAAGCCACTGCAAGGAAATCCGGCCTCCTTTCAAGTTAGGGCTTCTCGCTGTATATTCCCCTTGAGGCAGCAAATTCGGGGTCCCCCCCACATACCTATTGCTGAGAGAAGCCTCCTCCTGAGGTGCTTCTGGAAAGTTGGCATACGTCTTGAGCCTAAGCCAGGGAATCAGCTCTCATCTCGAGACGATTTGGGGTACACTGAGCATTCCTCGAATTGCTGTGCTGAAGTTGGTATTCCTCTAGACTTGGGACAGTGTTCTCGGGGCATCTCTGGAGTTGCCTGAAGTAAGTCGAGCCACCGGTCGTGTTGAATGGGGAACGGGGAATGTCTCTGGAGTCAATGCAGGGGAATCGGGCCTCATCTCGAGTTGATTTGGGGCACATGGAGCTGCTTTGCGTTGCTGGGGTGACCTCAGGGTCCGTCTAGACAGGTGACAGTGATCTTGGGGACTGTCTCGAGATCCATTAAGCAAGTCGAAGCTCCTGACTTGTTTGAATGGGATCACGGAATAGCTCTGCATGCACTGCAGGGGAATGGGGCCTCATCTCGCCTCTAGGGGGAAGTCTCATGGTTTTTCTCGAGTTGCGGCGGGGACCTGGGGTATGTTCTCGACTTACGGCGGGGATGGCCCTTCAAAACACGAGTTTCTTCAGTGACGTCAGGACTCCTGTCTAGTAATGAGGGACATCTCAGGAATCTCTTCGAGGCTTGGCAGGGTCAAATTGAGGCTTCTCAAGGTGTGGCAGGGCACCCAAGGACCCTTTCCCGTAGCCACAGGGATTTTGGGATTCCTATCTGTATTCAAGAGGAGTCAGGCATCGTCACCTTTTGAAGCAATGAACTCCGCGTGCCTCTCGAGGTGTCAGCGTGATGTGAGGCATTCCGTCAAAATGAGGCAGTGACCTAGGGCTTTCTCTAAGGTCTCCACAGGGGATTCAGACATCCCTTCATGTTGTGAGATGAAAGACGAGCCTGTATTCAAGCCACTGCAAGGAAATCCGGCCTCCTTTCAAGTTAGGGCTTCTCGCTGTATATTCCCCTTGAGGCAGCAAACTCGGGGTCCCTCCCACATACCTATTGCTGAGAGAAGCCTCCGCCTGAGTTGCTTCTGGAAAGTTGGCATACGTCTTGAGCCTAAGCCAGGGAATCAGCTCTCATCTCGAGACTATTTGTTGTACACGGAGCATTCCTCGAATTAATGTGCTGAAGTTGGTGTTCCTCTAGACTTGGGACAGTGTTCTCGGGGCATCTCTGGAGTTGCCTGAAGGAAGTCGAGCCACCAGTCGGGTTGAATGGGGAACGGGGAATGGCTCTGGAGTCAATGCAGGTGAATTAGGCCTCATTTCGAGTTGATTTGGTGCACATGGAGCTGCTTTGCGTTGCTGGGGTGACCTCAGGGTCTGTCTAGACTGGTGACAGTGTTCTTGGGGACTGTCTGGAGATCCATCAAGCAAGTCGAAGCTCCTGACTTGTTTGAATGGGATCATGGAATAGCTCTGCACGCACTGCAGGGTAATGGGGCCTCATCTCGCCTCTAGGGGGAAGTTTCATGGTTTTTCTCGAGTTGCGGCGAGGACCTGGGGTATGTTCTCGACTTACGGCGGGGATGGCCCTTCAAAACACGAGTTTCTTCAGTGACGTCAGGACTACTCTCTAGTAAAGAGGGACACCTCAGGAATCTCTTCGAGGCTTGGCAGGGCAAAAGGGACGCTTCTCGATGTGAGGCAGGGCACCCAAGCAGCCTTTCCCGTAGCCACATGGATTTTGGGATTCCTATCAGTATTCAAGAGGAGTCAGGCATCGTCACCTTTTGAAGCAATGAACTCCGCGTGCCTCTCGAGGTGTCAGCGGGATGTGAGGCATTCCGTCAAAATGAGGCAGGGACCTAGGGCTTTCTCTAAGGTCTCCACAGGGGATTCAGACATCCCTTCATGTTGTGAGATGAAAGACGAGCCTGTATTCAAGCCACTGCAAGGAAATCTGGCCTCCTTTCAAGTTAGGGCTTCTCGCTGTATATTCCCTTGAGACAGCAAACTCGGGGTCCCTCCCACATACCTATTGCTGAGAGTAGCCCCCTCCTGAGGTGCTTCTGGAAAGATGGCATACGTCTTGAGCCTAAGCCATGGAATCTGCTCTCATTTCGAGACGATTTGGGGTACACGGAGCATTCCTCGAGTTGCTGTGCTGAAGTTGGTGTTCCTCTAGACTTGGGACAGCATTCTCGGGGCATCTCTGGAGTTGCCTGAAGGAAGTCGAGCCACCGGTCGTGTTGAATGGGGAACGGGGAATGGTTCTGGAGTCAATGCAGGGTAATCGGCCCCATCTCGAGTTGATTTGGGGCACATGGAGCTGCTTTGCGTTGCTGGGGTGACCTCAGGGTCCGTCTAGACTGGTGACAGTGTTCTTGGGGACTGTCTCGAGATCCATTAAGCAAGTCGAAGCTCCTGACTTGTTTGAATGGGATCACGGAATAGCTCTGCATGCACTGCAGGGGAATGGGGCCTCATCTCGCCTCTAGGGGGAAGTCTCATGGTTTCTCTCGAGTTGCTGCGGGGACCTGGGCTATGTTCTCGACTTACGGCGGGGATGGCCCTTCAAAACACGAGTTTCTTCACTGACGTCAGGTCTCCTGTCTAGTAACGAGCGACACCTCAGGAATCTCTTCGAGGCTTGGCAGGGCATAAGGGACGCTTCTCGAGGTGAGGCAGGGCACCCAAGGACCCTTTCCAGTAGCCACAGGGATTTTGGGATTGCTATCAGTATTCAAGAGGAATCAGGCATCATCACCTTTTGAAGCAATGAACTCCGTTTGCCTCTCAAGGTGTCAGCGGGTTGTGAGGCATTCCGTCAAAATGAGGCAGGGACCTAGGGCTTTCTCTAAGGTCTCCACAGGGGATTCAGACATCCCTTCATGTTGTGAGATGAAAGACGAGCCTGTATTCAAGCCACTGCAAGGAAATCCGGCCTCCTTTCAAGTTAGGGCTTCTCGCTGTATATTCCCCTTGAGGCAGCAAACTCGGGGTCCCTCCCACATACCTATTGCTGAGAGAAGCCTCCTCCTGAGGTGCTTCTGGAAATTTGGCATACGTCTTGAGCCTAAGCCAGGGAATCAGCTCTCATCTCGAGACGATTTGGGTACACGGAGCATTCCTCGAGTTGCTGTGCTGAAGTTGGTGTTCCTCTAGACTTGGGACAGTGTTCTCGGTGCATCTCTGCAGTTGCCTGAAGGAAGTCGAGCCACCGGTCGTGTTGAATGGGGAACAGGGAATGGCTCTGGTGTCAATGCAGGGGAATCGGGCCTTATCTCGAGTTGATTTGGGGCACATGGAGCTGCTTTGCGTTGCTGGGGTGACCTCAGGGTCCGTCTAGACTGGTGACAGTGTTCTTGGGGACTGTCTCGAGATCCATTAAGCAAGTCAAAGCTCCTGACTTGTTTGAATGGGATCACGGAATAGCTCTGCATGCACTGCAGGGGAATGGGGCCTCATCTCGCCTCTAGGGGGAAGTCTCATGGTTTTTCTCGAGTTGCGGCGGGGACCTGGGTTATGTTCTCGACTTACGGCGGGGATGGCCCTACAAAACACGAGTTTCTTCAGTGACGTCAGGACTCCTGTCTAGTAACGAGGGACACCTCAGGAATCTCTTCGAGGCTTGCCAGGGCAAAAGGGACGCTTCTCGTGGTGAGGCAGGGCACCCAGGGACCCTTTCCAGTAACCACAGGGATTTGGGGATTCCTATCAGTATTCAAGAGGAGTCAGGCATCGTCACCTTTTGAAGCAATGAACTCCGCGTGCCTCTCGAGGTGTCAGCGGGATATGAGGCGTTCCGACAAAATGAGGCAGGCACCTAGGGCTTTCTTAAGGTTTCCACATAGGATTCAGACATCCCTTCACGTTGTGAGATGAAAGACGAGCCTGTATTCAAGCCACTGCAAGGAAATCCGGCCTCCTTTCAAGTTAGGGCTTCTCGCTGTATATTCCCCTTGAGGCAGCAAACTCGGGGTCCCTCCCACATACCTATTGCTGAGAGAAGCCTCCTCCTGAGGTGCTTCTGGAAAGTTGGCATACGTCTTGAGCCTAAGCCAGGGAATCAGCTCTCATCTCGAGACGATTTGGGGTACACTGAGCATTCCTCGAATTGCTGTGCTGAAGTTGGTATTCCTCTAGACTTGGGACAGTGTTCTCGGGGCATCTCTGGAGTTGCCTGAAGTAAGTCGAGCCACCGGTCGTGTTGAATGGGGAACGGGGAATGTCTCTGGAGTCAATGCAGGGTAATCGGGCCTCATCTCGAGTTGATTTGGGGCACATGGAGCTGCTTTGCGTTGCTGGAGTGACCTCAGGGTCCGTCTAGACTGGTGACAGTGATCTTGGGGACTGTCTCGAGATCCATTAAGCAAGTCGAAGCTCCTGACTTGTTTGAATGGGATCACGGAATAGCTCTGCATGCACTGGAGGGGAATGGGGCCTCATCTCGCCTCTAGGGGGAAGTCTCATGGTTTTTCTCGAGTTGCGGCGGGGACCTGGGGTATGTTCTCGACTTACGGCGGGGATGGCCCTTCAAAACACGAGTTTCTTCAGTGACGTCAGGACTCCTGTCTAGTAATGAGGGACATCTCAGGAATCTCTTCGAGGCTTGGCAGGGTCAAATTGAGGCTTCTCAAGGTGTGGCAGGGCACCCAAGGACCCTTTCCCGTAGCCACAGGGATTTTGGGATTCCTATCAGTATTCAAGAGGAGTCAGGCATCGTCACCTTTTGAAGCAATGAACTCCGCGTGCCTCTCGAGGTGTCAGCGTGATGTGAGGCATTCCGTCAAAATGAGGCAGTGACCTAGGGCTTTCTCTAAGGTCTCCACAGGGGATTCAGACATCCCTTCATGTTGTGAGATGAAAGACGAGCCTGTATTCAAGCCACTGTAAGGAAATCCGGCCTCCTTTCAAGTTAGGGCTTCTCGCTGTATATTCCCCTTGAGGCAGCAAACTCGGGGTCCCTCCCACATACCTATTGCTGAGAGAAGCCTCCGCCTGAGGTGCTTCTGGAAAGTTGGCATACGTCTTGAGCCTAAGCCAGGGAATCAGCTCTCATCTCGAGACTATTTGTTGTACACGGAGCATTCCTCGAATTAATGTGCTGAAGTTGGTGTTCCTCTAGACTTGGGACAGTGTTCTCGGGGCATCTCTGGAGTTGCCTGAAGGAAGTCGAGCCACCAGTCGGGTTGAATGGGGAACGGGGAATGGCTCTGGAGTCAATGCAGGTGAATCAGGCCTCATTTCGAGTTGATTTGGTGCACATGGAGCTGCTTTGCGTTGCTGGGGTGACCTCAGGGTCTGTCTAGACTGGTGACAGTGTTCTTGTGGACTGTCTGGAGATCCATCAAGCAAGTCGAAGCTCCTGACTTGTTTGAATGGGATCATGGAATAGCTCTGCATGCACTGCAGGGTAATGGGGCCTCATCTCGCCTCTAGGGGGAAGTTTCATGGTTTTTCTCGAGTTGCGGCGAGGACCTGGGGTATGTTCTCGACTTACGGCGGGGATGGCCCTTCAAAACACGAGTTTCTTCAGTGACGTCAGAACTACTCTCTAGTAAAGAGGGACACCTCAGGAATCTCTTCGAGGCTTGGCAGGGCAAAAGGGACGCTTCTCGATGTGAGGCAGGGCACCCAAGCAGCCTTTCCCGTAGCCACACGGATTTTGGGATTCCTATCAGTATTCAAGAGGAGTCAGGCATCGTCACCTTTTGAAGCAATGAACTCCGCGTGCCTCTCGAGGTGTCAGCGGGATGTGAGGCATTCCGTCAAAATGAGGCAGGGACCTAGGGCTTTCTCTAAGGTCTCCACAGGGGATTCAGACATCCCTTCATGTTGTGAGATGAAAGACGAGCCTGTATTCAAGCCACTGCAAGGAAATCTGGCCTCCTTTCAAGTTAGGGCTGCTCGCTGTATATTCCCTTGAGGCAGCAAACTCGGGGTCCCTCCCACATACCTATTGCTGAGAGTAGCCCCCTCCTGAGGTGCTTCTGGAAAGATGGCATACGTCTTGAGCCTAAGCCATGGAATCTGCTCTCATTTCGAGACGATTTGGGGTACACGGAGCATTCCTCGAGTTGCTGTGCTGAAGTTGGTGTTCCTCTAGACTTGGGACAGCATTCTCAGGGCATCTCTGGAGTTGCCTGAAGGAAGTCGAGCCACCGGTCGTGTTGAATGGGGAACGGGGAATGGTTCTGGAGTCAATGCAGGGTAATCGGCCCCATCTCGAGTTGATTTGGGGCACATGGAGCTGCTTTGCGTTGCTGGGGTGACCTCAGTGTAAGTCTAGACTGGTGACAGTGTTCTTGGGGACTGTCTCGAGATCCATTAAGCAAGTCGAAGCTCCTGACTTGTTTGAATGGGATCACGGAATAGCTCTGCATGCACTGCAGGGGAATGGGGCCTCATCTCGCCTCTAGGGGGAAGTCTCATGGTTTTTCTCGAGTTGCTGCGGGGACCTGGGCTATGTTCTCGACTTACGGCGGGAATGGCCCTTCACAACACGAGTTTCTTCACTGACGTCAGGTCTCCTGTCTAGTAACGAGCGACACCTCAGGAATCTCTTCGAGGCTTGGCAGGGCATAAGGGACGCTTCTCGAGGTGAGGCAGGGCACCCAAGGACCCTTTCCAGTAGCCACAGGGATTTTGGGATTGCTATCAGTATTCAAGAGGAATCAGGCATCATCACCTTTTGAAGCAATGAACTCCGTTTGCCTCTCAAGGTGTCAGCGGGATGTGAGGCATTCCGTCAAAATGAGGCAGGGACCTAGGGCTTTCTCTAAGGTCTCCACAGGGGATTCAGACATCCCTTCATGTTGTGAGATGAAAGACGAGCCTGTATTCAAGCCACTGCAAGGAAATCCGGCCTCCTTTCAAGTTAGGGCTTCTCGCTGTATATTCCCCTTGAGGCAGCAAACTCGGGGTCCCTCCCACATACCTATTGCTGAGAGAAGCCTCCTCCTGAGGTGCTTCTGGAAATTTGGCATACGTCTTGAGCCTAAGCCAGGGAATCAGCTCTCATCTCGAGACGATTTGGGGTACACGGAGCATTCCTCGAGTTGCTGTGCTGAAGTTGGTGTTCCTCTAGACTTGGGACAGTGTTCTCGGTGCATCTCTGCAGTTGCCTGAAGGAAGTCGAGCCACCGGTCGTGTTGAATGGGGAACGGGGAATGGCTCTGGTGTCAATGCAGGGGAATCGGGCCTTATCTCGAGTTGATTTGGGGCACATGGAGCTGCTTTGCGTTGCTGGGGTGACCTCAGGGTCCGTCTAGACTGGTGACAGTGTTCTTGGGGACTGTCTCGAGATCCATTAAGCAAGTCGAAGCTCCTGACTTGTTTGAATGGGATCACGGAATAGCTCTGCATGCACTGCAGGGGAATGGGGCCTCATCTCGCCTCTAGGGGGAAGTCTCATGGTTTTTCTCGAGTTGCTGCGGGGACCTGGGCTATGTTCTCGACTTACGGCGGGAATGGCCCTTCAAAACACGAGTTTCTTCACTGACGTCAGGTCTCCTGTCTAGTAACGAGCGACACCTCAGGAATCTCTTCGAGGCTTGGCAGGGCATAAGGGACGCTTCTCGAGGTGAGGCAGGGCACCCAAGGACCCTTTCCAGTAGCCACAGGGATTTTGGGATTGCTATCAGTATTCAAGAGGAATCAGGCATCATCACCTTTTGAAGCAATGAACTCCGTTTGCCTCTCAAGGTGTCAGCGGGATGTGAGGCATTCCGTCAAAATGAGGCAGGGACCTAGGGCTTTCTCTAAGGTCTCCACAGGGGATTCAGACATCCCTTCATGTTGTGAGATGAAAGACGAGCCTGTATTCAAGCCACTGCAAGGAAATCCGGCCTCCTTTCAAGTTAGGGCTTCTCGCTGTATATTCCCCTTGAGGCAGCAAACTCGGGGTCCCTCCCACATACCTATTGCTGAGAGAAGCCTCCTCCTGAGGTGCTTCTGGAAATTTGGCATACGTCTTGAGCCTAAGCCAGGGAATCAGCTCTCATCGCGAGACGATTTGGGGTACACGGAGCATTCCTCGAGTTGCTGTGCTGAAGTTGGTGTTCCTCTAGACTTGGGACAGTGTTCTCGGTGCATCTCTGCAGTTGCCTGAAGGAAGTCGAGCCACCGGTCGTGTTGAATGGGGAACGGGGAATGGCTCTGGTGTCAATGCAGGGGAATCGGGCCTTATCTCGAGTTGATTTGGGGCACATGGAGCTGCTTTGCGTTGCTGGGGTGACCTCAGGGTCCGTCTAGACTGGTGACAGTGTTCTTGGGGACTGTCTCGAGATCCATTAAGCAAGTCAAAGCTCCTGACTTGTTTGAATGGGATCACGGAATACCTCTGCATGCACTGCAGGGGAATGGGGCCTCATCTCGCCTCTAGGGGGAAGTCTCATGGTTTTTCTCGAGTTGCGGCGGGGACCTGGGTTATGTTCTCGACTTACGGCGGGGATGGCCCTTCAAAACACGAGTTTCTTCAGTGACGTCAGGACTCCTGTCTAGTAACGAGGGACACCTCAGGAATCTCTTCGAGGCTTGGCAGGGTCAAACTGAGGCTTCTCGAGGTGTAGCAGGGCACCCAAGGACCCTTTCCCGTAGCCACAGGGATTTTGGGATTCCTATCAGTATTCAAGAGGAGTCAGGCATCGTCACCTTTTGAAGCAATGAACTCCGCGTGCCTCTCGAGGTGTCAGCGTGATGTGAGGCATTCCGTCAAAATGAGGCAGGGACCTAGGGCTTTCTCTAAGGTCTCCACAGGGGATTCAGACATCCCTTCATGTTGTGAGATGAAAGACGAGCCTGTATTCAAGCCACTGCAAGGAAATCCGGCCTCCTTTCAAGTTAGGGCTTCTCGCTGTATATTCCCCTTGAGGCAACAAACTCGGGGTCCCTCCCACATACCTATTGCTGAGAGAAGCCTCCGCCTGAGGTGCTTCTGGAAAGTTGGCATACGTCTTGAGCCTAAGCCAGGGAATCAGCTCTCATCTCGAGACTATTTGGTGTACACCGATCATTCCTCGAATTAATGTGCTGAAGTTGGTGTTCCTCTAGACTTGGGACAGTGTTCTCGGGGCATCACTGGAGTTGCCTGAAGGAAGTCGAGCCACCAGTCGGGTTGAATGGGGAACGGGGAATGGCTCTGGAGTCAATGCAGGTGAATCAGGCCTCATATCGAGTTGATTTGTTGCACATGGAGCTGCTTTGCGTTGTTGGGGTGACCTCAGGGTCTGTCTAGACTGGTGACAGTGTTCTTGGGGACTGTCTCGAGATCCATGAAGCAAGTCGAAGCTCCTGACTTGTTTGAATGGGATCATGGAATAGCTCTGCATGCACTGCAGGGGAATGGGGCCTCATCTCGCCTCTAGGGGGAAGTCTCATGGTTTTGCTCGAGTTGCGGCGAGGACCTGGGGTATGTTCTCGACTTACGGCGGGGATGGCCCTTCAAAACACGAGTTTCTTCAGTGACGTCAGGACTACTCTCTAGTAAAGAGGGACACCTCAGGAATCTCTTCGAGGCTTGGCAGGGCAAAAGGGACGCTTCTCGATGTGAGGCAGGGCACCCAAGCAGCCTTTCCCGTAGCCACACGGATTTTGGGATTCCTATCAGTATTCAAGAGGAGTCAGGCATCGTCACCTTTTGAAGCAATGAACTCCGCGTGCCTCTCGAGGTGTCAGCGGGATGTGAGGCATTCCGTCAAAATGAGGCAGGGACCTAGGGCTTTCTCTAAGGTCTCCACAGGGGATTCAGACATCCCTTCATGTTGTGAGATGAAAGACGAGCCTGTATTCAAGCCACTGCAAGGAAATCCGGCCTCCTTTCAAGTTAGGGCTTCTCGCTGTATATTCCCTTGAGGCAGCAAACTCGGGGTCCCTCCCACATACCTATTGCTGAGAGTAGCCTCCTACTGAGGTGCTTCTGGAAAGATGGCATACGTCTTGAGCCTAAGCCATGGAATCTGCTCTCATCTCGAGACGATTTGGGGTACACGGAGCATTCCTCGAGGTGCTGTGCTGAAGTTGTTGTTCCTCTAGGCTTGGGACAGCATTCTCGGGGCATCTCTGGAGTTGCCTGAAGGAAGTCGAGCCACTGGTCGTGTTGAATGGGGAACGGGGAATGACTCTGGAGTCAATGCAGGGTAATCGGGCCTCATCTCGAGTTGATTTTGGGCACATGGAGCTGCTTTGCGTTGCTGGGGTGACCTCAGGGTCCGTCTAGACTGGTGACAGTGTTCTTGGGGACTGTCTCGAGATCCATTAAGCAAATCGAAGCTCCTGACTTGTTTGAATGGGATCATGGAATAGCTCTGCATGCACTGCAGGGGAATGGGGCCTCATCTCGCCTCTAGGGGGAAGTCTCATGGTTTTTCTCGAGTTGCGGCGGGGACCTGGGATATGTTCTCGACTTAGGGCGGGGATGGCCCTTGAAAACACGAGTTTCTTCACTGACGTCAGGACTCCTGTCTAGTAACGAGCGACACCTCAGGAATCTCTTCGAGGCTTGGCAGGGCATAAGGGACGCTTCTCGAGGTGAGGCAGGGCACCCAAGGACCCTTTCCCGTAGCCACACGGATTTTGGGATTCCTATCAGTATTCAAGAGGAATCAGCCTCGTCACCTTTTGAAGCAATGAACTCCGTTTGCCTCTCAAGGTGTCAGCGGGATGTGAGGCATTCCGTCAAAATGAGGCAGGGACCTAGGGCTTTCTCTAAGGTCTCCACAGGGGATTCAGACATCCCTTCATGTTGTGAGATGAAAGACGAGCCTGTATTCAAGCCACTGCAAGGAAATCCGGCCTCCTTTCAAGTTAGGGCTTCTCGCTGTATATTCCCCTTTAGGCAGCAAACTCGGGGTCCCTCCCACATACCTATTGCTGAGAGAAGCCTCCTCCTGAGGTGCTTCTGGAAATTTGGCATACGTCTTGAGCCTAAGCCAGGGAATCAGCTCTCATCTCGAGACGATTTGGGGTACACGGAGCATTCCTCCTGTTGCTGTGCTGAAGTTGGTGTTCCTCTAGACTTGGGACAGTGTTCTCGGGGCATCTCTGGAGTTGCCTGAAGGAAGTCGAGCCACCGGTCGTGTTGAATGGGGAACGGGGAATGGCTCTGGTGTCAATGCAGGGGAATCGGGCCTCATGTCGAGTTGATTTGGGGCACATGGAGCTGCTTTGCATTGCTGGGGTGACCTCAGGTTCCGTCTAGACTGGTGACAGTGTTCTTGGGGACTGTCTCGAGATCCATTAAGCAAGTCAAAGCTCCTGACTTGTTTGAATGGGATCACGGAATAGCTCTGCATGCACTGCAGGGGAATGGGGCCTCATCTCGCCTCTAGGGGGAAGTCTCATGGTTTTTCTCGAGTTGCGGCGGGGACCTGGGGTATGTTCTCGACGTACGGCGGGGATGGCCCTTCAAAACACGAGTTTCTTCAGTGACGTCAGGACTCCTGTCTAGTAACGAGGGACACCTCAGGAATCTCTTCGAGGCTTGGCAGGGCAAAAGGGACGCTTCTCGAGGTGAGGCAGGGCACCCAGGGACCCTTTCCAGTAGCCACAGGGATTTTGGGATTCCTATCAGTATTCAAGAGGAGTCAGGCATAGTCACCTTTTGAAGCAATGAACTCCGCGTGCCTCTCGAGGTGTCAGCGGGATGTGAGGCATTCCGTCAAAATGAGGCAGGCACCTAGGGCTTTCTCTAAGGTCTCCACATGGGATTCAGACATCCCTTCATGTTGTGAGATGAAAGACGAGCCTGTATTCAAGCCACTGCAAGGAAATCCGGCCTCCTTTCAAGTTAGGGCTTCTCGCTGTATATTCCCCTTGAGGCAGCAAACTCGGTGTCCCTCCCACATACCTATTGCTGAGAAAAGCCTCCTCCTGAGGTGCTTCTGGAAATTTGGCATACGTCTTGAGCCTAAGCCAGGGAATCAGCTCTCATCTCGAGACGATTTGGGGTACACGGATCATTCCTCGAGTTGCTGTGCTGAAGTTGGTGTTCCTCTAGACTTGGGACAGTGTTCTCGGGGCATCTCTGGAGTTGCCTAAAGGAAGTCGAGCCACCGGTCGTGTTGAATGGGGAACGGGGAATGGCTCTGGAGTCAATGCAAGGGAATCGGGCCTCATCTCGAGTTGATTTGGGGCACATGGAACTGCTTTGCGTTGCTGGGGTGACCTCAGGGTTCGTCTAGACTGGTGACAGTGTTCTTGGGGACTGTCTCGAGACCAATTAAGCAAGTCGAAGCTCCTGACTTGTTTGAATGGGATCACGGAATAGCTCTGCATGCACTGCAGGGGAATGGGGCCTCTTCTCGCCTCTAGGGGGAAGTCTCATGGTTTTTCTCGAGTTGCGGCGGGGACCTGGGGTATGTTCTCGACTTATGGCGGGGATGGCCCTTCAAAACACGAGTTTCTTCAGTGACGTCAGGACTCCTGTCTAGTAACGAGGGACACCTCAGGAATCTCTTCGAGGCTTGGCAGGGCAAAAGGGACGCTTCTCGAGGTGAGGCAGGGCACCCAAGGACCCTTTCCCGTAGCCACAGGGATTTTGGGATTCCTGTCAGTATTCAAGAGGAATCAGGCATCGTCACCTTTTGAAGCAATGAAGTCCGCGTGCCTCTCGTGGTGTCAGCGGGATGTGAGGCATTCCGTCAAAATGAAGCAGGGACCTAGGGCTTTCTCTAAGGTCTCCACAGGGGATTCAGACATCCCTTCATGTTGTGAGATGAAAGACGAGCCTGTATTCAAGCCACTGCAAGGAAATCCGGCCTCCTTTCAAGTTAGGGCTTCTCGCTGTATATTCCCCTTGAGGCAGCAAACTCGGGGTCCCTCCCACATACCTATTGCTGAGAGAAGCCTCCTCCTGAGGTGCTTCTGGAAATTTGGCATACGTCTTGAGCCTAAGCCAGGGAATCAGCTCTCATCTCGAGACGATTTGGGGTACACTGAGCATTCCTCGAGTTGCTGTGCTGAAGTTGCTGTTCCTCTAGACTTGGGACAGTGTTCTCGGGGCATCTCTGGAGTTGCCTGAAGTAAGTCGAGCCACCGGTCGTGTTGAATGGGGAACGGGGAATGTCTCTGGAGTCAATGCAGGGGAATCGGGCCTCATCTCGAGTTGAATTGTGGCACATGGAGCTGCTTTGCGTTGCTGGGGTGACCTCAGGGTCCGTCTAGACTGGTGACAGTGTTCTTGGGGACTGTCTCGAGATCCATTAAGCAAGTCGAAGCTCCTGACTTGTTTGAATGGGATCACGGAATAGCTCTGCATGCACTGCAGGGGAATGGGGCCTCATCTCGCCTCTCGGGGGAAGTCTCATGGTTTTTCTCGAGTTGCGGCGGGGACCTGGGGTATGTTCTCGACGTATGGCGGGGATGGCCCTTCAAAACACGAGTTTCTTCAGTGACGTCAGGACTCCTGTCTAGTAATGAGGGACACCTCAGGAATCTCTTCGAGGCTTGGCAGGGCCAAATTGAGCCTTCTCGAGGTGTGGCAGGGCACCCAAGGACCCTTTCCCATAGCCACAGGGATTTTGGGATTCCTATCAGTATTCAAGAGGAGTCAGGCATAGTCACCTTTTGAAGCAATGAACTCCGCGTGCCTCTCGAGGTGTCAGCGGGATGTGAGGCATTCCCTCAAAATGAGGCAGTGACCTAGGGCTTTCTCTAAGGTCTACACAGGGGATTAAGACATCCCTTCATGTTGTGAGATGAAAGACGAGCCTGTATTCAAGCCACTGCAAGGAAATCCGGCCTCCTTTCAAGTTAGGGCTTGTCGCTGTATATTCCCCTTGAGGCAGCAAACTCGGGGTCCCTCCCACATACCTATTGCTGAGAGAAGCCTCCTCCTGAGGTGCTTCTGGAAAGTTGGCATACGTCTTGAACCTAAGCCAGAGAATCAGCTCTCATCTCGAGACGATTTGGGGTACACGGAGCATTCCTCGAGTTGCTGTGCTGAAGTTGGTGTTCCTCTAGACTTGGGACAGTGTTCTCAGGGCATCTCTGGAGTTGCCTAAAGGAAGTCGAGCCACCAGTCGGGTTGAATGGGGAACGGGGAATGACTCTGGATTCAATGCAAGGGAATCGGGCCTCATCTCGAGTTGATTTGGGGCACATGGAGCTGCTTTGCGTTGCTGGGGTGACCTCAGGGTCCGTCTAGACTGGTGACAGTGTTCTTGGGGACTGTCTCGAGACCCATTAAGCAAGTCGAAGCTCCTGACTTGTTTGAATGGGATCACGGAATAGCTCTGCATACACTGCAGGGGAATGGGGCCTCTTCTCGCCTCTAGGGGGAACTCTCATGTTTTTTCTCGAGTTGCGGCGGGGACCTGGGGTATGTTCTCGACTTACGGCGGGGAAGGCCCTTCAAAACACGAGTTTCTTCAGTGACGTCAGGACTCCTCTCTAGTAACGAGGGACACCTCAGGAATCTCTTCGAGGCTTGGCAGGGCAAAAGGGACGCTTCTCGAGGTGAGGCAGGGCACCCAAGGACCCTTTCCAGTAGCCAGAGGGATTTTGGGATTCCTGTCAGTATTCAAGAGGAATCAGGCATCGTCACCTTTTGAAGCAATGAACTCCGCGTGCCTCTCGAGGTGTCAGCGGGATGTGAGGCATTCCGTCAAAATGAGGCAGGGACCTAGGGCTTTCTCTAAGGTCTCCACAGGGGATTCAGACATCCCTTCATGTTGTGAGATGAAAGACAAGCCTGTATTCAAGCCACTGCAAGGAAATCCGGCCTCCTTTCAAGTTAGGGCTTCTCGCTGTATATTCCCCTTGAGGCAGCAAACTCGGGGTCCCTCCCACATTCCTATTGCTGAGAGAAGCCTCCCCCTGAGGTGTTTCTGGAAAGTTGGCATATGTCTTGAGCCTAAGCCAGGGAATCAGCTCTCATCTCGAGAAGTTTTGGGGTACAAGGAGCATTCCTCTAGTTGCTGTGCTGAAGTTGGTGTTCCTCTAGACTTGGCACAGTGTTCTCAGGGCATCTCTGGAGTTGCCTGAAGGAAGTCGAGCCACCGGTCCTGTTGAAAGGGGAACGGGGAATGGCTCTGGAGTCAATGCAGGGGAATCGGGCCTCATCTCGAGTTGATTTGAGGCACATGGAGCTGCTTTGCGTTGCTGTGGTGACCTCAGGGTCCGTCTAGACTGGTGACAGTGTTCTTGGGGACTGTCTCGAGATCCATTAAGCAAGTCGAAGCTCCTGACTTGTTTGAATGGGATCACGGAATAGCTCTGCATGCACTGCAGGGGAATGGGGCCTCATCTCGCCTCTAGGGGGAAGTCTCATGGTTTTTCTCGAGTTGCGGCGGGGACCTGGGGTATGTTCTCGACTTACGGCGGGGATGGCCCTTCAAAACACGAGTTTCTTCAGTGACGTCAGGACTCCTGTCTAGTAATGAGGGACATCTCAGGAATCTCTTCGAGGCTTGGCAGGGTCAAATTGAGGCTTCTCGAGGTGTGGCAGGGAACCCAAGGACCCTTTCCCGTAGCCACAGGGATTTTGGGATTCCTATCAGTATTCAAGAAGAGTCAGGCATCGGCACCTTTTGAAGCAATGAACTCCTCGTGCCTCTCGAGGTGTCAGCGTGATGTGAGGCATTCCGTCAAAATGAGGCAATGACCTAGGGCTTTCTCTAAGGTCTCCACAGGGGATTCAGACATCCCTTCATGTTGTGAGATGAAAGACGAGCCTGTATTCAAGCCACTGCAAGGAAATCCGGCCTCCTTTCAAGTTAGGGCTTCTCGCTGTATATTCCCCTTGAGGCAGCAAACTCGGGGTCCCTCCCACATACCTATTGCTGCGAGAAGCCTCCGCCTGAGGTGCTTCTGGAAAGTTGGCATACGTCTTGAGCCTAAGCCAGGGAATCAGCTCTCATCTCGAGACTATTTGGTGTACACGGAGCATTCCTCGAATTAATGTGCTGAAGTTGGTGTTCCTCTAGACTTGGGACAGTGTTCTCGGGGCATCACTGGAGTTGCCTGAAGGAAGTCGAGCCACCGGTCGTGTTGAATGGGGAACGGGGAATGGCTCTGGTGTCAATGCAGGGGAATCGGGCCTCATCTCGAGTTGATTTGGGGCACATGGAGCTGCTTTGCGTTGCTGGGGTGACCTCAGGTTCCGTCTAGACTGGTGACAGTGTTCTTGGGGATTGTCTCGAGATCCATTAAGCAAGTCAAAGCTCCTGACTTGTTTGAATGGGATCACGGAATAGCTCTGCATGCACTGCAGGGAAATGGGGCCTCATCTCGCCTCTAGGGGGAAGTCTCATGGTTTTTCTCGAGTTGCGGCGGGGACCTGGGTTATGTTCTCGACGTACGGAGGGGATGGCCCTTCAAAACACGAGTTTCTTCAGTGACGTCAGGACTCCTGTCTAGTAACGAGGGACACCTCAGGAATCTCTCCGAGGCTTGGCAGGGCAAAAGGGACCCTTCTCGAGGTGAGGCAGGGCACCCAGGGACCCTTTCCAGTAGCCACAGGGATTTTGGGATTCCTATCAGTATTCAAGAGGAGTCAGGCATAGTCACCTTTTGAAGCAATGAACTCCGCGTGCCTCTCGAGGTGTCAGCGGGATGTGAGGCATTCCGTCAAAATGAGGCAGGCACCTAGGGCTTTCTCTAAGGTCTCCACATGGGATTCAGACATCCCTTCACGTTGTGAGATGAAAGACGAGCCTGTATTCAAGCCACTGCAAGGAAATCCGGCCTCCTTTCAAGTTAGGGCTTCTCGCTGTATATTCCCCTTGAGGCAGCAAACTCGGGGTCCCTCCCACATACCTATTGCTGAGAGAATCCTCCTCCTGAGGTGCTTCTGGAAAGTTGGCATACGTCTTGAGCCTAAGCCAGGGAATCAGCTCTCATATCGAGACGATTTGGGGTACACGGATCATTCCTCGAGTTGCTGTGATGAAGTTGGTGTTCCTCTAGACTTGGGACAGTGTTCTCGGGGCATCTCTGGAGTTGCCTAAAGGAAGTCGAGCCACCGGTCGTGTTGAATGGGGAACGGGGAATGGCTCTGGAGTCAATGCAAGGGAATCGGGCCTCATCTCGAGTTGATTTGGGGCACATGGAACTGCTTTGCGTTGCTGGGGTGACCTCAGGGTTCGTCTAGACTGGTTACAGTGTTCTTGGGGACTGTCTCGAGACCCATTAAGCAAGTCGAAGCTCCTGACTTGTTTGAATGGGATCACGGAATAGCTCTGCATGCACTGCAAGGGAATGGGGCCTCTTCTCGCCTCTAGGGGGAAGTCTCATGGTTTTTCTCGAGTTGCGGCGGGGACCTGGGGTATGTTCTCGACTTACGGCGGGGATGGCCCTTCAAAACACGAGTTTCTTCAGTGACGTCAGGACTCCTGTCTAGTAACGAGGGACACCTCAGGAATCTCTTCGAGGCTTGGTAGGGCAAAAGGGACGCTTCTCGAGGTGAGGCAGGGCACCCAAGGACCCTTTCCAGTAGCCACAGGGATTTTGGGATTCCTGTCAGTATTCAAGAGGAATCAGGCATCGTCACCTTTTGAAGCAATGAAGTCCGCGTGCCTCTCGTGGTGTCAGCGGGATGTGAGGCATTCCGTCAAAATGAGGCAATGACCTAGGGCTTTCTCTAAGGTCTCCACAGGGGATTCAGACATCCCTTCATGTTGTGAGATGAAAGACGAGCCTGTATTCAAGCCACTGCAAGGAAATCCGGCCTCCTTTCAAGTTAGGGCTTCTCGCTGTATATTCCCCTTGAGGCAGCAAACTCGGGGTCCCTCCCACATACCTATTGCTGAGAGAAGCCTCCTCCTGAGGTGCTTCTGGAAATTTGGCATACGTCTTGAGCCTAAGACAGTGAATCAGCTCTCATCTTGAGACGATTTGGGGTACACTGAGCATTCCTCGAGTTGCTGTGCTGAAGTTGCTGTTCCTCTAGACTTGGGACAGTGTTCTCGGGGCATCTCTGGAGTTGCCTGAAGTAAGTCGAGCCACCGGTCGTGTTGAATGGGGAACGGGGAATGTCTCTGGAGTCAATGCAGGGGAATCGGGCCTCATCTCGAGTTGAATTGGGGCACATGGAGCTGCTTTGCGTTGCTGGGGTGACCTCAGGGTCCGTCTAGACTGGTGACAGTGATCTTGGGGACTGTCTCGAGATCCATCAAGCAAGTCGAAGCTCCTGACTTGTTTGAATGGGATCACGGAATAGCTCTGCATGCACTGCAGGGGAATGGGGCCTCATCTCGCCTCTCGGGGGAAGTCTCATGGTTTTTCTCGAGTTGCGGCGGGGACCTGGGGTATGTTCTCGACGTACGGCGGGGATGGCCCTTCAAAACACGAGTTTCTTCAGTGACGTCAGGACTCCTGTCTAGTAATGAGGGACACCTCAGGAATCTCTTCGAGGCTTGGCAGGGCCAAATTGAGCCTTCTCGAGGTGTGGCAGGGCACCCAAGGACCCTTTCCCATAGCCACAGGGATTTTGGGATTCCTATCAGTATTCAAGAGGAGTCAGGCATAGTCACCTTTTGAAGCAATGAACTCCGCGTGCCTCTCGAGGTGTCAGCGGGATGTGAGGCATTCCCTCAAAATGAGGCAGTGACCTAGGGCTTTCTCTAAGGTCTCCACAGGGGATTCAGACATCCCTTCATGTTGTGAGATGAAAGACGAGCCTGTAGTCAAGCCACTGCAAGGAAATCCGGCCTCCTTTCAAGTTAGGGCTTCTCGCTGTATATTCCCCTTGAGGCAGCAAACTCGGGGTCCCTCCCACATACCTATTGCTGAGAGAAGCCTCCTCCTGAGGTGCTTCTGGAAAGTTGGCATACGTCTTGAACCTAAGCCAGAGAATCAGCTCTCATCTCGAGACGATTTGGGGTACACGGAGCATTCCTCGAGTTGCTGTGATGAAGTTGGTGTTCCTCTAGACTTGGGACAGTGTTCTCGGGGCATCTCTGGAGTTGCCTAAAGGAAGTCGAGCCACCAGTCGGGTTGAATGGGGAACGGGGAATGACTCTGGAGTCAATGCAAGGGAATCGGGCCTCATCTCGAATTGATTTGGGGCACATGGAGCTGCTTTGCGTTGCTGGGGTGACCTCAGGGTCCGTCTAGACTGGTGACAGTGTTCTTGGGGACTGTCTCGAGACCCATTAAGCAAGTCGAAGCTCCTGACTTGTTTGAATGGGATCACGGAATAGCTCTGCATGCACTGCAGGGGAATGGGGCCTCTTCTCGCCTCTAGGGGGAAGTCTCATCTTTTTTCTCGAGTTGCGGCGGGGACCTGGGGTATGTTCTCGACTTACGGCGGGGATGGCCCTTCAAAACACGAGTTTCTTCAGTGACGTCAGGACTCCTCTCTAGTAACGAGGGACACCTCAGGAATCTCTTCGAGGCTTGGCAGGGCAAAAGGGACGCTTCTCGAGGTGAGGCAGGGCACCCAAGGACCCTTTTCAGTAGCCACAGGGATTTTGGGATTCCTGTCAGTATTCAAGAGGAATCAGGTATCGTCACCTTTTGAAGCAATGAACTCCGCGTGCCTCTCGTGGTGTCAGCGGGATGTGAGGCATTCCGTCAAAATGAGGCAGGGACCTAGGGCTTTCTCTAAGGTCTCCACAGGGGATTCAGACATCCCTTCATGTTGTGAGATGAAAGACGAGCCTGTATTCAAGCCACTGCAAGGAAATCCGGCCTCCTTTCAAGTTAGGGCTTCTCGCTGTATATTCCCCTTGAGGCAGCAAACTCGGGGTCCCTCCCACATTCCTATTGCTGAGAGAAGCCTCCTCCTGAGGTGCTTCTGGAAATTTGGCATACGTCTTGACCCTAAGCCAGGGAATCAGCTCTCATCTCGAGACGATTTGGGGTACACTGAGCATTCCTCGAGTTGCTGTGCTGAAGTTGCTGTTCCTCTAGACTTGGGACAGTGTTCTTGGGGCATCTCTGGAGTTGCCTGAAGTAAGTCGAGCCACCGGTCGTGTTGAATGGGGAACGGGGAATGTCTCTGGAGTCAATGCAGGGGAATCGGGCCTCATCTCGAGTTGAATTGGGGCACATGGAGCTGCTTTGCGTTGCTGGGTTGACCTCAGGGTCCGTCTAGACTGGTGACAGTGATCTTGGGGACTGTCTCGAGATCCATTAAGCAAGTCGAAGCTCCTGACTTGTTTGAATGGGATCACGGAATAGCTCTGCATGCACTGCAGGGGAATGGGGCCTCATCTCGCCTCTCGGGGGAAGTCTCATGGTTTTTCTCGAGTTGCGGCGGGGACCTGGGGTATGTTCTCGACTTACGGCGGGGATGGCCCTTCAAAACACGAGTTTCTTCAGTGACGTCAGGACTCCTGTCTAGTAATGAGGGACACCTCAGGAATCTCTTCGAGGCTTGGCAGGGCCAAATTGAGCCTTCTCGATGTGTGGCAGGGCACCCAAGGACCCTTTCCCATAGCCACAGGGATTTTGGGATTCCTATCAGTATTCAAGAGGAGTCAGGCATAGTCACCTTTTGAAGCAATGAACTCCGCGTGCCTCTCGAGGTGTCAGCGGGATGTGAGGCATTCCCTCAAAATGAGGCAGTGACCTAGGGCTTTCTCTAAGGTCTCCACAGGGGATTAAGATATCCCTTCATGTTGTGAGATGAAAGACGAGCCTGTATTCAAGCCACTGCAAGGAAATCCGGCCTCCTTTCAAGTTAGGGCTTCTCGCTGTATATTCCCCTTGAGGCAGCAAACTCGGGATCCCTCCCACATACCTATTGCTGAGAGAAGCCTCCTCCTGAGGTGCTTCTGGAAAGTTGGCATACGTCCTGAACCTAAGCCAGAGAATCAGCTCTCATCTCGAGACGATTTGGGGTACACGGAGCATTCCTCGAGTTGCTGTGCTGAAGTTGGTGTTCCTCTAGACTTGGGACAGTGTTCTCGGGGCATCTCTGGAGTTGCCTAAAGGAAGTCGAGCCACCAGTCGGGTTGAATGGGGAACGGGGAATGACTCTGGAGTCAATGCAAGGGAATCGGGCCTCATCTCGAGTTGATTTGGGGCACATGGAGCTGCTTTGCGTTGCTGGGGTGACCTCAGGGTCCGTCTAGACTGGTGACAGTGTTCTTGGGGACTGTCTCGAGACCCATTAAGCAAGTCGCAGCTCCTGACTTGTTTGAATGGGATCACGGAATAGCTCTGCATGCACTGCAGGGGAATGGGGCCTCTTCTCGCCTCTAGGGGGAAGTCTCATGTTTTTTCTCGAGTTGCGGCGGGGACCTGGGGTATGTTCTTGACTTACGGCGGGGATGGCCCTTCAAAACACGAGTTTCTTCAGTGACGTCAGGACTCCTCTCTAGTAACTAGGGACACCTCAGGAATCTCTTCGAGGCTTGGCAGGGCAAAAGGGACGCTTCTCGAGGTGAGGCAGGGCACCCAAGGACCTTTTCCAGTAGCCACAGGGATTTTGGGATTCCTGTCAGTATTCAAGAGGAATCAGGTATCGTCACCTTTTGAAGCAATGAACTCCGCGTGCCTCTCGTGGTGTCAGCGGGATGTGAGGCATTCCGTCAAAATGAGGCAGGGACCTAGGGCTTTCTCTAAGGTCTCCACAGGGGATTCAGACATCCCTTCATGTTGTGAGATGAAAGACGAGCCTGTATTCAAGCCACTGCAAGGAAATCCGGCCTCCTTTCAAGTTAGGGCTTCTCGCTGTATATTCCCCTTGAGGCAGCAAACTCGGGGTCCCTCCCACATTCCTATTGCTGAGAGAAGCCTCCTCCTGAGGTGCTTCTGGAAATTTGGCATACGTCTTGAACCTAAGCCAGAGAATCAGCTCTCATGTGGAGACGATTTGGGGTACACGGAGCATTCCTCGAATTAATGTGCTGAAGTTGGTGTTCCTCTAGACTTGGGACAGTGTTCTCGGGGCATCTCTGGAATTGCCTGAAGGAAGTCGAGCCACCAGTCGGGTTGAATGGGGAACGGGGAATGACTCTGGAGTCAATACAGGGGAATCAGGCCTCATCTCGAGTTGATTTGGTGCACATGGAGCTACTTTGCGTTGCTGGGGTGACCTCAGGGTCCGTCTAGACTGGTGACAGTGTTCTTGGGGACTGTCTCGAGAACCATTAAGCAAGTCGAAGCTCCTGACTTGTTTGAATGGGATCATGGAATAGCTCTGCATGCACTGCAGGGGAATGGGGCCTCATCTCGCCTCTAGGTGGAAGTCTCATGGTTTTTCTCGAGTTGCGGCGAGGACCTGGGTTATGTTCTCGACTTACGGTGGGGATGGCCCTTCAAAACACGAGTTTCTTCCTTGACATCAGGACTCCTCTCTAGTAAAGAGGGACACCTCAGGAATCTCTTCGAGGCTTGGCAGGGCAAAAGGGACGCTTCTCGATGTGAGGCAGGGCACCCAAGCAGCCTTTCCCGTAGCCACACGGATTTTGGGATTCCTATCAGTATTCAAGAGGAGTCAGGCATCGTCACCTTTTGAAGCAATGAACTCCGCGTGCCTCTCGAGGTGTCAGCGGGATGTGAGGCATTCCGTGAAAATGAGGCAGGGACCTAGGGCTTTCTCTAAGGTCTCCACAGGGGATTCAGACATCCCTTCATGTTGTGAGATGAAAGGCGAGCCTGTATTCAAGCCACTGCAAGGAAATCCGGCCTCCTTTCAAGTTAGGGCTTCTCGCTGTATATTCCCCTTGAGGCAGCAAACTCGGGGTCCCTCCCACATACCTATTGCTGAGAGAAGCCTCCTCCTGAGGTGCTTCTGGAAAGTTGGCATACATCTTGAGCCTAACCCAGGGAATCAGCTCTCATCTCGAGACGATTTGGGTTACACGGAGCATTCCTCGAGTTGCTGTGTTGAAGTTGGTGTTCCTCTAGACTTGGGACAGCATTCTCGGGGCATCTCTGGAGTTGCCTGAAGGAAGTCGAGCCACTAGTCATGTTGAATGGGGAACGGGGAATGGCTCTGGAGTCAATGCAGGGGAATCGGGCCTCATCTCGAGTTGATTTGGGGCACATGGAGCTGCTTTGCGTTGCTGGGGTGACCTCAGGGTCCGTCTAGACTGGTGACAGTGATCTTGGGGACTGACTCGAGATCCATTAAGCAAGTCGATGCTCCTGACTTGTTTGAATGGGATCACGGAATAGCTCTGCATGCACTGCAGGGGAATGGGGCCTCATCTCGCCTCTAGGGGGAAGTCTCATGGTTTTTCTCGAGTTGCGGCGAGGACCTGGGGTATGTTCTCGACTTACGGCGGGGATGGCCCTTCAAAACACGAGTTTCTTCAGTGACGTCAGGACTCCTGTCTAGTAACGAGGGACACCTCAGGAATGTCTTCGAGGCTTGGCAGGGCAAAAGGGAAGCTTCTTGAGGTGAGGCAGGGCACCCAAGGATGCTTTCCAGTAGCCACAGGGATTTTGGGATTCCTATCAGTATTCAAGAGGAGTCAGGGATCGTCACCTTTTGAAGCAATGAACTCCGCGTGCCTCTCGAGGTGTCAGCGGGATGTGGGGCATTCCTTCAAAATGAGGCAGGGACCTAGGGCTTTCTCTAAGGTCTCCACAGGGGATTCAGACATCCCTTCATGTTGTGAGATGAAAGACGAGCCTGTATTGAAGCCACTGCAAGGAAATCCGGCCTCCTTTCAAGTTAGGGCTTCTCGCTGTATATTCCCCTTGAGGCAGCAAACTCGGGGTCCCTCCCACATACCTATTGCTGAGAGAAGCCTCCTCCTGAGGTGCTTCTGGAAAGTTGGCATACGTCTTGAGCCTAAGCCAGGGAATCAGCTCTCATCTCGAGACGATTTGGGGTACACTGAGCATTCCTCGAGTTGCTGTTCTGAAGTTGGTGTTCCTCTAGACTTGGGACAGTGTTCTCGGGGCATCTCTGGAGTTGCCTGAAGTAAGTCGAGCCACCGGTCGTGTTGAATGGGGAACGGGGAATGTCTCTATAGTCAATGCAGGGGAATCGGGCCTCATCTCGAGTTGATTTGGGGCACATGGAGCTGCTTTGCGTTGCTGGGGTGACCTCAGGGTCCGTCTAGACTGGTGACAGTGATCTTGGGGACTGTCTCGAGATCCATTAAGCAAGTCGAAGCTCCTGACTTGTTTGAATGGGATCACGGAATAGCTCTGCATGCACTGCAGGGGAATGTTTCCTCATATCGGCTCTAGGGGGAAGTCTCATGGTTTTTCTCGAGTTGCGGCGGGGACCTGGGGTATGTTCTCGACTTACGGCGGGGATGGCCCTTCAAAACACGAGTTTCTTCAGTGACGTCAGGACTCCTGTCTAGTAATGAGGGACACCTCAGGAATCTCTTCGAGGCTTGGCAGGGCCAAATTGAGGCTTCTCGAGGTGAGGCTGGGCACCCAAGCAGCCTTTCCCGTAGCCACACGGATTTTGGGATTCCTATCAGTATTCAAGAGGAGTCAGGCATCGTCACCTTTTGAAGCAATGAACTCCACGTGCCTCTCGAGGTGTCAGCGGAATGTGAGGCATTCCGTCAAAATGAGGCAGGGACCTAGGGCTTTCTCTAAGGTCTCCACAGGGGATTCAGGCATCCCTTCATGTTGTGAGATGAAAGACGAGCCTGTATTCAAGCCACTGCAAGGAAATCCGGCCTCCTTTCAAGTTAGGGCTTCTCGCTGTATATTCCCCTTGAGGCAGCAAACTCGGGGTCCCTCCTACATACCTATTGCTGAGAGAAGCCTCCTCCTGAGGTGATTCTGGAAAGTTGGCATATGTCTTGAGCCTACGCCAGGGAATCAGCTCCCATCTCGAGACGATTTGGGGTACACGGATCATTCCTCGAGTTAATGTGCTGAAGTTGGTGTTCCTCTAGACTTGGGACAGTGTTCTCGGGGCATCTCTGGAGTTGCCTAAAGGAAGTCGAGCCACCGGTCGTGATGAATGGGGAACGGGGAATGGCTCTGGAGTCAATGCAAGGGAATCGGGCCTCATCTCGAGTTGATTTGGGGCACATGGAGCTGCTTTGTGTTGCTGGGGTGACCTCAGGGTTCGTCTAGACTGGTGACAATGTTCTTGGGGACTGTCTCGAGACCCATTAAGCAAGTCGAAGCTCCTGACTTGTTTGAATGGGATCACGGAATAGCTCTGCATGCACTGCAGGGGAATGGGGCCTCTTCTCGCCTCTAGGGGGAAGTCTCATGGTTTTTCTCGAGTTGCGGCGGGGACCTGGGGTATGTTCTTGACTTACGGCGGGGATGGCCCTTCAAAACACGAGTTTCTTCAGTGACGTCAGGACCCTGTCTAGTAACGAGGGACACCTCAGGAATCTCTTCGAGGCTTGGCAGGGCAAAAGGGACGCTTCTCAAGGTGAGGCAGGGCACCCAAGGACCCTTACCAGTAGCCACAGGTATTTTGGGATTACTGTCAGTATTCAAGAGGAATCAGGCATTGTCACCTTTTGAAGCAATGAACTCCGCGTGCCTCTCGTGGTGTCAGCGGGATGTGAGGCATTCCGTCAAAATGAGGCAGGGACCTAGGGCTTTCTCTAAGGTCTCCACAGGGGATTCAGACATCCCTTCATGTTGTGAGATGAAAGACGAGCCTGTATTCAAGCCACTGCAAGGAAATCCGGCCTCGTTTCAAGGTAGGGCTTCTCGCTGTATATTCCCCTTGAGGCAGCAAACTCGGGGTCCCTCCCACATACCTATTGCTGAGAGAAGCCTCCTCCTGAGGTGCTTCTGGAAATTTGGCATACGTCTTGAGCCTAAGCCAGGGAATCAGCTCTCATCTCGAGACGATTTGGGGTACACTGAGCATTCCTCGAGTTGCTGTGCTGAAGTTGGTGTTCCTCTAGACTTGGGACAGTGTTCTTGGGGCATCTCTGGAATTGCCTGAAGTAAGTCGAGCCACCGGTCGTGTTGAATGGGGAACGGGGAATGTCTCTGGAGTCAATGCAGGGGAATCGGGCCTCATCTCGAGTTGATTTGGGGCACATGGAGCTGCTTTGCGTTGCTGGGGTGACCTCAGGGTCCGTCTAGACTGGTGACAGTGATCTTGGGGACTGTCTCGAGATCCATTAAGCAAGTCGAAGCTCCTGACTTGTTTGAATGGGATCACGGAATAGCCTGCATGCACTGCAGGGGAATGGGGCCTCATCTCGCCTCTAGGGGGAAGTCTCATGGTTTTTCTCGATTTGTGGCGGGGACCTGGGGTATGTTCTCGACTTACGGCTGGGATGGCCCTTCAAAACACGAGTTTCTTCAGTGACGTCAGGACTCCTGTCTAGTAACGAGGGACACCTCAGGAATCTCTTCGAGGCTTGGCAGGGCCCAATTGAGCCTTCTCGAGGTGTGGCAGGGCACCCAAGGACCCTTTTCCATAGCCACAGGGATTTTGGGATTCCTATCTGTATTCAAGAGGAGTCAGGCATCGTCACCTTTTGAAGCAATGAACTCCGCGTGCCTCTCGAGGTGTCAGCGGGATGTGAGGCATTACCTCAAAATGAGGCAGTGACCTAGGGCTTTCTCTAAGGTCTACTCAGGGGATTAAGACATCCCTTCATGTTGTGAGATGAAAGCCGAGCCTGTATTCAAGCCACTGCAAGGAAATCCGGCCTCCTTTCAAGTTAGGGCTTCTCGCTGTATATTCCCCTTGAGGCAGCAAACTAGGGGTCCCTCCCACATACCTATTGCTGAGAGAAGCCTCCTCCTGAGGTGCTTCTGGAAAGTTGGCATACGTCTTGAACCTAAGCCAGAGAATCAGCTCTCATCTCGAGACGATTTGGGGTACACGGAGCATTCCTCGAATTAATGTACTGAAGTTGGTGTTCCTCTAGACTTGGGACAGTGTTCTCGGGGCATCTCTGGAATTGCCTGAAGGAAGTCGAGCCACCAGTCGGGTTGAATGGGGAACGGGGAATGACGCTGGTGTCAATACAGGGGAATCAGGCCTCATCTCGAGTTGATTTGGGGCACATGGAGCTGCTTTGCGTTGCTGGGGTGACCTCAGGGTCCGTCTAGACTGGTGACAGTGTTCTTGGGGACTGTCTCGAGAACCATTAAGCAAGTCGAAGCTCCTGACTTGTTTGAATGGGATCATGGAATAGCTCTGCATGCACTGCAGGGGAATGGGGCCTCATCTCGCCTCTAGGGGGAAGTCTCATGGTTTTTCTCGAGTTGCGGCGAGGACCTGGGTTATGTTCTCGACTTACGGCGGGGATGGCCCTTCAAAACACGAGTTTCTTCAGTGACGTCAGGACTCCTCTCTAGTAAAGAGGGACACCTCAGGAATCTCTTCGAGGCTTGGCAGGGAAAAAGGGACGCTTCTCGATGTGAGGCAGGGCACCCAAGCAGCCTTTCCCATAGCCACACGGATTTTGGGATGCCTATCAGTATTCAAGAGGAGTCAGGCATCGTTACCTTTTGAAGCAATGAACTCCGCGTGCCTCTCGAGGTGTCAGCTGGATGTGAGGCATTCCGTCAAAATGAGGCAGGGACCTAGGGCTTTCTCTAAGGTCTCCACAGGGGATTCAGACATCCCTTCATGTTGTGAGATGAAAGACGAGCCTGTATTCAAGCCACTGCAAGGAAATCCGGCCTCCTTTTAAGGTAGGGCTTCTCGCTGTATATTCGCCTTGAGGCAGCAAACTCGGGGTCCCTCCCACATACCTATTGCTGAGAGAAGCCTCCTCCTGAGGTGCTTCTGGAAAGTTGGCATACGTCTTGAGCCTAAGCCAGGGAATCAGCTCTCATCTCGAGACGATTTGGGGTACACTGAGCATTCCTCGAGTTGCTGTGCTGAAGTTGGTGTTCCTCTAGACTTGGGACAGTGTTCTTGGGGCATCTCTGGAGTTGCCTGAAGGAAGTCGAGCCACCGGTCGTGTTGAATGGGGAACGGGGAATGTCTCTGGAGTCAATGCAGGGGAATCGGGCCTCATCTCGAGTTGATTTGGGGCACATGGAGCTGCTTTGCGTTGCTGGGGTGACCTCAGGGTCGGTCTAGACTGGTGACAGTGATCTTGGGGACTGTCTCGAGATCCATTAAGCAAGTCGAAGCTCCTGACTTGTTTGAATTGGATCACGGAATAGCTCTGCATGCACTGCAGGGGAATGGGGCCTCATCTCGCCTCTAGGGGGAAGTCTCATGGTTTTTCTCGAGTTGTGGCGGGGACCTGGGGTATGTTCTCGACTTACGGTGGGGATGGCCCTTCAAAACACGAGTTTCTTCAGTGACGTCAGGACTCCTGTCTAGTAATGAGGGACACCTCAGGAATCTCTTCGAGGCTTTGCAGGGCCAAATTGAGCCTTCTCGAGGTGTGGCAAGGCACCCAAGGACCCTTTTCCATAGCCACAGGGATTTTGGGATTCCTATCTGTATTCAAGAGGAGTCAGGCATCGTCACCTTTTGAAGCAATGAACTCCGCGTGCCTCTCGAGGTGTCAGCGGGATGTGAGGCATTACCTCAAAATGAGGCAGTGACCTAGGGCTTTCTCTAAGATCTCCACAGGGGATTCAGACATCCCTTCATGTTGTGAGATGAAAGACGAGCCTGTATTCAAGCCACTGCAAGGAAATCCGGCCTCCTTTCAAGTTAGGGCTTCTCGCTGTATATTCCCCTTGAGGCACCAAACTCGGGGTCCCTCCCACATACCTATTGCTGAGAGAAGCCTCCTTCAGAGGTGCTTCTGGAAAGTTGGCATACGTCTTGAACCTAAGCCAGAGAATCAGCTCTCATGTCGAGACGATTTGGGGTACACGGAGCATTCCTCGAATTAATGTGCTGAAGTTGGTGTTCCTCTAGACTTGGGACAGTGTTCTCGGGGCATCTCTGGAATTGCCTGAAGGAAGTCGAGCCACCAGTCGGGTTGAATGGGGAACGGGGAATGACTCTGGAGTCAATACAGGGGAATCAGGCCTCATCTCGAGTTGATTTGGTGCACATGGAGCTGCTTTGCGTTGCTGGGGTGACCTCAGGGTCCGTCTAGACTGGTGACAGTGTTCTTGGGGACTGTCTCGAGAACCATTAAGCAAGTCGAAGCTCCTGACTTGTTTGAATGGGATCATGGAATAGCTCTGCATGCACTGCAGGGGAATGGGGCCTCTTCTCGCCTCTAGGGGGAAGTCTCATGGTTTTTCTCGAGTTGCGGCGAGGACCTGGGTTATGTTCTCGACTTACGGCGGGGATGGCCCTTCAAAACACGAGTTTCTTCAGTGACGTCAGGACTCCTCTCTAGTAAAGAGGGACACCTCAGGAATCTCTTCGAGGCTTGACAGGGCAAAAGGGACGCTTCTCGATGTGAGGCAGGGCACCCAAGCAGCCTTTGCCGTAGCCACACGGATTTTGGGATTCCTATCAGTATTCAAGAGGAGTCAGGCATCGTCACCTTTTGAAGCAATGAACTCCGCGTGCCTCTCGAGGTGTCAGCGGGATGTGAGGCATTCCGTCAAAATGAGGCAGGGACCTAGGGCTTTCTCTAAGGTCTCCACAGGGGATTCAGACATCCCTTCATGTTGTGAGATGAAAGACGAGCCTGTATTCAAGCCACTGCAAGGAAATCCGGCCTCCTTTCAAGTTAGGGCTTCTCGCTGTATATTCCCCTTGAGGCAGCAAACTCGGGGTCCTTCCCACATACCTATTGATGAGAGAAGCCTCCTCCTGAGGTGCTTCTGGAAAGTTGGCATATGTCTTGAGCCTAAGCCAGGGAATCAGCTCTCATCTCGAGACGATTTGGGGTACACGGAGCATTCCTCGAGTTGCTGTGTTGAAGTTGGGGTTCCTCTAGACTTGGGACAGTGTTCTCGGGGCATCTCTGTAGTTGCCTGAAGGAAGTCGAGCCACTAGTCATGTTGAATGCGGAACGGGGAATGGCTCTGGAGTCAATGCAGGGGAATCGGGCCTCATCTCGAGTTGATTTGGGGCACATGGAGCTGCTTTGCGTTGCTGGGGTGACCTCAGGGTCCGTCTAGACTGGTGACAGTGATCTTGGGGACTGTCTCGAGATCCATTAAGCAAGTCGATGCTCCTGACTTGTTTGAATGGGATCACGGAATAGCTCTGCATGCACTGCAGGGGAATGGGGCCTCATCTCGCCTCTAGGGGGAAGTCTCATGGTTTTTCTCGAGTTGCGGCGAGGACCTGGGGTATGTTCTCGACTTACGGCTGGGATGGCCCTTCAAAACACGAGTTTCTTCAGTGACGTCAGGACTCCTGTCTAGTAACGAGGGCCACCTCAGGAATGTCTTCGAGGCTTGGCAGGGCAAAAGGGAAGCTTCTTGAGGTGAGGCAGGGCACCCAAGGATGCTTTCCAGTAGCCACAGCGATTTTGGGATTCCTATCAGTATTCAAGAGGAGTCAGGGATCGTCACCTTTTGAAGCAATGAACTCCGCGTGCCTCTCGAGGTGTCAGCGGGATGTGGGGCATTCCGTCAAAATGAGGCAGGGACCTACGGCTTTCTCTAAGGTCTCTACAGGGGATTCAGACATCCCTTCATGTTGTGAGATGAAAGACGAGCCTGTATTGAAGCCACTGCAAGGAAATCCGGCCTCCTTTCAAGTTAGGGCTTCTCGCTGTATATTCCCCTTGAGGCAGCAAACTCGGGGTCCCTCCCACATACCTATTGCTGAGAGAAGCCTCCTCCTGACGTGCTTCTGGAAAGTTGGCATACGTCTTGAGCCTAAGCCAGGGAATCAGCTCTCATCTCGAGACGATTTGGGGTACACTGAGCATTCCTCGAGTTGCTGTGCTGAAGTTGGTGTTCCTCTAGACTTGGGACAGTGTTCTCAGGGCATCTCTGGAGTTGCCTGAAGTAAGTCGAGCCACCGGTCGTGTTGAATGGGGAACGGGGAATGTCTCTGGAGTCAATGCAGGGGAATCGGGCCTCATCTCGAGTTGATTTGGGGCACATGGAGCTGCTTTGCGTTGCTGGGGTGACCTCAGGGTCCGTCTAGACTGGTGACAGTGATCTTGGGGACTGTCTCGAGATCCATTAAGGAAGTCGAAGCTCCTGACTTGTTTGAATGGGATCACGGAATAGCTCTGCATGCACTGCAGGGGAATGTTTCCTCATCTCGGCTCTAGGGGGAAGTCTCATGGTTTTTCTCGAGTTGCGGCGGGGACCTGGGGTATGTTCTCGACTTACGGCGGGGATGGCCCTTCAAAACACGAGTTTCTTCAGTGACGTCAGGACTCCTGTCTAGTAATGAGGGACACCTCAGGAATCTCTTCGAGGCTTGGCAGGGCCAAATTGAGGCTTCTCGAGGTATGGCAGGGCACCCAAGGACCCTTTCCCGTAGCCACAAGGATTTTGGGATTCCTATCAGTATTCAAGAGGAGTCAGGCAGCGTCACCTTTTGAAGCAATGAACTCCGCGTGCCTCTCGAGGTGTCAGCGGGATGTGAGGCATTCCGTCAAAATGAGGCAGGGACCTAGGGCTTTCTCTAAGGTCTCCACAGGGGATTCAGACATCCCTTCATGTTGTGAGATGAAAGACGAGCCTGTATTCAAGCCACTGCAAGGAAATCCGGCCTCCTTTCAAGTTAGGGCTTCTCGCTGTATATTCCTCTTGAGGCAGCAAACTCGGGGTCCCTCCCACATACCTATTGCTGAGAGAAGCCTCCTCCTGAGGTGCTTCTGGAAAGTTGGCATACGTCTTGAACCTAAGCCAGGGAATCAGCTCTCATCTCGAGACGATTTGGGGTACACGGAGCATTCTTCGAATTAATGTGCTGAAGTTGGTGGTCCTCTAGACTTGGGACAGTGTTCTCGGGGCATCTCAGGAGTGGCCTGAAGGAAGTCGAGCCACCAGTCGGGTTGAATGGGGAACGGGGAATGGCTCTGGAGTCAATGCAGGGGAATCAGGCCTCATCTCGAGTTGATTTGGTGCACATGGAGCTGCTTTGCGTTGCTGGGGTGACCTCAGGGTCCGTCTAGACTGGTGACAGTGTTCTTGGGGACTGTCTCGAGAACCATTAAGCAAGTCGAAGCTCCTGACTTCCTTGAATGGGATCATGGAATAGCTCTGCATGCACTGAAGGGGAATGGGGCCTCATCTCGCCTCTAGGGGGAATTCTCATGGTTTTCCTCGAGTTGCGGCGGGGACCTGGGCTATGTTCTCGACTTACGGCGGGGATGGCCCTTCAAAACACGAGTTTCTTCAGTGACATCAGGACTCCTGTCTAGTAACTAGGGACACCTCAGGAATCTATTCGAGGCTTAGCAGGGCAAAAGGTACGCTTCTCGAGCTGAGGCAGGGCACCCAAGGACCCTTTCCCGTAGCCACAGGGATTTTGGGATTCCTATCAGTATTCAAGAGGAGTCAGGCATCGTCACCTTTTGAAGCAATGAACTCCGCGTGCCTCTCGAGGTGTCAGCGGGATGTGAGGCATTCCGTCAAAATGAGGAAGTGACCTAGGGCTTTCTCTAAGGTCTCCACAGGGGATTCAGACATCCCTTCATGTTGTGACATGAAAGATGAGCCTGTATTGAAGCCACTGCAAGGAAATCCGGCCTCCTTTCAAGTTAGGGCTTCTCGCTGTATATTCCCCTTGAGGCAGCAAACTCGGGGTCCCTCCCACATACCTATTGCTGAGAGAAGCCTCCTCCTGAAGTGCTTTTGGAAAGTTGCCATACGTCTTGAGCCTAAGCCAGGGAATCATCTCTCATCTCGAGACGTTTTGGGGTACACTGAGCATTCCTCGAGTTGCTGTGCTGAAGTTGGTGTTCCACTAGACGTGGGACAGTGTTCTCGGTGAATCTCAGGAGTTGCCTGAAGTAAGTCGAGCCACCGGTCGTGTTGAATGGGGAACGGGGAATGGCTCTGGAGTCAATGCAGGGGAATCGGGCCTCATCTCGAGTTGATTTGGGGCACATGGAGCTGCTTTGCGTTGCTGGGGTGACCTCAGGGTCCGTCTAGACTGGTGACAGTGTTCTTGGGGACTGTCTCGAGATCCATTCAGCAAGTCGAAGCTCCTGACATGTTTGAATGGGATCACGGAATAGCTCTGAATGCACTGCAGGGGAATGGGGCCTCTTCTCGCCTCTAGGGGGAAGTCTCATGGTTTTTCTCGAGTTGCGGCGGGGACCTGGGGTATGTTCTCGACTTACGGCGGGGATGGCCCTTCAAAACACGAGTTTCTTCAGTGACGTCAGGACTCCTCTCTAGTAACGAGGGACACCTCAGGAATGTCTTCGAGGCTTGACAGGGCAAAAGGGAAGCTTCTCGAGGTGAGGCAGGGCACCCAATGATCCTTTCCAGTAGCCACAGGGATTTTGGGATTCCTATCAGTATTCAAGAGGAGTCAGGGATCGTCACCTTTTGAAGCAATGAACTCCGCGTGCCTCTCGAGGTGTCAGCGGGATGTGAGGCGTTCCGTCAAAATGAGGCAGGGACATAGGGCTTTCTCTAAGGTCTCCACAGGGGATTCAGCCATCCCTTCATGTTGTGAGATGAAAGACAAGCCTGTATTCAAGCCACTGCAAGGACATCCGGCCTCCTTTCAAGTTAGGGCTTCTCGCTGTATATTCGCCTTGAGGCAGCAAACTCGGGGTGCCTCCCACATACCCATTGCTGAGAGAAGCCTCCTCCTGAGGTGCTTCTGGAAATTTGGCATACGTCTTGAGCCTAAGAAAGGGAATCAGCTCTCATCTCGAGACGATTTGGGGTACACGGAGCATTCCTCGAGTTGCTGTGCTGAAGTTGGTGTTCCTCTAGACTTGGGACAGTATTCTCGGGGCATCTCTGGAGTTGCCTGAAGGAAGTCGAGCCACCGGTCGTGTTGAATGGGGAACGGGGAATGGCTCTGGAGTCAATGCAGGGGGATCGGGCCTCATCTCGAGTTGATTTGGGGCACATGGAGCTGCTTTGCGTTGCAGGGGTGACCTCAGGGTCCGTCTAGACTGGTGACAGTGTTCTTGGGGACTGTCTCGAGATCCATTAAGCAAGTCGAAGTTCCTGACTTGTTTGAATGGGATCACGGAATAGCTCTGAATGCACTGCAGGGGAATGGGGACTCTTCTCGCCTCTAGGGGGAAGTCTCATGGTTTTTCTCGAGTTGCTGCGGGGACTTGGGGTATGTTCTCGACTTAGGGCTGGGATGGACCTTTAAAACACGAGTTTCTTCAGTGACGTCAGGACTCCTGTCTAGTAACGAGGGACACCTCAGGAATGTCTTCGAGGCTTGGCAGGGCAAAAGGGAAGCTTCTCGAGGTGAGGCAGGGCACCCAAAGATCCTTTCCAGTAGCCACAGGGATTTTGGGATTCTCTAAGGTCTCCACAGGGAATTCAGACATCCCTTCATGTTGTGAGATGAAAGACGAGCCTGTATTCAAGCCACTGCAAGGAAATCCGGCCTCCTTTCAAGTTAGGGCTTCTCGCTGTATATTCCCCTTGAGGCAGCAAACTCGGGGTCCCTCCCACATACCTATTGCTGAGAGAAGCCTCCCCCTGAGGTGCTTCTGGAAAGTTGGCATATGTCTTGAGCCTAAGCCAGGGAATCAGCTCTCATCTCGAGACGATTTGGGGTACACGGAGCATTCCTCGAGTTGCTGTGCTGAAGTTGGTGTTCCTCTAGACTTGGGACAGTGTTCTCGGGGCATCTCTGGAGTTGCCTGAAGGAAGTCGAGCCACCGGTCGTGTTGAATGGGGAACGGGGAATGGCTCTGGAGTCAATGCAGGGGAATCGGGCCTCATCGCGAGTTGATTTGGGGCACATGGAGCTGCTTTGCGTTGCTGGGGTGACCTCAGGGTCCGTCTAGACTGGTGACAGTGTTCTTGGGGACTGTCTCGAAATCCATTAAGCAAGTCGAAGCTCCTGACTTGTTTGAATGGGATCACGGAATAGCTCTGAATGCACTGCAGGGGAATGGGGCCTCTTCTCACCTCTAGGGGGAAGTCTCATGGTTTTTCTCGAGTTTCGGCGGGGACCTGGGATATGTTCTCGACTTACGGCGGGGATGGCCCTTCAAAACACGAGTTTCTTCAGTGACGTCAGGACTCCTGTCTAGTAACGAGGGACACCTCAGGAATCTCTTCGAGGCTTGGCAGGGCAAAAGGGACGCTTCTCGAGGTGAGGCAGGGCACCCAAGGACCCTTTCCCGTAGCCACAGGGATTTTGGGATTCCTATCAGTATTCAAGAGGAGTCAGGCATCGTCACCTTTTGAAGCAATGAACTCCGCGTGCCTCTCGAGGTGTCAGCGGGATGTGAGGCATTCCGTCAAAATGAGGCAGGGACCTAGGGCTTTCTCTAAGGTCTCCACAGGGCATTCAGACATCCCTTCATGTTGTGAGATGAAAGACGAGCCTGTATTCAAGCCACTGCAAGGACATCCGGCCTCCTTTCAAGTTAGGGCTTCTCGCTGTATATTCGCCTTGAGGCAGCAAACTCGGGGTGCCTCCCACATACCTATTGCTGAGAGAAGCCTCCTCCTGAGGTGCTTCTGGAAATTTGGCATACATCTTGAGCCTAAGAAAGGGAATCAGCTCTCATCTCGAGACGATTTGGGGTACACGGAGCATTCCTCGAGTTGCTGTGCTGAAGTTGGTGTTCCTCTAGACTTGGGACAGTATTCTCGGGGCATCTCTGGAGTTGCCTGAAGGAAGTCGAGCCACCGGTCGTGTTGAATGGGGAACGGGGAATGGCTCTGGAGTCAATGCAGGGGAATCGGGCCTCATCTCGAGTTGATTTGGGGCACATGGAGCTGCTTTGCGTTGCAGGGGTGACCTCAGGGTCCGTCTAGACTGGTGACAGTGTTCTTGGGGACTGTCTCGAGATCCATTAAGCAAGTCGAAGTTCCTGACTTGTTTGAATGGGATCACGGAATAGCTCTGAATGCACTGCAGGGGAATGGGGCCTCTTCTCGCCTCTAGGGGGAAGTCTCATGGTTTTTCTCGAGTTGCTGCGGGGACTTGGGGTATGTTCTCGACTTAGGGCTGGGATGGACCTTTAAAACACGAGTTTCTTCAGTGACGTCAGGACTCCTGTCTAGTAACGAGGGACACCTCAGGAATGTCTTCGAGGCTTGGCAGGGCAAAAGGGAAGCTTCTCGAGGTGAGGCAGGGCACCCAAAGATCCTTTCCAGTAGCCACAGGGATTTTGGGATTCTCTAAGGTCTCCACAGGGAATTCAGACATCCCTTCATGTTGTGAGATGAAAGACGAGCCTGTATTCAAGCCACTGCAAGGAAATCCGGCCTCCTTTCAAGTTAGGGCTTCTCGCTGTATATTCCCCTTGAGGCAGCAAACTCGGGGTCCCTCCCACATACCTATTGCTGAGAGAAGCCTCCCCCTGAGGTGCTTCTGGAAAGTTGGCATATGTCTTGAGCCTAAGCCAGGGAATCAGCTCTCATCTCGAGACGATTTGGGGTACACGGAGCATTCCTCGAGTTGCTGTGCTGAAGTTGGTGTTCCTCTAGACTTGGGACAGTGTTCTCGGGGCATCTCTGGAGTTGCCTGAAGGAAGTCGAGCCACCGGTCGTGTTGAATGGGGAACGGGGAATGGCTCTGGAGTCAATGCAGGGGAATCGGGCCTCATCGCGAGTTGATTTGGGGCACATGGAGCTGCTTTGCGTTGCTGGGGTGACCTCAGGGTCCGTCTAGACTGGTGACAGTGTTCTTGGGGACTGTCTCGAGATCCATTAAGCAAGTCGAAGCTCCTGACTTGTTTGAATGGGATCACGGAATAGCTCTGAATGCACTGCAGGGGAATGGGGCCTCTTCTCACCTCTAGGGGGAAGTCTCATGGTTTTTCTCGAGTTTCGGCGGGGACCTGGGATATGTTCTCGACTTACGGCGGGGATGGCCCTTCAAAACACGAGTTTCTTCAGTGACGTCAGGACTCCTGTCTAGTAACGAGGGACACCTCAGGAATCTCTTCGAGGCTTGGCAGGGCAAAAGGGACGCTTCTCGAGGTGAGGCAGGGCACCCAAGGACCCTTTCCCGTAGCCACAGTGATTTTGGGATTCCTATCAGTATTCAAGAGGAGTCAGGCATCGTCACCTTTTGAAGCAATGAACTCCGCGTGCCTCTCGAGGTGTCAGCGGGATGTGAGGCATTCCGTCAAAATGAGGCAGGGACCTAGGGCTTTCTCTAAGGTCTCCACAGGGCATTCAGACATCCCTTCATGTTGTGAGATGAAAGACGAGCCTGTATTCAAGCCACTGCAAGGACATCCGGCCTCCTTTCAAGTTAGGGCTTCTCGCTGTATATTCGCCTTGAGGCAGCAAACTCGGGGTGCCTCCCACATACCTATTGCTGAGAGAAGCCTCCTCCTGAGGTGCTTCTGGAAATTTGGCATACATCTTGAGCCTAAGAAAGGGAATCAGCTCTCATCTCGAGACGATTTGGGGTACACGGAGCATTCCTCGAGTTGCTGTGCTGAAGTTGGTGTTCCTCTAGACTTGGGACAGTATTCTCGGGGCATCTCTGGAGTTGCCTGAAGGAAGTCGAGCCACCGGTCGTGTTGAATGGGGAACGGGGAATGGCTCTGGAGTCAATGCAGGGGAATCGGGCCTCATCTCGAGTTGATTTGGGGCACATGGAGCTGCTTTGCGTTGCAGGGGTGACCTCAGGGTCCGTCTAGACTGGTGACAGTGTTCTTGGGGACTGTCTCGAGATCCATTAAGCAAGTCGAAGTTCCTGACTTGTTTGAATGGGATCACGGAATAGCTCTGAATGCACTGCAGGGGAATGGGGCCTCTTCTCGCCTCTAGGGGGAAGTCTCATGGTTTTTCTCGAGTTGCGGCGGGGACCTGGGGTATGTTCTCGACTTACGGCGGGGATGGCCCTTCAAAACACGAGTTTCTTCAGTGACGTCAGGACTCCTGTCTAGTAACGAGGGACACCTCAGGAATCTCTTCGAGGCTTGGCAGGGCAAAATGGACGCTTCTCGAGGTGATGCAGGGCACCCAAGGACCCTTTCCCGTAGCCACAGGGATTTTGGGATTCCTATCAGCATTCAAGAGGAGTCAGGCATCGTCACCTTTTGAAGCAATGAACTCCGCGTGCCTCTCGAGGTGTCAGCGGGATGTGAGGCATTCCGTCAAAATGTGGCAGGGACCTAGTGCTTTCTCTAAGGTCTCCACAGGGGATTCAGACATCCCTTCATGTTGTGAGATGAAAGACGAGCCTGTATTCAAGCCACTGCAAGGAAATCCGGCCTCCTTTCAAGTTAGGGCTTCTCGCTGTATATTCCCCTTGAGGCAGCAAACTCGGGGTCCCTCCCACAAACCTATTGCTGAGAGAAGCCTCCTCCTGAGGTGCTTCTGGAAAGTTGCCATACGTCTTGAGCCTAAGCCAGGGAATCAGCTCTCATCTCGAGATGATTTGGGGTACACGGAGCATTCCTCGAGTTCTGTGCTTAAGTTGGTGTTCCTCTAGACTTGGGACAGTGTTCTCGGGGAATCTCTGGAGTTGCCTGAAGGAAGTCGAGCCACCGGTCGTGTTGAATGGGGAACGGGGAATGGCTCTGGAGTCAATGCACGGGAATCGGGCCTCATCTCGAGTTGATTTGGGGCACATGGAGCTGCTTTGCGTTGCTGGGGTGACCTCAGGGTCCGTCTAGACAGGTGACAGTGTTCTTGGGGACTGTCTCGAGATCCATTAAGCAAGTCGAAGCTCGTGTCTTGTTTGAATGGGATCACGGAATAGCTCTGCATGCACGGCAGGGGATTGGGGCCTCATCTCGCCTCTAGGGGGAATTCTCATGGTTTTCCTCGAGTTGCGGCGGGGACCTGGGGTATGTTCTCGACGTACGGCGGGGATGGCCCTTCAAAACACGAGTTTCTTCAGTGACGTCTGGACTCCTGACTAGTAACGAGGGACACCTCAGGAATCTCTTCGAGCCTTGGCAGGGCAAAAGGAACGCTTCTCGAGGTGAGGCAGGGCACCCAAGGACGCTTTCCAGTAGCCACAGGGATTTTGGGATTCCTATCAGTATTCAAGAGGAGTCAGGCATCGTCACCTTTTGAAGCAATGAACTCCGCGTGCCTCTCGAGGTGTCAGCAGGATTGGAGGCATTCCGTCAAAATGAGGCAGGGACCTAGGGCTTTCTCTAAGGTCTCCACAGGGGATTCAGACATCCCTTCATGTTGTGAGATGAAAGACGAGCCTGTATTCAAGCCACTGCAAGGAAATCCGGCCTCCTTTCAAGTTAGGGCTTCTCGCTGTATATTGCCCTTGAGGCAGCAATCTCGGGGTCCCTCCCACATACCTATTGCTGAGAGAAGCCTCCTCCTGAGGTGCTTCTGGAAAGTTGGCATATGTCTTGAGCCTACGCCAGGGAATCAGCTCCCATCTCTAGACGATTTGGGGTACACGGATCATTCCTCGAGTTAATGTGCTGAAGTTGGTGTTCCTCTAGACTTGGACAGTGTTATCGGGGCATCTCTGAAGTTGCCTGAAGGAAGTCGAGCAACCGGTCGTGTTGAATGGGGAACGGGGAATGGCTCTGGAGTCAATGCAGGGGAATCAGGCCTCATCTCGAGTTGATTTGGGGCACATGGATCTGCTTTGCGTTGCTGGGGTGACCTCAGGGTCCGTCTAGACTGGTGACAGTGTTCTTGGGGACTGTCTCGTGATCCATTAAGCAAGTCGAAGCTACTGACTTGTTTGAATGGGATCACGGAATAGCTCTGCCTGCACTGCAGGGGAATGGGGCCTCATCTCGCCTCTAGGGGGAAGTCTCATGTTTTTTTTCGAGTTGCGGCGGGGACCTGGGGTATGTTCTCGACTTACGGCGGGGATGGCCCTTCAAAACACGAGTTTCTTCAGTGACGTCAGGACTCCTGTCTAGTAACGAGGGACACATCAGGAATCTCTTCGAGGCTTGGCAGGGCAAAAGGGACGCTTCTCGAGGTGAGGCAGGGCACCCAAGTACCCTTTCCAGTAGCCACAGGGATTTTGGGATTCCTATCAGTATTCAAGAGGAGTCAGGCATCGTCACCTTTTGAAGCAATGAACTCCGCGTGCCTCTCGAGGTGTCAGCGGGATGTGAGGCATTCCGTCAAAATGAGGCAGGGACCTAGGGCTTTCTCTAAGGTCTCCACAGGGGATTCAGACCTCCCTTCATGTTGTGAGATGAAAGACGAGCCTGTATTCAAGCCACTGCAAGGAAATCCGGCCTCCTTTCAAGTTAGGGCTTCTCGCTGTATATTCCCCTTGAGGCAGCAAACTCGGGGTCCCTCCCACATACCTATTGCTGAGAGAAGCCTCCTCCTGAGGTGCTTCTGGAAAGTTGGCATACATCTTGAGCCTAAGCCAGGGAATCAGCTCTCATCTCGAGACGATTTGGGTTACACGGAGCATTCCTCGAGTTAATGTTCTGAAGTTGGTGTTCCTCTAGACTTGGGACAGTGTTCTCAGGGAATCTCTGGAGTTGCCTGAAGGAAGTCAAGCCACCTGTCCTGTTGAATGGGGAACGGGGAATGGCTCTGGAGTCAATGCAGGGGAATCGGGCCTCATCTCGAGTTGATTTGGGGCACATGGATCTGCTTTGCGTTGCTGGGGTGACCTCAGGGTCCGTCTAGACTGGTGACAGTGTTCTTGGGGACTGTCTCGAGATCCATTAAGCAAGTCGAAGCTCCTGACTTTTTGAATGGGATCACGGAATAGCTCTGCATGCACTGCAGGGGAATGGGGCCTCATGTCTCCTCTAGGGGGAAGTCTCATGGTTTTTCTCGTGTTGGGGCGGGGACCTGGGGTATGTTCTCAACTTACGGCGGGGATGGCCCTTCAAAACACGAGTTTCTTCAGTGACGTCAGGACTCCTCTCTAGTAAAGAGGGACACCTCAGGAATCTCTTCGAGGTTTGGCAGGGCAAAAGGGACGCTTCTCGAGGTGAGGCAGGGCACCCAAGGACCCTTTCCAGTAGCCACAGGGATTTTGGGATTCCTATCAGTATTCAAGAGGAGTCAGGCATCGTCACCTTTTGAAGCAATGAACTCCGCGTGCCTCTCGAGGTGTCAGCAGGATTGGAGGCATTCCGTCAAAATGAGGCAGGGATCTAGGGCTTTCTCTAAGGTCTCCAAAGGGGATTCAGACATCCCTTCATGTTGTGAGATGAAAGACGAGCCTGTATTCAAGCCACTGCAAGGAAATCCGGCCTCCTTTCAAGTTAGGGCTTCTCGCTGTATTTTGCCCTTGAGGCAGCAATCTCGGGGTCCCTCCCACATACCTATTGCTGAGAGAAGCCTCCTCCTGAGGTGCTTCTGGAAAGTTGGCATATGTCTTGAGCCTACGCCAGGGAATCAGCTCCCATCTCGAGACGATTTGGGGTACACGGATCATTCCTCGAGTTAATGTGCTGAAGTTGGTGTTCCTCTAGACTTGGACAGTGTTATCGGGGCATCTCTGGAGTTGCCTGAAGGAAGTCGAGCCACCAGTCGTGTTGAATGGGGAACGGGGAATGGCTCTGGAGTCAATGCAGGGGAATCAGGCCTCATCTCGAGTTGATTTGGGGCACATGGATCTGCTTTGCGTTGCTGGGGTGACCTCAGGGTCCGTCTAGACTGGTGACAGTGTTCTTGGGGACTGTCTCTTGATCCATTAAGCAAGTCGAAGCTCCTGACTTGTTTGAATGGGATCACGGAATAGCTCTGCCTGCACTGCAGGGGAATGGGGCCTCATCTCGCCTCTAGGGGGAAGTCTCATGGTTTTTTTCGAGTTGCGGCGGGGACCTGGGGTATGTTCTCGACTTACGTCGGGGATGGCCCTTCAAAACACGAGTTTCTTCAGTGACGTCAGGACTCCTGTCTAGTAACGAGGGACACATCAGGAATCTCTTCGAGGCTTGGCAGGGCAAAAGGGACGCTTCTCGAGGTGAGGCAGGGCACCCAAGTACCCTTTCCAGTAGCCACAGGGATTTTGGGATTCCTATCAGTATTCAAGAGGAGTCAGGCATCGTCACCTTTTGAAGCAATGAACTCCGCGTGCCTCTCGAGGTGTCAGCGGGATGTGAGGCATTCCGTCAAAATGAGGCAGGGACCTAGGGCTTTCTCTAAGGTCTCCACAGGGGATTCAGACATCCCTTCATGTTGTGAGATGAAAGACGAGCCTGTATTCAAGCCACTGCAAGGAAATCCGGCCTCCTTTCAAGTTAGCGCTTCTCGCTGTATATTCCCCTTGAGGCAGCAAACTCGGGGTCCCTCCCACATACCTATTGCTGAGAGAAGCCTCCTCCTGAGGTGCTTCTGGAAAGTTGGCATACATCTTGAGCCTAAGCCAGGGAATCAGCTCTCATCTCGAGACGATTTGGGTTACACGGAGCATTCCTCGAGTTAATGTGCTGAAGTTGGTGTTCCTCTAGACTTGGGACAGTGTTCTCAGGGAATCTCTGGAGTTGCCTGAAGGAAGTCAAGCCACCTGTCCTGTTGAATGTGGAACGGGGAATGGCTCTGGAGTCAATGCAGGGGAATCGGGCCTCATCTCGAGTTGATTTGGGGCACATGGATCTGCTTTGCGTTGCTGGGGTGACCTCAGGGTCCGTCTAGACTGGTGACAGTGTTCTTGGGGACTGTCTCGAGATCCATTAAGCAAGTCGAAGCTCCTGACTTTTTGAATGGGATCACGGAATAGCTCTGCATGCACTGCAGGGGAATGGGGCCTCATGTCGCCTCTAGGGGGAAGTCTCATGGTTTTTCTCGTGTTGGGGCGGGGACCTGGGGTATGTTCTCGACTTACGGCGGGGATGGCCCTTCAAAACACGAGTTTCTTCAGTGACGTCAGGACTCCTCTCTAGTAAAGAGGGACACCTCAGGAATCTCTTCGAGGTTTGGCAGGGCAAAAGGGACGCTTCTCGAGGTGAGGCAGGGCACCCAAGGACCCTTTCCAGTAGCCACAGGGATTTTGGGATTCCTATCAGTATTCAAGAGGAGTCAGGCATCGTCACCTTTTGAAGCAATGAACTCCGCGTGCCTCTCGAGGTGTCAGCGGGATGTGAGGCATTCCGTCAAAATGAGGCAGGGACCTAGGGCTTTCTCTAAGGCCTCCACAGGGGATTCAGACATCACTTCATGTTGTTATTTGAAAGACAAGCCTGTATTCAAGCCACTGCAAGGAAATCCGGCCTCCTTTCAAGTTAGGGCTTCTCGCTGTATATTCCCCTTGAGGCAGCATACTCGGGGTCCCTCCCACATACCTATTGCTGAGAGAAGCCTCCTCCTGAGGTGCTTCTGGAAAGTTGGCATACGTCTTGAGCCTAAGCCAGGGAATCAGCTCTCATCTCGAGACGACTTGGGGTACACGGAGCATTCCTCGAGTTGCTGTGCTGAAGTTGGTGTTTCTCTAGACTTGGGACAGTGTTCTCGGGGCATCTCTGGAGTTGCCTGAAGAAAGTCAAACCACCTGTCCTGTTGAATGGAGAACGGGGAATGGCTCTGGAGTCAATGCAGGGGAATCGGGCCTCATCTCGAGTTGATTTGGGGCACATGGAGCTGCTTTGCGTTGCTGGGGTGACCTCAGGGTCCGTCTAGACTGGTGACAGTGTTCTTGGGGACTGTCTCGAGATCCATTAACTAAGTCGAAGCTCCTGGCTTGTTTGAATGGGATCACGGAATAGCTCTGCATGCACTGCAGGGGAATGGGGCCTCATCTCGCCTCTAGGGGGAAGTCTCATGGTTTTTCTCGAGTTGCGGCGGGGACCTGCGGAATGTTCTCGACTTACGGCGGGGATGGCCCTTCAAAACACGAGTTTCTTCAGTGACGTCATGACTCCTGTCTAGTAACGAGGGACACCTCAGGAATCTCTTCGAGGCTTGGCAGGGCAAAAGGGACGCTTCTCGAGGTGAGGCAGGGCACCCAAGGACCCTTTCCCGTAGCCACAGGGATTTTGGGATTCCTATCAGTATTCAAGAGGAGTCAGGCATCGTCACCTTTTGAAGCAATGAACTCCGCGTGCCTCTCGAGGTGTCAGCGGGATGTGAGGCATTCCGTCAAAATGAGGCAGGGACCTACGGCTTTCTCTAAGGTCTCCACAGGGGATTCAGACATCCCTTCATGTTGTGAGATGAAAGACGAGCCTGTATTCAAGCCACTGCAAGGAAATCCGGCCTCCTTTCAAGTTAGGGCTTCTTGCTGTATATTCCCCTTGAGGCAGCAAACTCGGGGTCCCTCCCACATACCTATTGCTGACAGAAGCCTCCTCCTGAGGTGCTTCTGGAAAGTTGGCATATGTCTTGAGCCTAAGCCAGGGAATCAGCTCTCATCTCGAGACGATTTGGGGTACACGGAGCATTCCTCGAATTGCTGTGCTGAAGTTGGTGTTCCTCTAGACTTGGGACAGTGTTCTCGGGGCATCTCTGGAGTTGCCTGAAGGAAGTCGAGCAACCGGTCGTGTTGAATGGGGAACCGGGAATGGTTCTGGAGTCAATTCAGGGGAATCGGGCCTCATCTCGAGTTGATTTGGGGCACATGGAGCTGCTTTGCATTGCTGGGGTGACATCAGGGTCCGTCTAGACTGGTGACAGTGTTCTTGGGGACTGTCTCGAGATCCATTAAGCAAGTCGAAGTTCCTGACTTGTTTGAATGGGATCACGGAATAGCTCTGAATGCACTGCAGGGGAATGGGGCCTCTTCTCGCCTCTAGGGGGAAGTCTCATGGTTTTTCTCGAGTTGCGGCGGGGACCTGGGGTATGTTCTCGACTTACGGCGGGGATGGCCCTTCAAAACACGAGTTTCTTCAGTGACGTCAGGACTCCTGTCTAGTAACGAGGGACACCTCAGGAATCTCTTCGAGGCTTGGCAGGGCAAAAGGGACGCTTCTCGAGGTGATGCAGGGCACCCAAGGACCCTTTCTAGTAGCCACAGGGATTTTGGGATTCCTATCAGTATTCAAGAGGAGTCAGGCATCGTCACCTTTTGAAGCAATGAACTCCGTGTGCCTCTCAAGGTGTCAGCGGGATGTGAGGCGTTCCGTCAAAATGAGGCAGGGACCTAGGGCTTTCTCTAACGTCTCCACAGGGGATTCAGACATCCCTTCATGTTGTGAGATGAAAGACGAGCCTGTATTCAAGCCACTGCAAGGAAATCCGGCCTCCTTTCAAGTTAGGGCTTCTCGCTGTATATTCCCCTTGAGGCAGCAAACTCGGGGTCCCTCCCACATACCTATTGCTGAGAGAAGCCTCCTCCTGAGGTGCTTCTGGAAAGTTGGCATACGTCTTGAGCCTAAGCCAGGGAATCAGCTCTCATCTCGAGACGATTTGGGGTACACGGAGCATTCCTCGAGTTGCTGTGCTGAAGTTGGTGTTCCTCTAGACTTGGGACAGTGTTCTCGGGGCATCTCTGGAGTTGCCTGAAGGAAGTCGAGCCACCGGTCGTGTTGAATGGGGAACGGGGAATGGCTCTGGAGTCAATGCAGGGGAATCGGGCCTCATCTCGAGTTGATTTGGGGCATATGGAACTGCTTTGCGTTGCTGGGGTGACCTCAGGGTCCGTCTAGACTGGTGACAGTGTTCTTGGGGACTGTCTCGAGATCCATTAAGCAGGTCGAAGCTCCTGACTTGTTTGAATGGGATCACGGAATAGCTCTGCATGCACTGCAGGGGAATGGGGCCTCGTCTCGCCTCTAGGGGGAAGTCTCATGGTTTTTCTCGAGTTGCGGCGGGGACCTGGGGTATGTTCTCGACTTACGGCAGGGATGGCCCTTCAAAACACGAGTTTCTTCAGTGACGTCAGGACTCCTGTCTAGTAATGAGGGACACCTCAGGAATCTCTTCGAGGCTTGGCAGGGCAAAAGGGACGCTTCTCGAGGTGAGGCAGGGCACCCAAGGACCCTTTCCAGTAGCCACAGGGATTTTGGGATTCCTATCAGTATTCAAGAGGAGTCAGGCATCGTCACCTTTTGAAGCAATGAACTCCGCGTGCCTCTCGAGGTGTCAGCGGGATATGAGGCGTTCCGTCAAAATGAGGCAGGCACCTAGGGCTTTCTCTAAGGTCTCCACAGGGGATTCAGACATCTCTTCATGTTGTGAGATGAAAGACGAGCCTGTATTCAAGCCACTGCAAGGAAATCCGGCCTCCTTTCAAGTTAGGGCTTCTCGCTGTATATTCCCCTTGAGGCAGCAAACTCGGGGTCCCTCCTACATACCTATTGCTGAGAGAGCCTCCTCCTGAGGTGCTTCTGGAAAGTTGGCATACGTCTTGAGCCTAAGCCAGGGAATCAGCTCTCATCTCGAGACGATTTGGGTTACACAGAGCATTCCTCGAGTTAATGTGCTGAAGTTGGTATTCCTCTAGACTTGGGACAGTGTTCTCGGGCATCTCTGGAGTTGCCTGAAGTAAGTCGAGCCACCGGTCGTGTTGAATGGGGAACGGGGAATGTCTCTGGAGTCAATGCAGGGGAATCGGGCCTCATCTCGAGTTGATTTGGGGCACATGGAGCTGCTTTGCGTTGCTGGGGTGACCTCAGGGTCCGTCTAGACTGGTGACAGTGATCTTGGGGACTGTCTCGAGATCCATTAAGCAAGTCGAAGCTCCTGACTTGTTTGAATGGGATCACGGAATAGCTCTGCATGCACTGCAGGGGAATGGGGCCTCATCTCGGCTCTAGGGGGAAGTCTCATGGTTTTTCTCGAGTTGCGGCGGGGACCTGGGGTATGTTCTCGACTTACGGCGGGGATGGCCCTTCAAAACACGAGTTTCTTCAGTGACGTCAGGACTGCTGTCTAGTAATGAGGGACATCTCAGGAATCTCTTCGAGGCTTGGCAGGGTCAAATTGAGGCTTCTCGAGGTGTGGCAGGGCACCCAAGGACCCTTTCCCGTAGCCACAGGGATTTTGGGATTCCTATCAGTATTCAAGAAGAGTCAGGCAGAGTCACCTTTTGAAGCAATGAACTCCGCGTGTCTCTCGAGGTGTCAGCGTGATGTGAGGCATTCCGTCAAAATGAGGCAGTGACCTAGGGCTTTCTCTAAGGTCTCCACAGTTGATTCAGACATCCCTTCATGTTGTGAGATGAAAGACGAGCCTGTATTCAAGCCACTGCAAGGAAATCCGGCCTCCTTTCAAGTTAGGGCTTCTCGCTGTATATTCCCATTGAGGCAGCAAACTCGGGGTCCCTCCCACATACCTATTGCTGAGAGAAGCCTCCGCCTGAGTTGCTTCTGGAAAGTTGGCATACGTCTTGAGCCTAAGCCAGGGAATCAGCTCTCATCTCGAGACGATTTGGAGTACACGGAGCATTCCTCGAGTTGCTGTGCTGAATTTCGTGTTCCTCTAGACTTGGGACAGAGTTCTCGGGGCATCTCTGGAGTTGCCTGAAGGAAGTCGAGCCACCGGTCCTGTTGAATGGGGAACGGGGAATGGCTCTGGAGTCAATGCAGGTGAATCAGGCCTCATTTCGAGTTGATTTGGTGCACATGGAGCTGCTTTGCGTTGCTGGGGTGACCTCAGGGTCCGTCTAGATGGTGACAGTGTTCTTGGGGACTGTCTCGAGATCCATCAAGCAAGTCGAAGCTCCTGACTTGTTTGAATGGGATCATGGAATAGCTCTGCATGCACTGCAGGGTAATGGGGCCTCATCTCGCCTCTAGGGGGAAGTCTCATGGTTTTTCTCGAGTTGCGGCGAGGACCTGGGGTATGTTCTCGACTTACGGCGGGGATGGCCCTTCAAAACACGAGTTTCTTCAGTGACGTCAGGACTACTCTCTAGTAAAGAGGGACACCTCAGGAATCTCTTCGAGGCTTGGCAGGGCTAAAGGGACGCTTCTCGATGTGAGGCAGGGCACCCAAGCAGCCTTTCCCGTAGCCACACGGTTTTTGGGATTCCTATCAGTATTCAAGAGGAGTCAGGCATCGTCACCTTTTGAAGCAATGAACTCCGCGTGCCTCTCGAGCTGTCAGCGGGATGTGAGGCATTCCGTCAAAATGAGGCAGGGACCTAGGGCTTTCTCTAAGGTCTCCACAGGGGATTCAGACATCCCTTCATGTTGTGAGATGAAAGACGAGCCTGTATTCAAGCCACTGCAAGGAAATCCGGCCTCCTTTCAAGTTAGGGCTTCTCGCTGTATATTCCCTTGAGGCAGCAAACTCGGGGTCCTCCCACATACCTATTGCTGAGAGTAGCCTCCTCCTGAGGTGCTTCTTGAAAGATGGCATACGTCTTGAGCCTAAGCCATGGAATCTGCTCTCATTTCGAGACGATTTGGGGTACACGGAGCATTCCTCGAGTTGCTGTGCTGAAGTTGCTGTTCCTCTAGACTTGGGACAGCATTCTCGGGGCATCTCTGGAGTTGCCTGAAGGAAGTCGAGCCACCGGTCGTGTTGAATGGGGAACGGGGAATGGCTCTGGAGTCAATGCAGGGTAATCGGGCCTCATCTCGAGTTGATTTTGGGCACATGGAGCTGCTTTGCGTTGCTGGGGTGACCTCAGGGTCCGTCTAGACTGGTGACAGTGTTCTTGGGGACTGTCTCGAGATCCATTAAGCAAGTCGAAGCTCCTGACTTGTTTGAATGGGATCACGGAATAGCTCTGCATGCACTGCAGGGGAATGGGGCCTCATCTCGCCTCTAGGGGGAAGTCTCATGGTTTTTCTCGAGTTGCGGCGGGGACCTGGGCTATGTTCTCGACTTACGTCGGGGATGGCCCTTCAAAACACGAGTTTCTTCACTGACGTCAGGTCTCCTGTCTAGTAACGAGCGACACCTCAGGAATCTCTTCGAGGCTTGGCAGGGCATAAGGGACGCTTCTCGAGGTGAGGCAGGGCACCCAAGGACCCTTTCCAGTAGCCACAGGGATTTTGGGATTCCTATCAGTATTCAAGAGGAATCAGGCATCGTCACCTTTTGAAGCAATGAACTCCGTTTGCCTCTCAAGGTGTCAGCGGGATGTGAGGCATTCCGTCAAAATGAGGCAGGGACCTAGGGCTTTCTCTAAGGTCTCCACAGGGGATTCAGACATCCCTTCATGTTGTGAGATGAAAGACGAGCCTGTATTCAAGCCACTGCAAGGAAATCCGGCCTCCTTTCAAGTTAGGGCTTCTCGCTGTATATTCCCCTTGAGGCAGCAAACTCGGGGTCCCTCCCACATACCTATTGCTGAGAGAAGCCTCCTCCTGAGGTGCTTATGGAAATTTGGCATACGTCTTGAGCCTAAGCCAGGGAATCAGCTCTCATCTCGAGACGATTTGGGGTACACGGGGCATTCCTCGAGTTGCTGTGCTGAAGTTGGTGTTCCTCTAGACTTGGGACAGTGTTCTCGGTGCATCTCTGCAGTTGCCTGAAGGAAGTCGAGCCACCGGTCGTGTTGAATGGGGAACGGGGAATGGCTCTGGTGTCAATGCAGGGATATCGGGCCTCATCTCGAGTTGATTTGGGGCACATGGAGCTGCTTTGCGTTGCTGGGGTGACCTCAGGGTCCGTCTAGACTGGTGACAGTATTCTTGGGGACTGTCTCGAGATCCATTAAGCAAGTCAAAGCTCCTGACTTGTTTGAATGGGATCACGGAATAGCTCTGCATGCACTGCAGGTGAATGGGGCCTCATCTCGCCTATAGGGGGAAGTCTCATGGTTTTTCTCGAGTTGCGGCGGGGACCTGGGGTAGGTTCTCGACTTACGGCGGGGATGGCCCTTCAAAACACGAGTTTCTTCAGTGACGTCAGGACTCCTGTCTAGTAACGAGGGACACCTCAGGAATCTCTTTGAGGCTTGGCAGGGCAAAAGGGACGCTTCTCGTGGTGAGGCAGGGCACCCAGGGACCCTTTCCAGTAGCCACAGGGATTTGGGGATTCCTATCAGTATTCAAGAGGAGTCAGGCATAGTCACCTTTTGAAGCAATGAACTCCGCGTGCCTCTCGAGGTGTCAGCGGGATGTGAGGCGTTCCGTCAAAATGAGGCAGGCACCTAGGGCTTTCTCTAAGGTTTCCACATGGGATTCAGACATCCCTTCACGTTGTGAGATGAAAGACGAGCCTGTATTCAAGCCACTGCAAGGAAATCCGGCCTCCTTTCAAGTTAGGTCTTCTCGCTGTATATTCCCCTTGAGGCAGCAAACTCGGGGTCCCTCCCACATACCTATTGCTGAGAGAAGCCTCCTCCTGAGGTGCTTCTGGAAAGTTGGCATACGTCTTGAGCCTAAGCCAGGGAATCAGCTCTCATCTCGAGAGGATTTGGGGTACACAGATCATTCCTCGAGTTGCTGTGCTGAAGTTGGTGTTCCTCTAGACTTGGGACAGTGTTCTCGGGGCATCTCTGGAGTTGCCTAAAGGAAGTCGAGCCACCGGTCGTGTTGAATGGGGAACGGGGAATGGCTCTGGAGTCAATGCAAGGGAATCGGGCCTCATCTCGAGTTGATTTGGGGCACATGGAACTGCTTTGCGTTGCTGGGGTGACCTCAGGGTTCGTCTAGACTGGTGACAGTGTTCTTGGGGACTTTCTCGAGACCCATTAAGCAAGTCGAAGCTCCTGACTTGTTTGAATGGGATCACGGAATAGCTCTGCATGCACTGCAGGGGAATGGGGCCTCTTCTCGCCTCTAGGGGGAAGTCTCATGGTTTTTCTCGAGTTGCGGCGGGGACCTGGGGTATGTTCTCGACTTACGGCGGGGATGGCCCTTCAAAACACGAGTTTCTTCAGTGACCTCAGGACTCCTGTCTAGTAACGAGGGACACCTCAGGAATCTCTTCGAGGCTTGGCAGGGCAAAAGGGACGCTTCTCGAGGTGAGGCAGGGCACCCAAGGACCCTTTCCCGTAGCCACAGGGATTTTGGGATTCCTATCAGTATTCAAGAGGAGTCAGGCATCGTCACCTTTTGAAGCAATGAACTCCGCGTGCCTCTCGAGGTGTCAGCGGGTTTTGAGGCGTTCCGTCAAAATGACGCAGGCACCTAGGGCTTTCTCTAAGGTCTCCACAGGGGATTCAGACATCCCTTCATGTTGCGAGATGAAAGACGAGCCTGTATTCAAGCCACTGCAAGGAAATCCGGCCTCCTTTCAAGTTAGGGCTTCTCGCTGTATATTCCCCTTGAGGTAGCAAACTCGGGGTCCCTCCCACATTCCTATTGCTGAGAGAAGCCTCCCCCTGAGGTGTTTCTGGAAAGTTGGCATATGTCTTGAGCCTAAGCCAGGGAATCAGCTCTCATCTCGAGAAAATTTGGGGTACAAGGAGCATTCCTCTAGTTGCTGTGCTGAAGTTGGTGTTCCTCTAGACTTGGCACAGTGTTCTCAGGGCATCTCTGGAGTTGCCTGAAGGAAGTCGAGCCACCGGTCCTGTTGAAAGGGGAACGGGGTATGGCTCTGGAGTCAATGCAGGGGAATCGGGCCTCATCTCGAGTTGATTTGGGGCACATGGAGCTGCTTTGCGTTGCTGGGGTGACCTCAGGGTCCGTCTAGACTGGTGACAGTGTTCTTGGGGACTGTCTCGAGATCCATTAAGCAAGTCGAAGCTCCTGACTTGTTTGAATGGGATCACGGAATAGCTCTGCATGCACTGCAGGGGAATGGGGCCTCATCTCGCCTCTAGGGGGAAGTCTCATGGTTTTTCTCGAGTTGCGGCGGGGACCTGGGGTATGTTCTCGACTTACGGCGGGGATGGCCCTTCAAAACACGAGTTTCTTCAGTGACGTCAGGACTCCTGTCTAGTAACGAGGGACACCTCAGGAATCTCTTCGAGGCTTGGCAGGGCAAAATTGAGGCTTCTCGAGGTGAGGCAGGGCACCCAAGGACCCTTTCCCGTAGCCACAGGGATTTTGGGATTCCTATCAGTATTCAAGAGGAGTCAGGCATCGTCACCTTTTGAAGCAATGAACTCCGCGTGCCTCTCGAGGTGTCAGCGGGATGTGAGGCATTCCGTCAAAATGAGGCAGGTACCTAGGGTTTTCTCTAAGGACTCCACAGGTGATTCAGACATCCCTTCATGTTGTGAGATGAAAGACGAGCCTGTATTCAAGCCACTGCAAGGAAATCCGGCCTCCTTTCAAGTTAGGGCTTCTCGCTGTATATTCCCCTTGAGGCAGCAAATTCGGGGACCCCCCCACATACCTATTGCTGAAAGAAGCCTCCTCCTGAGGTGCTTCTGGAAAGTTGGCATACGTCTTGAGCCTAAGCCAGGGAATCAGCTCTCATCTCGAGACGATTTGGGGTACACTGAGCATTCCTCGAATTGCTGTGCTGAAGTTGGTATTCCTCTAGACTTGGGACAGTGTTCTCGGGCATCTCTGGAGTTGCCTGAAGTAAGTCGAGCCACCGGTCGTGTTGAATGGGGAACGGGGAATGTCTCTGGAGTCAATGCAGGGGAATCGGGCCTCATCTCGAGTTGATTTGGGGCACATGGAGCTGCTTTGCGTTGCTGGGGTGACCTCAGGGTCCGTCTAGACTGGTGACAGTGATCTTGGGGACTGTCTCGAGATCCATTAAGCAAGTCGAAGCTCCTGACTTGTTTGAATGGGATCACGGAATAGCTCTGCATGCACTGCAGGGGAATGGGGCCTCATCTCGCCTCTTGGGGGAAGTGTCATGGTTTTTCTCGAGTTGCGGGGCGACCTGCGGTATGTTCTCGACTTACGGCGGGGATGGCCCTTCAAAACACGAGTTTCTTCAGTGACGTCAGGACTCCTGTCTAGTAATGAGGGACATCTCAGGAATCTCTTCGAGGCTTGGCAGGGTCAAATTGAGGCTTCTCGAGGTGTGGCAGGGCACCCAAGGACCCTTTCCCGTAGCCACAGGGATTTTGGGATTCCTATCAGTATTCAAGAGGAGTCAGGCATCGTCACCTTTTGAAGCAATGAACTCCGCGTGCCTCTCGAGGTGTCAGCGGGATGTGAGGCATTCCGTCAAAATGAGGCAGGGACCTAGGGCTTTCTCTAAGGTTTCCACAGGTGATTCAGACATCCCTTCATGTTGTGAGATGAAAGACGAGCCTGTATTCAAGCCACTGCAAGGAAATCCGGCCTCCTTTCAAGTTAGGGCTTCTCGCTGTATATTCCCCTTGAGGCAGAAAATTCGGGGTCCCCCCCACATACCTATTGCTGAGAGAAGCCTCCTCCTGAGGTGCTTCTGGAAAGTTGGCATACGTCTTGAGCCTAAGCCAGGGAATCAGCTCTCATCTCGAGACGATTTGGGGTACACTGAGCATTCCTCGAATTGCTGTGCTGAAGTTGGTATTCCTCTAGACTTGGGACAGTGTTCTCGATGCATCTCTGGAGTTGCCTGCAGTAAGTCGAGCCACCGGTCGTGTTGAATGGGGAACGGGGAATGTCTCTGGAGTCAATGCAGGGGAATCGGGCCTCATCTCGAGTTGATTTGGGGCACATGGAGCTGCTTTGCGTTGCTGGGGTGACCTCAGGGTCCGTCTAGACTGGTGACAGTGATCTTGCGGACTGTCTCGAGATCCATTAAGCAAGTCGAAGCTCCTGACTTGTTTGAATGGGATCACGGAACAGCTCTGCATGCACTGCAGGGGAATGGGGCCTCATCTCGGCTCTAGGGGGAAGTCTCATGGTTTTTCTCGAGTTGCGGCGGGGACCTGGGGTATGTTCTCGACTTACGGCGGGGATGGCCCTTCAAAACACGAGTTTCTTCAGTGACGTCAGGACTCCTGTCTAGTAATGAGGGACATCTCAGGAATCTCTTCGAGGCTTGGCAGGGTCAAATTGAGGCTTCTCGAGGTGTGGCAGGGCACCCAAGGACCCTTTCCCGTAGCCACAGGGATTTTGGGATTCCTATCAGTATTCAAGAGGAGTCAGGCATCGTCACCTTTTGAAGCAATGAACTCCGCGTGCCTCTCGAGGTGTCAGCGAGATGTGAGGCATTCCGTCAAAATGAGGCAGTGACCTAGGGCTTTCTCTAAGTTCTCCACAGGAGATTCAGACATCCCTTCATGTTGTGAGATGAAAGACGAGCCTGTATTCAAGCCACTGCAAGGAAATCCGGCCTCCTTTCAAGTTAGGGCTTCTCGCTGTATATTCCCCTTGAGGCAGCAAACTCGGGGTCCCTCCCACATACCTATTGCTGAGAGAAGCCTCCGCCTGAGGTGCTTCTGGAAAGTTGGCATACGTCTTGAGCCTAAGCCAGGGAATCAGCTCTCATCTCGAGACGATTTGGGGTACACTGAGCATTCCTCGAATTGCTGTGCTGAAGTTGGTATTCCTCTAGACTTGGGACAGTGTTCTCGGGGCATCTCTGGAGTTGCCTGAAGTAAGTCGAGCCACCGGTCGTGTTGAATGGGGAACGGGGAATGTCTCTGGAGTCAATGTAGGGGAATCGGGCCTCATCTCGAGTTGATTTGGGGCACATGGAGCTGCTTTGCGTTACTGGGGTGACCTCAGGGTCCGTCTAGACTGGTGACAGTGATCTTGGGGACTGTCTCGAGATCCATTAAGCAAGTCGAAGCTCCTGACTTGTTTGAATGGGATCACGGAATAGCTCTGCATGCACTGCAGGGGAATGGGGCCTCATCTCGCCTCTTGGGGGAAGTCTCATGGTTTTTCTCGAGTTGCGGCGGGGACCTGGGGTATGTTCTCGACTTACGGCGGGGATGGCCCTTCAAAACACGAGTTTCTTCAGTGACGTCAGGACTCCTGTCTAGTAATGAGGGACATCTCAGGAATCTCTTCGAGGCTTGGCAGGGTCAAATTGAGGCTTCTCGAGGTGTGGCAGGGCACCCAAGGACCCTTTCCCGTAGCCACAGGGATTTTGGGATTCCTATCAGTATTCAAGAGGAGTCAGGTATCGTCACCTTTTGAAGCAATGAACTCCGCGTGCCTCTCGAGGTGTCAGCGTGATGTGAGGCATTCCGTCAAAATGAGGCAGTGACCTAGGGCTTTCTCTAAGGTCTCCACAGGGGATTCAGACATCCCTTCATGTTGTGAGATGAAAGACGAGCCTGTATTCAAGCCGCTGCAAGGAAATCCGGCCTCCTTTCAAGTTAGGGCTTCTCGCTGTATATTCCCCTTGAGGCACAGACTCGGGGTCCCTCCCACATAACTATTGCTGAGAGAAGCCTCCGCCTGAGGTGCTTCTGAAAAGTTGGCATACGACTTGAGCCTAAGCCAGGGAATCAGCTCTCATCTCGAGACTATTTGGTGTACACGGAGCATTCCTCGAATTAATGTGCTGAAGTTGGTGTTCCTCTAGACTTGGGACAGTGTTCTCGGGGCATCTCTGGAGTTGCCTGAAGGAAGTCGAGCCACCAGTCGGGTTGAATGGGCTACGGGGAATGGGTCTGGAGTCAATGCAGGGGAATCGGGCCTCATCTCGAGTTGATTTGGGGCACATGGAGCTGCTTTGCGTTGCTGGGGTGACCTCAGGGTCTGTCTAGACTGGTGACAGTGTTCTTGGGGACTGTCTCGAGATCCATCAAGCAAGTCAAAGCTCCTGACTTGTTTGAATGGGATCATGGAATAGCTCTGCATGCACTGCAGTGGAATGGGGCCTCATCTCGCCTCTAGGGGGAAGTCTCATGGTTTTTCTCGAGTTGCGCCGAGGACCTGGGGTATGTTCTCGACTTACGGCGGGGATGGCCCTTCAAAACACGAGTTTCTTCAGTGACGTCAGGACTACTCTCTAGTAAAGAGGGACACCTCAGGAATCTCTTCGAGGCTTGGCAGGGCAAAAGGGACGCTTCTCGATGTGAGGCAGGGCACCCAAGCAGCCTTTCCCGTAGCCACACGGATTTTGGGATTCCTATCAGTATTCAAGAGGAGTCAGGCATCGTCACCTTTTGAAGCAATGAACTCCGCGTGCCTCTCGAGGTGTCAGCGGGATGTGAGGCATTCCGTCAAAATGAGGCAGGGACATAGGGCTTTCTCTAAGGTCTCCACAGGGGATTCAGACATCCCTTCATGTTGTGAGATGAAAGACGAGCCTGTATTCAAGCCACTGCAAGGAAATCCGGCCTCCTTTCAAGTTTGGGCTTCTCGCTGTATATTCCCCTTGAGGCAGCAAACTCGGGGTCCCTCCCACATACCTATTGCTGAGAGAAGCCACCTCCTGAGGTGCTTCTGGAAAGTTGGCATATGTCTTGAGCCTAAGCCAGGGAATCAGCTCTCATCTCGAGACGATTTGGGGTACACGGAGCATTCCTCGAGTTGCTGTGTTGAAGTTGGTGTTCCTCTAGACTTGGGACAGTGTTCTCGGGGCATCTCTGGAGTTGCCTGAAGGAAGTCGAGCCACTAGTCATGTTGAATGCGGAACGGGGAATGGCTCTGGAGTCAATGCAGGGGAATCGGTCCTCATCTCGAGTTGATTTGGGGCACATGGAGCTGCTTTGCGTTGCTGGGGTGACCTCAGGGTCCGTCTAGACTGGTGACAGTGATCTTGGGGACTGTCTCGAGATCCATTAAGCAAGTCGAAGCTCCTGACTTGTTTGAATGGGATCACGGAATAGCTCTGCATGCACTGCAGGGGAATGGGGCCTCATCTCGCCTCTAGGGGGAAGTCTCATGGTTTTTCTCGAGTTGCGGCGAGGACCTGGGGTATGTTCTCGACTTACGGCTGGGATGGCCCTTCAAAACACGAGTTTCTTCAGTGACGTCAGGACTCCTGTCTAGTAATGAGGGACACCTCAGGAATCTCTTCGAGGCTTGGCAGGGCCAAATTGAGGCTTCTCGAGATGAGGCAGGGCACCCAAGGACCCTTTCCCGTAGCCACAGGGATTTTGTTATTCCTATCAGTATTCAAGAGGAGTCAGGCATCGTCACCTTTTGAAGCAATGAACTCCCCGTGCCTCTCGAGGTGTCAGCGGGATGTGAGGCATTCCGTCAAAATGAGGCAGTGAACTAGGGCTTTCTCTAAGGTCTCCACAGGGGATTCAGACATCCCTTCATGTTGTGAGATGAAAGACGAGCCTGTATTCAAGCCACTGCAAGGAAATCCGGCCTCCTTTCAAGTTAGGGCTTCTCGCTGTATATTCCCCTTGAGGCAGCAAACTGGGGTCCCTCCCACATACCTATTGCTGAGAGTAGCCTCCTCCTGAGGTGCTTCTGGAAAGTTGCCATACGTCTTGAGCCTAAGCCAGGGAATCAGCTCTCATCTCGAGACGATTTGGGGTACACGGAGCATTCCTCGAATTAATGTGCTGAAGTTGGTGGTCCTCTAGACTTGGGACAGTGTTCTCGGGGCATCTCAGGAGTGGCCTGAAGGAAGTCGAGCCACCACTCGGGTTGAATGGGGAACGGGGAATGGCTCTGGAGTCAATGCAGGGGAATCAGGCCTCATCTCGAGTTGATTTGGTGCACATTGAGCTGCTTTGCGTTGCTGGGGTGACCTCAGGGTCCGTCTAGACTGGTGACAGTGTTCTTGGGGACTGTCTCGAGAACCATTAAGCAAGTCGAAGCTCCTGACTTGTTTGAATGGGATCATGGAATAGCTCTGCATGCACTGCAGGGGAATGGGGCCTCATCTCGCCTCTAGGGGGAATTCTCATGGTTTTCCTCGAGTTGCGGCGGGGACCTGGGCTATGTTCTCGACTTACGGCGGGGATGCCCTTCAAAACACGAGTTTCTTCAGTGACGTCAGGACTCCTGTCTAGTAACGAGGGACACCTCAGGAATGTCTTCGAGGCTTGGCAGGGCAAAAGGGAAGCTTCTTGAGGTGAGGCAGGGCACCCAAGGATGCTTTCCAGTAGCCACAGGGATTTTGGGATTCCTATCAGTATTCAAGGGGAGTCAGGCATCGTCACCTTTTGAAGCAATGAACTCCGCGTGCCTCTCGAGGTGTCAGCGGGATGTGGGGCATTCCGTCAAAATGAGGCAGGCACCTAGGGCTTTCTCTAAGGTCTCCACAGGGGATTCAGACATCCCTTCATGTTGTGACATTAAAGACGAGCCTGTATTGAAGCCACTGCAAGGAAATCCGGCCTCCTTTCAAGTTAGGGCTTCTCGCTGTATATTCCCCTTGAGGCAGCAAACTGGGGTCCCTCCCACATACCTATTGCTGAGAGAAGCCTCCTCCTGAGGTGCTTTTGGAAAGTTGCCATACGTCTTGAGCCTAAGCCAGGGAATCAGCTCTCATCTCAAGACGATTTGGGGTACACTGAGCATTCCTCGAGTTGCTGTGCTGAAGTTGGTGTTCCACTAGACTTGGGATAGTGTTCTCGGTGAATCTCTGGAGTTGCCTGAAGTAAGTCGAGCCACCGGTCGTGTTGAATGGGGAACGGGGAATGGCTCTGGAGTCAATGCAGGGGAATCGGGCCTCATCTCGAGTTGATTTGGGGCACATGGAGCTGCTTTGCGTTGCTGGGGTGACCTCAGGGTCCGTCTAGACTGGTGACAGTGATCTTGGGGACTGTCTCGAGATCCATTAAGCAAGTCGAAGCTCCTGACTTGTTTGAATGGGATCACGGAATAGCTCTGCATGCACTGCAGGGGAATGGGGCCTTATCTCGCCTCTAGGGGGAAGTCTCATGATTTTTCTCGAGTTGCGGCGGGGACCTGGGGTATGTTCTCGACTTACGGCGGGGTTGGCCCTTCAAAACACGAGTTTCTTCAGTGACGTCAGGACTCCTGTCTAGTAATGAGGGACACCTCAGGAATGTCTTCTAGGCTTGGCAGGGCCAAATTGAGGCTTCTCGAGGTGTGGCAGGGCACCCAAGGACCCTTTCCCGTAGCCACTGGGATTTTGGGATTCCTATAAGTATTCAAGAGGAGTCAGGCATCGTCACATTTTGAAGCAATGAACTCCGCGTGCCTCTCGAGGTGTCAGTGGGATGTGAGGCATTCCGTCAAAATGAGGCAGTGACCTAGGGCTTTCTCTAAGGTCTCCTCAGGGGATTCAGACATCCCTTCATGTTGTGAGATGAAAGACGAGCCTGTATTCAAGCCACTGCAAGGAAATCCGGCCTCCTTTCAAGTTAGGGCTTCTCACTGTATATTCCCCTTGAGGCAGCAAACTCGGGGTCCCTCCCACATACCTATTGTTGAGAGAAGCCTCCTCCTGAGGTGCTTCTGGAAATTTGGCATACGTCTTGAGCCTAAGCCAGGGAATCAGCTCTCATCTCGAGACGATTTGGGTTACACGGAGCATTCCTCGAGTTAATGTGCTGAAGTTGGTGTTCCTCTAGACTTGGGACAGTGTTCTCGCTGCATCTCTGGAGTTGCCTGAAGGAAGTCGAGCCACCAGTTGTGTTGAATGGGGAAAGGGGAATGGCTCTGGAGTCAATGCAGGGGAATCAGGCCTCATCTCGAGTTGATTTGGGGCACATGGAGCTGCTTTGCGTTGCTGGGGTGACTTCAGGGTCCGTCTAGACTGGTGACAGTGTTCTTGGGGACTGTCTCGAGATCCATTAAGCAAGTCGAAGCTCCTGACTTGTTTGAATGGGATCACGGAATAGCTCTGCATGCACTGCAGGGGAATGTTTCCTCATCTCGGCTCTAGGGGGAAGTCTCATGGTTTTTCTCGAGTTGCCGCGGGGACCTGGGGTATGTTCTCGACTTACGGCGGGGATGGCCCTTCAAAACACGAGTTTCTTCAGTGACGTCAGGACTCCTGTCTAGTAATGAGGGAAACCTCAGGAATCTCTTCGAGGCTTGGCAGGGCCAAATTGAGGCTTCTCGAGGTGAGGCAGGGCACCCAAGGACCCTTTCCCGTAGCCACAGGGATTTTGTTATTCCTATCAGTATTCAAGAGGAGTCAGGCATCGTCACCTTTTGAAGCAATGAACTCCGCGTGACTCTCGAGGTGTCAGCGGGATGTGAGGCATTCCGTCAAAATGAGGCAGTGACCTTGGGCTTTCTCTAAGGTCTCCACAGGGGATTCAGACATCCCTTCATGTTGTGAGATGAAAGACGAGCCTGTATTCAAGCCACTGCAAGGAAATCCGGCCTCCGTTCAAGTTAGGGCTTCTCGCTGTATATTCCCCTTGAGGCAGCAAACTGGGGTCCCTCCCACATACCTATTGCTGAGAGAAGCCTCCTCCTGAGGTGCTTCTGGAAAGTTGGCATACGTCTTGAACCTAAGCCAGGGAATCAGCTCTCATCTCGAGACGATTTGGGGTACACGGAGCATTCCTCGAATTAATGTGCTGAAGTTGGTGGTCCTCTAGACTTGGGACAGTGTTCTCCGGGCATCTCAGGAGTGGCCTGAAGGAAGTCGAGCCACCAGTCGGGTTGAATGGGGAACGGGGAATGGCTCTGGAGTCAATGCAGGGGAATCAGGCCTCATCTCGAGTTGATTTGGTGCACATGGAGCTGCTTTGCGTTGCTGGGGTGACCTCAGGGTCCGTCTAGACTGGTGACAGTGTTCTTGGGGACTGTCTCGAGAACCATTAAGCAAGTCGAAGCTCCTGACTTGTTTGAATGGGATCATGGAATAGCTCTGCATGCACTGAAGGGGAATGGGGCCTCATCTCGCCTCTAGGGGGAATTCTCATGGTTTTCCTCGAGTTGCGGCGGGGACCTGGGCTATGTTCTCGACTTACGGCGGGGATGCCCTTCAAAACACGAGTTTCTTCAGTGACGTCAGGACTCCTGTCTAGTAACGAGGGACACCTCAGGAATGTCTTCGAGGCTTGGCAGGGCAAAAGGGAAGCTTCTTGAGGTGAGGCAGGGCACCCAAGGATGCTTTCCAGTAGCCACAGGGATTTTGGGATTCCTATCAGTATTCAAGGGGAGTCAGGGATCGTCACCTTTTGAAGCAATGAACTCCGCGTGCCTCTCGAGGTGTCAGCGGGATGTGGGGCATTCCGTCAAAATGAGGCAGGGACCTACGGCTTTCTCTAAGGTCTCCACAGGGGATTCAGACATCCCTTCATGTTGTGACATTAAAGACGAGCCTGTATTGAAGCCACTGCAAGGAAATCCGGCCTCCTTTCAAGTTAGGGCTTCTCGCTGTATATTCCCCTTGAGGCAGCAAACTGGGGTCCCTCCCACATACCTATTGCTGAGAGAAGCCTCCTCCTGAGGTGCTTTTGGAAAGTTGCCATACGTCTTGAGCCTAAGCCAGGGAATCAGCTCTCATCTCGAGACGATTTGGGGTACACTGAGCATTCCTCGAGTTGCTGTGCTGAAGTTGGTGTTCCACTAGACTTGGGACAGTGTTCTCGGTGAATCTCTGGAGTTGCCTGAAGTAAGTCGAGCCACCGGTCGTGTTGAATGGGGAACGGGGAATGGCTCTGGAGTCAATGCAGGGGAATCGGGCCTCATCTCGAGTTGATTTGGGGCACATGGAGCTGCTTTGCGTTGCTGGGGTGACCTCAGGGTCCGTCTAGACTGGTGACAGTGATCTTGGGGACTGTCTCGAGATCCATTAAGCAAGTCGAAGCTCCTGACTTGTTTGAATGGGATCACGGAATAGCTCTGCATGCACTGCAGGGGAATGGGGCCTCATCTCGCCTCAAGGGGGAAGTCTCATGATTTTTCTCGAGTTGCGGCGGGGACCTGGGGTATGTTCTCGACTTACGGCTGGGATGGCCCTTCAAAACACGAGTTTCTTCAGTGACGTCAGGACTCCTGTCTAGTAATGAGGGACACCTCAGGAATGTCTTCGAGGCTTGGCAGGGCCAAATTGAGGCTTCTCGAGGTGTGGCAGGGCACCCAAGGACCCTTTCCCGTAGCCACTGTGATTTTGGGATTCCTATAAGTATTCAAGAGGAGTCAGGCATCGTCACAGTTTGAAGCAATGAACTCCGCGTGCCTCTCGAGGTGTCAGTGGGATGTGAGGCATTCCGTCAAAATGAGGCAGTGACCTAGGGCTTTCTCTAAGGTCTCCTCAGGGGATTCAGACATCCCTTCATGTTGTGAGATGAAAGACGAGCCTGTATTCAAGCCACTGCAAGGAAATCCGGCCTCCTTTCAAGTTAGGGCTTCTCACTGTATATTCCCCTTGAGGCAGCAAACTCGGGGTCCCTCCCACATACCTATTGTTGAGAGAAGCCTCCTCCTGAGGTGCTTCTGGAAATTTGGCATACGTCTTGAGCCTAAGCCAGGGAATCAGCTCTCATCTCGAGACGATTTGGGTTACACGGAGCATTCCTCGAGTTAATGTGCTGAAGTTGGTGTTCCTCTAGACTTGGGACAGTGTTCTCGGGGCATCTCTGGAGTTGCCTGAAGGAAGTCGAGCCACCAGTTGTGTTGAATGGGGAAAGGGGAATGGCTCTGGAGTCAATGCAGGGGAATCAGGACTCATCTCGAGTTGATTTGGGGCACATGGAGCTGCTATGCGTTGCTGGGGTGACTTCAGGGTCCGTCTAGACTGGTGACAGTGTTCTTGGGGACTGTCTCGAGATCCATTAAGCAAGTCGAAGCTCCTGACTTGTTTGAATGGGATCATGGAATAGCTCTGCATGGACTGCAGTGGAATGGGGCCTCATCTCGCCTCTAGGGGAAGTCTCATGGTTTTTCTCGAGTTGCGGCGAGGACCTGGGGTATGTTCTCGACTTACGGCGGGGATGGCCCTTCAAAACAAGAGTTTCTTCAGTGACGTCAGGACTCCTCTCTAGTAAAGAGGGACACCTCAGGAATCTCTTCGAGGCTTGGCAGGGCAAAAGGGACGCTTCTCGATGTGAGGCAGGGCACCCAAGCAGCCTTTCCCGTAGCCACACGGATTTTGGGATTCCTATCAGTATTCAAGAGGAGTCAGGCATTGTCACCTTTTGAAGCAATGAACTCCGCGTGCCTCTCGAGGTGTCAGCGGGATGTGAGGCATTCCGTTAAAATGAGGCAGGAACCTAGGGCTTTCTTTAAGGTATCCACAGGGGATTCAGGCATTCCTTCATGTTGTGAGATGAAAGACGAGCCTGTATTGAAGCCACTGCAAGGAAATCCGGCCTCCTTTCAAGTTAGGGCTTCTCGCTGTATATTCCCCTTGAGGCAGCAAACTCGGGGTCCCACCCACATACCTATTGCTGAGAGAAGCCTCCTCCTGAGGTGCTTCTGGAAAGTTGGCATATGTCTTGAGCCTAAGCCAGGGAATCAGCTCTCATGTCGAGACGATTTGGGGTACACGGAGCATTCCTCGAGTTGCTGTGTTGAAGTTGGTGTTCCTCTAGACTTGGGACAGTGTTCTCGGGGCATCTCTGGAGTTGCCTGAAGGAAGTCGAGCCACGAGTCATGTTGAATGCGGAACGGGGAATGGCTCTGGAGTCAATGCAGGGGAATCGGGCCTCATCTCGAGTTGATTTGGGGCACATGGAGCTGCTTTGCCTTGCTGGGGTGACCTCAGGGTCCGTCTAGACTGGTGACAGTGATCTTGGGGACTGTCTCGAGATCCATTAAGCAAGTCGATGCTCCTGACTTATTTGAATGGGATCACGGAATAGCTCTGCATGCACTGCAGGGGAATGGGGCCTCATCTCGCCTCTAGGGGGAAGTCTCATGGTTTTTCTCGAGTTGCGGCGAGGACCTGGGGTATGTTCTCGACTTACGGCTGGGATGGCCCTTCAAAACACGAGTTTCTTCAGTGACGTCAGGACTCCTGTCTAGTAACGAGGGCCACCTGAGGAATGTCTTCGAGGCTTGGCAGGGCAAAAGGGAAGCTTCTTGAGGTGAGGCAGGGCACCCAAGGATGCTTTCCAGTAGCCACAGCGATTTTGGGATTCCTATCAGTATTCAAGAGGAGTCAGGGATCGTCACCTTTTGAAGCAATGAACTCCGCGTGCCTCTCGAGGTGTCAGCGGGATGTGGGGCATTCCGTCAAAATGAGGCAGGGATCTAGGGCTTTCTCTAAGGTCTCCACAGGGGATTCAGACATCCCTTCATGTTGTGAGATGAAAGACGAGCCTGTATTGAAGCCACTGCAAGGAAATCCAGCCTCCTTTCAAGTTAGGGCTTCTCGCTGTATATTCCCCTTGAGGCAGCAAACTCGGGGTCCCTCCCACATACCATTGCTGAGAGAAGCCTCCTCCTGAGGTGCTTCTGGAAAGCTGGCATACGTCTTGAACCTAAGCCAGAGAATCAGCTCTCATGTCGAGACGATTTGGGGTACACGGAGCATTCCTCGAATTAATGTGCTGAAGTTGGTGTTCCTCTAGACTTGGGACAGTGTTCTCGGGGCATCTCTGGAATTTCCTGAAGGAAGTCGAGCCACCAGTCGGGTTGAATGGGAACGGGGAATGACTCTGGAGTCAATACAGGGGAATCAGGCCTCATCTCGATTTGATTTGGTGCACATGGAGCTGCTTTGCGTTGCTGGGGTGACCTCAGGGTCCGTCTAGACTGGTGACAGTGTTCTTGGGGACTGTCTCGAGAACCATTAAGCAAGTCGAAGCTCCTGACTTGTTTGAATGGGATCATGGAATAGCTCTGCATGCACTGCAGGGGAATGGGGCCTCATCTCGCCTCTAGGGGGAAGTCTCATGGTTTTTCTCGAGTTGCGTCGAGGACCTGGGTTATGTTCTCGACTTACGGCGGGGATGGCCCTTCAAAACACGAGTTTCTTCAGTGACGTCAGGACTCCTCTCTAGTAAAGAGGGACACCTCAGGAATCTCTTCGAGGCTTGGCAGGGCAAAAGGGATGCTTCTCGATGTGAGGCAGGGCACCCAAGCAGCCTTTCCCGTAGCCACACGGATTTTGGGATTCCTATCAGTATTCAAGAGGAGTCAGTCATCGTTACCTTTTGAAGCAATGAACTCCGCGTGCCTCTCGAGGTGTCAGCGGGATGTGAGGCATTCCGTCAAAATGAGGCAGGGACCTAGGGCTTTCTCTAAGGTCTCCACAGGGGATTCAGACATCCCTTCATGTTGTGAGATGAAAGACGAGCCTGTATTCAAGCCACTGCAAGGAAATCCGGCCTCCTTTCAAGGTAGGGCTTCTCGCTGTATATTCCCCTTGAGGCAGCAAACTCGGGGTCCCTCCCACATACCTATTGCTGAGAGAAGCCTCCTCCTGAGGTGCTTCTGGAAAGTTGGCATATGTCTTGAGCCTAAGCCAGGGAATCAGCTCTCATCTCGAGACGATTTGGGGTACACGGAGCATTCCTCGAGTTGCTGTGTTGAAGTTGGTGTTCCTCTAGACTTGGGACAGTGTTCTCGGGGCATCTCTGGAGTTGCCTGAAGGAAGTCGAGCCACTAGTCATGTTGAATGCGGAACGGGGAATGGCTCTGGAGTCAATGCAGGGGAATCGGGCCTCATCTCGAGTTGATTTGGGGCACATGGAACTGCTTTGCTTTGCTGGGGTGACCTCAGGGTCCGTCTAGACTGGTGACAGTGATCTTGGGGACTGTCTCGAGATCCATTAAGCAAGTCGATGCTCCTGACTTGTTTGAATGGGATCACGGAATAGCTCTGCATGCACTGCAGGGGAATGGGGCCTCATCTCGCCTCTAGGGGGAAGTCTCATGGTTTTTCTCGAGTTGCGGCGAGGACCTGGGGTATGTTCTCGACTTACGGCGGGGATGGCCCTTCAAAACACGAGTTTCTTCAGTGACGTCAGGACTCCTGTCTAGTAACGAGGGACACCTCAGGAATGTCTTCGAGGCTTGGCAGGGCAAAAGGGAAGCTTCTTGAGGTGAGGCAGGGCACCCAAGGATCCTTTCCAGTAGCCACAGGGATTTTGGGATTCCTATCAGTATTCAAGAGGAGTCAGGGATCGTCACCTTTTGAAGCAATGAACTCCGCGTGCCTCTCGAGGTGTCAGCGGGATGTGGGGCATTCCGTCAAAATGAGGCAGGGACCTAGTTCTTTCTCTAAAGTCTCCACAGGGGATTCAGGCATCCCTTCATGTTGTGAGATGAAAGACGAGCCTGTATTGAAGCCACTGCAAGGAAATCCGGCCTCCTTTCAAGTTAGGGCTTCTCGCTGTATATTCCCCTTGAGGCAGCAAACTCGGGGTCCCTCCCACATACCTATTTTTGAGAGAATCCTCCTCCTGACGTGCTTCTGGAAAGTTGGCATACGTCTTGAGCCTAAGCCAGGGAATCAGCTCTCATCTCGAGACGATTTGGGGTACACTGAGCATTCCTCGAGTTGCTGTGCTGAAGTTGATGTTCCTCTAGACTTGGGACAGTGTTCTCAGGGCATCTCTGGAGTTGCCTGAAGTAAGTCGAGCCACCGATCGTGTTGAATGGGGAACGGGGAATGTCTCTGGAGTCAATGCAGGGGAATCGGGCCTCATCTCGTGTTGATTTGGGGCACATGGAGCTGCTTTGCGTTGCTGAGGTGACCTCAGGGTCCGTCTAGACTGGTGACAGTGATCTTGGGGACTGTCTCGAGATCCATTAAGCAAGTCGAAGCTCCTGACTTGTTTGAATGGGATCACGGAATAGCTCTGCATGCACTGCAGGGGAATGTTTCCTCATCTCGGCTCTAGGGGGAAGTCTCATGGTTTTTCTCGAGTTGCGGCGGGGACCTGGGGTATGTTCTCGACTTACGGCGGGGATGGCCCTTCAAAACACGAGTTTCTTCAGTGACGTCAGGATTCCTGTCTAGTAATGAGGGACACCTCAGGAATCTCTTCGAGGCTTGGCAAGGCCAAATTGAGGCTTCTCGAGGTATGGCAGGGCACCCAAGGACCCTTTCCCGTAGCCACAGGGATTTTGGGATTCCTATCAGTATTCAAGAGGAGTCAGGCATCGTCACCTTTTGAAGCAATGAACTCCGCGTGCCTCTCGAGGTGTCAGCGGGATGTGAGGCATTCCGTCAAAATGAGGCAGGGACATAGGGCTTTCTCTAAGGTCTCCACAGGGGATTCAGACATCCCTTCATGTTGTGAGATGAAAGACGAGCCTGTATTCAAGCCACTGCAAGGAAATCCGGCCTCCTTTCAAGTTAGGGCTTCTCGCTGTATATTCCTCTTGAGGCAGCAAACTCGGGGTCCCTCCCACATACCTATTGCTGAGAGAAGCCTCCTCCTGAGGTGCTTCTGGAAAGTTGGCATACGTCTTGAACCTAAGCCAGGGAATCAGCTCTCATCTGGAGACGATTTGGGGTACACGGAGCATTCCTCGAATTAATGTGCTGAAGTTGGTGGTCCTCTAGACTTGGGACAGTGTTCTCGGGGCATCTCAGGAGTGGCCTGAAGGAAGTCGAGCCACCAGTCGGGTTGAATGGGGAACGGGGAATGGCTCTGGAGTCAATGCAGGGGAATCAGGCCTCATCTCGAGTTGATTTGGTGCACATGGAGCTGCTTTGCGTTGCTGGGGTGACCTCAGGGTCCGTCTAGACTGGTGACAGTGTTCTTGGGGACTGTCTCGAGAACCATTAAGCAAGTCGAAGCTCCTGACTTGTTTGAATGGGATCATGGAATAGCTCTGCATGCACTGAAGGGGAATGGGGCCTCATCTCGCCTCTAGGGGGAATTCTCATGGTTTTCCTCGAGTTGCGGCGGGGACCTGGGCTATGTTCTCGACTTACGGCGGGGATGGCCCTTCAAAACACGAGTTTCTTCAGTGACGTCAGGACTCCTGTCTAGTAACTAGGGACACCTCAGGAATCTATTCGAGGCTTAGCAGGGCAAAAGGTACGCTTCTCGAGCTGAGGCAGGGCACCCAAGGACCCTTTCCCGTAGCCACAGGGATTTTGGGATTCCTATCAGTATTCAAGAGGAGTCAGGCATCGTCACCTTTTGAAGCATAGAACTCCGCGTGCCTCTCGAGGTGTCAGCGGGATGTGAGGCATTCCGTCAAAATGAGGAAGTGACCTAGGGCTTTCTCTAAGGTCTCCACAGGGGATTCAGACATCCCTTCATGTTGTGAGATGAAAGACGAGCCTGTATTCAAGCCACTGCAAGGAAATCCGGCCTCCTTTCAAGTTAGGGCTTCTCGCTGTATATTCCCCTTGAGGCAGCAAACTGGGGTCCCTCCCACATACCTATTGCTGAGAGAAGCCTCCTCCTGAGGTGCTTCTGGAAAGTTGCCATACGTCTTGAGCCTAAGCCAGGGAATCAGCTCTCATCTCGAGACGATTTGGGGTACACTGAGCATTCCTCGAGTTGCTGTGCTGAAGTTGGTGTTCCACTAGACTTGGGACAGTGTTCTCGGTGAATCTCTGGAGTTGCCTGAAGTAAGTCGAGCCACCGGTCGTGTTGAATGGGGAACGGGGAATGGCTCTGGAGTCAATGCAGGGGAATCGGGCCTCATCTCGAGTTGATTTGGGGCACATGGAGCTGCTTTGCGTTGCTGGGGTGACCTCAGGGTCCGTCTAGACTGGTGACAGTGATCTTGGGGACTGTCTCGAGATCCATTAAGCAAGTCGAAGCTCCTGACTTGTTTGAATTGGATCACGGAATAGCTCTGCATGCACTGCACGGGAATGGGGCCTCATCTCGCCTCTAGGGGGAAGTCTCATGGTTTTTCTCGAGTTGCGGCGGGGACCTGGGGTATGTTTTCGACTTACGGCGGGGATGGCCCTTCAAAACAAGAGTTTCTTCAGTGACGTCAGGACTCCTGTCTAGTAATGAGGGACACCTCAGGAATCTCTTCGAGGCTTGGCAGGGCCAAATTGAGGCTTCTCGAGGTGTGGCAGGGCACCAAAGGACCCTTTCCCGTAGCCACTGGGATTTTGCGATTCCTATCAGTATTCAAGAGGAGTCAGGCATCGTCACATTTTGAAGCAATGAACTCCGCGTGCCTCTCGAGGTGTCAGTGGGATGTGAGGCATTCCGTCAAAATGAGGCAGTGACCTAGGGCTTTCTCTAAGGTCTCCTCAGGGGATTCAGACATCCCTTCATGTTGTGAGATGAAAGACGAGCCTGTATTCATGCCACTGCAAGGAAATCCGGCCTCCTTTCAAGTTAGGGCTTCTCACTGTATATTCCCCTTGAGGCAGCAAACTCGGGGTCCCTCCCACATACCTATTGTTGAGAGAAGCCTCCTCCTGAGGTGCTTCTGGAAATTTGGCATATGTCTTGAGCCTAAGCCAGGGAATCAGCTCTCATCTCGAGACGATTTGGGGTACACGGAGCATTCCTCGAATTAATGTGCTGAAGTTGGTGGTCCTCTAGACTTAGGACAGTGTTCTCGGGGCATCTCAGGAGTGGCCTGAAGGAAGTCGAGCCACCAGTCGGGTTGAATGGGGAACGGGTAATGGCTCTGGAGTCAATGCAGGGGAATCAGGCCTCATCTCGAGTTGATTTGGTGCACATGGAGCTGCTTTGCGTTGCTGGGGTGACCTCAGGTTCCGTCTAGACTGGTGACAGTGTTCTTGGGGACTGTCTCGATAACCATTAAGCAAGTCGAAGCTCCTGACTTGTTTGAATGGGATCATGGAATAGCTCTGCATGCACTGCAGGGGAATGGGGCCTCATCTCGCCTCTAGGGGGAATTCTCATGGTTTTCCTCGAGTTGCGGCGGGGACCTGGGCTATGTTCTCGACTTACGGCGGGGATGGCCCTTCAAAACACGAGTTTCTTCAGTGACGTCAGGACTCCTGTCTAGTAACTAGGGACACCTCAGGAATCTATTCGAGGCTTAGCAGGGCAAAAGGTACGCTTCTCGAGCTGAGGCAGGGCACCCAAGGACCCTTTCCCGTAGCCACAGGGATTTTGGGATTCCTATCAGTATTCACGAGGAGTCAGGCATCGTCACCTTCTGAAGCAATGAACTCCGCGTGCCTCTCGAGGTGTCAGCGGGATGTGAGGCATTCCGTCAAAATGAGGAAGTGACCTAGGGCTTTCTCTAAGGTCTCCACAGGGGATTCAGACATCCCTTCATGTTGTGACATGAAAGACGAGCCTGTATTGAAGCCACTGCAAGGAAATCCGGCCTCCTTTCAAGTTAGGGCTTCTCGCTGTATATTCCCCTTGAGGCAGCAAACTGGGGTCCCTCCCACATACCTATTGCTGAGAGAAGCCTCCTCCTGAGGTGCTTCTGGAAAGTTGCCATACGTCTTGAGCCTAAGCCAGGGAATCAGCTCTCATCTCGAGACGATTTGGAGTACACTGAGCATTCCTCGAGTTGCTGTGCTGAAGTTGGTGTTCCACTAGACTTGGGACAGTGTTCTCGGTGAATCTCTGAAGTTGCCTGAAGTAAGTCGAGCCACCGGTCGTGTTGAATGGGGAACGGGGAATGGCTCTGGAGTCAATGCAGGGCAATCGGGCCTCATCTCGAGTTGATTTGGGGCACATGGAGCTGCTTTGCGTTGCTGGGGTGACCTCAGGGTCCGTCTAGACTGGTGACAGTGATCTTGGGGACTGTCTCGAGATCCATTAAGCAAGTCGAAGCTCCTGACTTGTTTGAATGGGATCACGGAATAGCTCTGCATGCACTGCAGGGGAATGGGGCCTCATCTCGCCTCTAGGGGGAAGTCTCACGGTTTTTCTCGAGTTACGGCGGGGACCTGGGGTATGTTCTCGACTTAATGCGGGGATGGCCCTTCAAAACACGAGTTTCTTCAGTGACGTCAGGACTCCTGTCTAGTAACGAGGGACACCTCAGGAATGTCTTCGAGGCTTGGCAGGGCAAAAGGGAAGCTTCTTGAGGTGAGGCAGGGCACCCAAGGACCCTTTCCCGTAGCCACTGGGATTTTGGGATTCCTATCAGTATTCAAGAGGAGTCAGGCATCGTCACATTTTGAAGCAATGAACTCCGCGTGCCTCTCGAGGTGTCAGTGGGATGTGAGGCATTCCGTCAAAATGAGGCAGTGACCTAGGGCTTTCTCTAAGGTCTCCTCAGGGGATTCAGACATCCCTTCATGTTGTGAGATGAAAGACGAGCCTGTATTCAAGCCACTGCAAGGAAATCCGGCCTCCTTTCAAGTTAGGGCTTCTCACTGTATATTCCCCTTGAGGCAGCAAACTCGGGGTCCCTCCCACATACCTATTGTTGAGAGAAGCCTCCTCCTGAGGTGCTTCTGGAAATTTGGCATACGTCTTGAGCCTAAGCCAGGGAATCAGCTCTCATCTCGAGACGATTTGGGTTACACAAAGCATTCCTCGAGTTAATGTGCTGAAGTTGGTGTTCCTCTAGACTTGGGACAGTGTTCTCGGGGCATCTCTGGAGTTGCCTGAAGGAAGTCGAGCCACCAGTTGTGTTGAATGGGGAACGGGGAATGGCTCTGGAGTCAACGCAGGGGAATCAGGCCTCATCTCGAGTTGATTTGGGGCACATGGAGCTGCTTTGCGTTGCTGGGGTGACTTCAGGGTCCGTCTAGACTGGTGACAGTGTTCTTGGGGACTGCCTCGAGATCCATTAAGCAAGTCGAAGCTCCTGACTAGTTTGAATGGGATCATGGAATAGCTCTGCATGCACTGCAGGGGAATGGGGCCTCATCTCGCCTCTAGGGGAAGTCTGATGGTTTTTCTCGATTTGCGGCGAGGACGTGGGGTATGTTCTCGACTTACGGCGGCAATGGCCCTTCAAAACACGAGTTTCTTCAGTGACGTCAGGACTCCTGTCTAGTAACGAGGGACACCTCAGGAATCTCTTCGAGGCTTGGCAGAGCAAAAGGGACGCTTCTCGAGGTGAGGCATGGCACCCAAGGACCCTTTCCCGTAGCCACAGGGATTTTGGGATTCCTATCAGTATTCAAGAGGAGTCAGGCATTGTCACCTTTTGAAGCAAAGAACTCCGCGTGCCTCTCGAGGTGTCAGCGGGATGTGAGGCATTCCGTCAAAATGAGGCAGGGACCTAGGGCTTTCTCTAAGGTCTCCACAGGGGATTCAGGCATCCCTTCATGTTGTGAGATGAAAGACGAGCCTGTATTCAAGCCACTGCAAGGAAATCCGGCCTCCTTTCAAGTTAGGGCTTCTCGCTGTATATTCCCCTTGAGGCAGCAAACTCGGGGTCCCTCCCACATACCTATTGCTGAGAGAAGCCTCCTCCTGAGGTGCTTCTGGAAAGTTGGCATATGTCTTGAGCCTACGCCAGGGAATCAGCTCCCATCTCGAGACGATTTCGGGTACACGGATCATTCCTCGAGTTAATGTGATAAAGTTGGTGTTCCTCTAGACTTGGACAGTGTTCTCGGGGCATCTCTGGAGTTGCCTGAAGGAAGTCGAGCCACCGGTCGTGTTGAATGGGGAACGGGGAATGGCTCTGGAGTCAATGCAGGGGAATCAGGCCTCATCTCGAGTTGATTTGGGGCACATGGATCTGCTTTGCGTTGCTGGGGTGACCTCAGGGTCCGTCTAGACTGGTGACAGTGTTCTTGGGGACTGTCTCGTGATCCATTAAGCAAGTCGAAGCTCCTGACTTGTTTGAATGGGATCACGGAATAGCTCTGCCTGCACTGCAGAAGAATGGGGCCTCATCTCGCCTCTAGGGGGAAGTCTCATGGTTTTTCTCGAGTTGCGGCGGGGACCTGGGGTATGTTCTCGACTTGCGGCGGGGATGGCCCTTCAAAACACGAGTTTCTTCAGTGACATCAGGACTCCTGTCTAGTAACGAGGGACACCTCAGGAATCTCTTCGATGCTTGGCAGGGCAAAAGGGACGCTTCTCGAGGTGAGGCAGGGCACCCAAGGACCCTTTCCCGTAGCCACAGGGATTTTGGGATTCCTATCAGTATTCAAGAGGAGTCAGGCATCGTCACCTTTTGAAGCAGTGAACTCCGCCTGCCTCTCGAGGTGTCAGCGGGATGTGAGGCATTCCGTCAAAATGAGGCAGGGACCTAGGGCTTTCTCTAAGGTCTCCACAGGGGATTCAGGCATCCCTTCATGTTGTGAGATGAAAGACGTGCCTGTATTCAAGCCACTGCAAGGAAATCCGGCCTCCTTTCAAGTTAGGGCTTCTCGCTGTATATTCCCCTTGAGGCAGCAAATTCGGGGTCCCTCCCACATACCTATTGCTGAGAGAAGCCTCCTCCTGAGGTGCTTCTGGAAAGTTGGCATATGTCTTGAGCCTAAGCCAGGGAATCAGCTCTCATCTCGAGACGATTTGGGTTACATGGAGCATTCCTCGACTTAATGTGCTGAAGTTGGTGTTCCTCTAGACTTGGGACAGTGTTCTCAGGGCACCTCTGGAGTTGCCTGAAGGAAGACAAGCCACCTGTCCTGTTGAATGGGGAATGGGGAATGGCTCTGGAGTCAATGCAGGGGAATCGGGCCTCATCTCGAGTTGATTTGTGGCACATGGAGCTGCTTTGCTTTGCTGGGTTGACCTCAGGGTCCGTCTAGACAGGTGACAGTGTTCTTGGGGACTGTCTCGAGATCCATTAAGCAAGTCGAAGCTCCTGACTTTTTTGAATGGGATCACGGAATAGCTCTGCATGCACTACAGGGGAATGGGGCCTCATCTCGCCTCTCGGGGGAAGTCTCATGGTTTTCCTCGTGTTGGGGCGGGGACCTGGGGTATGTTCTCGACTTACGGCGGGGATGGCCCTTCAAAACACGAGTTTCTTCAGTGACGTCAGGACTCCTGTCTAGTAAAGAGGGACACCTCAGGAATCTCTTCGAGGCTTGGCAGGGTAAAAGGGACGCTTCTCGATGTGAGGCAGGGCACCCAAGCAGCCTTTCCCGTAGCCACACGGATTTTGGGATTCCTATCAGTATTCAAGAGGAGTCAGGCATCGTCACCTTTTGAAGCAATGAAATCCGCGTGCCTCTCGAGGTGTCAGCGGGATGTGAGGCATTCCGTCAAAATGAGGCAGGGACCTAGGGCTTTCTCTAAGGTCTCCACAGGGGATTCAGACATCCCTTCATGTTGTGAGATGAAAGACGAGCCTGTATTCAAGCCACTGCAAGGAAATCCGGCCTCCTTTCAAGTTAGGGCTTCTCGCTGTATATTCCCCTTGAGGCAGCAAACTCGGGGTCCCTCCCACATACCTATTGCTGAGAGAAGCCTCCTACTGAGGTGCTTCTGGAAAGTTGGCATACGTCTTGAGCCTAAGCCAGGGAATCAGCTCTCATCTCGAGACGATTTGGGGTACACGGATCATTCCTCGAGTTAATGTGCTGAAGTTGGTGTTCCTCTAGACTTGGGACAGTGTTCTCGGGGCATCTCTGGAGTTGCCTGAAGGAAGTCGAGCCACCGGTCGTGTTGAATGGGGAACAGGGAATGGCTCTGGAGTCAATGCAGGGGAATCAGGCCTCAACTCGAGTTGATTTGGGGCACATGGATCTGCTTTGCGTTGCTGGGGTAACCTCAGGGTCCATCTAGACTGGTGACACTGTTCTTGGGGACTCTCTCGTGATCCATTAAGCAAGTCGAAGCTACTGACTTGTTTGAATGGGATCACGGAATAGCTCTGACTGCACTGCAGGGGAATGGGGCCTCTTCTCGCCTCTAGGGGGAAGTCTCATGGTTTTTCTCGAGTTGCGGCGGGGACCTGGGGTATGTTCTCGACTTACGGCGGGGATGGCCCTTCAAAACACGAGTTTCTTCAGTGACGTCAGGACTCCTGTCTAGTAAAGAGGAACACCTCAGGAATCTCTTCGAGGCTTGGCAGGGCCAAATTGAGGCTTCTCGAGGTGAGGCAGGGCACCCAAGGACCCTTTCCAGTAGCCACAGTGATTTTGGGATTCCTATCAGTATTCAAGAGGAGTCAGGCATCGTCACCTTTTGAAGCAATGAACTCCGCGTGCCTCTCGAGGTGTCAGCGGGATGTGAGGCATTCCGTCAAAATGAGGCAGGGACCTAGGGCTTTCTCTAAGGTCTCCACAGGGGATTCAGGCATCCCTTCATGTTGTGAGATGAAAGACGTGCCTGTATTCAAGCCACTGCAAGGAAATCCGGCCTCCTTTCAAGTTAGGGCTTCTCGCTGTATATTCCCCTTGAGGCAGCAAATTCGGGGTCCCTCCCACATACATATTGCTGAGAGAAGCCTCCTCCTGAGGTGCTTCTGGAAAGTTGGCATATGTCTTGAGCCTAAGCCAGGGAATCAGCTCTCATCTCGAGACGATTTGGGTTACACGGAGCATTCCTCGACTTAATGTGCTGAAGTTGGTGTTCCTCTAGACTTGGGACAGTGTTCTCAGGGCACCTCTGGAGTTGCCTGAAGGAAGTCAAGCCACCTGTCCTGTTGAATGGGGAACGGGGAATGGCTCTGGAGACAATGCAGGGGAATCGGGCCTCATCTCGAGTTGATTTGTGGCACATGGAGCTGCTTTGCTTTGCTGGGTTGACCTCAGGGTCCGTCTAGACAGGTGACAGTGTTCTTGGGGACTGTCTCGAGATCCATTAAGCAAGTCGAAGCTCCTGACTTTTTTGAATGGGATCACGGAATAGCTCTGCATGCACTGCAGGGGAATGGGGCCTCATCTCGCCTCTCGGGGGAAGTCTCATGGTTTTCCTCGTGTTGGGGCGGGGACCTGGGGTATGTTCTCGACTTACGGCGGGGATGGCCCTTCAAAACACGAGTTTCTTCAGTGACGTCAGGACTCCTGTCTAGTAAAGAGGGACACCTCAGGAATCTCTTCGAGGCTTGGCAGGGTAAAAGGGACGCTTCTCGATGTGAGGCAGGGCACCCAAGCAGCCTTTCCCGTAGCCACACGGATTTTGGGATTCCTATCAGTATTCAAGAGGAGTCAGGCATCGTCACCTTTTGAAGCAATGAACTCCGCGTGCCTCTCGAGGTGTCAGCGGGATGTGAGGCATTCCGTCAAAATGAGGCAGGGACCTAGGGCTTTCTCTAAGGTCTCCACAGGGGATTCAGACATCCCTTCATGTTGTGAGATGAAAGACGAGCCTGTATTCAAGCCACTGCAAGGAAATCCGGACTCCTTTCAAGTTAGGGCTTCTCGCTGTATATTCCCCTTGAGGCAGCAAACTCGGGGTCCCTCCCACATACCTATTGCTGAGAGAAGCCTCCTACTGAGGTGCTTCTGGAAAGTTGGCATACGTCTTGAGCCTAAGCCAGGGAATCAGCTCTCATCTCGAGACGATTTGGGGTACACGGATCATTCCTCGAGTTGCTGTCCTGAAGTTGGTGTTCCTCTAGACTTGGGACAGTGTTCTCGGGGCATCTCTGGAGTTGCCTGAAGGAAGTCGAGCCACCGGTCGTGTTGAATGGGGTACAGGGAATGGTTCTGGAGTCAATGCAGGAGAATCGGGCCTCATCTAGTGTTGATTTGGGGCACATGGAGCTGCTTTGCGTTGCTGGGGTGACCTCAGGGTCCGTCTAGACAGGTGACAGTGTTCTTGGGGACTGTCTCGAGATCCATTAAGCAAGTCGAAGCTCGTGTCTTGTTTGAATGGGATCACGGAATAGCTCTGCATGCACGGCAGGGGAATGGGGCCTCATCTCGCCTCTAGGGGGAAGTCTCATGGTTTTCCTCGAGTTGCGGCGGGGACCTGGGGTATGTTCTCGACGTACGGCAGGGATGGCCCTTCAAAACAAGAGTTTCTTCAGTGACGTCTGGACTCCTGACTAGTAACCAGGGACACCTCAGGAATCTCTTCGAGCCTTGGCAGGGCAAAAGGAACGCTTCTCGAGGTGAGGCAGGGCACCCAAGGACGCATTCCAGTGGCCACAGGGATTTTGGGATTCCTATCAGTATTCAAGAGGAGTCAGGCATCGTCACCTTTTGAAGCAATGAACTCCGCGTGCCTCTCGAGGTGTCAGCAGGATTGGAGGCATTCCGTCAAAATGAGGCAGGGACCTAGGGCTTTCTCTAAGGTCTCCACAGGGGATTCAGACATCCCTTCATGTTGTGAGATGAAAGACGAGCCTGTATTCAAGCCACTGCAAGGAAATCCGGCCTCCTTTCAAGTTAGGGCTTCTCGCTGTATATTCCCCTTGAGGCAGCAATCTCGGGGTCCCTCCCACATACCTATTGCTGAGAGAAGCCTCCTCCTGAGGTGCTTCTGGAAAGTTGGCATATGTCTTGAGCCTACGCCAGGGAATCAGCTCCCATCTCGAGACGATTTGGGGTACACGGATCATTCCTCGAGTTAATGTGCTGAAGTTGGTGTTCCTCTAGACTTGGACAGTGTTATCGGGGCATCTCTGGAGTTGCCTGAAGGAAGTCGAGCCACCGGTCGTGTTGAATGGGGAACGGGGAATGGCTCTGGAGTCAATGCAGGGGAATCAGGCCTCATCTCGAGTTGATTTGGGGCACATGGATCTGCTTTGCGTTGCTGGGGTGACCTCAGGGTCCGTCTAGACTGGTGACAGTGTTCTTGGGGACTGTCTCGTGATCCATTAAGCAAGTCGAAGCTCCTGACTTGTTTGAATGGGATCACGGAATAGCTCTGCCTGCACTGCAGGGGAATGGGGCCTCATCTCGCCTCTAGGGGGAAGTCTCATGGTTTTCTTCGAGTTGCGGCGGGGACCTGGGGTATGTTCTCGACTTACGGCGGGGATGGCCCTTCAAAACACGAGTTTCTTCAGTGACGTCAGGACTCCTGTCTATTAACGAGGGACACATCAGGAATCTCTTCGAGGCTTGGCAGGGCAAAAGGGACGCTTCTCGAGGTGAGGCAGGGCACCCAAGTACCCTTTCCAGTAGCCACAGGGATTTTGGGATTCCTATCAGTATTCAAGAGGAGTCAGGCATCGTCACCTTTTGAAGCAATGAACTCCGCGTGCCTCTCGAGGTGTCAGCAGGATTGGAGGCACTCCGTCAAAATGAGGCAGGGACCTAGGGCTTTCTCTAAGCCCTCCACAGGGGATTCAGACATCACTTCATGTTGTGAGATGAAAGACGAGCCTGTATTCAAGCCACTGCAAGGAAATCCGGCCTCCTTTCAAGTTAGGGCTTCTCGCTGTATATTCCCCTTGAGGCAGCATACTCGGGGTCCCTCCCACATACCTATTGCTGAGAGAAGCCTCCTCCTGAGGTGCTTCTGGAAAGTTGGCATACGTCTTGAGCCTAAGCCAGGGAATCAGCTCTCATCTCGAGACGACTTGGGGTACACGGAGCATTCCTCGAGTTGCTGTGCTGAAGTTGGTGTTCCTCTAGACTTGGGACAGTGTTCTCTGGGCATCTCTGGAGTTGCCTGAAGAAAGTCAAGCCACCTGTCCTGTTGAATAGGGAACGGGGAATGGCTCTGGGGTCAATGCAGGGGAATCGGGCCTCATCTCGAGTTGATTTGGGGCACATGGAGCTGCTTTGCGTTGCTGGGGTGACCTCAGGGTCCGTCTAGACTGCTGACAGTGTTCTTGGGGACTGTCTCGAGATCCATTAAGCAAGTCGAAGCTCCTGACTTGTTTGAATGGGATCACGGAATAGCTCTGCATGCACTGCAGGGGAATGGGGCCTCATGTCGCCTCTAGGGGGAAGTCTCATGGTTTTTCTCGAGTTGCGGCGGGGACCTGCGGTATGTTCTCGACTTACGGCGGGGATGGCCCTTCAAAACAAGAGTTTCTTCAGTGACGTCAGGACTCCTGTCTAGTAACGAGGGACACCTCAGGAATCTCTTCGAGGCTTGGCAGGGCAAAAGGGACGCTTCTCGTGGTGAGGCAGGGCACCCAAGGACCCTTTCCCGTAGCCACAGGGATTTTGGGATTCCTATCAGCATTCAAGAGGAGTCAGGCATCGTCACCTTTTGAAGCAATGAACTCCGCGTGCCTCTCGAGGTGTCAGCGGGATGTGAGGCATTCCGTCAAAATGTGGCAGGGACCTAGTGCTTTCTCTAAGGTCTCCACAGGGGATTCAGACATCCCTTCATGTTGTGAGATGAAAGACGAGCCTGTATTCAAGCCACTGCAAGGAAATCCGGCCTCCTTTCAAGTTAGGGCTTCTCGCTGTATATTCCCCTTGAGGCAGCAAACTCGGGGTCCCTCCCACAAACCTATTGCTGAGAGAAGCCTCCTCCTGAGGTGCTTCTGGAAAGTTGCCATACGTCTTGAGCCTAAGCCAGGGAATCAGCTCTCATCTCGAGATGATTTGGGGTACACGGAGCATTCCTCGAGTTCTGTGCTTAAGTTGGTGTTCCTCTAGACTTGGGACAGTGTTCTCGGGGAATCTCTGGAGTTGCCTGAAGGAAGTCGAGCCACCGGTCGTGTTGAATGGGGAACGGGGAATGGCTCTGGAGTCAATGCAGGGGAATCGGGCCTCATCTCGAGTTGATTTGGGGCACATGGAGCTGCTTTGCGTTGCTGGGGTGACCTCAGGGTCCGTCTAGACAGGTGACAGTGTTCTTGGGGACTGTCTCGAGATCCATTAAGCAAGTCGAAGCTCGTGTCTTGTTTGAATGGGATCACGGAATAGCTCTGCATGCACGGCAGGGGAATGGGGCCTCATCTCGCCTCTAGGGGGAAGTCTCATGGTTTTCCTCGAGTTGCGGCGGGGACCTGGGGTATGTTCTCGACGTACGGCGGGGATGGCCCTTCAAAACACGAGTTTCTTCAGTGACGTCTGGACTCGTGACTAGTAACGAGGGACACCTCAGGAATCTCTTCGAGCCTTGGCAGGGCAAAAGGAACGCTTCTCGAGGTGAGGCAGGGCACCCAAGGACGCTTTCCAGTAGCCACAGGGATTTTGGGATTCCTATCAGTATTCAAGAGGAGTCAGGCATCGTCACCTTTTGAAGCAATGAACTCCGCGTGCCTCTCGAGGTGTCAGCAGGATTGGAGGCATTCCGTCAAAATGAGGCAGGGACCTAGGGCTTTCTCTAAGGTCTCCACAGGGGATTCAGACATCCCTTCATGTTGTGAGATGAAAGACGAGCCTGTATTCAAGCCACTGCAAGGAAATCCGGCCTCCTTTCAAGTTAGGGCTTCTCGCTGTATATTGCCCTTGAGGCAGCAATCTCGGGGTCCCTCCCACATACCTATTGCTGAGAGAAGCCTCCTCCTGAGGTGCTTCTGGAAAGTTGGCATATGTCTTGAGCCTACGCCAGGGAATCAGCTCCCATCTCTAGACGATTTGGGGTACACGGATCATTCCTCGAGTTAATGTGCTGAAGTTGGTGTTCCTCTAGACTTGGACAGTGTTATCGGGGCATCTCTGAAGTTGCCTGAAGGAAGTCGAGCAACCGGTCGTGTTGAATGGGGAACGGGGAATGGCTCTGGAGTCAATGCAGGGGAATCAGGCCTCATCTCGAGTTGATTTGGGGCACATGGATCTGCTTTGCGTTGCTGGGGTGACCTCAGGGTCCGTCTAGACTGGTGACAGTGTTCTTGGGGACTGTCTCGTGATCCATTAAGCAAGTCGAAGCTCCTGACTTGTTTGAATGGGATCACGGAATAGCTCTGCCTGCACTGCAGGGGAATGGGGCCTCATCTCGCCTCTAGGGGGAAGTCTCATGGTTTTTTTCGAGTTGCGGCGGGGACCTGGGGTATGTTCTCGACTTACGGCGGGGATGGCCCTTCAAAACACGAGTTTTTTCAGTGACGTCAGGACTCCTGCCAATAACGAGGGACACATCAGGAATCTCTTCGAGGCTTGGCAGGGCAAAAGGGACGCTTCTCGAGGTGAGGCAGGGCACCCAAGTACCCTTTCCAGTAGCCACAGGGATTTTGGGATTCCTATCAGTATTCAAGAGGAGTCAGGCATCGTCACCTTTTGAAGCAATGAACTCCGCGTGCCTCTCGAGGTGTCAGCGGGATGTGAGGCATTCCGTCAAAATGAGGCAGGGACCTAGGGCTTTCTCTAAGGTCTCCACAGGGGATTCAGACCTCCCTTCATGTTGTGAGATGAAAGACGAGCCTGTATTCAAGCCACTGCAAGGAAATCCGGCCTCCTTTCAAGTTAGGGCTTCTCGCTGTATATTCCCCTTGAGGCAGCAAACTCGGGGTCCCTCCCACATACCTATTGCTGAGAGAAGCCTCCTCCTGAGGTGCTTCTGGAAAGTTGGCATACATCTTGAGCCTAAGCCAGGGAATCAGCTCTCATCTCGAGACGATTTGGGTTACACGGAGCATTCCTCGAGTTAATGTTCTGAAGTTGGTGTTCCTCTAGACTTGGGACAGTGTTCTCAGGGAATCTCTGGAGTTGCCTGAAGGAAGTCAAGCCACCTGTCCTGTTGAATGGGGTACGGGGAATGTCTCTGGAGTCAATGCAGGGGAATCGGGCCTCATCTCGAGTTGATTTGGGGCACATGGATCTGCTTTGCGTTGCTGGGGTGACCTCAGGGTCCGTCTAGACTGGTGACAGTGTTCTTGGGGACTGTCTCGAGATCTATTAAGCAAGTCGAAGCTCCTGACTTTTTGAATGGGATCACGGAATAGCTCTGCATGCACTGCAGGGGAATGGGGCCTCATGTCTCCTCTAGGGGGAAGTCTCATGGTTTTTCTCGTGTTGGGGCGGGGACCTGGGGTATGTTCTCGACTTACGGCGGGGATGGCCCTTCAAAACACGAGTTACTTCAGTGACGTCAGGACTCCTCTCTAGTAAAGAGGGACACCTCAGGAATCTCTTCGAGGTTTGGCAGGGCAAAAGGGACGCTTCTCGAGGTGAGGCAGGGCACCCAAGGACCCTTTCCAGTAGCCACAGGGATTTTGGGATTCCTATCAGTATTCAAGAGGAGTCAGGCATCGTCAACTTTTGAAGCAATGAACTCCGCGTGCCTCTCGAGGTGTCAGCAGGATTGGAGGCATTCCGTCAAAATGAGGCAGGGACCTAGGGCTTTCTCTAAGGTCTCCAAAGGGGATTCAGACATCCCTTCATGTTGTGAGATGAAAGACGAGCCTGTATTCAAGCCACTGCAAGGAAATCCGGCCTCCTTTCAAGTTAGGGCTTCTCGCTGTATTTTGCCCTTGAGGCAGCAATCTCGGGGTCCCTCCCACATACCTATTGCTGAGAGAAGCCTCCTCCTGAGGTGCTTCTGGAAAGTTGGCATATGTCTTGAGCCTACGCCAGGGAATCAGCTCCCATCTCGAGACGATTTGGGGTACACGGATCATTCCTCGAGTTAATGTGCTGAAGTTGGTGTTCCTCTAGACATGGACAGTGTTATCGGGGCATCTCTGGAGTTGCCTGAAGGAAGTCGAGCCACCGGTCGTGTTGAATGGGGAACGGGGAATGGCTCTGGAGTCAATGCAGGGGAATCAGGCCTCATCTCGAGTTGATTTGGGGCACATGGATCTGCTTTGCGTTGCTGGGGTGACCTCAGGGTCCGTCTAGACTGGTGACAGTGTTCTTGGGGACTGTCTCGTGATCCATTAAGCAAGTCGAAGCTCCTGACTTGTTTGAATGGGATCACGGAATAGCTCTGCCTGCACTGCAGGGGAATGGGGCCTCATCTCGCCTCTAGGGGGAAGTCTCATGGTTTTTTTCGAGTTGCGGCGGGGACCTGGGGTATGTTCTCGACTTACGGCGGGGATGGCCCTTCAAAACACGAGTTTCTTCAGTGACGTCAGGACTCCTGTCTAGTAACGAGGGACACATCAGGAATCTCTTCGAGGCTTGGCAGGGCAAAAGGGACGCTTCTCGAGGTGAGGCAGGGCACCCAAGTACCCTTTCCAGTAGCCACAGGGATTTTGGGATTCCTATCAGTATTCAAGAGGAGTCAGGCATCGTCACCTTTTGAAGCAATGAACTCCGCGTGCCTCTCGAGGTGTCAGCGGGATGTGAGGCATTCCGTCAAAATGAGGCAGGGACCTAGGGCTTTCTCTAAGGTCTCCACAGGGGATTCAGACATCCCTTCATGTTGTGAGATGAAAGACGAGCCTGTATTCAAGCCACTGCAAGGAAATCCGGCCTCCTTTCAAGTTAGGGCTTCTCGCTGTATATTCCCCTTGAGGCAGCAAACTCGGGGTCCCTCCCACATACCTATTGCTGAGAGAAGCCTCCTCCTGAGGTGCTTCTGGAAAGTTGGCATACATCTTGAGCCTAAGCCAGGGAATCAGCTCTCATCTCGAGACGATTTGGGTTACACGGAGCATTCCTCGAGTTAATGTGCTGAAGTTGGTGTTCCTCTAGACTTGGGACAGTGTTCTCAGGGAATCTCTGGAGTTGCCTGAAGGAAGTCAAGCCACCTGTCCTGTTGAATGTGGAACGGGGAATGGCTCTGGAGTCAATGCAGGGGAATCGGGCCTCATCTCGAGTTGATTTGGGGCACATGGATCTGCTTTGCGTTGCTGGGGTGACCTCAGGGTCCGTCTAGACTGGTGACAGTGTTCTTGGGGACTGTCTCGAGATCCATTAAGCAAGTCGAAGCTCCTGACTTTTTGAATGGGATCACGGAATAGCTCTGCATGCACTGCAGGGGAATGGGGCCTCATGTCGCCTCTAGGGGGAAGTCTCATGGTTTTTCTCGTGTTGGGGCGGGGACCTGGGGTATGTTCTCGACTTACGGCGGGGATGGCCCTTCAAAACACGAGTTTCTTCAGTGTCGTCAGGACTCCTCTCTAGTAAAGAGGGACACCTCAGGAATCTCTTCGAGGTTTGGCAGGGCAAAAGGGACGCTTCTCGAGGTGAGGCAGGGCACCCAAGGACCCTTTCCAGTAGCCACAGGGATTTTGGGATTCCTATCAGTATTCAAGAGGAGTCAGGCATTGTCACCTTTTGAAGCAATGAACTCCGCGTGCCTCTCGAGGTGTCAGCGGGATGTGAGGCATTCCGTCAAAATGAGGCAGGGACCTAGGGCTTTCTCTAAGGCCTCCACAGGGGATTCAGACATCACTTCATGTTGTTAGATGAAAGACGAGCCTGTATTCAAGCCACTGCAAGGAAATCCGGCCTCCTTTCAAGTTAGGGCTTCTCGCTGTATATTCCCCTTGAGGCAGCATACTCGGGGTCCCTCCCACATACCTATTGCTGAGAGAAGCCTCCTCCTGAGGTGCTTCTGGAAAGTTGGCATACGTCTTGAGCCTAAGCCAGGGAATCAGCTCTCATCTCGAGACGACTTGGGGTACACGGAGCATTCCTCGAGTTGCTGTGCTGAAGTTGGTGTTCCTCTAGACTTGGGACAGTGTTCTCGGGGCATCTCTGGAGTTGCCTGAAGAAAGTCAAACCACCTGTCCTGTTGAATGGAGAACGGGGAATGGCTCTGGAGTCAATGCAGGGGAATCGGGCCTCATCTCGAGTTGATTTGGGGCACATGGAGCTGCTTTGCGTTGCTGGGGTGACCTCAGGGTCCGTCTAGACTGGTGACAGTGTTCTTGGGGACTGTCTCGAGATCCATTAACTAAGTCGAAGCTCCTGACTTGTTTGAATGGGATCACGGAATAGCTCTGCATGCACTGCAGGGGAATGGGGCCTCATCTCGCCTCTAGGGGGAAGTCTCATGGTTTTTCTCGAGTTGCGGCGGGGACCTGCGGTATGTTCTCGACTTACGGCGGGGATGGCCCTTCAAAACACGAGTTTCTTCAGTGACGTCATGACTCCTGTCTAGTAACGAGGGACACCTCAGGAATCTCTTCGAGGCTTGGCAGGGCAAAAGGGACGCTTCTCGAGGTGAGGCAGGGCACCCAAGGACCCTTTCCCGTAGCCACAGGGATTTTGGGATTCCTATCAGTATTCAAGAGGAGTCAGGCATCGTCACCTTTTGAAGCAATGAACTCCGCGTGCCTCTCGAGGTGTCAGCGGGATGTGAGGCATTCCGTCAAAATGAGGCAGGGACCTACGGCTTTCTCTAAGGTCTCCACAGGGGATTCAGACATCCCTTCATGTTGTGAGATGAAAGACGAGCCTGTATTCAAGCCACTGCAAGGAAATCCGGCCTCCTTTCAAGTTAGGGCTTCTTGCTGTATATTCCCCTTGAGGCAGCAAACTCGGGGTCCCTCCCACATACCTATTGCTGACAGAAGCCTCCTCCTGAGGTGCTTCTGGAAAGTTGGCATATGTCTTGAGCCTAAGCCAGGGAATCAGCTCTCATCTCGAGACGATTTGGGGTACACGGAGCATTCCTCGAATTGCTGTGCTGAAGTTGGTGTTCCTCTAGACTTGGGACAGTGTTCTCGGGGCATCTCTGTAGTTGCCTGAAGGAAGTCGAGCAACCGGTCGTGTTGAATGGGGAACCGGGAATGGCTCTGGAGACAATGCAGGGGAATCGGGCCTCATCTCGAGTTGATTTGGGGCACATGGAGCTGCTTTGCATTGCTGGGGTGACATCAGGGTCCGTCTAGACTGGTGACAGTGTTCTTGGGGACTGTCTCGAGATCCATTAAGCAAGTCGAAGCTCCTGACTTGTTTGAATGGGATCACGGAATAGCTCTGCATGCACTGCAGGGGAATGGGGCCTCATCTCGCCTCTAGGGGAAGTCTCATGATTTTTCTCGAGTTGCGGCGGGGACCTGGGGTATGTTCTCGACTTACGGCGGGGATGGCCCTTCAAAACACGAGTTTCTTCAGTGACGTCAGGACTCCTGTCTAGTAGCGAGGGACACCTCAGGAATCTCTTCGAGGCTTGGCAGGGCAAAAGGGACGCTTCTCGAGGTGAGGCAGGGCACCCAAAGACCCTTTCCCGTAGCCACAGGGATTTTGGGATTCCTATCAGTATACAAGAGGAGTCAGGCATCGTCACCTTTTGAAGCAATGAACTCCGCGTGCCTCTCGAGGTGTCAGCGGAATGTGAGGCATTCCGTCAAAATGAGGCAGGGACCTAGGGCTTTGTCTAAGGTCTCCACAGGGGATTCAGACATCCCTTCATGTTGTGAGATGAAAGACGAGCCTGTATTCAAGCCACTGCAAGGAAATCCGGCCTCCTTTCAAGTTAGGGCTTCTCGCTGTATATTCCCCTTGAGGCAGCAATCTCAGGGTCCCTCCCACATACCTATTGCTGACAGAAGCCTCCTCCTGAGGTGCTTCTGGAAAGTTGGCATACGTCTTGAGCCTAAGCCAGGATTTCAGCTCTCATCTCGAGACGATTTGGGGAACACGGATCATTCCTCGAGTTAATGTGCTGAAGTTGGTGTTCCTCTAGATTTGGGACAGTGTTCTCGGGGCATCTCTGGAGTTGCCTGAAGTAAGTCGAGCCACCGGTCGTGTTGAATGGGGAACGGGGAATGGCTCTGGAGTCAATGCAGGGGATTCGGGCCTCATCTCGAGTTGATTTGGGGCACATGGAGCTGCTTTGCGTTGCTGGGGTGACCTCAGGGTCCGTCTAGACTGGTGACAGTGTTTTGGGGACTGTCTCGTGATCCATTAAGCAAGTCGAAGCTCCTGATTTGTTTGAATGGGATCACGGAATAGCTCTGCCTGCACTGCAGGGGAATGAGGCCTCATCTCGCTTCTAGGGGGAAGTCTCATGGTTTTTCTCGAGTTGCGGCGGGGACCTGGGGTATGTTCTCGACTTACGGCAGGCATGGCCCTTCAAAACACGAGTTTGTTCAGTGACGTCAGGACTCCTGTCTAGTAAAGAGGGACAACTCAGGAATCTCTTCGAGGCTTGGCAGGGCCAAATTGAGGCTTCTCGAGGTGAGACAGGGGACCCAAGGACCCTTTCCAGTAGCCACAGGGATTTTGGGATTCCTATCAGTATTCAAGAGGAGTCAGGCATCGTCACCTTTTGAAGCAATGAACTCCGCGTGCCTCTCGAGGTGTCAGCGGGATGTGAGGCATTCCGTCAAAATGAGGCAGGGACCTAGGGCTTTCTCTAAGGTCTCCACAGGGGATTCAGACATCCCTTCATGTTGTGAGATGAAAGACGAGCCTGTATTCAAGCCACTGCAAGGAAATCCGGCCTCCTTTCAAGTTAGGGCTTCTCGCTGTATATTCCCCTTGAGGCAGCAAACTCGGGGTCCCTCCCACATACCTATTGCTGAGAGAAGCCTCCTCCTGAGGTGCTTCTGGAAAGTTGGCATACATCTTGAGCCTAAGCCAGGGAATCAGCTCTCATCTCGAGACGATTTGGGTTACACGGAGCATTCCTCGAGTTAATGTGCTGAAGTTGGTGTTCCTCTAGACTTGGGACAGTGTTCTCAGGGAATCTCTGGAGTTGCCTGAAGGAAGTCAAGCCACCTGTCCTGTTGAATGTGGAACGGGGAATGGCTCTGGAGTCAATGCAGGGGAATCGGGCCTCATCTCGAGTTGATTTGGGGCACATGGATCTGCTTTGCGTTGCTGGGGTGACCTCAGGGTCCGTCTAGACTGGTGACAGTGTTCTTGGGGACTGTCTCGAGATCCATTAAGCAAGTCGAAGCTCCTGACTTTTTGAATGGGATCACGGAATAGCTCTGCATGCACTGCAGGGGAATGGGGCCTCATGTCGCCTCTAGGGGGAAGTCTCATGGTTTTTCTCGTGTTGGGGCGGGGACCTGGGGTATGTTCTCGACTTACGGCGGGGATGGCCCTTCAAAACACGAGTTTCTTCAGTGTCGTCAGGACTCCTCTCTAGTAAAGAGGGACACCTCAGGAATCTCTTCGAGGTTTGGCAGGGCAAAAGGGACGCTTCTCGAGGTGAGGCAGGGCACCCAAGGACCCTTTCCAGTAGCCACAGGGATTTTGGGATTCCTATCAGTATTCAAGAGGAGTCAGGCATTGTCACCTTTTGAAGCAATGAACTCCGCGTGCCTCTCGAGGTGTCAGCGGGATGTGAGGCATTCCGTCAAAATGAGGCAGGGACCTAGGGCTTTCTCTAAGGCCTCCACAGGGGATTCAGACATCACTTCATGTTGTTAGATGAAAGACGAGCCTGTATTCAAGCCACTGCAAGGAAATCCGGCCTCCTTTCAAGTTAGGGCTTCTCGCTGTATATTCCCCTTGAGGCAGCATACTCGGGGTCCCTCCCACATACCTATTGCTGAGAGAAGCCTCCTCCTGAGGTGCTTCTGGAAAGTTGGCATACGTCTTGAGCCTAAGCCAGGGAATCAGCTCTCATCTCGAGACGACTTGGGGTACACGGAGCATTCCTCGAGTTGCTGTGCTGAAGTTGGTGTTCCTCTAGACTTGGGACAGTGTTCTCGGGGCATCTCTGGAGTTGCCTGAAGAAAGTCAAACCACCTGTCCTGTTGAATGGAGAACGGGGAATGGCTCTGGAGTCAATGCAGGGGAATCGGGCCTCATCTCGAGTTGATTTGGGGCACATGGAGCTGCTTTGCGTTGCTGGGGTGACCTCAGGGTCCGTCTAGACTGGTGACAGTGTTCTTGGGGACTGTCTCGAGATCCATTAACTAAGTCGAAGCTCCTGACTTGTTTGAATGGGATCACGGAATAGCTCTGCATGCACTGCAGGGGAATGGGGCCTCATCTCGCCTCTAGGGGGAAGTCTCATGGTTTTTCTCGAGTTGCGGCGGGGACCTGCGGTATGTTCTCGACTTACGGCGGGGATGGCCCTTCAAAACACGAGTTTCTTCAGTGACGTCATGACTCCTGTCTAGTAACGAGGGACACCTCAGGAATCTCTTCGAGGCTTGGCAGGGCAAAAGGGACGCTTCTCGAGGTGAGGCAGGGCACCCAAGGACCCTTTCCCGTAGCCACAGGGATTTTGGGATTCCTATCAGTATTCAAGAGGAGTCAGGCATCGTCACCTTTTGAAGCAATGAACTCCGCGTGCCTCTCGAGGTGTCAGCGGGATGTGAGGCATTCCGTCAAAATGAGGCAGGGACCTACGGCTTTCTCTAAGGTCTCCACAGGGGATTCAGACATCCCTTCATGTTGTGAGATGAAAGACGAGCCTGTATTCAAGCCACTGCAAGGAAATCCGGCCTCCTTTCAAGTTAGGGCTTCTTGCTGTATATTCCCCTTGAGGCAGCAAACTCGGGGTCCCTCCCACATACCTATTGCTGACAGAAGCCTCCTCCTGAGGTGCTTCTGGAAAGTTGGCATATGTCTTGAGCCTAAGCCAGGGAATCAGCTCTCATCTCGAGACGATTTGGGGTACACGGAGCATTCCTCGAATTGCTGTGCTGAAGTTGGTGTTCCTCTAGACTTGGGACAGTGTTCTCGGGGCATCTCTGTAGTTGCCTGAAGGAAGTCGAGCAACCGGTCGTGTTGAATGGGGAACCGGGAATGGCTCTGGAGACAATGCAGGGGAATCGGGCCTCATCTCGAGTTGATTTGGGGCACATGGAGCTGCTTTGCATTGCTGGGGTGACATCAGGGTCCGTCTAGACTGGTGACAGTGTTCTTGGGGACTGTCTCGAGATCCATTAAGCAAGTCGAAGCTCCTGACTTGTTTGAATGGGATCACGGAATAGCTCTGCATGCACTGCAGGGGAATGGGGCCTCATCTCGCCTCTAGGGGAAGTCTCATGATTTTTCTCGAGTTGCGGCGGGGACCTGGGGTATGTTCTCGACTTACGGCGGGGATGGCCCTTCAAAACACGAGTTTCTTCAGTGACGTCAGGACTCCTGTCTAGTAGCGAGGGACACCTCAGGAATCTCTTCGAGGCTTGGCAGGGCAAAAGGGACGCTTCTCGAGGTGAGGCAGGGCACCCAAAGACCCTTTCCCGTAGCCACAGGGATTTTGGGATTCCTATCAGTATACATGAGGAGTCAGGCATCGTCACGTTTTGAAGCAATGAACTCCGCGTGCCTCTCGAGGTGTCAGCGGAATGTGAGGCATTCCGTCAAAATGAGGCAGGGACCTAGGGCTTTGTCTAAGGTCTCCACAGGGGATTCAGACATCCCTTCATGTTGTGAGATGAAAGACGAGCCTGTATTCAAGCCACTGCAAGGAAATCCGGCCTCCTTTCAAGTTAGGGCTTCTCGCTGTATATTCCCCTTGAGGCAGCAATCTCAGGGTCCCTCCCACATACCTATTGCTGACAGAAGCCTCCTCCTGAGGTGCTTCTGGAAAGTTGGCATACGTCTTGAGCCTAAGCCAGGATTTCAGCTCTCATCTCGAGACGATTTGGGGTACACGGATCATTCCTCGAGTTAATGTACTGAAGTTGGTGTTCCTCTAGATTTGGGACAGTGTTCTCGGGGCATCTCTGGAGTTGCCTGAAGGAAGTCGAGCCACCGGTCGTGTTGAATGGGGAACGGGGAATGGCTCTGGAGTCAATGCAGGGGATTCGGGCCTCATCTCGAGTTGATTTGGGGCACATGGAGCTGCTTTGCGTTGCTGGGGTGACCTCAGGGTCCGTCTAGACTGGTGACAGTGTTTTGGGGACTGTCTCGTGATCCATTAAGCAAGTCGAAGCTCCTGATTTGTTTGAATGGGATCACGGAATAGCTCTGCCTGCACTGCAGGGGAATGAGGCCTCATCTCGCTTCTAGGGGGAAGTCTCATGGTTTTTCTCGAGTTGCGGCGGGGACCTGGGGTATGTTCTCGACTTACGGCAGGCATGGCCCTTCAAAACACGAGTTTGTTCAGTGACGTCAGGACTCCTGTCTAGTAAAGAGGGACAACTCAGGAATCTCTTCGAGGCTTGGCAGGGCCAAATTGAGGCTTCTCGAGGTGAGACAGGGCACCCAAGGACCCTTTCCAGTAGCCACAGGGATTTTGGGATTCCTATCAGTATTCAAGAGGAGTCAGGCATCGTCACCTTTTGAAGCAATGAACTCCGCGTGCCTCTCGAGGTGTCAGCGGGATGTGAGGCATTCCGTCAAAATGAGGCAGGGACCTAGGACTTTCTCTAAGGCCTCCACAGGGGATTCAGACATCCCTTCATGTTGTGAGATAAAAGACGAGAATGTATTCAAGCCACTGCAAGGAAATCCGGCCTCCTTTCAAGTTAGGGGTTCTCGCTGTATATTCCCCTTGAGGCAGCAAACTCGGGGTCCCTCCCACATACCTATTGCTGAGAGAAGCCTCCTCCTGAGGTGCTTCTGGAAAGTTGGCATACGTCTTGAGCTTAAGCCAGGGAATCAGCTCTCATCTCGAGGCGATTTGGGGTACACGGAGCATTCCTCGAGTTGCTGTGCTGAAGTTGGTGTTCCTCTAGACTTGGGACAGTGTTCTCGGGGCATCTCTGGAGTTGCCTGAAGGAAGTCGAGCCACCGGTCGTGTTGAATGGGGAACGGGGAATGGCTCTGGAGTCAATGCAGGGGAATCGGGCCTCATCTCGAGTTGATTTGGGGCACATGGAGCTGCTTTGCTTTGCTGGGGTGACCTCAGGGTCCGTCTAGACTGGTGACAGTGTTCTTGGGGACTGTCTCGAGATCCATTAAGCAAGTCGAAGCTCCTGACTTGTTTGAATGGGATCACGGAATAGCTCTGCATGCACTGCAGGGGAATGGGGCCTCATCTCGCCTCTAGGGGGAAGTCTCATGGTTTTTCTCGACTTGCGACGGGGACCTGGGGTATGTTCTCGACTTACGGCGGGGATGGCCCTTCAAAACACGAGTTTCTTCAGTGACGTCAGGACTCCTGTCTAGTAACGAGGGACACTTCAGGAACCTCTTCGAGGCTTGGCAGGGCAAAGGGGACGCTTCTCGAGGTGAGGCAGTGCACCCATGGACCATTTCCCGTAGCCACAGGGATTTTGGGATTCCTATCAGTATTCAAGAGGAGTCAGGCATCGTCACCTTTTGAAGCAATGAACTCCGCGTGCCTCTCGAGTTGTCAGTGGGATGTGAGGCATTCCGTCAAAATGAGGCAGGGACCTAGGGCTTTCTCTAAGGTCCCCACAGGGGATTCAGATATCACTTCATGTTGTGAGATGAAAGACGAGCCTGTATTCAAGCCACTGCAAGGAAATCCGGCCTCCTTTCAAGTTAGGGCTTTTCGCTGTATATTCCCCTTGAGGCAGCAAACTCGGGGTCCCTCCCACATACCTATTGCTGAGAGAAGCCTCCTCCTGAGGTGCTTCTGGAAAGTTGGCATATGTCTTGAGCCTAAGCCAGGGAATCAGCTCTCATCTCGAGACGATTTGGGGTACACGGAGCATTCCTCGAGTTGCTGTGCTGAAGTTGGTGTTCCTCTAGACTTGGGACAGTGTTCTCGGGGCATCTCTGGAGTTGCATGAAGGAAGTCGAGCCACCGGTCGTGTTGAATGGGGAACCGGGAATGGCTCTGGAGACAATGCAGGGGAATCGGGCCTCATCTCGAGTTGATTTGGGGCACATGGAGCTGCTTTGCATTGCTGGGGTGACATCAGGGTCCGTCTAGACTGGTGACAGTGTTCTTGGGGACTGTCTCGAGATCCATTAAGCAAGTCGAAGCTCCTGACTTGTTTGAATGGGATCACGGAATAGCTCTGCATGCACTGCAGGGGAATGGGGCCTCATCACGCCTCTAGGGGAAGCCTCATGATTTTTCTCGAGTTGCGGCGGGGACCTGGGGTATGTTCTCGACTTACGGCGGGGATGGCCCTTCAAAACAAGAGTTTCTTCAGTGACGTCAGGACTCCTGTCTAGTAGCGAGGGACACCTCAGGAATCTCTTCGAGGCTTGGCAGGGCAAAAGGGACGCTTCTCGAGGTGAGGCAGGGCACCCAAAGACCCTTTCCCGTAGCCACAGGGATTTAGGGATTCCTATCAGTATACAAGAGGAGTCAGGCATCGTCACCTTTTGAAGCAATGAACTCCGCGTGCCTCTCGAGGTGTCAGCGGGATGTGAGGCATTCCGTCAAAATGAGGCAGGAACCTAGGGCTTTGTCTAAGGTCTCCACAGGGGATTCAGACATCCCTTCATGTTGTGAGATGAAAGACGAGCCTGTATTCAAGCCACTGCAAGGAAATCCGGCCTCCTTTCAAGTTAGGGCTTCTCGCTGTATATTCCCCTTGAGGCAGCAAACTCGGGGTCCCTCCCACATACCTATTGCTGAGAGAAGCCTCCTCCTGAGGTGCTTCTGGAAAGTTGGCATACGTCTTGAGCCTAAGCCAGGATATCAGCTCTCATCTCGAGACGATTTGGGGTACACGGATCATTCCTCGAGTTAATGTGCTGAACTTGGTGTTCCTCTAGACTTGGGACAGTGTTCTCGGGGCATCTCTGGAGTTGCCTGAAGGAAGTCGAGCCACGGGTCGTGTTGAATGGGGAACGGGGAATGGCTCTGGAGTCAATGCAGGGCAATCGGGCCTCATCTCGAGTTGATTTGGGGCACATGGATCTGCTTTGCGTTGCTGGGGTGACCTCAGGGTCCGTCTAGACTGGTGACAGTGTTTTTGGGGACTGTCTCGTGATCCATTAAGCAAGTCTAAGCTCCTGATTTGTTTGAATGGGATCACGGAATAGCTCTGCCTGCATTGCAGGGGAATGGGGCCTCATCTCGCCTCTAGGGGGAAGTCTCATGGTTTTTCTCGAGTTGCGGCGGGGACCTGGGGTATGTTCTCGACTTACGGCAGGGATGGCCCTTCAAAACACGAGTTTCTTCAGTGACGTCAGGACTCCTGTCTAGTAAAGAGGGACAACTCAGGAATCTCTTCGAGGCTTGGCAGGGCCAAATTGAGGCTTCTCGAGTTGAGATAGGGCACCCAAGGACCCTTTCCCGTAGCCACTGGGATTTTGGGATTCCTATCAGTATTCAAGAGGAGTCAGGCATCGTCACATTTTGAAGCAATGAACTCCGCGTTCCTCTCGAGGTGTCAGTGGGATGTGAGGCATTCCGTCAAAATGAGGCAGTGACCTAGGGCTTTCTCTAAGGTCTCCTCAGGGGATTCAGACATCCCTTCATGTTGTGAGATGAAAGACGAGCCTGTATTCAAGCCACTGCAAGGAAATCCGGCCTCCTTTCAAGTTAGGGCTTCTCACTGTATATTCCCCTTGAGGCAGCAAATTCGGGGTCCCTCCCACATACCTATTGTTGAGAGAAGCCTCCTCCTGAGGTGCTTCTGGAAATTTGGCATACGTCTTGAGCCTAAGCCAGGGAATCAGCTCTCATCTCGAGACGATTTGGGTTACACGGAGCATTCCTCGAGTTAATGTGCTGAAGTTGGTGTTCCTCTAGACTTGGGACAGTGTTCTCGGGGCATCTCTGGAGTTGCCTGAAGGAAGTCGAGCCACCAGTTGTGTTGAATGGGGAAAGGGGAATGGCTCTGGAGTCAATGCAGGGGAATCAGGCCTCATCTCGAGTTGATTTGGGGCACATGGAGCTGCTTTGCGTTGCTGGGGTGACTTCAGGGTCCGTCTAGACTGGTGACAGTGTTCTTGGGGACTGTCTCGAGATCCATTAAGCAAGTCGAAGCTCCTGACTTGTTTGAATGGGATCACGGAATAGCTCTGCATGCACTGCAGGGGAATGTTTCCTCATCTCGGCTCTAGGGGGAAGTCTCATGGTTTTTCTCGAGTTGCCGCGGGGACCTGGGGTATGTTCTCGACTTACGGCGGGGATGGCCCTTCAAAACACGAGTTTCTTCAGTGACGTCAGGACTCCTGTCTAGTAATGAGGGAAACCTCAGGAATCTCTTCGAGGCTTGGCAGGGCCAAATTGAGGCTTCTCGAGGTGAGGCAGGGCACCCAAGGACCCTTTCCCGTAGCCACAGGGATTTTGTTATTCCTATCAGTATTCAAGAGGAGTCAGGCATCGTCACCTTTTGAAGCAATGAACTCCGCGTGACTCTCGAGGTGTCAGCGGGATGTGAGGCATTCCGTCAAAATGAGGCAGTGACCTTGGGCTTTCTCTAAGGTCTCCACAGGGGATTCAGACATCCCTTCATGTTGTGAGATGAAAGACGAGCCTGTATTCAAGCCACTGCAAGGAAATCCGGCCTCCGTTCAAGTTAGGGCTTCTCGCTGTATATTCCCCTTGAGGCAGCAAACTGGGGTCCCTCCCACATACCTATTGCTGAGAGAAGCCTCCTCCTGAGGTGCTTCTGGAAAGTTGGCATACGTCTTGAACCTAAGCCAGGGAATCAGCTCTCATCTCGAGACGATTTGGGGTACACGGAGCATTCCTCGAATTAATGTGCTGAAGTTGGTGGTCCTCTAGACTTGGGACAGTGTTCTCCGGGCATCTCAGGAGTGGCCTGAAGGAAGTCGAGCCACCAGTCGGGTTGAATGGGGAACGGGGAATGGCTCTGGAGTCAATGCAGGGGAATCAGGCCTCATCTCGAGTTGATTTGGTGCACATGGAGCTGCTTTGCGTTGCTGGGGTGACCTCAGGGTCCGTCTAGACTGGTGACAGTGTTCTTGGGGACTGTCTCGAGAACCATTAAGCAAGTCGAAGCTCCTGACTTGTTTGAATGGGATCATGGAATAGCTCTGCATGCACTGAAGGGGAATGGGGCCTCATCTCGCCTCTAGGGGGAATTCTCATGGTTTTCCTCGAGTTGCGGCGGGGACCTGGGCTATGTTCTCGACTTACGGCGGGGATGCCCTTCAAAACACGAGTTTCTTCAGTGACGTCAGGACTCCTGTCTAGTAACGAGGGACACCTCAGGAATGTCTTCGAGGCTTGGCAGGGCAAAAGGGAAGCTTCTTGAGGTGAGGCAGGGCACCCAAGGATGCTTTCCAGTAGCCACAGGGATTTTGGGATTCCTATCAGTATTCAAGGGGAGTCAGGGATCGTCACCTTTTGAAGCAATGAACTCCGCGTGCCTCTCGAGGTGTCAGCGGGATGTGGGGCATTCCGTCAAAATGAGGCAGGGACCTAGGGCTTTCTCTAAGGTCTCCACAGGGGATTCAGACATCCCTTCATGTTGTGACATTAAAGACGAGCCTGTATTGAAGCCACTGCAAGGAAATCCGGCCTCCTTTCAAGTTAGGGCTTCTCGCTGTATATTCCCCTTGAGGCAGCAAACTGGGGTCCCTCCCACATACCTATTGCTGAGAGAAGCCTCCTCCTGAGGTGCTTTTGGAAAGTTGCCATACGTCTTGAGCCTAAGCCAGGGAATCAGCTCTCATCTCGAGACGATTTGGGGTACACTGAGCATTCCTCGAGTTGCTGTGCTGAAGTTGGTGTTCCACTAGACTTGGGACAGTGTTCTCGGTGAATCTCTGGAGTTGCCTGAAGTAAGTCGAGCCACCGGTCGTGTTGAATGGGGAACGGGGAATGGCTCTGGAGTCAATGCAGGGGAATCGGGCCTCATCTCGAGTTGATTTGGGGCACATGGAGCTGCTTTGCGTTGCTGGGGTGACCTCAGGGTCCGTCTAGACTGGTGACAGTGATCTTGGGGACTGTCTCGAGATCCATTAAGCAAGTCGAAGCTCCTGACTTGTTTGAATGGGATCACGGAATAGCTCTGCATGCACTGCAGGGGAATGGGGCCTCATCTCGCCTCAAGGGGGAAGTCTCATGATTTTTCTCGAGTTGCGGCGGGGACCTGGGGTATGTTCTCGACTTACGGCTGGGATGGCCCTTCAAAACACGAGTTTCTTCAGTGACGTCAGGACTCCTGTCTAGTAATGAGGGACACCTCAGGAATGTCTTCGAGGCTTGGCAGGGCCAAATTGAGGCTTCTCGAGGTGTGGCAGGGCACCCAAGGACCCTTTCCCGTAGCCACTGTGATTTTGGGATTCCTATAAGTATTCAAGAGGAGTCAGGCATCGTCACATTTTGAAGCAATGAACTCCGCGTGCCTCTCGAGGTGTCAGTGGGATGTGAGGCATTCCGTCAAAATGAGGCAGTGACCTAGGGCTTTCTCTAAGGTATCCTCAGGGGATTCAGACATCCCTTCATGTTGTGAGATGAAAGACGAGCCTGTATTCAAGCCACTGCAAGGAAATCCGGCCTCCTTTCAAGTTAGGGCTTCTCACTGTATATTCCCCTTGAGGCAGCAAACTCGGGGTCCCTCCCACATACCTATTGTTGAGAGAAGCCTCCTCCTGAGGTGCTTCTGGAAATTTGGCATACGTCTTGAGCCTAAGCCAGGGAATCAGCTCTCATCTCGAGACGATTTGGGTTACACGGAGCATTCCTCGAGTTAATGTGCTGAAGTTGGTGTTCCTCTAGACTTGGGACAGTGTTCTCGGGGCATCTCTGGAGTTGCCTGAAGGAAGTCGAGCCACCAGTTGTGTTGAATGGGGAAAGGGGAATGGCTCTGGAGTCAATGCAGGGGAATCAGGCCTCATCTCGAGTTGATTTGGGGCACATGGAGCTGCTTTGCGTTGCTGGGGTGACTTCAGGGTCCGTCTAGACTGGTGACAGTGTTCTTGGGGACTGTCTCGAGATCCATTAAGCAAGTCGAAGCTCCTGACTTGTTTGAATGGGATCATGGAATAGCTCTGCATGGACTGCAGTGGAATGGGGCCTCATCTCGCCTCTAGGGGAAGTCTCATGGTTTTTCTCGAGTTGCGGCGAGGACCTGGGGTATGTTCTCGACTTACGGCGGGGATGGCCCTTCAAAACAAGAGTTTCTTCAGTGACGTCAGGACTCCTCTCTAGTAAAGAGGGACACCTCAGGAATCTCTTCGAGGCTTGGCAGGGCAAAAGGGACGCTTCTCGATGTGAGGCAGGGCACCCAAGCAGCCTTTCCCGTAGCCACACGGATTTTGGGATTCCTATCAGTATTCAAGAGGAGTCAGGCATTGTCACCTTTTGAAGCAATGAACTCCGCGTGCCTCTCGAGGTGTCAGCGGGATGTGAGGCATTCCGTCAAAATGAGGCAGGAACCTAGGGCTTTCTTTAAGGTATCCACAGGGGATTCAGGCATTCCTTCATGTTGTGAGATGAAAGACGAGCCTGTATTGAAGCCACTGCAAGGAAATCCGGCCTCCTTTCAAGTTAGGGCTTCTCGCTGTATATTCCCCTTGAGGCAGCAAACTCGGGGTCCCACCCACATACCTATTGCTGAGAGAAGCCTCCTCCTGAGGTGCTTCTGGAAAGTTGGCATATGTCTTGAGCCTAAGCCAGGGAATCAGCTCTCATCTCGAGACGATTTGGGGTACACGGAGCATTCCTCGAGTTGCTGTGTTGAAGTTGGTGTTCCTCTAGACTTGGGACAGTGTTCTCGGGGCATCTCTGGAGTTGCCTGAAGGAAGTCGAGCCACGAGTCATGTTGAATGCGGAACGGGGAATGGCTCTGGAGTCAATGCAGGGGAATCGGGCCTCATCTCGAGTTGATTTGGGGCACATGGAGCTGCTTTGCCTTGCTGGGGTGACCTCAGGGTCCGTCTAGACTGGTGACAGTGATCTTGGGGACTGTCTCGAGATCCATTAAGCAAGTCGATGCTCCTGACTTATTTGAATGGGATCACGGAATAGCTCTGCATGCACTGCAGGGGAATGGGGCCTCATCTCGCCTCTAGGGGGAAGTCTCATGGTTTTTCTCGAGTTGCGGCGAGGACCTGGGGTATGTTCTCGACTTACGGCTGGGATGGCCCTTCAAAACACGAGTTTCTTCAGTGACGTCAGGACTCCTGTCTAGTAACGAGGGCCACCTCAGGAATGTCTTCGAGGCTTGGCAGGGCAAAAGGGAAGCTTCTTGAGGTGAGGCAGGGCACCCAAGGATGCTTTCCAGTAGCCACAGCGATTTTGGGATTCCTATCAGTATTCAAGAGGAGTCAGGGATCGTCACCTTTTGAAGCAATGAACTCCGCGTGCCTCTCGAGGTGTCAGCGGGATGTGGGGCATTCCGTCAAAATGAGGCAGGGATCTAGGGCTTTCTCTAAGGTCTCCACAGGGGATTCAGACATCCCTTCATGTTGTGAGATGAAAGACGAGCCTGTATTGAAGCCACTGCAAGGAAATCCAGCCTCCTTTCAAGTTAGGGCTTCTCGCTGTATATTCCCCTTGAGGCAGCAAACTCGGGGTCCCTCCCACATACCATTGCTGAGAGAAGCCTCCTCCTGAGGTGCTTCTGGAAAGCTGGCATACGTCTTGAGCCTAAGCCAGGGAATCAGCTCTCATCTCGAGACGATTTGGGGTACACTGAGCATTCCTCGAGTTCCTGTGCTGAAGTTGGTGTTCCTCTAGACTTGGGACAGTGTTCTCGGGGCATCTCTGGAGTTGCCTGAAGTAAGTCGAGCCACCGGTCGTGTTGAATGGGGAACGGGGAATGTCTCTGGAGTCAATGCAGGGGAATCGGGCCTCATCTCGAGTTGATTTGGGGCACATGGAGCTGCTTTGCGTTGCTGGGGTGACCTCAGGGTCCGTCTAGACTGGTGACAGTGATCTTGGGGACTGTCTCGAGATCCATTAAGCAAGTCGAAGCTCCTGACTTGTTTGAATGGGATCACGGAATAGCTCTGCATGCACTGCAGGGGAATGTTTCCTCATCTCGGCTCTAGGGGGAAGTCTCATGGTTTTTCTCGAGTTGCGGCGGGGACCTGGGGTATGTTCTCGACTTACGGCGGGGATGGCCCTTCAAAACACGAGTTTCTTCAGTGACGTCAGGACTCCTGTCTAGTAATGAGGGACACCTCAGGAATCTCTTCGAGGCTTGGCAGGGCCAAATTGAGGCTTCTCGAGGTGTGGCAGGGCACCCAAGGACCCTTTCCCGTAGCCACTGGGATTTTGGGATTCCTATCAGTATTCAAGAGGAGTCAGGCATCGTCACATTTTGAAGCAATGAACTCCGCGTGCCTCTCGAGGTGTCAGTGGGATGTGAGGCATTCCGTCAAAATGAGGCAGTGACCTAGGGCTTTCTCTAAGGTCTCCTCAGTGGATTCAGACATCCCTTCATGTTGTGAGATGAAAGACGAGCCTGTATTCAAGCCACTGCAAGGAAATCCGGCCTCCTTTCAAGTTAGGGCTTCTCACTGTATATTCCCCTTGAGGCAGCAAATTCGGGGTCCCTCCCACATACCTATTGTTGAGAGAAGCCTCCTCCTGAGGTGCTTCTGGAAATTTGGCATACGTCTTGAGCCTAAGCCAGGGAATCAGCTCTCATCTCGAGACGATTTGGGTTACACGGAGCATTCCTCGAGTTAATGTGCTGAAGTTGGTGTTCCTCTAGACTTGGGACAGTGTTCTCGGGGCATCTCTGGAGTTGCCTGAAGGAAGTCGAGCCACCAGTTGTGTTGAATGGGGAAAGGGGAATGGCTCTGGAGTCAATGCAGGGGAATCAGGCCTCATCTCGAGTTGATTTGGGGCACATGGAGCTGCTTTGCGTTGCTGGGGTGACTTCAGGGTCCGTCTAGACTGGTGACAGTGTTCTTGGGGACTGTCTCGAGATCCATTAAGCAAGTCGAAGCTCCTGACTTGTTTGAATGGGATCATGGAATAGCTCTGCCTGCACTGCAGTGGAATGGGGCCTCATCTCGCCTCTAGGGGAAGTCTCATGGTTTTTCTCGAGTTGCGGCGAGGACCTGGGGTATGTTCTCGACTTACGGCGGGGATGGCCCTTCAAAACACGAGTTTCTTCAGTGACGTCAGGACTCCTCTCTAGTAAAGAGGGACACCTCAGGAATCTCTTCGAGGCTTGGCAGGGCAAAAGGGACGCTTCTCGATGTGAGGCAGGGCACCCAAGCAGCCTTTCCCGTAGCCACACGGATTTTGGGATTCCTATCAGTATTCAAGAGGAGTCAGGCATTGTCACCTTTTGAAGCAATGAACTCCGCGTGCCTCTCGAGGTGTCAGCGGGATGTGAGGCATTCCGTCAAAATGAGGCAGGGACCTAGGGCTTTCTCAAAGGTCTCCACAGGGGATTCAGGCATCCCTTCATGTTGTGAGATGAAAGACGAGCCTGTATTCAAGCCACTGCAAGGAAATCCGGCCTCCTTTCAAGTTAGGGCTTCTCGCTGTATATTCCCCTTGAGGCAGCAAACTCGGGGTCCCTCTCACATACATATTGCTGAGAGAAGCCTCCTCCTGAGGTGCTTCTGGAAAGTTGGCATACGTCTTGAACCTAAGCCAGAGAATCAGCTCTCATGTCGAGACGATTTGGGGTACACGGAGCATTCCTCGAATTAATGTGCTGAAGTTGGTGTTCCTCTAGACTTGGGACAGTGTTCTCAGGGCATCTCTGGAATTTCCTGAAGGAAGTCGAGCCACCAGTCGGGTTGAATGGGAACGGGGAATGACTCTGGAGTCAATACAGGGGAATCAGGCCTCATCTCGATTTGATTTGGTGCACATGGAGCTGCTTTGCGTTGCTGGGGTGACCTCAGGGTCCGTCTAGACTGGTGACAGTGTTCTTGGGGACTGTCTCGAGAACCATTAAGCAAGTCGAAGCTCCTGACTTGTTTGAATGGGATCATGGAATAGCTCTGCATGCACTGCAGGGGAATGGGGCCTCATCTCGCCTCTAGGGGGAAGTCTCATGGTTTTTCTCGAGTTGCGTCGAGGACCTGGGTTATGTTCTCGACTTACGGCGGGGATGGCCCTTCAAAACACGAGTTTCTTCAGTGACGTCAGGACTCCTCTCTAGTAAAGAGGGACACCTCAGGAATCTCTTCGAGGCTTGGCAGGGTAAAAGGGATGCTTCTCGATGTGAGGCAGGGCACCCAAGCAGCCTTTCCCGTAGCCACACGGATTTTGGGATTCCTATCAGTATTCAAGAGGAGTCAGGCATCGTCACCTTTTGAAGCAATGAACTCCGCGTGCCTCTCGAGGTGTCAGCGGGATGTGAGGCATTCCGTCAAAATGAGGCAGGGACCTAGGGCTTTCTCTAAGGTCTCCACAGGGGATTCAGACATCCCTTCATGTTGTGAGATGAAAGACGAGCCTGTATTCAAGCCACTGCAAGGAAATCCGGCCTCCTTTCAAGGTAGGGCTTCTCGCTGTATATTCCCCTTGAGGCAGCAAACTCGGGGTCCCTCCCACATACCTATTGCTGAGAGAAGCCTCCTCCTGAGGTGCTTCTGGAAAGTTGGCATATGTCTTGAGCCTAAGCCAGGGAATCAGCTCTCATCTCGAGACGATTTGGGGTACACGGAGCATTCCTCGAGTTGCTGTGTTGAAGTTGGTGTTCCTCTAGACTTGGGACAGTGTTCTCGGGGCATCTCTGGAGTTGCCTGAAGGAAGTCGAGCCACTAGTCATGTTGAATGCGGAACGGGGAATGGCTCTGGAGTCAATGCAGGGGAATCGGGCCTCATCTCGAGTTGATTTGGGGCACATGGAACTGCTTTGCTTTGCTGGGGTGACCTCAGGGTCCGTCTAGACTGGTGACAGTGATCTTGGGGACTGTCTCGAGATCCATTAAGCAAGTCGATGCTCCTGACTTGTTTGAATGGGATCACGGAATAGCTCTGCATGCACTGCAGGGGAATGGGGCCTCATCTCGCCTCTAGGGGGAAGTCTCATGGTTTTTCTCGAGTTGCGGCGAGGACCTGGGGTATGTTCTCGACTTACGGCGGGGATGGCCCTTCAAAACACGAGTTTCTTCAGTGACGTCAGGACTCCTGTCTAGTAACGAGGGACACCTCAGGAATGTCTTCGAGGCTTGGCAGGGCAAAAGGGAAGCTTCTTGAGGTGAGGCAGGGCACCCAAGGATCCTTTCCAGTAGCCACAGGGATTTTGGGATTCCTATCAGTATTCAAGAGGAGTCAGGGATCGTCACCTTTTGAAGCAATGAACTCCGCGTGCCTCTCGAGGTGTCAGCGGGATGTGGGGCATTCCGTCAAAATGAGGCAGGGACCTAGGGCTTTCTCTAAAGTCTCCACAGGGGATTCAGGCATCCCTTCATGTTGTGAGATGAAAGACGAGCCTGTATTGAAGCCACTGCAAGGAAATCCGGCCTCCTTTCAAGTTAGGGCTTCTCGCTGTATATTCCCCTTGAGGCAGCAAACTCGGGGTCCCTCCCACATACCTATTTTTGAGAGAATCCTCCTCCTGACGTGCTTCTGGAAAGTTGGCATACGTCTTGAGCCTAAGCCAGGGAATCAGCTCTCATCTCGAGACGATTTGGGGTACACTGAGCATTCCTCGAGTTGCTGTGCTGAAGTTGGTGTTCCTCTAGACTTGGGACAGTGTTCTCAGGGCATCTCTGGAGTTGCCTGAAGTAAGTCGAGCCACCGATCGTGTTGAATGGGGAACGGGGAATGTCTCTGGAGTCAATGCAGGGGAATCGGGCCTCATCTCGAGTTGATTTGGGGCACATGGAGCTGCTTTGCGTTGCTGAGGTGACCTCAGGGTCCGTCTAGACTGGTGACAGTGATCTTGGGGACTGTCTCGAGATCCATTAAGCAAGTCGAAGCTCCTGACTTGTTTGAATGGGATCACGGAATAGCTCTGCATGCACTGCAGGGGAATGTTTCCTCATCTCGGCTCTAGGGGGAAGTCTCATGGTTTTTCTCGAGTTGCGGCGGGGACCTGGGGTATGTTCTCGACTTACGGCGGGGATGGCCCTTCAAAACACGAGTTTCTTCAGTGACGTCAGGATTCCTGTCTAGTAATGAGGGACACCTCAGGAATCTCTTCGAGGCTTGGCAGGGCCAAATTGAGGCTTCTCGAGATATGGCAGGGCACCCAAGGACCCTTTCCCGTAGCCACAGGGATTTTGGGATTCCTATCAGTATTCAAGAGGAGTCAGGCATCGTCACCTTTTGAAGCAATGAACTCCGCGTGCCTCTCGAGGTGTCAGCGGGATGTGAGGCATTCCGTCAAAATGAGGCAGGGACATAGGGCTTTCTCTAAGGTCTCCACAGGGGATTCAGACATCCCTTCATGTTGTGAGATGAAAGACGAGCCTGTATTCAAGCCACTGCAAGGAAATCCGGCCTCCTTTCAAGTTAGGGCTTCTCGCTGTATATTCCTCTTGAGGCAGCAAACTCGGGGTCCCTCCCACATACCTATTGCTGAGAGAAGCCTCCTCCTGAGGTGCTTCTGGAAAGTTGGCATACGTCTTGAACCTAAGCCAGGGAATCAGCTCTCATCTGGAGACGATTTGGGGTACACGGAGCATTCCTCGAATTAATGTGCTGAAGTTGGTGGTCCTCTAGACTTGGGACAGTGTTCTCGGGGCATCTCAGGAGTGGCCTGAAGGAAGTCGAGCCACCAGTCGGGTTGAATGGGGAACGGGGAATGGCTCTGGAGTCAATGCAGGGGAATCAGGCCTCATCTCGAGTTGATTTGGTGCACATGGAGCTGCTTTGCGTTGCTGGGGTGACCTCAGGGTCCGTCTAGACTGGTGACAGTGTTCTTGGGGACTGTCTCGAGAACCATTAAGCAAGTCGAAGCTCCTGACTTGTTTGAATGGGATCATGGAATAGCTCTGCATGCACTGAAGGGGAATGGGGCCTCATCTCGCCTCTAGGGGGAATTCTCATGGTTTTCCTCGAGTTGCGGCGGGGACCTGGGCTATGTTCTCGACTTACGGCGGGGATGGCCCTTCAAAACACGAGTTTCTTCAGTGACGTCAGGACTCCTGTCTAGTAACTAGGGACACCTCAGGAATCTATTCGAGGCTTAGCAGGGCAAAAGGTACGCTTCTCGAGCTGAGGCAGGGCACCCAAGGACCCTTTCCCGTAGCCACAGGGATTTTGGGATTCCTATCAGTATTCAAGAGGAGTCAGGCATCGTCACCTTTTGAAGCAATGAACTCCGCGTGCCTCTCGAGGTGTCAGCGGGATGTGAGGCATTCCGTCAAAATGATGAAGTGACCTAGGGCTTTCTCTAAGGTCTCCACAGGGGATTCAGACATCCCTTCATGTTGTGAGATGAAAGACGAGCCTGTATTCAAGCCACTGCAAGGAAATCCGGCCTCCTTTCAAGTTAGGGCTTCTCGCTGTATATTCCCCTTGAGGCAGCAAACTGGGGTCCCTCCCACATACCTATTGCTGAGAGAAGCCTCCTCCTGAGGTGCTTCTGGAAAGTTGCCATACGTCTTGAGCCTAAGCCAGGGAATCAGCTCTCATCTCGAGACGATTTGGGGTACACGGAGCATTCCTCGAATTAATGTGCTGAAGTTGGTGGTCCTCTAGACTTAGGACAGTGTTCTCGGGGCATCTCAGGAGTGGCCTGAAGGAAGTCGAGCCACCAGTCGGGTTGAATGGGGAACGGGTAATGGCTCTGGAGTCAATGCAGGGGAATCAGGCCTCATCTCGAGTTGATTTGGTGCACATGGAGCTGCTTTGCGTTGCTGGGGTGACCTCAGGTTCCGTCTAGACTGGTGACAGTGTTCTTGGGGACTGTCTCGATAACCATTAAGCAAGTCGAAGCTCCTGACTTGTTTGAATGGGATCATGGAATAGCTCTGCATGCACTGCAGGGGAATGGGGCCTCATCTCGCCTCTAGGGGGAATTCTCATGGTTTTCCTCGAGTTGCGGCGGGGACCTGGGCTATGTTCTCGACTTACGGCGGGGATGGCCCTTCAAAACACGAGTTTCTTCAGTGACGTCAGGACTCCTGTCTAGTAACTAGGGACACCTCAGGAATCTATTCGAGGCTTAGCAGGGCAAAAGGTACGCTTCTCGAGCTGAGGCAGGGCACCCAAGGACCCTTTCCCGTAGCCACAGGGATTTTGGGATTCCTATCAGTATTCACGAGGAGTCAGGCATCGTCACCTTCTGAAGCAATGAACTCCGCGTGCCTCTCGAGGTGTCAGCGGGATGTGAGGCATTCCGTCAAAATGAGGAAGTGACCTAGGGCTTTCTCTAAGGTCTCCACAGGGGATTCAGACATCCCTTCATGTTGTGACATGAAAGACGAGCCTGTATTGAAGCCACTGCAAGGAAATCCGGCCTCCTTTCAAGTTAGGGCTTCTCGCTGTATATTCCCCTTGAGGCAGCAAACTGGGGTCCCTCCCACATACCTATTGCTGAGAGAAGCCTCCTCCTGAGGTGCTTCTGGAAAGTTGCCATACGTCTTGAGCCTAAGCCAGGGAATCAGCTCTCATCTCGAGACGATTTGGAGTACACTGAGCATTCCTCGAGTTGCTGTGCTGAAGTTGGTGTTCCACTAGACTTGGGACAGTGTTCTCGGTGAATCTCTGAAGTTGCCTGAAGTAAGTCGAGCCACCGGTCGTGTTGAATGGGGAACGGGGAATGGCTCTGGAGTCAATGCAGGGCAATCGGGCCTCATCTCGAGTTGATTTGGGGCACATGGAGCTGCTTTGCGTTGCTGGGGTCACCTCAGGGTCCGTCTAGACTGGTGACAGTGATCTTGGGGACTGTCTCGAGATCCATTAAGCAAGTCGAAGCTCCTGACTTGTTTGAATGGGATCACGGAATAGCTCTGCATGCACTGCAGGGGAATGGGGCCTCATCTCGCCTCTAGGGGGAAGTCTCACGGTTTTTCTCGAGTTACGGCGGGGACCTGGGGTATGTTCTCGACTTAATGCGGGGATGGCCCTTCAAAACACGAGTTTCTTCAGTGACGTCAGGACTCCTGTCTAGTAACGAGGGACACCTCAGGAATGTCTTCGAGGCTTGGCAGGGCAAAAGGGAAGCTTCTTGAGGTGAGGCAGGGCACCCAAGGATGCTTTCCAGTAGCCACAGGGATTTTGGGATTCCTATCAGTATTCAAGAGGAGTCAGGGATCGTCACCTTTTGAAGCAATGAACTCCGCGTGCCTCTCGAGGTGTCAGCGGGATGTGGGGCATTCCGTCAAAATGAGGCAGGGACCTAGGGCTTTCTCTAAGGTCTCCACAGGGGATTCAGACATCCCTTCATGTTGTGAGATGAAAGACGAGCCTGTATTGAAGCCACTGCAAGGAAATCCAGCCTCCTTTCAAGTTAGGGCTTCTCGCTGTATATTCCCCTTGAGGCAGCAAACTCGGGGTCCCTCCCACATACCTATTGCTGAGAGAAGCCTCCTCCTGAGGTGCTTCTGGAAAGTTGGCATACGTCTTGAGCCTAAGCCAGGGAATCAGCTCTCATCTCGAGACGATTTGGGGTACACTGAGCATTCCTCGAGTTCCTGTGCTGAAGTTGGTGTTCCTCTAGACTTGGGACAGTGTTCTCGGGGCATCTCTGGAGTTGCCTGAAGTAAGTCGAGCCACCGGTCGTGTTGAATGGGGAACGGGGAATGTCTCTGGAGTCAATGCAGGGGAATCGGGCCTCATCTCGAGTTGATTTGGGGCACATGGAGCTGCTTTGCGTTGCTGGGGTGACCTCAGGGTCCGTCTAGACTGGTGACAGTGATCTTGGGGACTGTCTCGAGATCCATTAAGCAAGTCGAAGCTCCTGACTTGTTTGAATGGGATCACGGAATAGCTCTGCATGCACTGCAGGGGAATGTTTCCTCATCTCGGCTCTAGGGGGAAGTCTCATGGTTTTTCTCGAGTTGCGGCGGGGACCTGGGGTATGTTCTCGACTTACGGCGGGGATGGCCCTTCAAAACACGAGTTTCTTCAGTGACGTCAGGACTCCTGTCTAGTAATGAGGGACACCTCAGGAATCTCTTCGAGGCTTGGCAGGGCCAAATTGAGGCTTCTCGAGGTGTGGCAGGGCACCCAAGGACCCTTTCCCGTAGCCACTGGGATTTTGGGATTCCTATCAGTATTCAAGAGGAGTCAGGCATCGTCACATTTTGAAGCAATGAACTCCGCGTGCCTCTCGAGGTGTCAGTGGGATGTGAGGCATTCCGTCAAAATGAGGCAGTGACCTAGGGCTTTCTCTAAGGTCTCCTCAGGGGATTCAGACATCCCTTCATGTTGTGAGATGAAAGACGAGCCTGTATTCAAGCCACTGCAAGGAAATCCGGCCTCCTTTCAAGTTAGGGCTTCTCACTGAATATTCCCCTTGAGGCAGCAAACTCGGGGTCCCTCCCACATACCTATTGTTGAGAGAAGCCTCCTCCTGAGGTGCTTCTGGAAATTTGGCATACGTCTTGAGCCTAAGCCAGGGAATCAGCTCTCATCTCGAGACGATTTGGGTTACACAAAGCATTCCTCGAGTTAATGTGCTGAAGTTGGTGTTCCTCTAGACTTGGGACAGTGTTCTCGGGGCATCTCTGGAGTTGCCTGAAGGAAGTCGAGCCACCAGTTGTGTTGAATGGGGAACGGGGAATGGCTCTGGAGTCAACGCAGGGGAATCAGGCCTCATCTCGAGTTGATTTGGGGCACATGGAGCTGCTTTGCGTTGCTGGGGTGACTTCAGGGTCCGTCTAGACTGGTGACAGTGTTCTTGGGGACTGCCTCGAGATCCATTAAGCAAGTCGAAGCTCCTGACTAGTTTGAATGGGATCATGGAATAGCTCTGCATGCACTGCAGGGGAATGGGGCCTCATCTCGCCTCTAGGGGAAGTCTGATGGTTTTTCTCGATTTGCGGCGAGGACGTGGGGTATGTTCTCGACTTACGGCGGCGATGGCCCTTCAAAACACGAGTTTCTTCAGTGACGTCAGGACTCCTGTCTAGTAACGAGGGACACCTCAGGAATCTCTTCGAGGCTTGGCAGGGCAAAAGGGACGCTTCTCGAGGTGAGGCATGGCACCCAAGGACCCTTTCCCGTAGCCACAGGGATTTTGGGATTCCTATCAGTATTCAAGAGGAGTCAGGCATTGTCACCTTTTGAAGCAAAGAACTCCGCGTGCCTCTCGAGGTGTCAGCTGGATGTGAGGCATTCCGTCAAAATGAGGCAGGGACCTAGGGCTTTCTCTAAGGTCTCCACAGGGGATTCAGGCATCCCTTCATGTTGTGAGATGAAAGACGAGCCTGTATTCAAGCCACTGCAAGGAAATCCGGCCTCCTTTCAAGTTAGGGCTTCTCGCTGTATATTCCCCTTGAGGCAGCAAACTCGGGGTCCCTCCCACATACCTATTGCTGAGAGAAGCCTCCTCCTGAGGTGCTTCTGGAAAGTTGGCATATGTCTTGAGCCTACGCCAGGGAATCAGCTCCCATCTCGAGACGATTTCGGGTACACGGATCATTCCTCGAGTTAATGTGATAAAGTTGGTGTTCCTCTAGACTTGGACAGTGTTCTCGGGGCATCTCTGGTGTTGCCTGAAGGAAGTCGAGCCACCGGTCGTGTTGAATGGGGAACGGGGAATGGCTCTGGAGTCAATGCAGGGGAATCAGGCCTCATCTCGAGTTGATTTGGGGCACATGGATCTGCTTTGCGTTGCTGGGGTGACCTCAGGGTCCGTCTAGACTGGTGACAGTGTTCTTGGGGACTGTCTCGTGATCCATTAAGCAAGTCGAAGCTCCTGACTTGTTTGAATGGGATCACGGAATAGCTCTGCCTGCACTGCAGAAGAATGGGGCCTCATCTCGCCTCTAGGGGGAAGTCTCATGGTTTTTCTCGAGTTGCGGCGGGGACCTGGGGTATGTTCTCGACTTGCGGCGGGGATGGCCCTTCAAAACACGAGTTTCTTCAGTGACATCAGGACTCCTGTCTAGTAACGAGGGACACCTCAGGAATCTCTTCGATGCTTGGCAGGGCAAAAGGGACGCTTCTCGAGGTGAGGCAGGGCACCCAAGGACCCTTTCCCGTAGCCACAGGGATTTTGGGATTCCTATCAGTATTCAAGAGGAGTCAGGCATCGTCACCTTTTGAAGCAGTGAACTCCGCCTGCCTCTCGAGGTGTCAGCGGGATGTGAGGCATTCCGTCAAAATGAGGCAGGGACCTAGGGCTTTCTCTAAGGTCTCCACAGGGGATTCAGGCATCCCTTCATGTTGTGAGATGAAAGACGTGCCTGTATTCAAGCCACTGCAAGGAAATCCGGCCTCCTTTCAAGTTAGGGCTTCTCGCTGTATATTCCCCTTGAGGCAGCAAATTCGGGGTCCCTCCCACATACCTATTGCTGAGAGAAGCCTCCTCCTGAGGTGCTTCTGGAAAGTTGGCATATGTCTTGAGCCTAAGCCAGGGAATCAGCTCTCATCTCGAGACGATTTGGGTTACATGGAGCATTCCTCGACTTAATGTGCTGAAGTTGGTGTTCCTCTAGACTTGGGACAGTGTTCTCAGGGCACCTCTGGAGTTGCCTGAAGGAAGACAAGCCACCTGTCCTGTTGAATGGGGAACGGGGAATGGCTCTGGAGTCAATGCAGGGGAATCGGGCCTCATCTCGAGTTGATTTGTGGCACATGGAGCTGCTTTGCTTTGCTGGGTTGACCTCAGGGTCCGTCTAGACAGGTGACAGTGTTCTTGGGGACTGTCTCGAGATCCATTAAGCAAGTCGAAGCTCCTGACTTTTTTGAATGGGATCACGGAATAGCTCTGCATGCACTACAGGGGAATGGGGCCTCATCTCGCCTCTCGGGGGAAGTCTCATGGTTTTCCTCGTGTTGGGGCGGGGACCTGGGGTATGTTCTCGACTTACGGCGGGTATGGCCCTTCAAAACACGAGTTTCTTCAGTGACGTCAGGACTCCTGTCTAGTAAAGAGGGACACCTCAGGAATCTCTTCGAGGCTTGGCAGGGTAAAAGGGACGCTTCTCGATGTGAGGCAGGGCACCCAAGCAGCCTTTCCCGTAGCCACACGGATTTTGGGATTCCTATCAGTATTCAAGAGGAGTCAGGCATCGTCACCTTTTGAAGCAATGAAATCCGCGTGCCTCTCGAGGTGTCAGCGGGATGTGAGGCATTCCGTCAAAATGAGGCAGGGACCTAGGGCTTTCTCTAAGGTCTCCACAGGGGATTCAGACATCCCTTCATGTTGTGAGATGAAAGACGAGCCTGTATTCAAGCCACTGCAAGGAAATCCGGCCTCCTTTCAAGTTAGGGCTTCTCGCTGTATATTCCCCTTGAGGCAGCAAACTCGGGGTCCCTCCCACATACCTATTGCTGAGAGAAGCCTCCTACTGAGGTGCTTCTGGAAAGTTGGCATACGTCTTGAGCCTAAGCCAGGGAATCAGCTCTCATCTCGAGACGATTTGGGGTACACGGATCATTCCTCGAGTTAATGTGCTGAAGTTGGTGTTCCTCTAGACTTGGGACAGTGTTCTCGGGGCATCTCTGGAGTTGCCTGAAGGAAGTCGAGCCACCGGTCGTGTTGAATGGGGAACAGGGAATGGCTCTGGAGTCAATGCAGGGGAATCAGGCCTCAACTCGAGTTGATTTGGGGCACATGGATCTGCTTTGCGTTGCTGGGGTAACCTCAGGGTCCATCTAGACTGGTGACACTGTTCTTGGGGACTGTCTCGTGATCCATTAAGCAAGTCGAAGCTACTGACTTGTTTGAATGGGATCACGGAATAGCTCTGACTGCACTGCAGGGGAATGGGGCCTCATCTCGCCTCTAGGGGGAAGTCTCATGGTTTTTCTCGAGTTGCGGCGGGGACCTGGGGTATGTTCTCGACTTACGGCGGGGATGGCCCTTCAAAACACGAGTTTCTTCAGTGACGTCAGGACTCCTGTCTAGTAAAGAGGAACACCTCAGGAATCTCTTCGAGGCTTGGCAGGGCCAAATTGAGGCTTCTCGAGGTGAGGCAGGGCACCCAAGGACCCTTTCCAGTAGCCACAGTGATTTTGGGATTCCTATCAGTATTCAAGAGGAGTCAGGCATCGTCACCTTTTGAAGCAATGAACTCCGCGTGCCTCTCGAGGTGTCAGCGGGATGTGAGGCATTCCGTCAAAATGAGGCAGGGACCTAGGGCTTTCTCTAAGGTCTCCACAGGGGATTCAGGCATCCCTTCATGTTGTGAGATGAAAGACGTGCCTGTATTCAAGCCACTGCAAGGAAATCCGGCCTCCTTTCAAGTTAGGGCTTCTCGCTGTATATTCCCCTTGAGGCAGCAAATTCGGGGTCCCTCCCACATACCTATTGCTGAGAGAAGCCTCCTCCTGAGGTGCTTCTGGAAAGTTGGCATATGTCTTGAGCCTAAGCCAGGGAATCAGCTCTCATCTCGAGACGATTTGGGTTACACGGAGCATTCCTCGACTTAATGTGCTGAAGTTGGTGTTCCTCTAGACTTGGGACAGTGTTCTCAGGGCACCTCTGGAGTTGCCTGAAGGAAGTCAAGCCACCTGTCCTGTTGAATGGGGAACGGGGAATGGCTCTGGAGTCAATGCAGGGGAATCGGGCCTCATCTCGAGTTGATTTGTGGCACATGGAGCTGCTTTGCTTTGCTGGGTTGACCTCAGGGTCCGTCTAGACAGGTGACAGTGTTCTTGGGGACTGTCTCGAGATCCATTAAGCAAGTCGAAGCTCCTGACTTTTTTGAATGGGATCACGGAATAGCTCTGCATGCACTGCAGGGGAATGGGGCCTCATCTCGCCTCTCGGGGGAAGTCTCATGGTTTTCCTCGTGTTGGGGCGGGGACCTGGGGTATGTTCTCGACTTACGGCGGGGATGGCCCTTCAAAACACGAGTTTCTGCAGTGACGTCAGGACTCCTGTCTAGTAAAGAGGGACACCTCAGGAATCTCTTCGAGGCTTGGCAGGGTAAAAGGGACGCTTCTCGATGTGAGGCAGGGCACCCAAGCAGCCTTTCCCGTAGCCACACGGATTTTGGGATTCCTATCAGTATTCAAGAGGAGTCAGGCATCGTCACCTTTTGAAGCAATGAAATCCGCGTGCCTCTCGAGGTGTCAGCGGGATGTGAGGCATTCCGTCAAAATGAGGCAGGGACCTAGGGCTTTCTCTAAGGTCTCCACAGGGGATTCAGACATCCCTTCATGTTGTGAGATGAAAGACGAGCCTGTATTCAAGCCACTGCAAGGAAATCCGGCCTCCTTTCAAGTTAGGGCTTCTCGCTGTATATTCCCCTTGAGGCAGCAAACTCGGGGTCCCTCCCACATACCTATTGCTGAGAGAAGCCTCCTACTGAGGTGCTTCTGGAAAGTTGGCATACGTCTTGAGCCTAAGCCAGGGAATCAGCTCTCATCTCGAGACGATTTGGGGTACACGGATCATTCCTCGAGTTAATGTGCTGAAGTTGGTGTTCCTCTAGACTTGGGACAGTGTTCTCGGGGCATCTCTGGAGTTGCCTGAAGGAAGTCGAGCCACCGGTCGTGTTGAATGGGGTACAGGGAATGGCTCTGGAGTCAATGCAGGGGAATCGGGCCTCATCTAGAGTTGATTTGGGGCACATGGAGCTGCTTTGCGTTGCTGGGGTGACCTCAGGGTCCGTCTAGACAGGTGACAGTGTTCTTGGGGACTGTCTCGAGATCCATTAAGCAAGTCGAAGCTCGTGTCTTGTTTGAATGGGATCACGGAATAGCTCTGCATGCACGGCAGGGGAATGGGGCCTCATCTCGCCTCTAGGGGGAAGTCTCATGGTTTTCCTCGAGTTGCGGCGGGGACCTGGGGTATGTTCTCGACGTACGGCAGGGATGGCCCTTCAAAACAAGAGTTTCTTCAGTGACGTCTGGACTCCTGACTAGTAACCAGGGACACCTCAGGAATCTCTTCGAGCCTTGGCAGGGCAAAAGGAACGCTTCTCGAGGTGAGGCAGGGCACCCAAGGACGCTTTCCAGTGGCCACAGGGATTTTGGGATTCCTATCAGTATTCAAGAGGAGTCAGGCATCGTCACCTTTTGAAGCAATGAACTCCGCGTGCCTCTCGAGGTGTCAGCAGGATTGGAGGCATTCCGTCAAAATGAGGCAGGGACCTAGGGCTTTCTCTAAGGTCTCCACAGGGGATTCAGACATCCCTTCATGTTGTGAGATGAAAGACGAGCCTGTATTCAAGCCACTGCAAGGAAATCCGGCCTCCTTTCAAGTTAGGGCTTCTCGCTGTATATTCCCCTTGAGGCAGCAATCTCGGGGTCCCTCCCACATACCTATTGCTGAGAGAAGCCTCCTCCTGAGGTGCTTCTGGAAAGTTGGCATATGTCTTGAGCCTACGCCAGGGAATCAGCTCCCATCTCGAGACGATTTGGGGTACACGGATCATTCCTCGAGTTAATGTGCTGAAGTTGGTGTTCCTCTAGACTTGGACAGTGTTATCGGGGCATCTCTGGAGTTGCCTGAAGGAAGTCGAGCCACCGGTCGTGTTGAATGGGGAACGGGGAATGGCTCTGGAGTCAATGCAGGGGAATCAGGCCTCATCTCGAGTTGATTTGGGGCACATGGATCTGCTTTGCGTTGCTGGGGTGACCTCAGGGTCCGTCTAGACTGGTGACAGTGTTCTTGGGGACTGTCTCGTGATCCATTAAGCAAGTCGAAGCTCCTGACTTGTTTGAATGGGATCACGGAATAGCTCTGCCTGCACTGCAGGGGAATGGGGCCTCATCTCGCCTCTAGGGGGAAGTCTCATGGTTTTCTTCGAGTTGCGGCGGGGACCTGGGGTATGTTCTCAACTTACGGCGGGGATGGCCCTTCAAAACACGAGTTTCTTCAGTGACGTCAGGACTCCTGTCTATTAACGAGGGACACATCAGGAATCTCTTCGAGGCTTGGCAGGGCAAAAGGGACGCTTCTCGAGGTGAGGCAGGGCACCCAAGTACCCTTTCCAGTAGCCACAGGGATTTTGGGATTCCTATCAGTATTCAAGAGGAGTCAGGCATCGTCACCTTTTGAAGCAATGAACTCCGCGTGCCTCTCGAGGTGTCAGCAGGATTGGAGGCATTCCGTCAAAATGAGGCAGGGACCTAGGGCTTTCTCTAAGCCCTCCACAGGGGATTCAGACATCACTTCATGTTGTGAGATGAAAGACGAGCCTGTATTCAAGCCACTGCAAGGAAATCCGGCCTCCTTTCAAGTTAGGGCTTCTCGCTGTATATTCCCCTTGAGGCAGCATACTCGGGGTCCCTCCCACATACCTATTGCTGAGAGAAGCCTCCTCCTGAGGTGCTTCTGGAAAGTTGGCATACGTCTTGAGCCTAAGCCAGGGAATCAGCTCTCATCTCGAGACGACTTGGGGTACACGGAGCATTCCTCGAGTTGCTGTGCTGAAGTTGGTGTTCCTCTAGACTTGGGACAGTGTTCTCTGGGCATCTCTGGAGTTGCCTGAAGAAAGTCAAGCCACCTGTCCTGTTGAATAGGGAACGGGGAATGGCTCTGGGGTCAATGCAGGGGAATCGGGCCTCATCTCGAGTTGATTTGGGGCACATGGAGCTGCTTTGCGTTGCTGGGGTGACCTCAGGGTCCGTCTAGACTGCTGACAGTGTTCTTGGGGACTGTCTCGAGATCCATTAAGCAAGTCGAAGCTCCTGACTTGTTTGAATGGGATCACGGAATAGCTCTGCATGCACTGCAGGGGAATGGGGCCTCATCTCGCCTCTAGGGGGAAGTCTCATGGTTTTTCTCGAGTTGCGGCGGGGACCTGCGGTATGTTCTCGACTTACGGCGGGGATGGCCCTTCAAAACAAGAGTTTCTTCAGTGACGTCAGGACTCCTGTCTAGTAACGAGGGACACCTCAGGAATCTCTTCGAGGCTTGGCAGGGCAAAAGGGACGCTTCTCGAGGTGAGGCAGGGCACCCAAGGACCCTTTCCCGTAGCCACAGGGATTTTGGGATTCCTATCAGCATTCAAGAGGAGTCAGGCATCGTCACCTTTTGAAGCAATGAACTCCGCGTGCCTCTCGAGGTGTCAGCGGGATGTGAGGCATTCCGTCAAAATGTGGCAGGGACCTAGTGCTTTCTCTAAGGTCTCCACAGGGGATTCAGACATCCCTTCATGTTGTGAGATGAAAGACGAGCCTGTATTCAAGCCACTGCAAGGAAATCCGGCCTCCTTTCAAGTTAGGGCTTCTCGCTGTATATTCCCCTTGAGGCAGCAAACTCGGGGTCCCTCCCACAAACCTATTGCTGAGAGAAGCCTCCTCCTGAGGTGCTTCTGGAAAGTTGCCATACGTCTTGAGCCTAAGCCAGGGAATCAGCTCTCATCTCGAGATGATTTGGGGTACACGGAGCATTCCTCGAGTTCTGTGCTTAAGTTGGTGTTCCTCTAGACTTGGGACAGTGTTCTCGGGGAATCTCTGGAGTTGCCTGAAGGAAGTCGAGCCACCGGTCGTGTTGAATGGGGAACGGGGAATGGCTCTGGAGTCAATGCAGGGGAATCGGGCCTCATCTCGAGTTGATTTGGGGCACATGGAGCTGCTTTGCGTTGCTGGGGTGACCTCAGGGTCCGTCTAGACAGGTGACAGTGTTCTTGGGGACTGTCTCGAGATCCATTAAGCAAGTCGAAGCTCGTGTCTTGTTTGAATGGGATCACGGAATAGCTCTGCATGCACGGCAGGGGAATGGGGCCTCATCTCGCCTCTAGGGGGAAGTCTCATGGTTTTCCTCGAGTTGCGGCGGGGACCTGGGGTATGTTCTCGACGTACGGCGGGGATGGCCCTTCAAAACACGAGTTTCTTCAGTGACGTCTGGACTCGTGACTAGTAACGAGGGACACCTCAGGAATCTCTTCGAGCCTTGGCAGGGCAAAAGGAACGCTTCTCGAGGTGAGGCAGGGCACCCAAGGACGCTTTCCAGTAGCCACAGGGATTTTGGGATTCCTATCAGTATTCAAGAGGAGTCAGGCATCGTCACCTTTTGAAGCAATGAACTCCGCGTGCCTCTCGAGGTGTCAGCAGGATTGGAGGCATTCCGTCAAAATGAGGCAGGGACCTAGGGCTTTCTCTAAGGTCTCCACAGGGGATTCAGACATCCCTTCATGTTGTGAGATGAAAGACGAGCCTGTATTCAAGCCACTGCAAGGAAATCCGGCCTCCTTTCAAGTTAGGGCTTCTCGCTGTATATTGCCCTTGAGGCAGCAATCTCGGGGTCCCTCCCACATACCTATTGCTGAGAGAAGCCTCCTCCTGAGGTGCTTCTGGAAAGTTGGCATATGTCTTGAGCCTACGCCAGGGAATCAGCTCCCATCTCTAGACGATTTGGGGTACACGGATCATTCCTCGAGTTAATGTGCTGAAGTTGGTGTTCCTCTAGACTTGGACAGTGTTATCGGGGCATCTCTGAAGTTGCCTGAAGGAAGTCGAGCAACCGGTCGTGTTGAATGGGGAACGGGGAATGGCTCTGGAGTCAATGCAGGGGAATCAGGCCTCATCTCGAGTTGATTTGGGGCACATGGATCTGCTTTGCGTTGCTGGGGTGACCTCAGGGTCCGTCTAGACTGGTGACAGTGTTCTTGGGGACTGTCTCGTGATCCATTAAGCAAGTCGAAGCTCCTGACTTGTTTGAATGGGATCACGGAATAGCTCTGCCTGCACTGCAGGGGAATGGGGCCTCATCTCGCCTCTAGGGGGAAGTCTCATGGTTTTTTTCGAGTTGCGGCGGGGACCTGGGGTATGTTCTCGACTTACGGCGGGGATGGCCCTTCAAAACACGAGTTTCTTCAGTGACGTCAGGACTCCTCTCTAGTAAAGAGGGACACCTCAGGAATCTCTTCGAGGTTTGGCAGGGCAAAAGGGACGCTTCTCGAGGTGAGGCAGGGCACCCAAGGACCCTTTCCAGTAGCCACAGGGATTTTGGGATTCCTATCAGTATTCAAGAGGAGTCAGGCATCGTCACCTTTTGAAGCAATGAACTCCGCGTGCCTCTCGAGGTGTCAGCGGGATGTGAGGCATTCCGTCAAAATGAGGCAGGGACCTAGGGCTTTCTCTAAGGTCTCCACAGGGGATTCAGACATCCCTTCATGTTGTGAGATTAAAGACGAGCCTGTATTCAAGCCACTGCAAGGAAATCCGGCCTCCTTTCAAGTTAGGGCTTCTCGCTGTATATTCCCCTTGAGGCAGCAAACTCGGGGTCCCTCCCACATACCTATTGCTGAGAGAAGCCTCCTCCTGAGGTGCTTCTGGAAAGTTGGCATACATCTTGAGCCTAAGCCAGGGAATCAGCTCTCATCTCGAGACGATTTGGGTTACACGGAGCATTCCTCGAGTTAATGTGCTGAAGTTGGTGTTCCTCTAGACTTGGGACAGTGTTCTCAGGGAATCTCTGGAGTTGCCTGAAGGAAGTCAAGCCACCTGTCCTGTTGAATGTGGAACGGGGAATGGCTCTGGAGTCAATGCAGGGGAATCGGGCCTCATCTCGTGTTGATTTGGGGCACATGGATCTGCTTTGCGTTGCTGGGGTGACCTCAGGGTCCGTCTAGACTGGTGACAGTGTTCTTGGGGACTGTCTCGAGATCCATTAAGCAAGTCGAAGCTCCTGACTTTTTGAATGGGATCACGGAATAGCTCTGCATGCACTGCAGGGGAATGGGGCCTCATGTCGCCTCTAGGGGGAAGTCTCATGGTTTTTCTCGTGTTGGGGCGGGGACCTGGGGTATGTTCTCGACTTACGGCGGGGATGGCCCTTCAAAACACGAGTTTCTTCAGTGACGTCAGGACTCCTCTCTAGTAAAGAGGGACACCTCAGGAATCTCTTCGAGGTTTGGCAGGGCAAAAGGGACGCTTCTCGAGGTGAGGCAGGGCACCCAAGGACCCTTTCCAGTAGCCACAGGGATTTTGGGATTCCTATCAGTATTCAAGAGGAGTCAGGCATCGTCACCTTTTGAAGCAATGAACTCCGCGTGCCTCTCGAGGTGTCAGCGGGATGTGAGGCATTCCGTCAAAATGAGGCAGGGACCTAGGGCTTTCTCTAAGGCCTCCACAGGGGATTCAGACATCACTTCATGTTGTTAGATGAAAGACGAGCCTGTATTCAAGCCACTGCAAGGAAATCCGGCCTCCTTTCAAGTTAGGGCTTCTCGCTGTATATTCCCCTTGAGGCAGCATACTCGGGGTCCCTCCCACATACCTATTGCTGAGAGAAGCCTCCTCCTGAGGTGCTTCTGGAAAGTTGGCATACGTCTTGAGCCTAAGCCAGGGAATCAGCTCTCATCTCGAGACGACTTGGGGTACACGGAGCATTCCTCGAGTTGCTGTGCTGAAGTTGGTGTTCCTCTAGACTTGGGACAGTGTTCTCGGGGCATCTCTGGAGTTGCCTGAAGAAAGTCAAACCACCTGTCCTGTTGAGTGGAGAACGGGGAATGGCTCTGGAGTCAATGCAGGGGAATCGGGCCTCATCTCGAGTTGATTTGGGGCACATGGAGCTGCTTTGCGTTGCTGGGGTGACCTCAGGGTCCGTCTAGACTGGTGACAGTGTTCTTGGGGACTGTCTCGAGATCCATTAACTAAGTCGAAGCTCCTGACTTGTTTGAATGGGATCACGGAATAGCTCTGCATGCACTGCAGGGGAATGGGGCCTCATCTCGCCTCTAGGGGGAAGTCTCATGGTTTTTCTCGAGTTGCGGCGGGGACCTGCGGTATGTTCTCGACTTACGGCGGGGATGGCCCTTCAAAACACGAGTTTCTTCAGTGACGTCATGACTCCTGTCTAGTAACGAGGGACACCTCAGGAATCTCTTCGAGGCTTGGCAGGGCAAAAGGGACGCTTCTCGAGGTGAGGCAGGGCACCCAAGGACCCTTTCCCGTAGCCACAGGGATTTTGGGATTCCTATCAGTATTCAAGAGGAGTCAGGCATCGTCACCTTTTGAAGCAATGAACTCCGCGTGCCTCTCGAGGTGTCAGCGGGATGTGAGGCATTCCGTCAAAATGAGGCAGGGACCTACGGCTTTCTCTAAGGTCTCCACAGGGGATTCAGACATCCCTTCATGTTGTGAGATGAAAGACGAGCCTGTATTCAAGCCACTGCAAGGAAATCCGGCCTCCTTTCAAGTTAGGGCTTCTTGCTGTATATTCCCCTTGAGGCAGCAAACTCGGGGTCCCTCCCACATACCTATTGCTGACAGAAGCCTCCTCCTGAGGTGCTTCTGGAAAGTTGGCATATGTCTTGAGCCTAAGCCAGGGAATCAGCTCTCATCTCGAGACGATTTGGGGTACACGGAGCATTCCTCGAATTGCTGTGCTGAAGTTGGTGTTCCTCTAGACTTGGGACAGTGTTCTCGGGGCATCTCTGTAGTTGCCTGAAGGAAGTCGAGCAACCGGTCGTGTTGAATGGGGAACCGGGAATGGCTCTGGAGACAATGCAGGGGAATCGGGCCTCATCTCGAGTTGATTTGGGGCACATGGAGCTGCTTTGCATTGCTGGGGTGACATCAGGGTCCGTCTAGACTGGTGACAGTGTTCTTGGGGACTGTCTCGAGATCCATTAAGCAAGTCGAAGCTCCTGACTTGTTTGAATGGGATCACGGAATAGCTCTGCATGCACTGCAGGGGAATGGGGCCTCATCTCGCCTCTAGGGGAAGTCTCATGATTTTTCTCGAGTTGCGGCGGGGACCTGGGGTATGTTCTCGACTTACGGCGGGGATGGCCCTTCAAAACACGAGTTTCTTCAGTGACGTCAGGACTCCTGTCTAGTAGCGAGGGACACCTCAGGAATCTCTTCGAGGCTTGGCAGGGCAAAAGGGACGCTTCTCGAGGTGAGGCAGGGCACCCAAAGACCCTTTCCCGTAGCCACAGGGATTTTGGGATTCCTATCAGTATACAAGAGGAGTCAGGCATCGTCACCTTTTGAAGCAATGAACTCCGCGTGCCTCTCGAGGTGTCAGCGGAATGTGAGGCATTCCGTCAAAATGAGGCAGGGACCTAGGGCTTTGTCTAAGGTCTCCACAGGGGATTCAGACATCCCTTCATGTTGTGAGATGAAAGACGAGCCTGTATTCAAGCCACTGCAAGGAAATCCGGCCTCCTTTCAAGTTAGGGCTTCTCGCTGTATATTCCCCTTGAGGCAGCAATCTCAGGGTCCCTCCCACATACCTATTGCTGACAGAAGCCTCCTCCTGAGGTGCTTCTGGAAAGTTGGCATACGTCTTGAGCCTAAGCCAGGATTTCAGCTCTCATCTCGAGACGATTTGGGGTACACGGATCATTCCTCGAGTTAATGTGCTGAAGTTGGTGTTCCTCTAGATTTGGGACAGTGTTCTCGGGGCATCTCTGGAGTTGCCTGAAGGAAGTCGAACCACCGGTCGTGTTGAATGGGGAACGGGGAATGGCTCTGGAGTCAATGCAGGGGATTCGGGCCTCATCTCGAGTTGATTTGGGGCACATGGAGCTGCTTTGCGTTGCTGGGGTGACCTCAGGGTCCGTCTAGACTGGTGACAGTGTTTTGGGGACTGTCTCGTGATCCATTAAGCAAGTCGAAGCTCCTGATTTGTTTGAATGGGATCACGGAATAGCTCTGCCTGCACTGCAGGGGAATGAGGCCTCATCTCGCTTCTAGGGGGAAGTCTCATGGTTTTTCTCGAGTTGCGGCGGGGACCTGGGGTATGTTCTCGACTTACGGCAGGCATGGCCCTTCAAAACACGAGTTTGTTCAGTGACGTCAGGACTCCTGTCTAGTAAAGAGGGACAACTCAGGAATCTCTTCGAGGCTTGGCAGGGCCAAATTGAGGCTTCTCGAGGTGAGACAGGGCACCCAAGGACCCTTTCCAGTAGCCACAGGGATTTTGGGATTCCTATCAGTATTCAAGAGGAGTCAGGCATCGTCACCTTTTGAAGCAATGAACTCCGCGTGCCTCTCGAGGTGTCAGCGGGATGTGAGGCATTCCGTCAAAATGAGGCAGGGACCTAGGACTTTCTCTAAGGCCTCCACAGGGGATTCAGACATCCCTTCATGTTGTGAGATGAAAGACGAGAATGTATTCAAGCCACTGCAAGGAAATCCGGCCTCCTTTCAAGTTAGGGGTTCTCGCTGTATATTCCCCTTGAGGCAGCAAACTCGGGGTCCCTCCCACATACCTATTGCTGAGAGAAGCCTCCTCCTGAGGTGCTTCTGGAAAGTTGGCATACGTCTTGAGCTTAAGCCAGGGAATCAGCTCTCATCTCGAGGCGATTTGGGGTACACGGAGCATTCCTCGAGTTGCTGTGCTGAAGTTGGTGTTCCTCTCGACTTGGGACAGTGTTCTCGGGGCATCTCTGGAGTTGCCTGAAGGAAGTCGAGCCACCGGTCGTGTTGAATGGGGAACGGGGAATGGCTCTGGAGTCAATGCAGGGGAATCGGGCCTCATCTCGAGTTGATTTGGGGCACATGGAGCTGCTTTGCTTTGCTGGGGTGACCTCAGGGTCCGTCTAGACTGGTGACAGTGTTCTTGGGGACTGTCTCGAGATCCATTAAGCAAGTAGAAGCTCCTGACTTGTTTGAATGGGATCACGGAATAGCTCTGCATGCACTGCAGGGGAATGGGGCCTCATCTCGCCTCTAGGGGGAAGTCTCATGGTTTTTCTCGACTTGCGACGGGGACCTGGGGTATGTTCTCGACTTCCGGCGGGGATGGCCCTTCAAAACACGAGTTTCTTCAGTGACGTCAGGACTCCTGTCTAGTAACGAGGGACACTTCAGGAACCTCTTCGAGGCTTGGCAGGGCAAAGGGGACGCTTCTCGAGGTGAGGCAGGGCACCCATGGACCATTTCCCGTAGCCACAGGGATTTTGGGATTCCTATCAGTATTCAAGAGGAGTCAGGCATCGTCACCTTTTGAAGCAATGAACTCCGCGTGCCTCTCGAGTTGTCAGTGGGATGTGAGGCATTCCGTCAAAATGAGGCAGGGACCTAGGGCTTTCTCTAAGGTCCCCACAGGGGATTCAGATATCACTTCATGTTGTGAGATGAAAGACGAGCCTGTATTCAAGCCACTGCAAGGAAATCCGGCCTCCTTTCAAGTTAGGGCTTCTCGCTGTATATTCCCCTTGAGGCAGCAAACTCGGGGTCCCTCCCACATACCTATTGCTGAGAGAAGCCTCCTCCTGAGGTGCTTCTGGAAAGTTGGCATACGTCTTGAGCCTAAGCCAGGATATCAGCTCTCATCTCGAGACGATTTGGGGTACACGGATCATTCCTCGAGTTAATGTGCTGAACTTGGTGTTCCTCTAGACTTGGGACAGTGTTCTCGGGGCATCTCTGGAGTTGCCTGAAGGAAGTCGAGCCACCGGTCGTGTTGAATGGGGAACGGGGAATGGCTCTGGAGTCAATGCAGGGCAATCGGGCCTCATCTCGAGTTGATTTGGGGCACATGGATCTGCTTTGCGTTGCTGGGGTGACCTCAGGGTCCGTCTAGACTGGTGACAGTGTTTTTGGGGACTGTCTCGTGATCCATTAAGCAAGTCTAAGCTCCTGATTTGTTTGAATGGGATCACGGAATAGCTCTGCCTGCATTGCAGGGGAATGGGTCCTCATCTCGCCTCTAGGGGGAAGTCTCATGGTTTTTCTCGAGTTGCGGCGGGGACCTGGGGTATGTTCTCGACTTACGGCAGGGATGGCCCTTCAAAACACGAGTTTCTTCAGTGACGTCAGGACTCCTGTCTAGTAAAGAGGGACAACTCAGGAATCTCTTCGAGGCTTGGCAGGGCCAAATTGAGGCTTCTCGAGTTGAGACAGGGCACCCAAGGACCCTTTCCCGTAGCCACAGGGATTTTGGGATTCCTATCAGTATTCAAGAGGAGTCAGGCATCGTCACCTTTTGAAGCAATGAACTCCGCGTGCCTCTCGAGGTGTCAGCGGGATGTGAGGCATTCCGTCAAAATGAGCCAGGGACCTAGGGTTTTCTCTAAGGTCTCCACAGGGGATTCAGACATCACTTCATGTTGTGAGATGAAAGACGAGCCTGTATTCAAGCCACTGCAAGGAAATCCGGCTCCTTTCAAGTTAGGGCTTCTCGCTGTTTATTCCCCTTGAGGCAGCAAACTCGGGGTCCCTCCCACATACCTATTGCTGAGAGAAGCCTCCTCCTGAGGTGCTTCTGGAAAGTTGGCATACGTCTTGAGCCTAAGCCAGGGAATCAGCTCTCATCTCGAGACGACTTGGGGTACACGGAGCATTCCTCGAGTTGCTGTGCTGAAGTTGGTGTTCCTCTAGACTTGGGACAGTGTTCTCGGGGCATCTCTGGAGTTGCCTGAAGGAAGTCAAGCCACCTGTCCTGTTGAATGAGGAACGGGGAATTGCTCTGGAGTCAATGCAGGGGAATCGGGCCTCATCTCGAGTTGATTTGGGGCACATGGAGCTGCTTTGCGTTGCTGGGGTGACCTCAGGGTCCGTCTAGACTGGTGACAGTGTTCTTGGGGACTGTCTCGAGATCCATTAAGCAAGTCGAAACTCCTGACTTGTTTGAATGGGATCACGGAATAGCTCTGAATGCACTGCAGGGGAATGGGGCCTCTTCTCGCCTCTAGGGGGAAGACTCATGGTTTTTCTCGAGTTGCGGCGGGGACCTGGGGTATGTTCTCGACTTACGGCGGGGATGGCCCTTCAAAACACGAGTTTCTTCAGTGACGTCAGGACTCCTGTCTAGTAATGAGGGACACCTCAGGAATCTCTTCGAGGCTTGGCAGGGCAAAAGGGACGCTTCTCGAGGTGAGGCAGGGCACCCAGGGACCCTTTCCAGTAGCCACAGGGATTTTGGGATTCCTATCAGTGTTCAAGAGGAGTCAGGCATCGTCACCTTTTGAAGCAATGAACTACGCGTGCCTCTCGAGGTGTCAGCGGGATGTGAGGCATTCCGTCAAAATGAGGCAGGGACCTAGGGCTTTCTCTAAGGTCTCCACAGGGGATTGAGACATCCCTTCAGGTTGTGAGATGAAAGACGAGCCTGTATTCAAGCCACTGCAAGGAAATCCGGCCTCCTTTCAAGTTAGGGCTTCTCGCTGTATATTCCCCTTGAGGCAGCAAACTCGGGGTCCCTCCCACATACCTATTGCTGAGAGAAGCCTCCTCCTGAGGTGCTTCTGGAAAGATGGCATACGTCTTGAGCCTAAGCCATGGAATCTGCTCTCATCTCGAGACGATTTGGGGTACACGGAGCATTCCTCGAGTTTCTGTGCTGAAGTTCGTGTTCCTCTCGACTTGGGACAGTGTTCTCGGGGCATCTCTGGAGTTACCTGAGGGAAGTCGAGCCACCGGTCGTGTTGAATGGGGAACGGGGAATGGCTCTGGAGTCAATGCAGGGGAATCGGGCCTCATCTCGAGTTGATTTGGGGCACATGGAGCTGCTTTGCGTTGCTGAGGTGACCTCAGGGTCCGTCTAGACAGGTGACAGTGTTCTTGGGGACTGTCTCGAGATCCATTAAGCAAGTCGAAGTTCCTGACTTGTTTGAATGGGATCACGGAATAGCTCTGCATGCACTGCAGGGGAATGGAGCCTCATCTGCTCTATAGGGGGAAGTCTCATGGTTTTTCTCGAGTTGCGGCGGGGACCTGGGGTATGTTCTCGACTTAAGGCGGGGATGGCCCTTCAAAACACGAGTTTCTTCAGTGACGTCAGGACTCCTGTCTAGTAACGAGGGACACCTCAGGAATCTCTTCGATCTATGGCAGGGCAAAAGGGACGCTTCTCGAGGTGAGGCAGGGCACCCAAGGACCCTTTCCCGTAGCCACAGGCATTTTGGGATTCCTATCAGCATTCAAGAGGAGTCAGGTATCGTCACCTTTTGAAGCAATGAACTCCGCGTGCCTCCCTCAGGTGTCAGCGGGATGTGAGGCATTCCGTCAAAAGTGTCACAGGGACCTAGGGCTTTCTCTAAGGTCTCCACAGGGGATTCAGACATCCCTTCATGTTGTGAGATGAAAGACGAGCCTGTATTCAAGCCACTGCAAGGAAATCCGGCCTCCTTTCAAGTTAGGGCTTCTCGCTGTATATTCCCCTTGAGGCAGCAAACTCGGGGTCCCTCCCACAAACCTATTGCTGAGAGAAGCCTCCTCCTGAGGTGCTTCTGAAAGCTGGCATATGTCTTGAGCCTAAGCCAGGGAATCAGCTCTCATCTCGAGATGATTTGGGGTACACGGAGCATTCCTCGAGTTCTGTGCTTAAGTTGGTGTTCCTCTAGACCTGGGACAGTGTTCTCGGGGAATCTCTGGAGTTGCCTGAAGGAAGTCGAGCCACCGGTCGTGTTGAATGGGGAACGGGGAATGGCTCTGGAGTCAATGCAGGGGAATCGGGCCTCATCTCGAGTTGATTTGGGGCACATGGAGCTGCTTTGCGTTGCTGGGGTGACCTCAGGGTCCGTCTAGACTGGTGACAGTGTTCTTGGGGACTGTCTCGAGATCCATTAAGCAAGCGAAGCTCGTGTCTTGTTTGAATGGGATCACGGAATAGCTCTGCATGCACTGCAGGGGAATGGGGCCTCATCTCGCCTCTAGGGGGAAGTCTCATGGTTTTCCTCGAGTTGCGGCGGGGACCTGGGGTATGTTCTCGACGTAAGGCGGGGATGGCCCTTCAAAACACGAGTTTCTTCAGTGACGTCTGGACTCCTGACTAGTAACGAGGGACACCTCAGGAATCTCTTCGAGCCTTGGCAGGGCAAAAGGGACGCTTCTCGAGGTGAGGCTGGGCACCCAAGGACCCTATCCAGTAGCCACAGGGATTTTGGGATTCCTATCAGTATTCAAGAGGAGTCAGGCATCGTCACCTTTTGAAGCAATGAACTCCGCGTGCCTCTCGAGGTGTCAGCAGGATTGGAGGCATTCCGTCAAAATGAGGCAGGGAACTAGGGCTTTCTCTAAGGTCTCCACAGGGGATTCAGACATCCCTTCATGTTGTGAGATGAAAGACGAGCCTGTATTGAAGCCAATGCAAGGAAATCCGGCCTCCTTTCAAGTTAGGGCTTCTCGCTGTATATTCCCCTTGAGGCAGCAAACTCGGGGTCCCTCCCACATACCTATTGCTGAGAGAAGCCTCCTCCTGAGGTGCTTCTGGAAAGTTGGCATACGTCTTGAGCCTAAGCCAGGGAATCAGCTCTCATCTCGAGACGATTTGGGGTACACTGAGCATTCCTCGAGTTGCTGTGCTGAAGTTGGTGTTCCTCTAGACTTGGGACAGTGTTCTCGGGGCATCTCTGGAGTTGCATGAAGGAAGTCGAGCCACCGGTCGTGTTGAATGGGGAACCGGGAATGGCTCTGGAGACAATGCAGGGGAATCGGGCCTCATCTCGAGTTGATTTGGGGCACATAGAGCTGCTTTGCATTGCTGGGGTGACATCAGGGTCCGTCTAGACTGGTGACAGTGTTCTTGGGGACTGTCTCGAGATCCATTAAGCAAGTCGAAGCTCCTGACTTGTTTGAATGGGATCACGGAATAGCTCTGCATGCACTGCAGGGGAATGGGGCCTCATCACTCCTCTAGGGGAAGCCTCATGATTTTTCTCGAGTTGCGGCGGGGACGTGGGGTATGTTCTCGACTTACGGCGGGGATGGCCCTTCAAAACAAGAGTTTCTTCAGTGACGTCAGGACTCCTGTCTAGTAGCGAGGGACACCTCAGAAATCTCTTCGAGGCTTGGCAGGGCCAAATTGAGGCTTCTCGAGGTGAGACAGGGCACCCAAGGACCCTTTCCAGTAGCCACAGGGATTTTGGGATTCCTATCAGTATTCAAGAGGAGTCAGGCATCGTCACCTTTTGAAGCAATGAACTCCGCGTGCCTCTCGAGGTGTCAGCGGGATGTCAGGCATTCCGTCAAAATGAGACAGTTACCTAGGGCTTTCTCTAAGGTCTCCACAGGGGATTCAGACATCACTTCATGTTGTGAGATGAAAGACGAGCCTGTATTCAAGCCACTGCAAGGAAATCCGGCTCCTTTCAAGTTAGGGCTTCTCGCTGTATATTCCCCTTGAGGCAGCAAACTCGGGGTCCCTCCCACATACCTATTGCTGAGAGAAGCCTCTTCCTGAGGTGCTTCTGGAAAGTTGGCATACTTCTTGAGCCTAAGCCAGGGAATCAGCTCTCATCTCGAGACGACTTGGTGTACACGGAGCATTCCTCGAGTTGCTGTGCTGAAGTTGGTGTTCCTCTAGACTTGGGACAGTGTTCTCGGGGCATCTCTGGAGTTGCCTGAAGGAAGTCAAGCCACCTGTCCTGTTGAATGAGGAACGGGGAATGGCTCTGGAATCAATGCAGGGGAATCGGGCCTCATCTCGAGTTGATTTGGGGCACATGGATATGCTTTGCGTTGCTGGGGTGACCTCAGGGTCCGTCTAGACTGGTGACAGTGTTCTTGGGGACTGTCTCGAGATCCATTAAGCAAGTCGAAGCTCCTGACTTGTTTGAATGGGATCACGGAATAGTTCTGCATGCACTGCAGGGGAATGGGGCCTCATCTCGCCTCTAGGGGGAAGTCTCATGGTTTTTCTCGAGTTGCGGCGGGGACCTGCGGTATGTTCTCGACTTATGGCGGGGATGGCCCTTCAAAACACGAGTTTCTTCAGTGACGTCAGGACTCCTGTCTAGTAACGAGGGACACCTCAGGAATCTCTTCGATCTATGGCAGGGCAAAAGGGACGCTTCTCGAGGTGAGGTAGGGCACCCAAGGACCCTTTCCCGTAGCCACAGGGATTTAGGGATTCCTATCAGTATACAAGAGGAGTCAGGCATCGTCACCTTTTGAAGCAATGAACTCCGCGTGCCTCTCGAGGTGTCAGCGGGATGTGAGGCATTCCGTCAAAATGAGGCAGGAACCTAGGGCTTTGTCTAAGGTCTCCACAGGGGATTCAGACATCCCTTCATGTTGTGAGATGAAAGACGAGCCTGTATTCAAGCCACTGCAAGGAAATCCGGCCTCCTTTCAAGTTAGGGCTTCTCGCTGTATATTCCCCTTGAGGCAGCAAACTCGGGGTCCCTCCCACATACCTATTGCTGAGAGAAGCCTCCTCCTGAGGTGCTTCTGGAAAGTCGGCATACGTCTTGAGCCTAAGCCAGGATATCAGCTCTCATCTCGAGACGATTTGGGGTACACGGATCATTCCTCGAGTTAATGTGCTGAACTTGGTGTTCCTCTAGACTTGGGACAGTGTTCTTGGGGCATCTCTGGAGTTGCCTGAAGGAAGTCGAGCCACCGGTCGTGTTGAATGGGGAACGGGGAATGGCTCTGGAGTCAATGCAGGGCAATCGGGCCTCATCTCGAGTTGATTTGGGGCACATGGATCTGCTTTGCGTTGCTGGGGTGACCTCAGGGTCCGTCTAGACTGGTGACAGTGTTTTTGGGGACTGTCTCGTGATCCATTAAGCAAGTCTAAGCTCCTGATTTGTTTGAATGGGATCACGGAATAGCTCTGCCTGCATTGCAGGGGAATGGGGCCTCATCTCGCCTCTAGGGGGAAGTCTCATGGTTTTTCTCGAGTTGCGGCGGGGACCTGGGGTATGTTCTCGACTTACGGCAGGGATGGCCCTTCAAAACACGAGTTTCTTCAGTGACGTCAGGACTCCTGTCTAGTAAAGAGGGACAACTCAGGAATCTCTTCGAGGCTTGGCAGGGCCAAATTGAGGCTTCTCGAGTTGAGACAGGGCACCCAAGGACCCTTTCCCGTAGCCACAGGGATTTTGGGATTCCTATCAGTATTCAAGAGGAGTCAGGCATCGTCACCTTTTGAAGCAATGAACTCCGCGTGCCTCTCGAGGTGTCAGCGGGATGTGAGGCATTCCGTCAAAATGAGCCAGGGACCTAGGGTTTTGTCTAAGGTCTCCACAGGGGATTCAGACATCACTTCATGTTGTGAGATGAAAGACGAGCCTGTATTCAAGCCACTGCAAGGAAATCCGGCTCCTTTCAACTTAGGGCTTCTCGCTGTATATTCCCCTTGAGGCAGCAAACTCGGGGTCCCTCCCACATACCTATTGCTGAGAGAAGCCTCCTCCTGAGGTGCTTCTGGAAAGTTGGCATACGTCTTGAGCCTAAGCCAGGGAATCAGCTCTCATCTCGAGACGACTTGGGGTACACGGAGCATTCCTCGAGTTGCTGTGCTGAAGTTGGTGTTCCTCTAGACTTGGGACAGTGTTCTCGGGGCATCTCTGGAGTTGCCTGAAGGAAGTCAAGCCACCTGTCCTGTTGAATGAGGAACGGGGAATGGCTCTGGAGTCAATGCAGGGGAATCGGGCCTCATCTCGAGTTGATTTGGGGCACATGGAGCTGCTTTGCGTTGCTGGGGTGACCTCAGGGTCCGTCTAGACTGGTGACAGTGTTCTTGGGGACTGTCTCGAGATCCATTAAGCAAGTCGAAACTCCTGACTTGTTTGAATGGGATCACGGAATAGCTCTGCATGCACTGCAGGGGAATGGGGCCTCATCTCGCCTCTAGGGGGAAGTCTCATGGTTTTTCTCGAGTTGCGGCAGGGACCTGCGGTATGTTCTCGACTTACGGCGGGGATGGCCCTTCAAAACATGAGTTTCTTCAGTGACGTCAGGACTCCTGTCTAGTAGCGAGGGACACCTCAGAAATCTCTTCGATGCTTGGCAGGGCAAAAGGGACGCTTCTCGAGGTGAGGCAGGGCACCCAGGGACCCTTTCCAGTAGCCACAGGGATTTTGGGATTCCTATCAGTGTTCAAGAGGAGTCAGGCATCGTCACCTTTTGAAGCAATGAACTACGCGTGCCTCTCGAGGTGTCAGCGGGATGTGAGGCATTCCGTCAAAATGAGGCAGGGACCTAGGGCTTTCTCTAAGGTCTCCACAGGGGATTGAGACATCCCTTCAGGTTGTGAGATGAAAGACGAGCCTGTATTCAAGCCACTGCAAGGAAATCCGGCCTCCTTTCAAGTTAGGGCTTCTCGCTGTATATTCCCCTTGAGGCAGCAAACTCGGGGTCCCTCCCACATACCTATTGCTGAGAGAAGCCTCCTCCTGAGGTGCTTCTGGAAAGATGGCATACGTCTTGAGCCTAAGCCATGGAATCTGCTCTCATCTCGAGACGATTTGGGGTACACGGAGCATTCCTCGAGTTGCTGTGCTGAAGTTCGTGTTCCTCTCGACTTGGGACAGTGTTCTCGGGGCATCTCTGGAGTTACCTGAGGGAAGTCGAGCCACCGGTCGTGTTGAATGGGGAACGGGGAATGGCTCTGGAGTCAATGCAGGGGAATCGGGCCTCATCTCGAGTTGATTTGGGGCACATGGAGCTGCTTTGCGTTGCTGAGGTGACCTCAGGGTCCGTCTAGACAGGTGACAGTGTTCTTGGGGACTGTCTCGAGATCCATTAAGCAAGTCGAAGTTCCTGACTTGTTTGAATGGGATCACGGAATAGCTCTGCATGCACTGCAGGGGAATGGGGCCTCATCTGCTCTATAGGGGGAAGTCTCATGGTTTTTCTCGAGTTGCGGCGGGGACCTGGGGTATGTTCTCGACTTAAGGCGGGGATGGCCCTTCAAAACACGAGTTTCTTCAGTGACGTCAGGAATCCTGTCTAGTAACGAGGGACACCTCAGGAATCTCTTCGATCTATGGCAGGGCAAAAGGGACGCTTCTCGAGGTGAGGCAGGGCACCCAAGGACCCTTTCCCGTAGCCACAGGCATTTTGGGATTCCTATCAGCATTCAAGAGGAGTCAGGTATCGTCACCTTTTGAAGCAATGAACTCCGCGTGCCTCCCTCAGGTGTCAGCGGGATGTGAGGCATTCCGTCAAAAGTGTCACAGGGACCTAGGGCTTTCTCTAAGGTCTCCACAGGGGATTCAGACATCCCTTCATGTTGTGAGATGAAAGACGAGCCTGTATTCAAGCCACTGCAAGGAAATCCGGCCTCCTTTCAAGTTAGGGCTTCTCGCTGTATATTCCCCTTGAGGCAGCAAACTCGGGGTCCCTCCCACAAACCTATTGCTGAGAGAAGCCTCCTCCTGAGGTGCTTCTGAAAGCTGGCATATGTCTTGAGCCTAAGCCAGGGAATCAGCTCTCATCTCGAGATGATTTGGGGTACACGGAGCATTCCTCGAGTTCTGTGCTTAAGTTGGTGTTCCTCTAGACCTGGGACAGTGTTCTCGGGGAATCTCTGGAGTTGCCTGAAGGAAGTCGAGCCACCGGTCGTGTTGAATGGGGAACGGGGAATGGCTCTGGAGTCAATGCAGGGGAATCGGGCCTCATCTCGAGTTGATTTGGGGCACATGGAGCTGCTTTGCGTTGCTGGGGTGACCTCAGGGTCCGTCTAGACTGGTGACAGTGTTCTTGGGGACTGTCTCGAGATCCATTAAGCAAGCGAAGCTCGTGTCTTGTTTGAATGGGATCACGGAATAGCTCTGCATGCACTGCAGGGGAATGGGGCCTCATCTCGCCTCTAGGGGGAAGTCTCATGGTTTTCCTCGAGTTGCGGCGGGGACCTGGGGTATGTTCTCGACGTAAGGCGGGGATGGCCCTTCAAAACACGAGTTTCTTCAGTGACGTCTGGACTCCTGACTAGTAACGAGGGAAACCTCAGGAATCTCTTCGAGCCTTGGCAGGGCAAAAGGGACGCTTCTCGAGGTGAGGCTGGGCACCCAAGGACCCTATCCAGTAGCCACAGGGATTTTGGGATTCCTATCAGTATTCAAGAGGAGTCAGGCATCGTCACCTTTTGAAGCAATGAACTCCGCGTGCCTCTCGAGGTGTCAGCAGGATTGGAGGCATTCCGTCAAAATGAGGCAGGGAACTAGGGCTTTCTCTAAGGTCTCCACAGGGGATTCAGACATCCCTTCATGTTGTGAGATGAAAGACGAGCCTGTATTCAAGCCACTGCAAGGAAATCCGGCCTCCTTTCAAGTTAGGGGTTCTCGCTGTATATTCCCCTTGAGGCAGCAAACTCGGGGTCCCTCCCACATACCTATTGCTGAGAGAAGCCTCCTCCTGAGGTGCTTCTGGAAAGTTGGCATACGTCTTGAGCCTAAGCCAGGGAATCAGCTCTCATCTCGAGGCGATTTGGGGTACACGGAGCATTCCTCGAGTTGCTGTGCTGAAGTTGGTGTTCCTCTAGACTTGGGACAGTGTTCTCGGGGCATCTCTGGAGTTGCCTGAAGGAAGTCGAGCCACCAGTCGTGTTGAATGGGGAACCGGGAATGGCTCTGGAGACAATGCAGGGGATCGGGCCTCATCTCGAGTTGATTTGGGGCACATGGAGCTGCTTTGCATTGCTGGGGTGACATCAGGGTCCGTCTAGACTGGTGACAGTGTTCTTGGGGACTGTCTCGAGATCCATTAAGCAAGTCGAAGCTCCTGACTTGTTTGAATGGGATCACGGAATAGCTCTGCATGCACTGCAGGGGAATGGGGCCTCATCACTCCTCTAGTGGAAGCCTCATGATTTTTCTCGAGTTGCGGCGGGGACGTGGGGTATGTTCTCGACTTACGGCGGGGATGACCCTTCAAAACAAGAGTTTCTTCAGTGACGTCAGGACTCCTGTCTAGTAGCGAGGGACACCTCAGAAATCTCTTCGAGGCTTGGCAGGGCCAAATTGAGGCTTCTCGAGGTGAGACAGGGCACCCAAGGACCCTTTCCAGTAGCCACAGGGATTTTGGGATTCCTATCAGTATTCAAGAGGAGTCAGGCATCGTCACCTTTTGAAGCAATGAACTCCGCGTGCCTCTCGAGGTGTCAGCGGGATGTCAGGCATTCCGTCAAAATGAGACAGTTACCTAGGGCTTTCTCTAAGGTCTCCACAGGGGATTCAGACATCACTTCATGTTGTGAGATGAAAGACGAGCCTGTATTCAAGCCACTGCAAGGAAATCCGGCTCCTTTCAAGTTAGGGCTTCTCGCTGTATATTCCCCTTGAGGCAGCAAACTCGGGGTCCGTCCCACATACCTATTGCTGAGAGAAGCCTCTTCCTGAGGTGCTTCTGGAAAGTTGGCATACTTCTTGAGCCTAAGCCAGGGAATCAGCTCTCATCTCGAGACGACTTGGTGTACACGGAGCATTCCTCGAGTTGCTGTGCTGAAGTTGGTGTTCCTCTAGACTTGGGACAGTGTTCTCGGGGCATCTCTGGAGTTGCCTGAAGGAAGTCAAGCCACCTGTCCTGTTGAATGAGGAATGGGGAATGGCTCTGGAATCAATGCAGGGGAATCGGGCCTCATCTCGAGTTGATTTGGGGCACATGGATATGCTTTGCGTTGCTGGGGTGACCTCAGGGTCCGTCTAGACTGGTGACAGTGTTCTTGGGGACTGTCTCGAGATCCATTAAGCAAGTCGAAGCTCCTGACTTGTTTGAATGGGATCACGGAATAGTTCTGCATGCACTGCAGGGGAATGGGGCCTCATCTCGCCTCTAGGGGGAAGTCTCATGGTTTTTCTCGAGTTGCGGCGGGGACCTGCGGTATGTTCTCGACTTATGGCGGGGATGGCCCTTCAAAACACGAGTTTCTTCACTGACGTCAGGACTCCTGTCTAGTAACGAGGGAAACCTCAGGAATCTCTTCGAGGCTTGGCAGGGCAAAAGGGACGCTTCTCGAGGTGAGGTAGGGCACCCAAGGACCCTTTCCCGTAGCCACAGGGATTTTGGGATTCCTATCAGTATTCAAGAGGAGTCAGGCATCGTCACCTTTTGAAGCAATGAACTCCGCGTGCCTCTCGAGGTGTCAGCGGGATTGGAGGCATTCTGTCAAAATGAGGCAGGGAACTAGGGCTTTCTCTAAGGTCTCCACAGGGGATTCAGACATCCCTTCATGTTGTGAGATGAAAGACGAGCCTGTATTCAAGCCACTGCAAGGAAATCCGGCCTCCTTTCAAGTTAGGGCTTCTCGCTGTATATTCCCCTTGAGGCAGCAAACTCGGGGTCCCTCCCACATACCTATTGCTGAGAGAAGCCTCCTCCTGAGGTGCTTCTGGGAAGTTGGCATACGTCTTGAGCCTAAGCCAGGGAATCAGCTCTCATCTCGAGACGATTTGGGGTACACGGAGCATTCCTCGAGTTGCTGTGCTGAAGTTCGTGTTCCTCTCGACTTGGGACAGTGTTCTCGGGGCATCTCTGGAGTTGCCTGAAGGAAGTCGAGCCACCGGTCGTGTTGAATGGGGAACGGGGAATGGCTCTGGAGTCAATGCAGGGGAATCGGGCCTCATCTCGAGTTGATTTGGGGCACATGGAGCTGCTTTGCATTGCTGGGGTGACCTCAGGGTCCGTCTAGACTGGTGACAGTGTTTTTGGGGACTGTCTCGTGATCCATTAAGCAAGTCGAAGCTCCTGATTTGTTTGAATGGGATCACGGAATAGCTCTGCCTGCACTGCAGGGGAATGGGGCCTCATCTCGCCTCTAGGGGGAAGTCTCATGGTTTTTCTCGAGTTGCGGCGGGGACCTGGGGTATGTTCTCGACTTACGGCGGGGATGGCCCTTCAAAACACGAGTTTCTTCAGTGACGTCAGGACTCCTGTCTAGTAAAGAGGGACAACTCAGGAATCTCTTCGAGGCTTGGCAGGGCCAAATTGAGGCTTCTCGAGGTGAGACAGGGCACCCAAGGACCCGTACCCGTAGCCACAGGGATTTTGGGATTCCTATCAGTATTCAAGAGGAGTCAGGCATCGTCACCTTTTGAAGCAATGAACTCCGCGTGCCTCTCGAGGTGTCAGCGGGATGTGAGGCATTCCGTCAAAATGAGGCAGGGACCTAGGGCTTTCTCTAAGGTCTCCACAGGGGATTCAGACATCCCTTCATGTTGTGAGATGAAAGACGTGCCTGTATTCAAGCCACTGCAAGGAAATCCGGCCTCCTTTCAAGTTAGGGCTTCTCGCTGTATATTCCCCTTGAGGCAGCAAACTCGGGGTCCCTCCCACATACCTATTGCTGAGAGAAGCCTCCTCCTGAGGTGCTTCTGGAAAGTTGGCATATGTCTTGAGCCTAAGCCAGGGAATCAGCTCTCATCTCGAGACGATTTGGGGTACACGGAGCATTCCTCGAGTTGCTGTGCTGAAGTTGGTGTTCCTCTAGACTTGGGACAGTGTTCTCGGGGCATCTCTGGAGTTGCCTGAAGGAAGTCGAGCCACCGGTCGTGTTGAATGGGGAACGGGGAATGGCTCTGGAGTCAATGCAGGGGAATCGGGCCTCATCTCGAGTTGATTTGGGGCACATGGAGCTGCTTTGCGTTGCTGGGGTGACCTCAGGGTCCGTCTAGACAGGTGACAGTGTTCTTGGGGACTGTCTCGAGATCCATTAAGCAAGTCGAAGTTCCTGACTTGTTTGAATGGGATCACGGAATAGCTCTGCATGCACTGAAGGGGAATGGGGCCTCATCTCGTCTATAGGGGGAAGTCTCATGGTTTTTCTCGAGTTGCGGCGGGGACCTGGGGTATGTTCTCGACTTAAGGCGGGGATGGCCCTTCAAAACACGAGTTTTTTCAGTGACGTCAGGACTCCTGTCTAGTAACGAGGGACACCTCAGGAAGCTCTTCGATCTATGGCAGGGCAAAAGGGACGCTTCTCGAGGTGAGGCAGGGCACCCAAGGACCCTTTCCCGTAGCCACAGGGATTTTGGGATTCCTTTCAGCATTCAAGAGGAGTCAGGTATCGTCACCTTTTGAAGCAATGAACTCCGCGTGCCTCCCTCAGGTCTCAGCGGGATGTGAGGCATTCCGTCAAAATGTCACAGGGACCTAGGGCTTTCTCTAAGGTCTCCACAGGGGATTCAGACATCCCTTCATGTTGTGAGATGAAAGACGAGCCTGTATTCAAGCCACTGCAAGGAAATCCGGCCTCCTTTCAAGTTAGGGCTTCTCGCTGTATATTCCCCTTGAGGCAGCAAACTCGGGGTCCCTCCCACATACCTATTGCTGAGAGAAGCCTCCTCCTGAGGTGCTTCTGGAAAGTTGGCATACGTCTTGAGCCTAAGCCAGGGAATCAGCTCTCATCTCGAGGCGATTTGGGGTACACGGAGCATTCCTCGAGTTGCTGTGCTGAAGTTGGTGTTCCTCTCGACTTGGGACAGTGTTCTCGGGGCATCTATTGAGTTGCCTGAAGGAAGTCGAGCCACCGGTCTTGTTGAATGGGGAACGGGGAATGGCTCTGGAGTCAATGCAGGGGAATCGGGCCTCATCTCGTGTTGATTTGGGGCACATGGAGCTGCTTTGCTTTGCTGGGGTGACCTCAGGGTCCGTCTAGACTGGTGACAGTGTTCTTGGGGACTGTCTCGAGATCCATTAAGCAAGTCGAAGCTCCTGACTTGTTTGAATGGGATCACGGAATAGCTCTGCATGCACTGCAGGGGAATGGGGCCTCATCTCGCCTCTAGGGGGAAGTCTCATGGTTTTTCTCGACTTGTGACGGGGACCTGGGGTATGTTCTCGACTTACGGCGGGGATGGCCCTTCAAAACACGAGTTTCTTCATTGACGTCAGGACTCCTGTCTAGTAACGAGGGACACCTCAGGAATCTCTTCGAGGCTTGGCAGGGCAAAAGGGGCGCTTCTCGAGGTGAGGCAGGGCACCCAAGGACCCTTTCCCGTAGCCACAGGGATTTTGGGATTCCTATCAGTATTCAAGAGGAGTCAGGCATAGTCACCTTTTGAAGCAATGAACTCCGCGTGCCTCTCGAGGTGTCAGCGGGAGGTGAGGCATTCCGTCAAAATGAGGCAGGGACCTAGGGCTTTCTCTAAGGTCTCCACAGGGGATTCAGACATCCCTTCATGTTGTGAGATGAAAGACGAGCCTGTATTCAAGCCACTGCAAGGAAATCCAGCCTTCTTTCAAGTTAGGGCTTCTCGCTGTATATTCCCCTTGAGGCAGCAAACTCAGGGTCCCTCCCACATACCTATTGCTGAGAGAAGCCTCCTCCTGAGGTGCTTCTGGAAAGTTGGCATACGTCTTGAGCCTAAGCCAGGGAATCAGCTCTCATCTCGAGGCGGTTTGGGGTACATGGAGCATTCCTCGAGTTGCTGTGCTGAAGTTGGTGTTCCTCTAGACTTGGGATAGTATTCTCGGGGCATCTCTGGAGTTGCCTGAAGGAAGTCGAGCCACCGGTCGTGTTGAATGGGGAACGGGGAATGGCTCTGGAGTCAATGCAGGGGAATTGGGCCTCATCTCGAGTTGATTTTGGGCACATGGAGTTGCTTTGTGTTGCTGGGGTGACCTCAGGGTCCGCCTAGACTGGTGACAGGGTTCTTGGGGACTGTCTCGAGATCCATTAAGCAAGTCGAAGCTCCTGACTTGTTTGAATGGGATCACGGCATAGCTCTGCATGCACTGCAGGGGAATGGGGCCTCATCTCGCCTCTAGGGGGAAGTCTCATGGTTTTCCTCGAGTTGCAGCGGGGACCTTGGGTAAGTTCTCGACGTACGGCGGGGATGGCCCTTCAAAACACGAGTTTCTTCAGTGACGTCTGGACTCCTGTCTAGTAACGAGGGACACCTCAGGAATCTCTTCGAGCCTTGGAAGGGCAAAAGGGACGCTTCTCAAGGTGAGGCAGGGCACCCAAGTACCCTTTCCAGTAGCCACAGGGTTTTTGGGATTCCTATCAGTATTCAAGAGGAGTCAGGCATCGTCACCTTTTGAAGCAATGAACTCCGCGTGACTCTCGAGGTGTCAGCGGGATTGGAGGCATTCCGTCAAAATGAGGCAGGGACCTAGGCCTTTCTCTAAGGTCTCCACAGGGGATTCAGACATCCCTTCATGTTGTGAGATGAAAGACGAGCCTGTATTCAAGCCACTGCAAGGAAATCCGGCCTCCTTTCAAGTTAGGGCTTCTCGCTGTATATTCCCCTTGAGGCAGCAAACTCGGGGTCCCTCCCACATACCTATTGCTGAGAGAAGCCTCCTCCTGAGGTGCTTCTGGGAAGTTGGCATACGTCTTGAGCCTAAGCCAGGGAATCAGCTCTCATCTCGAGACGATTTGGGGTACACGGAGCATTCCTCGAGTTGCTGTGCTGAAGTTCGTGTTCCTCTCGACTTGGGACAGTGTTCTCGGGGCATCTCTGGAGTTGCCTGAAGGAAGTCGAGCCACCGGTCGTGTTGAATGGGGAACGGGGAATGGCTCTGGAGTCAATGCAGGGGAATCGGGCCTCATCTCGAGTTGATTTGGGGCACATGGAGCTGCTTTGCATTGCTGGGGTGACCTCAGGGTCCGTCTAGACTGGTGACAGTGTTCTTGGGGACTGTCTCGAGATGCATTAAGCAAGTCGAAGCTCCTGACTTGTTTGAATGGGATCACAGAATAGCTCTGCATGCACTACAGGGGAATGGGGCCTTATCTCGCCTCTAGGGGGAAGTCTCATGGTTTTTCTCGAGTTTCGGCGAGGACCTGGGGTATGTTCTCGACTTCCGGCGGGGATGGCCCTTCAAAACACGAGTTTCTTCAGTGACGTCAGGACTCCTGTCTAGTAACGAGGGACACCTCAGGAACCTCTTCGAGGATTGGCAGGGCAAAAGGGACGCTTCTCGAGGTGAGGCAGGGCACCCATGGACCATTTCCCGTAGCCACAGGGATTTTGGGATTCCTATCAGTATTCAAGAGGAGTCAGGCATCGTCACCTTTTGAAGCAATGAACTCCGCGTGCCTCTCGAGGTGTCAGTGGGATGTGAGGCATTCCGTCAAAATGAGGCAGGGACCTAGGGCTTTCTCTAAGGTCGCCACAGGGGATTCAGACATCCCTTCATGTTGTGAGATGAAAGACGAGCCTGTATTCAAGCCACTGCAAGGAAATCCGGCCTCCTTTCAAGTTAGGGATTCTCGCTGTATATTCCCCTCGAGGCAGCAAACTCGGGGTCCCTCCCACATACCTATTGCTGAGAGAAGCCTCCTCCTGAGGTGCTTCTGGAAAGTTGGCATATGTCTTGAGCCTAAGCCAGGGAATCAGCTCTCATCTCGAGACGATTTGGGGTACACGGAGCATTCCTCGAGTTGCTGTCCTGAAGTTGGTGTTCCTCTAGACTTGGGACAGTGTTCTCAGGGCATCTCTGGAGTTGCATGAAGGAAGTCGAGCCACCGGTCGTGTTGAATGGGGAACCGGGAATGGCTCTGGAGACAATGCAGGGGAATCGGGCCTCATTTCGAGTTGATTTGGGGCACATGGACTTGCTTTGCATTGCTGGGGTGACATCAGGGTCCGTCTAGACTGGTGACAGTGTTCTTGGGGACTGTCTCGAGATCCATTAAGCAAGTCGAAGCTCCTGACTTGTTTGAATGGGATCACGGAATAGCTCTGCATGCACTGCAGGGGAATGGGGCCTCATCACGCCTCTAGGGGAAGCCTCATGATTTTTCTCGAGTTGCGGCGGGGACCTGGGGTATGTTCTCGACTTACGGCGGGGATGGCCCTTCAAAACAAGAGTTTCTTCAGTGACGTCAGGACTCCTGTCTAGTAGCGAGGGACACCTCAGGAATCTCTTCGAGGCTTGGCAGGGCCAAATTGAGGCTTCTCGAGGTGAGACAGGGCACCCAAGGACCCTTTCCAGTAGCCACAGGGATTTTGGGATTCCTATCAGTATTCAAGAGGAGTCAGGCATCGTCACCTTTTGAAGCAATGAACTCCGCGTGCCTCTCGAGGTGTCAGCGGGATGTGAGGCATTCCGTCAAAATGAGACAGTTACCTAGGGCTTTCTCTAAGGTCTCCACAGGGGATTCAGACATCACTTCATGTTGTGAGATGAAAGACGAGCCTGTATTCAAGCCACTGCAAGGAAATCCGGCTCCTTTCAAGTTAGGGCTTCTCGCTGTATATTCACCCTTGAGGCAGCAAACTCGGGGTCCCTCCCACATACCTATTGCTGAGAGAAGCCTCTTCCTGAGGTGCTTCTGGAAAGTTGGCATACTTCTTGAACCTAAGCCAGGGAATCAGCTCTCATCTCGAGACGACTTGGTGTACACGGAGCATTCCTCGAGTTGCTGTGCTGAAGTTGGTGTTCCTCTAGACTAGGGACAGTGTTCTCGGGGCATCTCTGGAGTTGCCTGAAGGAAGTCAAGCCACCTGTCCTGTTGAATGAGGAACGGGGAATGGCTCTGGAATCAATGCAGGGGAATCGGGCCTCATCTCGAGTTGATTTGGGGCACATGGATATGCTTTGCGTTGCTGGGGTGACCTCAGGGTCCGTCTAGACTGGTGACAGTGTTCTTGGGGACTGTCTCGAGATCCATTAAGCAAGTCGAAGCTCCTGACTTGTTTGAATGGGATCACGGAATAGTTCTGCATGCACTGCAGGGGAATGGGGCCTCATCTCGCCTCTAGGGGGAAGTCTCATGGTTTTTCTCGAGTTGCGGCGGGGACCTGCGGTATGTTCTCGACTTATGGCGGGGATGGCCCTTCAAAACACGAGTTTCTTCAGTGACGTCAGGACTCCTGTCTAGTAACGAGGGACACCTCAGGAATCTCTTCGAGGCTTGGCAGGGCAAAAGGGACGCTTCTCGAGGTGAGGCAGGGCACCCAAGGACCCTTTCCCGTAGCTACAGGGATTTTGGGATTCCTATCAGTATTCAAGAGGTGTCAGGCATCGTCACCTTTTGAAGCAATGAACTCCGCGTGCCTCTCGAGGTGTCAGCGGGATGTGAGGCATTCCGTCAAAATGAGGCAGGGACCTAGGGCTTTCTCTAAGGTCTCCACAGGGGATTCAGACATCCCTTCATGTTGTGAGATGAAAGACGAGCCTGTATTCAAGCCACTGCAAGGAAATCCAGCCTTCTTTCAAGTTAGGGCTTCTCGCTGTATATTCCCCTTGAGGCAGCAAACTCAGGGTCCCTCCCACATACCTATTGCTGAGAGAAGCCTCCTCCTGAGGTGCTTCTGGAAAGTTGGCATACGTCTTGAGCCTAAGCCAGGGAATCAGCTCTCATCTCGAGGCGATTTGGGGTACATGGAGCATTCCTCGAGTTGCTGTGCTGAAGTTGGTGTTCCTCTAGACTTGGGATAGTATTCTCCGGGCATCTCTGGAGTTGCCTGAAGGAAGTCGAGCCACCGGTCGTGTTGAATGGGGAACGGGGAATGGCTCTGGAGTCAATGCAGCGGAATCGGGCCTCATCTCGAGTTGATTTTGGGCACATGGAGTTGCTTTGTGTTGCTAGGGTGACCTAAGGGTCCGTCTAGGCTGGTGACAGTGTTCTTGGGGACTATCTCGAGATCCATTAAGCAAGTCGAAGCTCCTGACTTGTTTGAATGGGATCACGGAATAGCTCTGCATGCACTGCAGGGGAATGGGGCCTTATCTCGCCTCTAGGGGGAAGTCTCATGGTTTTTCTCGAGTTTCGGCGAGGACCTGGGGTATGTTCTCGACTTCCGGAGGGGATGGCCCTTCAAAACACGAGTTTCTTCAGTGAGGTCAGGACTCCTGTCTAGTAACGAGGGACACCTCAGGAACCTCTTCGAGGCTTGGCAGGGCAAAAGGGACGATTCTCGAGGTGAGGCAGGGCACCCATGGACCATTTCCAGTAGCCACAGGGATTTTGGGATTCCTATCAGTATTCAAGAGGACTCAGGCATCGTCACCTTTTGAAGCAATGAACTCCGCGTGCCTCTCGAGGTGTCAGCGGGATGTGAGGCATTCCGTCAAAATGAGGCAGGGACATAGGGCTTTCTCTAAGGTCCCCACAGGGGATTCAGACATCCCTTCATGTTGTGAGATGAAAAACGAGCCTGTATTCAAGCCACTGCAAGGAAATCCGGCCTCCTTTCAAGTTAGGGCTTCTCGCTGTATATTCCCCTTGAGGCAGCAAACTGGGGGTTCCTCCCACATAGCTATTGCTGAGAGTAGCCTCTTCCTGAGGTGCTCCTGGAAAGTTGGCATATGTATTGAGCCTAAGCCAGGGAATCAGCTCTCATCTCGAGATGATTTGGGGTACACGGATCATTCCTCGAGTTAATGTGCTGAACTTGGTGTTCCTCTAGACTTGGGACAGTGTTCTCGGGGCATCTCTGGAGTTGCCTGAAGGAAGTCGAGCCACCGGTCGTGTTGAATGGGGAACGGGGAATGGCTCTGGAGTCAATGCAGGGCAATCGGGCCTCATCTCGAGTTGATTTGGGGCACATGGATCTGCTTTGCGTTGCTGGGGTGACCTCAGGGTCCGTCTAGACTGGTGACAGTGTTTTTGGGGACTGTCTCGTGATCCATTAAGCAAGTCTAAGCTCCTGATTTGTTTGAATGGGATCACGGAATAGCTCTGCCTGCATTGCAGGGGAATGGGGCCTCATCTCGCCTCTAGGGGGAAGTCTCATGGTTTTTCTCGAGTTGCGGCGGGGACCTGGGGTATGTTCTCGACTTACGGCAGGGATGGCCCTTCAAAACACGAGTTTCTTCAGTGACGTCAGGACTCCTGTCTAGTAAAGAGGGACAACTCAGGAATCTCTTCGAGGCTTGGCAGGGCCAAATTGAGGCTTCTCGAGTTGAGACAGGGCACCCAAGGACCCTTTCCCGTAGCCACTGGGATTTTGGGATTCCTATCAGTATTCAAGAGGAGTCAGGCATCGTCACATTTTGAAGCAATGAACTCCGCGTGCCTCTCGAGGTGTCAGTGGGATGTGAGGCATTCCGTCAAAATGAGGCAGTGACCTAGGGCTTTCTCTAAGGTCTCCTCAGGGGATTCAGACATCGCTTCATGTTGTGAGATGAAAGACGAGCCTGTATTCAAGCCACTGCAAGGAAATCCGGCCTCCTTTCAAGTTAGGGCTTCTCACTGTATATTCCCCTTGAGGCAGCAAACTCGGGGTCCCTCCCACATACCTATTGTTGAGAGAAGCCTCCTCCTGAGGTGCTTCTGGAAATTTGGCATACGTCTTGAGCCTAAGCCAGGGAATCAGCTCTCATCTCGAGACGATTTGGGTTACACGGAGCATTCCTCGAGTTAATGTGCTGAAGTTGGTGTTCCTCTAGACTTGGGACAGTGTTCTCGGGGCATCTCTGGAGTTGCCTGAAGGAAGTCGAGCCACCAGTTGTGTTGAATGGGGAAAGGGGAATGGCTCTGGAGTCAATGCAGGGGAATCAGGCCTCATCTCGAGTTGATTTGGGGCACATGGAGCTGCTTTGCGTTGCTGGGGTGACTTCAGGGTCCGTCTAGACTGGTGACAGTGTTCTTGGGGACTGTCTCGAGATCCATTAAGCAAGTCGAAGCTCCTGACTTGTTTGAATGGGATCACGGAATAGCTCTGCATGCACTGCAGGGGAATGTTTCCTCATCTCGGCTCTAGGGGGAAGTCTCATGGTTTTTCTCGAGTTGCCGCGGGGACCTGGGGTATGTTCTCGACTTACGGCGGGGATGGCCCTTCAAAACACGAGTTTCTTCAGTGACGTCAGGACTCCTGTCTAGTAATGAGGGAAACCTCAGGAATCTCTTCGAGGCTTGGCAGGGCCAAATTGAGGCTTCTCGAGGTGAGGCAGGGCACCCAAGGACCCTTTCCCGTAGCCACAGGGATTTTGTTATTCCTATCAGTATTCAAGAGGAGTCAGGCATCGTCACCTTTTGAAGCAATGAACTCCGCGTGACTCTCGAGGTGTCAGCGGGATGTGAGGCATTCCGTCAAAATGAGGCAGTGACCTTGGGCTTTCTCTAAGGTCTCCACAGGGGATTCAGACATCCCTTCATGTTGTGAGATGAAAGACGAGCCTGTATTCAAGCCACTGCAAGGAAATCCGGCCTCCGTTCAAGTTAGGGCTTCTCGCTGTATATTCCCCTTGAGGCAGCAAACTGGGGTCCCTCCCACATACCTATTGCTGAGAGAAGCCTCCTCCTGAGGTGCTTCTGGAAAGTTGGCATACGTCTTGAACCTAAGCCAGGGAATCAGCTCTCATCTCGAGACGATTTGGGGTACACGGAGCATTCCTCGAATTAATGTGCTGAAGTTGGTGGTCCTCTAGACTTGGGACAGTGTTCTCCGGGCATCTCAGGAGTGGCCTGAAGGAAGTCGAGCCACCAGTCGGGTTGAATGGGGAACGGGGAATGGCTCTGGAGTCAATGCAGGGGAATCAGGCCTCATCTCGAGTTGATTTGGTGCACATGGAGCTGCTTTGCGTTGCTGGGGTGACCTCAGGGTCCGTCTAGACTGGTGACAGTGTTCTTGGGGACTGTCTCGAGAACCATTAAGCAAGTCGAAGCTCCTGACTTGTTTGAATGGGATCATGGAATAGCTCTGCATGCACTGAAGGGGAATGGGGCCTCATCTCGCCTCTAGGGGGAATTCTCATGGTTTTCCTCGAGTTGCGGCGGGGACCTGGGCTATGTTCTCGACTTACGGCGGGGATGCCCTTCAAAACACGAGTTTCTTCAGTGACGTCAGGACTCCTGTCTAGTAACGAGGGACACCTCAGGAATGTCTTCGAGGCTTGGCAGGGCAAAAGGGAAGCTTCTTGAGGTGAGGCAGGGCACCCAAGGATGCTTTCCAGTAGCCACAGGGATTTTGGGATTCCTATCAGTATTCAAGGGGAGTCAGGGATCGTCACCTTTTGAAGCAATGAACTCCGCGTGCCTCTCGAGGTGTCAGCGGGATGTGGGGCATTCCGTCAAAATGAGGCAGGGACCTAGGGCTTTCTCTAAGGTCTCCACAGGGGATTCAGACATCCCTTCATGTTGTGACATTAAAGACGAGCCTGTATTGAAGCCACTGCAAGGAAATCCGGCCTCCTTTCAAGTTAGGGCTTCTCGCTGTATATTCCCCTTGAGGCAGCAAACTGGGGTCCCTCCCACATACCTATTGCTGAGAGAAGCCTCCTCCTGAGGTGCTTTTGGAAAGTTGCCATACGTCTTGAGCCTAAGCCAGGGAATCAGCTCTCATCTCGAGACGATTTGGGGTACACTGAGCATTCCTCGAGTTGCTGTGCTGAAGTTGGTGTTCCACTAGACTTGGGACAGTGTTCTCGGTGAATCTCTGGAGTTGCCTGAAGTAAGTCGAGCCACCGGTCGTGTTGAATGGGGAACGGGGAATGGCTCTGGAGTCAATGCAGGGGAATCGGGCCTCATCTCGAGTTGATTTGGGGCACATGGAGCTGCTTTGCGTTGCTGGGGTGACCTCAGGGTCCGTCTAGACTGGTGACAGTGATCTTGGGGACTGTCTCGAGATCCATTAAGCAAGTCGAAGCTCCTGACTTGTTTGAATGGGATCACGGAATAGCTCTGCATGCACTGCAGGGGAATGGGGCCTCATCTCGCCTCAAGGGGGAAGTCTCATGATTTTTCTCGAGTTGCGGCGGGGACCTGGGGTATGTTCTCGACTTACGGCTGGGATGGCCCTTCAAAACACGAGTTTCTTCAGTGACGTCAGGACTCCTGTCTAGTAATGAGGGACACCTCAGGAATGTCTTCGAGGCTTGGCAGGGCCAAATTGAGGCTTCTCGAGGTGTGGCAGGGCACCCAAGGACCCTTTCCCGTAGCCACTGTGATTTTGGGATTCCTATAAGTATTCAAGAGGAGTCAGGCATCGTCACATTTTGAAGCAATGAACTCCGCGTGCCTCTCGAGGTGTCAGTGGGATGTGAGGCATTCCGTCAAAATGAGGCAGTGACCTAGGGCTTTCTCTAAGGTCTCCTCAGGGGATTCAGACATCCCTTCATGTTGTGAGATGAAAGACGAGCCTGTATTCAAGCCACTGCAAGGAAATCCGGCCTCCTTTCAAGTTAGGGCTTCTCACTGTATATTCCCCTTGAGGCAGCAAACTCGGGGTCCCTCCCACATACCTATTGTTGAGAGAAGCCTCCTCCTGAGGTGCTTCTGGAAATTTGGCATACGTCTTGAGCCTAAGCCAGGGAATCAGCTCTCATCTCGAGACGATTTGGGTTACACGGAGCATTCCTCGAGTTAATGTGCTGAAGTTGGTGTTCCTCTAGACTTGGGACAGTGTTCTCGGGGCATCTCTGGAGTTGCCTGAAGGAAGTCGAGCCACCAGTTGTGTTGAATGGGGAACGGGGAATGGCTCTGGAGTCAATGCAGGGGAATCAGGCCTCATCTCGAGTTGATTTGGGGCACATGGAGCTGCTTTGCGTTGCTGGGGTGACTTCAGGGTCCGTCTAGACTGGTGACAGTGTTCTTGGGGACTGTCTCGAGATCCATTAAGCAAGTCGAAGCTCCTGACTTGTTTGAATGGGATCATGGAATAGCTCTGCATGGACTGCAGTGGAATGGGGCCTCATCTCGCCTCTAGGGGAAGTCTCATGGTTTTTCTCGAGTTGCGGCGAGGACCTGGGGTATGTTCTCGACTTACGGCGGGGATGGCCCTTCAAAACAAGAGTTTCTTCAGTGACGTCAGGACTCCTCTCTAGTAAAGAGGGACACCTCAGGAATCTCTTCGAGGCTTGGCAGGGCAAAAGGGACGCTTCTCGATGTGAGGCAGGGCACCCAAGCAGCCTTTCCCGTAGCCACACGGATTTTGGGATTCCTATCAGTATTCAAGAGGAGTCAGGCATTGTCACCTTTTGAAGCAATGAACTCCGCGTGCCTCTCGAGGTGTCAGCGGGATGTGAGGCATTCCGTCAAAATGAGGCAGGAACCTAGGGCTTTCTTTAAGGTATCCACAGGGGATTCAGGCATTCCTTCATGTTGTGAGATGAAAGACGAGCCTGTATTGAAGCCAATGCAAGGAAATCCGGCCTCCTTTCAAGTTAGGGCTTCTCGCTGTATATTCCCCTTGAGGCAGCAAACTCGGGGTCCCACCCACATACCTATTGCTGAGAGAAGCCTCCTCCTGAGGTGCTTCTGGAAAGTTGGCATATGTCTTGAGCCTAAGCCAGGGAATCAGCTCTCATCTCGAGACGATTTGGGGTACACGGAGCATTCCTCGAGTTGCTGTGTTGAAGTTGGTGTTCCTCTAGACTTGGGACAGTGTTCTCGGGGCATCTCTGGAGTTGCCTGAAGGAAGTCGAGCCACGAGTCATGTTGAATGCGGAACGGGGAATGGCTCTGGAGTCAATGCAGGGGAATTGGGCCTCATCTCGAGTTGATTTGGGGCACATGGAGCTGCTTTGCCTTGCTGGGGTGACCTCAGGGTCCGTCTAGACTGGTGACAGTGATCTTGGGGACTGTCTCGAGATCCATTAAGCAAGTCGATGCTCCTGACTTATTTGAATGGGATCACGGAATAGCTCTGCATGCACTGCAGGGGAATGGGGCCTCATCTCGCCTCTAGGGGGAAGTCTCATGGTTTTTCTCGAGTTGCGGCGAGGACCTGGGGTATGTTCTCGACTTACGGCTGGGATGGCCCTTCAAAACACGAGTTTCTTCAGTGACGTCAGGACTCCTGTCTAGTAACGAGGGCCACCTCAGGAATGTCTTCGAGGCTTGGCAGGGCAAAAGGGAAGCTTCTTGAGGTGAGGCAGGGCACCCAAGGATGCTTTCCAGTAGCCACAGCGATTTTGGGATTCCTATCAGTATTCAAGAGGAGTCAGGGATCGTCACCTTTTGAAGCAATGAACTCCGCGTGCCTCTCGAGGTGTCAGCGGGATGTGGGGCATTCCGTCAAAATGAGGCAGGGATCTAGGGCTTTCTCTAAGGTCTCCACAGGGGATTCAGACATCCCTTCATGTTGTGAGATGAAAGACGAGCCTGTATTGAAGCCACTGCAAGGAAATCCAGCCTCCTTTCAAGTTAGGGCTTCTCGCTGTATATTCCCCTTGAGGCAGCAAACTCGGGGTCCCTCCCACATACCATTGCTGAGAGAAGCCTCCTCCTGAGGTGCTTCTGGAAAGCTGGCATACGTCTTGAGCCTAAGCCAGGGAATCAGCTCTCATCTCGAGACGATTTGGGGTACACTGAGCATTCCTCGAGTTCCTGTGCTGAAGTTGGTGTTCCTCTAGACTTGGGACAGTGTTCTCGGGGCATCTCTGGAGTTGCCTGAAGTAAGTCGAGCCACCGGTCGTGTTGAATGGGGAACGGGGAATGTCTCTGGAGTCAATGCAGGGGAATCGGGCCTCATCTCGAGTTGATTTGGGGCACATGGAGCTGCTTTGCGTTGCTGGGGTGACCTCAGGGTCCGTCTAGACTGGTGACAGTGATCTTGGGGACTGTCTCGAGATCCATTAAGCAAGTCGAAGCTCCTGACTTGTTTGAATGGGATCACGGAATAGCTCTGCATGCACTGCAGGGGAATGTTTCCTCATCTCGGCTCTAGGGGGAAGTCTCATGGTTTTTCTCGAGTTGCGGCGGGGACCTGGGGTATGTTCTCGACTTACGGCGGGGTTGGCCCTTCAAAACACGAGTTTCTTCAGTGACGTCAGGACTCCTGTCTAGTAATGAGGGACACCTCAGGAATCTCTTCGAGGCTTGGCAGGGCCAAATTGAGGCTTCTCGAGGTGTGGCAGGGAACCCAAGGACCCTTTCCCGTAGCCACTGGGATTTTGGGATTCCTATCAGTATTCAAGAGGAGTCAGGCATCGTCACATTTTGAAGCAATGAACTCCGCGTGCCTCTCGAGGTGTCAGTGGGATGTGAGGCATTCCGTCAAAATGAGGCAGTGACCTAGGGCTTTCTCTAAGGTCTCCTCAGGGGATTCAGACATCCCTTCATGTTGTGAGATGAAAGACGAGCCTGTATTCAAGCCACTGCAAGGAAATCCGGCCTCCTTTCAAGTTAGGGCTTCTCACTGTATATTCCCCTTGAGGCAGCAAATTCGGGGTCCCTCCCACATACCTATTTTGAGAGAAGCCTCCTCCTGAGGTGCTTCTGGAAATTTGGCATACGTCTTGAGCCTAAGCCAGGGAATCAGCTCTCATCTCGAGACGATTTGGGTTACACGGAGCATTCCTCGAGTTAATGTGCTGAAGTTGGTGTTCCTCTAGACTTGGGACAGTGTTCTCGGGGCATCTCTGGAGTTGCCTGAAGGAAGTCGAGCCACCAGTTGTGTTGAATGGGGAAAGGGGAATGGCTCTGGAGTCAATGCAGGGGAATCAGGCCTCATCTCGAGTTGATTTGGGGCACATGGAGCTGCTTTGTGTTGCTGGGGTGACTTCAGGGTCCGTCTAGACTGGTGACAGTGTTCTTGGGGACTGTCTCGAGATCCATTAAGCAAGTCGAAGCTCCTGACTTGTTTGAATGGGATCATGGAATAGCTCTGCCTGCAGTGCAGTGGAATGGGGCCTCATCTCGCCTCTAGGGGAAGTCTCATGGTTTTTCTCGAGTTGCGGCGAGGACCTGGGGTATGTTCTCGACTTACGGTGGGGATGGCCCTTCAAAACACGAGTTTCTTCAGTGACGTCAGGACTCCTCTCTAGTAAAGAGGGACACCTCAGGAATCTCTTCGAGGCTTGGCAGGGCAAAAGGGACGCTTCTCGATGTGAGGCAGGGCACCCAAGCAGCCTTTCCCGTAGCCACACGGATTTTGGGATTCCTATCAGTATTCAAGAGGAGTCAGGCATTGTCACCTTTTGAAGCAATGAACTCCGCGTGCCTCTCGAGGTGTCAGCGGGATGTGAGGCATTCCGTCAAAATGAGGCAGGGACCTAGGGCTTTCTCAAAGGTCTCCACAGGGGATTCAGGCATCCCTTCATGTTGTGAGATGAAAGACGAGCCTGTATTCAAGCCACTGCAAGGAAATCCGGCCTCCTTTCAAGTTAGGGCTTCTCGCTGTATATTCCCCTTGAGGCAGCAAACTCGGGGTCCCTCCCACATACCTATTGCTGAGAGAAGCCTCCTCCTGAGGTGCTTCTGGAAAGTTGGCATACGTCTTGAACCTAAGCCAGAGAATCAGCTCTCATGTCGAGACGATTTGGGGTACACGGAGCATTCCTCGAATTAATGTGCTGAAGTTGGTGTTCCTCTAGACTTGGGACAGTGTTCTCAGGGCATCTCTGGAATTTCCTGAAGGAAGTCGAGCCACCAGTCGGGTTGAATGGGAACGGGGAATGACTCTGGAGTCAATACAGGGGAATCAGGCCTCATCTCGATTTGATTTGGTGCACATGGAGCTGCTTTGCGTTGCTGGGGTGACCTCAGGGTCCGTCTAGACTGGTTACAGTGTTCTTGGGGACTGTCTCGAGAACCATTAAGCAAGTCGAAGCTCCTGACTTGTTTGAATGGGATCATGGAATAGCTCTGCATGCACTGCAGGGGAATGGGGCCTCATCTCGCCTCTAGGGGGAAGTCTCATGGTTTTTCTCGAGTTGCGTCGAGGACCTGGGTTATGTTCTCGACTTACGGCGGGGATGGCCCTTCAAAACACGAGTTTCTTCAGTGACGTCAGGACTCCTCTCTAGTAAAGAGGGACACCTCAGGAATCTCTTCGAGGCTTGGCAGGGCAAAAGGGATGCTTCTCGATGTGAGGCAGGGCACCCAAGCAGCCTTTCCCGTAGCCACACGGATTTTGGGATTCCTATCAGTATTCAAGAGGAGTCAGGCATCGTCACCTTTTGAAGCAATGAACTCCGCGTGCCTCTCGAGGTGTCAGCGGGATGTGAGGCATTCCGTCAAAATGAGGCAGGGACCTAGGGCTTTCTCTAAGGTCTCCACAGGGGATTCAGACATCCCTTCATGTTGTGAGATGAAAGACGAGCCTGTATTCAAGCCACTGCAAGGAAATCCGGCCTCCTTTCAAGGTAGGGCTTCTCGCTGTATATTCCCCTTGAGGCAGCAAACTCGGGGTCCCTCCCACATACCTATTGCTGAGAGAAGCCTCCTCCTGAGGTGCTTCTGGAAAGTTGGCATATGTCTTGAGCCTAAGCCAGGGAATCAGCTCTCATCTCGAGACGATTTGGGGTACACGGAGCATTCCTCGAGTTGCTGTGTTGAAGTTGGTGTTCCTCTAGACTTGGGACAGTGTTCTCGGGGCATCTCTGGAGTTGCCTGAAGGAAGTCGAGCCACTAGTCATGTTGAATGCGGAACGGGGAATGGCTCTGGAGTCAATGCAGGGGAATCGGGCCTCATCTCGAGTTGATTTGGGGCACATGGAACTGCTTTGCTTTGCTGGGGTGACCTCAGGGTCCGTCTAGACTGGTGACAGTGATCTTGGGGACTGTCTCGAGATCCATTAAGCAAGTCGATGCTCCTGACTTGTTTGAATGGGATCACGGAATAGCTCTGCATGCACTGCAGGGGAATGGGGCCTCATCTCGCCTCTAGGGGGAAGTCTCATGGTTTTTCTCGAGTTGCGGCGAGGACCTGGGGTATGTTCTCGACTTACGGCGGGGATGGCCCTTCAAAACACGAGTTTCTTCAGTGACGTCAGGACTCCTGTCTAGTAACGAGGGACACCTCAGGAATGTCTTCGAGGCTTGGCAGGGCAAAAGGGAAGCTTCTTGAGGTGAGGCAGGGCACCCAAGGATCCTTTCCAGTAGCCACAGGGATTTTGGGATTCCTATCAGTATTCAAGAGGAGTCAGGGATCGTCACCTTTTGAAGCAATGAACTCCGCGTGCCTCTCGAGGTGTCAGCGGGATGTGGGGCATTCCGTCAAAATGAGGCAGGGAACTAGGGCTTTCTCTAAAGTCTCCACAGGGGATTCAGGCATCCCTTCATGTTGTGAGATGAAAGACGAGCCTGTATTGAAGCCACTGCAAGGAAATCCGGCCTCCTTTCAAGTTAGGGCTTCTCGCTGTATATTCCCCTTGAGGCAGCAAACTCGGGGTCCCTCCCACATACCTATTTTTGAGAGAATCCTCCTCCTGACGTGCTTCTGGAAAGTTGGCATACGTCTTGAGCCTAAGCCAGGGAATCAGCTCTCATCTCGAGACGATTTGGGGTACACTGAGCATTCCTCGAGTTGCTGTGCTGAAGTTGGTGTTCCTCTAGACTTGGGACAGTGTTCTCAGGGCATCTCTGGAGTTGCCTGAAGTAAGTCGAGCCACCGATCGTGTTGAATGGGGAACGGGGAATGTCTCTGGAGTCAATGCAGGGGAATCGGGCCTCATCTCGAGTTGATTTGGGGCACATGGAGCTGCTTTGCGTTGCTGAGGTGACCTCAGGGTCCGTCTAGACTGGTGACAGTGATCTTGGGGACTGTCTCGAGATCCATTAAGCAAGTCGAAGCTCCTGACTTGTTTGAATGGGATCACGGAATAGCTCTGCATGCACTGCAGGGGAATGTTTCCTCATCTCGGCTCTAGGGGGAAGTCTCATGGTTTTTCTCGAGTTGCGGCGGGGACCTGGGGTATGTTCTCGACTTACGGCGGGGATGGCCCTTCAAAACACGAGTTTCTTCAGTGACGTCAGGATTCCTGTCTAGTAATGAGGGACACCTCAGGAATCTCTTCGAGGCTTGGCAGGGCCAAATTGAGGCTTCTCGAGGTATGGCAGGGCACCCAAGGACCCTTTCCCGTAGCCACAGGGATTTTGGGATTCCTATCAGTATTCAAGAGGAGTCAGGCATCGTCACCTTTTGAAGCAATGAACTCCGCGTGCCTCTCGAGGTGTCAGCGGGATGTGAGGCATTCCGTCAAAATGAGGCAGGGACATAGGGCTTTCTCTAAGGTCTCCACAGGGGATTCAGACATCCCTTCATGTTGTGAGATGAAAGACGAGCCTGTATTCAAGCCACTGCAAGGAAATCCGGCCTCCTTTCAAGTTAGGGCTTCTCGCTGTATATTCCTCTTGAGGCAGCAAACTCGGGGTCCCTCCCACATACCTATTGCTGAGAGAAGCCTCCTCCTGAGGTGCTTCTGGAAAGTTGGCATACGTCTTGAACCTAAGCCAGGGAATCAGCTCTCATCTGGAGACGATTTGGGGTACACGGAGCATTCCTCGAATTAATGTGCTGAAGTTGGTGGTCCTCTAGACTTGGGACAGTGTTCTCGGGGCATCTCAGGAGTGGCCTGAAGGAAGTCGAGCCACCAGTCGGGTTGAATGGGGAACGGGGAATGGCTCTGGAGTCAATGCAGGGGAATCAGGCCTCATCTCGAGTTGATTTGGTGCACATGGAGCTGCTTTGCGTTGCTGGGGTGACCTCAGGGTCCGTCTAGACTGGTGACAGTGTTCTTGGGGACTGTCTCGAGAACCATTAAGCAAGTCGAAGCTCCTGACTTGTTTGAATGGGATCATGGAATAGCTCTGCATGCACTGAAGGGGAATGGGGCCTCATCTCGCCTCTAGGGGGAATTCTCATGGTTTTCCTCGAGTTGCGGCGGGGACCTGGGCTATGTTCTCGACTTACGGCGGGGATGGCCCTTCAAAACACGAGTTTCTTCAGTGACGTCAGGACTCCTGTCTAGTAACTAGGGACACCTCAGGAATCTATTCGAGGCTTAGCAGGGCAAAAGGTACGCTTCTCGAGCTGAGGCAGGGCACCCAAGGACCCTTTCCCGTAGCCACAGGGATTTTGGGATTCCTATCAGTATTCAAGAGGAGTCAGGCATCGTCACCTTTTGAAGCAATGAACTCCGCGTGCCTCTCGAGGTGTCAGCGGGATGTGAGGCATTCCGTCAAAATGAGGAAGTGACCTAGGGCTTTCTCTAAGGTCTCCACAGGGGATTCAGACATCCCTTCATGTTGTGAGATGAAAGACGAGCCTGTATTCAAGCCACTGCAAGGAAATCCGGCCTCCTTTCAAGTTAGGGCTTCTCGCTGTATATTCCCCTTGAGGCAGCAAACTGGGGTCCCTCCCACATACCTATTGCTGAGAGAAGCCTCCTCCTGAGGTGCTTCTGGAAAGTTGCCATACGTCTTGAGCCTAAGCCAGGGAATCAGCTCTCATCTCGAGACGATTTGGGGTACACTGAGCATTCCTCGAGTTGCTGTGCTGAAGTTGGTGTTCCACTAGACTTGGGACAGTGTTCTCGGTGAATCTCTGGAGTTGCCTGAAGTAAGTCGAGCCACCGGTCGTGTTGAATGGGGAACGGGGAATGGCTCTGGAGTCAATGCAGGGGAATCGGGCCTCATCTCGAGTTGATTTGGGGCACATGGAGCTGCTTTGCGTTGCTGGGGTGACCTCAGGGTCCGTCTAGACTGGTGACAGTGATCTTGGGGACTGTCTCGAGATCCATTAAGCAAGTCGAAGCTCCTGACTTGTTTGAATTGGATCACGGAATAGCTCTGCATGCACTGCAGAGGAATGGGGCCTCATCTCGCCTCTAGGGGGAAGTCTCATGGTTTTTCTCGAGTTGCGGCGGGGACCTGGGGTATGTTCTCGACTTACGGCGGGGATGGCCCTTCAAAACAAGAGTTTCTTCAGTGACGTCAGGACTCCTGTCTAGTAATGAGGGACACCTCAGGAATCTCTTCGAGGCTTGGCAGGGCCAAATTGAGGCTTCTCGAGGTGTGGCAGGGCACCAAAGGACCCTTTCCCGTAGCCACTGGGATTTTGGGATTCCTATCAGTATTCAAGAGGAGTCAGGCATCGTCACATTTTGAAGCAATGAACTCCGCGTGCCTCTCGAGGTGTCAGTGGGATGTGAGGCATTCCGTCAAAATGAGGCAGTGACCTAGGGCATTCTCTAAGGTCTCCTCAGGGGATTCAGACATCCCTTCATGTTGTGAGATGAAAGACGAGCCTGTATTCATGCCACTGCAAGGAAATCCGGCCTCCTTTCAAGTTAGGGCTTCTCACTGTATATTCCCCTTGAGGCAGCAAACTCGGGGTCCCTCCCACATACCTATTGTTGAGAGAAGCCTCCTCCTGAGGTGCTTCTGGAAATTTGGCATACGTCTTGAGCCTAAGCCAGGGAATCAGCTCTCATCTCGAGACGATTTGGGGTACACGGAGCATTCCTCGAATTAATGTGCTGAAGTTGGTGGTCCTCTAGACTTAGGACAGTGTTCTCGGGGCATCTCAGGAGTGGCCTGAAGGAAGTCGAGCCACCAGTCGGGTTGAATGGGGAACGGGTAATGGCTCTGGAGTCAATGCAGGGGAATCAGGCCTCATCTCGAGTTGATTTGGTGCACATGGAGCTGCTTTGCGTTGCTGGGGTGACCTCAGGGTCCGTCTAGACTGGTGACAGTGTTCTTGGGGACTGTCTCGATAACCATTAAGCAAGTCGAAGCTCCTGACTTGTTTGAATGGGATCATGGAATAGCTCTGCATGCACTGCAGGGGAATGGGGCCTCATCTCGCCTCTAGGGGGAATTCTCATGGTTTTCCTCGAGTTGCGGCGGGGACCTGGGCTATGTTCTCGACTTACGGCGGGGATGGCCCTTCAAAACACGAGTTTCTTCAGTGACGTCAGGACTCCTGTCTAGTAACTAGGGACACCTCAGGAATCTATTCGAGGCTTAGCAGGGCAAAAGGTACGCTTCTCGAGCTGAGGCAGGGCACCCAAGGACCCTTTCCCGTAGCCACAGGGATTTTGGGATTCCTATCAGTATTCACGAGGAGTCAGGCATCGTCACCTTCTGAAGCAATGAACTCCGCGTGCCTCTCGAGGTGTCAGCGGGATGTGAGGCATTCCGTCAAAATGAGGAAGTGACCTAGGGCTTTCTCTAAGGTCTCCACAGGGGATTCAGACATCCCTTCATGTTGTGACATGAAAGACGAGCCTGTATTGAAGCCACTGCAAGGAAATCCGGCCTCCTTTCAAGTTAGGGCTTCTCGCTGTATATTCCCCTTGAGGCAGCAAACTGGGGTCCCTCCCACATACCTATTGCTGAGAGAAGCCTCCTCCTGAGGTGCTTCTGGAAAGTTGCCATACGTCTTGAGCCTAAGCCAGGGAATCAGCTCTCATCTCGAGACGATTTGGAGTACACTGAGCATTCCTCGAGTTGCTGTGCTGAAGTTGGTGTTCCACTAGACTTGGGACAGTGTTCTCGGTGAATCTCTGAAGTTGCCTGAAGTAAGTCGAGCCACCGGTCGTGTTGAATGGGGAACGGGGAATGGCTCTGGAGTCAATGCAGGGCAATCGGGCCTCATCTCGAGTTGATTTGGGGCACATGGATCTGCTTTGCGTTGCTGGGGTGACCTCAGGGTCCGTCTAGACTGGTGACAGTGATCTTGGGGACTGTCTCGAGATCCATTAAGCAAGTCGAAGCTCCTGACTTGTTTGAATGGGATCACGGAATAGCTCTGCATGCACTGCAGGGGAATGGGGCCTCATCTCGCCTCTAGGGGGAAGTCTCACGGTTTTTCTCGAGTTACGGCGGGGACCTGGGGTATGTTCTCGACTTAATGCGGGGATGGCCCTTCAAAACACGAGTTTCTTCAGTGACGTCAGGACTCCTGTCTAGTAACGAGGGACACCTCAGGAATGTCTTCGAGGCTTGGCAGGGCAAAAGGGAAGCTTCTTGAGGTGAGGCAGGGCACCCAAGGATGCTTTCCAGTAGCCACAGGGATTTTGGGATTCCTATCAGTATTCAAGAGGAGTCAGGGATCGTCACCTTTTGAAGCAATGAACTCCGCGTGCCTCTCGAGGTGTCAGCGGGATGTGGGGCATTCCGTCAAAATGAGGCAGGGACCTAGGGCTTTCTCTAAGGTCTCCACAGGGGATTCAGACATCCCTTCATGTTGTGAGATGAAAGACGAGCCTGTATTGAAGCCACTGCAAGGAAATCCAGCCTCCTTTCAAGTTAGGGCTTCTCGCCGTATATTCCCCTTGAGGCAGCAAACTCGGGGTCCCTCCCACATACCTATTGCTGAGAGAAGCCTCCACCTGAGGTGCTTCTGGAAAGTTGGCATACGTCTTGAGCCTAAGCCAGGGAATCAGCTCTCATCTCGAGACGATTTGGGGTACACTGAGCATTCCTCGAGTTCCTGTGCTGAAGTTGGTGTTCCTCTAGACTTGGGACAGTGTTCTCGGGGCATCTCTGGAGTTGCCTGAAGTAAGTCGAGCCACCGGTCGTGTTGAATGGGGAACGGGGAATGTCTCTGGAGTCAATGCAGGGGAATCGGGCCTCATCTCGAGTTGATTTGGGGCACATGGAGCTGCTTTGCGTTGCTGGGGTGACCTCAGGGTCCGTCTAGACTGGTGACAGTGATCTTGGGGACTGTCTCGAGATCCATTAAGCAAGTCGAAGCTCCTGACTTGTTTGAATGGGATCACGGAATAGCTCTGCATGCACTGCAGGGGAATGTTTCCTCATCTCGGCTCTAGGGGGAAGTCTCATGGTTTTTCTCGAGTTGCGGCGGGGACCTGGGGTATGTTCTCGACTTACGGCGGGGATGGCCCTTCAAAACACGAGTTTCTTCAGTGACGTCAGGACTCCTGTCTAGTAATGAGGGACACCTCAGGAATCTCTTCGAGGCTTGGCAGGGCCAAATTGAGGCTTCTCGAGGTGTGGCAGGGCACCCAAGGACCCTTTCCCGTAGCCACTGGGATTTTGGGATTCCTATCAGTATTCAAGAGGAGTCAGGCATCGTCACATTTTGAAGCAATGAACTCCGCGTGCCTCTCGAGGTGTCAGTGGGATGTGAGGCATTCCGTCAAAATGAGGCAGTGACCTAGGGCTTTCTCTAAGGTCTCCTCAGGGGATTCAGACATCCCTTCATGTTGTGAGATGAAAGACGAGCCTGTATTCAAGCCACTGCAAGGAAATCCGGCCTCCTTTCAAGTTAGGGCTTCTCACTGTATATTCCCCTTGAGGCAGCAAACTCGGGGTCCCTCCCACATACCTATTGTTGAGAGAAGCCTCCTCCTGAGGTGCTTCTGGAAATTTGGCATACGTCTTGAGCCTAAGCCAGGGAATCAGCTCTCATCTCGAGACGATTTGGGTTACACAAAGCATTCCTCGAGTTAATGTGCTGAAGTTGGTGTTCCTCTTGACTTGGGACAGTGTTCTCGGGGCATCTCTGGAGTTGCCTGAAGGAAGTCGAGCCACCAGTTGTGTTGAATGGGGAACGGGGAATGGCTCTGGAGTCAACGCAGGGGAATCAGGCCTCATCTCGAGTTGATTTGGGGCACATGGAGCTGCTTTGCGTTGCTGGGGTGACTTCAGGGTCCGTCTAGACTGGTGACAGTGTTCTTGGGGACTGCCTCGAGATCCATTAAGCAAGTCGAAGCTCCTGACTAGTTTGAATGGGATCATGGAATAGCTCTGCATGCACTGCAGGGGAATGGGGCCTCATCTCGCCTCTAGGGGAAGTCTGATGGTTTTTCTCGATTTGCGGCGAGGACGTGGGGTATGTTCTCGACTTACGGCGGCGATGGCCCTTCAAAACACGAGTTTCTTCAGTGACGTCAGGACTCCTGTCCAGTAACGAGGGACACCTCAGGAATCTCTTCGAGGCTTGGCAGGGCAAAAGGGACGCTTCTCGAGGTGAGGCATGGCACCCAAGGACCCTTTCCCGTAGCCACAGGGATTTTGGGATTCCTATCAGTATTCAAGAGGAGTCAGGCATTGTCACCTTTTGAAGCAAAGAACTCCGCGTGCCTCTCGAGGTGTCAGCGGGATGTGAGGCATTCCGTCAAAATGAGGCAGGGACCTAGGGCTTTCTCTAAGGTCTCCACAGGGGATTCAGGCATCCCTTCATGTTGTGAGATGAAAGACGAGCCTGTATTCAAGCCACTGCAAGGAAATCCGGCCTCCTTTCAAGTTAGGGCTTCTCGCTGTATATTCCCCTTGAGGCAGCAAACTCGGGGTCCCTCCCACATACCTATTGCTGAGAGAAGCCTCCTCCTGAGGTGCTTCTGGAAAGTTGGCATATGTCTTGAGCCTACGCCAGGGAATCAGCTCCCATCTCGAGACGATTTCGGGTACACGGATCATTCCTCGAGTTAATGTGATAAAGTTGGTGTTCCTCTAGACTTGGACAGTGTTCTCGGGGCATCTCTGGAGTTGCCTGAAGGAAGTCGAGCCACCGGTCGTGTTGAATGGGGAACGGGGAATGGCTCTGGAGTCAATGCAGGGGAATCAGGCCTCATCTCGAGTTGATTTGGGGCACATGGATCTGCTTTGCGTTGCTGGGGTGACCTCAGGGTCCGTCTAGACTGGTGACATTGTTCTTGGGGACTGTCTCGTGATCCATTAAGCAAGTCGAAGCTCCTGACTTGTTTGAATGGGATCACGGAATAGCTCTGCCTGCACTGCAGAAGAATGGGGCCTCATCTCGCCTCTAGGGGGAAGTCTCATGGTTTTTCTCGAGTTGCGGCGGGGACCTGGGGTATGTTCTCCACTTGCGGCGGGGATGGCCCTTCAAAACACGAGTTTCTTCAGTGACATCAGGACTCCTGTCTAGTAACGAGGGACACCTCAGGAATCTCTTCGAGGCTTGGCAGGGCAAAAGGGACGCTTCTCGAGGTGAGGCAGGGCACCCAAGGACCCTTTCCCGTAGCCACAGGGATTTTGGGATTCCTATCAGTATTCAAGAGGAGTCAGGCATCGTCACCTTTTGAAGCAGTGAACTCCGCCTGCCTCTCGAGGTGTCAGCGGGATGTGAGGCATTCCGTCAAAATGAGGCAGGGACCTAGGGCTTTCTCTAAGGTCTCCACAGGGGATTCAGGCATCCCTTCATGTTGTGAGATGAAAGACGTGCCTGTATTCAAGCCACTGCAAGGAAATCCGGCCTCCTTTCAAGTTAGGGCTTCTCGCTGTATATTCCCCTTGAGGCAGCAAATTCGGGGTCCCTCCCACATACCTATTGCTGAGAGAAGCCTCCTCCTGAGGTGCTTCTGGAAAGTTGGCATATGTCTTGAGCCTAAGCCAGGGAATCAGCTCTCATCTCGAGACGATTTGGGTTACATGGAGCATTCCTCGACTTAATGTGCTGAAGTTGGTGTTCCTCTAGACTTGGGACAGTGTTCTCAGGGCACCTCTGGAGTTGCCTGAAGGAAGACAAGCCACCTGTCCTGTTGAATGGGGAACGGGGAATGGCTCTGGAGTCAATGCAGGGGAATCGGGCCTCATCTCGAGTTGATTTGTGGCACATGGAGCTGCTTTGCTTTGCTGGGTTGACCTCAGGGTCCGTCTAGACAGGTGACAGTGTTCTTGGGGACTGTCTCGAGATCCATTAAGCAAGTCGAAGCTCCTGACTTTTTTGAATGGGATCACGGAATAGCTCTGCATGCACTACAGGGGAATGGGGCCTCATCTCGCCTCTCGGGGGAAGTCTCATGGTTTTCCTCGTGTTGGGGCGGGGACCTGGGGTATGTTCTCGACTTACGGCGGGTATGGCCCTTCAAAACACGAGTTTCTTCAGTGACGTCAGGACTCCTGTCTAGTAAAGAGGGACACCTCAGGAATCTCTTCGAGGCTTGGCAGGGTAAAAGGGACGCTTCTCGATGTGAGGCAGGGCACCCAAGCAGCCTTTCCCGTAGCCACACGGATTTTGGGATTCCTATCAGTATTCAAGAGGAGTCAGGCATCGTCACCTTTTGAAGCAATGAAATCCGCGTGCCTCTCGAGGTGTCAGCGGGATGTGAGGCATTCCGTCAAAATGAGGCAGGGACCTAGGGCTTTCTCTAAGGTCTCCACAGGGGATTCAGACATCCCTTCATGTTGTGAGATGAAAGACGAGCCTGTATTCAAGCCACTGCAAGGAAATCCGGCCTCCTTTCAAGTTAGGGCTTCTCGCTGTATATTCCCCTTGAGGCAGCAAACTCGGGGTCCCTCCCACATACCTATTGCTGAGAGAAGCCTCCTACTGAGATGCTTCTGGAAAGTTGGCATACGTCTTGAGCCTAAGCCAGGGAATCAGCTCTCATCTCGAGACGATTTGGGGTACACGGATCATTCCTCGAGTTAATGTGCTGAAGTTGGTGTTCCTCTAGACTTGGGACAGTGTTCTCGGGGCATCTCTGGAGTTGCCTGAAGGAAGTCGAGCCACCGGTCGTGTTGAATGGGGAACAGGGAATGGCTCTGGAGTCAATGCAGGGGAATCAGGCCTCAACTCGAGTTGATTTGGGGCACATGGATCTGCTTTGCGTTGCTGGGGTAACCTCAGGGTCCATCTAGACTGGTGACACTGTTCTTGGGGACTGTCTCGTGATCCATTAAGCAAGTCGAAGCTACTGACTTGTTTGAATGGGATCACGGAATAGCTCTGACTGCACTGCAGGGGAATGGGGCCTCATCTCGCCTCTAGGGGGAAGTCTCATGGTTTTTCTCGAGTTGCGGCGGGGACCTGGGGTATGTTCTCGACTTACGGCGGGGATGGCCCTTCAAAACACGAGTTTCTTCAGTGACGTCAGGACTCCTGTCTAGTAAAGAGGAACACCTCAGGAATCTCTTCGAGGCTTGGCAGGGCCAAATTGAGGCTTCTCGAGGTGAGGCAGGGCACCCAAGGACCCTTTCCAGTAGCCACAGTGATTTTGGGATTCCTATCAGTATTCAAGAGGAGTCAGGCATCGTCACCTTTTGAAGCAATGAACTCCGCGTGCCTCTCGAGGTGTCAGCGGGATGTGAGGCATTCCGTCAAAATGAGGCAGGGACCTAGGGCTTTCTCTAAGGTCTCCACAGGGGATTCAGGCATCCCTTCATGTTGTGAGATGAAAGACGTGCCTGTATTCAAGCCACTGCAAGGAAATCCGGCCTCCTTTCAAGTTAGGGCTTCTCGCTGTATATTCCCCTTGAGGCAGCAAATTCGGGGTCCCTCCCACATACCTATTGCTGAGAGAAGCCTCCTCCTGAGGTGCTTCTGGAAAGTTGGCATATGTCTTGAGCCTAAGCCAGGGAATCAGCTCTCATCTCGAGACGATTTGGGTTACACGGAGCATTCCTCGACTTAATGTGCTGAAGTTGGTGTTCCTCTAGACTTGGGACAGTGTTCTCAGGGCACCTCTGGAGTTGCCTGAAGGAAGTCAAGCCACCTGTCCTGTTGAATGGGGAACGGGGAATGGCTCTGGAGTCAATGCAGGGGAATCGGGCCTCATCTCGAGTTGATTTGTGGCACATGGAGCTGCTTTGCTTTGCTGGGTTGACCTCAGGGTCCGTCTAGACAGGTGACAGTGTTCTTGGGGACTGTCTCGAGATCCATTAAGCAAGTCGAAGCTCCTGACTTTTTTGAATGGGATCACGGAATAGCTCTGCATGCACTGCAGGGGAATGGGGCCTCATCTCGCCTCTCAGGGGAAGTCTCATGGTTTTCCTCGTGTTGGGGCGGGGACCTGGGGTATGTTCTCGACTTACGGCGGGGATGGCCCTTCAAAACACGAGTTTCTTCAGTGACGTCAGGACTCCTGTCTAGTAAAGAGGGACACCTCAGGAATCTCTTCGAGGCTTGGCAGGGTAAAAGGGACGCTTCTCGATGTGAGGCAGGGCACCCAAGCAGCCTTTCCCGTAGCCACACGGATTTTGGGATTCCTATCAGTATTCAAGAGGAGTCAGGCATCGTCACCTTTTGAAGCAATGAAATCCGCGTGCCTCTCGAGGTGTCAGCGGGATGTGAGGCATTCCGTCAAAATGAGGCAGGGACCTAGGGCTTTCTCTAAGGTCTCCACAGGGGATTCAGACATCCCTTCATGTTGTGAGATGAAAGACGAGCCTGTATTCAAGCCACTGCAAGGAAATCCGGCCTCCTTTCAAGTTAGGGCTTCTCGCTGTATATTCCCCTTGAGGCAGCAAACTCGGGGTCCCTCCCACATACCTATTGCTGAGAGAAGCCTCCTACTGAGGTGCTTCTGGAAAGTTGGCATACGTCTTGAGCCTAAGCCAGGGAATCAGCTCTCATCTCGAGACGATTTGGGGTACACGGATCATTCCTCGAGTTAATGTGCTGAAGTTGGTGTTCCTCTAGACTTGGGACAGTGTTCTCGGGGCATCTCTGGAGTTGCCTGAAGGAAGTCGAGCCACCGGTCGTGTTGAATGGGGTACAGGGAATGGCTCTGGAGTCAATGCAGGGGAATCGGGCCTCATCTAGAGTTGATTTGGGGCACATGGAGCTGCTTTGCGTTGCTGGGGTGACCTCAGGGTCCGTCTAGACAGGTGACAGTGTTCTTGGGGACTGTCTCGAGATCCATTAAGCAAGTCGAAGCTCGTGTCTTGTTTGAATGGGATCACGGAATAGCTCTGCATGCACGGCAGGGGAATGGGGCCTCATCTCGCCTCTAGGGGGAAGTCTCATGGTTTTCCTCGAGTTGCGGCGGGGACCTGGGGTATGTTCTCGACGTACGGCAGGGATGGCCCTTCAAAACAAGAGTTTCTTCAGTGACGTCTGGACTCCTGACTAGTAACCAGGGACACCTCAGGAATCTCTTCGAGCCTTGGCAGGGCAAAAGGAACGCTTCTCGAGGTGAGGCAGGGCACCCAAGGACGCTTTCCAGTGGCCACAGGGATTTTGGGATTCCTATCAGTATTCAAGAGGAGTCAGGCATCGTCACCTTTTGAAGCAATGAACTCCGCGTGCCTCTCGAGGTGTCAGCAGGATTGGAGGCATTCCGTCAAAATGAGGCAGGGACCTAGGGCTTTCTCTAAGGTCTCCACAGGGGATTCAGACATCCCTTCATGTTGTGAGATGAAAGACGAGCCTGTATTCAAGCCACTGCAAGGAAATCCGGCCTCCTTTCAAGTTAGGGCTTCTCGCTGTATATTCCCCTTGAGGCAGCAATCTCGGGGTCCCTCCCACATACCTATTGCTGAGAGAAGCCTCCTCCTGAGGTGCTTCTGGAAAGTTGGCATATGTCTTGAGCCTACGCCAGGGAATCAGCTCCCATCTCGAGACGATTTGGGGTACACGGATCATTCCTCGAGTTAATGTGCTGAAGTTGGTGTTCCTCTAGACATGGACAGTGTTATCGGGGCATCTCTGGAGTTGCCTGAAGGAAGTCGAGCCACCGGTCGTGTTGAATGGGGAATGGGGAATGGCTCTGGAGTCAATGCAGGGGAATCAGGCCTCATCTCGAGTTGATTTGGGGCACATGGATCTGCTTTGCGTTGCTGGGGTGACCTCAGGGTCCGTCTAGACTGGTGACAGTGTTCTTGGGGACTGTCTCGTGATCCATTAAGCAAGTCGAAGCTCCTGACTTGTTTGAATGGGATCACGGAATAGCTCTGCCTGCACTGCAGGGGAATGGGGCCTCATCTCGCCTCTAGGGGGAAGTCTCATGGTTTTCTTCGAGTTGCGGCGGGGACCTGGGGTATGTTCTCGACTTACGGCGGGGATGGCCCTTCAAAACACGAGTTTCTTCAGTGACGTCAGGACTCCTGTCTATTAACGAGGGACACATCAGGAATCTCTTCGAGGCTTGGCAGGGCAAAAGGGACGCTTCTCGAGGTGAGGCAGGGCACCCAAGTACCCTTTCCAGTAGCCACAGGGATTTTGGGATTCCTATCAGTATTCAAGAGGAGTCAGGCATCGTCACCTTTTGAAGCAATGAACTCCGCGTGCCTCTCGAGGTGTCAGCAGGATTGGAGGCATTCCGTCAAAATGAGGCAGGGAACTAGGGCTTTCTCTAAGCCCTCCACAGGGGATTCAGACATCACTTCATGTTGTGAGATGAAAGACGAGCCTGTATTCAAGCCACTGCAAGGAAATCCGGCCTCCTTTCAAGTTAGGGCTTCTCGCTGTATATTCCCCTTGAGGCAGCATACTCGGGGTCCCTCCCACATACCTATTGCTGAGAGAAGCCTCCTCCTGAGGTGCTTCTGGAAAGTTGGCATACGTCTTGAGCCTAAGCCAGGGAATCAGCTCTCATCTCGAGACGACTTGGGGTACACGGAGCATTCCTCGAGTTGCTGTGCTGAAGTTGGTGTTCCTCTAGACTTGGGACAGTGTTCTCTGGGCATCTCTGGAGTTGCCTGAAGAAAGTCAAGCCACCTGTCCTGTTGAATAGGGAACGGGGAATGGCTCTGGGGTCAATGCAGGGGAATCGGGCCTCATCTCGAGTTGATTTGGGGCACATGGAGCTGCTTTGCGTTGCTGGGGTGACCTCAGGGTCCGTCTAGACTGCTGACAGTGTTCTTGGGGACTGTCTCGAGATCCATTAAGCAAGTCGAAGCTCCTGACTTGTTTGAATGGGATCACGGAATAGCTCTGCATGCACTGCAGGGGAATGGGGCCTCATCTCGCCTCTAGGGGGAAGTCTCATGGTTTTTCTCGAGTTGCGGCGGGGACCTGCGGTATGTTCTCGACTTACGGCGGGGATGGCCCTTCAAAACAAGAGTTTCTTCAGTGACGTCAGGACTCCTGTCTAGTAACGAGGGACACCTCAGGAATCTCTTCGAGGCTTGGCAGGGCAAAAGGGACGCTTCTCGAGGTGAGGCAGGGCACCCAAGGACCCTTTCCCGTAGCCACAGGGATTTTGGGATTCCTATCAGCATTCAAGAGGAGTCAGGCATCCTCACCTTTTGAAGCAATGAACTCCGCGTGCCTCTCGAGGTGTCAGCGGGATGGGAGGCATTCCGTCAAAATGTGGCAGGGACCTAGTGCTTTCTCTAAGGTCTCCACAGGGGATTCAGACATCCCTTCATGTTGTGAGATGAAAGACGAGCCTGTATTCAAGCCACTGCAAGGAAATCCGGCCTCCTTTCAAGTTAGGGCTTCTCGCTGTATATTCCCCTTGAGGCAGCAAACTCGGGGTCCCTCCCACAAACCTATTGCTGAGAGAAGCCTCCTCCTGAGGTGCTTCTGGAAAGTTGCCATACGTCTTGAGCCTAAGCCAGGGAATCAGCTCTCATCTCGAGATGATTTGGGGTACACGGAGCATTCCTCGAGTTCTGTGCTTAAGTTGGTGTTCCTCTAGACTTGGGACAGTGTTCTCGGGGAATCTCTGGAGTTGCCTGAAGGAAGTCGAGCCACCGGTCGTGTTGAATGGGGAACGGGGAATGGTTCTGGAGTCAATGCAGGGGAATCGGGCCTCATCTCGAGTTGATTTGGGGCACATGGAGCTGCTTTGCGTTGCTGGGGTGACCTCAGGGTCCGTCTAGACAGGTGACAGTGTTCTTGGGGACTGTCTCGAGATCCATTAAGCAAGTCGAAGCTCGTGTCTTGTTTGAATGGGATCACGGAATAGCTCTGCATGCACGGCAGGGGAATGGGGCCTCATCTCGCCTCTAGGGGGAAGTCTCATGGTTTTCCTCGAGTTGCGGCGGGGACCTGGGGTATGTTCTCGACGTACGGCGGGGATGGCCCTTCAAAACACGAGTTTCTTCAGTGACGTCTGGACTCGTGACTAGTAACGAGGGACACCTCAGGAATCTCTTCGAGCCTTGGCAGGGCAAAAGGAACGCTTCTCGAGGTGAGGCAGGGCACCCAAGGACGCTTTCCAGTAGCCACAGGGATTTTGGGATTCCTATCAGTATTCAAGAGGAGTCAGGCATCGTCACCTTTTGAAGCAATGAACTCCGCGTGCCTCTCGAGGTGTCAGCAGGATTGGAGGCATTCCGTCAAAATGAGGCAGGGACCTAGGGCTTTCTCTAAGGTCTCCACAGGGGATTCAGACATCCCTTCATGTTGTGAGATGAAAGACGAGCCTGTATTCAAGCCACTGCAAGGAAATCCGGCCTCCTTTCAAGTTAGGGCTTCTCGCTGTATATTGCCCTTGAGGCAGCAATCTCGGGGTCCCTCCCACATACCTATTGCTGAGAGAAGCCTCCTCCTGAGGTGCTTCTGGAAAGTTGGCATATGTCTTGAGCCTACGCCAGGGAATCAGCTCCCATCTCTAGACGATTTGGGGTACACGGATCATTCCTCGAGTTAATGTGCTGAAGTTGGTGTTCCTCTAGACTTGGACAGTGTTATCGGGGCATCTCTGAAGTTGCCTGAAGGAAGTCGAGCAACCGGTCGTGTTGAATGGGGAACGGGGAATGGCTCTGGAGTCAATGCAGGGGAATCAGGCTTCATCTCGAGTTGATTTGGGGCACATGGATCTGCTTTGCGTTGCTGGGGTGACCTCAGGGTCCGTCTAGACTGGTGACAGTGTTCTTGGGGACTGTCTCGTGATCCATTAAGCAAGTCGAAGCTCCTGACTTGTTTGAATGGGATCACGGAATAGCTCTGCCTGCACTGCAGGGGAATGGGGCCTCATCTCGCCTCTAGGGGGAAGTCTCATGGTTTTTTTCGAGTTGCGGCGGGGACCTGGGGTATGTTCTCGACTTACGGCGGGGATGGCCCTTCAAAACACGAGTTTCTTCAGTGACGTCAGGACTCCTGCCAATAACGAGGGACACATCAGGAATCTCTTCGAGGCTTGGCAGGGCAAAAGGGACGCTTCTCGAGGTGAGGCAGGGCACCCAAGTACCCTTTCCAGTAGCCACAGGGATTTTGGGATTCCTATCAGTATTCAAGAGGAGTCAGGCATCGTCACCTTTTGAAGCAATGAACTCCGCGTGCCTCTCGAGGTGTCAGCGGGATGTGAGGCATTCCGTCAAAATGAGGCAGGGACCTAGGGCTTTCTCTAAGGTCTCCACAGGGGATTCAGACCTCCCTTCATGTTGTGAGATGAAAGACGAGCCTGTATTCAAGCCACTGCAAGGAAATCCGGCCTCCTTTCAAGTTAGGGCTTCTCGCTGTATATTCCCCTTGAGGCAGCAAACTCGGGGTCCCTCCCACATACCTATTGCTGAGAGAAGCCTCCTCCTGAGGTGCTTCTGGAAAGTTGGCATACATCTTGAGCCTAAGCCAGGGAATCAGCTCTCATCTCGAGACGATTTGGGTTACACGGAGCATTCCTCGAGTTAATGTTCTGAAGTTGGTGTTCCTCTAGACTTGGGACAGTGTTCTCAGGGAATCTCTGGAGTTGCCTGAAGGAAGTCAAGCCACCTGTCCTGTTGAATGGGGAACGGGGAATGTCTCTGGAGTCAATGCAGGGGAATCGGGCCTCATCTCGAGTTGATTTGGGGCACATGGATCTGCTTTGCGTTGCTGGGGTGACCTCAGGGTCCGTCTAGACTGGTGACAGTGTTCGTGGGGACTGTCTCGAGATCCATTAAGCAAGTCGAAGCTCCTGACTTTTTGAATGGGATCACGGAATAGCTCTGCATGCACTGCAGGGGAATGGGGCCTCATGTCTCCTCTAGGGGGAAGTCTCATGGTTTTTCTCGTGTTGGGGCGGGGACCTGGGGTATGTTCTCGACTTACGGCGGGGATGGCCCTTCAAAACACGAGTTTCTTCAGTGACGTCAGGACTCCTCTCTAGTAAAGAGGGACACCTCAGGAATCTCTTCGAGGTTTGGCAGGGCAAAAGGGACGCTTCTCGAGGTGAGGCAGGGCACCCAAGGACCCTTTCCAGTAGCCACAGGGATTTTGGGATTCCTATCAGTATTCAAGAGGAGTCAGGCATCGTCACCTTTTGAAGCAATGAACTCCGCGTGCCTCTCGAGGTGTCAGCAGGATTGGAGGCATTCCGTCAAAATGAGGCAGGGACCTAGGGCTTTCTCTAAGGTCTCCAAAGGGGATTCAGACATCCCTTCATGTTGTGAGATGAAAGACGAGCCTGTATTCAAGCCACTGCAAGGAAATCCGGCCTCCTTTCAAGTTAGGGCTTCTCGCTGTATTTTGCCCTTGAGGCAGCAATCTCGGGGTCCCTCCCACATACCTATTGCTGAGAGAAGCCTCCTCCTGAGGTGCTTCTGGAAAGTTGGCATATGTCTTGAGCCTACGCCAGGGAATCAGCTCTCATCTCGAGACGATTTGGGGTACACGGATCATTCCTCGAGTTAATGTGCTGAAGTTGGTGTTCCTCTAGATTTGGGACAGTGTTCTCGGGGCATCTCTGGAGTTGCCTGAAGGAAGTCGAGCCACCGGTCGTGTTGAATGGGGAACGGGGAATGGCTCTGGAGTCAATGCAGGGGATTCGGGCCTCATCTCGAGTTGATTTGGGGCACATGGAGCTGCTTTGCGTTGCTGGGGTGACCTCAGGGTCCGTCTAGACTGGTGACAGTGTTTTGGGGACTGTCTCGTGATCCATTAAGCAAGTCGAAGCTCCTGATTTGTTTGAATGGGATCACGGAATAGCTCTGCCTGCACTGCAGGGGAATGAGGCCTCATCTCGCTTCTAGGGGGAAGTCTCATGGTTTTTCTCGAGTTGCGGCGGGGACCTGGGGTATGTTCTCGACTTACGGCAGGCATGGCCCTTCAAAACACGAGTTTGTTCAGTGACGTCAGGACTCCTGTCTAGTAAAGAGGGACAACTCAGGAATCTCTTCGAGGCTTGGCAGGGCCAAATTGAGGCTTCTCGAGGTGAGACAGGGCACCCAAGGACCCTTTCTAGTAGCCACAGGGATTTTGGGATTCCTATCAGTATTCAAGAGGAGTCAGGCATCGTCACCTTTTGAAGCAATGAACTCCGCGTGCCTCTCGAGGTGTCAGCGGGATGTGAGGCATTCCGTCAAAATGAGGCAGGGACCTAGGACTTTCTCTAAGGCCTCCACAGGGGATTCAGACATCCCTTCATGTTGTGAGATGAAAGACGAGAATGTATTCAAGCCACTGCAAGGAAATCCGGCCTCCTTTCAAGTTTGGGGTTCTCGCTGTATATTCCCCTTGAGGCAGCAAACTCGGGGTCCCTCCCACATACCTATTGCTGAGAGAAGCCTCCTCCTGAGGTGCTTCTGGAAAGTTGGCATACGTCTTGAGCTTAAGCCAGGGAATCAGCTCTCATCTCGAGGCGATTTGGGGTACACGGAGCATTCCTCGAGTTGCTGTGCTGAAGTTGGTGTTCCTCTCGACTTGGGACAGTGTTCTCGGGGCATCTCTGGAGTTGCCTGAAGGAAGTCGAGCCACCGGTCGTGTTGAATGGGGAACGGGGAATGGCTCTGGAGTCAATGCAGGGGAATCGGGCCTCATCTCGAGTTGATTTGGGGCACATGGAGCTGCTATGCTTTGCTGGGGTGACCTCAGGGTCCGTCTAGACTGGTGACAGTGTTCTTGGGGACTGTCTCGAGATCCATTAAGCAAGTCGAAGCTCCTGACTTGTTTGAATGGGATCACGGAATAGCTCTGCATGCACTGCAGGGGAATGGGGCCTCATCTCGCCTCTAGGGGGAAGTCTCATGGTTTTTCTCGACTTGCGACGGGGACCTGGGGTATGTTCTCGACTTACGGCGGGGATGGCCCTTCAAAACACGAGTTTCTTCAGTGACGTCAGGACTCCTGTCTAGTAACGAGGGACACTTCAGGAACCTCTTCGAGGCTTGGCAGGGCAAAGGGGACGCTTCTCGAGGTGAGGCAGGGCACCCATGGACCATTTCCCGTAGCCACAGGGATTTTGGGATTCCTATCAGTATTCAAGAGGAGTCAGGCATCGTCACCTTTTGAAGCAATGAACTCCGCGTGCCTCTCGAGTTGTCAGTGGGATGTGAGGCATTCCGTCAAAATGAGGCAGGGACCTAGGGCTTTCTCTAAGGTCCCCACAGGGGATTCAGATATCACTTCATGTTGTGAGATGAAAGACGAGCCTGTATTCAAGCCACTGCAAGGAAATCCGGCCTCCTTTCAAGTTAGGGCTTCTCGCTGTATATTCCCCTTGAGGCAGCAAACTCGGGGTCCCTCCCACATACCTATTGCTGAGAGAAGCCTCCTCCTGAGGTGCTTCTGGAAAGATGGCATATGTCTTGAGCCTAAGCCAGGGAATCAGCTCTCATCTCGAGACGATTTGGGGTACACGGAGCATTCCTCGAGTTGCTGTGCTGAAGTTGGTGTTCCTCTAGACTTGGGACAGTGTTCTCGGGGCATCTCTGGAGTTGCATGAAGGAAGTCGAGCCACCGGTCGTGTTGAATGGGGAACCGGGAATGGCTCTGGAGACAATGCAGGGGAATCGGGCCTCATCTCGAGTTGATTTGGGGCACATGGAGCTGCTTTGCATTGCTGGGGTGACATCAGGGTCCGTCTAGACTGGTGACAGTGTTCTTGGGGACTGTCTCGAGATCCATTAAGCAAGTCGAAGCTCCTGACTTGTTTGAATGGGATCACGGAATAGCTCTGCATGCACTGCAGGGGAATGGGGCCTCATCACGCCTCTAGGGGAAGCCTCATGATTTTTCTCGAGTTGCGGCGGGGACCTGGGGTATGTTCTCGACTTACGGCGGGGATGGCCCTTCAAAACAAGAGTTTCTTCAGTGACGTCAGGACTCCTGTCTAGTAGCGAGGGACACCTCAGGAATCTCTTCGAGGCTTGGCAGGGCAAAAGGGACGCTTCTCGAGGTGAGGCAGGGCACCCAAAGACCCTTTCCCGTAGCCACAGGGATTTAGGGATTCCTATCAGTATACAAGAGGAGTCAGGCATCGTCACCTTTTGAAGCAATGAACTCCGCGTGCCTCTCGAGGTGTCAGCGGGATGTGAGGCATTCCGTCAAAATGAGGCAGGAACCTAGGGCTTTGTCTAAGGTCTCCACAGGGGATTCAGACATCCCTTCATGTTGTGAGATGAAAGACGAGCCTGTATTCAAGCCACTGCAAGGAAATCCGGCCTCCTTTCAAGTTAGGGCTTCTCGCTGTATATTCCCCTTGAGGCAGCAAACTCGGGGTCCCTCCCACATACCTATTGCTGAGAGAAGCCTCCTCCTGAGGTGCTTCTGGAAAGTTGGCATACGTCTTGAGCCTAAGCCAGGATATCAGCTCTCATCTCGAGACGATTTGGGGTACACGGATCATTCCTCGAGTTAATGTGCTGAACTTGGTGTTCCTCTAGACTTGGGACAGTGTTCTCGGGGCATCTCTGGAGTTGCCTGAAGGAAGTCGAGCCACCGGTCGTGTTGAATGGGGAACGGGGAATGGCTCTGGAGTCAATGCAGGGGAATCGGGCCTCATCTCGAGTTGATTTGGGGCACATGGATCTGCTTTGCGTTGCTGGGGTGACCTCAGGGTCCGTCTAGACTGGTGACAGTGTTTTTGGGGACTGTCTCGTGATCCATTAAGCAAGTCTAAGCTCCTGATTTGTTTGAATGGGATCACGGAATAGCTCTGCCTGCATTGCAGGGGAATGGGGCCTCATCTCGCCTCTAGGGGGAAGTCTCATGGTTTTTCTCGAGTTGCGGCGGGGACCTGGGGTATGTTCTCGACTTACGGCAGGGATGGCCCTTCAAAACACGAGTTTCTTCAGTGACGTCAGGACTCCTGTCTAGTAAAGAGGGACAACTCAGGAATCTCTTCGAGGCTTGGCAGGGCCAAATTGAGGCTTCTCGAGTTGAGACAGGGCACCCAAGGACCCTTTCCCGTAGCCACAGGGATTTTGGGATTCCTATCAGTATTCAAGAGGAGTCAGGCATCGTCACCTTTTGAAGCAATGAACTCCGCGTGCCTCTCGAGGTGTCAGCGGGATGTGAGGCATTCCGTCAAAATGAGCCAGGGACCTAGGGTTTTCTCTAAGGTCTCCACAGGGGATTCAGACATCACTTCATGTTGTGAGATGAAAGACGAGCCTGTATTCAAGCCACTGCAAGGAAATCCGGCTCCTTTCAAGTTAGGGCTTCTCGCTGTATATTCCCCTTGAGGCAGCAAACTCGGGGTCCCTCCCACATACCTATTGCTGAGAGAAGCCTCCTCCTGAGGTGCTTCTGGAAAGTTGGCATACGTCTTGAGCCTAAGCCAGGGAATCAGCTCTCATCTCGAGACGACTTGGGGTACACGGAGCATTCCTCGAGTTGCTGTGCTGAAGTTGGTGTTCCTCTAGACTTGGGACAGTGTTCTCGGGGCATCTCTGGAGTTGCCTGAAGGAAGTCAAGCCACCTGTCCTGTTGAATGAGGAACGGGGAATGGCTCTGGAGTCAATGCAGGGGAATCGGGCCTCATCTCGAGTTGATTTGGGGCACATGGAGCTGCTTTGCGTTGCTGGGGTGACCTCAGGGTCCGTCTAGACTGGTGACAGTGTTCTTGGGGACTGTCTCGAGATCCATTAAGCAAGTAGAAACTCCTGACTTGTTTGAATGGGATCACGGAATAGCTCTGAATGCACTGCAGGGGAATGGGGCCTCTTCTCGCCTCTAGGGGGAAGACTCATGGTTTTTCTCGAGTTGCGGCGGGGACCTGGGGTATGTTCTCGACTTACGGCGGGGATGGCCCTTCAAAACACGAGTTTCTTCAGTGACGTCAGGACTCCTGTCTAGTAACGAGGGACACCTCAGGAATCTCTTCGAGGCTTGGCAGGGCAAAAGGGACGCTTCTCGAGGTGAGGCAGGGCACCCAGGGACCCTTTCCAGTAGCCACAGGGATTTTGGGATTCCTATCAGTGTTCAAGAGGAGTCAGGCATCGTCACCTTTTGAAGCAATGAACTACGCGTGCCTCTCGAGGTGTCAGCGGGATGTGAGGCATTCCGTCAAAATGAGGCAGGGACCTAGGGCTTTTTCTAAGGTCTCCACAGGGGATTGAGACATCCCTTCAGGTTGTGAGATGAAAGACGAGCCTGTATTCAAGCCACTGCAAGGAAATCCGGCCTCCTTTCAAGTTAGGGCTTCTCGCTGTATATTCCCCTTGAGGCAGCAAACTCGGGGTCCCTCCCACATACCTATTGCTGAGAGAAGCCTCCTCCTGAGGTGCTTCTGGAAAGATGGCATACGTCTTGAGCCTAAGCCATGGAATCTGCTCTCATCTCGAGACGATTTGGGGTACACGGAGCATTCCTCGAGTTGCTGTGCTGAAGTTCGTGTTCCTCTCGACTTGGGACAGTGTTCTCGGGGCATCTCTGGAGTTACCTGAGGGAAGTCGAGCCACCGGTCGTGTTGAATGGGGAACGGGGAATGGCTCTGGAGTCAATGCAGGGGAATCGGGCCTCATCTCGAGTTGATTTGGGGCACATGGAGCTGCTTTGCATTGCTGGGGTGACCTCAGGGTCCGTCTAGACAGGTGACAGTGTTCTTGGGGACTGTCTCGAGATCCATTAAGCAAGTCGAAGTTCCTGACTTGTTTGAATGGGATCACGGAATAGCTCTGCATGCACTGCAGGGGAATGGAGCCTCATCTGCTCTATAGGGGGAAGTCTCATGGTTTTTCTCGAGTTGCGGCGGGGACCTGGGGTATGTTCTCGACTTAAGGCGGGGATGGCCCTTCAAAACACGAGTTTCTTCAGTGACGTCAGGACTCCTGTCTAGTAACGAGGGACACCTCAGGAATCTCTTCGATCTATGGCAGGGCAAAAGGGACGCTTCTCGAGGTGAGGCAGGGCACCCAAGGACCCTTTCCCGTAGCCACAGGCATTTTGGGATTCCTATCAGCATTCAAGAGGAGTCAGGTATCGTCACCTTTTGAAGCAATGAACTCCGCGTGCCTCCCTCAGGTGTCAGCGGGATGTGAGGCATTCCGTCAAAAGTGTCACAGGGACCTAGGGCTTTCTCTAAGGTCTCCACAGGGGATTCAGACATCCTTCATGTTGTGAGATGAAAGACGAGCCTGTATTCAAGCCACTGCAAGGAAATCCGGCCTCCTTTCAAGTTAGGGCTTCTCGCTGTATATTCCCCTTGAGGCAGCAAACTCGGGGTCCCTCCCACAAACCTATTGCTGAGAGAAGCCTCCTCCTGAGGTGCTTCTGAAAGCTGGCATATGTCTTGAGCCTAAGCCAGGGAATCAGCTCTCATCTCGAGATGATTTGGGGTACACGGAGCATTCCTCGAGTTCTGTGCTTAAGTTGGTGTTCCTCTAGACCTGGGACAGTGTTCTCGGGGAATCTCTGGAGTTGCCTGAAGGAAGTCGAGCCACCGGTCGTGTTGAATGGGGAACGGGGAATGGCTCTGGAGTCAATGCAGGGGAATCGGGCCTCATCTCGAGTTGATTTGGGGCACATGGAGCTGCTTTGCGTTGCTGGGGTGACCTCAGGGTCCGTCTAGACTGGTGACAGTGTTCTTGGGGACTGTCTCGAGATCCATTAAGCAAGCGAAGCTCGTGTCTTGTTTGAATGGGATCACGGAATAGCTCTGCATGCACTGCAGGGGAATGGGGCCTCATCTCGCCTCTAGGGGGAAGTCTCATGGTTTTCCTCGAGTTGCGGCGGTGACCTGGGGTATGTTCTCGACGTAAGGCGGGGATGGCCCTTCAAAACACGAGTTTCTTCAGTGACGTCTGGACTCCTGACTAGTAACGAGGGACACCTCAGGAATCTCTTCGAGCCTTGGCAGGGCAAAAGGGACGCTTCTCGAGGTGAGGCTGGGCACCCAAGGACCCTATCCAGTAGCCACAGGGATTTTGGGATTCCTATCAGTATTCAAGAGGAGTCAGGCATCGTCACCTTTTGAAGCAATGAACTCCGCGTGCCTCTCGAGGTGTCAGCAGGATTGGAGGCATTCCGTCAAAATGAGGCAGGGAACTAGGGCTTTCTCTAAGGTCTCCACAGGGGATTCAGACATCCCTTCATGTTGTGAGATGAAAGACGAGCCTGTATTGAAGCCACTGCAAGGAAATCCGGCCTCCTTTCAAGTTAGGGCTTCTCGCTGTATATTCCCCTTGAGGCAGCAAACTCGGGGTCCCTCCCACATACCTATTGCTGAGAGAAGCCTCCTCCTGAGGTGCTTCTGGAAAGTTGGCATACGTCTTGAGCCTAAGCCAGGGAATCAGCTCTCATCTCGAGACGATTTGGGGTACACTGAGCATTCCTCGAGTTGCTGTGCTGAAGTTGGTGTTCCTCTAGACTTGGGACAGTGTTCTCGGGGCATCTCTGGAGTTGCATGAAGGAAGTCGAGCCACCGGTCGTGTTGAATGGGGAACCGGGAATGGCTCTGGAGACAATGCAGGGGAATCGGGCCTCATCTCGAGTTGATTTGGGGCACATAGAGCTGCTTTGCATTGCTGGGGTGACATCAGGGTCCGTCTAGACTGGTGACAGTGTTCTTGGGGACTGTCTCGAGATCCATTAAGCAAGTCGAAGCTCCTGACTTGTTTGAATGGGATCACGGAATAGCTCTGCATGCACTGCAGGGGAATGGGGCCTCATCACTCCTCTAGGGGAAGCCTCATGATTTTTCTCGAGTTGCGGCGGGGACGTGGGGTATGTTCTCGACTTACGGCGGGGATGGCCCTTCAAAACAAGAGTTTCTTCAGTGACGTCAGGACTCCTGTCTAGTAGCGAGGGACACCTCAGAAATCTCTTCGAGGCTTGGCAGGGCCAAATTGAGGCTTCTCGAGGTGAGACAGGGCACCCAAGGACCCTTTCCAGTAGCCACAGGGATTTTGGGATTCCTATCAGTATTCAAGAGGAGTCAGGCATCGTCACCTTTTGAAGCAATGAACTCCGCGTGCCTCTCGAGGTGTCAGCGGGATGTCAGGCATTCCGTCAAAATGAGACAGTTACCTAGGGCTTTCTCTAAGGTCTCCACAGGGGATTCAGACATCACTTCATGTTGTGAGATGAAAGACGAGCCTGTATTCAAGCCACTGCAAGGAAATCCGGCTCCTTTCAAGTTAGGGCTTCTCGCTGTATATTCCCCTTGAGGCAGCAAACTCGGGGTCCCTCCCACATACCTATTGCTGAGAGAAGCCTCTTCCTGAGGTGCTTCTGGAAAGTTGGCATACTTCTTGAGCCTAAGCCAGGGAATCAGCTCTCATCTCGAGACGACTTGGTGTACACGGAGCATTCCTCGAGTTGCTGTGCTGAAGTTGGTGTTCCTCTAGACTTGGGACAGTGTTCTCGGGGCATCTCTGGAGTTGCCTGAAGGAAGTCAAGCCACCTGTCCTGTTGAATGAGGAACGGGGAATGGCTCTGGAATCAATGCAGGGGAATCGGGCCTCATCTCGAGTTGATTTGGGGCACATGGATATGCTTTGCGTTGCTGGGGTGACCTCAGGGTCCGTCTAGACTGGTGACAGTGTTCTTGGGGACTGTCTCGAGATCCATTAAGCAAGTCGAAGCTCCTGACTTGTTTGAATGGGATCACGGAATAGTTCTGCATGCACTGCAGGGGAATGGGGCCTCATCTCGCCTCTAGGGGGAAGTCTCATGGTTTTTCTCGAGTTGCGGCGGGGACCTGCGGTATGTTCTCGACTTATGGCGGGGATGGCCCTTCAAAACACGAGTTTCTTCAGTGACGTCAGGACTCCTGTCTAGTAACGAGGGACACCTCAGGAATCTCTTCGAGGCTTGGCAGGGCAAAAGGGACGCTTCTCGAGGTGAGGTAGGGCACCCAAGGACCCTTTCCCGTAGCCACAGGGATTTAGGGATTCCTATCAGTATACAAGAGGAGTCAGGCATCGTCACCTTTTGAAGCAATGAACTCCGCGTGCCTCTCGAGGTGTCAGCGGGATGTGAGGCATTCCGTCAAAATGAGGCAGGAACCTAGGGCTTTGTCTAAGGTCTCCACAGGGGATTCAGACATCCCTTCATGTTGTGAGATGAAAGACGAGCCTGTATTCAAGCCACTGCAAGGAAATCCGGCCTCCTTTCAAGTTAGGGCTTCTCGCTGTATATTCCCCTTGAGGCAGCAAACTCGGGGTCCCTCCCACATACCTATTGCTGAGAGAAGCCTCCTCCTGAGGTGCTTCTGGAAAGTCGGCATACGTCTTGAGCCTAAGCCAGGATATCAGCTCTCATCTCGAGACGATTTGGGGTACACGGATCATTCCTCGAGTTAATGTGCTGAACTTGGTGTTCCTCTAGACTTGGGACAGTGTTCTTGGGGCATCTCTGGAGTTGCCTGAAGGAAGTCGAGCCACCGGTCGTGTTGAATGGGGAACGGGGAATGGCTCTGGAGTCAATGCAGGGCAATCGGGCCTCATCTCGAGTTGATTTGGGGCACATGGATCTGCTTTGCGTTGCTGGGGTGACCTCAGGGTCCGTCTAGACTGGTGACAGTGTTTTTGGGGACTGTCTCGTGATCCATTAAGCAAGTCTAAGCTCCTGATTTGTTTGAATGGGATCACGGAATAGCTCTGCCTGCATTGCAGGGGAATGGGGCCTCATCTCGCCTCTAGGGGGAAGTCTCATGGTTTTTCTCGAGTTGCGGCGGGGACCTGGGGTATGTTCTCGACTTACGGCAGGGATGGCCCTTCAAAACACGAGTTTCTTCAGTGACGTCAGGACTCCTGTCTAGTAAAGAGGGACAACTCAGGAATCTCTTCGAGGCTTGGCAGGGCCAAATTGAGGCTTCTCGAGTTGAGACAGGGCACCCAAGGACCCTTTCCCGTAGCCACAGGGATTTTGGGATTCCTATCAGTATTCAAGAGGAGTCAGGCATCGTCACCTTTTGAAGCAATGAACTCCGCGTGCCTCTCGAGGTGTCAGCGGGATGTGAGGCATTCCGTCAAAATGAGCCAGGGACCTAGGGTTTTGTCTAAGGTCTCCACAGGGGATTCAGACATCACTTCATGTTGTGAGATGAAAGACGAGCCTGTATTCAAGCCACTGCAAGGAAATCCGGCTCCTTTCAACTTAGGGCTTCTCGCTGTATATTCCCCTTGAGGCAGCAAACTCGGGGTCCCTCCCACATACCTATTGCTGAGAGAAGCCTCCTCCTGAGGTGCTTCTGGAAAGTTGGCATACGTCTTGAGCCTAAGCCAGGGAATCAGCTCTCATCTCGAGACGACTTGGGGTACACGGAGCATTCCTCGAGTTGCTGTGCTGAAGTTGGTGTTTCTCTAGACTTGGGACAGTGTTCTCGGGGCATCTCTGGAGTTGCCTGAAGGAAGTCAAGCCACCTGTCCTGTTGAATGAGGAACGGGGAATGGCTCTGGAGTCAATGCAGGGGAATCGGGCCTCATCTCGAGTTGATTTGGGGCACATGGAGCTGCTTTGCGTTGCTGGGGTGACCTCAGGGTCCGTCTAGACTGGTGACAGTGTTCTTGGGGACTGTCTCGAGATCCATTAAGCAAGTCGAAACTCCTGACTTGTTTGAATGGGATCACGGAATAGCTCTGCATGCACTGCAGGGGAATGGGGCCTCATCTCGCCTCTAGGGGGAAGTCTCATGGTTTTTCTCGAGTTGCGGCAGGGACCTGCGGTATGTTCTCGACTTACGGCGGGGATGGCCCTTCAAAACACGAGTTTCTTCAGTGACGTCAGGACTCCTGTCTAGTAGCGAGGGACACCTCAGAAATCTCTTCGATGCTTGGCAGGGCAAAAGGGACGCTTCTCGAGGTGAGGCAGGGCACCCAGGGACCCTTTCCAGTAGCCACAGGGATTTTGGGATTCCTATCAGTGTTCAAGAGGAGTCAGGCATCGTCACCTTTTGAAGCAATGAACTACGCGTGCCTCTCGAGGTGTCAGCGGGATGTGAGGCATTCCGTCAAAATGAGGCAGGGACCTAGGGCTTTCTCTAAGGTCTCCACAGGGGATTGAGACATCCCTTCAGGTTGTGAGATGAAAGACGAGCCTGTATTCAAGCCACTGCAAGGAAATCCGGCCTCCTTTCAAGTTAGGGCTTCTCGCTGTATATTCCCCTTGAGGCAGCAAACTCGGGGTCCCTCCCACATACCTATTGCTGAGAGAAGCCTCCTCCTGAGGTGCTTCTGGAAAGATGGCATACGTCTTGAGCCTAAGCCATGGAATCTGCTCTCATCTCGAGACGATTTGGGGTACACGGAGCATTCCTCGAGTTGCTGTGCTGAAGTTCGTGTTCCTCTCGACTTGGGACAGTGTTCTCGGGGCATCTCTGGAGTTACCTGAGGGAAGTCGAGCCACCGGTCGTGTTGAATGGGGAACGGGGAATGGCTCTGGAGTCAATGCAGGGGAATCGGGCCTCATCTCGAGTTGATTTGGGGCACATGGAGCTGCTTTGCGTTGCTGGGGTGACCTCAGGGTCCGTCTAGACAGGTGACAGTGTTCTTGGGGACTGTCTCGAGATCCATTAAGCAAGTCGAAGTTCCTGACTTGTTTGAATGGGATCACGGAATAGCTCTGCATGCACTGCAGGGGAATGGGGCCTCATCTGCTCTATAGGGGGAAGTCTCATGGTTTTTCTCGAGTTGCGGCGGGGACCTGGGGTATGTTCTCGACTTAAGGCGGGGATGGCCCTTCAAAACACGAGTTTCTTCAGTGACGTCAGGAATCCTGTCTAGTAACGAGGGACACCTCAGGAATCTCTTCGATCTATGGCAGGGCAAAAGGGACGCTTCTCGAGGTGAGGCAGGGCACCCAAGGACCCTTTCCCGTAGCCACAGGCATTTTGGGATTCCTATCAGCATTCAAGAGGAGTCAGGTATCGTCACCTTTTGAAGCAATGAACTCCGCGTGCCTCCCTCAGGTGTCAGCGGGATGTGAGGCATTCCGTCAAAAGTGTCACTGGGACCTAGGGCTTTCTCTAAGGTCTCCACAGGGGATTCAGACATCCCTTCATGTTGTGAGATGAAAGACGAGCCTGTATTCAAGCCACTGCAAGGAAATCCGGCCTCCTTTCAAGTTAGGGCTTCTCGCTGTATATTCCCCTTGAGGCAGCAAACTCGGGGTCCCTCCCACAAACCTATTGCTGAGAGAAGCCTCCTCCTGAGGTGCTTCTGAAAGCTGGCATATGTCTTGAGCCTAAGCCAGGGAATCAGCTCTCATCTCGAGATGATTTGGGGTACACGGAGCATTCCTCGAGTTCTGTGCTTAAGTTGGTGTTCCTCTAGACCTGGGACAGTGTTCTCGGGGAATCTCTGGAGTTGCCTGAAGGAAGTCGAGCCACCGGTCGTGTTGAATGGGGAACGGGGAATGGCTCTGGAGTCAATGCAGGGGAATCGGGCCTCATCTCGAGTTGATTTGGGGCACATGGAGCTGCTTTGCGTTGCTGGGGTGACCTCAGGGTCCGTCTAGCCTGGTGACAGTGTTCTTGGGGACTGTCTCGAGATCCATTAAGCAAGCGAAGCTCGTGTCTTGTTTGAATGGGATCACGGAATAGCTCTGCATGCACTGCAGGGGAATGGGGCCTCATCTCGCCTCTAGGGGGAAGTCTCATGGTTTTCCTCGAGTTGCGGCGGGGACCTGGGGTATGTTCTCGACGTAAGGCGGTGATGGCCCTTCAAAACACGAGTTTCTTCAGTGACGTCTGGACTCCTGACTAGTAACGAGGGACACCTCAGGAATCTCTTCGAGCCTTGGCAGGGCAAAAGGGACGCTTCTCGAGGTGAGGCTGGGCACCCAAGGACCCTATCCAGTAGCCACAGGGATTTTGGGATTCCTATCAGTATTCAAGAGGAGTCAGGCATCGTCACCTTTTGAAGCAATGAACTCCGCGTGCCTCTCGAGGTGTCAGCAGGATTGGAGGCATTCCGTCAAAATGAGGCAGGGAACTAGGGCTTTCTCTAAGGTCTCCACAGGGGATTCAGACATCCCTTCATGTTGTGAGATGAAAGACGAGCCTGTATTCAAGCCACTGCAAGGAAATCCGGCCTCCTTTCAAGTTAGGGGTTCTCGCTGTATATTCCCCTTGAGGCAGCAAACTCGGGGTCCCTCCCACATACCTATTGCTGAGAGAAGCCTCCTCCTGAGGTGCTTCTGGAAAGTTGGCATACGTCTTGAGCCTAAGCCAGGGAATCAGCTCTCATCTCGAGGCGATTTGGGGTACACGGAGCATTCCTCGAGTTGCTGTGCTGAAGTTGGTGTTCCTCTAGACTTGGGACAGTGTTCTCGGGGCATCTCTGGAGTTGCATGAAGGAAGTCGAGCCACCGGTCGTGTTGAATGGGGAACCGGGAATGGCTCTGGAGACAATGCAGGGGATCGGGCCTCATCTCGAGTTGATTTGGGGCACATGGAGCTGCTTTGCATTGCTGGGGTGACATCAGGGTCCGTCTAGACTGGTGACAGTGTTCTTGGGGACTGTCTCGAGATCCATTAAGCAAGTCGAAGCTCCTGACTTGTTTGAATGGGATCACGGAATAGCTCTGCATGCACTGCAGGGGAATGGGGCCTCATCACTCCTCTAGTGGAAGCCTCATGATTTTTCTCGAGTTGCGGCGGGGACGTGGGGTATGTTCTCGACTTACGGCGGGGATGACCCTTCAAAACAAGAGTTTCTTCAGTGACGTCAGGACTCCTGTCTAGTAGCGAGGGACACCTCAGAAATCTCTTCGAGGCTTGGCAGGGCCAAATTGAGGCTTCTCGAGGTGAGACAGGGCACCCAAGGACCCTTTCCAGTAGCCACAGGGATTTTGGGATTCCTATCAGTATTCAAGAGGAGTCAGGCATCGTCACCTTTTGAAGCAATGAACTCCGCGTGCCTCTCGAGGTGTCAGCGGGATGTCAGGCATTCCGTCAAAATGAGACAGTTACCTAGGGCTTTCTCTAAGGTCTCCACAGGGGATTCAGACATCACTTCATGTTGTGAGATGAAAGACGAGCCTGTATTCAAGCCACTGCAAGGAAATCCGGCTCCTTTCAAGTTAGGGCTTCTCGCTGTATATTCCCCTTGAGGCAGCAAACTCGGGGTCCCTCCCACATACCTATTGCTGAGAGAAGCCTCTTCCTGAGGTGCTTCTGGAAAGTTGGCATACTTCTTGAGCCTAAGCCAGGGAATCAGCTCTCATCTCGAGACGACTTGGTGTACACGGAGCATTCCTCGAGTTGCTGTGCTGAAGTTGGTGTTCCTCTAGACTTGGGACAGTGTTCTCGGGGCATCTCTGGAGTTGCCTGAAGGAAGTCAAGCCACCTGTCCTGTTGAATGAGGAACGGGGAATGGCTCTGGAATCAATGCAGGGGAATCGGGCCTCATCTCGAGTTGATTTGGGGCACATGGATATGCTTTGCGTTGCTGGGGTGACCTCAGGGTCCGTCTAGACTGGTGACAGTGTTCTTGGGGACTGTCTCGAGATCCATTAAGCAAGTCGAAGCTCCTGACTTGTTTGAATGGGATCACGGAATAGTTCTGCATGCACTGCAGGGGAATGGGGCCTCATCTCGCCTCTAGGGGGAAGTCTCATGGTTTTTCTCGAGTTGCGGCGGGGACCTGCGGTATGTTCTCGACTTATGGCGGGGATGGCCCTTCAAAACACGAGTTTCTTCACTGACGTCAGGACTCCTGTCTAGTAACGAGGGAAACCTCAGGAATCTCTTCGAGGCTTGGCAGGGCAAAAGGGACGCTTCTCGAGGTGAGGTAGGGCACCCAAGGACCCTTTCCCGTAGCCACAGGGATTTTGGGATTCCTATCAGTATTCAAGAGGAGTCAGGCATCGTCACCTTTTGAAGCAATGAACTCCGCGTGCCTCTCGAGGTGTCAGCGGGATTGGAGGCATTCCGTCAAAATGAGGCAGGGACCTAGGGCTTTCTCTAAGGTCTCCACAGGGGATTCAGACATCCCTTCATGTTGTGAGATGAAAGACGAGCCTGTATTCAAGCCACTGCAAGGAAATCCGGCCTCCTTTCAAGTTAGGGCTTCTCGCTGTATATTCCCCTTGAGGCAGCAAACTCGGGGTCCCTCCCACATACCTATTGCTGAGAGAAGCCTCCTCCTGAGGTGCTTCTGGGAAGTTGGCATACGTCTTGAGCCTAAGCCAGGGAATCAGCTCTCATCTCGAGACGATTTGGGGTACACGGAGCATTCCTCGAGTTGCTGTGCTGAAGTTGGTGTTCCTCTCGACTTGGGACAGTGTTCTCGGGGCATCTCTGGAGTTGCCTGAAGGAAGTCGAGCCACCGGTCGTGTTGAATGGGGAACGGGGAATGGCTCTGGAGTCAATGCAGGGGAATCGGGCCTCATCTCGAGTTGATTTGGGGCACATGGAGCTGCTTTGCATTGCTGGGGTGACCTCAGGGTCCGTCTAGACTGGTGACAGTGTTTTTGGGGACTGTCTCGTGATCCATTAAGCAAGTCGAAGCTCCTGATTTGTTTGAATGGGATCACGGAATAGCTCTGCCTGCACTGCAGGGGAATGGGGCCTCATCTCGCCTCTAGGGGGAAGTCTCATGGTTTTTCTCGAGTTGCGGCGGGGACCTGGGGTATGTTCTCGACTTACGGCGGGGATGGCCCTTCAAAACACGAGTTTCTTCAGTGACGTCAGGACTCCTGTCTAGTAAAGAGGGACAACTCAGGAATCTCTTCGAGGCTTGGCAGGGCCAAATTGAGGCTTCTCGAGGTGAGACAGGGCACCCAAGGACCCGTACCCGTAGCCACAGGGATTTTGGGATTCCTATCAGTATTCAAGAGGAGTCAGGCATCGTCACCTTTTGAAGCAATGAACTCCGCGTGCCTCTCGAGGTGTCAGCGGGATGTGAGGCATTCCGTCAAAATGAGGCAGGGACCTAGGGCTTTCTCTAAGGTCTCCACAGGGGATTCAGACATCCCTTCATGTTGTGAGATGAAAGACGTGCCTGTATTCAAGCCACTGCAAGGAAATCCGGCCTCCTTTCAAGTTAGGGCTTCTCGCTGTATATTCCCCTTGAGGCAGCAAACTCGGGGTCCCTCCCACATACCTATTGCTGAGAGAAGCCTCCTCCTGAGGTGCTTCTGGAAAGTTGGCATATGTCTTGAGCCTAAGCCAGGGAATCAGCTCTCATCTCGAGACGATTTGGGGTACACGGAGCATTCCTCGAGTTGCTGTGCTGAAGTTGGTGTTCCTCTAGACTTGGGACAGTGTTCTCGGGGCATCTCTGGAGTTGCCTGAAGGAAGTCGAGCCACCGGTCGTGTTGAATGGGGAACGGGGAATGGCTCTGGAGTCAATGCAGGGGAATCGGGCCTCATCTCGAGTTGATTTGGGGCACATGGAGCTGCTTTGCGTTGCTGGGGTGACCTCAGGGTCCGTCTCGACTGGTGACAGTGTTCTTGGGGACTGTCTCGAGATCCATTAAGCAAGTCGAAGCTCCTGCCTTGTTTGAATGGGATCACGGAATAGCTCTGCATGCACTGCAGGGGAATGGAGCCTCATCTCGCCTCTAGGGGGAAGTCTCATGGTTTTTCTCGAGTTGCGGCGGGGACCTGGGGTAGGTTCTCGACTTACGGCGGGGATGGCCCTTCAAAACACGAGTTTCTTCAGTGACGTCAGGACTCCTGTCTAGTAATAAGGGACACCTTAGGAATCTTTTCAAGGCTAGGCAGGGCAAAAGGGACGCTTCTCGAGGTGAGGCAGGGCACCCAGGGACCCTTTCCAGTAGCCACAGGGATTTTGGGATTCCTATCAGTGTTCAAGAGGAGTCAGGCATCGTCACCTTTTGAAGCAATGAACTCCGCGTGCCTCTCGAGGTGTCAGCGGGATGTGAGGCATTCCGTCAAAATGAAGCAGGGACGTAGGGCTTTCTCTAAGGTCTCCACAGGGGATTGAGACATCCCTTCAGGTTGTGAGATGAAAGACAAGCCTGTATTCAAGCCACTGCAAGGAAATCCGGCCTCCTTTCAAGTTAGGGCTTCTCGCTGTATATTCCCCTTGAGGCAGCAAACTCGGGGTCCTTCCCACATACCTATTGCTGAGAGAAGCCTCCTCCTGAGGTGCTTCTGGAAAGATGGCATACGTCTTGAGCCTAAGCCATGGAATCTGCTCTCATCTCAAGACGATTTGGGGTACACGGAGCATTCCTCGAGTTGCTGTGCTGAAGTTGGTGTTCCTCTCGACTTGGGACAGTGTTCTCGGGGCATCTCTGGAGTTACCTGAGGGAAGTCGAGCCACCGGTCGTGTTGAATGGGGAACGGGGAATGGCTCTGGAGTCAATGCAGGGGAATCGGGCCTCATCTCGAGTTGATTTGGGGCACATGGAGCTGCTTTGCGTTGCTGGGGTGACCTCAGGGTCCGTCTAGACAGGTGACAGTGTTCTTGGGGACTGTCTCGAGATCCATTAAGCAAGTCGAAGTTCCTGACTTGTTTGAATGGGATCACGGAATAGCTCTGCATGCACTGCAGGGGAATGGGGCCTCATCTCGTCTATAGGGGGAAGTCTCATGGTTTTTCTCGAGTTGCGGCGGGGACCTGGGGTATGTTCTCGACTTAAGGCGGGGATGGCCCTTCAAAACACGAGTTTTTTCAGTGACGTCAGGACTCCTGTCTAGTAACGAGGGACACCTCAGGAAGCTCTTCGATCTATGGCAGGGCAAAAGGGACGCTTCTCGAGGTGAGGCAGGGCACCCAAGGACCCTTTCCCGTAGCCACAGGGATTTTGGGATTCCTTTCAGCATTCAAGAGGAGTCAGGTATCGTCACCTTTTGAAGCAATGAACTCCGCGTGCCTCCCTCAGGTCTCAGCGGGATGTGAGGCATTCCGTCAAAATGTCACAGGGACCTAGGGCTTTCTCTAAGGTCTCCACAGGGGATTCAGACATCCCTTCATGTTGTGAGATGAAAGACGAGCCTGTATTCAAGCCACTGCAAGGAAATCCGGCCTCCTTTCAAGTTAGGGCTTCTCGCTGTATATTCCCCTTGAGGCAGCAAACTCGGGGTCCCTCCCACATACCTATTGCTGAGAGAAGCCTCCTCCTGAGGTGCTTCTGGAAAGTTGGCATACGTCTTGAGCCTAAGCCAGGGAATCAGCTCTCATCTCGAGGCGATTTGGGGTACACGGAGCATTCCTCGAGTTGCTGTGCTGAAGTTCGTGTTCCTCTCGACTTGGGACAGTGTTCTCGGGGCATCTCTGGAGTTGCCTGAAGGAAGTCGAGCCACCGGTCGTGTTGAATGGGGAACGGGGAATGGCTCTGGAGTCAATGCAGGGGAATCGGGCCTCATCTCGAGTTGATTTGGGGCACATGGAGCTGCTTTGCATTGCTGGGGTGACCTCAGGGTCCGTCTAGACTGGTGACAGTGTTTTTGGGGACTGTCTCGTGATCCATTAAGCAAGTCGAAGCTCCTGATTTGTTTGAATGGGATCACGGAATAGCTCTGCCTGCACTGCAGGGGAATGGGGCCTCATCTCGCCTCTAGGGGGAAGTCTCATGGTTTTTCTCGAGTTGCGGCGGGGACCTGGGGTATGTTCTCGACTTACGGCGGGGATGGCCCTTCAAAACACGAGTTTCTTCAGTGACGTCAGGACTCCTGTCTAGTAAAGAGGGACAACTCAGGAATCTCTTCGAGGCTTGGCAGGGCCAAATTGAGGCTTCTCGAGGTGAGACAGGGCACCCAAGGACCCGTACCCGTAGCCACAGGGATTTTGGGATTCCTATCAGTATTCAAGAGGAGTCAGGCATCGTCACCTTTTGAAGCAATGAACTCCGCGTGCCTCTCGAGGTGTCAGCGGGATGTGAGGCATTCCGTCAAAATGAGGCAGGGACCTAGGGCTTTCTCTAAGGTCTCCACAGGGGATTCAGACATCCCTTCATGTTGTGAGATGAAAGACGTGCCTGTATTCAAGCCACTGCAAGGAAATCCGGCCTCCTTTCAAGTTAGGGCTTCTCGCTGTATATTCCCCTTGAGGCAGCAAACTCGGGGTCCCTCCCACATACCTATTGCTGAGAGAAGCCTCCTCCTGAGGTGCTTCTGGAAAGTTGGCATATGTCTTGAGCCTAAGCCAGGGAATCAGCTCTCATCTCGAGACGATTTGGGGTACACGGAGCATTCCTCGAGTTGCTGTGCTGAAGTTGGTGTTCCTCTAGACTTGGGACAGTGTTCTCGGGGCATCTCTGGAGTTGCCTGAAGGAAGTCGAGCCACCGGTCGTGTTGAATGGGGAACGGGAAATGGCTCTGGAGTCAATGCAGGGGAATCGGGCCTCATCTCGAGTTGATTTGGGGCACATGGAGCTGCTTTGCGTTGCTGGGGTGACCTCAGGGTCCGTCTCGACTGGTGACAGTGTTCTTGGGGACTGTCTCGAGATCCATTAAGCAAGTCGAAGCTCCTGCCTTGTTTGAATGGGATCAAGGAATAGCTCTGCATGCACTGCAGGGGAATGGAGCCTCATCTCGCCTCTAGGGGGAAGTCTCATGGTTTTTCTCGAGTTGCGGCGGGGACCTGGGGTAGGTTCTCGACTTACGGCGGGGATGGCCCTTCAAAACACGAGTTTCTTCAGTGACGTCAGGACTCCTGTCTAGTAATAAGGGACACCTTAGGAATCTTTTCAAGGCTAGGCAGGGCAAAAGGGACGCTTCTCGAGGTGAGGCAGGGCACCCAGGGACCCTTTCCAGTAGCCACAGGGATTTTGGGATTCCTATCAGTGTTCAAGAGGAGTCAGGCATCGTCACCTTTTGAAGCAATGAACTCCGCGTGCCTCTCGAGGTGTCAGCGGGATGTGAGGCATTCCGTCAAAATGAAGCAGGGACGTAGGGCTTTCTCTAAGGTCTCCACAGGGGATTGAGACATCCCTTCAGGTTGTGAGATGAAAGACAAGCCTGTATTCAAGCCACTGCAAGGAAATCCGGCCTCCTTTCAAGTTAGGGCTTCTCGCTGTATATTCCCCTTGAGGCAGCAAACTCGGGGTCCTTCCCACATACCTATTGCTGAGAGAAGCCTCCTCCTGAGGTGCTTCTGGAAAGATGGCATACGTCTTGAGCCTAAGCCATGGAATCTGCTCTCATCTCAAGACGATTTGGGGTACACGGAGCATTCCTCGAGTTGCTGTGCTGAAGATGGTGTTCCTCTCGACTTGGGACAGTGTTCTCGGGGCATCTCTGGAGTTACCTGAGGGAAGTCGAGCCACCGGTCGTGTTGAATGGGGAACGGGGAATGGCTCTGGAGTCAATGCAGGGGAATCGGGCCTCATCTCGAGTTGATTTGGGGCACATGGAGCTGCTTTGCGTTGCTGGGGTGACCTCAGGGTCCGTCTAGACAGGTGACAGTGTTCTTGGGGACTGTCTCGAGATCCATTAAGCAAGTCGAAGTTCCTGACTTGTTTGAATGGGATCACGGAATAGCTCTGCATGCACTGCAGGGGAATGGGGCCTCATCTCGTCTATAGGGGGAAGTCTCATGGTTTTTCTCGAGTTGCGGCGGGGACCTGGGGTATGTTCTCGACTTAAGGCGGGGATGGCCCTTCAAAACACGAGTTTTTTCAGTGACGTCAGGACTCCTGTCTAGTAACGAGGGACACCTCAGGAAGCTCTTCGATCTATGGCAGGGCAAAAGGGACGCTTCTCGAGGTGAGGCAGGGCACCCAAGGACCCTTTCCCGTAGCCACAGGGATTTTGGGATTCCTTTCAGCATTCAAGAGGAGTCAGGTATCGTCACCTTTTGAAGCAATGAACTCCGCGTGCCTCCCTCAGGTCTCAGCGGGATGTGAGGCATTCCGTCAAAATGTCACAGGGACCTAGGGCTTTCTCTAAGGTCTCCACAGGGGATTCAGACACCCCTTCATGTTGTGAGATGAAAGACGAGCCTGTATTCAAGCCACTGCAAGGAAATCCGGCCTCCTTTCAAGTTAGGGCTTCTCGCTGTATATTCCCCTTGAGGCAGCAAACTCGGGGTCCCTCCCACATACCTATTGCTGAGAGAAGCCTCCTCCTGAGGTGCTTCTGGAAAGTTGGCATACGTCTTGAGCCTAAGCCAGGGAATCAGCTCTCATCTCGAGGCGATTTGGGGTACACGGAGCATTCCTCGAGTTGCTGTGCTGAAGTTGGTGTTCCTCTCGACTTGGGACAGTGTTCTCGGGGCATCTATTGAGTTGCCTGAAGGAAGTCGAGCCACCGGTCTTGTTGAATGGGGAACGGGGAATGGCTCTGGAGTCAATGCAGGGGAATCGGGCCTCATCTCGTGTTGATTTGGGGCACATGGAGCTGCTTTGCTTTGCTGGGGTGACCTCAGGGTCCGTCTAGACTGCTGACAGTGTTCTTGGGGACTGTCTCGAGATCCATTAAGCAAGTCGAAGCTCCTGACTTGTTTGAATGGGATCACGGAATAGCTCTGCATGCACTGCAGGGGAATGGGGCCTCATCTCGCCTCTAGGAGGAAGTCTCATGGTTTTTCTCGACTTGTGACGGGGACCTGGGGTATGTTCTCGTCTTACGGCGGGGATGGCCCTTCAAAACACGAGTTTCTTCATTGACGTCAGGACTCCTGTCTAGTAACGAGGGACACCTCAGGAATCTCTTCGAGGCTTGGCAGGGCAAAAGGGGCGCTTCTCGAGGTGAGGCAGGGCACCCAAGGACCCTTTCCCGTAGCCACAGGGATTTTGGGATTCCTATCAGTATTCAAGAGGAGTCAGGCATCGTCACCTTTTGAAGCAATGAACTCCGCGTGCCTCTCGAGGTGTCAGCGGGAGGTGAGGCATTCCGTCAAAATGAGGCAGGGACCTAGGGCTTTCTCTAAGGTCTCCACAGGGGATTCAGACATCCCTTCATGTTGTGAGATGAAAGACGAGCCTGTATTCAAGCCACTGCAAGGAAATCCAGCCTTCTTTCAAGTTAGGGCTTCTCGCTGTATATTCCCCTTGAGGCAGCAAACTCAGGGTCCCTCCCACATACCTATTGCTGAGAGAAGCCTCCTCCTGAGGTGCTTCTGGAAAGTTGGCATACGTCTTGAGCCTAAGCCAGGGAATCAGCTCTCATCTCGAGGCGATTTGGGGTACATGGAGCATTCCTCGAGTTGCTGTGCTGAAGTTGGTGTTCCTCTAGACTTGGGATAGTATTCTCGGGGCATCTCTGGAGTTGCCTGAAGGAAGTCGAGCCACCGGTCGTGTTGAATGGGGAACGGGGAATGGCTCTGGAGTCAATGCAGGGGAATTGGGCCTCATCTCGAGTTGATTTTGGGCACATGGAGTTGCTTTGTGTTGCTGGGGTGACCTCAGGGTCCGCCTAGACTGGTGACAGGGTTCTTGGGGACTGTCTCGAGATCCATTAAGCAAGTCGAAGCTCCTGACTTGTTTGAATGGGATCACGGCATAGCTCTGCATGCACTGCAGGGGAATGGGGCCTCATCTCGCCTCTAGGGGGAAGTCTCATGGTTTTCCTCGAGTTGCAGCGGGGACCTTGGGTAAGTTCTCGACGTACGGCGGGGATGGCCCTTCAAAACACGAGTTTCTTCAGTGACGTCTGGACTCCTGTCTAGTAACGAGGGACACCTCAGGAATCTCTTCGAGCCTTGGAAGGGCAAAAGGGACGCTTCTCAAGGTGAGGCAGGGCACCCAAGTACCCTTTCCAGTAGCCACAGGGATTTTGGGATTCCTATCAGTATTCAAGAGGAGTCAGGCATCGTCACCTTTTGAAGCAATGAACTCCGCGTGCCTCTCGAGGTGTCAGCGGGATTGGAGGCATTCCGTCAAAATGAGGCAGGGACCTAGGCCTTTCTCTAAGGTCTCCACAGGGGATTCAGACATCCCTTCATGTTGTGAGATGAAAGACGAGCCTGTATTCAAGCCACTGCAAGGAAATCCGGCCTCCTTTCAAGTTAGGGCTTCTCGCTGTATATTCCCCTTGAGGCAGCAAACTCGGGGTCCCTCCCACATACCTATCGCTGAGAGAAGCCTCCTCCTGAGGTGCTTCTGGGAAGTTGGCATACGTCTTGAGCCTAAGCCAGGGAATCAGCTCTCATCTCGAGACGATTTGGGGTACACGGAGCATTCCTCGAGTTGCTGTGCTGAAGTTCGTGTTCCTCTCGACTTGGGACAGTGTTCTCGGGGCATCTCTGGAGTTGCCTGAAGGAAGTCGAGCCACCGGTCGTGTTGAATGGGGAACGGGGAATGGCTCTGGAGTCAATGCAGGGGAATCGGGCCTCATCTCGTGTTGATTTGGGGCACATGGAGCTGCTTTGCTTTGCTGGGGTGACCTCAGGGTCCGTCTAGACTGCTGACAGTGTTCTTGGGGACTGTCTCGAGATCCATTAAGCAAGTCGAAGCTCCTGACTTGTTTGAATGGGATCACGGAATAGCTCTGCATGCACTGCAGGGGAATGGGGCCTCATCTCGCCTCTAGGAGGAAGTCTCATGGTTTTTCTCGACTTGTGACGGGGACCTGGGGTATGTTCTCGTCTTACGGCGGGGATGGCCCTTCAAAACACGAGTTTCTTCATTGACGTCAGGACTCCTGTCTAGTAACGAGGGACACCTCAGGAATCTCTTCGAGGCTTGGCAGGGCAAAAGGGGCGCTTCTCGAGGTGAGGCAGGGCACCCAAGGACCCTTTCCCGTAGCCACAGGGATTTTGGGATTCCTATCAGTATTCAAGAGGAGTCAGGCATCGTCACCTTTTGAAGCAATGAACTCCGCGTGCCTCTCGAGGTGTCAGCGGGAGGTGAGGCATTCCGTCAAAATGAGGCAGGGACCTAGGGCTTTCTCTAAGGTCTCCACAGGGGATTCAGACATCCCTTCATGTTGTGAGATGAAAGACGAGCCTGTATTCAAGCCACTGCAAGGAAATCCAGCCTTCTTTCAAGTTAGGGCTTCTCGCTGTATATTCCCCTTGAGGCAGCAAACTCGGGGTCCCTCCCACATACCTATTGCTGAGAGAAGCCTCCTCCTGAGGTGCTTCTGGAAAGTTGGCATACGTCTTGAGCCTAAGCCAGGGAATCAGCTCTCATCTCGAGGCGATTTGGGGTACATGGAGCATTCCTCGAGTTGCTGTGCTGAAGTTGGTGTTCCTCTAGACTTGGGATAGTATTCTCGGGGCATCTCTGGAGTTGCCTGAAGGAAGTCGAGCCACCGGTCGTGTTGAATGGGGAACGGGGAATGGCTCTGGAGTCAATGCAGGGGAATTGGGCCTCATCTCGAGTTGATTTTGGGCACATGGAGTTGCTTTGTGTTGCTGGGGTGACCTCAGGGTCCGCCTAGACTGGTGACAGGGTTCTTGGGGACTGTCTCGAGATCCATTAAGCAAGTCGAAGCTCCTGACTTGTTTGAATGGGATCACAGAATAGCTCTGCATGCACTACAGGGGAATGGGGCCTTATCTCGCCTCTAGGGGGAAGTCTCATGGTTTTTCTCGAGTTTCGGCGAGGACCTGGGGTATGTTCTCGACTTCCGGCGGGGATGGCCCTTCAAAACACGAGTTTCTTCAGTGACGTCAGGACTCCTGTCTAGTAACGAGGGACACCTCAGGAACCTCTTCGAGGATTGGCAGGGCAAAAGGGACGCATCTCGAGGTGAGGCAGGGCACCCATGGACCATTTCCCGTAGCCACAGGGATTTTGGGATTCCTATCAGTATTCAAGAGGAGTCAGGCATCGTCACCTTTTGAAGCAATGAACTCCGCGTGCCTCTCGAGGTGTCAGTGGGATGTGAGGCATTCCGTCAAAATGAGGCAGGGACCTAGGGCTTTCTCTAAGGTCGCCACAGGGGATTCAGACATCCCTTCATGTTGTGAGATGAAAGACGAGCCTGTATTCAAGCCACTGCAAGGAAATCCGGCCTCCTTTCAAGTTAGGGATTCTCGCTGTATATTCCCCTCGAGGCAGCAAACTCGGGGTCCCTCCCACATACCTATTGCTGAGAGAAGCCTCCTCCTGAGGTGCTTCTGGAAAGTTGGCATATGTCTTGAGCCTAAGCCAGGGAATCAGCTCTCATCTCGAGACGATTTGGGGTACACGGAGCATTCCTCGAGTTGCTGTCCTGAAGTTGGTGTTCCTCTAGACTTGGGACAGTGTTCTCGGGGCATCTCTGGAGTTGCATGAAGGAAGTCGAGCCACCGGTCGTGTTGAATGGGGAACCGGGAATGGCTCTGGAGACAATGCAGGGGAATCGGGCCTCATTTCGAGTTGATTTGGGGCACATGGACTTGCTTTGCATTGCTGGGGTGACATCAGGGTCCGTCTAGACTGGTGACAGTGTTCTTGGGGACTGTCTCGAGATCCATTAAGCAAGTCGAAGCTCCTGACTTGTTTGAATGGGATCACGGAATAGCTCTGCATGCACTGCAGGGGAATGGGGCCTCATCACGCCTCTAGGGGAAGCCTCATGATTTTTCTCGAGTTGCGGCGGGGACCTGGGGTATGTTCTCGACTTACGGCGGGGATGGCCCTTCAAAACAAGAGTTTCTTCAGTGACGTCAGGACTCCTGTCTAGTAGCGAGGGACACCTCAGGAATCTCTTCGAGGCTTGGCAGGGCCAAATTGAGGCTTCTCGAGGTGAGACAGGGCACCCAAGGACCCTTTCCAGTAGCCACAGGGATTTTGGGATTCCTATCAGTATTCAAGAGGAGTCAGGCATCGTCACCTTTTGAAGCAATGAACTCCGCGTGCCTCTCGAGGTGTCAGCGGGATGTGAGGCATTCCGTCAAAATGAGACAGTTACCTAGGGCTTTCTCTAAGGTCTCCACAGGGGATTCAGACATCACTTCATGTTGTGAGATGAAAGACGAGCCTGTATTCAAGCCACTGCAAGGAAATCCGGCTCCTTTCAAGTTAGGGCTTCTCGCTGTATATTCACCCTTGAGGCAGCAAACTCGGGGTCCCTCCCACATACCTATTGCTGAGAGAAGCCTCTTCCTGAGGTGCTTCTGGAAAGTTGGCATACTTCTTGAACCTAAGCCAGGGAATCAGCTCTCATCTCGAGACGACTTGGTGTACACGGAGCATTCCTCGAGTTGCTGTGCTGAAGTTGGTGTTCCTCTAGACTAGGGACAGTGTTCTCGGGGCATCTCTGGAGTTGCCTGAAGGAAGTCAAGCCACCTGTCCTGTTGAATGAGGAACGGGGAATGGCTCTGGAATCAATGCAGGGGAATCGGGCCTCATCTCGAGTTGATTTGGCGCACATGGATATGCTTTGCGTTGCTGGGGTGACCTCAGGGTCCGTCTAGACTGGTGACAGTGTTCTTGGGGACTGTCTCGAGATCCATTAAGCAAGTCGAAGCTCCTGACTTGTTTGAATGGGATCACGGAATAGTTCTGCATGCACTGCAGGGGAATGGGGCCTCATCTCGCCTCTAGGGGGAAGTCTCATGGTTTTTCTCGAGTTGCGGCGGGGACCTGCGGTATGTTCTCGACTTATGGCGGGGATGGCCCTTCAAAACACGAGTTTCTTCAGTGACGTCAGGACTCCTGTCTAGTAACGAGGGACACCTCAGGAATCTCTTCGAGGCTTGGCAGGGCAAAAGGGACGCTTCTCGAGGTGAGGCAGGGCACCCAAGGACCCTTTCCCGTAGCCACAGGGATTTTGGGATTCCTATCAGTATTCAAGAGGTGTCAGGCATCGTCACCTTTTGAAGCAATGAACTCCGCGTGCCTCTCGAGGTGTCAGCGGGATGTGAGGCATTCCGTCAAAATGAGGCAGGGACCTAGGGCTTTCTCTAAGGTCTCCACAGGGGATTCAGACATCCCTTCATGTTGTGAGATGAAAGACGAGCCTGTATTCAAGCCACTGCAAGGAAATCCAGCCTTCTTTCAAGTTAGGGCTTCTCGCTGTATATTCCCCTTGAGGCAGCAAACTCAGGGTCCCTCCCACATACCTATTGCTGAGAGAAGCCTCCTCCTGAGGTGCTTCTGGAAAGTTGGCATACGTCTTGAGCCTAAGCCAGGGAATCAGCTCTCATCTCGAGGCGATTTGGGGTACATGGAGCATTCCTCGAGTTGCTGTGCTGAAGTTGGTGTTCCTCTAGACTTGGGATAGTATTCTCGGGGCATCTCTGGAGTTGCCTGAAGGAAGTCGAGCCACCGGTCGTGTTGAATGGGGAACGGGGAATGGCTCTGGAGTCAATGCAGGGGAATCGGGCCTCATCTCGAGTTGATTTTGGGCACATGGAGTTGCTTTGTGTTGCTAGGGTGACCTAAGGGTCCGTCTAGGCTGGTGACAGTGTTCTTGGGGACTATCTCGAGATCCATTAAGCAAGTCGAAGCTCCTGACTTGTTTGAATGGGATCACGGAATAGCTCTGCATGCACTGCAGGGGAATGGGGCCTTATCTCGCCTCTAGGGGGAAGTCTCATGGTTTTTCTCGAGTTTCGGCGAGGACCTGGGGTATGTTCTCGACTTCCGGCGGGGATGGCCCTTCAAAACACGAGTTTCTTCAGTGAGGTCAGGACTCCTGTCTAGTAACGAGGGACACCTCAGGAACCTCTTCGAGGCTTGGCAGGGCAAAAGGGACGCTTCTCGAGGTGAGGCAGGGCACCCATGGACCATTTCCAGTAGCCACAGGGATTTTGGGATTCCTATCAGTATTCAAGAGGACTCAGGCATCGTCACCTTTTGAAGCAATGAACTCCGCGTGCCTCTCGAGGTGTCAGCGGGATGTGAGGCATTCCGTCAAAATGAGGCAGGGACATAGGGCTTTCTCTAAGGTCCCCACAGGGGATTCAGACATCCCTTCATGTTGTGAGATGAAAAACGAGCCTGTATTCAAGCCACTGCAAGGAAATCCGGCCTCCTTTCAAGTTAGGGCTTCTCGCTGTATATTCCCCTTGAGGCAGCAAACTGGGGGTTCCTCCCACATAGCTATTGCTGAGAGTAGCCTCTTCCTGAGGTGCTCCTGGAAAGTTGGCATATGTATTGAGCCTAAGCCAGGGAATCAGCTCTCATCTCGAGATGATTTGGGGTACACGGAGCATTCCTCGAGTTGCTGTGCTGAAGTTGGTGTTCCTCTAGACTTGGGACAGTGTTCTCGGGGCATCTCTGGAGTTGCCTGAAGGAAGTCGAGCCACCGGTCGTGTTGAATGGGGAATCGGGAATGGCTCTGGAGACAATGCAGGGTAATCGGGCCTCATTTCGAGTTGATTTGGGGCCCATGGACCTGCTTTGCGTTTCTGGGGTGACATCAGGGTCCGTCTAGACTGGTGACAGTGTTCTTGCGGACTGTCTCGAGATCCATTAAGCAAGTCGAAGCTCCTGACTTGTTTGAATGGGATCACGGAATAGCTCTGCATGTACTGCAGGGGAATGGGGCCTCATCTCGCCTCTAGGGGGAAGTCTCATGATTTTTCTCGAGTTGGGGCGGGGACCTGGGGTATGTTCTCGACTTACGGCGGGGATGGCCCTTCAAAACACGAGTTTCTTCACTGACGTCAGGACTCCTGTCTAGTAGCGAGGGACACCTCAGGAATCTCTTCGAGGCTTGGCAGGGCAAAAGGGACGCTTCTCGAGGTGAGGCAGGGCACCCAAGGACCCTTTCCCGTAGCCACAGGGATTTTGGGATTCCTATCAGTATTCAAGAGGAGTCAGGCATCGTCACCTTTTGAAGCAATGAACTCCGCGTGCCTCTCGAGGTGTCAGCGGGATGTGAGGCATTCCGTCAAAATGAGGCAGGGACCTACGGCTTTCTCTAAGGTCTCCACAGGGGATTCAGACATCCCTTCATGTTGTGAGATGAAAGACGAGCCTGTATTCAAGCCACTGCAAGGAAATCCGGCCTCCTTTCAAGTTAGGGCTTCTCGCTGTATATTCCCCTTGAGGCAGCAAACTCGGGTTCCCTCCCACATACCTATCGCTGAGAGAAGCCTCCTCCTGAGGTGCTTCTGGGAAGTTGGCATACGTCTTGAGCCTAAGCCAGGGAATCAGCTCTCATCTCGAGACGATTTGGGGTACACGGAGCATTCCTCGAGTTGCTGTGCTGAAGTTCGTGTTCCTCTCGACTTGGGACAGTGTTCTCGGGGCATCTCTGGAGTTGCCTGAAGGAAGTCGAGCCACCGGTCGTGTTGAATGGGGAACGGGGAATGGCTCTGGAGTCAATGCAGGGGAATCGGGCCTCATCTCGAGTTGATTTGGGGCACATGGAGCTGCTTTGCATTGCTGGGGTGACCTCAGGGTCCGTCTAGACTGGTGACAGTGTTCTTGGGGACTGTCTCGAGATCCATTAAGCAAGTCGAAGCTCCTGACTTGTTTGAATGGGATCACGGAATAGCTCTGCATGCACTGCAGGGGAATGGGTCCTCATCTCGCCTCTAGGGGGAAGTCTCATGGTTTTTCTCGAGTTTCGGCGAGGACCTGGGGTATGTTCTCGACTTCCGGCGGGGATGGCCCTTCAAAACACGAGTTTCTTCAGTGACGTCAGGACTCCTGTCTAGTAACGAGGGACACCTCAGGAAACTCTTCGAGGCTTGGCAGGGCAAAAGGGACGCTTCTCGAGGTGAGGCAGGGCACCCATGGACCATTTCCCGTAGCCACAGGGATTTAGGGATTCCTATCAGTATTCAAGAGGAGTCAGGCATCGTCACCTTTTGAAGCAATGAACTCCGCGTGCCTCTCGAGGTGTCAGTGGGATGTGAGGCATTCCGTCAAAATGAGGCAGGGACCCAGGGCTTTCTCTAAGGTCCCCACAGGGGATTCAGACATCCCTTCATGTTGTGAGATGAAAGACGAGCCTGTATTCAAGCCACTGCAAGGAAATCCGGCCTCCTTTCAAGTTAGGACTTCTCGCTGTATATTCCCCTTGAGGCAGCAAACTCGGGGTCCCTCCCACATACCTATTGCTGAGAGAAGCCTCCTCCTGAGGTGCTTCTGGAAAGTTGGCATACTTCTTGAGCCTAAGCCAGGGAATCAGCTCTCATCTCGAGACGACTTGGTGTACACGGAGCATTCCTCGAGTTGCTGTGCTGAAGTTGGTGTTCCTCTAGACTTGGGACAGTGTTCTCGGGGCATCTCTGGAATTGCCTGAAGGAAGTCAAGCCACCTGTCCTGTTGAATGAGGAACGGGGAATGGCTCTGGAATCAATGCAGGGGAATCGGGCCTCATCTCGAGTTGATTTGGGGCACATGGATATGCTTTGCGTTGCTGGGGTGACCTCAGGGTCCGTCTAGACTGGTGACAGTGTTCTTGGGGACTGTCTCGAGATCCATTAAGCAAGTCGAAGCTCCTGACTTGTTTGAATGGGATCACGGAATAGTTCTGCATGCACTGCAGGGGAATGGGGCCTCATCTCGCCTCTAGGGGGAAGTCTCATGGTTTTTCTCGAGTTGCGGCGGGGACCTGCGGTATGTTCTCGACTTATGGCGGGGATGGCCCTTCAAAACACGAGTTTCTTCAGTGACGTCAGGACTCCCGTCTAGTAACGAGGGACACCTCAGGAATCTCTTCGAGGCTTGGCAGGGCAAAAGGGACGCTTCTCGAGGTGAGGCAGGGCACCCAAGGACCCTTTCCCGTAGCCACAGGGATTTTGGGATTCCTATCAGTATTCAAGAGGAGTCAGGCATCGTCACCTTTTGAAGCAATGAACTCCGCGTGCCTCTCGAGGTGTCAGCGGGATGTGAGGCATTCCGTCAAAATGAGGCAGGGACCTAGGGCTTTCTCTAAGGTCTCCACAGGGGATTCAGACATCCCTTCATGTTGTGAGATGAAAGACGAGCCTGTATTCAAGCCACTGCAAGGAAATCCAGCCTTCTTTCAAGTTAGGGCTTCTCGCTGTATATTCCCCTTGAGGCAGCAAACTCAGGGTCCCTCCCACATACCTATTGCTGAGAGAAGCCTCCTCCTGAGGTGCTTCTGGAAAGTTGGCATACGTCTTGAGCCTAAGCCAGGGAATCAGCTCTCATCTCGAGGCCATTTGGGGTACATGGAGCATTCCTCGAGTTGCTGTGCTGAAGTTGGTGTTCCTCTAGACTTGGGATAGTATTCTCGGGGCATCTCTGGAGTTGCCTGAAGGAAGTCGAGCCACCGGTCGTGTTGAATGGGGAACGGGGAATGGCTCTGGAGTCAATGCAGGGGAATCGGGCCTCATCTCGAGTTGATTTGGGGCACATGGAGCTGATTTGCGTTGCTGGGGTGACCTCAGGGTCCGTCTAGACTGGTGACAGTGTTCCTGGGGACTGTCTCGAGATCCATTAAGCAAGTCGAAGCTCCTGACTTGTTTGAATGGGATCACGGAATAGCTCTGCATGCACTGCCGGGGAATGGGGCCTCATCTCGCCTCTAGGCGGAAGTCTCATGGTTTTTCTCGAGTTGCGGCGGGGACCTGGGATATGTTCTCGACTTACGGCGGGGATGGCCCTTCAAAACACGAGTTTCTTCAGTGACGTCAGGACTCCTGTCTAGTAACGAGGGACACTTCAGGAATCACTTCGAGGCTTGGCAGGGCAAAAGGGACGCTTCTCGAGGTGAGGCAGGGCACTCAAGGACTCTTTCCAGTAGCCACAGCGATTTTGGGATTCCTATCAGTATTCAAGAGGAGTCAGGCATCTTCACCTTTTGAAGCAATGAACTCCGCGTGCCTCTCGAGGTGTCAGCGGGATGTGAGGCGTTCCGTCAAAATGAGGCAGGGATCTAGGGCTTTCTCTAAGGTCTCCACAGGGGATTGAGACATCCCTTCCTGTTGTGAGATGAAAGACGAGCCTGTGTTCAAGCCACCTCAAGGATATCCGGCCTCCTTTCATGTTAGGGCTTCTCGCTGTATATTCCCCTTGAGGCAGCAAACTCAGGGTCCCTCCCACATACCTATTGCTGAGAGAAGCCTCTTCCTGAGGTGCTTCTGGAAAGTTGGCATACGTCTTGAGCCTAAGCTAGGCAATCAGCTCTCATCACGAGAGGATTTGGGGTACACGGAGCATTCCTCGAGTTGCTGTGCTGAAGTTGGTGTTCCTCTAGACTTGGGACAGTGTTCTCGGGGCATCTCTGGAGTTGCCTGAAGGAAGTCGAGCCACCGGTCGTGTTGAATGGGGAATGGGGAATGGCTCTGGAGTCAATGCAGGGGAATCGGCCCTCATCTCGAGTTGATTTGGGGCACATGGAGCTGCTTTGCGTTGCTGAGGTGACCTCAGGTTCCGTTTAGACTGGTGACAGTGTTCTTGGGGACTGTCTCGAGATCCATTAAGCAAGTCGAAGCTCCTGACTTGTTTGAATGGGATCACGGAATAGCTCTGCATGCACTGCAGGGGAATGGGGCCTCGTCTCGCCTCTAGGGGGAAGTCTCATGGTTTTTCTCGAGTTGCGGCGGGGACCTGGGGTATGTTCTCGACTTACGGCGAGGATGGCCCTTCAAAACACGAGTTTCTTCAGTAACGTCAGGACTCATGTCTAGTAATGAGGGACACCTCAGGAATCTCTTCGAGGCTTGGCAGGGCAAAAGGGACGCTTCTCGAGGTGAGGCAGGGCACCCAAGGACCCTTTCCAGTAGCCACAGGGATTTTGGGATTCCTATCAGTATTCAAGAGGAGTCAGGCATCGTCACCTTTTGAAGCAATGAACTCCGCGTGCCTCTCGAGGTGTCAGCGGGTTGTGAGGCGTTCCGTCAAAATGACGCAGGCACCTAGGGCTTTCTCTAAGGTCTCCACAGGGGATTCAGACATCCCTTCATGTTGTGAGATGAAAGACGAGCCTGTATTCAAGCCACTGCAAGGAAATCCGGCCTCCTTTCAAGTTAGGGCTTCTCGCTGTATATTCTCCTTGAGGCAGCAAACTCGGGGTCCCTCCCACATACCTATTGCTGAGAGAAGCCTCCCCCTGAGGTGCTTCTGGAAAGTTGGCATATGTCTTGAGCCTAAGCCAGGGAATCAGCTCTCATCTCGAGACGATTTGGGGTACACTGAGCATTCCTCGAGTTGCTGTGCTGAAGTAGGTATTCCTCTAGACTTGGGACAGTGTTCTCGGGGCATCTCTGGAGTTGCCTGAAGTAAGTCGAGCCACCGGTCGTGTTGAATGGGGAACGGGGAATGTCTCTGGAGTCAATGCAGGGGAATCGGGCCTCATCTCGAGTTGATTTGGGGCACATGGAGCTGCTTTGCGTTGCTGGGGTGACCTCAGGGTCCGTCTAGACTGGTGACAGTGATCTTGGGGACTGTCTCGAGATCCATTAAGCAAGTCGAAGCTCCTGACTTGTTTGAATGGGATCACGGAATAGCTCTGCATGCACTGCAGGGGAATGGGGCCTCATCTCGCCTCTAGGGGGAAGTCTCATGGTTTTTCTCGAGTTGCGGCGGGGACCTGGGGTATGTTCTCGACTTACGGCGGGGATGGCCCTTCAAAACACGAGTTTCTTCAGTGACGTCAGGACTACTCTCTAGTAAAGAGGGACACCTCAGGAATCTCTTCGAGGCTTGGCAGGGCAAAAGGGACGCTTCTCGAGGTGAACCAGGGCACCCAGGGACCCATTCCAGTAGCCACGGGGATTTTGGGATTCCTATCAGTGTTCAAGAGGAGTCAGGCATCGTCACCTTTTGAAGCAATGAACTCCGCGTGCCTCTCGAGGTGTCAGCGGGATGTGAGACATTCCGTCAAAATGTCACAGGGACCTAGGGCTTTCTCTAAGGTCTCCACAGGGGATTCAGACATCCCTTCATGTTGTGAGATGAAAGACGAGCCTGTATTCAAGCCACTGCAAGGAAATCCGGCCTCCTTTCAAGTTAGGGCTTCTCGCTGTATATTCCCTTGAGGCAGCAAACTCGGGGTCCCTCCCACATACCTATTGCTGAGAGTAGCCTCCTCCTGAGGTGCTTCTGGAAAGATGGCATACGTCTTGAGCCTAAGCCATGGAATCTGCTCTCATCTCGAGACGATTTGGGTTACACGGAGCATTCCTCGAGTTAATGTGCTGAAGTTGGTATTCCTCTAGACTTGGGACAGTGTTCTCGGGGCATCTCTGGAGTTGCCTGAAGGAAGTCAAGCCACCTGTCCTGTTGAATGGGGAACGGGGAATGGCTCTGGAGTCAATGCAGGGGAATCGGGCCTCATCTCGAGTTGATTTGGGGCACATGGAGCTGCTTTGCGTTGCTGGGGTGACCTCAGGGTCCGTCTAGACTGGTGACAGTGTTCTTGGGGACTGTCTCGAGATCCATTAAGCAAGTCGAAGCTCCTGACTTGTTTGAATGGATCACGGAATAGCTCTGCATGCACTGCAGGGGAATGGGGCCTCATCTCGCCTCTAGGGGGAAGTCTCATGGTTTTTCTCGAGTTGCGGCGGGGACCTGGGGTATGTTCTCGACTTACGGCGGGTTGGCCCTTCAAAACACGAGTTTCTTCAGTGACGTCAGGACTCCTGTCTAGTAACGAGGGACACCTCAGGAATCTCTTCGAGGCTTGGCAGGGCAAAATTGAGGCTTCTCGATGTGAGGCAGGGCACCCAAGGACCCTTTCCCGTAGCCACAGGGATTTTGGGATTCCTATCAGTATTCAAGAGGAGTCAGGCATCGTCACCTTTTGAAGCAATGAACTCCGCGTGCCTCTCGAGGTGTCAGCGGGATGTGAGGCATTCCGTCAAAATGAGGCAGGTACCTAGGGCTTTCTCTAAGGTCTCCACAGGTGATTCAGACATCCCTTCATGTTGTGAGATGAAAGACGAGCCTGTATTCAAGCCACTGCAAGGAAATCCGGCCTCCTTTCAAGTTAGGGCTTCTCGATGTATATTCCCTTTGAGGCAGCAAATTCGGGGTCCCCCCCACATACCTATTGCTGAGAGAAGCCTCCTCCTGAGGTGCTTCTGGAAAGTTGGCATACGTCTTGACCCTAAGCCAGGGAATCAGCTCTCATCTCGAGACGATTGGGGGTACAAGGAGCATTCCTCGAGTTGCTGTGCTGAAGTTGGTATTCCTCTAGACTTGGGACAGTGTTCTCGGGGCATCTCTGGAGTTGCCTGAAGTAAGTCGAGCCACCGGTCGTGTTGAATGGGGAACGGGGAATGTCTCTGGAGTCAATGCAGGGGAATCGGGCCTCATCTCGAGTTGATTTGGGGCACATGGAGCTGCTTTGCGTTGCTGGGGTGACCTCAGGGTCCGTCTAGACTGGTGACAGTGATCTTGGGGACTGTCTCGAGATCCATTAAGCAAGTCGAAGCTCCTGACTTGTTTGAATGGGATCACGGAATAGCTCTGCATGCACTGCAGGGGAATGGGGCCTCATCTCGCCTCTAGGGGGAAGTCTCATGGTTTTTCTCGAGTTGCGGCGGGGACCTGGGGTATGTTCTCGACTTCCGGCGGGGATGGCCCTTCAAAACACGAGTTTCTTCAGTGACGTCAGGACTCGTGTCTAGTAATGAGGGACATCTCAGGAATCTCTTCGAGGCTTGGCAGGGTCAAATTGAGTCTTCTCGAGGTGTGGCACGGCACCCAAGGACCCTTTCCCGTAGCCACAGGGATTTTGGGATTCCTATCAGTATTCAAGAGGAGTCAGGCATCGTCACCTTTTGAAGCAATGAACTCCGCGTGCCGCTCGAGGTGTCAGCGGGATGTGAGGCATTACCTCAAAATGAGGCAGTGACCTAGGGCTTTCTCTAAGGTCTCCACAGGGGATTCAGACATCCCTTCATGTTGTGAGATGAAAGACGAGCCTGTATTCAAGCCACTGCAAGGAAATCCGGCCTCCTTTCAAGTTAGGGCTTCTCGCTGTATATTCCCCTTGAGGCAGCAAACTCGGGGTCCCTCCCACATACCTATTGCTTAGAGAAGCCTCCGCCTGAGGTGCTTCTGGAAAGTTGGCATACGTCTTGATCCTAAGCCAGGGAATCAGCTCTCATCTCGAGACTATTTGGTGTACACGGAGCATTCCTCGACTTAATGTCCTGAAGTTGGTGTTCCTCTAGACTTGGGACAGTGTTCTCGGGGCATCTCTGGAGTTGCCTGAAGGAAGTCGAGCCACCAGTCGGGTTGAATGGGGAACGGGGAATGTCTCTGGAGTCAATGCAGGGGAATCGGGCCTCATCTCGAGTTGATTTGGGGCACATGGAGCTGCTTTGCGTTGCTGGGGTGACCTCAGGGTCCGTCTAGACTGGTGACAGTGATCTTGGGGACTGTCTCGAGATCCATTAAGCAAGTCGAAGCTCCTGACTTGTTTGAATGGGATCACGGAATAGCTCTGCATGCACTGCAGGGGAATGGGGCCTCATCTCGCCTCTAGGGGGAAGTCTCATGGTTTTTCTCGAGTTGCGGCGGGGACCTGGGGTATGTTCTCGACTTACGGCGGGGATGGCCCTTCAAAACACGAGTTTCTTCAGTGACGTCAGGACTACTCTCTAGTAAAGAGGGACACCTCAGGAATCTCTTCGAGGCTTGGCAGGGCAAAAGGGACGCTTCTCGATGTGAGGCAGGGCACCCAAGCAGCCTTTCCCGTAGCCACACGGATTTTGGGATTCCTATCAGTATTCAAGAGGAGTCAGGCATCGTCACCTTTTGAAGCAATGAACTCCGCGTGCCTCTCGAGGTGTCAGCGGGATGTGAGGCATTCCGTCAAAATGAGGCAGTTACCTAGGGCTTTCTCTAAGGTCTCCACAGGGGATTCAGACATCCCTTCATGTTGTGAGATGAAAGACGAGCCTGTATTCAAGCCACTGCAAGGAAATCCGGCCTCCTTTCAAGTTATGGCTTCTCGCTGTATATTCCCTTGAGGCAGCAAACTCGGGGTCCCTCCCACATACCTATTGCTGAGAGTAGCCTCCTCCTGAGGTGCTTCTGGAAAGATGGCATACGTCTTCAGCCTAAGCCATGGAATCTGCTCTCATCTCGAGACGATTTGGGTTACACGGAGCATTCCTCGAGTTAATGTGCTGAAGTTGGTATTCCTCTAGACTTGGGACAGTGTTCTCGGGGCATCTCTGGAGTTGCCTGAAGGAAGTCAAGCCACCTGTCCTGTTGAATGGGGAACAGGGAATGGCTCTGGAGTCAATGCAGGGGAATCGGGCCTCATCTCGAATTGATTTGGGGCACATGGAGCTGCTTTGCGTTGCTGGGGTGACCTCAGGGTCCATCTAGACTGGTGACAGTGTTCTTGGGGACTGTCTCGAGATCCATTAAGCAAGTCGAAGCTCCTGACTTGTTTGAATGGGATCACGGAATAGCTCTGCATGCACTGCAGGGGAATGGGGCCTCTTCTCGCCTCTAGGGGGAAGTCTCATGTTTTTTTTTCGAGTTGCGGCGGGGACCTGGGGTATGTTCTCGACTTACGGCGGGGATGGCCCTTCAAAACACGAGTTTCTTCAGTGACGTCAGGACTCCTGTCTGGTAACGAGGGACACCTCAGGAATCTCTTCGAGGCTTGGCAGGGCAAAAGGGACGCTTCTCGAGGTGAGGCAGGGCACCCAAGGACCCTTTCCAGTAGCCACAGGGATTTTGGGATTCCTATCAGTATTCAAGAGGAGTCAGGCATCGTCACCTTTTGAAGCAATGAACTCCGCGTGCCTCTCGAGGTGTCAGCGGGTTGTGAGGCGTTCCGTCAAAATGACGCAGGCACCTAGGGCTTTCTCTAAGGTCTCCACAGGGGATTCAGACATCCCTTCATGTTGTGAGATGAAAGACGAGCCTGTATTCAAGCCACTGCAAGGAAATCCGGCCTCCTTTCAAGTTAGGGCTTCTCGCTGTATATTCTCCTTGAGGCAGCAAACTCGGGGTCCCTCCCACATACCTATTGCTGAGAGAAGCCTCCCCCTGAGGTGCTTCTGGAAAGTTGGCATATGTCTTGAGCCTAAGCCAGGGAATCAGCTCTCATCTCGAGACGATTTGGGGTACACTGAGCATTCCTCGAGTTGCTGTGCTGAAGTTGGTATTCCTCTAGACTTGGGACAGTGTTCTCGGGGCATCTCTGGAGTTGCCTGAAGTAAGTCGAGCCACCGGTCGTGTTGAATGGGGAACGGGGAATGTCTCTGGAGTCAATGCAGGGGAATCGGGCCTCATCTCGAGTTGATTTGGGGCACATGGAGCTGCTTTGCGTTGCTGGGGTGACCTCAGGGTCCGTCTAGACTGGTGACAGTGATCTTGGGGACTGTCTCGAGATCCATTAAGCAAGTCGAAGCTCCTGACTTGTTTGAATGGGATCACGGAATAGCTCTGCATGCACTGCAGGGGAATGGGGCCTCATCTCGCCTCTAGGGGGAAGTCTCATGGTTTTTCTCGAGTTGCGGCGGGGACCTGGGGTATGTTCTCGACTTACGGCGGGGATGGCCCTTCAAAACACGAGTTTCTTCAGTGACGTCAGGACTCGTGTCTAGTAATGAGGGACATCTCAGGAATCTCTTCGAGGCTTGGCAGGGTCAAATTGAGGCTTCTCGAGGTGTGGCAGGGCACCCAAGGACCCTTTCCCGTAGCCACAGGGATTTTGGGATTCCTATCAGTATTCAAGAGGAGTCAGGCATCGTCACCTTTTGAAGCAATGAACTCCGCGTGCCTCTCGAGGTGTCAGCGGGATGTGAGGCATTCCGTCAAAATGAGGCAGTGACCTAGGGCTTTCTCTAAGGTCTCCACAGGGGATTCAGACATCCCTTCATGTTGTGAGATGAAAGACGAGCCTGTATTCAAGCCACTGCAAGGAAATCCGGCCTCCTTTCAAGTTAGGGCTTCTCGCTGTATATTCCCCTTGAGGCAGCAAACTCGGGGTCCCTCCCACATACCTATTGCTGAGAGAAGCCTCCGCCTGAGGTGCTTCTGGAAAGTTGGCATACGTCTTGAGCCTAAGCCAGGGAATCAGCTCTCATCTCGAGACTATTTGGTGTACACGGAGCATTCCTCGAATTAATGTGCTGAAGTTGGTGTTCCTCTAGACTTGGGACAGTGTTCTCGGGGCATCTCTGGAGTTGCCTGAAGGAAGTCGAGCCACCAGTCGGGTTGAATGGGGAACGGGGAATGGCTCTGGAGTCAATGCAGGTGAATCAGGCCTCATTTCGAGTTGATTTGGTGCACATGGAGCTGCTTTGCGTTGCTGGGGTGACCTCAGGGTCTGTCTAGACTGGTGACAGTGTTCTTGGGGACTGTCTCGAGATCCATCAAGCAAGTCGAAGCTCCTGACTTGTTTGAATGGGATCATGGAATAGCTCTGCATGCACTGCAGGGGAATGGGGCCTCATCTCGCCTCTAGGGGGAAGTCTCATGGTTTTTCTCGAGTTGCGGCGAGGACCTGGGGTATGTTCTCGACTTACGGCGGGGATGGCCCTTCAAAACACGAGTTTCTTCAGTGACGTCAGGACTACTCTCTAGTAAAGAGGGACACCTCAGGAATCTCTTCGAGGCTTGGCAGGGCCAAATTGAGGCTTCTCGAGGTGAGGCAGGGCACCCAAGGAACTTTCCAGTAGCCACAGGGATTTTGGGATTCCTATCAGTATTCAAGAGGAGTCAGCATCGTCACCTTTTGAAGCAATGAACTCCGCGTGCCTCTCCAGGTGTCAGCGGGATGTGAGGCATTCCGTCAAAATGAGGCAGGGACCTAGGGCTTTCTCTAAGGTCTCCATACGGGATTCAGACATCCCTTCATGTTGTGAGATGAAAGACGAGCCTGTATTCAAGCCACTGCAAGGAAATCCGGCCTCTTTTCAAGTTAGGGCTTCTTGCTGTACATTCCCCTTGAGGCAGCAAACTCGGGGTCCCTCCTACATACCTATTGCTGAGAGAAGCCTCCTCCTGAGGTGCTTCTGGAAAGTTGGCATACGTCTTGAGCCTAAGCCAGGGAATCAGCTCTCATCTCGAGACGATTTGTGTTACACGGAGCATTCCTCGAGTTAATGTGCTGAAGTTGGTATTCCTCTAGACTTGGGACAGTGTTCTCGGGGCATCTCTGGAGTTGCCTGAAGGAAGTCAAGCCACCTGTCCTGTTGAATGGGGAACGGGGAATGGCTCTGGAGTCAATGCAGGGGAATCGGGCCTCATCTCGAATTGATTTGGGGCACATGGAGCTGCTTTGCGTTGCTGGGGTGACCTCAGGGTCCGTCTAGACTGGTGACAGTGTTCTTGGGGACTGTCTCGAGATCAATTAAGCAAGTCGAAGCTCCTGATTTGTTTGAATGGGATCACGGAATATCTCTGCATGCACTGCAGGGGAATGGGGCCTCTTCTCGCCTCTAGGGGGAAGTCTCATGGTTTTTTTTCGAGTTGCGGCGGGGACCTGGGGTATGTTCTCGACTTACGACGGGGATGGCCCTTCAAAACACGAGTTTCTTCAGTGACGTCAGGACTCCTGTCTAGTAACAAGGGACACCTCAGGAATCTCTTTGAGGCTTGGCAGGGCAAAAGGGACGCTTCTCGAGGTGAGGCAGGGCACCCAAGGACCCTTTCCAGGAGCCACAGGGATTTTGGGATTCCTATCAGTATTCAAGAGGAATCAGGCATCGTCACCTTTTGAAGCAATGAACTCCGCGTTCCTCTCGAGGTGTCAGCGGGTTGTGCGGCGTTCCGTCAAAATGACGCAGGCACCTAGGGCTTTCTCTAAGGTCTCCACAGGGGATTCAGACATCCCTTCATGTTGTGAGATGAAAGACAAGCCTGTATTCAAGCCACTGCAAGGAAATCCGGCCTCCTTTCAAGTTAGGGCTTCTCGCTGTATATTCCCCTTGAGGCAGCAAACTCGGGGTCCCTCCCACATACCTATTGCTGAGAGAAGCCTCCTCCTGAGGTGCTTCTGGAAAGTTGGCATATGTCTTGAGCCTAAGCCAGGGAATCAGCTCTCATCTCGAGAAGATTTGGGGTACAAGGAGCATTCCTCGAGTTGCTGTGCTGAAGTTGGTGTTCCTCTAGACTTGGCACAGTGTTCTCAGGGCATCTCTGGAGTTGCCTGAAGGAAGTCGAGCCACCGGTCGTGTTGAAAGGGGAACGGGGAATGGCTCTGGAGTCAATGCAGGGGAATCGGGCCTCATCTCGAGTTGATTTGGGGCACATGGAGCTGCTTTGCGTTGCTGGGGTGACCTCAGGGTCCGTCTAGACTGGTGACAGTGTTCTTGGGGACTGTCTCGAGATCCATTAAGCAAGTCGAAGCTCCTGACTTGTTTGAATGGGATCACGGAATAGCTCTGCATGCACTGCAGGGGAATGGGGCCTCATCTCGCCTCTAGGGGGAAGTCTCATGGTTTTTCTCGAGTTGCGGCGGGGACCTGGGGTATGTTCTCGACTTATGGCGGGGATGGCCCTTCAAAACACGAGTTTCTTCAGTGACGTCAGGACTCCTGTCTAGTAACGAGGGACACCTCAGGAATCTCTTCGAGGCTTGGCAGGGCAAAAGGGACGCTTCTCGAGGTGAGGCAGGGCACCCAAGGACCCTTTCCAGTAGCCACAGGGATTTTGGGATTCCTATCAGTATTCAAGAGGAGTCAGGCATCGTCACCTTTTGAAGCAATGAACTCCGCGTGCCTCTCGAGGTGTCAGCGGGTTGTGAGGCGTTCCGTCAAAATGACGCAGGCACCTAGGGCTTTCTCTAAGGTCTCCACAGGGGATTCAGACATCCCTTCATGTTGTGAGATGAAAGACGAGCCTGTATTCAAGCCACTGCAAGGAAATCCGGCCTCCTTTCAAGTTAGGGCTTCTCGCTGTATATTCTCCTTGAGGCAGCAAACTCGGGGTCCCTCCCACATACCTATTGCTGAGAGAAGCCTCCCCCTGAGGTGCTTCTGGAAAGTTGGCATATGTCTTGAGCCTAAGCCAGGGAATCAGCTCTCATCTCGAGACGATTTGGGGTACACTGAGCATTCCTCGAGTTGCTGTGCTGAAGTTGGTATTCCTCTAGACTTGGGACAGTGTTCTCGGGGCATCTCTGGAGTTGCCTGAAGTAAGTCGAGCCACCGGTCGTGTTGAATGGGGAACGGGGAATGTCTCTGGAGTCAATGCAGGGGAATCGGGCCTCATCTCGAGTTGATTTGGGGCACATGGAGCTGCTTTGCGTTGCTGGGGTGACCTCAGGGTCCGTCTAGACTGGTGACAGTGATCTTGGGGACTGTCTCGAGATCCATTAAGCAAGTCGAAGCTCCTGACTTGTTTGAATGGGATCACGGAATAGCTCTGCATGCACTGCAGGGGAATGGGGCCTCATCTCGCCTCTAGGGGGAAGTCTCATGGTTTTTCTCGAGTTGCGGCGGGGACCTGGGGTATGTTCTCGACTTACGGCGGGGATGGCCCTTCAAAACACGAGTTTCTTCAGTGACGTCAGGACTCGTGTCTAGTAATGAGGGACATCTCAGGAATCTCTTCGAGGCTTGGCAGGGTCAAATTGAGGCTTCTCGAGGTGTGGCAGGGCACCCAAGGACCCTTTCCCGTAGCCACAGGGATTTTGGGATTCCTATCAGTATTCAAGAGGAGTCAGGCATCGTCACCTTTTGAAGCAATGAACTCCGCGTGCCTCTCGAGGTGTCAGCGGGATGTGAGGCATTCCGTCAAAATGAGGCAGTGACCTAGGGCTTTCTCTAAGGTCTCCACAGGGGATTCAGACATCCCTTCATGTTGTGAGATGAAAGACGAGCCTGTATTCAAGCCACTGCAAGGAAATCCGGCCTCCTTTCAAGTTAGGGCTTCTCGCTGTATATTCCCCTTGAGGCAGCAAACTCGGGGTCCCTCCCACATACCTATTGCTGAGAGAAGCCTCCGCCTGAGGTGCTTCTGGAAAGTTGGCATACGTCTTGAGCCTAAGCCAGGGAATCAGCTCTCATCTCGAGACTATTTGGTGTACACGGAGCATTCCTCGAATTAATGTGCTGAAGTTGGTGTTCCTCTAGACTTGGGACAGTGTTCTCGGGGCATCTCTGGAGTTGCCTGAAGGAAGTCGAGCCACCAGTCGGGTTGAATGGGGAACGGGGAATGGCTCTGGAGTCAATGCAGGTGAATCAGGCCTCATTTCGAGTTGATTTGGTGCACATGGAGCTGCTTTGCGTTGCTGGGGTGACCTCAGGGTCTGTCTAGACTGGTGACAGTGTTCTTGGGGACTGTCTCGAGATCCATCAAGCAAGTCGAAGCTCCTGACTTGTTTGAATGGGATCATGGAATAGCTCTGCATGCACTGCAGGGGAATGGGGCCTCATCTCGCCTCTAGGGGGAAGTCTCATGGTTTTTCTCGAGTTGCGGCGAGGACCTGGGGTATGTTCTCGACTTACGGCGGGGATGGCCCTTCAAAACACGAGTTTCTTCAGTGACGTCAGGACTACTCTCTAGTAAAGAGGGACACCTCAGGAATCTCTTCGAGGCTTGGCAGGGCCAAATTGAGGCTTCTCGAGGTGAGGCAGGGCACCCAAGGAACTTTCCAGTAGCCACAGGGATTTTGGGATTCCTATCAGTATTCAAGAGGAGTCAGCATCGTCACCTTTTGAAGCAATGAACTCCGCGTGCCTCTCCAGGTGTCAGCGGGATGTGAGGCATTCCGTCAAAATGAGGCAGGGACCTAGGGCTTTCTCTAAGGTCTCCATACGGGATTCAGACATCCCTTCATGTTGTGAGATGAAAGACGAGCCTGTATTCAAGCCACTGCAAGGAAATCCGGCCTCTTTTCAAGTTAGGGCTTCTTGCTGTACATTCCCCTTGAGGCAGCAAACTCGGGGTCCCTCCTACATACCTATTGCTGAGAGAAGCCTCCTCCTGAGGTGCTTCTGGAAAGTTGGCATACGTCTTGAGCCTAAGCCAGGGAATCAGCTCTCATCTCGAGACGATTTGTGTTACACGGAGCATTCCTCGAGTTAATGTGCTGAAGTTGGTATTCCTCTAGACTTGGGACAGTGTTCTCGGGGCATCTCTGGAGTTGCCTGAAGGAAGTCAAGCCACCTGTCCTGTTGAATGGGGAACGGGGAATGGCTCTGGAGTCAATGCAGGGGAATCGGGCCTCATCTCGAATTGATTTGGGGCACATGGAGCTGCTTTGCGTTGCTGGGGTGACCTCAGGGTCCGTCTAGACTGGTGACAGTGTTCTTGGGGACTGTCTCGAGATCAATTAAGCAAGTCGAAGCTCCTGATTTGTTTGAATGGGATCACGGAATATCTCTGCATGCACTGCAGGGGAATGGGGCCTCTTCTCGCCTCTAGGGGGAAGTCTCATGGTTTTTTTTCGAGTTGCGGCGGGGACCTGGGGTATGTTCTCGACTTACGACGGGGATGGCCCTTCAAAACACGAGTTTCTTCAGTGACGTCAGGACTCCTGTCTAGTAACAAGGGACACCTCAGGAATCTCTTTGAGGCTTGGCAGGGCAAAAGGGACGCTTCTCGAGGTGAGGCAGGGCACCCAAGGACCCTTTCCAGGAGCCACAGGGATTTTGGGATTCCTATCAGTATTCAAGAGGAATCAGGCATCGTCACCTTTTGAAGCAATGAACTCCGCGTTCCTCTCGAGGTGTCAGCGGGTTGTGCGGCGTTCCGTCAAAATGACGCAGGCACCTAGGGCTTTCTCTAAGGTCTCCACAGGGGATTCAGACATCCCTTCATGTTGTGAGATGAAAGACAAGCCTGTATTCAAGCCACTGCAAGGAAATCCGGCCTCCTTTCAAGTTAGGGCTTCTCGCTGTATATTCCCCTTGAGGCAGCAAACTCGGGGTCCCTCCCACATACCTATTGCTGAGAGAAGCCTCCTCCTGAGGTGCTTCTGGAAAGTTGGCATATGTCTTGAGCCTAAGCCAGGGAATCAGCTCTCATCTCGAGAAGATTTGGGGTACAAGGAGCATTCCTCGAGTTGCTGTGCTGAAGTTGGTGTTCCTCTAGACTTGGCACAGTGTTCTCAGGGCATCTCTGGAGTTGCCTGAAGGAAGTCGAGCCACCGGTCGTGTTGAAAGGGGAACGGGGAATGGCTCTGGAGTCAATGCAGGGGAATCGGGCCTCATCTCGAGTTGATTTGGGGCACATGGAGCTGCTTTGCGTTGCTGGGTTGACCTCAGGGTCCGTCTAGACTGGTGACAGTGTTCTTGGGGACTGTCTCGAGATCCATTAAGCAAGTCGAAGCTCCTGACTTGTTTGAATGGGATCACGGAATAGCTCTGCATGCACTGCAGGGGAATGGGGCCTCATCTCGCCTCTAGGGGGAAGTCTCATGGTTTTTCTCGAGTTGCGGCGGGGACCTGGGGTATGTTCTCGACTTATGGCGGGGATGGCCCTTCAAAACACGAGTTTCTTCAGTGACGTCAGGACTCCTGTCTAGTAACGAGGGACACCTCAGGAATCTCTTCGAGGCTTGGCAGGGCAAAATTGAGGCTTCTCGAGGTGAGGCAGGGCACCCAAGGACCCTTTCCCGTAGCCACAGGGATTTTGGGATTCCTATCAGTATTCAAGAGGAATCAGGCATCGTCACCTTTTGAAGCAATGAACTCCGCGTGACTCTCGAGGTGTCAGCGGGATGTGAGGCATTCCGTCAAAATGAGGCAGGTACCTAGGGCTTTCTCTAAGGTTTCCACAGGTGATTCAGACATCCCTTCATGTTGTGAGATGAAAGACGAGCCTGTATTCAAGCCACTGCAAGGAAATCCGGCCTCCTTTTAAGTTAGGGCTTCTCGATGTATATTCCCTTTGAGGCAGCAAACTCGGGGTCCCCCCCACATACCTATTGCTGAGAGAAGCCTCCGCCTGAGGTGCTTCTGGAAAGTTGGCATACGTCTTGAGCCTAAGCCAGGGAATCAGCTCTCATCTCGAGACTATTTGGTATACACGGAACATTCCTCGAATTAATGTGCTGAAGTTGGTGTTCCTCTAGACTTGGGACAGTGTTCTCGGGGCATCTCTGGAGTTGCCTGAAGGAAGTCGAGCCACCAGTCGGGTTGAATGGGGAACGGGGAATGGCTCTGGAGTCAATGCAGGTGAATCAGGCCTCATTTCGAGTTGATTTGGTGCACATGGAGCTGCTTTGCGTTGCTGGGGTGACCTCAGGGTCTGTCTAGACTGGTGACAGTGTTCTTGGGGTCTGTCTCGAGATCCATCAAGCAAGTCGAAGCTCCTGACTTGTTTGAATGGGATCACGGAATAGCTCTGCATGCACTGCAGGGGAATGGGGCCTCATCTCGCCTCTAGGGGGAAGTCTCATGGTTTTTCTTGAGTTGCGGCGAGGACCTGGGGTATGTTCTCGACTTACGGCGGGGATGGCCCTTCAAAACACGAGTTTCTTCAGTGACGTCAGGACTACTCTCTAGTAAAGAGGGACACCTCAGGAATCTCTTCGAGGCTTGGCAGGGCAAAAGGGACGCTTCTCGATGTGAGGCAGGGCACCCAAGCAGCCTTTCCCGTAGCCACACGGATTTTGGGATTCCTATCAGTATTCAAGAGGAGTCAGGCATCGTCACCTTTTGAAGCAATGAAGTCCGCGTGCCTCTCGAGGTGTCAGCGGGATGTGAGGCATTCCGTCAAAATGAGGCAGGGACCTAGGGCTTTCTCTAAGGTCTCCACAGGGGATTCAGACATCCCTTCATGTTGTGAGATGAAAGACGAGCCTGTATTCAAGCCACTGCAAGGAAATCCGGCCTCCTTTCAAGTTAGGGCTTCTCGCTGTATATTCCCTTGAGGCAGCAAACTCGGGGTCCCTCCCACATACCTATTGCTGAGAGTAGCCTCCTCCTGAGGTGCTTCTGGAAAGATGGCATACGTCTTGAGCCTAAGCCATGGAATCTGCTCTCATCTCGAGACGACTTGTGGTACACGGAGCATTCCTCGAGTTGCTGTGCTGAAGTTGGTGTTCCTCTAGACTTGGGACAGCATTCTCGGGGCATCTCTGGAGTTGCCTGAAGGAAGTCGAGCCACCGGTCGTGTTGAATGGGGAACGGGGAATGGCTCTGGAGTCAATGCAGGGTAATCGGGCCTCATCTCGAGTTGATTTTGGGCACATGGAGCTGCTTTGCGTTGCTGGGGTGACCTCAGGGTCCGTCTAGACTGGTGACAGTGTTCTTGGGGACTGTCTCGAGATCCATTAAGCAAGTCGAAGCTCCTGACTTGTTTGAATGGGATCATGGAATAGCTCTGCATGCACTGCAGGGGAATGGGGCCTCATCTCGCCTCTAGGGGGAAGTCTCATGGTTTTTCTCGAGTTGCGGCGGGGACCTGGGATATGTTCTCGACTTACGGCGGGGATGGCCCTTCAAAACACGAGTTTCTTCACCTACGTCAGGACTCCTCTCTAGTAACGAGCGACACCTCAGGAATCTCTTCGAGGCTTGGCAGGGCATAAGGGATGCTTCTCGAGGTGAGGCAGGGCACCCAAGTACCCTTTCCAGTAGCCACAGGGATTTTGGGATTCCTATCAGTATTCAAGAGGAATCAGGCATCGTCACCTTTTGAAGCAATGAACTCCGTTTGCCTCTCAAGGTGTCAGCGGGATGTGAGGCATTCCGTCAAAATGAGGCAGGGACCTAGGGCTTTCTCTAAGGTCTCCACAGGGGATTCAGACATCCCTTCATGTTGTGAGATGAAAGACGAGCCTGTATTCAAGCCACTGCAAGGAAATCCGGCCTCCTTTCAAGTTAGGGCTTCTCGCTGTATATTCCCCTTGAGGCAGCAAACTCGGGGTCCCTCCCACATACCTACTGCTGAGAGAAGCCTCCTCCTGAGGTGCTTCTGGAAATTTGGCATACGTCTTGAGCCTAAGCCAGGGAATCAGCTCTCATCTCGAGACGATTTGGGGTACACGGAGCATTCCTCGAGTTGCTGTGCTGAAGTTGGTGTTCCTCTAGACTTGGGACAGTGTTCTCGGGGCATCTCTGGAGTTGCCTGAAGGAAGTCGAGCCACCGGTCGTGTTGAAAGGGGAACGGGGAATGGCTCTGGTGTCAATGCAGGGGAATCGGGCCTCATCTCGAGTTGATTTGGGGCACATGGAGCTGCTTTGCGTTGCTGGGGTGACCTCAGGTTCCGTCTAGACTGGTGACAGTGTTCTTGGGGACTGTCTCGAGACCCATTAAGCAAGTCGAAGCTCCTGACTTGTTTGAATGGGATCACGGAATAGCTCTGCATGCACTGCAGGGGAATGGGGCCTCATCTCGCCTCTAGGGGGATGTCTCATGGTTTTTCTCGAGTTGCGGCGGGGACCTGGGGTATGTTCTCGACTTACGGCGGGGATGGCCCTTCAAAACACGAGTTTCTTCAGTGACGTCAGGACTCCTGTCTAGTAACGAGGGACACCTCAGGAATCTCTTCGAGGCTTGGCTGGGGCAAAATTGAGGCTTCTCGAGGTGAGGCAGGGCACCCAAGGACCCTTTCCCGTAGCCACAGGGATTTTGGGATTCCTATGAGTATTCAAGAGCAGTCAGGCATCGTCACCTTTTGAAGCAATGAACTCCGCGTGCCTCTCGAGGTCCAGCGTGATGTGAGGCATTCCGTCCAATTGAGGCAGGTATCTAGGGCTTTCTCTAAGGTTTCCACAGGGGATTCAGACATCCCTTCATGTTGTGAGATGAAAGACGAGCCTGTATTCAAGCCACTGCAAGGAAATCCGGCCTCCTTTCAAGTTAGGGCTTCTCGCTGTGTATTCCCCTTGAGGCAGCAAATTCGGGGTCCCCCCCACATACCTATTGCTGAGAGAAGCCTCCTCCTGAGGTGCTTCTGGAAAGTTGGCATACGTCTTGAGCCTAAGCCAGGGAATCAGCTCTCATCTCGAGACGATTTGGGGTACACTGAGCATTCCTCGAGTTGCTGTGCTGAAGTTGGTATTCCTCTAGACTTGGGACAGTGTTCTCGGGGCATCTCTGGAGTTGCCTGAAGTAAGTCGAGCCACCGGTCGTGTTGAATGGGGAACGGGGAATGTCTCTGGAGTCAATGCAGGGGAATCCGGCCTCATCTCGAGTTGATTTGGGGCACATGGAGCTGCTTTGCGTTGCTGGGGTGACCTCAGGGTCCGTCTAGACTGGTGACAGTGATCTTGGGGACTGTCTCGAGATCCATTAAGCAAGTCGAAGCTCCTGACTTGTTTGAATGGGATCACGGAATAGCTCTGCATGCACTGCAGGGGAATGGGGCCTCATCTCGCCTCTAGGGGGATGTCTCATGGTTTTTCTCGAGTTGCGGCGGGGACCTGGGGTATGTTCTCGACTTACGGCGGGGATGGCCCTTCAAAACACGAGTTTCTTCAGTGACGTCAGGACTCCTGTCTAGTAATGAGGGACATCTCAGGAATCTCTTCGAGGATTGGCAGGGTCAAATTGAGGCTTCTCGAGGTGTGGCAGGGCACCCAAGGACCCTTTCCCGTAGCCACAGGGATTTTGGGATTCCTATCAGTATTCAAGAGGAGTCAGGCATCGTCACCTTTTGAAGCAATGAACTCCGCATGCGTCTCGAGGTGTCAGCGTGATGTGAGGCATTCCGTCAAAATGAGGCAGTGACCTAGGGATTTCTCTAAGGTCTCCACAGGGGATTCAGACATCCCTTCATGTTGTGAGATGAAAGACGAGCCTGTATTCAAGCCACTGCAAGGAAATCCGGCCTCCTTTCAAGTTAGGGCTTCTCGCTGTATATTCCCCTTGAGGCAGCAAACTCGGGGTCCCTCCCACATAGCTATTGCTGAGAGAAGCATCCGCCTGAGGTGCTTCTGGAAAGTTGGCATACGTCTTGAGCCTAAGCCAGGGAATCAGCTCTCATCTCGAGACTATTTGGTGTACACGGAGCATTCCTCGAATTAATGTGCTGAAGTTGGTGTTCCTCTAGACTTGGAACAGTGTTCTCGGGGCATCTCTGGAGTTGCCTGAAGGAAGTCAAGCCACCGGTCGTGTTGAATGGGGTACGGGGAATGGGTCTGGAGTCAATGCAGGGGAATCGGGCCTCATCTCGAGTTGATTTGGGGCACATGGAGCTGCTTTGCGTTGCTGGGGTGACCTCAGGGTCTGTCTAGACTGGTGACAGTGTTCTTGGGGACTGTCTCGAGATCCATCAAGCAAGTCGAAGCTCCTGACTTGTTTGAATAGGATCATGGAATAGCTCTGCATGCACTGCAGGGGAATGGGGCCTCATCTCGCCTCTAGGGGGAAGTCTCATGGTTTTTCTCGAGTTGCGGCGAGGACCTGGGGTATGTTCTCGACTTACGGCGGGGATGGCCCTTCAAAACACGAGTTTCTTCAGTGACGTCAGGACTACTCTCTAGTAAAGAGGGACACCTCAGGAATCTCTTCGAGGCTTGGCAGGGCAAAAGGGACGCTTCTCGATGTGAGGCAGGGCACCCAAGCAGCCTTTCCCGTAGCCACACGGATTTTGGGATTCCTATCAGTATTCAAGAGGAGTCAGGCATCGTCACCTTTTGAAGCAATGAACTCCGCGTGCCTCTCGAGGTGTCAGCGGGATGTGAGGCATTCCGTCAAAATGAGGCAGGGAACTAGGGCTTTCTCTAAGGTCTCCACAGGGGATTCAGATATCCCTTCATGTTGTGAGATGAAAGACGAGCCTGTATTCAAGCCACTGCAAGGAAATCCGGCCTCCTTTCAAGTTAGGGCTTCTCGGTTGTATATTCCCTTGAGGCAGCAAACTCGGGGTCCCTCCCACATACCTATTGCTGAGAGTTGCCTCCTCCTGAGGTGCTTCTGGAAAGATGGCATACGTCTTGAGCCTAAGCCATGGAATCTGCTCTCATCTCGAGACGATTTGGGGTACACGGAGCATTCCTCGAGTTGCTGTGCTGAAGTTGGTGTTCCTCTAGACTTGGGACAGCATTCTCGGGGCATCTCTGGAGTTGCCTGAAAGAAGTCGAGCCACCGGTCGTGTTGAATGGGGAACGGGGAATGGCTCTGGAGTCAATGCAGGGTAATCGGGCCTCATCTCGAGTTGATTTTGGGCACATGGAGCTGCTTTGCATTGCTGGGGTGACCTCAGGGTCCGTCTAGACTGGTGACAGTGTTCTTGGGGACTGTCTCGAGATCCATTAAGCAAGTCGAAGCTCCTGACTTGTTTGAATGGGATCACGGAATAGCTCTGCATGCACTGCAGGGGAATGGGGCCTCATCTCGCCTCTAGGGGGAAGTCTCATGGTTTATCTCGAGTTGCGGCGGGGACCTGGGATATGTTCTCGACTTACGGCGGGGATGGCCCTTCAAAACACGAGTTTCTTCACTGACGTCAGGACTCCTGTCTAGTAACGAGCGACACCTCAGGAATCTCTTCGAGGCTTGGCAGGGCATAAGGGACGCTTCTCGAGGTGAGGCAGAGCACCCAAGGACCCTTTCCAGTAGCCACAGGGATTTTGGGATTCCTATCAGTATTCAAGAGGAATCAGGCATCGTCACCTTTTGAAGCAATGAACTCCGTTTGCCTCTCAAGGTGTCAGCGGGCTGTGAGGCATTCCGTCAAAATGAGGCAGGGACCTAGGGCTTTCTCTAAGGTCTCCACAGGGGATTCAGACATCCCTTCATGTTGTGAGATGAAAGACGAGCCTGTATTCAAGCCACTGCAAGGAAATCCGGCCTCCTTTCAAGTTAGGGCTTCTCGCTGTATATTCCCCTTGAGGCAGCAAACTCGGGGTCCCTCCCACATACCTATTGCTGAGAGAAGCCTCCTCCTGAGGTGCTTCTGGAAATTTGGCCTACGTCTTGAGCCTAAGCCAGGGAATCAGCTCTCATCTCGAGACGATTTGGGGTACACGGAGCATTCCTCGAGTTGCTGTGCTGAAGTTGGTGTTCCTCTAGACTTGGGACAGTGTTCTCGGGGCATCTCTGGAGTTGCCTGAAGGAAGTCGAGCCACCGGTCGTGTTGAATGGGGAACGGGGAATCGCTCTGGTGTCAATGCAGGGGAATCGGGCCTCATCTCGAGTTGATTTTGGGCACATGGAGCTGCTTTGCGTTGCTGGGGTGACCTCAGGGTCCGTCTAGACTGGTGACAGTGTTCTTGGGGACTGTCTCGAGATCCATTAAGCAAGTCGAAGCTCCTGACTTGTTTGAATGGGATCACGGAATAGCTCTGCATGCACTGCAGGGGAATGGGGCCTCATCTCGCCTCTAGAGGGAAGTCTCATGGTTCTTCTCGAGTTGTGGCGGGGACCTGGGGTATGTTCTCGACTTACGGCGGGGATGGCCCTTCAAAACACGAGTTTCTTCAGTGACGTCAGGACTCCTGTCTAGTAATGAGGGACACCTCAGGAATCTCTTCGAGGCTTGGCAGGGCCAAATTGAGGCTTCTCGAGGTGTGGCAGGGCACCCAAGGACCCTTTCCCATAGCCACAGGGATTTTGGGATTCCTATCTGTATTCAAGAGGAGTCAGGCATCGTCACCTTTTGAAGCAATGAACTCCGCGTGGCTCTCGAGATGTCAGCGGGATGTGAGGCATTCCGTCAAAATGAGGCAGGGACCTAGGGCTTTCTCTAAGGTCTCCACAGGGGATTCAGACATACCTTCATGTTGTGAGATGAAAGACGAGCCTGTATTCAAGCCACTGCAAGGAAATCCGGCCTCCTTTCAAGGTAGGGCTTCTCGCTGTATATTCCCCTTGAGGCAGCAAACTCGGGGTCCCTCCCACATACCTATTGCTGAGAGAAGCCTCCTCCTGAGGTGCTTCTGGAAAGTTGGCATATGTCTTGAGCCTAAGCCAGGGAATCAGCTCTCATCTCGAGACGATTTGGGGTACACGGAGCATTCCTCGAGTTGCTGTGTTGAAGTTGGTGTTCCTCTAGACTTGGGACAGTGTTCTCGGGGCATCTCTGGAGTTGCCTGAAGGAAGTCGAGCCACTAGTCATGTTGAATGCGGAACGGGGAATGGCTCTGGAGTCAATGCAGTGGAATCGGGCCTCATCTCGAGTTGATTTGGGGCACATGGAGCTGCTTTGCGTTGCTGGGGTGACCTCAGGGTCCGTCTAGACTGGTGACAGTGATCTTGGGGACTGTCTCGAGATCCATTAAGCAAGTCGATGCTCCTGACTTGTTTGAATGGGATCACGGAATAGCTCTGCATGCACTGCAGGGGAATGGGGCCTCATCTCGCCTCGAGGGGGAAGTCTCATGGTTTTTCTCGAGTTGCGGCGAGGACCTGGGGTATGTTCTCGACTTACGGCTGGGATGGCCCTTCAAAACACGAGTTTCTTCAGTGACGTCAGGACTCCTGTCTAGTAATGAGGGACACCTCAGGAATGTCTTCGAGGCTTGGCAGGGCAAAAGAGAAGCTTCTTGAGGTGAGGCAGGGCACCCAAGGATGCTTTCCAGTAGCCACAGGGATTTTGGGATTCCTATCAGTATTCAAGAGGAGTCAGGGATCGTCACCTTTTGAAGCAATGAACTCCGCGTGCCTCTCGAGGTGTCAGCGGGATGTGGGGCATTCCGTCAAAATGAGGCAGGGACCTAGGGCTTTCTCTAAGGTCTCCACAGGGGATTCAGACATCCCTTCATGTTGTGAGATGAAAGACGAGCCTGTATTGGAGCCACTGCAAGGAAATCCGGCCTCCTTTCAAGTTACGGCTTCTCGCTGTATATTCCCCTTGAGGCAGCAAACTCGGGGTCCCTCCCACATACCTATTGCTGAGAGAAGCCTCCTCCTGAGGTGCTTCTGGAAAGTTGGCATACGTCTTGAGCCTAAGCCAGGGAATCAGCTCTCATTTCGAGACGATTTGGGGTACACTGAGCATTCCTCGAGTGGCTGTGCTTAAGTTGGTGTTCCTCTAGACTTGGACAGTGTTCTCGGGGCATCTCTGGAGTTGCCTGAAGTAAGTCGAGCCACCGGTCGTGTTGAATGGGGAACGGGGAATGTCTCTGGAGTCAATGCAGGGGAATCGGGCCTCATCTCGAGTTGATTTGGGGCACATGGAGCTGCTTTGCGTTGCTGGGGTGACCTCAGGGTCCGTCTAGACTGGTGACAGTGATTTGGGGACTGGCTCGAGATCCATTAAGCAAGTCGAAGCTCCTGACTTGTTTGAATGGGATCACGGAATAGCTCTGCATGCACTGCAGGGGAATGTTTCCTCATCTCGGCTCTAGGGGGAAGTCTCATGTTTTTTCTCGAGTTGCGGCGGGGACCTGGGGTATGTTCTCGAATTACGGCGGGGATGGCCCTTCAAAACACGAGTTTCTTCAGTGACGTCAGGACTCCTGTCTAGTAATGAGGGACACCTCAGTAATCTCTTCGAGGCTTGGCAGTGCCAAATTGAGGCTTCTCGAGGTATGGCAGGAAACCAAAGGACCCTTTCCCGTAGCCACAGGGATTTTGGGATTCCTATCAGTATTCAAGACGAGTCAGGCATCGTCACCTTTTGAAGCAATGAACTCCGCGTGCGTCTCGAGGTGTCAGCGGGATGTGAGGCATTCCGTCAAAATGAGGAAGTGACCTAGGGCTTTCTCTAAGGTCTCCACAGGGGATTCAGACATCCCTTCATGTTGTGAGATGAAAGACGAGCCTGTATTTAAGCCACTGCAAGGAAATCCGGCCTCCTTTCAAGTTAGGGCTTCTCGCTGTATATTCCCCTTGAGGCAGCAAACTCGGGGTCCCTCCCACATACCTATTGCTGAGAGAAGCCTCCTCCTGAGGTGCTTCTGGAAAGTTGGCATACGTCTTGAACCTAAGCCAGGGAATCAGCTCTCATCTCGAGACGATTTGGGGTACACGGAGCATTCCTCGAATTAATGTGCTGAAGTTGGTGGTGCTCTAGACTTGGGACAGTGTTCTCGGGGCATCTCTGGAGTTGCCTGAAGGAAGTCGAGCCACCAGTCGGGTTGAATGGGGAACGGGGAATGGCTCTGTAGTCAATGCAGGGGAATCAGGCCTCATCTCGAGTTGATTTGGTGCACATGGAGCTGCTTTGCGTTGCTGGGGTGACCTCAGGGTCCGTCTAGACTGGTGACAGTGTTCTTGGGGACTGTCTCGAGAACCATTAAGCAAGTCGAAGCTCCTGACTTGTTTGAATGGGATCACGGAATAGCTCTGCATGCACTGCAGGGGAATGGGGCCTCATCTCGCCTCTAGGGGGAAGTCTCATTGTTTTTCTCGAGTTGCGGCGAGGACCTGGGGTATGTTCTCGACTTACGGCGGGGCTGGCCCTTCAAAACACGAGTTTCTTCAGTGACGTCAGGACTCCTCTCTAGTAAAGAGGGACACCTCAGGAATCTCTTCGAGGCTTGGCAGGGCAAAAGGGACGCTTCTCGATGTGAGGCAGGGCACCCAAGCAGCCTTTCCCGTAGCCACACGGATTTTGGGATTCCTATCAGTATTCAAGAGGAGTCAGGCATCGTCACCTTTTGAAGCAGTGAACTCCGCGTGCCTCTCGAGGTGTCAGCAGGATGTGAGGCATTCCGTCAAAATGAGGCAGGGACCTAGGGCTTTCTCTAAGGTCTCCACAGGGGGTTCAGACATCCCTTCATGTTGTGAGATGAAAGACGAGCCTGTATTCAAGCCACTGCAAGGAAATCCGGCCTCCTTTCAAGTTATTGCTTCTCGCTGTATATTCCCCTTGAGGCAGCAAACTCGGGGTCCCTCCCACATACCTATTGCTGAGAGAAGCCTCCTCCTGAGGTGCTTCTGGAAAGTTGGCATATGTCTTGAGCCTAAGCCAGGGAATCAGCTCTCATCTCGAGACGATTTGGAGTACACGGAGCATTCCTCGAGTTGCTGTGTTGAAGTTCTTGTTCCTCTAGACTTGTTACAGTGTTCTCGGGGAATCTCTGGAGTTGCCTGAAGGAAGTCGAGCCACCGGTCGTGTTGAATGGGGAAGGGGAATGGCTCTGGAGTCAATGCAGGGGAATCGGGCCTCATGCCGAGTTGATTTGGTGCACATGGAGCTGCTTTGCGATGCTCGGGTGACCTCAGGGTCCGTCTGGACTGGTGACAGTGATCTTGGGGACTGTCTCGAGATCCATTAAGCAAGTCGAAGCTCCTGACTTGTTTGAATGGGATCACGGAATAGCTCTGCATGCACTGCAGGGGAATGGGGCCTCATCTCGCCTCTAGGGGAAGTCTCATGGTTTTTCTCGAGTTGCGGCGGGGACCTGGGGTATGTTCTCGACTTACGGCGGGGATGGCCCTTCAAAACACGAGTTTCTTCAGTGACGACAGGACTCCTGTCTAGTAACGAGGGACACCTCAGGAATGTCTTCGAGGCTTGGCAGGGCAAAAGGGAAGCTTCTCGAGGTGAGACAGGGCACCCAAGGATCCTTTCCAGTAGCCACAGGGATTTTGGGATTCCTATCAGTATTCAAGAGGAGTCAGGCATCGTCACCTTTTGAAGCAATGAACTCCGCGTGCCTCTCGAGGTGTCAGCGGGATGTGAGGCCTTCCGTCAAAATGAGGCAGGGACCTAGGGCTTTCTCTAAGCGCTCCACAGGGGATTCAGACAACCCTTCATGTTGTGAGATGAAAGACGAGCCTGTATTCAAACCACTGCAAAGAAATCTGGCCTCCTTTCAAGATAGGGCTTCTCGCTGTATATTCCCCTTGAGGCAGCAAACTCGGGGTCCCTCCCACATACCTATTGCTGAGAGAAGCCTCCTCCTGAGGTGCTTCTGGAAAGTTGGCATATGTCTTGAGCCTAAGCCAGGGAATCAGCTCTCATCTCGAGACGATTTGAGGTACACGGAGCATTCCTCGAGTTGCTGTGTTGAAGTTGGTGTTCCTCTAGACTTGGGACAGTGTTCTCGGGGCATCTCTAGAGTTGCCTGAAGGAAATCGAGCCACTGGTCGTGTTGAATGGGGAACGGGGAATGGCTCTGGAGTCAATGCAGGGGAATCGGGCCTCATCTCGAGTTGATTTGGGGCACATGGAGCTGCTTTGCGTTGCTGGGGTAACCTCAGGGTCCGTCTGGAATGGTGACAGTGTTCTTGGGGACTGTCTCGAGATCCATTAAGCAAGTCGAAGCTCCTGACTTGTTTGAATGGGATCACGGAATAGCTCTGCATGCACTGCAGGGGAATCGGGCCTCATGTCGCCTCTAGGGGGAATTCTCATGGTTTTCATCGAGTTGCAGCGGGGACCTGGGCTATGTTCTCGACTTACGGCAGGGATGGCCCTTCAAAACAAGAGTTTCTTCAGTGACGTCAGGACTCCTGTCTAGTAACGAGGGACACCTCAGGAATCTATTCGAGGCTTAGCAGGGCAAAAGGTACACTTCTCGAGCTGAGGCAGGGCACCCAAGGACCCTTTCCCGTAGCCACAGGGATTTTGGGATTCCTATCAGTATTCAAGAGGAGTCAGGCATCGTCACCTTTTGAAGCAATGAACTCCGCGTGCGTCTCGAGGTGTCAGCGGGATGTGAGGCATTCCGTCAAAATGAGGCAGGGACCTAGGGCTTTCTCTAAGGTCTCCACAGGGTATTCAGACATCCCTTCATGTTGTGACATGAAAGACGAGCCTGTATTGAAGCCACTGCAAGGAAATCCGGCCTCCTTTCAAGTTAGGGCTTCTCGCTGTATATTCCCCTTGAGGCAGCAAACTGGGGTCCCTCCCACATACCTATTGCTGAGAGAAGCCTCCTCCTGAGGTGCTTCTGGAAATTTGGCATACGTCTTGAGCCTAAGCCAGGGAATCAGCTCTCATCTCGAGACGATTTGGGGTACACGGAGCATTCCTCGAGTTGCTGTGCTGAAGTTGGTGTTCCTCTAGACTTCGGACAGTATTCTCGGTGAATCTCTGGAGTTGCCTGAAGTAAGTCGAGCCACCGGTCGTGTTGAATGGGGAACGGGGAATGGCTCTGGAGTCAATGCAGGGGAATCGGGCCTCATCTCGAGTTGATTTGGGGCACGTGGAGCTGCTTTGCGTTGCTGGGGTGACCTCAGTGTCCGTCTAGACTGGTGACAGTGATCTTGGGGACTGTCTCGAGATCCATTAAGCAAGTCGAAGCTCCTGACTTGTTTGAATGGGATCACGGAATAGCTCTGCATGCACTGCAGGGGAATGGGGCCTCATCTCGCCTCTAGGGGGAAGTCTCATGGTTTTTCTCGAGTTGCGGCGGGTACCTGGGTTATGTTCTCGACTTACGGCGTGGATGGCCCTTCAACACACGAGTTTCTTCAGTGACGTCAGGACTCCTGTCTAGTAACGAGGGACACCTCAGAAATCTCTTCGAGGCTTAGCAGGGCAAAAGGTACGCTTCTCGAGGTGAGGCAGGGCACCCAAGGACACTTTCCCGTAGCCACAGGGATTTTGGGATTCCTATCAGTATTCAAGAGGAGTCAGGCATCGTCACCTTTTGAAGCAATGAAGTCTGCGTGCGTCTCGAGGTGTCAGCGGGATGTGAGGCATTCCGTCAAAATGAGGAAGTGACCTAGGGCTTTCTCTAAGGTCTCCACAGGGGATTCAGACATCCCTTCATGTTGTGAGATGAAAGACGAGCCTGTATTCAAGCCACTGCAAGGAAATCCGGCCTCCTTTCAAGTTAGGGCTTCTCGCTGTATATTCCCCTTGAGGCAGCAAACTCGGGGTCCCTCCCACATACCTATTGCTGAGAGAAGCCTCCTCCTGAGGTGCTTCTGGAAAGTTGGCATACGTCTTGAGCCTAAGCCAGGGAATCAGCTCTCATCTCGAGACGATTTGGGGTACACGGAGCATTCCTCGAGTTGCTGTGCTGAAGTTGGTGTTCCTCTAGACTTGTTACAGTGTTATCTGGGAATCTCTGGAGTTGCCTGAAGTAAGTCCAGCCACCGGTCGTGTTGAATGGGGAACGGGGAATGTCTCTAGAGTCAATGCAGGGGAATCGGGCCTCATCTCGAGTTGATTTGGGGCACATGGAGCTGCTTTGCGTTGCTGGGGTGACCTCAGGGTCCGTCTAGACTGGTGACAGTGATCTTGGGGACTGTCTCGAGATCCATTAAGCAAGTCGAAGCTCCTGACTTGTTTGAATGGGATCACGGAATAGCTCTGCATGCACTGCAGGGGAATGGGGCCTCATCTCGCCTCTAGGGGGAAGTCTCATGGTTTTTCTCGAGTTGCGGCGGGGACCTGGGGTATGTTCTCGACTTACGGCTGGGATGGCCCTTCAAAACACGAGTTTCTTCAGTGACGTCAGGACTCCTGTCTAGTAACGAGGGACACCTCAGGAATGTCTTCGAGGCTTGGCAGGGCAAAAGGGAAGCTTCTCGAGGTGAGGCAGGGCACCCAAGGATCCTTTCCAGTAGCCACAGGGATTTTGGGATTCCTATCAGTATTCAAGAGGAGTCAGGCATCGTCACCTTTTGAAGCAATGAACTCCGCGTGCCTCTCGAGGTGTCAGCGGGATGTGAGGCATTCCGTCAAAATGAGGCAGGGACCTAGGGCTTTCTCTAAGGTCTCCACAGGGGGTTCAGACATCCCATCATGTTGTGAGATGGAAGACGAGCCTGTATTCAAGCCACTGCAAGGAAATCCGGCCTCCTTTCAAGATAGGGCTTCTCGCTGTATATTCCCCTTGAGGCAGCAAACTCGGGGTCCCTCCCACATACCTATTGCTGAGAGAAGCCTCCTCCTGAGGTGCTTCTGGAAAGTTGGCATATGTCTTGAGCCTAAGCCAGGGAATCAGCTCTCATCTCGAGACGATTTGGGGTACACGGAGCATTCCTCGAGTTGCTGTGTTGAAGTTGGTGGTGCTCTAGACTTGGGACAGTGTTCTCGGGGCATCTCTGGAGTTGCCTGAAGGAAGTCGAGCCACCAGTCGGGTTGAATGGGGAACAGGGAATGTCTCTGGAGTCAATGCAGGGGAATCAGGCCTCACCTCGAGTTGATTTGGTGCACATGGAGCTGCTTTGCGTTGCTGGGGTGACCTCAGGGTCCGTCTAGACTGGTGACAGTGTTCTTGGGGACTGTCTCGAGAACCATTAAGCAAGTCGAAGCTCCTGACTTGTTTGAATGGGATCATGGAATAGCTCTGCATGCACTGCAGGGGAATGGGGCCTCATCTCGCCTCTAGGGGGAAGTCTCATGGTTTTTCTCGAGTTGCGGCGAGGACCTGGGGTATGTTCTCGACTTACGGCGGGGCTGGCCCTTCAAAACACGAGTTTCTTCAGTGACGTCAGGACTCCTCTCTAGTAAAGATGGACACCTCAGGAATCTCTTCGAGTCTTGGCAGGGCAAAAGGGACGCTTCTCGATGTGAGGCAGGGCACCCAAGCAGCCTTTCCCGTAGCCACACGGATTTTGGGATTCCTATCAGTATTCAAGAGGAGTCAGGCATCGTCACCTTTTGAAGCAATGAACTCCGCGTGCCTCTCGAGTTGTCAGCGGGATGTGAGGCATTCCGTCAAAATGAGGCAGGGACCTAGGGCTTTCTCTAAGGTCTCCACAGGGGATTCAGACATCCCTTCATGTTGTGACATGAAAGACGAGCCTGTATTGAAGCCACTGCAAGGAAATCCGGCCTCCTTTCAAGTTAGGGCTTCTCGCTGTATATTCCCCTTGAGGCAGCAAACTGGGGTCCCTCCCACATAACTATTGCTGAGAGAAGCCTCCACCTGAGGTGCTTCTGGAAAGTTGGCATACGTCTTGAGCCTAAGCCAGGGAATCAGCTCTCATCTCGAGACGATTTGGGGTACACGGAGCATTCCTCGAGTTGCTGTGCTGAAGTTGGTGTTCCTCTAGACTTGGGACAGTGTTCTCGGTGAATCTCTGGAGTTGCCTGAAGTAAGTCGAGCCACCGGTCGTGTTGAATGGGGAACGGGGAATGGCTCAGGAGTCAATGCACGGGAATCGGGCCTCATCTCGAGTTGATTTGGGGCACATGGAGCTGCTTTGCGTTGCTGGGGTGACCTCAGGGTCCGTCTAGACTGGTGACAGTGATCTTGGGGACTGTCTCGAGATCCATTAAGCAAGTCGAAGCTCCTGGCTTGTTTGAATGGGATCACGGAATAGCTCTGCATGCACTGCAGGGGAATGGGGCCTCATCTCGCCTCTAGGGGGAAGTCTCATGGTTTTTCTCGAGTTGCGGCGGGGACCTGGGGTATGTTCTCGACTTACGGCGGGGATGGCCCTTCAAAACACGAGTTTCTTCAGTGACGTCAGGACTCCTGTCTAGTAAGGAGGGACACCTCAGGAATCTCTTCGAGGCTTGGCAGGGCCAAATTGAGGCTTCTCGAGGTGTGGCAGGGCACCCAAGGACCCTTTCCCGTAGCCACAGGGATTTTGGGATTCCTATCAGTATTCAAGAGGAGTCAGGCATCGTCACATTTTGAAGCAATGAACTCCGCCTGCCTCTCGAGGTGTCAGTGGGATGTGAGGCATTCCGTCAAAATGAGGCAGGGACCTAGGGCTTTCTCTAAGGTCTCCTCAGGGGATTCAGACATCCCTTCATGTTGTGAGATGAAAGACGAGCCTGTATTCAAGCCACTGCAAGGAAATCCGGCCTCCTTTCAAGTTAGGGCTTCTCACTGTATATTCCCCTTGAGGCAGCAAACTCGGGGTCCCTCCCACATACCTATTGTTGAGAGAAGCCTCCTCCTGAGGTGCTTCTGGAAATTTGGCATACGTCTTGAGCCTAAGCCAGGGAATCAGCTCTCATCTCGAGACGATTTGGGTTACACGGAGCATTCCTCGAGTTAATGTGCTGAAGTTGGTGTTCCTCTAGACTTGGGACAGTGTTCTCGGGGCATCTCTGGAGTTGCCTGAAGGAAGTCGAGCCACAAGTTGTGTTGAATGGGGAACGGGGAATGGCTCTGGAGTCAATGCAGGGGAATCAGGCCTCATCTGATTTGGGGCACATGGAGCTGCTTTGCGTTGCTGGGGTGACTTCAGGGTCCGTCTAGACTGGTGACAGTGTTCTTGGGGTCTGTCTCGAGATCCATTAAGCAAGTCGAAGCTCCTGACTTGTTTGAATGGGATCATGGAATAGCTCTGCATGCACTGCAGGGGAATGGGGCCTCATCTCGCCTCTAGGGGGAAGTCTCATGGTTTTTCTCGAGTTGCGGCGAGGACCTGGGGTATGTTCTCGACTTACGGCGGGGATGGCCCTTCAAAACACGAGTTTCTTCAGTGACGTCAGGACTCCTCTCTAGTAAAGAGGGACACCTCAGGAATCTCTTCGAGGCTTGGCAGGGCAAAAGGGACGCTTCTCGTTGTGAGGCAGGGCACCCAAGCAGCCTTTCCCGTAGCCACACGGATTTTGGGATTCCTATCAGTATTCAAGAGGAGTCAGGCATTGTCACCTTTTGAAGCAATGAACTCCGCGTGCCTCTCGAGGTGTCAGCGGGATGTGAGGCATTCCGTCAAAATGAGGCAGGGACCTAGGGCTTTCTCTAAGGTCTCCACAGGGTATTCAGGCATCCCTTCATGTTGTGAGATGAAAGACGAGCCTGTATTCAAGCCACTGCAAGGAAATCCGGCCTCCTTTCAAGTTTCGGCTTCTCGATGTATATTCCCCTTGAGGCTGCAAACTCGGGGTCCCTCCCACATACCTATTGCTGAGAGAAGCCTCCTCCTGAGGTGCTTCTGGAAAGTTGGCATATGTCTTGAGCCTACGCCAGGGAATCAGCTCCCATCTCGAGACGATTTGGGGTACACGGATCATTCCTCGAGTTAATGTGCTGAAGTTGGTGTTCCTCTAGACTTGGACAGTGTTCTCGGGGCATCTCTGGAGTTGCCTGAAGGAAGTCGAGCCACCGGTCGTGTTGAATGGGGAACAGGGAATGGCTCTGGAGTCAATGCAGGGGAATCAGGCCTCATCTCGAGTTGATTTGGGGCACATGGATCTGCTTTGCGTTGCTGGGGTGACCTCAGGGTCCGTCTAGACTGGTGACAGTGTTCTTGGGGACTGTCTCGTGATCCATTAAGCAAGTCGAAGCTCCTGACTTGTTTGAATGGGATCACGGAATAGCTCTGCCTGCACTGCAGGGGAATGGGGCCTCATCTCGCCTCTAGGCGGAAGTCTCATGGTTTTTCTCGAGTTGCGGCGGGGACCTGGGGTATGTTCTCGACTTACGGCGGGGATGGCCCTTCAAAACACGAGTTTCTTCAGTGACGTAAGGACTCCTGTCTAGTAACGAGGGACACCTCAGGAATCTCTTCGAGGCTTAGCAGGGCAAAAGGTACGCTTCTCGAGGTGAGGCAGGGCACCCAAGGACACGTTCCCATAGCCACAGGGATTTTGGGGTTCCTATCAGTATTCAAGAGGAGTCAGGCATCGTCACCTTTTGAAGCAATGAACTCCGCGTGCCTCTCGAGGTGTCAGCGGGATGTGAGGCATTCCGTCAAAATGAGGCAGGGACCTAGGGCTTTCTCTAAGCGCTCCACAGGGGATTCAGACATCCCTTCATGTTGTGAGATGAAAGACGAGCCTGTATTCAAACCACTGCAAGGAAATCTGGCCTCCTTTCAAGTTAGGGCTTCTCGCTGTATATTCCCCTTGAGGCAGCAAACTCGGGGTCCCTCCCACATACCTATTGCTGAGAGAAGCCTCCTCCTGAGGTGCTTCTGGAAAGTTGGCATATGTCTTGAGCCTAAGCCAGGGAATCAGCTCTCATCTCGAGACGATTTGAAGTACACGGAGCATTCCTCGAGTTGCTGTGTTGAAGTTGGTGTTCCTCTAGACTTGGGACAGTGTTCTCGGGGCATCTCTAGAGTTGCCTGAAGGAAATCGAGCCACTGGTCGTGTTGAATGGGGAACGGGGAATGGCTCTGGAGTCAATGCAGGGGAATCGGGCCTCATCTCGAGTTGATTTGGGGCACATGGAGCTGCTTTGCGTTGCTGGGGTAACCTCAGGGTCCGTCTGGACTGGTGACAGTGTTCTTGGGGACTGTCTCGAGATCCATTAAGCAAGTCGAAGCTCCTGACTTGTTTGAATGGGATCACGGAATAGCTCTGCATGCACTGCAGGGGAATGGGGCCTCATCTCGCCTCTAGGGGGAATTCTCATGGTTTTCATCGAGTTGCGGCGGGGACCTGGGCTATGTTCTCGACTTACGGCGGGGATGGCCCTTCAAAACAAGAGTTTCTTCAGTGACGTCAGGACTCCTGTCTAGTAACGAGGGACACCTCAGGAATCTATTCGAGGCTTAGCAGGGCAAAAGGTACGCTTCTCGAGCTGAGGCAGGGCACCCAAGGACCCTTTCCCGTAGCCACAGGGATTTTGGGATTCCTATCAGTATTCAAGAGGAGTCAAGCATCGTCACCTTTTGAAGCAATGAACTCCGCGTGCGTCTCGAGGTGTCAGCGGGATGTGAGGCATTCCGTCAAAATGAGGAAGTGACCTAGGGCTTTCTCTAAGGTCTCCACAGGGGATTCAGACATCCCTTCATGTTGTGAGATGAAATACGAGCCTGTATTCAAGCCACTGCAAGGAAATCCGGCCTCCTTTCAAGTTAGGGCTTCTCGCTGTATATTCCTCTTGAGGCAGCAAACTCGGGGTCCCTCCCACATACCTATTGCTGAGAGAAGCTTCCTCCTGAGGTGCTTCTGGAAAGTTGGCATACGTCTTGAACCTAAGCCAGGGAATCAGCTCTCATCTCGAGACGATTTGGGGTACACGGAGCATTCCTCGAATTAATGTGCTGAAGTTGGTGGTGCTCTAGACTTGGGACAGTGTTCTCGGGGCATCTCTGGAGTTGCCTGAAGGAAGTCGAGCCACCAGTCGGGTTGAATGGGGAACGGGGAATGGCTCTGGAGTCAATGCAGGGGAATCAGGCCTCACCTCGAGTTGATTTGGTGCACATGGAGCTGCTTTGCGTTGCTGGGGTGACCTCAGGGTCCGTCTAGACTGGTGACAGTGTTCTTGGGGACTGTCTCGAGAACCATTAAGCAAGTCGAAGCTCCTGACTTGTTTGAATGGGATCATGGAATAGCTCTGCATGCACTGCAGGGGAATGGGGCCTCACCTCGCCTCTAGGGGGAAGTCTCATGGTTTTTCTCGAGTTGCGGCGGGGACCTGGGGTATGTTCTCGACTTACGGCGGGGATGGCCCTTCAAAACACGAGTTTCTTCAGTGACGACAGGACTCCTGTCTAGTAACGAGGGACACCTCAGGAATGTCTTTGAGGCTTGGCATGGCAAAAGGGAAGCTTCTCGAGGTGAGGCAGGGCACCATAGGATCCTTTCCAGTAGCCACAGGGATTTTGGGATTCCTATCAGTATTCAAGAGGAGTCAGGCATCGTCACCTTTTGAAGCAATGAACTCCGCGTGCCTCTCGAGGTGTCAGCGGGATGTGAGGCATTCCGTCAAAATGAGGCAGGGACCTAGGGCTTTCTCTAAGCGCTCCACAGGGGATTCAGACATCCCTTCATGTTGTGAGATGAAAGACGAGCCTGTATTCAAACCACTGCAAGGAAATCTGGCCTCCTTTCAAGTTAGGGCTTCTCGCTGTATATTCCCCTTGAGGCAGCAAACTCGGGGTCCCTCCCACATACCTATTGCTGAGAGAAGCCTCCTCCTGAGGTGCTTCTGGAAAGTTGGCATATGTCTTGAGCCTAAGCCAGGGAATCAGCTCTCATCTCGAGACGATTTGAGGTACACGGAGCATTCCTCGAGTTGCTGTGTTGAAGTTGGTGTTCCTCTAGACTTGGGACAGTGTTCTCGGGGCATCTCTGGAGTTGCCTGAAGGAAATCGAGCCACTGGTCGTGTTGAATGGGGAACGGGGAATGGCTCTGGAGTCAATGCAGGGGAATCGGGCCTCATCTCGAGTTGATTTGGGGCACATGGAGCTGCTTTGCATTGCTGGGGTGATCTCAGGGTCCGTCTAGACTGGTGACAGTGATCTTGGGGACTGTCTCGAGATCCATTAAGCAAGTCGAAGCTCCTGGCTTGTTTGAATGGGATCACGGAATAGCTCTGCATGCACTGCAGGAGAATGGGGCCTCATGTCGCCTCTAGGGGGAAGTCTCATGGTTTTTCTCGAGTTGCGGCGGGGACCTGGGGTATGTTCTCGACTTACGGTGGGGATGGCCCTTCAAAACACGAGTTTCTTCAGTGACGTCAGGACTCCTGTCTAGTAACGAGGGACACCTCAGGAATCTATTCGAGGCTTGGCAGGGCAAAATTGAGGCTTCTCGAGGTGAGGCAGGGCACCCAAGGACCCTTTCCCGTAGCCACAGGGATTTTGGGATTCCTATCAGTATTCAAGAGGAGTCAGGCATCGTCACCTTTTGAAGCAATGAACTCCGCGTGACTCTCGAGGTGTCAGCGGGATGTGAGGCATTCCGTCAAAATGAGGCAGGTACCTACGGCTTTTTCTAAGGTTTCCACAGGTGATTCAGACATCCCTTCATGTTGTGAGATGAAAGACGAGCCTGTATTCAAGCCACTGCAAGGAAATCCGGCCTCCTTTCAAGTTAGGGCTTCTCGATGTATATTCCCCTTGAGGCAGCAAATTCGGGGTCCCCCCCACATAACTATTGCTGAGAGAAGCCTCTTCCTGAGGTGCTTCTGGAAAGTTGGCATACGTCTTGACCCTAAGCCAGGGAATCAGCTCTCATCTCGAGACGATTTGGTGTACACGGAGCATTCCTCGAGTTGCTGTGCTGAAGTTGGTGATCCTCTAGACTTGGGACAGTGTTCTCGGGGCATCTCTGGAGTTGCCTGAAGGAAGTCGAGCCACCGGTCGTGTTGAAAGGGGAACGGGGAATGGCTCTGGTGTCAATGCAGGGGAATCGGGCCTCATCTCGAGTTGATTTGGGGCACATGGAGCTGCTTTGCGTTGCTGGGGTGACCTCAGGGTCCGTCTAGACTGGTGACAGTGTTCTGGGGGACTGTCTCGAGACCCATTAAGCAAGTCGAAGCTCCTGACTTGTTTGAATGGGATCACGGAATAGCTCTGCATGCACTGCAGGGGAATGGGGCCTCTTCTCGCCTCTAGGGGGAAGTCTCATGGTTTTTCTCGAGTTGCGGCGGGGACCTGGGGTATGTTCTCGACTTACGGCGGGGATGGCCCTTCAAAAGACGAGTTTCTTCAGTGACGTCAGGACTCCTGTCTAGTAACGAGGGACACCTCAGGAATCTCTTCGAGGCTTGGCAGGGCAAAATTGAGGCTTCTCGAGGTTAGGCAGGGCACCCAAGTACCCTTTCCCGTAGCCACAGGGATTTTGGGATTCCTATCAGTATTCAAGAGGAGTCAGGCATCGTCACCTTTTGAAGCAGTGAACTCCGCGTGCCTCTCGAGGTCCAGCGGGATGTGAGGCATTCCGTCAAAATGAGGCAGGTATCTAGGGCTTTCTCTAAGGTTTCCACAGGGGATTCAGACATCCCTTCATGTTGTGAGATGAAAGACGAGCCTGTATTCAAGCCACTGCAAGGAAATCCGGCCTCCTTTCAAGTTAGGGCTTCTCGCTGTATATTCCCCTTGAGGCAGCAAATTCGGGGTCCCCCCCACATACCTATTGCTGAGAGAAGCCTCCTCCTGAGGTGCTTCTGGAAAGTTGGCATACGTCTTGAGCCTAAGCCAGGGAATCAGCTCTCATCTCGAAACGATTTGGGTTACACGGAGCATTCCTCGAGTTGCTGTGCTGAAGTTGGTATTCCTCTAGACTTGGGACAGTGTTCTCGGGGCATCTCTGGAGTTGCCTGAAGTAAGTCGAGCCACCGGTCGTCTTGAATTGGGAACGGGGAATGTCTCTGGAGTCAATGCAGGGGAATCCGGCCTCATCTCGAGTTGATTTGGGGCACATGGAGCTGCTTTGCGTTGCTGGGGTGACCTCAGGGTCCGTCTAGACTGGTGACAGTGATCTTGGGGACTGTCTCGAGATCCATTAAGCAAGTCGAAGCTCCTGACTTGTTTGAACGGGATCACGGAATAGCTCTGCATGCACTGCAGGGGAATGGGGCCTCATCTCGCCTCTAGGGGGAAGTCTCATGGTTTTTCTCGAGTTGCGGCGGGGACCTGGGGTATGTTCTCGACTTACGGCAGGGATGGCCCTTCAAAACACGAGTTTCTTCAGTGACGTCAGGACTCCTGTCTAGTAATGAGGGACATCTCAGGAATCTCTTCGAGGATTGGCAGGGTCAAATTGAGGCTTCTCGAGGTGTGGCAGGGCACCCAAGGACCCTTTCCCGTGGCCACAGGGATTTTGGGATTCCTATCTGTATTCAAGAGGAGTCAGGCATCGTCACCTTTTGAAGCAATGAACTCCGCGTGCCTCTCGAGGTGTCAGCGTGATGTGAGGCATTCCGTCAAAATGAGGCAGTGACCTAGGGATTTCTCTAAGGTCTCCACAGGGGATTCAGACATCCCTTCATGTTGTGAGATGAAAGACGAGCCTGTATTCAAGCCACTGCAAGGAAATCCGGCCTCCTTTCAAGTTAGGGCTTCTCGCTGTATATTCCCCTTGAGGCAGCAAACTCGGGGTCCCTCCCACATAGCTATTGCTGAGAGAAGCCTCCGCCTGAGGTGCTTCTGGAAAGTTGGCATACGTCTTGAGCCAAAGCCAGGGAATCAGCTCTCATCTCGAGACTATTTGGTGTACACGGAGCATTCCTCGAATTAATGTGCTGAAATTGGTGTTCCTCTAGACTTGGAACAGTGTTCTCGGGGCATCTCTGGAGTTGCCTGAAGGAAGTCGAGCCACCGGTCGTGTTGAATGGGGAACAAGGAATGGGTCTGGAGTCAATGCAGGGGAATCGGGCCTCATCTCGAGTTGATTTGGGGCACATGGAGCTGCTTTGCGTTGCTGGGGTGACCTCAGGGTCTGTCTAGACTGGTGACAGTGTTCTTGGGGACTGTCTCGAGATCCATCAAGCAAGTCGAAGCTCCTGACTTGTTTGAATGGGATCATGGAATAGCTCTGCATGCACTGCAGGGGAATGGGGCCTCATCTCGCCTCTAGGGGGAAGTCTCATGGTTTTTCTCGAGTTGCGGCGAGGACCTGGGGTATGTTCTCGACTTACGGCGGGGATGGCCCTTCAAAACACGAGTTTCTTCAGTGACGTCAGGACTACTCTCTAGTAAAGAGGGACACCTCAGGAATCTCTTCGAGGCTTGGCAGGGCAAAAGGGACGCTTCTCGATCTGAGGCAGGGCACCCAAGCAGCCTTTCCCGTAGCCACACGGATTTTGGGATTCCTATCAGTATTCAAGAGGAGTCAGGCATCGTCACCTTTTGAAGCAATGAACTCCGCGTGCCTCTCGAGGTGTCAGCGGGATGTGAGGCATTCCGTCAAAATGAGGCAGGGACCTAGGGCTTTCTCTAAGGTCTCCACAGGGGATTCAGACATCCCTTCATGTTGTGAGATGAAAGACGAGCCTGTATTCAAGCCACTGCAAGGAAATCCGGCCTCCTTTCAAGTTAGGGCTTCTCGGTTGTATATTCCCTTGAGGCAGCAAACTCGGGGTCCCTCCCACATACCTATTGCTGAGAGTAGCCTCCTCCTGAGGTGCTTCTGGAAAGATGGCATACGTCTTGAGCCTAAGCCATGGAATCTGCTCTCATCTCGAGACGATTTGGGGTACACGGAGCATTCCTCGAGTTGCTGTGCTGAAGTTGGTGTTCCTCTAGACTTGGGACAGCATTCTCGGGGCATCTCTGGAGTTGCCTGAAGGAAGTCGAGCCACCGGTCGTGTTGAATGGGGAACGGGGAATGGCTCTGGAGTCAATGCAGTGGAATCGGGCCTCATCTCGAGTTGATTTTGGGCACATGGAGCTGCTTTGCGTTGCTGGGGTGACCTCAGGGTCCGTCTAGACTGGTGACAGTGTTCTTGGGGACTGTCTCGAGATCCATTAAGCAAGTCGAAGCTCCTGACTTGTTTGAATGGGATCACGGAATAGCTCTGCATGCACTGCAGGGGAATGGGGCCTCATCTCGCCTCTAGGGGGAAGTCTCATGGTTTTTCTCGAGTTGCGGCGGGGACCTGGGATATGTTCTCGACTTACGGCGGGGATGGCCCTTCAAAACACGAGTTTCTTCACTGACGTCAGGACTCCTGTCTAGTAACGAACTACACCTCAGGAATCTCTTCGAGGCTTGGCAGGGCATAAGGGACGCTTCTCGAGGTGAGGCAGAGCACCCAAGGACCCTTTCCAGTAGCCACAGGGATTTTGGGATTCCTATGAGTATTCAAGAGGAATCAGGCATCGTCACCTTTTGAAGCAATGAACTCCGCGTGCCTCTCGAGGTGTCAGCAGGATGTGAGGCATTCCGTCAAAATGAGGCAGGGACCTAGGGCTTTCTCTAAGGTCTCCACAGGGGGTTCAGACATCCCTTCATGTTGTGAGATGAAAGACGAGCCTGTATTCAAGCCACTGCAAGGAAATCCGGCCTCCTTTCAAGTTAGGGCTTCTCGCTGTATATTCCCCTTGAGGCAGCAAACTCGGGGTCCCTCCCACATACCTATTGCTGAGAGAAGCCTCCTCCTGAGGTGCTTCTGGAAAGTTGGCATATGTCTTGAGCCTAAGCCAGGGAATCAGCTCTCATCTCGAGACGATTTGGAGTACACGGAGCATTCCTCGAGTTGCTGTGTTGAAGTTCTTGTTCCTCTAGACTTGTTACAGTGTTCTCGGGGAATCTCTGGAGTTGCCTGAAGGAAGTCGAGCCACCGGTCGTGTTGAATGGGGAACGGGGAATGGCTCTGGAGTCAATGCAGGGGAATCGGGCCTCATGTCGAGTTGATCTGGTGCACATGGAGCTGCTTTGCGATGCTCGGGTGATCTCAGGGTCCGTCTGGACTGGTGACAGTGATCTTGGGGACTGTCTCGAGATCCATTAAGCAAGTCGAAGCTCCTGACTTGTTTGAATGGGATCACGGAATAGCTCTGCATGCACTGCAGGGGAATGGGGCCTCATCTCGCCTCTAGGGGAAGTCTCATGGTTTTTCTCGAGTTGCGGCGGGGACCTGGGGTATGTTCTCGACTTACGGCGGGGATGGCCCTTCAAAACACGAGTTTCTTCAGTGACGACAGGACTCCTGTCTAGTAACGAGGGACACCTCAGGAATGTCTTCGAGGCTTGGCAGGGCAAAAGGGAAGCTTCTCGAGGTGAGACAGGGCACCCAAGGATCCTTTCCAGTAGCCACAGGGATTTTGGGATTCCTATCAGTATTCAAGAGGAGTCAGGCATCGTCACCTTTTGAAGCAATGAACTCCGCGTGCCTCTCGAGGTGTCAGCGGGATGTGAGGCCTTCCGTCAAAATGAGGCAGGGACCTAGGGCTTTCTCTAAGCGCTCCACAGGGGATTCAGACAACCCTTCATGTTGTGAGATGAAAGACGAGCCTGTATTCAAACCACTGCAAAGAAATCTGGCCTCCTTTCAAGATAGGGCTTCTCGCTGTATATTCCCCTTGAGGCAGCAAACTCGGGGTCCCTCCCACATACCTATTGCTGAGAGAAGCCTCCTCCTGAGGTGCTTCTGGAAAGTTGGCATATGTCTTGAGCCTAAGCCAGGGAATCAGCTCTCATCTCGAGACGATTTGAGGTACACGGAGCATTCCTCGAGTTGCTGTGTTGAAGTTGGTGTTCCTCTAGACTTGGGACAGTGTTCTCGGGGCATCTCTAGAGTTGCCTGAAGGAAATCGAGCCACTGGTCGTGTTGAATGGGGAACGGGGAATGGCTCTGGAGTCAATGCAGGGGAATCGGGCCTCATCTCGAGTTGATTTGGGGCACATGGAGCTGCTTTGCGTTGCTGGGGTAACCTCAGGGTCCGTCTGGAATGGTGACAGTGTTCTTGGGGACTGTCTCGAGATCCATTAAGCAAGTCGAAGCTCCTGACTTGTTTGAATGGGATCACGGAATAGCTCTGCATGCACTGCAGGGGAATCGGGCCTCATGTCGCCTCTAGGGGGAATTCTCATGGTTTTCATCGAGTTGCAGCGGGGACCTGGGCTATGTTCTCGACTTACGGCAGGGATGGCCCTTCAAAACAAGAGTTTCTTCAGTGACGTCAGGACTCCTGTCTAGTAACGAGGGACACCTCAGGAATCTATTCGAGGCTTAGCAGGGCAAAAGGTACACTTCTCGAGCTGAGGCAGGGCACCCAAGGACCCTTTCCCGTAGCCACAGGGATTTTGGGATTCCTATCAGTATTCAAGAGGAGTCAGGCATCGTCACCTTTTGAAGCAATGAACTCCGCGTGCGTCTCGAGGTGTCAGCGGGATGTGAGGCATTCCGTCAAAATGAGGAAGTGACCTAGGGCTTTCTCTAAGGTCTCCACAGGGTATTCAGACATCCCTTCATGTTGTGACATGAAAGACGAGCCTGTATTGAAGCCACTGCAAGGAAATCCGGCCTCCTTTCAAGTTAGGGCTTCTCGCTGTATATTCCCCTTGAGGCAGCAAACTGGGGTCCCTCCCACATACCTATTGCTGAGAGAAGCCTCCTCCTGAGGTGCTTCTGGAAATTTGGCATACGTCTTGAGCCTAAGCCAGGGAATCAGCTCTCATCTCGAGACGATTTGGGGTACACGGAGCATTCCTCGAGTTGCTGTGCTGAAGTTGGTGTTCCTCTAGACTTCGGACAGTATTCTCGGTGAATCTCTGGAGTTGCCTGAAGTAAGTCGAGCCACCGGTCGTGTTGAATGGGGAATGGGGAATGGCTCTGGAGTCAATGCAGGGGAATCGGGCCTCATCTCGAGTTGATTTGGGGCACATGGAGCTGCTTTGCGTTGCTGGGGTGACCTCAGTGTCCGTCTAGACTGGTGACAGTGATCTTGGGGACTGTCTCGAGATCCATTAAGCAAGTCGAAGCTCCTGACTTGTTTGAATGGGATCACGGAATAGCTCTTCATGCACTGCAGGGGAATGGGGCCTCATCTCGCCTCTAGGGGGAAGTCTCATGGTTTTTCTCGAGTTGCGGCGAGGACCTGGGGTATGTTCTCGACTTACGGCGGGGATGGCCCTTCAAAACACGAGTTTCTTCAGTGACGTCAGGACTCCTGTCTAGTAACGAGGGACACCTCAGAAATCTCTTCGAGGCTTAGCAGGGCAAAAGGTACGCTTCTCGAGGTGAGGCAGGGCACCCAAGGACACTTTCCCGTAGCCACAGGGATTTTGGGATTCCTATCAGTATTCAAGAGGAGTCAGGCATCGTCACCTTTTGAAGCAATGAACTCTGCGTGCGTCTCGAGGTGTCAGCGGGATGTGAGGCATTCCGTCAAAATGAGGAAGTGACCTAGGGCTTTCTCTAAGGTCTCCACAGGGGATTCAGACATCCCTTCATGTTGTGAGATGAAAGACGAGCCTGTATTGAAGCCACTGCAAGGAAATCCGGCCTCCTTTCAAGTTAGGGCTTCTCGCTGTATATTCCCCTTGAGGCAGCAAACTCGGGGTCCCTCCCACATACCTATTGCTGAGAGAAGCCTCCTCCTGAGGTGCTTCTGGAAAGTTGGCATACGTCTTGAGCCTAAGCCAGGGAATCAGCTCTCATCTCGAGACGATTTGGGGTACACTGAGCATTACTGGAGTTGCTGTGCTGAAGTTGGTGTTCCTCTAGACTTGTTACAGTGTTCTCGGGGAATCTCTGGAGTTGCCTGAAGTAAGTCGAGCCACCGGTCGTGTTGAATGGGGAACGGGGAATGTCTCTAGAGTCAATGCAGGGGAATCGGGCCTCATCTCGAGTTGATTTGGGGCACATGGAGCTGCTTTGCGTTGCTGGGGTGACCTCAGGGTCCGTCTAGACTGGTGACAGTGATCTTGGGGACTGTCTCGAGATCCATTAAGCAAGTCGAAGCTCCTGACTTGTTTGAATGGGATCACGGAATAGCTCTGCATGCACTGCAGGGGAATGGGGCCTCATCTCGCCTCTAGGGGGAAGTCTCATGGTTTTTCTCGAGTTGCGGCGGGGACCTGGGGTATGTTCTCGACTTACGGCGGGGATGGCCCTTCAAAACACGAGTTTCTTCAGTGACGTCAGGACTCCTGTCTAGTAACGAGGGACACCTCAGGAATGTCTTCGAGGCTTGGCAGGGCAAAAGGGAAGCTTCTCGAGGTGAGGCAGGGCACCCAAGGATCCTTTCCAGTAGCCACAGGGATTTTGGGATTCCTATCAGTATTCAAGAGGAGTCAGGCATCGTCACCTTTTGAAGCAATGAACTCCGCGTGCCTCTCGAGGTGTCAGTGGGATGTGAGGCATTCCGTCAAAATGAGGCAGGGACCTAGGGCTTTCTCTAAGGTCTCCACAGGGGGTTCAGACATCCCTTCATGTTGTGAGATGGAAGACGAGCCTGTATTCAAGCCACTGCAAGGAAATCCGGCCTCCTTTCAAGATAGGGCTTCTCGCTGTATATTCCCCTTGAGGCAGCAAACTCGGGGTCCCTCCCACATACCTATTGCTGAGAGAAGCCTCCTCCTGAGGTGCTTCTGGAAAGTTGGCATATGTCTTGAGCCTAAGCCAGGGAATCAGCTCTCATCTCGAGACGATTTGGGGTACACGGAGCATTCCTCGAGTTGCTGTGTTGAAGTTGGTGGTGCTCTAGACTTGGGACAGTGTTCTCGGGGCATCTCTGGAGTTGCCTGAAGGAAGTCGAGCCACCAGTCGGGTTGAATGGGGAACAGGGAATGGCTCTGTAGTCAATGTAGGGGAATCAGGCCTCACCTCGAGTTGATTTGGTGCACATGGAGCTGCTTTGCGTTGCTGGGGTGACCTCAGGGTCCGTCTAGACTGGTGACAGTGTTCTTGGGGACTGTCTCGAGAACCATTAAGCAAGTCGAAGCTCCTGACTTGTTTGAATGGGATCATGGAATAGCTCTGCATGCACTGCAGGGGAATGGGGCCTCATCTCGCCTCTAGGGGGAAGTCTCATGGTTTTTCTCGAGTTGCGGCGGGGACCTGGGGTATGTTCTCGACTTACGGCGGGGATGGCCCTTCAAAACACGAGTTTCTTCAGTGACGTCAGGACTCCTCTCTAGTAAAGATGGACACCTCAGGAATCTCTTCGAGTCTTGGCAGGGCAAAAGGGACGCTTCTCGATGTGAGGCAGGGCACCCAAGCAGCCTTTCCCGTAGCCACACGGATTTTGGGATTCCTATCAGTATTCAAGAGGAGTCAGGCATCGTCACCTTTTGAAGCAATGAACTCCGCGTGCCTCTCGAGTTGTCAGCGGGATGTGAGGCATTCCGTCAAAATGAGGCAGGGACCTAGGGCTTTCTCTAAGGTCTCCACAGGGGATTCAGACATCCCTTCATGTTGTGACATGAAAGACGAGCCTGTATTGAAGCCACTGCAAGGAAATCCGGCCTCCTTTCAAGTTAGGGCTTCTCGCTGTATATTCCCCTTGAGGCAGCAAACTGGGGTCCCTCCCACATAACTATTGCTGAGAGAAGCCTCCACCTGAGGTGCTTCTGGAAAGTTGGCATACGTCTTGAGCCTAAGCCAGGGAATCAGCTCTCATCTCGAGACGATTTGGGGTACACGGAGCATTCCTCGAGTTGCTGTGCTGAAGTTGGTGTTCCTCTAGACTTGGGACAGTGTTCTCGGTGAATCTCTGGAGTTGCCTGAAGTAAGTCGAGCCACCGGTCGTGTTGAATGGGGAACGGGGAATGGCTCAGGAGTCAATGCATGGGAATCGGGCCTCATCTCGAGTTGATTTGGGGCACATGGAGCTGCTTTGCGTTGCTGGGGTGACCTCAGGGTCCGTCTAGACTGGTGACAGTGATCTTGGGGACTGTCTCGAGATCCATTAAGCAAGACGAAGCTCCTGGCTTGTTTGAATGGGATCACGGAATAGCTCTGCATGCACTGCAGGGGAATGGGGCCTCATCTCGCCTCTAGGGGGAAGTCTCATGGTTTTTCTCGAGTTGCGGCGGGGACCTGGGGTATGTTCTCGACTTACGGCGGGGATGGCCCTTCAAACCACGAGTTTCTTCAGTGACGTCAGGACTCCTGTCTAGTAATGAGGGACACCTCAGGAATCTCTTCGAGGCTTGGCAGGGCCAAATTGAGGCTTCTCGAGGTGTGGCAGGGCACCCAAGGACCCTTTCCCGTAGCCACAGGGATTTTGGGATTCCTATCAGTATTCAAGAGGAGTCAGGCATCGTCACATTTTGAAGCAATGAACTCCGCCTGCCTCTCGAGGTGTCAGTGGGATGTGAGGCATTCCGTCAAAATGAGGCAGGGACCTAGGGCTTTCTCTAAGGTCTCCTCAGGGGATTCAGACATCCCTTCATGTTGTGAGATGAAAGACGTGCCTGTATTCAAGCCACTGCAAGGAAATCCGGCCTCCTTTCAAGTTAGGGCTTCTCACTGTATATTCCCCTTGAGGCAGCAAACTCAGGGTCCCTCCCACATACCTATTGTTGAGACAAGCCTCCTCCTGAGGTGCTTCTGGAAATTTGGCATACGTCTTGAGCCTAAGCCAGGGAATCAGCTCTCATCTCGAGACGATTTGGGTTACACGGAGCATTCCTCGAGTTAATGTGCTGAAGTTGGTGTTCCTCTAGACTTGGGACAGTGTTCTCGGGGCATCTCTGGAGTTGCCTGAAGGAAGTCGAGCCACCAGTTGTGTTGAATGGGGAACGGGGAATGGCTCTGGAGTCAATGCAGGGGAATCAGGCCTCATCTCGAGTTGATTTGGTGCACATGGAGCTGCTTTGCGTTGCTGGGGTGACTTCAGGGTCCGTCTAGACTGGTGACAGTGTTCTTGGGGTCTGTCTCGAGATCCATTAAGCAAGTCGAAGCTCCTGACTTGTTTGAATGGGATCATGGAATAGCTCTGCATGCACTGCACGGGAATGGGGCCTCATCTCGCCTCTAGGGGGAAGTCTCATGGTTTTTCTCGAGTTGCGGCGAGGACCTGGGGTATGTTCTCGACTTACGGCGGGGATGGCCCTTCAAAACACGAGTTTCTTCAGTGACGTCAGGACTCCTCTCTAGTAAAGAGGGACACCTCAAGAATCTCTTCGAGGCTTGGCAGGGCAAAAGGGACGCTTCTCGTTGTGAGGCAGGGCACCCAAGCAGCCTTTCCCGTAGCCACACGGATTTTGGGATTCCTATAAGTATTCAAGAGGAGTCAGGCATTGTCACCTTTTGAAGCAATGAACTCCGCGTGCCTCTCGAGGTGTCAGCGGGATGTGAGGCATTCCGTCAAAATGAGGCAGGGACCTAGGGCTTTCTCTAAGGTCTCCACAGGGTATTCAGGCATCCCTTCATGTTGTGAGATGAAAGACGAGCCTGTATTCAAGCCACTGCAAGGAAATCCGGCCTCCTTTCAAGTTTGGGCTTCTCGATGTATATTCCCCTTGAGGCTGCAAACTCGGGGTCCCTCCCACATACCTATTGCTGAGAGAAGCCTCCTCCTGAGGTGCTTCTGGAAAGTTGGCATATGTCTTGAGCCTACGCCAGGGAATCAGCTCCCATCTCGAGACGATTTGGGGTACACGGATCATTCCTCGAGTTAATGTGCTGAAGTTGGTGTTCCTCTAGACTTGGACAGTGTTCTCGGGGCATCTCTGGAGTTGCCTGAAGGAAGTCGAGCCACCGGTCGTGTTGAATGGGGAACAGGGAATGGCTCTGGAGTCAATGCAGGGGAATCAGGCCTCATCTCGAGTTGATTTGGGGCACATGGATCTGCTTTGCGTTGCTGGGGTGACCTCAGGGTCCGTCTAGACTGGTGACAGTGTTCTTGGGGACTGTCTCGTGATCCATTAAGCAAGTCGAAGCTCCTGACTTGTTTGAATGGGATCACGGAATAGCTCTGCCTGCACTGCAGGGGAATGGGGCCTCATCTCGCCTCTAGGCGGAAGTCTCATGGTTTTTCTCGAGTTGCGGCGGGGACCTGGGGTATGTTCTCGACTTACGGCGGGGATGGCCCTTCAAAACACGAGTTTCTTCAGTGACGTAAGGACTCCTGTCTAGTAACGAGGGACACCTCAGGAATCTCTTCGAGGCTTAGCAGGGCAAAAGGTACGCTTCTCGAGGTGAGGCAGGGCACCCAAGGAAACGTTCCCGTAGCCACAGGGATTTTGGGGTTCCTATCAGTATTCAAGAGGAGTCAGGCATCGTCACCTTTTGAAGCAATGAACTCTGCGTGCGTCTCGAGGTGTCAGCGGGATGTGAGGCATTCCGTCAAAATGAGGAAGTGACCTAAGGCTTTTTCTAAGGTCTCCACAGGGGATTCAGACATCCCTTCATGTTGTGAGATGAAAGACGAGCCTGTATTGAAGCCACTGCAAGGAAATCCGGCCTCATTTCAAGTTAGGGCTTCTCGCTGTATATTCCCCTTGAGGCAGCAAACTCGGGGTCCCTCCCACATACCTATTGCTGAGAGAAGCCTCCTCCTGAGGTGCTTCTGGAAAGTTGGCATACGTCTTGAGCCTAAGCCAGGGAATCAGCTCTCATCTCGAGACGATTTGGGTTACACGGAGCATTCCTCGAGTTAATGTGCTGAAGTTGGTGTTCCTCTAGACTTGTTACAGTGTTCTCGGGGAATCTCTGGAGTTGCCTGAAGTAAGTCGAGCCACCGGTCGTGTTGAATGGGGAACGGGGAATGGCTCTGGAGTCAATGCAGGGGAATCGGGCCTCATCTCGAGTTGATTTGGGGCACATGGAGCTGCTTTGCGTTGCTGGGGTGACCTCAGGGTCTGTCTAGACTGGTGACAGTGATCTTGGGGACTGTCTCGAGATCCATTAAGCTAGTCGAAGCTCCTGACTTGTTTGAATGGGATCACGGAATAGCTCTGCATGCACTGCAGGGGAATGGGGCCTCATTTCGCCTCTAGGGGGAAGTCTCATGGTTTTTCTCGAGTTGCGGCGGGGACCTGGGGTATGTTCTCGACTTACGGCTGGGATGGCCCTTAAAAACACGAGTTTCTTCAGTGACGTCAGGACTCCTGTCTAGTAACGAGGGACACCTCAGGAATGTCTTCGAGGCTTGGCAGGGCAAAAGGGAAGCTTCTCGAGGTGAGGCAGGGCACCCAAGGATCCTTTCCAGTAGCCACAGGGATTTTGGGATTCCTATCAGTATTCAAGAGGAGTCAGGCATCGTCACCTTTTGAAGCAATGAACTCCGCGTGCCTCTCGAGGTGTCAGCGGGATGTGAGGCATTCCGTCAAAATGAGGCAGGGACCTAGGGCTTTCTCTAAGCGCTCCACAGGGGATTCAGACATCCCTTCATGTTGTGAGATGAAAGACGAGCCTGTATTCAAACCACTGCAAGGAAATCTGGCCTCCTTTCAAGTTAGGGCTTCTCGCTGTATATTCCCCTTGAGGCAGCAAACTCGGGGTCCCTCCCACATACCTATTGCTGAGAGAAGCCTCCTCCTGAGGTGCTTCTGGAAAGTTGGCATATGTCTTGAGCCTAAGCCAGGGAATCAGCTCTCATCTCGAGACGATTTGAAGTACACGGAGCATTCCTCGAGTTGCTGTGTTGAAGTTGGTGTTCCTCTAGACTTGGGACAGTGTTCTCGGGGCATCTCTAGAGTTGCCTGAAGGAAATCGAGCCACTGGTCGTGTTGAATGGGGAACGGGGAATGGCTCTGGAGTCAATGCAGGGGAATCGGGCCTCATCTCGAGTTGATTTGGGGCACATGGAGCTGCTTTGCGTTGCTGGGGTAACCTCAGGGTCCGTCTGGACTGGTGACAGTGTTCTTGGGGACTGTCTCGAGATCCATTAAGCAAGTCGAAGCTCCTGACTTGTTTGAATGGGATCACGGAATAGCTCTGCATGCACTGCAGGGGAATGGGGCCTCATCTCGCCTCTAGGGGGAATTCTCATGGTTTTCATCGAGTTGCGGCGGGGACCTGGGCTATGTTCTCGACTTACGGCGGGGATGGCCCTTCAAAACAAGAGTTTCTTCAGTGACGTCAGGACTCCTGTCTAGTAACGAGGGACACCTCAGGAATCTATTCGAGGCTTAGCAGGGCAAAAGGTACGCTTCTCGAGCTGAGGCAGGGCACCCAAGGACCCTTTCCCGTAGCCACAGGGATTTTGGGATTCCTATCAGTATTCAAGAGGAGTCAAGCATCGTCACCTTTTGAAGCAATGAACTCCGCGTGCGTCTCGAGGTGTCAGCGGGATGTGAGGCATTCCGTCAAAATGAGGAAGTGACCTAGGGCTTTCTCTAAGGTCTCCACAGGGGATTCAGACATCCCTTCATGTTGTGAGATGAAATACGAGCCTGTATTCAAGCCACTGCAAGGAAATCCGGCCTCCTTTCAAGTTAGGGCTTCTCGCTGTATATTCCTCTTGAGGCAGCAAACTCGGGGTCCCTCCCACATACCTATTGCTGAGAGAAGCTTCCTCCTGAGGTGCTTCTGGAAAGTTGGCATACGTCTTGAACCTAAGCCAGGGAATCAGCTCTCATCTCGAGACGATTTGGGGTACACGGAGCATTCCTCGAATTAATGTGCTGAAGTTGGTGGTGCTCTAGACTTGGGACAGTGTTCTCGGGGCATCTCTGGAGTTGCCTGAAGGAAGTCGAGCCACCAGTCGGGTTGAATGGGGAACGGGGAATGGCTCTGGAGTCAATGCAGGGGAATCAGGCCTCACCTCAAGTTGATTTGGTGCACATGGAGCTGCTTTGCGTTGCTGGGGTGACCTCAGGGTCCGTCTAGACTGGTGACAGTGTTCTTGGGGACTGTCTCGAGAACCATTAAGCAAGTCGAAGCTCCTGACTTGTTTGAATGGGATCATGGAATAGCTCTGCATGCACTGCAGGGGAATGGGGCCTCACCTCGCCTCTAGGGGGAAGTCTCATGGTTTTTCTCGAGTTGCGGCGGGGACCTGGGGTATGTTCTCGACTTACGGCGGGGATGGCCCTTCAAAACACGAGTTTCTTCAGTGACGACAGGACTCCTATCTAGTAACGAGGGACACCTCAGGAATGTCTTTGAGGCTTGGCAGGGCAAAAGGGAAGCTTCTCGAGGTGAGGCAGGGCACCCAAGGATCCTTTCCAGTAGCCACAGGGATTTTGGGATTCCTATCAGTATTCAAGAGGAGTCAGGCATCGTCACCTTTTGAAGCAATGAACTCCGCGTGCCTCTCGAGGTGTCAGCGGGATGTGAGGCATTCCGTCAAAATGAGGCAGGGACCTAGGGCTTTCTCTAAGCGCTCCACAGGGGATTCAGACATCCCTTCATGTTGTGAGATGAAAGACGAGCCTGTATTCAAACCACTGCAAGGAAATCTGGCCTCCTTTCAAGTTAGGGCTTCTCGCTGTATATTCCCCTTGAGGCAGCAAACTCGGGGTCCCTCCCACATACCTATTGCTGAGAGAAGCCTCCTCCTGAGGTGCTTCTGGAAAGTTGGCATATGTCTTGAGCCTAAGCCAGGGAATCAGCTCTCATCTCGAGACGATTTGAGGTACACGGAGCATTCCTCGAGTTGCTGTGTTGAAGTTGGTGTTCCTCTAGACTTGGGACAGTGTTCTCGGGGCATCTCTGGAGTTGCCTGAAGGAAATCGAGCCACCGGTCGTGTTGAATGGGGAACGGGGAATGGCTCTGGAGTCAATGCAGGGGAATCGGGCCTCATCTCGAGTTGATTTGGGGCACATGGAGCTGCTTTGCATTGCTGGGGTGATCTCAGGGTCCGTCTAGACTGGTGACAGTGATCTTGGGGACTGTCTCGAGATCCATTAAGCAAGTCGAAGCTCCTGGCTTGTTTGAATGGGATCACGGAATAGCTCTGCATGCACTGCAGGAGAATGGGGCCTCATGTCGCCTCTAGGGGGAAGTCTCATGGTTTTTCTCGAGTTGCGGCGGGGACCTGGGGTATGTTCTCGACTTACGGCGGGGATGGCCCTTCAAAACACGAGTTTCTTCAGTGACGTCAGGACTCCTGTCTAGTAACGAGGGACACCTCAGGAATCTATTCGAGGCTTGGCAGGGCAAAATTGAGGCTTCTCGAGGTGAGGCAGGGCACCCAAGGACCCTTTCCCGTAGCCACAGGGATTTTGGGATTCCTATCAGTATTCAAGAGGAGTCAGGCATCGTCACCTTTTGAAGCAATGAACTCCGCGTGACTCTCGAGGTGTCTGCGGGATGTGAGGCATTCCGTCAAAATGAGGCAGGTACCTACGGCTTTTTCTAAGGTTTCCACAGGTGATTCAGACATCCCTTCATGTTGTGAGATGAAAGACGAGCCTGTATTCAAGCCACTGCAAGGAAATCCGGCCTCCTTTCAAGTTAGGGCTTCTCGATGTATATTCCCCTTGAGGCAGCAAATTCGGGGTCCCCCCCACATACCTATTTCTGAGAGAAGCCTCCTCCTGAGGTGCTTCTGGAAAGTTGGCATACGTCTTGACCCTAAGCCAGGGAATCAGCTCTCATCTCGAGACGATTTGGGGTACACGGAGCATTCCTCGAGTTGCTGTGCTGAAGTTGGTGATCCTCTAGACTTGGGACAGTGTTCTCGGGGCATCTCTGGAGTTGCCTGAAGGAAGTCGAGCCACCGGTCGTGTTGAAAGGGGAACGGGGAATGGCTCTGGTGTCAATGCAGGGGAATCGGGCCTCATCTCGAGTTGATTTGGGGCACATGGAGCTGCTTTGCGTTGCTGGGGTGACCTCAGGGTCCGTCTAGACTGGTGACAGTGTTCTTGGGGACTGTCTCGAGACCCATTAAGCAAGTCGAAGCTCCTGACTTGTTTGAATGGGATCACGGAATAGCTCTGCATGCACTGCAGGGGAATGGGGCCTCTTCTCGCCTCTAGGGGGAAGTCTCATGGTTTTTCTCGAGTTGCGGCGGGGACCTGGGGTATGTTCTCGACTTACGGCGGGGATGGCCCTTCAAAAGACGAGTTTCTTCAGTGACGTCAGGACTCCTGTCTAGTAACGAGGGACACCTCAGGAATCTCTTCGAGGCTTGGCAGGGCAAAATTGAGGCTTCTCGAGGTTAGGCAGGGCACCCAAGTACCCTTTCCCGTAGCCACAGGGATTTTGGGATTCCTATCAGTATTCAAGAGGAGTCAGGCATCGTCACCTTTTGAAGCAGTGAACTCCGCGTGCCTCTCGAGGTCCAGCGGGATGTGAGGCATTCCGTCAAAATGAGGCAGGTATCTAGGGCTTTCTCTAAGGTTTCCACAGGGGATTCAGACATCCCTTCATGTTGTGAGATGAAAGACGAGCCTGTATTCAAGCCACTGCAAGGAAATCCGGCCTCCTTTCAAGTTAGGGCTTCTCGCTGTATATTCCCCTTGAGGCAGCAAATTCGGGGTCCCCCCCACATACCTATTGCTGAGAGAAGCCTCCTCCTGAGGTGCTTCTGGAAAGTTGGCATACGTCTTGAGCCTAAGCCAGGGAATCAGCTCTCATCTCGAGACGATTTGGGGTACACTGAGCATTCCTCGAGTTGCTGTGCTGAAGTTGGTATTCCTCTAGACTTGGGACAGTGTTCTCGGGGCATCTCTGGAGTTGCCTGAAGTAAGTCGAGCCACCGGTCGTCTTGAATGGGGAACGGGGAATGTCTCTGGAGTCAATGCAGGGGAATCCGGCCTCATCTCGAGTTGATTTGGGGCACATGGAGCTGCTTTGCGTTGCTGGGGTGACCTCAGGGTCCGTCTAGACTGGTGACAGTGATCTTGGGGACTGTCTCGAGATCCATTAAGCAAGTCGAAGCTCCTGACTTGTTTGAATGGGATCACGGAATAGCTCTGCATGCACTGCAGGGAAATGGGGCCTCATCTCGCCTCTAGGGGGAAGTCTCATGGTTTTTCTCGAGTTGCGGCGGGGACCTGGGGTATGTTCTCGACTTACGGCGGGGATGGCCCTTCAAAACACGAGTTTCTTCAGTGACGTCAGGACTCCTGTCTAGTAATGAGGGACATCTCAGGAATCTCTTCGAGGATTGGCAGGGTCAAATTGAGGCTTCTCGAGGTGTGGCAGGGCACCCAAGGACCCTTTCCCGTGGCCACAGGGATTTTGGGATTCCTATCTGTATTCAAGAGGAGTCAGGCATTGTCACCTTTTGAAGCAATGAACTCCGCGTGCCTCTCGAGGTGTCAGCGTGATGTGAGGCATTCCGTCAAAATGAGGCAGTGACCTAGGGATTTCTCTAAGGTCTCCACAGGGGATTCAGACATCCCTTCATGTTGTGAGATGAAAGACGAGCCTGTATTCAAGCCACTGCAAGGAAATCCGGCCTCCTTTCAAGTTAGGGCTTCTCGCTGTATATTCCCCTTGAGGCAGCAAACTCGGGGTCCCTCCCACATAGCTATTGCTGAGAGAAGCCTCCGCCTGAGGTGCTTCTGGAAAGTTGGCATACGTCTTTAGCCAAAGCCAGGGAATCAGCTCTCATCTCGAGACTATTTGGTGTACACGGAGCATTCCTCGAATTAATGTGCTGAAATTGGTGTTCCTCTAGACTTGGAACAGTGTTCTCGGGGCATCTCTGGAGTTGCCTGAAGGAAGTCGAGCCACCGGTCGTGTTGAATGGGGAACGAGGAATGGGTCTGGAGTCAATGCAGGGGAATCGGGCCTCATCTCGAGTTGATTTGGGGCACATGGAGCTGCTTTGCGTTGCTGGGGTGACCTCAGGGTCTGTCTAGACTGGTGACAGTGTTCTTGGGGACTGTCTCGAGATCCATCAAGCAAGTCGAAGCTCCTGACTTGTTTGAATGGGATCATGGAATAGCTCTGCATGCACTGCAGGGGAATGGGGCCTCATCTCGCCTCTAGGGGGAAGTCTCATGGTTTTTCTCGAGTTGCGGCGAGGACCTGGGGTATGTTCTCGACTTACGGCGGGGATGGCCCTTCAAAACACGAGTTTCTTCAGTGACGTCAGGACTACTCTCTAGTAAAGAGGGACACCTCAGGAATCTCTTCGAGGCTTGGCAGGGCAAAAGGGACGCTTGTCGAGGTGAGGCAGGGCACCCAAGGACCCTTTCCCGTAGCCACAGGGATTTTGGGATTCCTATCAGCATTCAAGAGGAGTCAGGCATCGTCACCTTTTGAAGCAATGAACTCCGCGTGCCTCTCGAGGTGTCAGCGGGATGTGAGGCATTCCGTCAAAATGAGGCAGGGTACTAGGGCTTTCTCTAAGGTCTCCACAGGGGATTCAGACATCCCTTCATGTTGTGAGATGAAAGACGAGCCTGTATTCAAGCCACTGCAAGGAAATCCGGCCTCCTTTCAAGTTAGGGCTTCTCGGTTGTATATTCCCTTGAGGCAGCAAACTTGGGGTCCCTCCCACATACCTATTGCTGAGAGTAGCCTCCTCCTGAGGTGCTTCTGGAAAGATGGCATACGTCTTGAGCCTAAGCCATGGAATCTGCTCTCATCTCGAGACGATTTTGGGTACACGGAGCATTCCTCGAGTTGCTGTGCTGAAGTTGGTGTTCCTCTAGACTTGGGACAGCATTCTCGGGGCATCTCTGGAGTTGCCTGAAGGAAGTCGAGCCACCGGTCGTGTTGAATGGGGAACGGGGAATGGCTCTGGAGTCAATGCAGCGGAATCGGGCCTCATCTCGAGTTGATTTTGGGCACATGGAGCTGCTTTGCGTTGCTGGGGTGACCTCAGGGTCCGTCTAGACTGGTGACAGTGTTCTTGGGGACTGTCTCGAGATCCATTAAGCAAGTCGAAGCTCCTGACTTGTTTGAATGGGATCACGGAATAGCTCTGCATGCACTGCAGGGGAATGGGGCCTCATCTCGCCTCTAGGGGGAAGTCTCATGGTTTTTCTCGAGTTGCGGCGGGGACCTGGGATATGTTCTCGACTTACGGCGGGGATGGCCCTTCAAAACACGAGTTTCTTCACTGACGTCAGGACTCCTGTCTAGTAACGAGCTACACCTCAGGAATCTCTCGAGGCTTGGCAGGGCATAAGGGACGCTTCTCGAGGTGAGGCAGAGCACCCAAGGACCCTTTCCAGTAGCCACAGGGATTTTGGGATTCCTATCAGTATTCAAGAGGAATCAGGCATCGTCACCTTTTGAAGCAATGAACTCCGTTTGCCTCTCAAGGTGTCAGCGGGATGTGAGGCATTCCGTCAAAATGAGGCAGGGACCTAGGGCTTTCTCTAAGGTCTCCACAGGGGATTCAGACATCCCTTCATGTTGTGAGATGAAAGACGAGCCTGTATTCAAGCCACTGCAAGGAAATCCGGCCTCCTTTCAAGTTAGGGCTTCTCGCTGTATATTCCCCTTGAGGCAGCAAACTCGGGGTCCCTCCCACATACCTATTGCTGAGAGAAGCCTCCTCCTGAGGTGCTTCTGGAAAGTTGGCATATGTCTTGAGCCTAAGCCAGGGAATCAGCTCTCATCTCGAGACGATTTGGGGTACACGGATCATTCCTCGAGTTTCTGTGCTGAAGTTGGTGTTCCTCTAGACTTGGTACAGTGTTCTCGGGGCATCTCTGGAGTTGCCTAAAGGAAGTCGAGCCACCGGTCGTGTTGAATGGGGAACGGGGAATGGCTCTGGAGTAAATGCAAGGGAATCGGGCCTCATCTCCAGTTGATTTGGGGCACATGGAACTGCTTTGCGTTGCTGGGGTGACCTCAGGGTTCGTCTAGACTGGTGACAGTGTTCTTGGGGACTGTCTCGAGACCCATTAAGCAAGTCGAAGCTCCTGACTTGTTTGAATGGGATCACGGAATAGCTCTGCATGCACTGCAGGGGAATGGGGTCTCTTCTCGCCTCTAGGGGGAAGTCTCATGGTTTTTCTCGAGTTGCGGCGGGGACCTGGGGTATGTTCTCGACTTACGGCGGGGATGGCCCTTCAAAACACGAGTTTCTTCAGTGACGTCAGGACTCCTGTCTAGTAACGAGGGATACCTCAGGAATCTCTTCGAGGCTTGGCAGGGCAAAAGGGACGCTTCTCGAGGTGAGGCAGGGCACCCAAGGACCCTTTCCAGTAGCCACAGGGATTTTGGGATTCCTGTCAGTATTCAAGAGGAATCAGGCATCGTCACCTTTTGAAGCAATGAACTCCGCGTGCCTCTCGTGGTGTCAGAGGGATGTGAGGCATTCCGTCAAAATGAGGCAGGGACCTAGGGCTTTCTCTAAGGTCTCCACAGGGGATTCAGACATCCCTTCATGTTGTGAGATGAAAGACGAGCCTGTATTCAAGCCACTGCAAGGAAATCCGGCCTCCTTTCAAGTTAGGGCTTCTCGCTGTATATTCCCCTTGTGGCAGCAAACTCGGGGTCCCTCTCACATACCTATTGCTGAGAGAAGCCTCCTCCTGAGGTGCTTCTGGAAATTTGGCATACGTCTTGAGCCTAAGCCAGGGAATCAGCTCTCATCTCGAGACGATTTGGGCTACACTGAGCATTCCTCGAGTTGCTGTGCTGAAGTTGGTGTTCCTCTAGACTTGGGACAGTGTTCTTGGGGCATCTCTGGAGTTGCCTGAAGTAAGTCGAGCCACCGTTCGTGTTGAAAGGGGAACGGGGAATGTCTCTGGAGTCAATGCAGGGGAATCGGGCCTCATCTCGAGTTGATTTGGGGCACATGGAGCTGCTTTGCGTTGCTGGGGTGTCCTCAGGGTCCATCTGGACTGGTGACAGTGTTCTTGGGGACTGTCTCGAGATCCATTAAGCAAGTCGAAGCTCCTGACTTGTTTGAATGTGATCACGGAATAGCTCTGCATGCACTGCAGGGGAATGGGTCCTCATCTCGCCTCTAGGGGGAAGTCTCATGGTTTTTCTCGAGTTGCGGCGGGGACCTGGGGTATGTTCTCGACTTACGGCGGGGATGGCCCTTAAAAACACGAGTTTCTTCAGTGACGTCAGGACTCCTGTCTAGTAACGAGGGACACCTCAGGAATCTCTTTGAGGCTTAGCAGGGCAAAAGGTACGCTTCTCGAGGTGAGGCAGGGCACCCAAGGACCCTTTCCCGTAGCCACAGGGATTCTGGGATTCCTATCAGTATTCAAGAGGAGTCAGGCATCGTCACCTTTTGAAGCAATGAACTCTGCATGCGTCTCGAGGTGTCAGCGGGATGTGAGGCATTCCGTCAAAATGAGGCAGGGACCTACGGCTTTCTCTAAGGTCTCCACAGGGGATTCAGACATCCCTTCATGTTGTGAGATGAAAGACGAGCCTGTATTGAAGCCACTGCAAGGAAATCCGGCCTCCTTTCAAGTTAGGGCTTCTCGCTGTATATTCCCCTTGAGGCAGCAAACTCGGGGTCCCTCCCACATACCTATTGCTGAGAGAAGCCTCCTCCTGAGGTGCTTCTGGAAAGTTGGCATACGTCTTGAGCCTAAGCCAGGGAATCAGCTCTCATCTCGAGACGATTTGGGGTACACTGAGCATTCCTCGAGTTGCTGTGCTGAAGTTGGTGTTCCTCTAGACTTGTTACAGTGTTCTCGGGGAATCTCTGGAGTTGCCTGAAGGAAGTCGAGCCACCGGTCGTGTTGAATGGGGAACGGGGAATGGCTCTGGAGTCAATGCAGGGGAATCGGGCCTCATCTCGAGTTGATTTGGGGCACATGGAGCTGCTTTGCGTTGCTGGGTTGACCTCAGGGTCCGTCTGGACTGGTGACAGTGATCTTGGGGACTGTCTCGAGATCCATTAAGCAAGTCGAAGCTCCTGACTTGTTTGAATGGGATCACGGAATAGTTCTGCATGCACTGCAGGGGAATGGGGTCTCTTCTCGCCTCTAGGGGGAAGTCTCATGGTTTTTCTCGAGTTGCGGCGGGGACCTGGGGTATGTTCTCGACTTACGGCGGGGATGGCCCTTCAAAACACGAGTTTCTTCAGTGACGTCAGGACTCCTGTCTAGTAACGAGGGATACCTCAGGAATCTCTTCGAGGCTTGGCAGGGCAAAAGGGACGCTTCTCGAGGTGAGGCAGGGCACCCAAGGACCCTTTCCAGTAGCCACAGGGATTTTGGGATTCCTGTCAGTATTCAAGAGGAATCAGGCATCGTCACCTTTTGAAGCAATGAACTTCGCGTGCCTCTCGTGGTGTCAGAGGGATGTGAGGCATTCCGTCAAAATGAGGCAGGGACCTAGGGCTTTCTCTAAGGTCTCCACAGGGGATTCAGACATCCCTTCATGTTGTGAGATGAAAGACGAGCCTGTATTCAAGCCACTGCAAGGAAATCCGGCCTCCTTTCAAGTTAGGGCTTCTCGCTGTATATTCCCCTTGTGGCAGCAAACTCGGGGTCCCTCTCACATACCTATTGCTGAGAGAAGCCTCCTCCTGAGGTGCTTCTGGAAATTTGGCATACGTCTTGAGCCTAAGCCAGGGAATCAGCTCTCATCTCGAGACGATTTGGGCTACACTGAGCATTCCTCGAGTTGCTGTGCTGAAGTTGGTGTTCCTCTAGACTTGGGACAGTGTTCTTGGGGCATCTCTGGAGTTGCCTGAAGTAAGTCGAGCCACCGTTCGTGTTGAAAGGGGAACGGGGAATGTCTCTGGAGTCAATGCAGGGGAATCGGGCCTCATCTCGAGTTGATTTGGGGCACATGGAGCTGCTTTGCGTTGCTGGGGTGTCCTCAGGGTCCATCTGGACTGGTGACAGTGTTCTTGGGGACTGTCTCGAGATCCATTAAGCAAGTCGAAGCTCCTGACTTGTTTGAATGGGATCACGGAATAGCTCTGCATGCACTGCAGGGGAATGGGGCCTCATCTCGCCTCTAGGGGGAAGTCTCATGGTTTTTCTCGAGTTGCGGCGGGGACCTGGGGTATGTTCTCGACTTACGGCGGGGATGGCCCTTCAAAACACGAGTTTCTTCAGTGACGTCAGGACTCCTGTCTAGTAACGAGGGACACCTCAGGAATCTCTTTGAGGCTTAGCAGGGCAAAAGGTACGCTTCTCGAGGTGAGGCAGGGCACCCAAGGACCCTTTCCCGTAGCCACAGGGATTTTGGGATTCCTATCAGTATTCAAGAGGAGTCAGGCATCGTCACCTTTTGAAGCAATGAACTCTGCATGCGTCTCGAGGTGTCAGCGGGATGTGAGGCATTCCGTCAAAATGAGGCAGGGACCTACGGCTTTCTCTAAGGTCTCCACAGGGGATTCAGACATCCCTTCATGTTGTGAGATGAAAGACGAGCCTGTATTGAAGCCACTGCAAGGAAATCCGGCCTCCTTTCAAGTTAGGGCTTCTCGCTGTATATTCCCCTTGAGGCAGCAAACTCGGGGTCCCTCCCACATACCTATTGCTGAGAGAAGCCTCCTCCTGAGGTGCTTCTGGAAAGTTGGCATACGTCTTGAGCCTAAGCCAGGGAATCAGCTCTCATCTCGAGACGATTTGGGGTACACTGAGCATTCCTGGAGTTGCTGTGCTGAAGTTGGTGTTCCTCTAGACTTGTTACAGTGTTCTCGGGGAATCTCTGGAGTTGCCTGAAGGAAGTCGAGCCACCGGTCGTGTTGAATGGGGAACGGGGAATGGCTCTGGAGTCAATGCAGGGGAATCGGGCCTCATCTCGAGTTGATTTGGGGCACATGGAGCTGCTTTGCGTTGCTGGGTTGACCTCAGGGTCCGTCTGGACTGGTGACAGTGATCTTGGGGACTGTCTCGAGATCCATTAAGCAAGTCGAAGCTCCTGACTTGTTTGAATGGGATCACGGAATAGCTCTGCATGCACTGCAGGGGAATGGGGCCTCATCTCGCCTCTAGGGGAAGTCTCATGGTTTTTCTCGAGTTGCGGCGGGGACCTGGGGTATGTTCTCGACTTACGGCTGGGATGGCCCTTCAAAACACGAGTTTCTTCAGTGACGACAGGACTCCTGTCTAGTAACGAGGGACACCTCAGGAATGTCTTCGAGGCTTGGCAGGGCAAAAGGGAAGCTTCTCGAGGTGAGGCAGGGCACCCAAGGATCCTTTCCAGTAGCCACAGGGATTTTGGGATTCCTATCAGTATTCAAGAGGAGTCAGGCATCGTCACCTTTTGAAGCAATGAACTCCGCGTGCCTCTCGAGGTGTCAGCGGGATGTGAGGCCTTCCGTCAAAATGAGGCAGGGACCTAGGGCTTTCTCTAAGCGCTCCACAGGGGATTCAGACAACCCTTCATGTTGTGAGATGAAAGACGAGCCTGTATTCAAACCACTGCAAGGAAATCTGGCCTCCTTTCAAGTTAGGGCTTCTCGCTGTATATTCCCCTTGAGGCAGCAAATTCGGGGTCCCTCCCACATACCTATTGCTGAGAGAAGCCTCCTCCTGAGGTGCTTCTGGAAAGTTGGCATATGTCTTGAGCCTAAGCCAGGGAATCAGCTCTCATCTCGAGACGATTTGAGGTACACGGAGCATTCCTCGAGTTGCTGTGTTGAAGTTGGTGTTCCTCTAGACTTGGGACAGTGTTCTCGGGGCATCTCTAGAGTTGCCTGAAGGAAATCGAGCCACTGGTCGTGTTGAATGGGGAACGGGGAATGGCTCTGGAGTCAATGCAGGGGAATCGGGCCTCATCTCGAGTTGATTTGGGGCACATGGAGCTGCTTTGCGTTGCTGGGGTAACCTCAGGGTCCGTCTGGACTGCTGACAGTGTTCTTGGGGACTGTCTCGAGATCCATTAAGCAAGTCGAAGCTCCTGACTTGTTTGAATGGGATCACGGAATAGCTTTGCATGCACTGCAGGGGAATCGGGCCTCATGTCGCCTCTAGGGGGAATTCTCATGGTTTTCATCGAGTTGCGGCGGGGACCTGGGCTATGTTCTCGACTTACGGCGGGGATGGCCCTTCAAAACAAGAGTTTCTTCAGTGACGTCAGGACTCCTGTCTAGTAACGAGGGACACCTCAGGAATCTATTCGAGGCTTAGCAGGGCAAAAGGTACGCTTCTCGAGCTGAGGCAGGGCACCCAAGGACCCTTTCCCGTAGCCACAGGGATTTTGGGATTCCTATCAGTATTCAAGAGGAGTCAGGCGTCGTCACCTTTTGAAGCAATGAACTCCGCGTGCGTCTCGAGGTGTCAGCGGGATGTGAGGCATTCCGTCAAAATGAGGAAGTGACCTAGGGCTTTCTCTAAGGTCTCCACAGGGGATTCAGACATCCCTTCATGTTGTGACATGAAAGACGAGCCTGTATTCAAGCCACTGCAAGGAAATCCGGCCTCCTTTCAAGTTAGGGCTTCTCGCTGTATATTCCCCTTGAGGCAGCAAACTGGGGTCCCTCCCACATACCTATTGCTGAGAGAAGCCTCCTCCTGAGGTGCTTCTGGAAAGTTGGCATACGTCTTGAGCCTAAGCCAGGGAATCAGCTCTCATCTCGAGACGATTTGGGGTACACGGAGCATTCCTCGAGGTGCTGTGCTGAAGTTGGTGTTCCTCTAGACTTGGGACAGTGTTCTCGGTGAATCTCTGGAGTTGCCTGAAGTAAGTCGAGCCACCGGTCGTGTTGAATGGGGAATGGGGAATGGCTCTGGAGTCAATGCAGGGGAATCGGGCCTCATCTCGAGTTGATTGGGGGCACATGGAGCTGCTTTGCGTTGCTGGGGTGACCTCAGTGTCCGTCTAGACTGGTGACAGTGATCTTGGGGACTGTCTCGAGATCCATTAAGCAAGTCTAAGCTCCTGACTTGTTTGAATGGGATCACGGAATAGCTCTGCATGCACTGCAGGGGAATGGGGCCTCATCTCGCCTCTAGGGGGAAGTCTCATGGTTTTTCTCGAGTTGCGGCGGGGACCTGGGTTATGTTCTCGACCTACGGCGGGGATGGCCCTTCAAAACACGAGTTTCTTCAGTGACGTCAGGACTCCTGTCTAGTAACGAGGGACACCTCAGGAATCTCTTCGAGGCTTAGCAGGGCAAAAGGTACGCTTCTCGAGGTGAGGCAGGGCACCCAAGGACACTTTCCCGTAGCCACAGGGATTTTGGGATTCCTATCAGTATTCAAGAGGAGTCAGGCATCGTCACCTTTTGAAGCAATGAACTCTGCGTGCGTCTCGAGGTGTCAGCGGGATGTGAGGCATTCCGTCAAAATGAGGAAGTGACCTAGGGCTTTCTCTAAGGTCTCCACAGGGGATTCAGACATCCCTTCATGTTGTGACATGAAAGACGAGCCTGTATTCAAGCCACTGCAAGGAAATCCGGCCTCCTTTCAAGTTAGGGCTTCTCGCTGTATATTCCCCTTGAGGCAGCAAACTCGGGGTCCCACCCACATACCTATTGCTGAGAGAAGCCTCCTCCTGAGGTTCTTCTGGAAAGTTGGCATACGTCTTGAGCCTAAGCCAGGGAATCAGCTCTCATCTCGAGACGATTTGGGGTACACTGAGCATTACTCGAGTTGCTGTGCTGAAGTTGGTGTTCCTCTAGACTTGTTACAGTGTTCTCGGGGAATCTCTGGAGTTGCCTGAAGTAAGTCGAGCCACCGGTCGTGTTGAATGGGGAACGGGGAATGTCTCTGGAGTCAATGCAGGGGAATCGGGCCTCATCTCGAGTTGATTTGGGGCACATGGAGCTGCTTTTCGTTGCTGGGGTGACCTCAGGGTCCGTCTAGACTGGTGACAGTGATCTTGGGGACTGTCTCGAGATCCATTAAGCAAGTCGAAGCTCCTGACTTGTTTGAATGGGATCACGGAATAGCTCTGCATGCACTGCAGGGGAATGGGGCCTCATCTCGCCTCTAGGGGGAAGTCTCATGGTTTTTCTCGAGTTGCGGCGGGGACCTGGGGTATGTTCTCGACTTACGGCTGGGATGGCCCTTCAAAACACGAGTTTCTTCAGTGACCTCAGGACTAGTGTCTAGTAACGAGGGACACCTCAGGAATGTCTTCGAGGCTTGGTAGGGCAAAAGGGAAGCTTCTCGAGGTGAGGCAGGGCACCCAAGGATCCTTTCCAGTAGCCACAGGGATTTTGGGATTCCTATCAGTATTCAAGAGGAGTCAGGCATCGTCACCTTTTGAAGCAATGAACTCCGCGTGCCTCTCGAGGTGTCAGCGGGATGTGAGGCATTCCGTCAAAATGAGGAAGTGACCTAGGGCTTTCTCTAAGATCTCCACACGGGATTCAGACATCCCTTCATATTGTGAGATGAAAGACGAGCCTGTATTCAAGCCACTGCAAGGAAATCCGGCCTCCTTTCAAGTTAGGGCTTCTCGCTGTATATTCCTCTTGAGGCAGCAAACTCAGGGTCCCTCCCACATACCTATTGCTGAGAGAAGCCTCCTCCTGAGGTGCTTCTGGAAAGTTGGCATACGTCTTGAACCTAAGCCAGGGAATCAGCTCTCATCTCGAGACGATTTGGGGTACACGGAGCATTTATCGAATTAATGTGCTGAAGTTGGTGTTCCTCTAGACTTGGGACAGTGTTTCCAGGGCATCTCTGGAGTTGCCTGAAGGAAGTCGAGCCACCAGTCGGGTTGAATGGGGAACGGGGTATGGCTCTGGAGTCAATGCAGGGGAATCAGGCCTCACCTCGAGTTGACTTGGTGCACATGGAGCTGCTTTGCGTTGCTGGGGTGACCTCAGGGTCCGTCTAGACTGGTGACAGTGTTCTTGGGGACTGTCTCGAGAACCATTAAGCAAGTCGAAGCTCCTGACTTGTTTGAATGGGATCATGAAATAGCTCTGCATGCACTGCAGGGGAATGGGGCCTCATCTCGCCTCTAGGGGGAAGTCTCATGGTTTTTCTCGAGTTGCGGCGAGGACCTGGGGTATGTTCTCGACTTACGGCGGGGATGGCCCCTCAAAACACGAGTTTCTTCAGTGACGTCAGGACTCCTCTCTAGTAAAGAGGGACACCTCAGGAATCTCTTCGAGTCTTGGCAGGGCAAAAGGGACGCTTCTCGATGTGAGGCAGGGCACCCAAGCAGCCTTTCCCGTAGCCACACGGATTTTGGGATTCCTATCAGTATTCAAGAGGAGTCAGGCATCGTCACCTTTTGAAGCAATGAACTCCGCGTGCCTCTCGAGGTGTCAGCGGGATGTGAGGCATTCCGTAAAAATGAGGCAGGGACCTAGAGCTTTCTCTAAGGTCTCCACAGGGGGTTCAGACATCCCTTCATGTTGTGAGATGAAAGACGAGCCTGTATTCAAGCCACTGCAAGGAAATCCGGCCTCCTTTCAAGATAGGGCTTCTCGCTGTATATTCCCCTTGAGGCAGCAAACTCGGGGTCCCTCCCACATACCTATTGCTGAGAGAAGCCTCCTCCTGAGGTGCTTCTGGAAAGTTGGCATATGTCTTGAGCCTAAGCCAGGGAATCAGCTCTCATCTCGAGACGATTTGGGGTACACGGAGCATTCCTCGAGTTGCTGCGTTGAAGTTGGTGGTGCTCTAGACTTGGGACAGTGTTCTCGGGGCATCTCTGGAGTTGCCTGAAGGAAGTCGAGCCACCAGTCGGGTTGAATGGGGAATGGGGAATGGCTCTGGAATCAATGCAGGGGAATCAGGCCTCACCTCGAGTTGATTTGGTGCACATGGAGCTGCTTTGCGTTGCTGGGGTGACCTAAGGGTCCGTCTAGACAGGTGACAGTGTTCTTGGGGACTGTCTCGAGAACCATTAAGCAAGTCGAAGCTCCTGACTTGTTTGAATGGGATCATGGAATAGCTCTGCATGCACTGCAGGGGAATGGGGCCTCATCTCGCCTCTAGGGGGAAGTCTCATGGTTTTTCTCGAGTTGCGGCGAGGACCTGGGGTATGTTCTCGACTTACGGCGGGGCTGGCCCTTCAAAACACGAGTTTCTTCAGTGACGTCAGGACTCCTGTCTAGTAAAGAGGGACACCTCAGGAATCTCTTCGAGTCTTGGCAGGGCAAAAGGGACGCTTCTCGATGTGAGGCAGGGCACCCAAGCAGCCTTTCCCGTAGCCACAAGGATTTTGGGATTCCTATCAGTATTCAAGAGGAGTCAGGCATCGTCACCTTTTGAAGCAATGAACTCCGCGTGCCTCTCGAGGTGTCAGCGGGATGTGAGGCATTCCGTCAAAATGAGGCAGGGACCTAGGGCTTTCTCTAAGGTCTCCACAGGGGGTTCAGACATCCCTTCATGTTGTGAGATGAAAGACGAGCCTGTATTCAAGCCACTGCAAGGAAATCCGGCCTCCTTTCAAGTTAGGGCTTCTCGCTGTATATTCCCCTTGAGGCAGCAAACTCGGGGTCCCTCCCACATACCTATTGCTGAGAGAAGCCTCCTCCTGAGGTGATTCTGGAAAGTTGGCATATGTCTTGAGCCTAAGCCAGGGAATCAGCTCTCATCTCGAGACGATTTGGTGTACACGGAGCATTCCTCGAGTTGCTGTGTTGAAGTTGGTGTTCCTCTAGACTTGGGACAGTGTTCTCAGGGCATCTCTGGAGTTGCCTGAAGGAAGTCGAGCCACTGGTCGTGTTGAATATGGAACGGGGAATGGCTCTGGAGTCAATGCAGGGGAATCGGGCCTCATCTCGAGTTGATTTGGGGCACATGGAACTGCTTTGCGTTGCTGGGGTGACCTCAGGGTCCATCTGTACTGGTGACAGTGATCTTGGGGACTGTCTCGAGATCCATTAAGCAAGTCGAAGCTCCTGACTTGTTTGAATGGGATCACGGAATAGCTCTGCATGCACTGCAGGGGAATGGGGCCTCTTCTCGCCTCTAGGGGGAAGTCTCATGGTTTTTCTCGAGTTGCGGCGGGGACCTGGGTTATGTTCTCGACTTACGGCGGGGATGGCCCTTAAAAACACGAGTTTCTTCAGTGACGTCAGGACTCCTGTCTAGTAACGAGGGACACCTCAGGAATCTCTTCGAGGCTTAGCAGGGCAAAAGGTACGCTTCTCGAGGTGAGGCAGGGCACCCAAGGACCCTTTCCCGTAGCCACAGGGATTTTGGGATTCCTATCAGTATTCAAGAGGAGTCAGGCATCGTCACCTTTTGAAGCAATGAACTCTGCGTGCGTCTCGAGGTGTCAGCGGGATGTGAGGCATTCCGTCAAAATGAGGAAGTGACCTAGGGCTTTCTCTAAGGTCTCCACAGGGGATTCAGACATCCCTTCATGTTGTGAGATGAAAGACGAGCCTGTATTCAAGCCACTGCAAGGAAATCCGGCCTCCTTTCAAGTTAGGGCTTCTCGCTGTATATTCCCCTTGAGGCAGCAAACTCGGGGTCCCTCCCACATACCTATTGCTGAGAGAAGCCTCCTCCTGAGGTGCTTCTGGAAAGTTGGCATACGTCTTGAGCCTAAGCCAGGGAATCAGGTCTCATCTCGAGACGATTTTGGGTACACTGAGCATTCCTCGAGTTGCTGTGCTGAAGTTGGTGTTCCTCTAGACTTGGACAGTGTTCTCGGGGCATCTCTGGAGTTGCCTGAAGGAAGTCAAGCCACCTGTCCTGTTGAATGGGGAACGGGGAATGGCTCTGGAGTCAATGCAGGGGAATCGGGCCTCATCTCGAGTTGATTTGGGGCACATGGAGCTGCTTTGCTTTGCTGGGGTGACCTCAGGGTCCGTCTAGATTGGTGACAGTGTTCTTGGGGACTGTCTCGAGATCCATTAAGCAATTCGAAGCTCCTGACTTGTTTGAATGGGATCACGGAATAGCTCTGCATGCACTGCAGGGGAATGGGGCCTCATCTCGCCTCTAGGGGGATTCTCATGTTTTTTCTCGAGTTGCGGCGGGGACCTGCGGTATGTTCTCGACTTACGGCGGGGATGGCCCTTCAAAACACGAGTTTCTTCAGTGACGTCAGGACTCCTGTCTAGTAACGAGGGACACCTCAGGAATCTCTTCGAGGCTTGGCAGGGCAAAAGGGACGCTTCTCGAGGTGAGGCAGGGCACCCAAGGACCCTTTCCCGTAGCCACAGGGATTTTGGGATTCCTATCAGCATTCAAGAGGAGTCAGGCATCGACACCTTTTGAAGCAATGAACTCCGCGTGCCTCTCGAGGTGTCAGCAGGATTGGAGGCATTCCGTCAAAATGAGGCAGGGACCTAGGGCTTTCTCTAAGGTCTCCACAGGGGATTCAGACATCCCTTCATGTTGTGAGATGAAAGACGAGCCTGTATTCAAGCCACTGCAAGGAAATCCGGCCACCTTTCAAGTTAGGGCTTCTCGCTGTATATTCCCCTTGAGGCAGCAAACTCGGGGTCCCTCCCACATACCTATTGCTGAGAGAAGCCTCCTCCTGAGGTGCTTCTGGAAAGTTGGCATATGTCTTGAGCCTAAGCCAGGGAATCAGCTCCCATCTCGAGACGATTTGGGGTACACGGATCATTCCTCGAGTTAATGTGCTGAAGTTGGTGTTCCTCTAGACTTGGACAGTGTTCTCGGGGCATCTGTGGAGTTGCCTGAAGGAAGTCGAGCCACCGGTCGTGTTGAATGGGGAACGGGGAATGGCTCTGGAGTCAATGCAGGGGAATCAGGCCTCATCTCGAGTTGATTTGGGGCACATGGATCTGCTTTGCGTTGCTGGGGTGACCGCAGGGTCCGTCTAGACTGGTGACAGTGTTCTTGGGGACTGTCTCGTGATCCATTAAGCAAGTCGAAGTTCCTGACTTGTTTGAATGGGATCACCGAATAGCTCTGCCTGCACTGCAGGGGAATGGGGCCTCATCTCGCCTCTAGGGGGAATTCTCATGGTTTTTTTCGAGTTGCGGCGGGGACCTGGGGTATGTTCTCGACTTACGGCGGGGATGGCCCTTCAAAACACGAGTTTCTTCAGTGACGTCAGGACTCCTCTCTAGTAACGAGGGACACCTCAGGAATCTCTTCGAGGCTTGGCAGGGCAAAAGGGACGCTTCTCGAGGTGAGTCAGGGCACCCAAGGACCCTTTCCCGTAGCCACTGGTATTTTGGGATTCCTATCAGTATTCAAGAGGAGTCAGGCATCGTCACCTTTTGAAGCAATGAACTCCGGGTGCCTCTCGAGGTGTCAGCGGGAGTTGAGGCATTCCGTCAAAATGAGGCAGGGACCTAGGGCTTTCTCTAAGGTCTCCACAGGGGATTCAGACATCCCTTCATGTTGTGAGATGAAAGACGAGCCTGTATTCAAGCCACTGCAAGGAAATCCAGCCTTCTTTCAAGTTAGGGCTTCTCGCTGTATATTCCCCTTGAGGCAGCAAACTCGGGGTGCCTCCCACATACCTATTGCTGAGAGAAGCCTCCTCCTGAGGTGCTTCTGGAAAGTTGGCATACGTCTTGAGCCTAAGCCAGGGAATCAGCTCTCATCTCGAGACGATTTGGGTTATACGGAGCATTCCTCGAATTAATGTGCTGAAGTTGGTGTTCCTCTAGACTTGGGACAGTGTTCTCAGGGCATCTCTAGAGTTGCCTGAAGGAATTCAAGCCACCTGTCCTGTTGAATGGGGAACGGTGAATGGCTCTGGAGTCAATGCAGGGGAATCGGGCCTCATCTCGAGTTGATTTGGGGCACATGGAGCTGCTTTGCTTTTCTGGGGTGACCTCAGGGTCCGTCTAGACTGGTGACAGTGTTCTTGGGGACTGTCTCGAGATCCATTAAGCAAGTCGAAGCTCCTGACTTTTTTGAATGGGATCACGGAATAGCTCTGCATGCACTGCAGGGGAATGGGGCCTCATCTCGCCTCTAGGGGGAAGTCTCATGGTTTTCATCGAGTTGCGGCGGGGACCTGGGCTATGTTCTCGACTTACGGCGGGGATGGCCCTTCAAAACAAGAGTTTCTTCAGTGACGTCAGGACTCCTGTCTAGTAACGAGGGACACCTAAGGAATCTATTCGAGGCTTAGCAGGGCAAAAGGTACGCTTCTCGAGCTGAGGCAGGGCACCCAAGGACCCTTTCCCGTAGCCACAGGGATTTTGGGATTCCTATCAGTATTCAAGAGGAGTCAGGCATCGTCACCTTTTGAAGCAATGAACTCCGCGTGCGTCTCGAGGTGTCAGCGGGATGTGAGGCATTCCGTCAAAATGAGGAAGTGACCTAGGGCTTTCTCTAAGGTCTCCACAGGGGATTCAGACATCCCTTCATGTTGTGACATGAAAGACGAGCCTGTATTGAAGCCACTGCAAGGGAATCCGGCCTCCTTTCAAGTTAGGGCTTCTCGCTGTATATTCCCCTTGAGGCAGCAAACTTTGGTCCCTCCCACATACCTATTGCTGAGAGAAGCCTCCTCCTGAGGTGCTTCTGGAAAGTTGGCATACGTCTTGAGCCTAAGCCAGGGAATCAGCTCTCATCTCGAGACGATTTGGGGTACACGGAGCATTCCTCGAGTTGCTGTGCTGAAGTTGGTGTTTCTCTAGACTTGGGACAGTGTTCTCGGTGAATCTCTGGAGTTGCCTGAAGTAAGTCGAGCCACCGGTCGTGTTGAATGGGGAACGGGGAATGGCTCTGGAGTCAATGCAGGGGAATCGGGCCTCATCTCGAGTTGATTTGGGGCACATGGAGCTGCTTTGCGTTGCTGGGGTGACCTCAGGGTCCGTCTAGACTGGTGACAGTGATCTTGGGGACTGTCTCGAGATCCATTAAGCAAGTCGAAGCTCCTGGCTTGTTTGAATGGGATCACGGAATAGCTCTGCATGCACTGCAGGGGAATGGGGCCTCATCTCGCCTCTAGGGGGAAGTCTCATGGTTTTTCTCGAGTTGCGGCGGGGACCTGGTGTATGTTCTCGACTTACGGCGGGGATGGCCCTTCAAAACACGAGTTTCTTCAGTGACGTCAGGACTCCTGTCTAGTAATGAGGGACACCTCAGGAATCTCTTCGAGGCTTGCCAGGGCCAAATTGAGGCTTCTCGAGGTGTGGCAGGGCACCCAAGGACCCTTTCCCGTAGCCACAGGGATTTTGGGATTCCTATCAGTATTCAAGAGGAGTCAGGCATCGTCACATTTTGAAGCAATGAACTCCGCCTGCCTCTCGAGGTGTCAGTGGGATGTGAGGCATTCCGTCAAAATGAGGCAGTGACCTAGGGCTTTCTCTAAGGTCTCCACAGGGGATTCAGACATCCCTTCATGTTGTGAGATGAAAGACGAGGCTGTATTGAAGCCACTGCAAGGATATCCGGCCTCCTTTCAAGTTAGGGCTTCTCACTGTATATTCCCCTTGAGGCAGCAAACTCGGGGTCCCTCCCACATACCTATTGTTGAGAGAAGCCTCCTCCTGAGGTGCTTCTGGAAATTTGGCATACGTCTTGAGCCTAAGCCAGGGAATCAGCTCTCATCTCGAGACGATTTGGGTTACACGGAGCATTCCTCGAGTTAATGTGCTGAAGTTGGTGTTCCTTTAGACTTGGGACAGTGTTCTCGGGGCATCTCTGGAGTTGCCTGGAGGAAGTCGAGCCACCAGTTGTGTTGAATGGGGAACGGGGAATGGCTCTGGAGTCAATGCAGGGGAATCAGGCCTCATCTCGAGTTGATTTGGGGCACATGGAGCTGCTTTGCGTTGCTGGGGTGACTTCAGGGTCCGTCTAGACTGGTGACAGTGTTCTTGGGGTCTGTCTCGAGATCCATTAAGGAAGTCGAAGCTCCTGACTTGTTTGAATGGGATCATGGAATAGCTCTGCATGCACTGCAGGGGAATGGGGCCTCATCTCGCCTCTAGGGGGAATTCTCATGGTTTTTCTCGAGTTGCGGCGAGGACCTGGGGTATGTTCTCGACTTACGGCGGGGATGGCCCTTCAAAACACGAGTTTCTTCAGTGACGTCAGGACTCCTCTCTAGTAAAGAGGGACACCTCAGGAATCTCTTCGAGGCTTGGCAGGGCAAAAGGGACGCTTCTCGAGGTGAGACAGGGCACCCAGGGACCCATTCCAGTAGCCACAGGGATTTTGGGATTCCTATCAGTGTTCAAGAGGAGTCAGGCATCGTCACCTTTTGAAGCAATGAACTCCGCGTGCCTCTCGAGGTGTCAGTGGGATGTGAGGCATTCCGTCAAAATGAGGCAGGGACCTAGGGCTTTCTCTAAGGTCTCCACAGGGGATTGAGACATCCCTTCAGGATGTGAGATGAAAGACGAGCCTGTATTCAAGCCACTGCAAGGAAATCCGGCCTCCTTTCAAGTTAGGGCTTCTCGCTGTATATTCCCCTTGAGGCAGCAAAGTCGGGGTCCCTACCACATACCTATTGCTTAGAGAAGTCTCCTCCTGAGGTGCTTCTGGAAAGTTGGCAAATGTCTTGAGCCTAAGCCAGGGAATCAGCTCTCATCTCGAGACGATTTGGAGTACACGGAGCATTCCTCGAGTTGCTGTGCTGAAGTTGGTGTTCCTCTAGACTTGGGATAGTATTCTCGGGGCTTCTCTGGAGTTGCCTGAAGGAAGTCGAGCCACCGGTCGTGTTGAATGGGGAACGGGGAATGGCTCTGGAGTCAATGCAGGGGAATCGGGCCTCATCTCGAGTTGATTTTGGGCACATGGAGTTGCTTTGTGTTGCTGGGGTGACCTCAGGGTCCGTCTAGACTGGTGACAGTGTTCTTGGGGACTGTCTCGAGATCCATTAAGCAAGTCGAAGCTCCTGACTTGTTTGAATGGGATCACGGCATAGCTCTCCATGCACTGCAGGGGAATGGGGCCTCATCTCGCCTCTAGGGGGAAGTCTCATTGTATTCCTCGAGTTGCAGCGGGGACCTGGGGTAAGTTTTAGACGTACGGCGGGGATGGCCCTTCAAAACACGAGTTTCTTCAGTGACGTCTGGACTCCTGTCTAGTAACATGGGACACCTCAGGAATCTCTTCGAGCCTTGGCTGGGAAAAAGGGACGCTTCTCAAGGTGAGGCAGGGCACCCAAGGACCCTTTCCAGTAGCCACAGGGATTTTGGGATTCCTATCAGTATTCAAGAGGAGTCAGGCATCGTCACCTTTTGAAGCAATGAACTCCGCGTGCCTCTCGAGGTGTCAGCGGGATTGGAGGCATTCCGTGAAAATGAGGCAGGGACCTAGGGCTTTCTCTAAGTTCTCCACAGGGGATTCAGACATCCCTTCATGTTGTGAGATGAAAGACGAGCCTGTATTCAAGCCACTGCAAGGAAATCCGGCCTCCTTTCAAGTTAGGGCTTCTCGCTGTATATTCCCCTTGAGGCAGCAAACTCGGGGTCCCTCCCACATACCTATTGCTGAGAGAAGCCTCCTCCTGAGTTGCTTCTGGGAAGTTGGCATACGTCTTGAGCCTAAGCCAGGGAATCAGCTCTCATCTCGAGACGATTTGCGGTACACGGAGCATTCCTCGAGTTGCTGTGCTGAAGTTCGTGTTCCTCTCGACTTGGGACAGTGTTCTCGGGGCATCTCTGGAGTTGCCTGAAGGAAGTCGAGCCACCGGTCGTGTTGAATGGGGAACGGGGAATGGCTCTGGAGTCAATGCAGGGGAATCGGGCCTCATCTCGAGTTGATTTGTGGCACATGGAGCTGCTTTGCATTGCTGGGGTGACCTCAGGGTCCGTCTAGACTGGTGACAGTGTTCTTGGGGACTGTCTCGAGATCCATTAAGCAAGTCGAAGCTCCTGACTTGTTTGAATGGGATCACGGTATAGCTCTGCATGCACTGCAGGGGAATGGGGCCTTATCTCGCCTCTAGGGGGAAGTCTCATGGTTTTTCTCGAGTTTCGGCGAGGACCTGGGGTATGTTCTCGACTTCCGGCGGGGATGGCCCTTCAAAACAAGAGTTTCTTCAGTGACGTCAGGACTCCTGTCTAGTAACGAGGGACACCTCAGGAACCTCTTCGAGGCTTGGCAGGGCAAAAGGGACGCTTCTCGAGGTGAGGCAGGGCACCCATGGACCATTTCCCGTAGCCACAGGGATTTTGGGATTCCTATCAGTATTCAAGAGGAGTCAGGCATCGTCACCTTTTGAAGCAATGAACTCCGCGTGCCTCTCGAGGTGTCAGCGGGATGTGAGGCATTCCGTCAAAATGAGGCAGGGACTTAGGGCTTTCTCTAAGCGCTCCACAGGGGATTCAGACATCCCTTCATGTTGTGAGATGAAAGACGAACCTGTATTCAAACCACTGCAAGGAAATCTGGCCTCCTTTCAAGTTAGGGCTTCTCGCTGTATATTCCCCTTGAGGCAGCAAACTCGGGGTCCCTCCCACATACCTATTGCTGAGAGAAGCCTCCTCCTGAGTTGCTTCTGGAAAGTTGGCATATGTCTTGAGCCTAAGCCAGGGAATCAGCTCTCATCTCGAGACGATTTGAGGTACACGGACCATTCCTCGAGTTGCTGTGTTGAAGTTGGTGTTCCTCTAGACTTGGGACAGTGTTCTCGGGGCATCTCTAGAGTTGCCTGAAGGAAATCGAGCCACTGGTCGTGTTGAATGGGGAACGGGGAATGACTCTGGAGTCAATGCAGGGGAATCGGGCCTCATCTCGAGTTGATTTGGGGCACATGGAGCTGCTTTGCGTTGCTGGGGTAACCTCAGGGTCCGTCTGGACTGGTGACAGTGTTCTTGGGGACTGTCTCGAGATCCATTAAGCAAGTCGAAGCTCCTGACTTGTTTGAATGGAATCACGGAATAGCTCTGCATGCACTGCAGGGGAATGGGGCCTCATGTCGCCTCTAGGGGGAATTCTCATGGTTTTCCTCGAGTTGCGGCGGGGACCTGGGCTATGTTCTCGACTTACGGCGGGGATGGCCCTTCAAAACAAGAGTTTCTTCAGTGACGTCAGGACTCCTGTCTAGTAACGAGGGACAACTCAGGAATCTATTCTAGGCTTATCAGGGCAAAAGGTACGCTTCTCGAGCTGAGGCAGGGCACCCAAGGACCCTTTCCCGTAGCCACAGGGATTTTGGGATTCCTATCAGTATTCAAGAGGAGTCAGGCATCGTCACCTTTTGAAGCAATGAACTCCGCGTGCGTCTCGAGGTGTCAGCGGGAGGTGAGGCATTCCGTCAAAATGAGGAAGTAACCTAGGGCTTTCTCTAATGTCTCCACAGGGGATTCAGACATCCCTTCATGTTGTGACATGAAAGACGAGCCTGTATTGAAGCCACTGCAAGGAAATCCGGCCTCCTTTCAAGTTACGGCTTCTTGCTGTATATTCCCCTTGAGGCAGCAAACTGGGGTCCCTCCCACATAACTATTGCTGAGAGAAGCCTCCTCCTGAGGTGCTTCTGGAAAGTTGGCATACGTCTTGAGCCTAAGCCAGGGAATCAGCTCTCATCTCGAGACGATTTGGGGTACACGGAGCATTCCTCGAGTTGCTGTGCTGAAGTTGGTGTTCCTCTAGACTTGGGACAGTGTTCTCGGTGAATCTCTGGAGTTGCCTGAAGTAAGTCGAGCCACCGGTCGTGTTGAATGGGGAACGGGGAATGGCTCAGGAGTCAATGCAGGGGAATCGGGCCTCATCTCGAGTTGATTTGGGGCACATGGAGCTGCTTTGCGTTGCTGGGGTGACCTCAGGGTCCGTCTAGACTGGTGACAGTGATCTTGGGGACTGTCTCGAGATCCATTAAGCAAGTCGAAGCTCCTGGCTTGTTTGAATGGGATCACGGAATAGCTCTGCATGCACTGCAGGGGAATGGGGCCTCATCTCGCCTCTAGGGGGAAGTCTCATGGTTTTTCTCGAGTTGCGGCGGGGACCTGGGTTATGTTCTCGACTTACGGCGGGGATGGCCCTTCAAAACACGAGTTTCTTCAGTGACGTCAGGACTCCTGTCTAGTAATGAGGGACACCTCAGGAATCTCTTCGAGGCTTGGCAGGGCCAAATTGAGGCTTCTCGAGGTGTGGCAGGGCACTCAAGGACCCTTTCCCATAGCCACAGGGATTTTGGGATTCCTATCAGTATTCAAGAGGAGTCAGGCATCGTCACCTTTTGAAGCAATGAACTCTGCGTGCGTCTAGAGGTGTCAGCGGGATGTGAGGCATTCCTTAAAAATGAGGAAGTGACCTAGGGCTTTCTCTAAGGTCTCCACAGGGGATTCAGACATCCCTTCATGTTGTGAGATGAAAGACGAGCCTGTATTGAAGCCACTGCAAGGAAATCCGGCCTCCTTTCAAGTTAGGGCTTCTCGCTGTATATTCCCCTTGAGGCAGCAAACTCGGGGTCCCTCCCACATACCTATTGCTGAGAGAAGCCTCCTCCTGAGGTGCTTCTGGAAAGTTGGCATACGTCTTGAGCCTAAGCCAGGGAATCAGCTCTCATCTCGAGACGGTTTGGGGTACACTGAGCATTCCTCGAGTTGCTGTGCTGAAGTTGGTGTTCCTCTAGACTTGTTACAGTGTTCTCGGGGAATCTCTGGAGTTGCCTGAAGTAAGTCGAGCCACCGGTCGTGTTGAATGGGGAACGGGGAATGGCTCTGGAGTCAATGCAGGGGAATCGGGTCTCATCTCGAGTTGATTTGGGGCACATGGAGCTGCTTTGCGTTGCTGGGGTGACCTCAGGGTCCATCTAGACTGGTGACAGTGATCTTGGGGACTGTCTCGAGATCCATTAAGCAAGTCGAAGCTCCTGACTTGTTTGAATGGGATCACGGAATAGCTCTGCATGCACTGCAGGGGAATGGGGCCTCATCTCGCCTCTAGGGGGAAGTCTCATGGTTTTTCTTGAGTTGCGGCGGGGACCTGGGGTATGTTCTCGACTTACGGCTGGGATGGCCCTTCAAAACACGAGTTTCTTCAGTGACGTCAGGACTCCTGTCTAGTAACGAGGGACACCTCAGGAATGTCTTCGAGGCTTGGCAGGGCAAAAGGGAAGCTTCTCGAGGTGAGGCAGGGCACCCAAGGATCCTTTCCAGTAGCCACAGGGATTTTGGGATTCCTATCAGTATTCAAGAGGAGTCAGGCATCGTCACCTTTTGAAGCAATGAACTCCGCGTGCCTCTCGAGGTGTCAGCGGGATGTGAGGCATTCCGTCAAAATGAGGCAGGGACCTAGGGCTTTCTCTAAGCGCTCCACAGGGGATTCAGACATCCCTTTATGTTGTGAGATGAAAGACGAGCCTGTATTCAAACCACTGCAAGGAAATCTGGCCTCCTTTCAAGTTAGGGCTTCTCGCTGTATATTCCCCTTGAGGCAGCAAACTCGGGGTCCCTCCCACATACCTATTGCTGAGAGAAGCCTCCTCCTGAGGTGCTTCTGGAAAGTTGGCATATGTCTTGAGCCTAAGCCAGGGAATCAGCTCTCATCTCGAGACGATTTGAGGTACACGGAGCATTCCTCGAGTTGCTGTGTTGAAGTTGGTGTTCCTCTAGACTTGGGACAGTGTTCTCGGGGCATCTCTGGAGTTGCCTGAAGGAAATCGAGCCACTGGTCGTGTTGAATGGGGAACGGGGAATGGCTCTGGAGTCAATGCAGGGGAATCGGGCCTCATCTCGAGTTGATTTGGGGCACATGGAGCTGCTTTGCGTTGCTGGGGTAACCTCAGGGTCCGTCTGGACTGGTGACAGTGTTCTTGGGGACTGTCTCGAGATCCATTAAGCAAGTCGAAGCTCCTGACTTGTTTGAATGGGATCACGGAATAGCTCTGCATGCACTGCAGGGGAATGGGGCCTCATGTCGCCTCTAGGGGGAATTCTCATGGTTTTCATCGAGTTGCGGCGGGGACCTGGGCTATGTTCTCGACTTACGGCGGGAATGGCCCTTCAAAACAAGAGTTTCTTCAGTGACGTCAGGACTCCTGTCTAGTAACGAGGGACACCTCAGGAATCTATTCGAGGCTTAGCAGGGCAAAAGGTACGCTTCTCGAGCTGAGGCAGGGCACCCAAGGACCCTTTCCCGTAGCCACAGGGATTTTGGGATTCCTATCAGTATTCAAGAGGAGTCAGGCATCGTCACCTTTTGAAGCAATGAACTCCGCGTGCGTCTCGAGGTGTCAGCGGGATGTGAGGCATTCCGTCAAAATGAGGAAGTGACCTAGGGCTTTCTCTAAGGACTCCACAGGGGATTCAGACATCCCTTCATGTTGTGAGATGAAAGACGAGCCTGTATTCAAGCCACTGCTAGGAAATCCGGCCTCCTTTCAAGTTAGGGCTTCTCGCTGTATATTCCTCTTGAGGCAGCAAACTCGGGGTCCCTCCCACATACCTACTGCTGAGAGAAGCTTCCTCCTGAGGTGCTTCTGGAAAGTTGGCATACGTCTTGAACCTAAGCCAGGGAATCAGCTCTCATCTCGAGACGATTTGGGGTACACGGAGCATTCCTCGAATTAATGTGCTGAAGTTGGTGGTGCTCTAGACTTGGGACAGTGTTCTCGGGGCATCTCTGGAGTTGCCTGAAGGAAGTCGAGCCACCAGTCGGGTTGAATGGGGAACGGGGAATGGCTCTGGAGTCAATGCAGGGGAATCAGGCCTCACCTCGAGTTGATTTGGTGCACATGGAGCTGCTTTGCGTTGCTGGGGTGACCTCAGGGTCCGTCTAGACTGGTGACAGTGTTCTTGGGGACTGTCTCGAGAACCATTAAGCAAGTCGAAGCTCCTGACTTGTTTGAATGGGATCATGGAATAGCTCTGCATGCACTGCAGGGGAATGGGGCCTCATCTCGCCTCTAGGGGGAAGTCTCATGGTTTTTCTCGAGTTGCGGCGAGGACCTGGGGTATGTTCTCGACTTACGGCGGGGCTGGCCCTTCAAAACACGAGTTTCTTCAGTGACGTCAGGACTCCTGTCTAGTAAAGAGGGACACCTCAGGAAGCTCTTCGAGTCTTGGCAGGGCAAAAGGGACGCTTCTCGATGTGAGGCAGGGCACCCAAGCAGCCTTTCCCGTAGCCACACGGATTTTGGGATTCCTATCAGTATTCAAGAGGAGTCAGGCATCGTCACCTTTTGAAGCAATGAACTCCGCGTGCCTCTCGAGGTGTCAGCGGGATGTGAGGCATTTCGTCAAAATGAGGCAGGGACCTAGGGCTTTCTCTAAGGTCTCAACAGGGGGTTCAGACATCCCTTCATGTTGTGAGATGAAAGACGAGCCTGTATTCAAGCCACTGCAAGGAAATCCGGCCTCCTTTCAAGTTAGGGCTTCTCGCTGTATATTCCCCTTGAGGCAGCAAACCCGGGGTCCCTCCCACATACCTATTGCTGAGAGAAGCCTCCTCCTGAGGTGCTTCTGGAAAGTTGGCATATGTCTTGAGCCTAAGCCAGGGAATCAGCTCTCATCTCGATACGATTTGGTGTACACGGAGCATTCCTCGAGTTGCTGTGTTGAAGTTGGTGTTCCTCTAGACTTGGGACAGTGTTCTCGGGGCATCTCTGGAGTTATCTGAAGGAAGTCGAGCCACTGGTCGTGTTGAATATGGAACGGGGAATGGCTCTGGAGTCAATGCAGGGGAATCGGGCCTCATCTCGAGTTGATTTGGGGCACATGGAGCTGCTTTGCGTTGCTGGGGTGACCTCAGGGTCCATCTGGACTGGTGACAGTGTTCTTGGGGACTCTCTCGAGATCCATTAAGCAAGTCGAAGCTCCTGACTTGTTTGAATGGAATCACGGAATAGCTCTGCATGCACTGCAGGGGAATGGGGCCTCATGTCGCCTCTAGGGGGAAGTCTCATGGTTTTACTCGAGTTGCGGCGGGGACCTGGGTTATGTTCTCGACTTACGGCGGGGATGGCCCTTAAAAACACGAGTTTCTTCAGTGACGTCAGGACTCCTGTCTAGTAACGAGGGACACCTCAGGAATCTCTTTGAGGCTTAGCAGGGCAAAAGGTACGCTTCTCGAGGTGAGGCAGGGCACCCAAGGACCCTTTCCCGTAGCCACAGGGATTTTGGGATTCCTATCAGTATTCAAGAGGAGTCAGGCATCGTCACCTTTTGAAGCAATGAACTCTGCGTGCGTCTCGAGGTGTAAGCGGGATGTGAGGCATTCCGTCAAAATGAGGAAGTGACCTAGGGCTTTCTCTAAGGTCTCCACAGGGGATTCAGACATCCCTTCATGTTGTGAGATGAAAGACGAGCCTGTATTCAAGCCACTGCAAGGAAATCCGGCCTCCTTTCAAGTTAGGGCTTCTCGCTGTATATTCCCCTTGAGGCAGCAAACTCAGGGTCCCTCCCACATACCTATTGCTGAGAGAAGCCTCCTCCTGAGGTGCTTCTGGAAAGTTGGCATACGTCTTGAGCCTAAGCCAGGGAATCAGCTCTCATCTCGAGACGATTTGGGGTACACTGAGCATTCCTCGAGTTGCTGTGCTGAAGTTGGTGTTCCTCTAGACTTGTTACAGTGTTCTCGGGGAATCTCTGGAGTTGCCTGAAGGAAGTCGAGCCACCGGTCGTGTTGAATGGGGAACGGGGAATGGCTCTGGAGTCAATGCAGGGGAATCGGGCCTCATCTCGAGTTGATTTGGGGCACATGGAGCTGCTTTGCGTTGCTGGGGTGACCTCAGGGTCCGTCTGGACTGGTGACAGTGATCTTGGGGACTGTCTCGAGATCCATTAAGCAAGTCGAAGCTCCTGACTTGTTTGAATGGGATCACGGAATAGCTCTGCATGCACTGCAGGGGAATGGGGCCTCATCTCGCCTCTAGGGGAAGTCTCATGGTTTTTCTCGAGTTGCGGCGGGGACCTGGGGTATGTTCTCGACTTACGGCTGGGATGGCCCTTCAAAACACGAGTTTCTTCAGTGACGACAGGACTCCTGTCTAGTAACGAGGGACACCTCAGGAATGTCTTCCAGGCTTGGCAGGGCAAAAGGGAAGCTTCTCGAGGTGAGGCAGGGCACCCAAGGATCCTTTCCAGTAGCCACAGGGATTTTGGGATTCCTATCAGTATTCAAGAGGAGTCAGGCATCGTCACCTTTTGAAGCAATGAACTCCGCGTGCCTCTCGAGGTGTCAGCGGGATGTGAGGCATTCCGTCAAATGAGGCAGGGACCTATGTCTTTCTCTAAGCGCTCCACAGGGGATTCAGACATCCCTTCATGTTGTGAGATGAAAGACGAGCCTGTATTCAAACCACTGCAAGGAAATCTGGCCTCCTTTCAAGTTAGGGCTTCTCGCTGTATATTCCCCTTGAGGCAGCAAACTCGGGGTCCCTCCCACATACCTATTGCTGAGAGAAGCCTCCTCCTGAGGTGCTTCTGGAAAGTTGGCATATGTCTTGAGCCTAAGCCAGGGAATCAGCTCTCATCTCGAGACGATTTGAGGTACACGGAGCATTCCTCGAGTTGCTGTGTTGAAGTTGGTGTTCCTCTAGACTTGGGACAGTGTTCTCGGGGCATCTCTAGAGTTGCCTGAAGGAAATCGAGCCACTGGTCGTGTTGAATGGGGAACGGGGAATGGCTCTGGAGTCAATGCAGGGGAATCGGGCCTCATCTCGAGTTGATTTGGGGCACATGGAGCTGCTTTGCGTTGCTGGGGTAACCTCAGGGTCCGTCTGGACTGGTGACAGTGTTCTTGGGCACTGTCTCGAGATCCATTAAGCAAGTCGAAGCTCCTGACTTGTTTGAATGGGATCACGGAATAGCTCTGCATGCACTGCAGGGGAATGGGGCCTCATGTCGCCTCTAGTGGGAATTCTCATGGTTTTCATCGAGTTGCGGCGGGGACCTGGGCTATGTTCTCGACTTACGGCGGGGATGGCCCTTCAAAACAAGAGTTTCTTCAGTGACGTCAGGACTCCTGTCTAGTAACGAGGGACACCTCAGGAATCTATTCGAGGCTTAGCAGGGCAAAAGGTACCCTTCTCGAGCTGAGGCAGGGCACCCAAGGACCCTTTCCCGTAGCCACAGGGATTTTGGGATTCCTATCAGTATTCAAGAGGAGTCAGGCATCGTCACCTTTTGAAGCAATGAACTCTGCGTGCGTCTCGAGGTGTCAGCGGGATGTGAGGCATTCCTTAAAAATGAGGAAGTGACCTAGGGCTTTCTCTAAGGTCTCCACAGGGGATTCAGACATCCCTTCATGTTGTGAGATGAAAGACGAGCCTGTATTGAAGCCACTGCAAGGAAATCCGGCCTCCTTTCAAGTTAGGGCTTCTCGCTGTATATTCCCCTTGAGGCAGCAAACTCGGGGTCCCTCCCACATACCTATTGCTGAGAGAAGCCTCCTCCTGAGGTGCTTCTGGAAAGTTGGCATACGTCTTGAGCCTAAGCCAGGGAATCAGCTCTCATCTCGAGACGGTTTGGGGTACACTGAGCATTCCTCGAGTTGCTGTGCTGAAGTTGGTGTTCCTCTAGACTTGTTACAGTGTTCTCGGGGAATCTCTGGAGTTGCCTGAAGTAAGTCGAGCCACCGGTCGTGTTGAATGGGGAACGGGGAATGGCTCTGGAGTCAATGCAGGGGAATCGGGCCTCATCTCGAGTTGATTTGGGGCACATGGAGCTGCTTTGCGTTGCTGGGGTGACCTCAGGGTCCGTCTAGACTGGTGACAGTGATCTTGGGGACTGTCTCGAGATCCATTAAGCAAGTCGAAGCTCCTGGCTTGTTTGAATGGGATCACGGAATAGCTCTGCATGCACTGCAGGGGAATGGGGCCTCATCTCGCCTCTAGGGGGAAGTCTCATGGTTTTTCTCGAGTTGCGGCGGGGACCTGGGGTATGTTCTCGACTTACGGCGGGGATGGCCCTTCAAAACACGAGTTTCTTCAGTGACGTCAGGACTCCTGTCTAGTAATGAGGGACACCTCAGGAATCTCTTCGAGGCTTGGCAGGGCCAAATTGAGGCTTCTCGAGGTGTGGCAGGGCACCCAAGGACCCTTTCCCGTAGCCACAGGGATTTTGGGATTCCTATCAGTATTCAAGAGGAGTCAGGCATCGTCACATTTTGAAGCAATGAACTCCGCCTGCCTCTCGAGGTGTCAGTGGGATGTGAGGCATTCCGTCAAAATGAGGCAGTGACCTGGGGCTTTCTCTAAGGTCTCCACAGGGGATTCAGACATCCCTTCATGTTGTGAGATGAAAGACGAGCCTGTATTCAAGCCACTGCAAGGAAATCCGGCCTCCTTTCAAGTTAGGGCTTCTCACTGTATATTCCCCTTGAGGCAGCAAACTCGGGGTCCCTCCCACATACCTATTGTTGAGAGAAGCCTCCTCCTGAGGTGCTTCTGGAAAGTTGGCATACGTCTTGAGCCTAAGCCAGGGAATCAGCTCTCATCTCGAGACGATTTGGGTTACACTGAGCATTCCTCGAGTTAATGTGCTGAAGTTGGTGTTCCTCTAGACTTGGGACAGTGTTCTCGGGGCATCTCTGGAGTTGCCTGAAGGAAGTCGAGCCACCAGTTGTGTTGAATGGGGAACGGGGAAGGGCTCTGGAGTCAATGCAGGGGAATCAGGCCTCATCTCGAGTTGATTTGGGGCACATGGAGCTGCTTTGCGTTGCTGGGGTGACTTCAGGGTCCGTCTAGACTGGTGACAGTGTTCTTGGGGTCTGTCTCGAGATCCATTAAGGAAGTCGAAGCTCCTGACTTGTTTGAATGGGATCATGGAATAGCTCTGCATGCACTGCAGGGGAATGGGGCCTCATCTCGCCTCTAGGGGGAATTCTCATGGTTTTTCTCGAGTTGCGGTGAGGACCTGGGGTATGTTCTCGACTTACGGCGGGGATGGCCCTTCAAAACACGAGTTTCTTCAGTGACGTCAGGACTCCTCTCTAGTAAAGAGGGACACCTCAGGAATTTCTTCGAGGCTTGGCAGGGCAAAAGGGACGCTTCTCGAGGTGAGCCAGGGCACCCAGGGACCCATTCCAGTAGCCACGGGGATTTTGGGATTCCTATCAGTGTTCAAGAGGAGTCAGGCATCGTCACCTTTTGAAGCAATGAACTCCGCGTGCCTCTCGAGGTGTCAGTGGGATGTGAGGCATTCCGTCAAAATGAGGCAGGGACCTAGGGCTTTCTCTAAGGTCTCCACAGGGGATTCAGACATCCCTTCAGGATGTGAGATGAAAGACGAGCCTGTATTCAAGCCACTGCAAGGAAATCCGGCCTCCTTTCAAGTTAGGGCTTCTCGCTGTATATTCCCCTTGAGGCAGCAAAGTCGGGGTCCCTACCACATACCTATTGCTTAGAGAAGCCTCCTCCTGAGGTGCTTCTGGAAAGTTGGCAAATGTCTTGAGCCTAAGCCAGGGAATCAGCTCTCATCTCGAGACGATTTGGAGTACACGGAGCATTCCTCGAGTTGCTGTGCTGAAGTTGGTGTTCCTCTAGACTTGGGACAGTGTTCTCGGGGCATCTCTGGAGTTGCCTGAAGGAAGTCGAGCCACCGGTCGTGTTGAATGGGGAACGGGGAATGGCTCTGGAGTCAATGCAGGGGAATCGGGCCTCATCTCGAGTTGATTTAGGGCACATGGAGCTGCTTTGCATTGCTGGGGTGACCTCAGGGTCCGTCTTGACTGGTGACAGTGTTCTTGGGGACTGTCTCGAGATCCATTAAGCAAGTCGAAGCTCCTGACTTGTTTGAATGGAATCACGGAATAGCTCTGCATGCACTGCAGGGGAATGGGGCCTCATCTCCTCTATAGGGGGAAGTCTCATGTCTTTTCTCGAGTTGCGGCGGGGACCTGGGGTATGTTCTCGACTTAAGGCGGGGATGGCCCTTCAAAACATGAGTTTCTTCAGTGACGTCAGGACTCCTGTCTAGTAACGAGGGACACCTCAGGAATCTCTTCGAGGCTTGGCAGGGCAAAAGGGACGCTTGTCGAGGTGAGGCAGGGCACCCAAGGACCCTTTCCCGTAGCCACAGGGATTTTGGGATTCCTATCAGCATTCAAGAGGAGTCAGGCATCGTCACCTTTTGAAGCAATGAACTCCGCGTGCCTCTCGAGGTGTCAGCGGGATGTGAGGCATTCCGTCAAAATGTGGCAGGGACCTTGGGCTTTCTCTAAGGTCTCCACAGGGGATTCAGACATCCCTTCATGTTGTGAGATGAAAGACGAGCCTGTATTCAAGCCACTGCAAGGAAATCCGGCCTCCTTTCAAGTTAGGGCTTCTCGCTGTATATTCCCCTTGAGGCAGCAAACTCGGGGTCCCTCCCACAAACCTATTGCTGAGAGAAGCCTCCTCCTGAGGTGCTTCTGAAAGCTGGCATATGTCTTGAGCCTAAGCCAGGGAATCAGCTCTCATCTCGAGATGATTTGGGGTACACGGAGCATTCCTCGAGTTCTGTGCTTAAGTTGGTGTTCCTCTAGACTTGGGACAGTGTTCTCGGGGAATCTCTGGAGTTGCCTGAAGGAAGTCGAGCCACCGGTCGTGTTGAATGGGGAACGGGGAATGGCTCTGGAGTCAATGCAGGGGAATCGGGCCTCATCTCGAGTTGATTTGGGGCACATGGAGCTGCTTTGCGTTGCTGGGGTGACCTCAGGGTCCGTCTAGACTGGTGACAGTGTTCTTGGGGACTGTCTCGAGATCCATTAAGCAAGTCGAAGCTCGTGTCTTGTTTGAATGGGATCACGGAATAGCTCTGCATGCACTGCAGGGGAATGGGGCCTCATCTCGCCTCTAGGGGGAAGTCTCATGGTTTTCCTCGAGTTGCGGCGGGGACCTGGGGTATGTTCTCGGCGTACGGCGGGGAAGGCCCTTCAAAACACGAGTTTCTTCAGTGACGTCTGGACTCCTGACTAGTAACGAGGGACACCTCAGGAATCTCTTCGAGGCTTGGCAGGGCAAAAGGAACGCTGCTCGAGGTGAGGCAGGGCACCCAAGGACCCTTTCCAGTAGCCACAGGGATTTTGGGATTCCTATCAGTATTCAAGAGGAGTCAGGCATCGTCACCTTTTGAAGCAATGAACTCCGCGTGCCTCTCGAGGTGTCAGCAGGATTGGAGGCATTCCGTCAAAATGAGGCAGGGACCTAGGGCTTTCTCTAAGGTCTCCACAGGGGATTCAGTCATCCCTTCATGTTGTGAGATGAAAGACGAGCCTGTATTCAAGCCCCTGCAAGGAAATCCGGCCTCCTTTCAAGTTAGGGCTTCTCGCTGTATATTCCCCTTGAGGCAGCAAACTCGGGGTCCCTCCCACATACATATTGCTGAGAGAAGCCTCCTCCTGAGGTGCTTCTGGAAACTTGGCATATGTCTTGAGCCTACGCCAGGGAATCAGCTCCCATCTCGAGACGATTTGGGGTACACGGAGCATTCCTCGAGTTAATGTGCTGAAGTTGATGTTCCTCTAGACTTGGACAGTGTTCTCGGGGCATCTCTGGAGTTGCCTGAAGGAAGTCGAGCCACCGGTCGTGTTGAATGGGGAACAGGGAATGGCTCTGGAGTCAATGCAGGGGAATCAGGCCTCATCTCGAGTTGATTTGGGGCACATGGATCTGCTTTGCGTTGCTGGGGTGACCTCAGGGTCCGTCTAGACTGGTGACAGTGTTCTTGGGGACTGTCTCGTGATCCATTAAGCAAGTCGAAGCTCCTGACTTGTTTGAATGGGATCACGGAATAGCTCTGCCTGCACTGCAGGGGAATGGGGCCTCATCTCGCCTCTAGGGGGAAGTCTCATGGTTTTTCTCGAGTTGCGGCGGGGACCTGGGGTATGTTCTCGACTGACGGCGGGGATGGCCCTTCAAAACACGAGTTTCTTCAGTGACGTCAGGACTCCTGTCTAGTAACGAGGGACACCTCAGGAATCTCTTCGAGGCTTGGCAGGGCAAAAGGGACGCTTCTCGAGGTGAGGCAGGGCACCCAAGGACCCTTTCCAGTAGCCACAGGGATTTTGGGATTCCTATCAGTATTCAAGAGGAGTCAGGCATCGTCACCTTTTGAAGCAATGAACTCCGCGTGCCTCTCGAGGTGTCAGCGGGATGTGAGGTATTCCGTCAAAATGAGGCAGGGACCTAGGGCTTTCTCTAAGGTCTCCACAGGGGATTCAGACATCCCTTCATGTTGTGAGATGAAAGACGAGCCTGTATTCAAGCCACTGCAAGGAAATCCGGCCTCCTTTCAAGTTAGGGCTTCTCGCTGTATATTCCCCTTGAGGCAGCAAACTCGGGGTCCCTCCCACATACCTATTGCTGAAAGAAGCCTCCTCCTGAGGTGCTTCTGGAAAGTTGGCATACGTCTTGAGCCTAAGCCAGGGAATCAGCTCTCATCTCGAGACGATTTGGGTTACACGGAGCATTCCTCGAGTTAATGTGCTGAAGTTGGTGTTCCTCTAGACTTGGGACAGTGTTCTCAGGGCATCTCTGGAGTTGCCTGAAGGAAGTCAAGCCACCTGTCCTGTTGAATGGGGAACGGGGAATGGCTCTGGAGTCAATGCAGGGGAATCGGGCCTCATCTCAAGTTGATATGGGGCACATGGAGCTGCTTTGCTTTGCTGGGTTGACCTCAGGGTCCGTCTAGACTGGTGACAGTGTTCTTGGGGACTGTCTCGAGATCCATTAAGCAAGTCGAAGCTCCTGACTTGTTTGAATGGGATCACGGAATAGCTCTGCATGCACTGCAGGGGAATGGGGCCTCATCTCGCCTCTCGGGGGAAGTCTCATGGTTTTGCTCGTGTTGGGGCGGGGACCTGGGGTATGTTCTCGACTTACGGCGGGGATCGCCCTTCAAAACACGAGTTTCTTCAGTGACGTCAGGACTCCTCTCTAGTAAAGAGGGACACCTCAGGAATCTCTTCGAGGCTTGGCAGGGCAAAAGGGACGCTTCTCGATGTGAGGCAGGGCACCCAAGCACCCTTTCCCGTAGCCACACGGATTTTGGGATTACTATCAGTATTCAAGAGGAGTCAGGCATCGTCACCTTTTGAAGCAATGAACTCCGCGTGCCTCTCGAGGTGTCAGCGGGATGTGAGGCATTCCGTCAAAATGAGGCAGGGACCTAGGGCTTTCTCTAAGGTCTCCACAGGGGATTCAGACATCCCTTCATGTTGTGAGATGAAAGACGAGCCTTTATTCAAGCCACTGCAAGGAAATCCGGCCTCCTTTCAAGTTAGGGCTTCTCGCTGTATATTCCCCTTGAGGCAGCAAACTCGGGGACCCTCCCACATACCTATTGCTGAGAGAAGCCTCCTCCTGAGGTGCTTCTGGAAAGTTGGCATACGTCTTGAGCCTAAGCCAGGGAATCAGCTCTCATCTCGAGACGATTTGGGGTACACGGATCATTCCTCGAGTTAATGTGCTGAAGTTGGTGTTCCTCTAGACTTGGGACAGTGTTCTCGGGGCATTTCTGGAGTTGCCTGAAGGAAGTCGAGCCACCGGTCGTGTTGAATGGGGAACAGGGAATGGCTCTGGAGTCAATGCAGGGGAATCAGGCCTCATCTCGAGTTGATTTGGGGCACATGGATCTGCTTTGCGTTGCTGGGGTGACCTCAGTGTCCGTCTAGACTGGTGACAGTGTTCTTGGGGACTGTCTCGTGATCCATTAAGCAAGTCGAAGCTACTGACTTGTTTGAATGGGATCACGGAATAGCTCAGCCTGCACTGCAGGGGAATGGGGCCTCATCTCGCCTCGAGGGGGAAGTCTCATGGTTTTTCTCGAGTTGCGGCGGAGACCTGGGGTATGTTCTCGACTTACGGCGGGGATGGCCCTTCAAAACACGAGTTTCTTCAGTGACGTCAGGACTACTGACTAGTAACGAGGGACACCTCAGGAATCTCTTCGAGGCTTGGCAGGGCAAAAGGAACGCTGCTCGAGGTGAGGCAGGGCACCCAAGGACCCTTTCCAGTAGCCACAGGGATTTTGGGATTCCTATCAGTATTCAAGAGGAGTCAGGCATCGTCACCTTTTGAAGCAATGAACTCCGCGTGCCTCTCGAGGTGTCAGCAGGATTGGAGGCATTCCGTCAAAATGAGGCAGGGACCTAGGGCTTTCTCTAAGGTCTCCACAGGGGATTCAGACATCCCTTCATGTTGTGAGATGAAAGACGAGCCTGTATTCAAGCCACTGCAAGGAAATCCGGCCTCCTTTCAAGTTAGGGCTTCTCGCTCTATATTCCCCTTGAGGCAGCAAACTCGGGGTCCCTCCCACATACCTATTGCTGAGAGAAGCCTCCTCCTGAGGTGCTTCTGGAAACTTGGCATATGTCTTGAGCCTACGCCAGGGAATCAGCTCCCATCTCGAGACGATTTGGGGTACACGGAGCATTCCTCGAGTTAATGTCCTGAAGTTGGTGTTCCTCTAGACTTGGACAGTGTTCTCGGGGCATCTCTGGAGTTGCCTGAAGGAAGTCGAGCCACCGGTCGTGTTGAATGGGGAACAGGGAATGGCTCTGGAGTCAATGCAGGGGAATCAGGCCTCATCTCGAGTTGATTTGGGGCACATGGATCTGCTTTGTGTTGCTGGGGTGATCTCAGGGTCCGTCTAGACTGGTGACAGTGTTCTTGGGGACTGTCTCGTGATCCATTAAGCAAGTCGAAGCTCCAGACTTGTTTGAATGGGATCACGGAATAGCTCTGCCTGCACTGCAGGGGAATGGGGCCTCATCTCGCCTCTAGGGGGAAGTCTCATGGTTTTTCTCGAGTTGCGGCGGGGACCTGGGGTATGTTCTCGACTTACGGCGGGGATGGCCCTTCAAAACACGAGTTTCTTCAGTGACGTCAGGACTCCTGTCTAGTAACGAGGGACACCTCAGGAATCTCTTCGAGGCTTGGCAGGGCAAAAGGGACGCTTCTCGAGGTGAGGCAGGGCACCCAAGGACCCTTTCCAGTAGCCACAGGGATTTTGGGATTCCTATCAGTATTCAAGAGGAGTCAGGCATCGTCACCTTTTGAAGCAATGAACTCCGCGTGCCTCTCGAGGTGTCAGCGGGATGTGAGGTATTCCGTCAAAATGAGGCAGGGACCTAGGGCTTTCTCTAAGGTCTCCACAGGGGATTCAGACATCCCTTCATGTTGTGAGATGAAAGACGAGCCTGTATTCAAGCCACTGCAAGGAAATCCGGCCTCCTTTCAAGTTAGGGCTTCTCGCTGTATATTCCCCTTGAGGCAGCAAACTCGGGGTCCCTCCCACATATCTATTGCTGAGAGAAGCCTCCTCCTGAGGTGCTTCTGGAAAGTTGGCATACGTCTTGAGCCTAAGCCAGGGAATCAGCTCTCATCTCGAGACGATTTGGGTTACACGGAGCATTCCTCGAGTTAATGTGCTGAAGTTGGTGTTCCTCTAGACTTGGGACAGTGTTCTCAGGGCATCTCTGGAGTTGCCTGAAGGAAGTCAAGCCACCTGTCCTGTTGAATGGGGAACGGGGAATGGCTCTGGAGTCAATGCAGGGGAATCGGGCCTCATCTCAAGTTGATATGGGGCACATGGAGCTGCTTTGCTTTGCTGGGTTGACCTCAGGGTCCGTCTAGACTGGTGACAGTGTTCTTGGGGACTGTCTCGAGATCCATTAAGCAAGTCGAAGCTCCTGACTTGTTTGAATGGGATCACGGAATAGCTCTGCATGCACTGCAGGGGAATGGGGCCTCATCTCGCCTCTCGGGGGAAGTCTCATGGTTTTCCTCGTGTTGGGGCGGGGACATGGGGTATGTTCTCGACTTACGGCGGGGATGGCCCTTCAAAACACGAGTTTCTTCAGTGACGTCAGGACTCCTCTCTAGTAAAGAGGGACACCTCAGGAATCTCTTCGAGGCTTGGCAGGGCAAAAGGGACGCTTCTCTATGTGAGGCAGGGCACCCAAGCAGCCTTTCCCGTAGCCACACGGATTTTGGGATTCCTATCAGTATTCAAGAGGAGTCAGGCATCGTCACCTTTTGAAGCAATGAACTCCGCGTGCCTCTCGAGGTGTCAGCGGGATGTGAGGCATTCCGTCAAAATGAGGCAGGGACCTAGGGCTTTCTCTAAGGTCTCCACAGGGGATTCAGACATCCCTTCATGTTGTGAGATGAAAGACGAGCCTTTATTCAAGCCACTGCAAGGAAATCCGGCCTCCTTTCAAGTTAGGGCTTCTCGCTCTATATTCCCCTTGAGGCAGCAAACTCGGGGACCCTCCCACATACCTATTGCTGAGAGAAGCCTCCTCCTGAGGTGCTTCTGGAAAGTTGGCATACGTCTTGAGCCTAAGCCAGGGAATCAGCTCTCATCTCGAGACGATTTGGGGTACACGGATCATTCCTCGAGTTAATGTGCTGAAGTTGGTGTTCCTCTAGACTTGGGACAGTGTTCTCGGGGCATTTCTGGAGTTGCCTGAAGGAAGTCGAGCCACCGGTCGTGTTGAATGGGGAACAGGGAATGGCTCTGGAGTCAATGCAGGGGAATCAGGCCTCATCTCGAGTTGATTTGGGGCACATGGATCTGCTTTGCGTTGCTGGGGTGACCTCAGTGTCCGTCTAGACTGGTGACAGTGTTCTTGGGGACTGTCTCGTGATCCATTAAGCAAGTCGAAGCTACTGACTTGTTTGAATGGGATCACGGAATAGCTCTGCCTGCACTGCAGGGGAATGGGGCCTCATCTCGCCTCGAGGGGGAAGTCTCATGGTTTTTCTCGAGTTGCGGCGGGGACCTGGGGTATGTTCTCGACTTACGGCGGGGATGGCCCTTCAAAACACGAGTTTCTTCAGTGACGTCAGGACTCCTGTCTAGTAAAGAGGAACACCTCAGGAATCTCTTCGAGGCTTGGCAGGGCCAAATTGAGGCTTCTCGAGGTGAGGCAGGGCACCCAAGGACCCTTTCCAGTAGCCACAGGGATTTTGGGATTCCTATCAGTATTCAAGAGGAGTCAGGCATCGTCACCTTTTGAAGCAATGAACTCCGCGTGCCTCTCGAGGTGTCAGCGGGATGTGAGGCATTCCGTCAAAATGTGGCAGGGACCTAGGGCTTTCTCTAAGGTCTCCACAGGGGATTCAGACATCCCTTCATGTTGTGAGATGAAAGACGAGCCTGTATTCAAGCCACTGCAAGGAAATCCGGCCTCCTTTCAAGTTAGGGCTTCTCGCTGTATATTCCCCTTGAGGCAGCAAACTCGGGGTCCCTCCCACAAACCTATTGCTGAGAGAAGCCCTCTCCTGAGGTGCTTGTGAAAGCTGGCATATGTCTTGAGCCTAAGCCAGGGAATCAGCTCTCATCTCGAGACCATTTGGGGTACACGGAGCATTCCTCGAGTTGCTGTGCTGAAGTTGGTGTTCCTCTAGACTGGGGACAGTGTTCTCGGGGCATCTCTGGAATTGCCTGAAGGAAGTCGAGCCACCGGTCGTGTTGAATGGGGAACGGGGAATGGCTCTGGGGTCAATGCAGGGGAATCGGGCCTCATCTCGAGTTGATTTGGGGCACATGGAGCTGCTTTGCGTTGCTGGGGTGACCTCAGGGTCCGTCTAGACAGGTGACAGTGTTCTTGGGGACTGTCTCGAGATCCATTAAGCAAGTCGAAGCTCGTGTCTTGTTTGAATGGGATCACGGAATAGCTCTGCATGCACGGCAGGGGAATGGGACCTCATCTCGCCTCTAGGGGGAAGTCTCATGGTTTTCCTCGAGTTGTGGCGGGGACCTGGGGTATGTTCTCGACGTACAGCGGGGATGGCCCTTCAAAACACGAGTTTCTTCAGTGACGTCTGGACTCCTGACTAGTAACGAGGGACACCTCAGGAATCTCTTCGAGCCTTGGCAGGGCAAAAGGAACGCTTCTCGAGGTGAGGCAGGGCACCCAAGGACCCTTTCCAGTAGCCACAGGGATTTTGGGATTCCTATCAGTATTCAAGAGGAGTCAGGCATCGTCACCTTTTGAAGCAATGAACTCCGCGTGCCTCTCGAGATGTCAGCAGGATTGGAGGCATTCCGTCAAAATGAGGCAGGGACCTAGGGCTTTCTCTAAGGTCTCCACAGGGGATTCAGACATCCCTTCATGTTGTGAGATGAAAGACGAGCCTGTATTCAAGCCACTGCAAGGAAATCCGGCCTCCTTTCAAGTTAGGGCTTCTCGCTGTATATTCCCCTTGAGGCAGCAAACTCGGGGTCCCTCCCACATACCTATTGCTGCGAGAAGCCTCCTCCTGAGGTGCTTCTGTAAAGTTGGCATACGTCTTGAGCCTAAGCCAGGGAATCAGCTCTCATCTCGAGACGATTTGGGTTCTACGGAGCATTCCTCGAGTTAATGTGCTGAAGTTGGTGTTCCTCTAGACTTGGGACAGTGTTCTCAGGGCATCTCTAGAGTTGCCTGAAGGAATTCAAGCCACCTGTCCTGTTGAATGGGGAACGGGGAATGGCTCTGGAGTCAATGCAGGGGAATCGGGCCTCATCTCGAGTTGATTTGGGGCACATGGATCTGCTTTGCGTTGCTGGGGTGACCTCAGGGTCCGTCTAGACTGGTGACAGTGTTCTTGGGGACTGTCTCGAGATCCATTAAGCAAGTCGAAGCTCCTGACTTGTTTGAATGGGATCATGGAATAGCTCTGCATGCACTGCAGGGGAATGGGGCCTCATCTCGCCTCTAGGGGGAATTCTCATGGTTTTTCTCGAGTTGCGGCGAGGACCTGGGGTATGTTCTCGACTTACGGCGGGGATGGCCCTTCAAAACACGAGTTTCTTCAGTGACGTCAGGACTCCTCTCTAGTAAAGAGGGACACCTCAGGAATCTCTTCGAGGCTTGGCAGGGCAAAAGGGACGCTTCTCGAGGTGAGCCAGGGCACCCAGGGACCCATTCCAGTAGCCACGGGGATTTTGGGATTCCTATCAGTGTTCAAGAGGAGTCAGGCATCGTCACCTTTTGAAGCAATGAACTCCGCGTGCCTCTCGAGGTGTCAGTGGGATGTGAGGCATTCCGTCAAAATGAGGCAGGGACCTAGGGCTTTCTCTAAGGTCTCCACAGGGGATTCAGACATCCCTTCAGGATGTGAGATGAAAGACGAGCCTGTATTCAAGCCACTGCAAGGAAATCCGGCCTCCTTTCAAGTTAGGGCTTCTCGCTGTATATTCCCCTTGAGGCAGTAAAGTCGGGGTCCCTACCACATACCTATTGCTTAGAGAAGCCTCCTCCTGAGGTGCTTCTGGAAAGTTGGCAAATGTCTTGAGCCTAAGCCAGGGAATCAGCTCTCATCTCGAGACGATTTGGAGTACACGGAGCATTCCTCGAGTTGCTGTGCTGAAGTTGGTGTTCCTCTAGACTTGGGACAGTGTTCTCGGGGCATCTCTGGAGTTGCCTGAAGGAAGTCGAGCCACCGGTCGTGTTGAATGGGGAACGGGGAATGGCTCTGGAGTCAATGCAGGGGAATCGGGCCTCATCTCGAGTTGATTTGGGGCACATGGAGCTGCTTTGCATTGCTGGGGTGACCTCAGGGTCCGTCTTGACTGGTGACAGTGTTCTTGGGGACTGTCTCCATATCCATTAAGCAAGTCGAAGCTCCTGACTTATTTGAATGGGATCACGGAATAGCTCTGCATGCACTGCAGGAGAATGGGGCCTAATGTCGCCTCTAGGGGGAAGTCTCATGGTTTTTCTCGAGTTGCGGCGGGGACCTGGGGTATGTTCTCGACTTACGGCGGGGATGGCCCTTCAAAACACGAGTTTCTTCAGTGACGTCAGGACTCCTGTCTAGTAACGAGGGACACCTCAGGAATCTCTTCGACCTATGGCAGGGCAAAAGGGATGCTTCTCGAGGTGAGGCAGGGCACCCAAGGACCCTTTCCCGTAGCCACAGGGATTTGGGGATTCCTATCAGTATTCAAGAGGAGTCAGGCATCGTCACCTTTTGAAGCAATGAACTCCGCGTGACTCTCGTAGTGTCTGCCGGATGTGAGGCATTCCGTCAAAATGAGGCATGGACCTAGGGCTTTCTCTAAGGTCTCCACAGGGGATTCAGACATCCCTTCATGTTGTGAGATGAAAGACGAGCCTGTATTGAAGCCACTGCAAGGAAATCTGGCCTCCTTTCATGTTAGAGCTTCTCGCTGTATATGCCCATTGAAGCAGCAAACTCGGGGTCCCTCCCACATACCTATTGCTGAGAGAAGCCTCCTCCTGAGGTGCTTCTGGAAAGCTGGCATATGTCTTGAGCCTAAGCCAGGGAATCAGCTCTCATCTCGAGACGATTTGGGGTACATGGACCATTCCTCGAGTTGCTGTACTGAAGTTGGTGTTCCTCTAGACTTGGGACAGTGTTCTCGGGGAATCTCTGGAGTTACCTGAGGGAAGTCGAGCCACCGGTCGTGTTGAATGGGGAACGGGGAATGGCTCTGGAGTCAATGCAGGGGAATCGGGCCTCATCTCGACTTGATTTGGGGCACATGGAGCTGCTTTGCGTTGCTGGGGTGACCTCAGGGTCCGTCTAGACTGGTTACAGTGTTCTTGGGGACTGTCTCGACATCCATTAAGCAAGTCGAAGCTCCTGACTTGTTTGAATGGAATCACGGAATAGCTCTGCATGCACTGCAGGGGAATGGGGCCTCATCTCCTCTATAGGGGGAAGTCTCATGTTTTTTCTCGAGTTGCGGCGGGGACCTGGGGTATGTTCTCGACTTAAGGCGGGGATGGCCCTTCAAAACATGAGTTTCTTCAGTGACGTCAGGACTCCTGTCTAGTAACGAGGGACACCTCAGGAATCTCTTCGAGGCTTGGCAGGGCAAAAGGGACGCTTGTCGAGGTGAGGCAGGGCACCCAAGGACCCTTTCCCGTAGCCACAGGGATTTTGGGATTCCTATCAGCATTCAAGAGGAGTCAGGCATCGTCACCTTTTGAAGCAATGAACTCCTCGTGCCTCTCGAGGTGTCAGCGGGATGTGAGGCATTCCGTCAAAATGTGGCAGGGACCTAGGGCTTTCTCTAAGGTCTCCACAGGGGATTCAGACATCCCTTCATGTTGTGAGATGAAAGACGAGCCTGTATTCAAGCCACTGCAAGGAAATCCGGCCTCCTTTCAAGTTAGGGCTTCTCGCTCTATATTCCCCTTGAGGCAGCAAACTCGGGGTCCCTCCCACAAACCTATTGCTGAGAGAAGCCTCCTCCTGAGGTGCTTCTGAAAGCTGGCATATGTCTTGAGCCTAAGCCAGGGATTCAGCTCTCATCTCGAGATGATTTGGGGTACACGGAGCATTCCTCGAGTTCTGTGCTTAAGTTGGTGTTCCTCTAGACTTGGGACAGTGTTCTCGGGGAATCTCTGGAGTTGCCTGAAGGAAGTCGAGCCACCGGTCGTGTTGAATGGGGAATGGGGAATGGCTCTGGAGTCAATGCAGGGGAATCGGGCCTCATCTCGAGTTGATTTGGGGCACATGGAGCTGCTTTGCGTTGCTGGGGTGACATCAGGGTCCGTCTAGACTGGTGACAGTGTTCTTGGGGACTGTCTCGAGATCCATTAAGCAAGTCGAAGCTCGTGTCTTGTTTGAATGGGATCACGGAATAGCTCTGCATGCACTGCAGGGGAATGGGGCCTCATCTCGCCTCTAGGGGGAAGTCTCATGGTTTTCCTCGAGTTGCGGCGGGGACCTGGGGTATGTTCTCGGCGTACGGCGGGGATGGCCCTTCAAAACACGAGTTTCTTCAGTGACGTCTGGACTCCTGACTAGTAACGAGGGACACCTCAGGAATCTCTTCGAGGCTTGGCAGGGCAAAAGGAACGCTGCTCGAGGTGAGGCAGGGCACCCAAGGACCCTTTCCAGTAGCCACAGGGATTTTGGGATTCCTATCAGTATTCAAGAGGAGTCAGGCATCGTCACCTTTTGAAGCAATGAACTCCGCGTGCCTCTCGAGGTGTCAGCAGGATTGGAGGCATTCCGTCAAAATGAGGCAGGGACCTAGGGCTTTCTCTAAGGTCTCCACAGGGGATTCAGACATCCCTTCATGTTGTGAGATGAAAGACGAGCCTGTATTCAAGCCACTGCAAGGAAATCCGGCCTCCTTTCAAGTTAGGGCTTCTCGCTCTATATTCCCCTTGAGGCAGCAAACTCGGGGTCCCTCCCACATACCTATTGCTGAGAGAAGCCTCCTCCTGAGGTGCTTCTGGAAACTTGGCATATGTCTTGAGCCTACGCCAGGGAATCAGCTCCCATCTCGAGACGATTTGGGGTACACGGAGCATTCCTCGAGTTAATGTGCTGAAGTTGGTGTTCCTCTAGACTTGGACAGTGTTCTCGGGGCATCTCTGGAGTTGCCTGAAGGAAGTCGAGCCACCGGTCGTGTTGAATGGGGAACAGGGAATGGCTCTGGAGTCAATGCAGGGGAATCAGGCCTCATCTCGAGTTGATTTGGGGCACATGGATCTGCTTTGCGTTGCTGGGGTGACCTCAGGGTCCGTCTAGACTGGTGACAGTGTTCTTGGGGACTGTCTCGTGATCCATTAAGCAAGTCGAAGCTCCTGACTTGTTTGAATGGGATCACGGAATAGCTCTGCCTGCACTGCAGGGGAATGGGGCCTCATCTCGCCTCTAGGGGGAAGTCTCATGGTTTTTCTCGAGTTGCGGCGGGGACCTGGGGTATGTTCTCGACTTACGGCGGGGATCGCCCTTCAAAACACGAGTTTCTTCAGTGACGTCAGGACTCCTCTCTAGTAAAGAGGGACACCTCAGGAATCTCTTCGAGGCTTGGCAGGGCAAAAGGGACGCTTCTCGATGTGAGGCAGGGCACCCAAGCAGCCTTTCCCGTAGCCACACGGATTTTGGGATTCCTATCAGTATTCAAGAGGAGTCAGGCATCGTCACCTTTTGAAGCAATGAACTCCGCGTGCCTCTCGAGGTGTCAGCGGGATGTGAGGCATTCCGTCAAAATGAGGCAGGGACCTAGGGATTTCTCTAAGGTCTCCACAGGGGATTCAGACATCCCTTCATGTTGTGAGATGAAAGACGAGCCTTTATTCAAGCCACTGCAAGGAAATCCGGCCTCCTTTCAAGTTAGGGCTTCTTGCTGTATATTCCCCTTGAGGCAGCAAACTCGGGGTCCCTCCCACATACCTATTGCTGAGAGAAGCCTCGTCCTGAGGTGCTTCTGGAAAGTTGGCATATGTCTTGAGCCTAAGCCAGGGAATCAGCTCTCATCTCGAGACGATTTGGGGTACACGGATCATTCCTCGAGTTAATGTGCTGAAGTTGGTGTTCCTCTAGACTTGGGAGAGTGTTCTCGGGGCATTTCTGGAGTTGCCTGAAGGAAGTCGAGCCACCGGTCGTGTTGAATGGGGAACAGGGAATGGCTCTGGAGTCAATGCAGGGGAATCAGGCCTCATCTCGAGTTGATTTGGGGCACATGGATCTGCTTTGCGTTGCTGGGGTGACCTCAGTGTCCGTCTAGACTGGTGACAGTGTTCTTGGGGACTGTCTCGTGATCCATTAAGCAAGTCGAAGCTACTGACTTGTTTGAATGGGATCACAGAATAGCTCTGCCTGCACTGCAGGGGAATGGGGCCTCATCTCGCCTCTCGGGGGAAGTCTCATGGTTTTTCTCGAGTTGCGGCGGGGACCTGGGGTATGTTCTCGACTTACGGCGGGGATGGCCCTTCAAAACACGAGTTTCTTCAGTGACGTCAGGACTCCTGTCTAGTAAAGAGGAACACCTCAGGAATCTCTTCGAGGCTTGGCAGGGCAAAAGGGACGCTTCTCGAGGTGAGGCAGGGCACCCAAGGACCCTTTCCAGTAGCCACAGGGATTTTGGGATTCCTATCAGTATTCAAGAGGAGTCAGCCATCGTCACCTTTTGAAGCAATGAACTCCGCGTGCCTCTCGAGGTGTCAGCGGGATGTGAGGCATTCCGTCAAAATGAGGCAGGGACCTAGGGCTTTCTCTAAGGTCTCCACAGGGGATTCAGACATCACTTCATGTTGTGAGATGAAAGACGAGCCTGTATTCAAGCCACTGCAAGGAAATCCGGCCTCCTTTCAAGTTAGGGCTTCTCGCTGTATATTCCCCTTGAGGCAGCAAACTCGGGGTCCCTCCCACATACCTATTGCTGAGAGAAGCCTCCTCCTGAGGTGCTTCTGGAAAGTTGCCATACGTCTTGAGCCTAAGCCAGGGAATCAGCTCTCATCTCGAGACGACTTGGGGTACACGGAGCATTCCTCGAGTTGCTGTGCTGAAGTTGGTGTTCCTCTAGACTTGGGACAGTGTTCTCGGGGCATCTCTGGAGTTGCCTGAAGGAAGTCAAGCCACCTGTCCTGTTGAATGGGGAACGGGGAATGGCTCTGGAGTCAATGCAGGGGAATCGGGCCTCATCTCGAGTTGATTTGGGGCACATGGAGCTGCTTTGCTTTGCTGGGGTGACCTCAGGGTCCGTCTAGACTGGTGACAGTGTTCTTGGGGACTGTCTCGAGATCCATTAAGCAAGTCGAAGCTCCTGACTTGTTTGAATGGGATCACGGAATAGCTCTGCATGCACTGCAGGGGAATGGGGCCTCATCTCGCCTCTAGGGGGATTCTCATGGTTTTTCTCGAGTTGCGGCGGGGACCTGCGGTATGTTCTCGACTTACGGCGGGGATGGCCCTTCAAAACACGAGTTTCTTCAGTGACGTCAGGACTCCTGTCTAGTAAAGAGGGACACCTCAGGAATCTCTTCGATTCTTGGCAGGGCAAAAGGGACGCTTCTCGATGTGAGGCAGGGCACCCAAGCAGCCTTTCCCGTAGCCACACGGAATTTGGGATTCCTATCAGTATTCAAGAGGAGTCAGGCATCGTCACCTTTTGAAGCAATGAACTCCGCGTGCCTCTCGAGGTGTCAGCGGGATGTGAGGCATTCCGTCAAAATGAGGCAGGGACCTAGGGCTTTCTCTAAGGTCTCCACAGGGGATTCAGACATCCCTTCATGTTGTGAGATGAAAGACGAGCCTGTATTCAAGCCACTGCAAGGAAATCCGGCCTCCTTTCAACTTAGGGCTTCTCGCTGTATATTCCCCTTGAGGCAGCAAACCCGGGGTCCCTCCCACATACCTATTGCTGAGAGAAGCCTCCTCCTGAGGTGCTTCTGGTAAGTTGGCATATGTCTTGAGCCTAAGCCAGGGAATCAGCTCTCATCTCGAGACGATTTGTTGTACACGGAGCATTCCTCGAGTTGCTGTGTTGAAGTTGGTGTTCCTCTAGACTTGGGACAGTGTTCTCGGGGCATCTCTGGAGTTGCCTGAAGGAAGTCGAGCCACTGGTCGTGTTGAATATGGAACGGGGAATGGCTCTGGAGTCAATGCAGGGGAATCGGGCCTCATCTCGAGTTGATTTGGGGCACATGGAGCTGCTTTGCGTTGCTGGGGTGACCTCAGGGTCCATCTGGACTGGTGACAGTGTTCTTGGGGACTGTCTCGAGATCCATTAAGCAAGTCGAAGCTCCTGACTTGTTTGAATGGGATCACGGAATAGCTCTGCATGCACTGCAGGGGAATGGGGCCTCATGTCGCCTCTAGGGGGAAGTCTCATGGTTTTACTCGAGTTGCGGCGGGGACCTGGGTTATGTTCTCGACTTACGGCGGGGATGGCCCTTAAAAACACGAGTTTCTTCAGTGACGTCAGGACTCCTGTCTAGTAACGAGGGACACCTCAGGAATCTCTTTGAGGCTTAGCAGGGCAAAAGGTACGCTTCTCGAGGTGAGGCAGGGCACCCAAGGACCCTTTCCCGTAGCCACAGGGATTTTGGGATTCCTATCAGTATTCAAGAGGAGTCAGGCATCGTCACCTTTTGAAGCAATGAACTCCGCGTGCCTCTCGAGGTGTCAGCGGGATGTGAGGCATTCCGTCAAAATTAGGCAGGGACCTAGGGCTTTCTCTAAGCGCTCCACAGGGGATTCAGACATCCCTTCATGTTGTGAGATGAAAGACGAGCCTGTATTCAAACCACTGCAAGGAAATCTGGCCTCCTTTCAAGTTAGGGCTTCTCGCTGTATAATCCCCTTGAGGCAGCAAACTCGGGGTCCTCCCACATACCTATTGCTGAGAGAAGCCTCCTCCTGAGGTGCTTCTGGAAAGTTGGCATATGTCTTGAGCCTAAGCCAGGGAATCAGCTCTCATCTCGAGACGATTTGAGGTACACGGAGCATTCCTCGAGTTGCTGTGTTGAAGTTGGTGTTCCTCTAGACTTGGGACAGTGTTCTCGGGGCATCTCTGGAGTTGCCTGAAGGAAGTCGAGCCACCAGTCGGGTTGAATGTGGAACGGGGAATGGCTCTGGAGTCAATGCAGGGGAATCAGGCCTCACCTCGAGTTGATTTGGTGCACATGGAGCTGCTTTGTGTTGCTGGGGTGACCTCAGGGTCCGTCTAGACTGGTGACAGTGTTCTTGGGGACTGTCTCGAGAACCATTAAGCAAGTCGAAGCTCCTGACTTGTTTGAATGGGATCATGGAATAGCTCTGCATGCACTGCAGGGGAATGGGGCCTCATCTCGCCTCTAGGGGGAAGTCTCATGTTTTTCTCGAGTTGCGGCGGGGACCTGGGGTATGTTCTCGACTTACGGCGGGGCTGGCCCTTCAAAACACGAGTTTCTTCAGTGACGTCAGGACTCCTGTCTAGTAAAGAGGGACACCTCAGGAATCTCTTCGATTCTTAGCAGGGCAAAAGGTACGCTTCTCGAGCTGAGGCAGGGCACCCAAGGACCCTTTCCCGTAGCCACAGGGATTTTGGGATTCCTATCAGTATTCAAGAGGAGTCAGGCATCGTCACCTTTTGAAGCAATGAACTCCGCGTGCGTCTCGAGGTGTCAGCGGGATGTGAGGCATTCCGTCAAAATGAGGAAGTGACCTAGGGCTTTCTCTAAGGTCTCCACAGGGGGTTCAGACATCCCTTCATGTTGTGAGATGAAAGACGAGCCTGTATTCAAGCCACTGCAAGGAAATCCGGCCTCCTTTCAAGTTAGGGCTTCTCGCTGTATATTCCCCTTGAGGCAGCAAACCCGGGGTCCCTCCCACATACCAATTGCTGAGAGAAGCCTCCTCCTGAGGTGCTTCTGGAAAGTTGGCATATGTCTTGAGCCTAAGCCAGGGAATCAGCTCTCATCTCGAGACGATTTGGTGTACACGGAGCATTCCTCGAGTTGCTGTGTTGAAGTTGGTGTTCCTCTAGACTTGGGACAGTGTTCTCGGGGCATCTCTGGAGTTGCCTGAAGGAAGTCGAGCCACTGGTCGTGTTGAATATGGAACGGGGAATGGCTCTGGAGTCAATGCAGGGGAATCGGGCCTCATCTCGAGTCGATTTGGGGCACATGGAGCTGCTTTGCGTTGCTGGGGTGACCTCAGGGTCCATCTGGACTGGTGACAGTGTTCTTGGGGACTGTCTCGAGATCCATTAAGCAAGTCGAAGCTCGTGACTTGTTTGAATGGGATCACGGAATAGCTCTGCATGCACTGCAGGGGAATGGGGCCTCATGTCGCCTCTAGGGGGAAGTCTCATGGTTTTACTCGAGTTGCGGCGGGGACCTGGGTTATGTTCTCGACTTACGGCGGGGATGGCCCTTAAAAACACGAGTTTCTTCAGTGACGTCAGGACTCCTGTCTAGTAACGAGGGACACCTCAGGAATCTCTTTGAGGCTTAGCAGGGCAAAAGGTACGCTTCTCGAGGTGAGGCAGGGCACCCAAGGACCCTTTCCCGTAGCCACAGTGATTTTGGGATTCCTATCAGTATTCAAGAGGAGTCAGGCATCGTCACCTTTTGAAGCAATGAACTCTGCGTGCGTCTCGAGGTGTCAGCGGGATGTGAGGCATTCCGTCAAAATGAGGAAGTGACCTAGGGCTTTCTCTAAGGTCTCCACAGGGGATTCAGACATTCCTTCATGTTGTGAGATGAAAGACGAGCCTGTATTGAAGCCACTGCAAGGAAATCCGGCCTCCTTTCAAGTTAGGGCTTCTCGCTGTATATTCCCCTTGAGGCAGCAAACTCAGGGTCCCTCCCACATACCTATTGCTGAGAGAAGCCTCCTCCTGAGGTGCTTCTGGAAAGTTGGCATACGTCTTGAGCCTAAGCCAGGGAATCAGCTCTCATCTCGAGACGATTTGGGGTACACTGAGCATTCCTCGAGTTGCTGTGCTGAAGTTGGTGTTCCTCTAGACTTGTTACAGTGTTCTCAGGGAATCTCTGGAGTTGCCTGAAGAAAGTCGAGCCACCGGTCGTGTTGAATGGGGAACGGGGAATGGCTCTGGAGTCAATGCAGGGGAATCGGGCCTCATCTCGAGTTGATTTGGGGCACATGGAGCTGCTTTGCGTTGCTGGGGTGACCTCAGGGTCCGTCTGGACTGGTGACAGTGATCTTGGGGACTGTCTCGAGATCCATTAAGCAAGTCGAAGCTCCTGACTTGTTTGAATGGGATCACGGAATAGCTCTGCATGCACTGCAGGGGAATGGGGCCTCATCTCGCCTCTAGGGGGAATTCTCATGGTTTTCATCGAGTTGCGGCGGGGACCTGGGCTATGTTCTCGACTTACGGCGGGGATGGCCCTTCAAAACAAGAGTTTCTTCAGTGACGTCAGGACTCCTGTCTAGTAACGAGGGACACCTCAGGAATCTATTCGAGGCTTGGCAGGGCAAAAGGGAAGCTTCTCGAGGTGAGGCAGGGCACCCAAGGATCCTTTCCAGTAGCCACAGGGATTTTGGGATTCCTATCAGTATTCAAGAGGAGTCAGGCATCGTCACCTTTTGAAGCAATGAACTCCGCGTGCCTCTCGAGGTGTCAGCGGGATGTGAGGCATTCCGTCAAAATGAGGCAGGGACCTAGGGCTTTCTCTAAGCGCTCCACAGGGGATTCAGACATCCCTTCATGTTGTGAGATGAAAGACGAGCCTGTATTCAAACCACTGCAAGGAAATCTGGCCTCCTTTCAAGTTAGGGCTTCTCGCTGTATATTCCCCTTGAGGCAGCAAACTCGGGGTCCCTCCCACATACCTATTGCTGAGAGAAGCCTCCTCCTGAGGTGCTTCTGGAAAGTTGGCATATGTCTTGAGCCTAAGCCAGGGAATCAGCGCTCATCTCGAGACGATTTGAGGTACACGGAGCATTCCTCGAGTTGCTGTGTTGAAGTTGGTGTTCCTCTAGACTTGGGACAGTGTTTTCGGGGCATCTCTGGAGTTGCCTGAAGGAAATCGAGCCACTGGTCGTGTTGAATGGGGAACGGGGAATGGCTCTGGAGTCAATGCAGGGGAATCGGGCCTCATCTCGAGTTGATTTGGGGCACATGGAGCTGCTTTGCGTTGCTGGGGTAACCTCAGGGTCCGTCTGGACTGGTGACAGTGTTCTTGGGGACTGTCTCGAGATCCATTAAGCAAGTCGAAGCTCCTGACTTGTTTGAATGGGATCACGGAATAGCTCTGCATGCACTGCAGGGGAATGGGGCCTCATGTCGCCTCTAGGGGGAATTCTCATGGTTTTCATCGAGTTGCGGCGGGGACCTGGGCTATGTTCTCGACTTACGGCGGGGATGGCCCTTCAAAACAAGAGTTTCTTCAGTGACGTCAGGACTCCTGTCTAGTAACGAGGGACACCTCAGGAATCTATTCGAGGCTTAGCAGGGCAAAAGGTACGCTTCTCGAGCTGAGGCAGGGCACCCAAGGACCCTTTCCCGTAGCCACAGGGATTTTGGGATTCCTATCAGTATTCAAGAGGAGTCAGGCATCGTCACATTTTGAAGCAATGAACTCCGCCTGCCTCTCGAGGTGTCAGTGGGATGTGAGGCATTCCGTCAAAATGAGGCAGTGACCTAGGGCTTTCTCTAAGGTCTCCACAGGGGATTCAGACATCCCTTCATGTTGTGAGATGAAAGACGAGCCTGTATTCAAGCCACTGCAAGGAAATCCGGCCTCCTTTCAAGTTAGGGCTTCTCACTGTATATTCCCCTTGAGGCAGCAAACTCGGGGTCCCTCCCACATACCTATTGTTGAGAGAAGCCTCCTCCTGAGGTGCTTCTGGAAATTTGGCATACGTCTTGAGCCTAAGCCAGGGAATCAGCTCTCATCTCGAGACGATTTGGGTTACACGGAGCATTCCTCGAGTTAATGTGCTGAAGTTGGTGTTCCTCTAGACTTGGGACAGTGTTCTCGGGGCATCTCTGGAGTTGCCTGAAGTAAGTCGAGCCACCGGTCGTGTTGAATGGGGAACGGGGAATGGCTCTGGAGTCAATGCAGGGGAATCGAGCCTCATCTCGAGTTGATTTGGGGCACATGGAGCTGCTTTGCGTTGCTGGGGTGACCTCAGGGTCCGTCTAGACTGGTGACAGTGATCTTGGGGACTGTCTCGAGATCCATTAAGCAAGTCGAAGCTCCTGGCTTGTTTGAATGGGATCACGGAATAGCTCTGCATGCACTGCAGGGGAATGGGGCCTCATCTCGCCTCTAGGGGGAAGTCTCATGGTTTTTCTCGAGTTGCGGCGGGGACCTGGGGTATGTTCTCGACTTACGGCGGGGATGGCCCTTCAAAACACGAGTTTCTTCAGTGACGTCAGGACTCCTGTCTAGTAACGAGGGACACCTCAGGAATCTCTTCGACCTATGGCAGGGCAAAAGGGATGCTTCTCGAGGTGAGGCAGGGCACCCAAGGACCCTTTCCCGTAGCCACAGGGATTTGGGGATTCCTATCAGTATTCAAGAGGAGTCAGGCATCGTCACCTTTTGAAGCAATGAACTCCGCGTGACTCTCGTAGTGTCAGCCGGATGTGAGGCATTCCGTCAAAATGAGGCAGGGACCTAGGGCTTTCTCTAAGGTCTCCACAGGGGATTCAGACATCCCTTCATGTTGTGAGATGAAAGACGAGCCTGTATTCAAGCCACTGCAAGGAAATCTGGCCTCCTTTCAAGTTAGAGCTTCTCGCTGTATATGCCCATTGAGGCAGCAAACTCGGGGACCCTCCCACATACCTATTGCTGAGAGAAGCCTCCTCCTGAGGTGCTTCTGGAAAGCTGGCATATGTCTTGAGCCTAAGCCAGGGAATCAGCTCTCATCTCGAGACGATTTGGGGTACATGGACCATTCCTCGAGTTGCTGTACTGAAGTTGGTGTTCCTCTAGACTTGGGACAGTGTTCTCGGGGAATCTCTGGAGTTACCTGAGGGAAGTCGAGCCACCGGTCGTGTTGAATGGGGAACGGGGAATGGCTCTGGAGTCAATGCAGGGGAATCGGGCCTCATCTCGAGTTGATTTGGGGCACATGGAGCTGCTTTGCGTTGCTGGGGTAACCTCAGGGTCCGTCTAGACTGGTGACAGTGTTCTTGGGGACTGTCTCGAGATCCATTAAGCAAGTCGAAACTCGTGTCTTGTTTGAATGGGATCACGGAATAGCTCTGCATGCACTGCAGGGGAATGGGGCCTCATCTCGCCTCTAGGGGGAAGTCTCATGGTTTTCCTCGAGTTGCGGCGGGGACTGGGGTATGTTCTCGGCGTACGGCGGGGATGGCCCTTCAAAACACGAGTTTCTTCAGTGACGTCTGGACTCCTGACTAGTAACGAGGGACACCTCAGGAATCTCTTCGAGGCTTGGCAGGGCAAAAGGAACGCTGCTCGAGGTGAGGCAGGGCACCCAAGGACCCTTTCCAGTAGCCACAGGGATTTTGGGATTCCTATCAGTATTCAAGAGGAGTCAGGCATCGTCACCTTTTGAAGCAATGAACTCCGCATGCCTCTCGAGGTGTCAGCAGGATTGGAGGCATTCCGTCAAAATGAGGCAGGGACCTAGGGCTTTCTCTAAGGTCTCCACAGGGGATTCAGACATCCCTTCATGTTGTGAGATGAAAGACGAGCCTGTATTCAAGCCACTGCAAGGAAATCCGGCCTCCTTTCAAGTTAGGGCTTCTCGCTGTATATTCCCCTTGAGGCAGCAAACTCGGGGTCCCTCCCACATACCTATTGCTGAGAGAAGCCTCCTCCTGAGGTGCTTCTGGAAAGTTGGCATACGTTTTGAGCCTAAGCCAGGGAATCAGCTCTCATCTCGAGACGATTTGGGTTACACGGAGCATTCCTCGAGTTAATGTGCTGAAGTTGGTGTTCCTCTAGACTTGGGACAGTGTTCTCAGTGCATCTCTGGAGTTGCCTGAAGGAAGTCAAGCCACCTGTCCTGTTGAATGGGGAACGGGGAATGGCTCTGGAGTCAATGCAGGGGAATCGGGCCTCATCTCAAGTTGATATGGGGCACATGGAGCTGCTTTGCTTTGCTGGGTTGACCTCAGGGTCCGTCTAGACTGGTGACAGTGTTCTTGGGGACTGTCTCGAGATCCATTAAGCAAGTCGAAGCTCCTGACTTGTTTGAATGGGATCACGGAATAGCTCTGCATGCACTGCAGGGGAATGGGGCCTCATCTCGCCTCTCGGGGGAAGTCTCATGGTTTTCCTCGTGTTGGGGCGGGGACCTGGGGTATGTTCTCGACTTACGGCGGGGATCAGCCTTCAAAACACGAGTTTCTTCAGTGACGTCAGGACTCCTCTCTAGTAAAGAGGGACACCTCAGGAATCTCTTCGAGGCTTGGCAGGGCAAAAGGGACGCTTCTCTATGTGAGGCAGGGCACCCAAGCAGCCTTTCCCGTAGCCACACGGATTTTGGGATTCCTATCAGTATTCAAGAGGAGTCAGGCATCGTCACCTTTTGAAGCAATGAACTCCGCGTGCCTCTCGAGGTGTCAGCGGGATGTGAGGCATTCCGTCAAAATGAGGCAGGGACCTAGGGCTTTCTCTAAGGTCTCCACAGGGGATTCAGACATCCCTTCATGTTGTGAGATGAAAGACGAGCCTTTATTAAAGCCACTGCAAGATAATCCGGCCTCCTTTCAAGTTAGGGCTTCTCGCTGTATATTCCCCTTGAGGCAGCAAACTCGGGGACCCTCCCACATAACTATTGCTGAGAGAAGCCTCCTCCTGAGGTGCTTCTGGAAAGTTGGCATACGTCTTGAGCCTAAGCCAGGGAATCAGCTCTCATCTCGAGACGATTTGTGGTACACGGATCATTCCTCGAGTTAATGTGCTGAAGTTGGTGTTCCTCTAGACTTGGGACAGTGTTCTCGGGGCATTTCTGGAGTTGCCTGAAGGAAGTCGAGCCACCGGTCGTGTTGAATGGGGAACAGGGAATGGCTCTGGAGTCAATGCAGGGGAATCAGGCCTCATCTCGAGTTGATTTGGGGCACATGGAGCTGCTTTGCGTTGCTGGGGTGACCTCAGTGTCCGTCTAGACTGGTGACAGTGTTCTTGGGGACTGTCTCGTGATCCATTAAGCAAGTTGAAGCTACTGACTTGTTTGAATGGGATCACGGAATAGCTCTGCCTGCACTGCAGGGGAATGGGGCCTCATCTCGCCTCGAGGGGGAAGTCTCATGGTTTTTCTCGAGTTGCGGCGGGGACCTGGGGTATGTTCTCGACTTACGGCGGGGATGGCCCTTCAAAACACGAGTTTCTTCAGTGACGTCAGGACTCCTGTCTAGTAAAGAGGAACACCTCAGGAATCTCTTCGAGGCTTGGCAGGGCCAAATTGAGGCTTCTCGAGGTGAGGCAGGGCACCCAAGGACCCTTTCCAGTAGCCACAGGGATTTTGGCATTCCTATCAGTATTCAAGAGGAGTCAGGCATCGTCACCTTTTGAAGCAATGAACTCCGCGTGCCTCTCGAGGTGTCAGCGGGATGTGAGGCATTCCGTCAAAATGTGGCAGGGACCTAGGGCTTTCTCTAAGGTCTCCACAGGGGATTCAGACATCCCTTCATGTTGTGAGATGAAAGACGAGCCTGTATTCAAGCACTGCAAGGAAATCCGGCCTCCTTTCAAGTTAGGGCTTCTCGCTGTATATTCCTCTTGAGGCAGCAAACTCGGGGTCCCTCCCACATACCTATTGCTGAGAGAAGCCTCCTCCTGAGGTGCTTCTGGGAAGTTGGCATACGTCTTGAGCCTAAGCCAGGGAATCAGCTCTCATCTCGAGACGATTTGGGGTACACGGAGCATTCCTCGAGTTGCTGTGCTGAAGTTCGTGTTCCTCTCGACTTGGGACAGTGTTCTCGGGGCATCTCTGGAGTTGCCTGAAGGAAGTCGAGCCACCGGTCGTGTTGAATGGGGAACGGGGAATGGCTCTGGAGTCAATGCAGGGGAATCGGGCCTCATCTCGAGTTGATTTGGGGCACATGGAGCTGCTTTGCGTTGCTGGGGTGACATCAGGGTCCGTCTAGACTGGTGACAGTGTTCTTGCGGACTGTCTCGAGATCCATTAAGCAAGTCGAAGCTCCTGACTTGTTTGAATGGGATCACGGAATAGCTCTGCATGCACTGCAGGGGAATGGGGCCTCATCTCGCCTCTAGGGGGAAGTCTCATTGTTTTTCTCGAGTTGCGGCGGGGACCAGGGGTATGTTCTCGACTACGGCGGGAATGGCCCTTCAAAACACGAGTTTCTTCAGTGACGTCAGGACTCCTGTCTAGTAACGAGGGACACCTCAGGAATCTCTTCGAGGCTTGGCAGGGCAAAAGGGACGCTTCTCGAGGTGAGGCAGGGCACCCAAGGACCCTTTCCCGTAGCCATAGGGATTTTGGGATTCCTATCAGTATTCAAGAGGAGTCAGGCATCGTCACCTTTTGAAGCAGTAAACTCCGCGTGCCTCTCGAGGTGTCAGCGGGATATGAGGCATTCCGTCAAAATGAGGCAGGGACGTAAGGCTTTCTCTAAGGTCTCCACAGGGGATTCCGACATCCCTTCATGTTGTGAGATGAAAGACGAGCCTGTATTCAAGCCACTGCAAGGAAATCCGGCCTCCTTTCAAGTTAGGGCTTCTCGCTGTATATTCCCCTTGAGGCAGCAAACTCGGAGTCCCTCCCACATACCTATTGCTGAGAGAAGCCTCCTCCTGAGGTGCTTCTGGAAAGTTGGCATACATCTTGAGCCTAAGCCAGGGAATCAGCTCTCATCTCGAGACGCCTTGGGGTACATGGAGCATTCCTCGAGTTGCTGTGCTGAAGTTGGTGTTCCTCTAGACTTGGGACAGTGTTCTCGGGGCATCTCTGGAGTTGCCTGAAGGAAGTCGAGCCACCGGTCGTGTTGAATGGGGAACGGGGAATGGCTCTGGAGTCAATGCAGGGGAATCGGGACTCATCTCGAGTTGATTTGGGGCACATGGAGCTGCTTTGCGTTGCTGGGGTGACCTCAGGTTCCGTCTAGACTGGTGACAGTGTTCTTGGGGACTGTCTCGAGATCCATTAAGCAAGTCGAAGATCCTGACTTGTTTGAATGGGATCACGGAATAGCTCTGCATGCACTGCAGGGGAATGGGGCCTCATCTCGCCTTTAGGGGGAAGTCTCATGGTTTTTCTCGAGTTGCGGCGGGGACCTGGGGTAGGTTCTCCACTTACGGCGGGGATGGCCCTTCAAAACACGAGTTTCTTCAGTGACGTCAGGACTCCTGTCTAAAACGAGGGACACCTTAGGAATCTTTTCGAGGCTAGGCAGGGCAAAAGGGACGCTTCTCGAGGTGAGGCAGGGCACCCAGGGACCCTTTCCAGTAGCCACAGGGATTTTGGGATTCCTATCAGTGTTCAAGAGGAGTCAGGCATCGTCACCTTTTGAAGCAATGAACTCCGCGTGCCTCTCGAGGTGTCAGCGGGATGTGAGGCATTCCGTCAAAATGAGGCAGGGACCTAGGGCTTTCTCTAAGGTCTCCACAGGGGATTCAGACATCCCTTCATGTTGTGAGATGAAATACGAGCCTGTACTCAAGCCACTGCAAGGAAATCCAGCCTTCTTTCAAGTTAGGGCTTCTCGCTGTATATTCCCCTTGAGGCAGCAAACTCGGGGTCCCTCCCACATACCTATTGCTGAGAGAAGCCTCCTCCTGAGGTGCTTCTGGAAAGTTGGCATACGTCTTGAGCCTAAGCCAGGGAATCAGCTCTCATCTCGAGGCGATTTGGGGTACATGGAGCATTCCTCGAGTTGCTGTGCTGAAGTTTGTGTTCCTCTAGACTTGGGATAGTATTCTCGGGGCATCTGTGGAGTTGCCTGAAGGAAGTCGAGCCACCGGTCGTGTTGAATGGGGAACGGGGAATGGCTCTGGAGTCAATGCAGGGGAATCGGGCCTCATCTCGAGTTGATTTTGGGCACATGGAGTTGCCTTGTGTTGCTGGGGTGACCTCAGGGTCCGTCTAGACTGGTGACAGTGTTCTTGGGGACTGTCTCGAGATCCATTAAGCAAGTCGAAGCTCCTGACTTGTTTGAATGGGATCACGGCATAGCTCTCCATGCACTGCAGGGGAATGGGGCCTCATCTCGCCTCTAGGGGGAAGTCTCATGGTATTCCTCGAGTTGCAGCGGGGACCTGGGGTAAGTTTTAGACGTACGGCGGGGATGGCCCTTCAAAACACGTGTTTCTTCAGTGACGTCTGGACTCCTGTCTAGTAACATGGGACACCTCAGGAATCTCTTCGAGCCTTGGCTGGGAAAAAGGGACGCTTCTCAAGGTGAGGCAGGGCACCCAAGGACCCTTTCCAGTAGCCACAGGGATTTTGGGATTCCTATCAGTATTCAAGAGGAGTCAGGCATCGTCACCTTTTGAAGCAATGAACTCCGCGTGCCTCTCGAGGTGTCAGCGGGATTGGAGGCATTCCGTCAAAATGAGGCAGGGACCTAGGGCTTTCTCTAAGGTCTCCACAGGGGATTCAGACATCCCTTCATGTTGTGAGATCAAAGACGAGCCTGTATTCAAGCCACTGCAAGGAAATCCGGCCTCCTTTCAAGTTAGGGCTTCTCGCTGTATATTCCCCTTGAGGCAGCAAACTCGGGGTCCCTCCCACATACCTATTGCTGAGAGAAGCCTCCTCCTGAGGTGCTTCTGGGAAGTTGGCATACGTCTTGAGCCTAAGCCAGGGAATCAGCTCTCATCTCGAGACGATTTGGGGTACACGGAGCATTCCTCGAGTTGCTGTGCTGAAGTTGGTGTTCCTTTAGACTTGGGACAGTGTTCTCGGGGCATCTCTGGAGTTGCCTGAAGGAAGTCGAGCCACAGGTCGTGTTGAATGGGGAACCGGGAATGGCTCTGGAGACAATGCAGGGGAATCGGGCCTCATCTCGAGTTGATTTGGGGCACATGGAGCTGCTTTGCGTTGCTGGGGTGACATCAGGGTGCGTCTTGACTGGTGACAGTGTTCTTGGGGACTGTCTCGAGATCCATTAAGCAAGTCGAAGCTCCTGACTTGTTTGAATGGGATCACGGAATAGCTCTGCATGTACTGCAGGGGAATGGGGCCTCATCTCGCCTCTAGGGGGAAGTCTCATGGTTTTTCTCGAGTTGCGGCGGGGACCTGGGGTATGTTCTCGACTTACGGCAGGGATGGCCCTTCAAAACACGAGTTTCTTCAGTGACGTCAGGACTCCTGTCTAGTAGCGAGGGACACCTCAGGAATCACTTCGAGGCTTGGCAGGGCAAAAGGGACGCTTCTCGAGGTGAGGCAGGGCACCCAAGGACCCTTTCCCGTAGCCATAGGGATTTTGGGATTCCTATCAGTATTGAAGAGGAGTCAGGCACCGTCACCTTTTGAAGCAATGCACTCCGCGTGCCTCTCGAGGTGTCAGCGGGATGTGAGGCATTCCGTCAAAATGAGGCAGGGACCTAGGGCTTTCTCTAAGGTCTCCACAGGGGATTCAGACATCCCTTCATGTTGTGAGATGAAAGACCAGCCTGTATTGAAGCCACTGCAAGGAAATCCGGCCTCCTTTCAAGTTAGGGCTTCTCGCTGTATATTCCCCTTGAGGCAGCAAACTCAGGGTCCCTCCCCATACCTATTGCTGAGAGAAGCCTCCTCCTGAGGTGCTTCTGGAAAGTTGGCATACGTCTTGAGCCTAAGCCAGGGAATCAGCTCTCATCTCGAGACGATTTGGGGTACACTGAGCATTCCTCGAGTTGCTGTGCTGAAGTTGGTGTTCCTCTAGACTTGTTACAGTGTTCTCGGGGAATCTCTGGAGTTGCCTGAAGGAAGTCGAGCCACCGGTCGTGTTGAATGGGGAACGGGGAATGGCTCTGGAGTCAATGCAGGGGAATTGGGCCTCATCTCGAGTTGATTTGGGGCACATGGAGCTGCTTTGCGTTGCTGGGGTGACCTCAGGGTCCGTCTGGACTGGTGACAGTGATCTTGGGGACTGTCTCGAGATCCATTAAGCAAGTCGAAGCTCCTGACTTGTTTGAATGGGATCACGGAATAGCTCTGCATGCACTGCAGGGGAATGGGTCCTCATCTCGCCTCTAGGGGAAGTCTCATGGTTTTTCTCGAGTTGCGGCGGGGACCTGGGGTATGTTCTCGACTTACGGCTGGGATGGCCCTTCAAAACACGAGTTTCTTCAGTGACGACAGGACTCCTGTCTAGTAACGAGGGACACCTCAGGAATGTCTTCGAGGCTTGGCAGGTCAAAAGGGAAGCTTCTCGAGGTGAGGCAGGGCACCCAAGGATCCTTTCCAGTAGCCACAGGGATTTTGGGATTCCTATCAGTATTCAAGAGGAGTCAGGCATCGTCACCTTTTGAAGCAATGAACTCCGCGTGCCTCTCGAGGTGTCAGCGGGATGTGAGGCATTCCGTCAAAATGAGGCAGGGACCTAGGGCTTTCTCTAAGCGCTCCACAGGGGATTCAGACATCCCTTCATGTTGTGAGATGAAAGACGAGCCTGTATTCAAACCACTGCAAGGAAATCTGGCCTCCTTTCAAGTTAGGGCTTCTCGCTGTATATTCCCGTTGAGGCAGCAAACTCGGGGTCCCTCCCACATACCTATTGCTGAGAGAAGCCTCCTCCTGAGGTGCTTCTGGAAAGTTGGCATATGTCTTGAGCCTAAGCCAGGGAATCAGCTCTCATCTCGAGACGATTTGAGGTACACGGAGCATTCCTCGAGTTGCTGTGTTGAAGTTGGTGTTCCTCTAGACTTGGGACAGTGTTCTCGGGGCATCTCTAGAGTTGCCTGAAGGAAATCGAGCCACTGGTCGTGTTGAATGGGGAACGGGGAATGGCTCTGGAGTCAATGCAGGGGAATCGGGCCTCATCTCGAGTTGATTTGGGGCACATGGAGCTGCTTTGCGTTGCTGGGGTAACCTCAGGGTCCGTCTGGACTGGTGACAGTGTTCTTGGGGACTGTCTCGAGATCCATTAAGCAAGTCGAAGCTCCTGACTTGTTTGAATGGGATCACGGAATAGCTCTGCATGCACTGCAGGGGAATGGGGCCTCATGTCACCTCTAGGGGGAATTCTCATGGTTTTAATCGAGTTGCGGCGGGGACCTGGGCTATGTTCTCGACTTACGGCGGGGATGGCCCTTCAAAACAAGAGTTTCTTCAGTGACGTCAGGACTCCTGTCTAGTAACGAGGGACACCTCAGGAATCTATTCGAGGCTTAGCAGGGCAAAAGGTACCCTTCTCGAGCTGCGGCAGGGCACCCAAGGACCCTTTCCCGTAGCCACAGGGATTTTGGGATTCCTATCAGTATTCAAGAGGAGTCAGGCATCGTCACCTTTTGAAGCAATGAACTCCGCGTGCGTCTCGAGGTGTCAGCGGGATGTGAGGCATTCCGTCAAAATGAGGAAGTGACCTAGGGCTTTCTCTAAGGTCTCCACAGGGGATTCAGACATCCCTTCATGTTGTGACATGAAAGACGACCCTGTATTGAAGCCACTGCAAGGAAATCCGGCCTCCTTTCAAGTTAGGGCTTCTCGCTGTATATTCCGCTTGAGGCAGCAAACTGGGGTCCCTCCCACATACCTATTGCTGAGAGAAGCCTCCTCCTGAGGTGCTTCTGGAAAGTTGGCATACGTCTTGAGCCTAAGCCAGGGAATCAGCTCTCATCTCGAGACGATTTGGGGTACACGGAGCATTCCTCGAGTTGCTGTGCTGAAGTTGGTGTTCCTCTAGACTTGGGACAGTGTTCTCGGTGAATCTCTGGAGTTGCCTGAAGTAAGTCGAGCCACCGGTCGTGTTGAATGGGGAACGAGAAATGGCTCTGGAGTCAATGCAAGGGAATCGGGCCTCATCTCGAGTTGATTTGGGGCACATGGAGCTGCTTTGTGTTGCTGGGGTGACCTCAGGGTCCGTCTAGACTGGTGACAGTGATCTTGGGGACTGTCTCGAGATCCATTAAGCAAGTCGAAGCTCCTGGCTTGTTTGAATGGGATCACGGAATAGCTCTGCATGCACTGCAGGGGAATGGGGCCTCATCTCGCCTCTAGGGGGAAGTCTCATGGTTTTTCTCGAGTTGCGGCGGGGACCTGGGGTATGTTCTCGACTTACGGCGGGGATGGCCCTTCAAAACACGAGTTTCTTCAGTGACGTCAGGACTCCTGTCTAGTAATGAGGGACACCTCAGGAATCTCTTCGAGGCTTGGCAGGGCCAAATTGAGGCTTCTCGAGGTGTGGCAGGGCACCCAAGGACCCTTTCCCGTAGTCACAGGGATTTTGGGATTCCTATCAGTATTCAAGAGGAGTCAGGCATCGTCACATTTTGAAGCAATGAACTCCGCCTGCCTCTCGAGGTGTCAGTGGGATGTGAGGCATTCCGTCAAAATGAGGCAGTGACCTAGGGCTTTCTCTAAGGTCTCCACAGGGGATTCAGACATCCCTTCATGTTGTGAGATGAAAGACGAGCCTGTATTCAAGCCACTGCAAGGAAATCCGGCCTCCTTTCAAGTTAGGGCTTCTCACTGTATATTCCCCTTGAGGCAGCAAACTCGGGGTCCCTCCCACATACCTATTGTTGAGAGAAGCCTCCTCCTGAGGTGCTTCTGGAAATTTGGCATACGTCTTGAGCCTAAGCCAGGGAATCAGCTCTCATCTCGAGACGATTTGGGTTACACGGAGCATTCCTCGAGTTAATGTGCTGAAGTTGGTGTTCCTCTAGACTTGGGACAGTGTTCTCGGGGTATCTCTGGAGTTGCCTGAAGGAAGTCGAGCCACCAGTTGTGTTGAATGGGGAACGGGGAAGGGCTCTGGAGTCAATGCAGGGGAATCAGGCCTCATCTCGAGTTGATTTGGGGCACATGGAGCTGCTTTGCGTTGCTGGGGTGACTTCAGGGTCCGTCTAGACTGGTGACAGTGTTCTTGGGGTCTGTCTCGAGATCCATTAAGGAAGTCGAAGCTCCTGACTTGTTTGAATGGGATCATGGAATAGCTCTGCATGCACTGCAGGGGAATGGGGCCTCATCTCGCCTCTAGGGGGAATTCTCATGGTTTTTCTCGAGTTGCGGCGAGGACCTGGGGTATGTTCTCGACTTACGGCGGGGATGGCCCTTCAAAACACGAGTTTCTTCAGTGACGTCAGGACTCCTCTCTAGTAAAGAGGGACACCTCAGGAATCTCTTCGAGGCTTGGCAGGGCAAAAGGGACGCTTCTCGAGGTGAGCCAGGGCACCCAGGGACCCATTCCAGTAGCCACGGGGATTTTGGGATTCCTATCAGTGTTCAAGAGGAGTCAGGCATCGTCACCTTTTGAAGCAATGAACTCCGCGTGCCTCTCGAGGTGTCAGTGGGATGTGAGGCATTCCGTCAAAATGAGGCAGGGACCTAGGGCTTTCTCTAAGGTCTCCACAGGGGATTCAGACATCCCTTCAGGATGTGAGATGAAAGACGAGCCTGTATTCAAGCCACTGCAAGGAAATCCGGCCTCCTTTCAAGTTAGGGCTTCTCGCTGTATATTCCCCTTGAGGCAGCAAAGTCGGGGTCCCTACCACATACCTATTGCTTAGAGAAGCCTCCTCCTGAGGTGCTTCTGGAAAGTTGGCAAATGTCTTGAGCCTAAGCCAGGGAATCAGCTCTCATCTCGAGACGATTTGGAGTACACGGAGCATTCCTCGAGTTGCTGTGCTGAAGTTGGTGTTCCTCTAGACTTGGGACAGTGTTCTCGGGGCATCTCTGGAGTTGCCTGAAGGAAGTCGAGCCACCGGTCGTGTTGAATGGGGAACGGGGAATGGCTCTGGAGTCAATGCAGGGGAATCGGGCCTCATCTCGAGTTGATTTGGGGCACATGGAGCTGCTTTGCATTGCTGGGGTGACCTCAGGGTCCGTCTTGACTGGTGACAGTGTTCTTGGGGACTGTCTCCATATCCATTAAGCAAGTCGAAGCTCCTGACTTATTTGAATGGGATCACGGAATAGCTCTGCATGCACTGCAGGAGAATGGGGCCTAATGTCGCCTCTAGGGGGAAGTCTCATGGTTTTTCTCGAGTTGCGGCGGGGACCTGGGGTATGTTCTCGACTTACGGCGGGGATGGCCCTTCAAAACACGAGTTTCTTCAGTGACGTCAGGACTCCTGTCTAGTAACGAGGGACACCTCAGGAATCTCTTCGACCTATGGCAGGGCAAAAGGGATGCTTCTCGAGGTGAGGCAGGGCACCCAAGGACCCTTTCCCGTAGCCACAGGGATTTGGGGATTCCTATCAGTATTCAAGAGGAGTCAGGCATCGTCACCTTTTGAAGCAATGAACTCCGCGTGACTCTCGTAGTGTCAGCCGGATGTGAGGCATTCCGTCAAAATGAGGCATGGACCTAGGGCTTTCTCTAAGGTCTCCACAGGGGATTCAGACATCCCTTCATGTTGTGAGATGAAAGACGAGCCTGTATTCAAGCCACTGCAAGGAAATCTGGCCTCCTTTCATGTTAGAGCTTCTCGCTGTATATGCCCATTGAAGCAGCAAACTCGGGGTCCCTCCCACATACCTATTGCTGAGAGAAGCCTCCTCCTGAGGTGCTTCTGGAAAGCTGGCATATGTCTTGAGCCTAAGCCAGGGAATCAGCTCTCATCTCGAGACGATTTGGGGTACATGGACCATTCCTCGAGTTGCTGTACTGAAGTTGGTGTTCCTCTAGACTTGGGACAGTGTTCTCGGGGAATCTCTGGAGTTACCTGAGGGAAGTCGAGCCACCGGTCGTGTTGAATGGGGAACGGGGAATGGCTCTGGAGTCAATGCAGGGGAATCGGGCCTCATCTCGACTTGATTTGGGGCACATGGAGCTGCTTTGCGTTGCTGGGGTGACCTCAGGGTCCGTCTAGACTGGTTACAGTGTTCTTGGGGACTGTCTCGAGATCCATTAAGCAAGTCGAAGCTCCTGACTTGTTTGAATGGAATCACGGAATAGCTCTGCATGCACTGCAGGGGAATGGGGCCTCATCTCCTCTATAGGGGGAAGTCTCATGTTTTTTCTCGAGTTGCGGCGGGGACCTGGGGTATGTTCTCGACTTAAGGCGGGGATGGCCCTTCAAAACATGAGTTTCTTCAGTGACGTCAGGACTCCTGTCTAGTAACGAGGGACACCTCAGGAATCTCTTCGAGGCTTGGCAGGGCAAAAGGAACGCTGCTCGAGGTGAGGCAGGGCACCCAAGGACCCTTTCCAGTAGCCACAGGGATTTTGGGATTCCTATCAGTATTCAAGAGGAGTCAGGCATCGTCACCTTTTGAAGCAATGAACTCCGCGTGCCTCTCGAGGTGTCAGCAGGATTGGAGGCATTCCGTCAAAATGAGGCAGGGACCTAGGGCTTTCTCTAAGGTCTCCACAGGGGATTCAGACATCCCTTCATGTTGTGAGATGAAAGACGAGCCTGTATTCAAGCCACTGCAAGGAAATCCGGCCTCCTTTCAAGTTAGGGCTTCTCGCTCTATATTCCCCTTGAGGCAGCAAACTCGGGGTCCCTCCCACATACCTATTGCTGAGAGAAGCCTCCTCCTGAGGTGCTTCTGGAAACTTGGCATATGTCTTGAGCCTACGCCAGGGAATCAGCTCCCATCTCGAGACGATTTGGGGTACACGGAGCATTCCTCGAGTTAATGTGCTGAAGTTGGTGTTCCTCTAGACTTGGACAGTGTTCTCGGGGCATCTCTGGAGTTGCCTGAAGGAAGTCGAGCCACCGGTCGTGTTGAATGGGGAACAGGGAATGGCTCTGGAGTCAATGCAGGGGAATCAGGCCTCATCTCGAGTTGATTTGGGGCACATGGATCTGCTTTGCGTTGCTGGGGTGACCTCAGGGTCCGTCTAGACTGGTGACAGTGTTCTTGGGGACTGTCTCGTGATCCATTAAGCAAGTCGAAGCTCCTGACTTGTTTGAATGGGATCACGGAATAGCTCTGCCTGCACTGCAGGGGAATGGGGCCTCATCTCGCCTCTAGGGGGAAGTCTCATGGTTTTTCTCGAGTTGCGGCGGGGACCTGGGGTATGTTCTCGACTTACGGCGGGGATCGCCCTTCAAAACACGAGTTTCTTCAGTGACGTCAGGACTCCTCTCTAGTAAAGAGGGACACCTCAGGAATCTCTTCGAGGCTTGGCAGGGCAAAAGGGACGCTTCTCGATGTGAGGCAGGGCACCCAAGCAGCCTTTCCCGTAGCCACACGGATTTTGGGATTCCTATCAGTATTCAAGAGGAGTCAGGCATCGTCACCTTTTGAAGCAATGAACTCCGCGTGCCTCTCGAGGTGTCAGCGGGATGTGAGGCATTCCGTCAAAATGAGGCAGGGACCTAGGGATTTCTCTAAGGTCTCCACAGGGGATTCAGACATCCCTTCATGTTGTGAGATGAAAGACGAGCCTTTATTCAAGCCACTGCAAGGAAATCCGGCCTCCTTTCAAGTTAGGGCTTCTTGCTGTATATTCCCCTTGAGGCAGCAAACTCGGGGTCCCTCCCACATACCTATTGCTGAGAGAAGCCTCGTCCTGAGGTGCTTCTGGAAAGTTGGCATATGTCTTGAGCCTAAGCCAGGGAATCAGCTCTCATCTCGAGACGATTTGGGGTACACGGATCATTCCTCGAGTTAATGTGCTGAAGTTGGTGTTCCTCTAGACTTGGGAGAGTGTTCTCGGGGCATTTCTGGAGTTGCCTGAAGGAAGTCGAGCCACCGGTCGTGTTGAATGGGGAACAGGGAATGGCTCTGGAGTCAATGCAGGGGAATCAGGCCTCATCTCGAGTTGATTTGGGGCACATGGATCTGCTTTGCGTTGCTGGGGTGACCTCAGTGTCCGTCTAGACTGGTGACAGTGCTCTTGGGGACTGTCTCGTGATCCATTAAGCAAGTCGAAGCTACTGACTTGTTTGAATGGGATCACGGAATAGCTCTGCCTGCACTGCAGGGGAATGGGGCCTCATCTCGCCTCTCGGGGGAAGTCTCATGGTTTTTCTCGAGTTGCGGCGGGGACCTGGGGTATGTTCTCGACTTACGGCGGGGATGGCCCTTCAAAACACGAGTTTCTTCAGTGACGTCAGGACTCCTGTCTAGTAAAGAGGAACACCTCAGGAATCTCTTCGAGGCTTGGCAGGGCAAAAGGGACGCTTCTCGAGGTGAGGCAGGGCACCCAAGGACCCTTTCCAGTAGCCACAGGGATTTTGGGATTCCTATCAGTATTCAAGAGGAGTCAGCCATCGTCACCTTTTGAAGCAATGAACTCCGCGTGCCTCTCGAGGTGTCAGCGGGATGTGAGGCATTCCGTCAAAATGAGGCAGGGACCTAGGGCTTTCTCTAAGGTCTCCACAGGGGATTCAGACATCACTTCATGTTGTGAGATGAAAGACGAGCCTGTATTCAAGCCACTGCAAGGAAATCCGGCCTCCTTTCAAGTTAGGGCTTCTCGCTGTATATTCCCCTTGAGGCAGCAAACTCGGGGTCCCTCCCACATACCTATTGCTGAGAGAAGCCTCCTCCTGAGGTGCTTCTGGAAAGTTGCCATACGTCTTGAGCCTAAGCCAGGGAATCAGCTCTCATCTCGAGACGACTTGGGGTACACGGAGCATTCCTCGAGTTGCTGTGCTGAAGTTGGTGTTCCTCTAGACTTGGGACAGTGTTCTCGGGGCATCTCTGGAGTTGCCTGAAGGAAGTCAAGCCACCTGTCCTGTTGAATGGGGAACGGGGAATGGCTCTGGAGTCAATGCAGGGGAATCGGGCCTCATCTCGAGTTGATTTGGGGCACATGGAGCTGCTTTGCTTTGCTGGGGTGACCTCAGGGTCCGTCTAGACTGGTGACAGTGTTCTTGGGGACTGTCTCGAGATCCATTAAGCAAGTCGAAGCTCCTGACTTGTTTGAATGGGATCACGGAATAGCTCTGCATGCACTGCAGGGGAATGGGGCCTCATCTCGCCTCTAGGGGGATTCTCATGGTTTTTCTCGAGTTGCGGCGGGGACCTGCGGTATGTTCTCGACTTACGGCGGGGATGGCCCTTCAAAACACGAGTTTCTTCAGTGACGTCAGGACTCCTGTCTAGTAAAGAGGGACACCTCAGGAATCTCTTCGATTCTTGGCAGGGCAAAAGGGACGCTTCTCGATGTGAGGCAGGGCACCCAAGCAGCCTTTCCCGTAGCCACACGGAATTTGGGATTCCTATCAGTATTCAAGAGGAGTCAGGCATCGTCACCTTTTGAAGCAATGAACTCCGCGTGCCTCTCGAGGTGTCAGCGGGATGTGAGGCATTCCGTCAAAATGAGGCAGGGACCTAGGGCTTTCTCTAAGGTCTCCACAGGGGATTCAGACATCCCTTCATGTTGTGAGATGAAAGACGAGCCTGTATTCAAGCCACTGCAAGGAAATCCGGCCTCCTTTCAACTTAGGGCTTCTCGCTGTATATTCCCCTTGAGGCAGCAAACCCGGGGTCCCTCCCACATACCTATTGCTGAGAGAAGCCTCCTCCTGAGGTGCTTCTGGTAAGTTGGCATATGTCTTGAGCCTAAGCCAGGGAATCAGCTCTCATCTCGAGACGATTTGTTGTACACGGAGCATTCCTCGAGTTGCTGTGTTGAAGTTGGTGTTCCTCTAGACTTGGGACAGTGTTCTCGGGGCATCTCTGGAGTTGCCTGAAGGAAGTCGAGCCACTGGTCGTGTTGAATATGGAACGGGGAATGGCTCTGGAGTCAATGCAGGGGAATCGGGCCTCATCTCGAGTTGATTTGGGGCACATGGAGCTGCTTTGCGTTGCTGGGGTGACCTCAGGGTCCATCTGGACTGGTGACAGTGTTCTTGGGGACTGTCTCGAGATCCATTAAGCAAGTCGAAGCTCCTGACTTGTTTGAATGGGATCACGGAATAGCTCTGCATGCACTGCAGGGGAATGGGGCCTCATGTCGCCTCTAGGGGGAAGTCTCATGGTTTTACTCGAGTTGCGGCGGGGACCTGGGTTATGTTCTCGACTTACGGCGGGGATGGCCCTTAAAAACACGAGTTTCTTCAGTGACGTCAGGACTCCTGTCTAGTAACGAGGGACACCTCAGGAATCTCTTTGAGGCTTAGCAGGGCAAAAGGTACGCTTCTCGAGGTGAGGCAGGGCACCCAAGGACCCTTTCCCGTAGCCACAGGGATTTTGGGATTCCTATCAGTATTCAAGAGGAGTCAGGCATCGTCACCTTTTGAAGCAATGAACTCCGCGTGCCTCTCGAGGTGTCAGCGGGATGTGAGGCATTCCGTCAAAATTAGGCAGGGACCTAGGGCTTTCTCTAAGCGCTCCACAGGGGATTCAGACATCCCTTCATGTTGTGAGATGAAAGACGAGCCTGTATTCAAACCACTGCAAGGAAATCTGGCCTCCTTTCAAGTTAGGGCTTCTCGCTGTATATTCCCCTTGAGGCAGCAAACTCGGGGTCCTCCCACATACCTATTGCTGAGAGAAGCCTCCTCCTGAGGTGCTTCTGGAAAGTTGGCATATGTCTTGAGCCTAAGCCAGGGAATCAGCTCTCATCTCGAGACGATTTGAGGTACACGGAGCTTTCCTCGAGTTGCTGTGTTGAAGTTGGTGTTCCTCTAGACTTGGGACAGTGTTCTCGGGGCATCTCTAGAGTTGCCTGAAGGAAATCGAGCCACTGGTCGTGTTGAATGGGGAACGGGGAATGGCTCTGGAGTCAATGCAGGGGAATCGGGCCTCATCTCGAGTTGATTTGGGGCACATGGAGCTGCTTTGCGTTGCTGGGGTAACCTCAGGGTCCGTCTGGACTGGTGACAGTGTTCTTGGGGACTGTCTCGAGATCCATTAAGCAAGTCGAAGCTCCTGACTTGTTTGAATGGGATCACGGAATAGCTCTGCATGCACTGCAGGGGAATGGGGCCTCATGTCGCCTCTAGGGGGAATTCTCATGGTTTTCATCGAGTTGCGGCGGGGACCTGGGCTATGTTCTCGACTTACGGCGGGGATGGCCCTTCAAAACAAGAGTTTCTTCAGTGACGTCAGGACTCCTGTCTAGTAACGAGGGACACCTCAGGAATCTATTCGAGGCTTGGCAGGGCAAAAGGGAAGCTTCTCGAGGTGAGGCAGGGCACCCAAGGATCCTTTCCAGTAGCCACAGGGATTTTGGGATTCCTATCAGTATTCAAGAGGAGTCAGGCATCGTCACCTTTTGAAGCAATGAACTCCGCGTGCCTCTCGAGGTGTCAGCGGGATGTGAGGCATTCCGTCAAAATGAGGCAGGACCTAGGGCTTTCTCTAAGCGCTCCACAGGGGATTCAGACATACCTTCATGTTGTGAGATGAAAGACGAGCCTGTATTCAAACCACTGCAAGGAAATCTGGCCTCCTTTCAAGTTAGGGCTTCTCGCTGTATATTCCCCTTGAGGCAGCAAACTCGGGGTCCCTCCCACATACCTATTGCTGAGAGAAGCCTCCTCCTGAGGTGCTTCTGGAAAGTTGGCATATGTCTTGAGCCTAAGCCAGGGAATCAGCTCTCATCTCGAGACGATTTGAGGTACACGGAGCATTCCTCGAGTTGCTGTGTTGAAGTTGGTGTTCCTCTAGACTTGGGACAGTGTTCTCGGGGCATCTCTGGAGTTGCCTGAAGGAAGTCGAGCCACCAGTCGGGTTGAATGGGGAACGGGGAATGGCTCTGGAGTCAATGCAGGGGAATCAGGCCTCACCTCGAGTTGATATGGGGCACATGGAGCTGCTTTGCTTTGCTGGGTTGACCTCAGGGTCCGTCTAGACTGGTGACAGTGTTCTTGGGGACTGTCTCGAGATCCATTAAGCAAGTCGAAGCTCCTGACTTGTTTGAATGGGATCACGGAATAGCTCTGCATGCACTGCAGGGGAATGGGGCCTCATCTCGCCTCTCGGGGGAAGTCTCATGGTTTTCCTCGTGTTGGGGCGGGGACCTGGGGTATGTTCTCGACTTACGGCGGGGATCAGCCTTCAAAACACGAGTTTCTTCAGTGACGTCAGGACTCCTCTCTAGTAAAGAGGGACACCTCAGGAATCTCTTCGAGGCTTGGCAGGGCAAAAGGGACGCTTCTCTATGTGAGGCAGGGCACCCAAGCAGCCTTTCCCGTAGCCACACGGATTTTGGGATTCCTATCAGTATTCAAGAGGAGTCAGGCATCGTCACCTTTTGAAGCAATGAACTCCGCGTGCCTCTCGAGGTGTCAGCGGGATGTGAGGCATTCCGTCAAAATGAGGCAGGGACCTAGGGCTTTCTCTAAGGTCTCCACAGGGGATTCAGACATCCCTTCATGTTGTGAGATGAAAGACGAGCCTTTATTGAAGCCACTGCAAGGAAATCCGGCCTCCTTTCAAGTTAGGGCTTCTCGCTGTATATTCCCCTTGAGGCAGCAAACTCGGGGACCCTCCCACATACCTATTGCTGAGAGAAGCCTCCTCCTGAGGTGCTTCTGGAAAGTTGGCATACGTCTTGAGCCTAAGCCAGGGAATCAGCTCTCATCTCGAGACGATTTGGGGTACACGGATCATTCCTCGAGTTAATGTGCTGAAGTTGGTGTTCCTCTAGACTTGGGACAGTGTTCTCGGGGCATTTCTGGAGTTGCCTGAAGGAAGTCGAGCCACCGGTCGTGTTGAATGGGGAACAGGGAATGGCTCTGGAGTCAATGCAGGGGAATCAGGCCTCATCTCGAGTTGATTTGGGGCACATGGAGCTGCTTTGCGTTGCTGGGGTGACCTCAGGGTCCGTCTAGACTGGTGACAGTGTTCTTGGGGACTGTCTCGTGATCCATTAAGCAAGTCGAAGCTACTGACTTGTTTGAATGGGATCACGGAATAGCTCTGCCTGCACTGCAGGGGAATGGGGCCTCATCTCGCCTCGAGGGGGAAGTCTCATGGTTTTTCTCGAGTTGCGGCGGGGACCTGGGGTATGTTCTCGACTTACGGCGGGGATGGCCCTTCAAAACACGAGTTTCTTCAGTGACGTCAGGACTCCTGTCTAGTAAAGAGGAACACCTCAGGAATCTCTTCGAGGCTTGGCAGGGCCAAATTGAGGCTTCTCGAGGTGAGGCAGGGCACCCAAGGACCCTTTCCAGTAGCCACAGGGATTTTGGGATTCCTATCAGTATTCAAGAGGAGTCAGGCATCGTCACCTTTTGAAGCAATGAACTCCGCGTGCCTCTCGAGGTGTCAGCGGGATGTGAGGCATTCCGTCAAAATGTGGCAGGGACCTAGGGCTTTCTCTAAGGTCTCCACAGGGGATTCAGACATCCCTTCATGTTGTGAGATGAAAGACGAGCCTGTATTCAAGCACTGCAAGGAAATCCGGCCTCCTTTCAAGTTAGGGCTTCTCGCTGTATATTCCCCTTGAGGCAGCAAACTCGGGGTCCCTCCCACAAACCTATTGCTGAGAGAAGCCCTCTCCTGAGGTGCTTGTGAAAGCTGGCATATGTCTTGAGCCTAAGCCAGGGAATCAGCTCTCATCTCCAGACCATTTGGGGTACACGGAGCATTCCTCGAGTTGCTGTGCTGAAGTTGGTGTTCCTCTAGACTTGGGACAGTGTTCTCGGGGCATCTCTGGAATTGCCTGAAGGAAGTCGAGCCACCGGTCGTGTTGAATGGGGAACGGGGAATGGCTCTGGAGTCAATGCAGGGGAATCGGGCCTCATCTCGAGTTGATTTGGGGCACATGGAGCTGCTTTGCGTTGCTGGGGTGACCTCAGGGTCCGTCTAGACAGGTGACAGTGTTCTTGGGGACTGTCTCGAGATCCTTTAAGCAAGTCGAAGCTCGTGTCTTGTTTGAATGGGATCACGGAATAGCTCTGCATGCACGGCAGGGGAATGGGACCTCATCTCGCCTCTAGGGGGAAGTCTCATGGTTTTCCTCGAGTTGTGGCGGGGACCTGGGGTATGTTCTCGACGTACAGCGGGGATGGCCCTTCAAAACACGAGTTTCTTCAGTGACGTCTGGACTCCTGACTAGTAACGAGGGACACCTCAGGAATCTCTTCGAGCCTTGGCAGGGCAAAAGGAACGTTTCTCGAGGTGAGGCAGGGCACCCAAGGACCCTTTCCAGTAGCCACAGGGATTTTGGGATTCCTATCAGTATTCAAGAGGAGTCAGGCATCGTCACCTTTTGAAGCAATGAACTCCGCGTGCCTCTCGAGGTGTCAGCAGGATTGGAGGCATTCCGTCAAAATGAGGCAGGGACCTAGGGCTTTCTCTAAGGTCTCCACAGGGGATTCAGACATCCCTTCATGTTGTGAGATGAAAGACGAGCCTGTATTCAAGCCACTGCAAGGAAATCCGGCCTCCTTTCAAGTTAGGGCTTCTCGCTGTATATTCCCCTTGAGGCAGCAAACTCGGGGTCCCTCCCACATACCTATTGCTGCGAGAAGCCTCCTCCTGAGGTGCTTCTGTAAAGTTGGCATACGTCTTGAGCCTAAGCCAGGGAATCAGCTCTCATCTCGAGACGATTTGGGTTCTACGGAGCATTCCTCGAGTTAATGTGCTGAAGTTGGTGTTCCTCTAGACTTGGGACAGTGTTCTCAGGGCATCTCTAGAGTTGCCTGAAGGAATTCAAGCCACCTGTCCTGTTGAATGGGGAACGGGGAATGGCTCTGGAGTCAATGCAGGGGAATCGGGCCTCATCTCGAGTTGATTTGGGGCACATGGATCTGCTTTGCGTTGCTGGGGTGACCTCAGGGTCCGTCTAGACTGGTGACAGTGTTCTTGGGGACTGTCTCGAGATCCATTAAGCAAGTCGAAGCTCCTGACTTTTTTGAATGGGATCACGGAATAGCTCTGCATGCACTGCAGGGGAATGGGGCCTCATCTCGCCTCTAGGGGGAAGTCTCATGATTTTTCTCGAGTTGCGGCGGGGACCTGCGGTATGTTCTCGACTTACGGCGGGGATGGCCCTTCAAAACACGAGTTTCTTCAGTGACGTCAGGACTCCTGTCTAGTAACGAGGGACACCTCAGGAATCTCTTCGAGGCTTGGCAGGGCAAAAAGGACGCTTCTCGAGGTGAGGCAGGGCACCCAAGGACCCTTTCCCGTAGCCACAGGGATTTTGGGATTCCTATCAGTATTCAAGAGGAGTCAGCCATCGTCACCTTTTGAAGCAATGAACTCCGCGTGCCTCTCGAGGTGTCAGCGGGATGTGAGGCATTCCGTCAAAATGAGGCAGGGACCTAGGGCTTTCTCTAAGGTCCTCACAGGGGATTCAGTCATCCCTTCATGTTGTGAGATGAAAGACGAGCCTGTATTCAAGCCACTGCAAGGAAGTCCGGCCTTCTTTCAAGTTAGGGCTTCTCGCTGTATATTCCCCTTGAGGCAGCAAACTCGGGGTCCCTCCCACATACCTATTGCTGAGAGAAGCCTCCTCCTGAGGTGCTTCTGGAAAGTTGGCATATGTCTTGAGCCTAAGCCAGGGAATCAGCTCCATCTCGAGACGATTTGGGGTACACGGAGCATTCCTCGAGTTGCTGTGCTGAAGTTGGTGTTACTCTAGACTTGGGACAGTGTTCTCGGGGCATCTCTGGAGTTGCCTGAAGGAAGTCGAGCCACCGGTCGTGTTGAATGGGGAACGGGGAATGGCTCTGGAGTCAATGCAGGGGAATCGGGCCTCATCTCGAGTTGATTTGGGGCACATGGAGCTGCTTTGCGTTGCTGGGGTGACCTCAGGGTCCGTCTAGACTGGTGACAGTGTTCTTGGGGACTGTCTCGAGATCCATTAAGCAAGTCGAAGCTCCTGACTTGTTTGAATGGGATCACGGAATAGCTCTGCATGCACTGCAGGGGAATGGGGCCTCATCTCGCCTCTAGGGGGAATTCTCATGGTTTTCATCGAGTTGCGGCGGGGACCTGGGCTATGTTCTCGACTTACGGCGGGGATGGCCCTTCAAAACAAGAGTTTCTTCAGTGACGTCAGGACTCCTGTCTAGTAACGAGGGACACCTCAGGAATCTATTCGAGGCTTAGCAGGGCAAAAGGTACGCTTCTCGAGCTGAGGCAGGGCACCCAAGGACCCTTTCCCGTAGCCACAGGGATTTTGGGATTCCTATCAGTATTCAAGAGGAGTCAGGCATCGTCACCTTTTGAAGCAATGAACTCCGCGTGCGTCTCGAGGTGTCAGCGGGATGTGAGGCATTCCGTCAAAATGAGGAAGTGACCTAGGGCTTTCTCTAAGGTCTCCACAGGGGATTCAGACATCCCTTCATGTTGTGACATGAAAGACGAGCCTGTATTCAAGCCACTGCAAGGAAATCCGGCCTCCTTTCAAGTTAGGGCTTCTCGCTGTATATTCCCCTTGAGGCAGCAAACTGGGGTCCCTCCCACATACCTATTGCTGAGAGAAGCCTCCTCCTGAGGTGCTTCTGGAAAGTTGGCATACGTCTTGAGCCTAAGCCAGGGAATCAGCTCTCATCTCGAGACGATTTGGGGTACACGGAGCATTCCTCGAGTTGCTGTGCTGAAGTTGGTGTTCCTCTAGACTTGGGACAGTGTTCTCGGTGAATCTCTGGAGTTGCCTGAAGTAAGTCGAGCCACCGGTCGTGTTGAATGGGGAACGGGGAATGGCTCTGGAGTCAATGCAGGGGAATCGGGCCTCATCTCGAGTTGATTTGGGGCACATGGAGCTGCTTTGCGTTGCTGGGGTGACCTCAGGGTCCGTCTAGACTGGTGACAGTGATCTTGGGGACTGTCTCGAGATCCATTAAGCAAGTCGAAGCTCCTGGCTTGTTTGAATGGGATCACGGAATAGCTCTGCATGCACTGCAGGGGAATGGGGCCTCATCTCGCCTCTAGGGGGAAGTCTCATGGTTTTTCTCGAGTTGCGGCGGGGACCTGGGGTATGTTCTCGACTTACGGCGGGGATGGCCCTTCAAAACACGAGTTTCTTCAGTGACGTCAGGACTCCTGTCTAGTAATGAGGGACACCTCAGGAATCTCTTCGAGGCTTGGCAGGGCCAAATTGAGGCTTCTCGAGGTGTGGCAGGGCACCCAAGGACCCTTTCCCGTAGCCACAGGGATTTTGGGATTCCTATCAGTATTCAAGAGGAGTCAGGCATCGTCACATTTTGAAGCAATGAACTCCGCCTGCCTCTCGAGGTGTCAGTGGGATGTGAGGCATTCCGTCAAAATGAGGCAGTGACCTAGGGATTTCTCTAAGGTCTCCACAGGGGATTCAGACATCCCTTCATGTTGTGAGATGAAAGACGAGCCTGTATTCAAGAGACTGCAAGGAAATCCGGCCTCCTTTCAAGTTAGGGCTTCTCTCTGTATATTCCCCTTGAGGCAGCAAACTCGGGGTCCCTCCCACATACCTATTGTTGAGAGAAGCCTCCTCCTGAGGTGCTTCTGGAAATTTGGCATACGTCTTGAGCCTAAGCCAGGGAATCAGCTCTCATCTCGAGACGATTTGGGTTACACGGAGCATTCCTTGAGTTAATGTGCTGAAGTTGGTGTTCCTCTAGACTTGGGACAGTGTTCTCGGGGCATCTCTGGAGTTGCCTGAAGGAAGTCGAGCCACAAGTTGTGTTGAATGGGGAACGGGGAATGGCTCTGGAGTCAATGCAGGGGAATCAGGCCTCATCTCGAGTTGATTTGGGGCACATGGAGCTGCTTTGCGTTGCTGGGGTGACTTCAGGGTCCGTCTAGACTGGTGACAGTGTTCTTGGGGTCTGTCTCGAGATCCATTAAGGAAGTCGAAGCTCCTGACTTGTTTGAATGGGATCGTGGAATAGCTCTGCATGCACTGCAGGGGAATGGGGCCTCATCTCGCCTCTAGGGGGAATTCTCATGGTTTTTCTCGAGTTGCGGCGAGGACCTGGGGTATGTTCTCGACTTACGGCGGGGATGGCCCTTCAAAACACGAGTTTCTTCAGTGACGTCAGGACTCCTCTCTAGTAAAGAGGGACACCTCAGGAATCTCTTCGAGGCTTGGCAGGGCAAAAGGGACGCTTCTCGAGGTGAGCCAGGGCACCCAGGGACCCATTCCAGTAGCCACAGGGATTTTGGGATTCCTATCAGTGTTCAAGAGGAGTCAGGCATCGTCACCTTTTGAAGCAATGAACTCCGCATGCCTCTCGAGGTGTCAGTGGGATGTGAGGCATTCCGTCAAAATGAGGCAGGGACCTAGGGCTTTCTCTGAGGTCTCCACAGGGGATTGAGACATCCCTTCAGGATGTGAGATGAAAGACGAGCCTGTATTCAAGCCACTGCAAGGAAATCCGGCCTCCTTTCAAGTTAGGGCTTCTCGCTGTATATTCCCCTTGAGGCAGCAAAGTCGGGGTCCCTACCACATACCTATTGCTTAGAGAAGCCTCCTCCTGAGGTGCTTCTGGAAAGTTGGCAAATGTCTTGAGCTTAAGCCAGGGAATCAGCTCTCATCTCGAGACGATTTGGACTACACGGAGCATTCCTCGAGTTGCTGTGCTGAAGTTGGTGTTCCTCTAGACTTGGGATAGTATTCTCGGGGCATCTCTGGAGTTGCCTGAAGGAAGTCGAGCCACCTGTCGTGTTGAATGGGGAACGGGTAATGGCTCTGGAGTCAATGCAGGGGAATCGGGCCTCATCTCCAGTTGATTTTGGGCACATGGAGTTGCTTTGTGTTGCTGGGGTGACCTCAGGGTCCGTCTAGACTGGTGACAGTGTTCTTGGGGACTGTCTCGAGATCCATTAAGCAAGTCGAAGCTCCTGACTTGTTTGAATGGGATCACGGCATAGCTCTGCATGCACTGCAGGGGAATGGGGCCTCATCTCGCCTCTAGGGGGAAGTCTCATGGTTTTCCTCGAGTTGCAGCGGGGACCTGGGGTAAGTTCTCGACGTACGCCGGGGAAGACCCTTCAAAACACGAGTTTCTTCAGTGACGTCTGGACTCCTGTATAGTAACGAGGGACACCTCAGGAATCTCTTCGAGCCTTGGCAGGGCAAAAGGGACGCTTCTCAAGGTGAGGCAGGGCACCCAAGGACCCTTTCCAGTAGCCACAGGGATTTTGGGATTCCTATCAGTATTCAAGAGGAGTCAGGCATCGTTACCTTTTGAAGCAATGAACTCCGCGTGCCTCTCGAGGTGTCAGCGGGATTGGAGGCATTCCGTCAAAATGAGGCAGGGACCAAGGGCTTTCTCTATGGTCTCCACAGGGGATTCAGACATCCATTCATGTTGTGAGATGAAAGAAGAGCCTGTATTCAAGCCACTGCAAGGAAATCCGGCCTCCTTTCAAGTTAGGGCTTCTCGCTGTATATTCCTCTTGAGGCAGCAAACTCGGGGTCCCTCCCACATACCTATTGCTGAGAGAAGCCTCCTCCTGAGGTGCTTCTGGGAAGTTGGCATACGTCTTGAGCCTAAGCCAGGGAATCAGCTCTCATCTCGAGACGATTTGGGGTACACGGAGCATTCCTCGAGTTGCTGTGCTGAAGTTCGTGTTCCTCTCGACTTGGGACAGTGTTCTCGGGGCATCTCTGGAGTTGCCTGAAGGAAGTCGAGCCACCGGTCGTGTTGAATGGGGAACGGGGAATGGCTCTGGAGTCAATGCAGGGGAATCGGGCCTCATCTCGAGTTGATTTGGGGCACATGGAGCTGCTTTGCATTGCTGGGGTGACATCAGGGTCCGTCTAGACTGGTGACAGTGTTCTTGCGGACTGTCTCGAGATCCATTAAGCAAGTCGAAGCTCCTGACTTGTTTGAATGGGATCACGGAATAGCTCTGCATGCACTGCAGGGGAATGGGGCCTCATCTCGCCTCTAGGGGGAAGTCTCATTGTTTTTCTCGAGTTGCGGCGGGGACCAGGGGTATGTTCTCGACTACGGCGGGAATGGCCCTTCAAAACACGAGTTTCTTCAGTGACGTCAGGACTCCTGTCTAGTAACGAGGGACACCTCAGGAATCTCTTCGAGGCTTGGCAGGGCAAAAGGGACGCTTCTCGAGGTGAGGCAGGGCACCCAAGGACCCTTTCCCGTAGCCATAGGGATTTTGGGATTCCTATCAGTATTCAAGAGGAGTCAGGCATCGTCACCTTTTGAAGCAGTAAACTCCGCGTGCCTCTCGAGGTGTCAGCGGGATATGAGGCATTCCGTCAAAATGAGGCAGGGACGTAAGGCTTTCTCTAAGGTCTCCACAGGGGATTCCGACATCCCTTCATGTTGTGAGATGAAAGACGAGCCTGTATTCAAGCCACTGCAAGGAAATCCGGCCTCCTTTCAAGTTAGGGCTTCTCGCTGTATATTCCCCTTGAGGCAGCAAACTCGGAGTCCCTCCCACATACCTATTGCTGAGAGAAGCCTCCTCCTGAGGTGCTTCTGGAAAGTTGGCATACATCTTGAGCCTAAGCCAGGGAATCAGCTCTCATCTCGAGACGACTTGGGGTACATGGAGCATTCCTCGAGTTGCTGTGCTGAAGTTGGTGTTCCTCTAGACTTGGGACAGTGTTCTCGGGGCATCTCTGGAGTTGTCTGAAGGAAGTCGAGCCACCGGTCGTGTTGAATGGGGAACGGGGAATGGCTCTGGAGTCAATGCAGGGGAATCGGGACTCATCTCGAGTTGATTTGGGGCACATGGAGCTGCTTTGCGTTGCTGGGGTGACCTCAGGTTCCGTCTAGACTGGTGACAGTGTTCTTGGGGACTGTCTCGAGATCCATTAAGCAAGTCGAAGATCCTGACTTGTTTGAATGGGATCACGGAATAGCTCTGCATGCACTGCAGGGGAATGGGGCCTCATCTCGCCTTTAGGGGGAAGTCTCATGGTTTTTCTCGAGTTGCGGCGGGGACCTGGGGTAGGTTCTCGACTTACGGCGGGGATGGCCCTTCAAAACACGAGTTTCTTCAGTGACGTCAGGACTCCTGTCTAAAACGAGGGACACCTTAGGAATCTTTTCGAGGCTAGGCAGGGCAAAAGGGACGCTTCTCGAGGTGAGGCAGGGCACCCAGGGACCCTTTCCAGTAGCCACAGGGATTTTGGGATTCCTATCAGTGTTCAAGAGGAGTCAGGCATCGTCACCTTTTGAAGCAATGAACTCCGCGTGCCTCTCGAGGTGTCAGCGGGATGTGAGGCATTCCGTCAAAATGAGGCAGGGACCTAGGGCTTTCTCTAAGGTCTCCACAGGGGATTCAGACATCCCTTCATGTTGTGAGATGAAAGACGAGCCTGTATTCAAGCCACTGCAAGGAAATCCAGCCTTCTTTCAAGTTAGGGCTTCTCGCTGTATATTCCCCTTGAGGCAGCAAACTCGGGGTCCCTCCCACATACATATTGCTGAGAGAAGCCTCCTCCTGAGGTGCTTCTGGAAAGTTGGCATACGTCTTGAGCCTAAGCCAGGGAATCAGCTCTCATCTCGAGGCGATTTGGGGTACATGGAGCATTCCTCAAGTTGCTGTGCTGAAGTTTGTGTTCCTCTAGACTTGGGATAGTATTCTCGGGGCATCTGTGGAGTTGCCTGACGGAAGTCGAGCCACCGGTCGTGTTGAATGGGGAACGGGGAATGGCTCTGGAGTCAATGCAGGGGAATCGGTCTCATCTCGAGTTGATTTTGGGCACATGGAGTTGCCTTGTGTTGCTGGGGTGACCTCAGGGTCCGTCTAGACTGGTGACAGTGTTCTTGGGGACTGTCTCGAGATCCATTAAGCAAGTCGAAGCTCCTGACTTGTTTGAATGGGATCACGGCATAGCTCTCCATGCACTGCAGCGGAATGGGGCCTCATCTCGCCTCTAGGGGGAAGTCTCATGGTATTCCTCGAGTTGCAGCGGGGACCTGGGGTAAGTTTTAGACGTACGGCGGGGATGGCCCTTCAAAACATGTGTTTCTTCAGTGACGTCTGGACTCCTGTCTAGTAACATGGGACACCTCAGGAATCTCTTCGAGCCTTGGCTGGGAAAAAGGGACGCTTCTCAAGGTGAGGCAGGGCACCCAAGGACCCTTTCCAGTAGCCACAGGGATTTTGGGATTCCTATCAGTATTCAAGAGGAGTCAGGCATCGTCACCTTTTGAAGCAATGAACTCCGCGTGCCTCTCGAGGTGTCAGTGGGATGTGAGGCATTCCGTCAAAATGAGGCAGGGACCTAGGGCTTTCTCTGAGGTCTCCACAGGGGATTGAGACATCCCTTCAGGATGTGAGATGAAAGACGAGCCTGTATTCAAGCCACTGCAAGGAAATCCGGCCTCCTTTCAAGTTAGGGCTTCTCGCTGTATATTCTCCTTGAGGCAGCAAACTTGGGGTCCCTCCCACATACCTATTGCTGAGAGAAGCCTCCTCCTGAGGTGCTTCTGGGAAGTTGGCATACGTCTTGAGCCTAAGCCAGGGAATCAGCTCTCATCTCGAGACGATTTGGGGTACACGGAGCATTCCTCGAGTTGCTGTGCTGAAGTTGGTGTTCCTCTAGACTTGGGACAGTGTTCTCGGGGCATCTCTGGAGTTGCCTGAAGGAAGTCGAGCCACAGGTCGTGTTGAATGGGGAACCGGGAATGGCTCTGGAGTCAATGCAGGGGAATCGGGCCTCATCTCGAGTTGATTTGGGGCACATGGAGCTGCTTTGCGTTGCTGGGGTGACATCAGGGTGCGTCTTGACTGGTGACAGTGTTCTTGGGGACTGTCTCGAGATCCATTAAGCAAGTCGAAGCTCCTGACTTGTTTGAATGGGATCACGGAATAGCTCTGCATGTACTGCAGGGGAATGGGGCCTCATCTCGCCTCTAGGGGGAAGTCTCATGGTTTTTCTCGAGTTGCGGCGGGGACCTGGGGTATGTTCTCGACTTACGGCAGGGATGGCCCTTCAAAACACGAGTTTCTTCAGTGACGTCAGGACTCCTGTCTAGTAGCGAGGGACACCTCAGGAATCACTTCGAGGCTTGGCAGGGCAAAAGGGACGCTTCTCGAGGTGAGGCAGGGCACCCAAGGACCCTTTCCCGTAGCCATAGGGATTTTGGGATTCCTATCAGTATTGAAGAGGAGTCAGGCACCGTCACCTTTTGAAGCAATAAAGTCCGCGTGCCTCTCGAGGTGTCAGCGGGATGTGAGGCATTCCGTCAAAATGAGGCAGGGACCTAGGGCTTTCTCTAAGGTCTCCACAGGGGATTCAGACATCCCTTCATGTTGTGAGATGAAAGACGAGCCTGTATTGAAGCCACTGCAAGGAAATCCGGCCTCCTTTCAAGTTAGGGCTTCTCGCTGTATATTCCCCTTGAGGCAGCAAACTCAGGGTCCCTCCCCATACCTATTGCTGAGAGAAGCCTCCTCCTGAGGTGCTTCTGGAAAGTTGGCATACGTCTTGAGCCTAAGCCAGGGAATCAGCTCTCATCTCGAGACGATTTGGGGTACACTGAGCATTCCTCGAGTTGCTGTGCTGAAGTTGGTGTTCCTCTAGACTTGTTACAGTGTTCTCGGGGAATCTCTGGAGTTGCCTGAAGGAAGTCGAGCCACCGGTCGTGTTGAATGGGGAACGGGGAATGGCTCTGGAGTCAATGCAGGGGAATCGGGCCTCATCTCGAGTTGATTTGGGGCACATGGAGCTGCTTTGCGTTGCTGGGGTGACCTCAGGGTCCGTCTGGACTGGTGACAGTGATCTTGGGGACTGTCTCGAGATCCATTAAGCAAGTCGAAGCTCCTGACTTGTTTGAATGGGATCACGGAATAGCTCTGCATGCACTGCAGGGGAATGGGGCCTCATCTCGCCTCTAGGGGAAGTCTCATGGTTTTTCTCGAGTTGCGGCGAGGACCTGGGGTATGTTCTCGACTTACGGCTGGGATGCCCCTTCAAAACACGAGTTTCTTCAGTGACGACAGGACTCCTGTCTAGTAACGAGGGACACCTCAGGAATGTCTTCGAGGCTTGGCAGGTCAAAAGGGAAGCTTTTCGAGGTGAGGCAGGGCACCCAAGGATCCTTTCCAGTAGCCACAGGGATTTTGGGATTCCTATCAGTATTCAAGAGGAGTCAGGCATCGTCACCTTTTGAAGCAATGAACTCCGCGTGCCTCTCGAGGTGTCAGCGGGATGTGAGGCATTCCGTCAAAATGAGGCAGGGACCTAGGGCTTTCTCTAAGCGCTCCACAGGGGATTCAGACATCCCTTCATGTTGTGAGATGAAAGACGAGCCTGTATTCAAACCACTGCAAGGAAATCTGGCCTCCTTTCAAGTTAGGGCTTCTCGCTGTATATTCCCCTTGAGGCAGCAAACTCGGGGTCCCTCCCACATACCTATTGCTGAGAGAAGCCTCCTCCTGAGGTGCTTCTGGAAAGTTGGCATATGTCTTGAGCCTAAGCCAGGGAATCAGCTCTCATCTCGAGACGATTTGAGGTACACGGAGCATTCCTCGAGTTGCTGTGTTGAAGTTGGTGTTCCTCTAGACTTGGGACAGTGTTCTCGGGGCATCTCTAGAGTTGCCTGAAGGAAATCGAGCCACTGGTCGTGTTGAATGGGGAACGGGGAATGGCTCTGGAGTCAATGCAGGGGAATCGGGCCTCATCTCGAGTTGATTTGGGGCACATGGAGCTGCTTTGCGTTGCTGGGGTAACCTCAGGGTCCTTCTGGACTGGTGACAGTGTTCTTGGGGACTGTCTCGAGATCCATTAAGCAAGTCGAAGCTCCTGACTTGTTTGAATGGGATCACGGAATAGCTCTGCATGCACTGCAGGGGAATGGGGCCTCATGTCACCTCTAGGGGGAATTCTCATGGTTTTAATCGAGTTGCGGCGGGGACCTGGGCTATGTTCTCGACTTACGACGGGGATGGCCCTTCAAAACAAGAGTTTCTTCAGTGACGTCAGGACTCCTGTCTAGTAACGAGGGACACCTCAGGAATCTATTCGAGGCTTAGCAGGGCAAAAGGTACCCTTCTCGAGCTGCGGCAGGGCACCCAAGGACCCTTTCCCGTAGCCTCAGGGATTTTGGGATTCCTATCAGTATTCAAGAGGAGTCAGGCATCGTCACCTTTTGAAGCAATGAACTCCGCGTGCGTCTCGAGGTGTCAGCGGGATGTGAGGCATTCCGTCAAAATGAGGAAGTGACCTAGGGCTTTCTCTAAGGTCTCCACAGGGGATTCAGACATCCCTTCATGTTGTGACATGAAAGACGACCCTGTATTGAAGCCACTGCAAGGAAATCCGGCCTCCTTTCAAGTTAGGGCTTCTCGCTGTATATTCCCCTTGAGGCAGCAACCTGGGGTCCCTCCCACATACCTATTGCTGAGAGAAGCCTCCTCCTGAGGTGCTTCTGGAAAGTTGGCATACGTCTTGAGCCTAAGCCAGGGAATCAGCTCTCATCTCGAGACGATTTGGGGTACACGGAGCATTCCTCGAGTTGCTGTGCTGAAGTTGGTGTTCCTCTAGACTTGGGACAGTGTTCTCGGTGAATCTCTGGAGTTGCCTGAAGTAAGTCGAGCCACCGGTCGTGTTGAATGGGGAACGGGAAATGGCTCTGGAGTCAATGCAGGGGAATCGGGCCTCATCTCGAGTTGATTTGGGGCACATGGAGCTGCTTTGCGTTGCTGGGGTGACCTCAGGGTCCGTCTAGACTGGTGACAGTGATCTTGGGGACTGTCTCGAGATCCATTAAGCAAGTCGAAGCTCCTGGCTTGTTTGAATGGGATCACGGAATAGCTCTGCATGCACTGCAGGGGAATGGGGCCTCATCTCGCCTCTAGGGGGAAGTCTCATGGTTTTTCTCGAGTTGCGGCGGGGACCTGGGGTATGTTCTCGACTTACGGCGGGGATGGCCCTTCAAAACACGAGTTTCTTCAGTGACGTCAGGACTCCTGTCTAGTAATGAGGGACACCTCAGGAATCTCTTCGAGGCTTGGCAGGGCCAAATTGAGGCTTCTCGAGGTGTGGCAGGGCACCCAAGGACCTTTTCCCGTAGTCACAGGGATTTTGGGATTCCTATCAGTATTCAAGAGGAGTCAGGCATCGTCACATTTTGAAGCAATGAACTCCGCCTGCCTCTCGAGGTGTCAGTGGGATGTGAGGCATTCCGTCAAAATGAGGCAGTGACCTAGGGCTTTCTCTAAGGTCTCCACAGGGGATTCAGACATCCCTTCATGTTGTGAGATGAAAGACGAGCCTGTATTCAAGCCACTGCAAGGAAATCCGGCCTCCTTTCAAGTTAGGGCTTCTCACTGTATATTCCCCTTGAGGCAGCAAACTCGGGGTCCCTCCCACATACCTATTGTTGAGAGAAGCCTCCTCCTGAGGTGCTTCTGGAAATTTGGCATACGTCTTGAGCCTAAGCCAGGGAATCAGCTCTCATCTCGAGACGATTTGGGTTACACGGAGCATTCCTCGAGTTAATGTGCTGAAGTTGGTGTTCCTCTAGACTTGGGACAGTGTTCTCGGGGCATCTCTGGAGTTGCCTGAAGGAAGTCGAGCCACCAGTTGTGTTGAATGGGGAACGGGGAAGGGCTCTGGAGTCAATGCAGGGGAATCAGGCCTCATCTCGAGTTGATTTGGGGCACATGGAGCTGCTTTGCGTTGCTGGGGTGACTTCAGGGTCCGTCTAGACTGGTGACAGTGTTCTTGGGGTCTGTCTCGAGATCCATTAAGGAAGTCGAAGCTCCTGACTTGTTTGAATGGGATCATGGAATAGCTCTGCATGCACTGCAGGGGAATGGGGCCTCATCTCGCCTCTAGGGGGAATTCTCATGGTTTTTCTCGAGTTGCGGCGAGGACCTGGGGTATGTTCTCGACTTACGGCGGGGAGGGCCCTTCAAAACACGAGTTTCTTCAGTGACGTCAGGACTCCTCTCTAGTAAAGAGGGACACCTCAGGAATCTCTTCGAGGCTTGGCAGGGCAAAAGGGACGCTTCTCGAGGTGAACCAGGGCACCCAGGGACCCATTCCAGTAGCCACGGGGATTTTGGGATTCCTATCAGTGTTCAAGAGGAGTCAGGCATCGTCACCTTTTGAAGCAATGAACTCCGCGTGCCTCTTGAGGTGTCAGTGGGATGTGAGGCATTCCGTCAAAATGAGGCAGGGACCTAGGGCTTTCTCTAAGGTCTCCACAGGGGATTCAGACATCCCTTCAGGATGTGAGATGAAAGACGAGCCTGTATTCAAGCCACTGCAAGGAAATCCGGCCTCCTTTCAAGTTAGGGCTTCTCGCTGTATATTCCCCTTGAGGCAGCAAAGTCGGGGTCCCTACCACATACCTATTGCTTAGAGAAGCCTCCTCCTGAGGTGCTTCTGGAAAGTTGGCAAATGTCTTGAGCCTAAGCCAGGGAATCAGCTCTCATCTCGAGACGATTTGGAGTACACGGAGCATTCCTCGAGTTGCTGTGCTGAAGTTGGTGTTCCTCTAGACTTGGGACAGTGTTCTCGGGGCATCTCTGGAGTTGCCTGAAGGAAGTCGAGCCACCGGTCGTGTTGAATGGGGAACGGGGAATGGCTCTGGAGTCAATGCAGGGGAATCGGGCCTCATCTCGAGTTGATTTGGGGCACATGGAGCTGCTTTGCATTGCTGGGGTGACCTCAGGGTCCGTCTTGACTGGTGACAGTGTTCTTGGGGACTGTCTCAATATCCATTAAGCAAGTCGAAGCTCCTGACTTATTTGAATGGGATCACGGAATAGCTCTGCATGCACTGCAGGAGAATGGGGCCTAATGTCGCCTCTAGGGGGAAGTCTCATGGTTTTTCTCGAGTTGCGGCGGGGACCTGGGGTATGTTCTCGACTTACGGCGGGGATGGCCCTTCAAAACACGAGTTTCTTCAGTGACGTCAGGACTCCTGTCTAGTAACGAGGGACACCTCAGGAATCTCTTCGACCTATGGCAGGGCAAAAGGGATTCTTCTCGAGGTGAGGCAGGGCACCCAAGGACCCTTTCCCGTAGCCACAGGGATTTGGGGATTCCTATCAGTATTCAAGAGGAGTCAGGCATCGTCACCTTTTGAAGCAATGAACTCCGCGTGACTCTCGTAGTGTCAGCCGGATGTGAGGCATTCCGTCAAAATGAGGCAGGGACCTAGGGCTTTCTCTAAGGTCTCCACAGTGGATTCAGACATCCCTTCATGTTGTGAGATGAAAGACGAGCCTGTATTCAAGCCACTGCAAGGAAATCTGGCCTCCTTTCATGTTAGAGCTTCTCGCTGTATATGCCCATTGAAGCAGCAAACTCGGGGTCCCTCCCACATACCTATTGCTGAGAGAAGCCTCCTCCTGAGGTGCTTCTGGAAAGCTGGCATATGTCTTGAGCCTAAGCCAGGGAATCAGCTCTCATCTCGAGACGATTTGGGGTACGTGGACCATTCCTCGAGTTGCTGTACTGAAGTTGGTGTTCCTCTAGACTTGGGACAGTGTTCTCGGGGAATCTCTGGAGTTACCTGAGGGAAGTCGAGCCACCGGTCGTGTTGAATGGGGAACGGGGAATGGCTCTGGAGTCAATGCAGGGGAATCGGGCCTCATCTCGACTTGATTTGGGGCACATGGAGCTGCTTTGCGTTGCTGGGGTGACCTCAGGGTCCGTCTAGACTGGTGACAGTGTTCTTGGGGACTGTCTCGAGATCCATTAAGCAAGTCGAAGCTCCTGACTTGTTTGAATGGAATCACGGAATAGCTCTGCATGCACTGCAGGGGAATGGGGCCTCATCTCCTCTATAGGGGGAAGTCTCATGTTTTTTCTCGAGTTGCGGCGGGGACCTGGGGTATGTTCTCGACTTAAGGCGGGGATGGCCCTTCAAAACATGAGTTTCTTCAGTGACGTCAGGACTCCTGTCTAGTAACGAGGGACACCTCAGGAATCTCTTCGAGGCTTGGCAGGGCAAAAGGGACGCTTGTCGAGGTGAGGCAGGGCACCCAAGGACCCTTTCCCGTAGCCACAGGGATTTTGGGATTCCTATCAGCATTCAAGAGGAGTCAGGCATCGTCACCTTTTGAAGCAATGAACTCCGCGTGCCTCTCGAGGTGTCAGCGGGATGTGAGGCATTCCGTCAAAATGTGGCAGGGACCTAGGGCTTTCTCTAAGGTCTCCACAGGGGATTCAGACATCCCTTCATGTTGTGAGATGAAAGACGAGCCTGTATTCAAGCCACTGCAAGGAAATCCGGCCTCCTTTCAAGTTAGGGCTTCTCGCTGTATATTCCCCTTGAGGCAGCAAACTCGGGGTCCCTCCCACAAACCTATTGCTGAGAGAAGCCTCCTCCTGAGGTGCTTCTGAAAGCTGGCATATGTCTTGAGCCTAAGCCAGGGAATCACCTCTCATCTCGAGATGATTTGGGGTACACGGAGCATTCCTCGAGTTCTGTGCTTAAGTTGGTGTTCCTCTAGACTTGGGACAGTGTTCTCGGGGAATCTCTGGAGTTGCCTGAAGGAAGTCGAGCCACCGGTCGTGTTGAATGGGGAACGGGGAATGGCTCTGGAGTCAATGCAGGGGAATCGGGCCTCATCTCGAGTTGATTTGGGGCACATGGAGCTGCTTTGCGTTGCTGGGGTGACCTCAGGGTCCGTCTAGACTGGTGACAGTGTTCTTGGGGACTGTCTCGAGATCCATTAAGCAAGTCGAAGCTCGTGTCTTGTTTGAATGGGATCACGGAATAGCTCTGCATGCACTGCAGGGGAATGGGGCCTCATCTCGCCTCTAGGGGGAAGTCTCATGGTTTTCCTCGAGTTGCGGCGGGGACCTGGGGTATGTTCTCGGCGTACGGCGGGGATGGCCTTTCAAAACACGAGTTTCTTCAGTGACGTCTGGACTCCTGACTAGTAACGAGGGACACCTCAGGAATCTCTTCGAGGCTTGTCAGGGCAAAAGGAACGCTGCTCGAGGTGAGGCAGGGCACCCAAGGACCCTTTCCAGTAGCCACAGGGATTTTGGGATTCCTATCAGTATTCAAGAGGAGTCAGGCATCGTCACCTTTTGAAGCAATGAACTCCGCGTGCCTCTCGAGGTGTCAGCAGGATTGGAGGCATTCCGTCAAAATGAGGCAGGGACCTAGGGCTTTCTCTAAGGTCTCCACAGGGGATTCAGACATCCCTTCATGTTGTGAGATGAAAGACGAGCCTGTATTCAAGCCACTGCAAGGAAATCCGGCCTCCTTTCAAGTTAGGGCTTCTCGCTCTATATTCCCCTTGAGGCAGCAAACTCGGGGTCCCTCCCACATACCTATTGCTGAGAGAAGCCTCCTCCTGAGGTGCTTCTGGAAACTTGGCATATGTCTTGAGCCTACGCCAGGGAATCAGCTCACATCTCGAGACGATTTGGGGTACACGGAGCATTCCTCGAGTTAATGTGCTGAAGTTGGTGTTCCTCTAGACTTGGGACAGTGTTCTCAGGGCATCTCTGGAGTTGCCTGAAGGAAGTCAAGCCACCTGTCCTGTTGAATGGGGAACGGGGAATGGCTCTGGAGTCAATGCAGGGGAATCGGGCCTCATCTCAAGTTGATATGGGGCACATGGAGCTGCTTTGCTTTGCTGGGTTGACCTCAGGGTCCGTCTAGACTGGTGACAGTGTTCTTGGGGACTGTCTCGAGATCCATTAAGCAAGTCGAAGCTCCTGACTTGTTTGAATGGGATCACGGAATAGCTCTGCATGCACTGCAGGGGAATGGGGCCTCATCTCGCCTCTCGGGGGAAGTCTCATGGTTTTGCTCGTGTTGGGGCGGGGACCTGGGGTATGTTCTCGACTTACGGCGGGGATCGCCCTTCAAAACACGAGTTTCTTCAGTGACGTCAGGACTCCTCTCTAGTAAAGAGGGACACCTCAGGAATCTCTTCGAGGCTTGGCAGGGCAAAAGGGACGCTTCTCGATGTGAGGCAGGGCACCCAAGCAGCCTTTCCCGTAGCCACACGGATTTTGGGATTCCTATCAGTATTCAAGAGGAGTCAGGCATCGTCACCTTTTGAAGCAATGAACTCCGCGTGCCTCTCGAGGTGTCAGCGGGATTTGAGGCATTCCGTCAAAATGAGGCAGGGACCTAGGGATTTCTCTAAGGTCTCCACAGGGGATTCAGACATCCCTTCATGTTGTGAGATGAAAGACGAGCCTTTATTCAAGCCACTGCAAGGAAATCCGGCCTCCTTTCAAGTTAGGGCTTCTTGCTGTATATTCCCCTTGAGGGAGCAAACTCGGGGACCCTCCCACATACCTATTGCTGAGAGAAGCCTCCTCCTGAGGTGCTTCTGGAAAGTTGGCATACGTCTTGAGCCTAAGCCAGGGAATCAGCTCTCATCTCGAGACGATTTGGGGTACACGGATCATTCCTCGAGTTAATGTGCTGAAGTTGGTGTTCCTCTAGACTTGGGACAGTGTTCTCGGGGCATTTCTGGAGTTGCCTGAAGGAAGTCGAGCCACCGGTCGTGTTGAATGGGGAACAGGGAATGGCTCTGGAGTCAATGCAGGGGAATCAGGCCTCATCTCGAGTTGATTTGGGGCACATGGATCTGCTTTGCGTTGCTGGGGTGACCTCAGTGTCCGTCTAGACTGGTGACAGTGTTCTTGGGGACTGTCTCGTGATCCATTAAGCAAGTCGAAGCTACTGACTTGTTTGAATGGGATCACGGAATAGCTCTGCCTGCACTGCAGGGGAATGGGGCCTCATCTCGCCTCTCGGGGGAAGTCTCATGGTTTTTCTCGAGTTGCGGCGGGACCTGGGGTATGTTCTCGACTTACGGCGGGGATAGCCCTTCAAAACACGAGTTTCTTCAGTGACGTCAGGACTCCTGTCTAGTAAAGAGGAACACCTCAGGAATCTCTTCGAGGCTTGGCAGGGCAAAAGGGACGCTTCTCGAGGTGAGGCAGGGCACCCAAGGACCCTTTCCAGTAGCCACAGGGATTTTGGTATTCCTATCAGTATTCAAGAGGAGTCAGGCATCGTCACCTTTTGAAGCAATGAACTCCGCGTGCCTCTCGAGGTGTCAGCGGGATGTGAGGCATTCCGTCAAAATGAGGCAGGGACCTAGGGCTTTCTCTAAGGTCTCCACAGGGGATTCAGACATCACTTCATGTTGTGAGATGAAAGACGAGCCTGTATTCAAGCCACTGCAAGGAAATCCGGCCTCCTTTCAAGTTAGGGCTTCTCGCTGTATATTCCCCTTGAGGCAGCAAACTCGGGGTCCCTCCCACATACCTATTGCTGAGAGAAGCCTCCTCCTGAGGTGCTCCTGGAAAGTTGGCATATGTCTTGAGCCTAAGCCAGGGAATCAGCTCTCATCTAGAGACGATTTGGGGTACACGGAGCATTCCTCGAGTTGCTGTGCTGAAGTTGGTGTTCCTCTAGACTTGGGACAGTGTTCTCGGGGCATCTCTGGAGTTGCCTGAAGGAAGTCGAGCCACCGGTCGTGTTGAATGGGGAACGGGGAATGGCTCTGGAGTCAATGCAGGGGAATCGGGACTCATCTCGAGTTGATTTGGGGCACATGGAGCTGCTTTGCATTGCTGGGGTGACCTCAGGGTCCGTCTAGACTGGTGACAGTGTTCTTGGGGACTGTCTCGAGATCCATTAAGCAAGTCGAAGCTCCTGACTTGTTTGAATGGGATCACGGAATAGCTCTGCATGCACTGCAGGGGAATGGGGCCTTATCTCGCCTCTAGGGGGAAGTCTCATGGTTTTTCTCGAGTTTCGGCGAGGACCTGGGGTATGTTCTCGACTTCCGGCGGGGATGGCCCTTCAAAACACGAGTTTCTTCAGTGACGTCAGGACTCCTGTCTAGTAACGAGGGACACCTCTGCAATCTCTTCGAGGCTTGGCAGGGCAAAAGGGACGCTTCTCGAAGTGAGGCAGGGCACCCATGGACCATTTCCCGTAGCCACAGGGATTTTGGGATTCCTATCAGTATTCAAGAGGAGTCAGGCATCGTCACCTTTTGAAGCAATGAACTCCGCGTGCCTCTCGAGGTGTCAGCGGGATATGAGGCATTCCGTCAAAATGAGGCAGGGACCTAGGGCTTTCTCTAAGGTCCCCACAGGGGATTCAGACATCCCTTCATGTTGTGAGATGAAAGACGAGCCTGTATTCAAGCCACTGCAAGGAAATCCGGCCTCCTTTCAAGTTAGGGCTTCTCGCTGTATATTCCCCTTGAGGCAGCAAACTCGGGGTCCCTCCCACATACCTATTGCTGAGAGAAGCCTCCTCCTGAGGTGCTCCTGGAAAGTTGGCATATGTCTTGAGCCTAAGCCAGGGAATCAGCTCTCATCTCGAGACGATTTGGGGTACACGGAGCATTCCTCGAGTTGCTGTGCTGAAGTTGGTGTTCCTCTAGACTTGGGACAGTGTTCTCGGGGCATCTCTGGAGTTGCCTGAAGGAAGTCGAGCCACAGGTCGTGTTGAATGGGGAACCGGGAATGGCTCTGGAGACAATGCAGGGGAATCGGGCCTCATCTCGAGTTGATTTGGGGCACATGGAGCTGCTTTGCGTTGCTGGGGTGATATCAGGGTGCGTCTTGACTGGTGACAGTGTTCTTGGGGACTGTCTCGACATCCATTAAGCAAGTCGAAGCTCCTGACTTGTTTGAATGGGATCACGGAATAGCTCTGCATGTACTGCAGGGGAATGGGGCCTCATCTCGCCTCTAGGGGGAAGTCTCATGGTTTTTCTCGAGTTGCGGCGGGGACCTGGGGTATGTTCTCGACTTACGGCAGGGAAGGCCCTTCAAAACACGAGTTTCTTCAGTGACGTCAGGACTCCTGTCTAGTAGCGAGGGACACCTCAGGAATCACTTCGAGGCTTGGCAGGGCAAAAGGGACGCTTCTCGAGGTGAGGCAGGGCACCCAAGGATCCTTTCCAGTAGCCACAGGGATTTTGGGATTCCTATCAGTATTCAAGAGGAGTCAGGCATCGTCACATTTTGAAGCAATGAACTCCGCCTGCCTCTCGAGGTGTCAGTGGGATGTGAGGCATTCCGTCAAAATGAGGCAGTGACCTAGGGCTTTCTCTAAGGTCTCCACAGGGGATTCAGACATCCCTTCATGTTGTGAGATGAAAGACGAGCCTGTATTCAAGCCACTGCAAGGAAATCCGGCCTCATTTCAAGTTAGGGCTTCTCACTGTATATTCCCCTTGAGGCAGCAAACTCGGGGTCCCTCCCACATAACTATTGTTGAGAGAAGCCTCCTCCTGAGGTGCTTCTGGAAATTTGGCATACGTCTTGAGCCTAAGCCAGGGAATCAGCTCTCATCTCGAGACGATTTGGGTTACACGGAGCATTCCTCGAGTTAATGTGTTGAAGTTGGTGTTCCTCTAGACTTGGGACAGTGTTCTCGGGGCATCTCTGGAGTTGCCTGAAGGAAGTCGAGCCACCAGTTGTGTTGAATGGGGAACGGGGAAGGGCTCTGGAGTCAATGCAGGGGAATCAGGCCTCATCTCGAGTTGATTTGGGGCACATGGAGCTGCTTTGCGTTGCTGGGGTGACTTCAGGGTCCGTCTAGACTGGTGACAGTGTTCTTGGGGTCTGTCTCGAGATCCATTAAGGAAGTCGAAGCTCCTGACTTGTTTGAATGGGATCATGGAATAGCTCTGCATGCACTGCAGGGGAATGGGGCCTCATCTCGCCTCTAGGGGGAATTCTCATGGTTTTTCTCGAGTTGCGGCGAGGACCTGGGGTATGTTCTCGACTTACGGCGGGGATGGCCCTTCAAAACACGAGTTTCTTCAGTGACGTCAGGACTCCTCTCTAGTAAAGAGGGACACCTCAGGAATCTCTTCGAGGCTTGGCAGGGCAAAAGGGACGCTTCTCGAGGTGAGCCAGGGCACCCAGGGACCCATTCCAGTAGCCACGGGGATTTTGGGATTCCTATCAGTGTTCAAGAGGAGTCAGGCATCGTCACCTTTTGAAGCAATGAACTCCGCGTGCCTCTCGAGGTGTCAGTGGGATGTGAGGCATTCCGTCAAAATGAGGCAGGGACCTAGGGCTTTCTCTAAGGTCTCCACAGGGGATTCAGAGATCCCTTCAGGATGTGAGATGAAAGACGAGCCTGTATTCAAGCCACTGCAAGGAAATCCGGCCTCCTTTCAAGTTAGGGCTTCTCGCTGTATATTCCCCTTGAGGCAGCAAAGTCGGGGTCCCTACCACATACCTATTGCTTAGAGAAGCCTCCTCCTGAGGTGCTTCTGGAAAGTTGGCAAATGTCTTGAGCCTAAGCCAGGGAATCAGCTCTCATCTCGAGACGATTTGGAGTACACGGAGCATTCCTCGAGTTGCTGTGCTGAAGTTGGTGTTCCTCTAGACTTGGGACAGTGTTCTCGGGGCATCTCTGGAGTTGCCTGAAGGAAGTCGAGCCACCGGTCGTGTTGAATGGGGAACGGGGAATGGCTCTGGAGTCAATGCAGGGGAATCGGGCCTCATCTCGAGTTGATTTGGGGCACATGGAGCTGCTTTGCATTGCTGGGGTGACGTCAGGGTCCGTCTTGACTGGTGACAGTGTTCTTGGGGACTGTCTCCATATCCATTAAGCAAGTCGAAGCTCCTGACTTATTTGAATGGGATCACGGAATAGCTCTGCATGCACTGCAGGAGAATGGGGCCTAATGTCGCCTCTAGGGGGAAGTCTCATGGTTTTTCTCGAGTTGCGGCGGGGACCTGGGGTATGTTCTCGACTTACGGCGGGGATGGCCCTTCAAAACACGAGTTTCTTCAGTGACGTCAGGACTCCTGTCTAGTAACGAGGGACACCTCAGGAATCTCTTCGACCTATGGCAGGGCAAAAGGGATGCTTCTCGAGGTGAGGCAGGGCACCCAAGGACCCTTTCCCGTAGCCACAGGGATTTGGGGATTCCTATCAGTATTCAAGAGGAGTCAGGCATCGTCACCTTTTGAAGCAATGAACTCCGCGTTACTCTCGTAGTGTCAGCCGGATGTGAGGCATTCCGTCAAAATGAGGCAGGGACCTAGGGCTTTCTCTAAGGTCTCCACAGGGGATTCAGACATCCCTTCATGTTGTGAGATGAAAGACGAGCCTGTATTCAAGCCACTGCAAGGAAATCTGGCCTCCTTTCATGTTAGAGCTTCTCGCTGTATATGCCCATTGAAGCAGCAAACTCGGGGTCCCTCCCACATACCTATTGCTGAGAGAAGCCTCCTCCTGAGGTGCTTCTGGAAAGCTGGCATATGTCTTGAGCCTAAGCCAGGGAATCAGCTCTAATCTCGAGATGATTTGGGGTACATGGACCATTCCTCGAGTTGCTGTACTGAAGTTGGTGTTCCTCTAGACTTGGGACAGTGTTCTCGGGGAATCTCTGGAGTTACCTGAGGGAAGTCGAGCCACCGGTCGTGTTGAATGGGGAACGGGGAATGGCTCTGGAGTCAATGCAGGGGAATCGGGCCTCATCTCGACTTGATTTGGGGCACATGGAGCTGCTTTGCGTTGCTGGGGTGACCGCAGGGTCCGTCTAGACTGGTGACAGTGTTCTTGGGGACTGTCTCGAGATCCATTAAGCAAGTCGAAGCTCCTGACTTGTTTGAATGGAATCACGGAATAGCTCTGCATGCACTGCAGGGGAATGGGGCCTCATCTCCTCTATAGGGGGAAGTCTCATGTTTTTTCTCGAGTTGCGGCGGGGACCTGGGGTATGTTCTCGACTTAAGGCGGGGATGGCCCTTCAAAACATGAGTTTCTTCAGTGACGTCAGGACTCCTGTCTAGTAACGAGGGACACCTCAGGAATCTCTTCGAGGCTTGGCAGGGCAAAAGGGACGCTTGTCGAGGTGAGGCAGGGCACTCAAGGACCCTTTCCCGTAGCCACAGGGATTTTGGGATTCCTATCAGCATTCAAGAGGAGTCAGGCATCGTCACCTTTTGAAGCAATGAACTCCGCGTGCCTCTCGAGGTGTCAGCGGGATGTGAGGCATTCCGTCAAAATGTGGCAGGGACCTAGGGCTTTCTCTAAGGTCTCCACAGGGGATTCAGACATCCCTTCATGTTGTGAGATGAAAGACGAGCCTGTATTCAAGCCACTGCAAGGAAATCCGGCCTCCTTTCAAGTTAGGGCTTCTCACTGTATATTCCCCTTGAGGCAGCAAACTCGGGGTCCCTCCCACAAACCTATTGCTGAGAGAAGCCTCCTCCTGAGGTGCTTCTGAAAGCTGGCATATGTCTTGAGCCTAAGCCAGGGAATCAGCTCTCATCTCGAGATGATTTGGGGTACACGGAGCATTCCTCGAGTTCTGTGCTTAAGTTGGTGTTCCTCTAGACTTGGGACAGTGTTCTCGGGGAATCTCTGGAGTTGCCTGAAGGAAGTCGAGCCACCGGTCGTGTTGAATGGGGAACGGGGAATGGCTCTGGAGTCAATGCAGGGGAATCGGGCCTCATCTCGAGTTGATTTGGGGCACATGGAGCTGCTTTGCGTTGCTGGGGTGACCTCAGGGTCCGTCTAGACTGGTGACAGTGTTCTTGGGGACTGTCTCGAGATCCATTAAGCAAGTCGAAGCTCGTGTCTTGTTTGAATGGGATCACGGAATAGCTCTGCATGCACTGCAGGGGAATGGGGCCTCATCTCGCCTCTGGGGGGAAGTCTCATGGTTTTCCTCGAGTTGCGGCGGGGACCTGGGGTATGTTCTCGGCGTACGGCGGGGATGGCCCTTCAAAACACGAGTTTCTTCAGTGACGTCTGGACTCCTGACTAGTAACGAGGGACACCTCAGGAATCTCTTCGAGGCTTGGCAGGGCAAAAGGAACGCTGCTCGAGGTGAGGCAGGGCACCCAAGGACCCTTTCCAGTAGCCACAGGGATTTTGGGATTCCTATCAGTATACAAGAGGAGTCAGGCATCGTCACCTTTTGAAGCAATGAACTCCGCGTGCCTCTCGAGGTGTCAGCAGGATTGGAGGCATTCCGTCAAAATGAGGCAGGGACCTAGGGCTTTCTCTAAGGTCTCCACAGGGGATTCAGACATCCCTTCATGTTGTGAGATGAAAGACGAGCCTGTATTCAAGCCACTGCAAGGAAATCCGGCCTCCTTTCAAGTTAGGGCTTCTCGCTGTATATTCCCCTTGAGGCAGCAAACTCGGGGTCCCTCCCACATACCTATTGCTGAGAGAAGCCTCCTCCTGAGGTGCTTCTGGAAACTTGGCATATGTCTTGAACCTACGCCAGGGAATCAGCTCACATCTCGAGACGATTTGGGGTACACGGAGCATTCCTCGAGTTAATGTGCTGAAGTTGGTGTTCCTCTAGACTTGGACAGTGTTCTCGGGGCATCTCTGGAGTTGCCTGAAGGAAGTCGAGCCACCGGTCCTGTTGAATGGGGAACAGGGAATGGCTCTGGAGTCAATGCAGGGGAATCAGGCCTCATCTCGAGTTGATTTGGGGCACATGGATCTGCTTTGCGTTGCTGGGGTGACCTCAGGGTCCGTCTAGACTGGTGACAGTGTTCTTGGGGACTGTCTCGTGATCCATTAAGCAAGTCGAAGCTCCTGACTTGTTTGAATGGGATCACGGAATAGCTCTGCCTGCCCTGCAGGGGAATGGGGCCTCATCTCGCCTCTAGGGGGAAGTCTCATGGTTTTTCTCGAGTTGCGGCGGGGACCTGGGGTATGTTCTCGACTTACGGCGGGGATGGCCCTTCAAAACACGAGTTTCTTCAGTGACGTCAGGACTCCTGTCTAGTAACGAGGGACACCTCAGGAATCTCTTCGAGGCTTGGCAGGGCAAAAGGGACGCTTCTCGAGGTGAGGCAGGGCACCCAAGGACCCTTTCCAGTAGCCACAGGGATTTTGGGATTCCTATCAGTATTCAAGAGGAGTCAGGCATCGTCACCTTTTGAAGCAATGAACTCCGCGTGCCTCTCGAGGTGTCAGCGGGATATGAGGTATTCCGTCAAAATGAGGCAGGGACCTAGGGCTTTCTCTAAGGTCTCCACAGGGGATTCAGACATCCCTTCATGTTGTGAGATGAAAGACGAGCCTGTATTCAAGCCACTGCAAGGAAATCCGGCCTCCTTTCAAGTTAGGGCTTCTCGCTGTATATTCCCCTTGAGGCAGCAAACTCAGGGTCCCTCCCACATACCTATTGCTGAGAGAAGCCTCCTCCTGACGTGCTTCTGGAAAGTTGGCATACGTCTTGAGCCTAAGCCAGGGAATCAGCTCTCATCTCGAGACGATTTGGGTTACACGGAGCATTCCTCGAGTTAATGTGCTGAAGTTGGTGTTCCTTTTGACTTGGGACAGTGTTCTCAGGGCATCTCTGGAGTTGCCTGAAGGAAGTCAAGCCACCTGTCCTGTTGAATGGGGAACGGGGAATGGCTCTGGAGTCAATGCAGGGGAATCGGGCTTCATCTCAAGTTGATATGGGGCACATGGAGCTGCTTTGCTTTGCTGGGTTGACCTCAGGGTCCGTCTAGACTGGTGACAGTGTTCTTGGGGACTGTCTCGAGATCCATTAAGCAAGTCGAAGCTCCTGACTTGTTTGAATGGGATCACGGAATAGCTCTGCATGCACTGCAGGGGAATGGGGCCTCATCTCGCCTCTCGGGGGAAGTCTCATGGTTTTGCTTGTGTTGGGGCGGGGACCTGGGGTATGTTCTCGACTTACGGCGGGGATCGCCCTTCAAAACACGAGTTTCTTCAGTGACGTCAGGACTCCTCTCTAGTAAAGAGGGACACCTCAGGAATCTCTTCGAGGCTTGGCAGGGCAAAAGGGACGCTTCTCGATGTGAGGCAGGGCACCCAAGCAGCCTTTCCCGTAGCCACACGGATTTTGGGATTCCTATCAGTATTCAACAGGAGTCAGGCATCGTCACCTTTTGAAGCAATGAACTCCGCGTGCCTCTCGAGGTGTCAGCGGGATGTGAGGCATTCCGTCAAAATGAGGCAGGGACCTAGGGATTTCTCTAAGGTCTCCACAGGGGATTCAGACATCCCTTCATGTTGTGAGATGAAAGACGAGCCTTTATTCAAGCCACTGCAAGGAAATCCGGCCTCCTTTCAAGTTAGGGCTTCTTGCTGTATATTCCCCTTGAGGGAGCAAACTGGGGGACCCTCCCACATACCTATTGCTGAGAGAAGCCTCCTCCTGAGGTGCTTCTGGAAAGTTGGCATACGTCTTGAGCCTAAGCCAGGGAATCAGCTCTCATCTCGAGACGATTTGGGGTACACGGATCATTCCTCGAGTTAATGTGCTGAAGTTGGTGTTCCTCTAGACTTGGGACAGTGTTCTCGGGGCATTTCTGGAGTTGCCTGAAGGAAGTCGAGCCACCGGTCGTGTTGAATGGGGAACAGGGAATGGCTCTGGAGTCAATGCAGGGGAATCAGGCCTCATCTCGAGTTGATTTGGGGCACATGGATCTGCTTTGCTTTGCTGGGGTGACCTCAGTGTCCGTCTAGACTGGTGACAGTGTTCTTGGGGACTGTCTCGTGATCCATTAAGCAAGTCGAAGCTACTGACTTGTTTGAATGGGATCACGGAATAGCTCTGCCTACACTGCAGGGGAATGGGGCCTCATCTCGCTTCTAGGGGGAAGTCTCATGGTTTTTCTCGAGTTGCGGCGGGGACCTGGGGTATGTTCTCGACTTACGGCGGGGATGGCCCTTCAAAACACGAGTTTCTTCAGTGACGTCAGGACTCCTGTCTAGTAAAGAGGAACACCTCAGGAATCTCTTCGAGGCTTGGCAGGGCAAAAGGGACGCTTCTCGAGGTGAGGCAGGGCACCCAAGGACCCTTTCCAGTAGCCACAGGGATTTTGGGATTCCTATCAGTATTCAAGAGGAGTCAGGCATCGTCACCTTTTGAAGCAATGAACTCCGCGTGCCTCTCGAGGTGTCAGCGGGATGTGAGGCATTCCGTCAAAATGAGGCAGGGACCTAGGGCTTTCTCTAAGGTCTCCACAGGGGATTCAGACATCACTTCATGTTGTGAGATGAAAGACGAGCCTGTATTCAAGCCACTGCAAGGAAATCCGGCCTCCTTTCAAGTTAGGGCTTCTCGCTGTATATTCCCCTTGAGGCAGCAAACTCGGGGTCCCTCCCACATACCTATTGCTGAGAGAAGCCTCCTCCTGAGGTGCTTCTGGAAAGTTGCCATACGTCTTGAGCCTAAGCCAGGGAATCACTCTCATCTCGAGACGACTTGGGGTGCACGGAGCATTCCTCGAGTTGCTGTGCTGAAGTTGGTGTTCCTCTAGACTTGGGACAGTGTTCTCGGGGCATCTCTGGAGTTGCCTGAAGGAAGTCAAGCCACCTGTCCTGTTGAATGGGGAACGGGGAATGGCTCTGGAGTCAATGCAGGGGAATCGGGCCTCATCTCGAGTTGATTTGGGGCACATGGAGCTGCTTTGCTTTGCTGGGGTGACCTCAGGGTCCGTCTAGACTGGTGACAGTGTTCTTGGGGACTGTCTCGAGATCCATTAAGCAAGTCGAAGCTCCTGACTTGTTTGAATGGGATCACGGAATAGCTCTGCATGCACTGCAGGGGAATGGGGCCTCATCTCGCCTCTAGGGGGATTCTCATGGTTTTTCTCGAGTTGCGGCGGGGACCTGCGGTATGTTCTCGACTTACGGCGGGGATGGCCCTTCAAAACACGAGTTTCTTCAGTGACGTCAGGACTCCTGTCTAGTAAAGAGGGACACCTCAGGAATCTCTTCGATTCTTGGCAGTGCAAAAGGGACGCTTCTCGAGGTGAGGCAGGGCACCCAAGGACCCTTTCCAGTAGCCACAGGGATTTTGGGATTCCTATCAGTATTCAAGAGGAGTCAGGCATCGTCACCTTTTGAAGCAATGAACTCCGCGTGCCTCTCGAGGTGTCAGCGGGATGTGAGGCATTCCGTCAAAATGAGGCAGGGACCTAGGGCTTTCTCTAAGGTCTCCACAGGGGGTTCAGACATCCTTTCATGTTGTGAGATGAAAGACGAGCCTGTATTCAAGCCACTGCAAGGAAATCCGGCCTCCTTTCAAGTTAGGGCTTCTCGCTGTATATTCCCCTTGAGGCAGCAAACCCGGGGTCCCTCCCACATACCTATTGCTGAGAGAAGCCTCCTCCTGAGGTGCTTCTGAAAAGTTGGCATATGTCTAGAGCCTAAGCCAGGGAATCAGCTCTCATCTCGAGACGATTTGGTGTACACGGAGCATTCCTCGAGTTGCTGTGTTGAAGTTGGTGTTCCTCTAGACTTGGGACAGTGTTCTCGGGGCATCTCTGGAGTTGCCTGAAGGAAGTCGAGCCACTGGTCGTGTTGAATATGGAACGGGGAATGGCTCTGGAGTCAATGCAGGGGAATCGGGCCTCATCTCGAGTTGATTTGGGGCACATGGAGCTGCTTTGCGTTGCTGGGGTGACCTCAGGGTCCATCTGGACTGGTAACAGTGTTCTTGGGGACTGTCTCGAGATCCATTAAGCAAGTCGAAGCTCCTGACTTGTTTGAATGGCATCACGGAATAGCTCTGCATGCACTGCAGGGGAATGGGGCCTCATGTCGCCTCTAGGGGGAAGTCTCATGGTTTTCATCGAGTTGCGGCGGGGACCTGGGCTATGTTCTCGACTTACGGCAGGGATGGCCCTTCAAAACAAGAGGTTCTTCAGTGACGTCAGGACTCCTCTCTAGTAACGAGGGACACCTCAGGAATCTATTCGAGGCTTGGCAGGGCAAAAGGGAAGCTTCTCGAGGTGAGGCAGGGCACCCAAGGATCCTTTCCAGTAGCCACAGGGATTTTGGGATTCCTATCAGTATTCAAGAGGAGTCAGGCATCGTCACCTTTTGAAGCAATGAACTCCGCGTGCCTCTCGAGGTGTCAGCGGGATGTGAGGCATTCCGTCAAAATGAGGCAGGGACCTAGGGCTTTCTCTAAGCGCTCCACAGGGGATTCAGACATCCCTTCATGTTGTGAGATGAAAGACGAGCCTGTATTCAAGCCACTGCAAGGAAATCCGGCCTCCTTTCAAGTTAGGGCTTCTCGCTGTATATTCCCCTTGAGGCAGCAAACTCGGGGTCCCTCCCACATACCTATTGCTGAGAGAAGCCTCCTCCTGAGGTGCTTCTGGAAAGTTGGCATATGTCTTGAGCCTAAGCCAGGGAATCAGCTCTCATCTCGAGACGATTTGAGGTACACGGAGCATTCCTCGAGTTGCTGTGTTGAAGTTGGTGTTCCTCTAGACTTGGGACAGTGTTCTCGGGGCATCTCTGGAGTTGCCTGAAGGAAATCGAGCCACTGGTCGTGTTGAATGGGGAACGGGGAATGGCTCTGGAGTCAATGCAGGGGAATCGGGCCTCATCTCGAGTTGATTTGGGGCACATGGAGCTGCTTTGCGTTGCTGGGGTGACCTCAGGGTCCGTCTGGACTGGTGACAGTGTTCTTGGGGACTGTCTCGAGATCCATTAAGCAAGTCGAAGCTCCTGACTTGTTTGAATGGGATCACGGAATAGCTCTGCATGCACTGCAGGGGAATGGGGCCTCATGTCGCCTCTAGGGGGAATTCTCATGGTTTTCATCGAGTTGCGGCGGGGACCTGGGCTATGTTCTCGACTTACGGCGGGGATGGCCCTTCAAAACAAGAGTTTCTTCAGTGACGTCAGGACTCCTGTCTAGTAACGAGGGACACCTCAGGAATCTATTCGAGGCTTAGCAGGGCAAAAGGTACGCTACTCGAGCTGAGGCAGGGCACCCAAGGACCCTTTCCCGTAGCCACAGGGATTTTGGGATTCCTATCAGTATTCAAGAGGAGTCAGGCATCGTCACCTTTTGAAGCATTGAACTCCGCGTGCGTCTCGAGGTGTCAGCGGGATGTGAGGCATTCCGTCAAAATGAGGAAGTGACCTAGGGCTTTCTCTAAGGTCTCCACAGGGGATTCAGACATCCCTTCATGTTGTGAGATGAAAGACGAGCCTGTATTCAAGCCACTGCAAGGAAATCCGGCCTCCTTTCAAGTTAGGGCTTCTCGCTGTATATTCCTCTTGAGGCAGCAAACTCGGGGTCCCTCCCACATACCTATTGCTGAGAGAAGCTTCTTCCTGAGGTGCTTCTGGAAAGTTGGCATACGTCTTGAACCTAAGCCAGGGAATCAGCTCTCATCTCGAGACGATTTGGGGTACACGGAGCATTCCTCGAATTAATGTGCTGAAGTTGGTGGTGCTCTAGACTTGGGACAGTGTTCTCGGGGCATCTCTAGAGTTGCCTGAAGGAAGTCGAGCCACCAGTCGGGTTGAATGGGGAACGGGGAATGGCTCTGGAGTCAATGCAGGGGAATCAGGCCTCACCTCGAGTTGATTTGGTGCACATGGAGCTGCTTTGTGTTGCTGGGGTGACCTCAGGGTCCGTCTAGACTGGTGACAGTGTTCTTGGGGACTGTCTCGAGAACCATTAAGCAAGTCGAAGCTCCTGACTTGTTTGAATGGGATCATGGAATAGCTCTGCATGCACTGCAGGGGAATGGGGCCTCATCTCGCCTCTAGGGGGAAGTCTCATGGTTTTTCTCGAGTTGCGGCGAGGACCTGGGGTATGTTCTCGACTTACGGCGGGGCTGGCCCTTCAAAACACGAGTTTCTTCAGTGACGTCAGGACTCCTGTCTAGTAAAGAGGGACACCTCAGGAATCTCTTCGATTCTTGGCAGGGCAAAAGGGACGCTTCTCGATGTGAGGCAGGGCACCCAAGCAGCCTTTCCCGTAGCCACACGGATTTTGGGACTCCTATCAGTATTCAAGAGGAGTCAGGCATCGTCACCTTTTGAAGCAATGAACTCCGCGTGCCTCTCGAGGTGTCAGCGGGATGTGAGGCATTCCGTCAAAATGAGGCAGGGACCTAGGGCTTTCTCTAAGGTCTCCACAGGGGGTTCAGACATCCCTTCATGTTGTGAGATGAAAGACGAGCCTGTATTCAAACCACTGCAAGGAAATCTGGCCTCCTTTCAAGTTAGGGCTTCTCGCTGTATATTCCCCTTGAGGCAGCAAACTCGGGGTCCCTCCCACATACCTATTGCTGAGAGAAGCCTCCTCCTGAGGTGCTTCTGGAAAGTTGGCATATGTCTTGACCTAAGCCAGGGAATCATCTCTCATCTCGAGACGATTTGAGGTACACGGAGCTTTCCTCGAGTTGCTGTGTTGAAGTTGGTGTTCCTCTAGACTTGGGACAGTGTTCTCGGGGCATCTCTAGAGTTGCCTGAAGGAAATCGAGCCACTGGTCGTGTTGAATGGGGAACGGGGAATGGCTCTGGAGTCAATGCAGGGGAATCGGGCCTCATCTTGAGTTGATTTGGGGCACATGGAGCTGCTTTGCGTTGCTGGGGTAACCTCAGGGTCCGTCTGGACTGGTGACAGTGTTCTTGGGGACTGTCTCGAGATCCATTAAGCAAGTCGAAGCTCCTGACTTGTTTGAATGGGATCACGGAATAGCTCTGCATGCACTGCAGGGGAATGGGGCCTCATGTCGCCTCTAGGGGGAATTCTCATGGTTTTCATCGAGTTGCGGCGGGGACCTGGGCTATGTTCTCGACTTACGGCGGGGATGGCCCTTCAAAACAAGAGTTTCTTCAGTGACGTCAGGACTCCTGTCTAGTAACGAGGGACACCTCAGGAATCTATTCGATGCTTAGCAGGGCAAAAGGTACGCTTCTCGAGCTGAGGCAGGGCACCCAAGGACCCTTTCCCGTAGCCACAGGGATTTTGGGATTCCTATCAGTATTCAAGAGGAGTCAGGCATAGTCACATTTTGAAGCAATGAACTCCGCCTGCCTCTCGAGGTGTCAGTGGGATGTGAGGCATTCCGTCAAAATGAGGCAGTGACCTAGGGCTTTCTCTAAGGTCTCCACAGGGGATTCAGACATCCCTTCATGTTGTGAGATGAAAGACGAGCCTGTATTCAAGCCACTGCAAGGAAATCCGGCCTCCTTTCAAGTTAGGGCTTCTCACTGTATATTCCCCTTGAGGCAGCAAACTCGGGGTCCCTCCCACATACCTATTGTTGAGAGAAGCCTCCTCCTGAGGTGCTTCTGGAAATTTGGCATACGTCTTGAGCCTAAGCCAGGGAATCAGCTCTCATCTCGAGACGATTTGGGTTACACGGAGCATTCCTCGAGTTAATGTGCTGAAGTTGGTGTTCCTCTAGACTTGGGACAGTGTTCTCGGGGCATCTCTGGAGTTGCCTGAAGTAAGTCGAGCCACCGGTCGTGTTGAATGGGGAACGGGGAATGGCTCTGGAGTCAATGCAGGGGAATCGGGCCTCATCTCGAGTTGATTTGGGGCACATGGAGCTGCTTTGCGTTGTTGGGGTGACCTCAGGGTCCGTCTAGACTGGTGACAGTGATCTTGGGGACTGTCTCGAGATCCATTAAGCAAGTCGAAGCTCCTGGCTTGTTTGAATGGGATCACGGAATAGCTCTGCATGCACTGCAGGGGAATGGGGCCTCATCTCGCCTCTAGGGGGAAGTCTCATGGTTTTTCTCGAGTTGCGGCGGGGACCTGGGTTATGTTCTCGACTTACGGCGGGGATGGCCCTTCAAAACACGAGTTTCTTCAGTGACGTCAGGACTCCTGTCTAGTAACGAGGGACACCTCAGGAATCTCTTCGACCTATGGCAGGGCAAAAGGGATGCTTCTCGAGGTGAGGCAGGGCACCCAAGGACCCTTTCCATTAGCCACAGGGATTTTGGGATTCCTATCAGTATTCAAGAGGAGTCAGGCATCGTCACCTTTTGAAGCAATGAACTCCGCGTGACTCTCGTAGTGTCAGCCGGATGTGAGGCATTCCGTCAAAATGAGGCAGGGACCTAGGGCTTTCTCTAAGGTCTCCACAGGGGATTCAGACATCCCTTCATGTTGTGAGATGAAAGACGAGCCTGTATTCAAGCCACTGCAAGGAAATCTGGCCTCCTTTCAAGTTAGAGCTTCTCGCTGTATATGCCCATTGAGGCAGCAAACTCGGGGTCCCTCCCACATACCTATTGCTGAGAGAAGCCTCCTCCTGAGGTGCTTCTGGAAAGCTGGCATATGTCTTGAGCCTAAGCCAGGGAATCAGCTCTCATCTCGAGACGATTTGGGGTACATGGACCATTCCTCGAGTTGCTGTACTGAAGTTGGTGTTCCTCTATACTTGGGGCAGTGTTCTCGGGGAATCTCTGGAGTTACCTGAGGGAAGTCGAGCCACCGGTCGTGTTGAATGGGGAACGGGGAATGGCTCTGGAGTCAATGCAGGGGAATCGGGCCTCATCTCGAGTTGATTTGGGGCACATGGAGCTGCTTTGCGTTGCTGGGGTGACCTCAGGGTCCGTCTAGACTGGTGACAGTGTTCTTGGGGACTGTCTCGAGATCCATTAAGCAAGTCGAAGTTCCTGACTTGTTTGAATGGGATCACGGAATAGCTCTGCATGCACTGCAGGGGAATGGGGCCTCATCTCGCCTCTAGGGGGAAGTCTCATGGTTTTCCTCGAGTTGCAGCGGGGACCTGGGGTAAGTTCTCGACGTACGCCGGGGATGACCCTTCAAAACACGAGTTTCTTCAGTGACGTCTGGACTCCTGTCTAGTAACGAGGGACACCTCAGGAATCTCTTCGAGCCTTGGCAGGGCAAATGGGACGCTTCTCAAGGTGAGGCAGGGCACCCAAGGACCCTTTCCAGTAGCCACAGGGATTTTGGGATTCCTATCAGTATTCAAGAGGAGTCAGGCATCGTCACCTTTTGAAGCAATGAACTCCGCGTGCCTCTCGAGGTGTCAGCGGGATTGGAGGCATTCCGTCAAAATGAGGCAGGGACCAAGGGCTTTCTCTATGGTCTCCACAGGGGATTCAGACATCCATTCATGTTGTGAGATGAAAGACGAGCCTGTATTCAAGCCACTGCAAGGAAATCCGGCCTCCTTTCAAGTTAGGGCTTCTCGCTGTATATTCCCCTTGAGGCAGCAAACTCGGGGTCCCTCCCACATACCTATTGCTGAGAGAAGCCTCCTCCTGAGGTGCTTCTGGGAAGTTGGCATACGTCTTGTGCCTAAGCCAGGGAATCAGCTCTCATCTCGAGACGATTTGGGGTACACGGAGCATTCCTCGAGTTGCTGTGCTGAAGTTCGTGTTCCTCTCGACTTGGGACAGTGTTCTCGGGGCATCTCTGGAGTTGCCTGAAGGAAGTCGAGCCACCGGTCGTGTTGAATGGGGAACGGGGAATGGCTCTGGAGTCAATGCAGGGGAATCGGGCCTCATCTCGAGTTGATTTGGGGCACATGGAGCTGCTTTGCGTTGCTGGGGTGACATCAGGGTCCGTCTAGACTGGTGACAGTGTTCTTGCGGACTGTCTCGAGATCCATTAAGCAAGTCGAAGCTCCTGACTTGTTTGAATGGGATCACGGAATAGCTCTGCATGCACTGCAGGGGAATGGGGCCTCATCTCGCCTCTAGGGGGAAGTCTCATTGTTTTTCTCGAGTTGCGGCGGGGACCAGGGGTATGTTCTCGACTACGGCGGGAATGGCCCTTCAAAACACGAGTTACTTCAGTGACGTCAGGACTCCTGTCTAGTAACGAGGGACACTTCAGGAATCTCTTTGAGGCTTGGCAGGGCAAAAGGGACGCTTCTCGAGGTGAGGCAGGGCACCCAAGGACCCTTTCCCGTAGCCATAGGGATTTTGGGATTCCTATCAGTATTCAAGAGGCGTCAGGCATCGTCACCTTTTGAAGCAGTAAACTCCGCGTGCCTCTCGAGGTGTCAGCGGGATATGAGGCATTCCGTCAAAATGAAGCAGGGACGTAGGGCTTTCTCTAAGGTCTCCACAGGGGATTCCGACATCCCTTCATGTTGTGAGATGAAAGACGAGCCTGTATTCAAGCCACTGCAAGGAAATCCGGCCTCCTTTCAAGTTAGGGCTTCTCGCTGTATATTCCCCTTGAGGCAGCAAACTCGGAGTCCCTCCCACATACCTATTGCTGAGAGAAGCCTCCTCCTGAGGTGCTTCTGGAAAGTTGGCATACATCTTGAGCCTAAGCCAGGGAATCAGCTCTCATCTCGAGACGACTTGGGGTACATGGAGCATTCCTCGAGTTGCTGTGCTGAAGTTGGTGTTCCTCTAGACTTAGGACAGTGTTCTCGGGGCATCTCTGGAGTTGCCTGAAGGAAGTCGAGCCACCGGTCGTGTTGAATGGGGAACGGGGAATGGCTCTGGAGTCAATGCAGGGGAATCGGGACTCATCTCGAGTTGATTTGGGGCACATGGAGCTGCTTTGCGTTGCTGGGGTGACCTCAGGGTCCGTCTAGACTGGTGACAGTGTTCTTGGGGACTGTCTCGAGATCCATTAAGCAAGTCGAAGATCCTGACTTGTTTGAATGGGATCACGGAATAGCTCTGCATGCACTGCAGGGGAATGGGGCCTCATCTCGCCTTTAGGGGGAAGTCTCATGGTTTTTCTCGAGTTGCGGCGGGGACCTGGGGTAGGTTCTCGACTTACGGCGGGGATGGCCCTTCAAAACACGAGTTTCTTCAGTGACGTCAGGACTCCTGTCTAAAACGAGGGACACCTTAGGAATCTTTTCGAGGCTAGGCAGGGCAAAAGGGACGCTTCTCGAGGTGAGGCAGGGCACCCAGGGACCCTTTCCAGTAGCCACAGGGATTTTGGGATTCCTATCAGTGTTCAAGAGGAGTCAGGCATCGTCACCTTTTGAAGCAATGAACTCCGCGTGCCTCTCGAGGTGTCAGCGGGATGTGAGGCATTCCGTCAAAATGAGGCAGGGACCTAGGGCTTTCTCTAAGGTCTCCACAGGGTATTCAGACATCCCTTCATGTTGTGAGATGAAAGACGAGCCTGTATTCAAGCCACTGCAAGGAAATCCAGCCTTCTTTCAAGTTAGGGCTTCTCGCTGTATATTCCCCTTGAGGCAGCAAACTCGGGGTCCCTCCCACATACCTATTGCTGAGAGAAGCCTCCTCCTGAGGTGCTTCTGGAAAGTTGGCATACGTCTTGAGCCTAAGCCAGGGAATCAGCTCTCATCTCGAGGCGATTTGGGGTACATGGAGCATTCCTCGAGTTGCTGTGCTGAAGTTTGTGTTCCTCTAGACTTGGGATAGTATTCTCGGGGCATCTGTGGAGTTGCCTGAAGGAAGTCGAGCCACCGGTCGTGTTGAATGGGGAACGGGGAATGGCTCTGGAGTCAATGCAGGGGAATCGGGCCTCATCTCGAGTTGATTTTGGGCACATGGAGTTGCCTTGTGTTGCTGGGGTGACCTCAGGGTCCGTCTAGACTGGTGACAGTGTTCTTGGGGACTGTCTCGAGATCCATTAAGCAAGTCGAAGCTCCTGACTTGTTTGAATGGGATCACGGCATAGCTCTCCATGCACTGCAGGGGAATGGGGCCTCATCTCGCCTCTAGGGGGAAGTCTCATGGTATTCCTCGAGTTGCAGCGGGGACCTGGGGTAAGTTTTAGACGTACGGCGGGGATGGCTCTTCAAAACACGAGTTTCTTCAGTGACGTCTGGACTCCTGTCTAGTAACATGGGACACCTCAGGAATCTCTTCGAGCCTTGGCTGGGAAAAAGGGACGATTCTCAAGGTGAGGCAAGGCACCCAAGGACCCTTTCCAGTAGCCACAGGGATTTTGGGATTCCTATCAGTATTCAAGAGGAGTCAGGCATCGTCACCTTTTGAAGCAATGAACTCCGCGTGCCTCTCGAGGTGTCAGCGGGATTGGAGGCATTCCGTCAAAATGAGGCAGGGACCTAGGGCTTTCTCTAAGGTCTCCACAGGGGATTCAGACATCCCTTCATGTTGTGAGATGAAAGACGAGCCTGTATTCAAGCCACTGCAAGGAAATCCGGCCTCCTTTCAAGTTAGGGCTTCTCGCTGTATATTCCCCTTGAGGCAGCAAACTCGGGGTCCCTCCCACATACCTATTGCTGAGAGAAGCCTCCTCCTGAGGTGCTTCTGGGAAGTTGGCATATGTCTTGAGCCTAAGCCAGGGAATCAGCTCTCATCTCGAGACGATTTGCGGTACACGGAGCATTCCTCGAGTTGCTGTGCTGAAGTTGCTGTTCCTCTCGACTTGGGACAGTGTTCTCGGGGCATCTCTGGAGTTGCCTGAAGGAAGTCGAGCCACCGGTCGTGTTGCATGGGGAACGGGGAATGGCTCTGGAGTCAATGCAGGGGAATCGGGACTCATCTCGAGTTGATTTGGGGCACATGGAGCTGCTTTGCATTGCTGGGGTGACCTCAGGGTCCGTCTAGACTGGTGACAGTGTTCTTGGGGACTGTCTCGAGATCCATTAAGCAAGTCGAAGCTCCTGACTTGTTTGAATGGGATCACGGAATAGCTCTGCATGCACTGCAGGGGAATGGGGCCTTATCTCGCCTCTAGGGGGAAGTCTCATGGTTTTTCTCGAGTTTCGGCGAGGACCTGGGGTATGTTCTCGACTTCCGGCGGGGATGGCCCTTCAAAACACGAGTTTCTTCAGTGACGTCAGGACTCCTGTCTAGTAACGAGGGACACCTCTGCAATCTCTTCGTGGCTTGGCAGGGCAAAAGGGACGCTTCTCGAGGTGAGGCAGGGCACCCATGGACCATTTCCCGTAGCCACAGGGATTTTGGGATTCCTATCAGTATTCAAGAGGAGTCAGGCATCGTCACCTTTTGAAGCAATGAACTCCGCGTGCCTCTCGAGGTGTCAGCGGGATGTGAGGCATTCCGTCAAAATGAGGCAGGGACCTAGGGCTTTCTCTAAGGTCCCCACAGGGGATTCAGACATCCCTTCATGTTGTGAGATGAAAGACGAGCCTGTATTCAAGCCACTGCAAGGAAATCCGGCCTCCTTTCAAGTTAGGGCTTCTCGCTGTATATTCCCCTTGAGGCAGCAAACTCGGGGTCCCTCCCACATACCTATTGCTGAGAGAAGCCTCCTCCTGAGGTGCTCCTGGAAAGTTGGCATATGTCTTGAGCCTAAGCCAGGGAATCAGCTCTCATCTCGAGACGATTTGGGGTACACGGAGCATTCCTCGAGTTGCTGTGCTGAAGTTGGTGTTCCTCTAGACTTGGGACAGTGTTCTCGGGGCATCTCTGGAGTTGCCTGAAGGAAGTCGAGCCACAGGTCGTGTTGAATGGGGAACCGGGAATGGCTCTGGAGACAATGCAGGGGAATCGGGCCTCATCTCGAGTTGATTTGGGGCACATGGAGCTGCTTTGCGTTGCTGGGGTGACATCAGGGTGCGTCTAGACTGGTGACAGTGTTCTTGGGGACTGTCTCGAGATCCATTAAGCAAGTCGAAGCTCCTGACTTGTTTGAATGGGATCACGGAATAGCTCTGCATGTACTGCAGGGGAATGGGGCCTCATCTCGCCTCTAGGGGGAAGTCTCATGGTTTTTCTCGAGTTGCGGCGGGGACCTGGGGTATGTTCTCGACTTACGGCAGGGATGGCCCTTCAAAACACGAGTTTCTTCAGTGACGTCAGGACTCCTGTCTAGTAGCGAGGGACACCTCAGGAATCACTTCGAGGCTTGGCAGGGCAAAAGGGACGCTTCTCGAGGTGAGGCAGGGCACCCAAGGACCCTTTCCCGTAGCCATAGGGATTTTGGGATTCCTATCAGTATTGAAGAGGAGTCAGGCACCGTCACCTTTTGAAGCAATAAAATCCGCGTGCCTCTCGAGGTGTCAGCGGGATGTGAGGCATTCCGTCAAAATGAGGCAGGGACCTAGGGCTTTCTCTAAGGTCTCCACAGGGGATTCCGACATCCCTTCATGTTGTGAGATGAAAGAGGAGCCTGTATTCAAGCCACTGCAAGGAAATCCGGCCTTCTTTCAAGTTAGGGCTTCTCGCTGTATATTCCCCTTGAGGCAGCAAACTCGGGGTCCCTGCCACTTACCTATTGCTGAGAGAAGCCTCCTCCTGAGGTGCTTCTGGAAAGTTGGCATATGTCTTGAGCCTAAGCCAGGGAATCAGCTCTCATCTCGAGGCGATTTGGTGTACACGGTGCATTCCTCGAGTTGCTGTGCTGAAGTTGGTGTTCCTCTAGACTTGGGACAGTGTTCTCGGGGCATCTCTCGAGTTGCCTGAAGGAAGTCGAGCCACAGGTCGTGTTGAAAGGGGAACGGGGAATGGCTCTGGAGTCAATGCAGGGGAATCGGGCCTCATCTCGAGTTGATTTGGGGCAAATGGAGCTGCTTTGCGTTGCTGGGTTGACCTCAGGGTTCGTCTAGACTGGTGACAGTGTTCTTGGGGACTGTCTCGAGATCCATTAAGCAAGTCCAAGCTCCTGACTTGTTTGAGTGGGATCACGGAATAGCTCTGCATGCACTGCAGGGGAATGGGGCCTCATCTCGCCTCTAGGAGAAAGTGTCATGGTTTTTCTCGAGTTGCGGCGGGGACCTGGGGTATGTTCTCGACTTACGGCGGGGATGGCCCTTCAAAACACGAGTTTCTTCAGTGACGTCAGGACTCCTCTCTAGTAAAGAGGGACACCTCAGGAATCTCTTCGAGGCTTGGCAGGGCAAAAGGGACGCTTCTCGAGGTGAGGCAGGGCACCCAAGGACCCTTTCCCGTAGCCACAGGGATTTTGGAATTCCTATCAGTATTCAAGAGGAGTCAGGCATCGTCACCTTTTGAAGCAATGAACTCCGCGTGCCTCTCGAGGTGTCAGCGGGATGTGAGGCATTCCGTCAAAATGAGGCAGGGACCTAGGGCTTTCTCTAAGGTCTCCACAGGGGATTCAGACATCCCTTCATGTTGTGAGATGAAAGACGAGC